CGGAAGGTCTTGAGGAAGGCTTCCGGAAGTGGGCGGGGGTTGCTCATGGCAGGGGCAGGCTCCAGGGACAGAGAGGAGAGTCGGTCGGCAAGAGAGGCGGGATCCAGCTTGAGGATCTAGAAAGAGGACAAACAGGACGAAAACAAGACGAGGATTTCCGATGCTACCATGTAACGTCCACTACTGGGACGTTGGGGCAAGACGGGGAGGGAGGGGGTACAAGACAAGACAGGACGGGGCAGAACAGGGCGGTGCTAGGCTACTCTAGCGGACGGGTGAGCTCGGGGAGCACTTACGTTTATTCACGATAAAACCGAACTCCAGACAAACGGGGGGAACGGGGGCAACCCGCAGGTATACCCTGCGGTGGCCTGCCTGCGGTGCGTGAAAACGCAAAGCGCAGCACAGGTCACGACCCACTGCGCCGCGCAGTACGCGCAGTACGCGCAGCACAGCGTCGGAGATACCATCTCCTACACAAGATCATCGGGTGGAGGCAAGCATGGGCGTGGGAAGAATTAAGTAGCTAGTTTCATATTGCCTTTAATTACTCGAATCTGATCACAGATATGGCGTAGAGTTTGGCGGGAATCCGGAGACAGCATAGACTAGAAACACTATAAATAGAGGGATAGCCAAGCAGACGATACACCACCTCCAGTGAATAATCTCTTTATTCTTCTTAATACAAGATCATCACTCTTCAGTACCTTGCCCCGTCGCAGTCTCGACCTTGCTCCCGGTTCCTAACACTCCCAGTAACCCCGACCAGTTCTCACGCCCACCTACCCTGCCCAGTCCGGCCCTCTTCCTGTTTCTCACAATGAGTCATCGGTGGGGGGACACATGACCGGCAGCCGAATTGCAGCCAATCGCAGCAAGGCGCGTGCACAAACAAACCGGCGCGTGCGAAGAAGACAAAGGAAGCGGAGCAGCGCGGGAAAACGGAAGTGCAGAATGGGCGGAAATGACAGACAAAGGGCGGAAAATCGGAGGGGAATTGCAAAGCTACACACAAACAAACAGAGGGGCAAAAGAACAACCAAGTGTGCAGTCAAAGTGGAGAACAGGCATGAGCTATCCCTAACAGAAAGGGGAACAAGGAAGGTGATAATCGTTTGTATTGTTGATAATTCACTGGTCCTCTCCTCCAGGGGCTACTCCCTTGGGGTTCTTTTCTCATCTTTCGTTATCATTTAATATCCTGCGTGTGGCACAGTAATGATCATAATGTGGCGCAAACAACGAGGGAGGGGGGGGGCTGTCAGGACCGAGGTCTTCGGGCATGGCAGATCAGAGGAAAAAGATATATTCAAAAATAAGATCTGGGTTCGAAGTTCGCAAGTGCCCCCCTCCTCTCGGATAGAACTCGTCGTTCTTCTTAAGGGAGACCCCCGGGTCCGTCAGCATCGAGCGGTCAGAGGGGCAACATCTCTCGTGGGTGCTCTGAGGGTCAGCGAGAGAGGCTTAACACGCAGCGAGAGTGGATTGCCACAGCATCTGGTGCGTGTGGCAATCTTGGCGTCAACGTGGGGTCGTCGTGCGCCAATCAAACGGGAAGAGTGCGCGCGTGCATTCACGGGCGCATGATCTGCGATGTGGAGGTGGAAGTGGCAGGGTCGTGACAGTGGCTGTGTCCTCCATTGTGGCGAATCAAGGTTGATACGCGGTCAACATGTCTCCAAACCGCGCACCCCCAAACCCGATTCCTCACAGGAATGAGGTCCCATATGATATCCCCAACCAATCAACGGCCATGGATATCACTGAGCAGTTACCTTGACGATTTTAATGACGATTTGGAGTGGTTATGATTGGAATTGGTGACGTCAGTTGCAATTGAGCACAATTTGTATGAAGTTCAAAAACCAAATTATACGATATTCTGAAATAAATTCACCTCAAATACGTCAATTTATGATACAATATTGAGTATCACAACTGTTTCGAGTGTCCCGTGAAGTTGGATACTTCAAATTGCCGCAATTACCATCATCTGACTGAAATTCAAACCGTACATTTGACTACTAAGATGCACAATGCTTAAGGAGGGGAGATGATGTTGTCACGTAATAAAATCCTGTCAGATATGCTGTTCGCCCGTGGAGATCATATCTCCAAAGTTTGGAGTCATTCCAATCACAGGAATACCGGTAAATGCAAATGAAGTGAACCAAGAAGGTCAAAATTCGCAGGGTCAAAAAAGTGTTCCAATGCATGGACTGGACTCGAACTCTGGTATTTTAGCCATTTATGGGAATTGTGTCACCATACCTCACCAGTATACGCACATGACGTCAGGTGACTTGCTTGCAAAGTTTAAGGTGATTCTGAGGAATTCTGAGGGAGATACTGTTGTTTCTGTTCGGACTATCAAAACATTGGAACACTTTTTTGAGCTACTGTAGGATCGACCACCCCTTCTCGGTGGGTCAAAAGGTGTGGCTACTGAAGAAAAACATAAGGACCCGCCGCCCTAATTCAAAGTTGGATAATGTTCGCCTCGGCCCATACACGATCATGGAACAGATTAACCCAGTCACCTTTAAGCTGGACCTCCCTGCATCCATGCAGATTCACCCGACCTTCCACGTTAGCCTGCTTGAAGTCTACTGTGAAAACGAAATTCCGGGTCCCACCCCTCCTCCACCCCCTCCCGTCGAAATTGACGGTGAGGAGGAATTCGAAGTCGAAGGGATCCTGGACGCGAAACACTTTGGAAGAACACTCAAGTTTTTGGTCAAGTGGAAGGGATACCCAGAGTCAGACAACTCGTGGGAACCCGAGACAAACCTCTCAAACTGTCAAAGACATCTCAACGCATTCAAACGAAAATACCCCGAAAAGGTGGCCGGCGAACCTAGAAGAGGGAGATGATATTACGAATGCCTCCTCGCTCGACTATCTCGTCACTGCACTCCGCTGTCGTCTCTCCTCCACCTTCGCAAGTCAGCTTTTGTTCTAGTTGGACGGCTGGCCAATGTCGGGCAAACCGAGCACTGCCTTGGCCAGCCGGACCACAACATCTCGGCCCGCCACCCCTTCTCACACAGGGGCTCTACCAATTATTACCCCTCGCCCCATTCTAGTCTTCCAGGGTCGAGGTTCTTTGTTTTGATCGCAGGGGTTCCACCTCTGCCAGCTACATAGCTCTGCTCCAGCGCTGGAAGAGGAGGAGCACCAAGTGAATAATCACTGAATAAAGATTATCACTCTCTTCGTTTAAGCCCTCGCTCCCTGATCCTAGTCCCAGCCCCAGTTCTTGACACCATCAAAGATCATGATGCCGTACCATCGTCCATTTTCGGTTGTCGAGAAAATTGAATCAACTTGATACAAGCTGGACCTCCCGGCGGCAATCAAGTTCTCACCCGAGTTCCCGGCCGCCGCACTTGTCCCTTACCGACAACCTTTCCCCAACCAACAGGTCTTCGACAATCCAGCTGCGGATGACCAAGACGAGTCCGAAGTCGAAATCCTCCTCGCCCACAAGATCAACAAGAGACACAAGAAGCCAACCCGACGACATCAATTCCTCATCAAGTGGCAAGGTTACGATCCCAGCTGGAACTCGTGGGAACCACTTGAGCTCCTGCTTGATAATGCACTCGAAAGCGTCGTGGAGTACTCCGAGTTTCACCCGAATCTTCCAGAGGGTGAGACACTGGCGACGGCTCTCCAAGAACACCAAGCCAGTCAGTAAAATCGTGCCAACGTCGACCTCAGCACGGCTTTCTTGGGGGGGGTGAGGGAGTGCCCACTTGTGAACATGACGCGAGAGACCACTCGCGTCATGCCTGCAACATGTCCACCATCGCGCCATTAATTATATCACTTCCCACGCTCCGACACACTCCTCGACCAGAGTCCGACCCGTCCGTTTCTTCCCGGTCCAAAACATAAATGACTCTCGGCCCGAACTCCAGGACGAGAGGGGGGGGGAACTTTTGACGGGGATCTTCGACCTATGTTTGAACGTTGAATAAATCTCCTGCATCCTCTCTCTCTGGCTTCTCTGTCATGGTTCCTGGCAATTTCCGCTTTGTCCGCTTTGGACTCTAACACTCGGCCGCTCTTGGTTAGTGTCCAGGTCGAGGTAGCCTTGAGTGTGCACACTTGCGTTGAAGTTCCCTCGAGGTTTCGGCCTGGTCGCGAGGAGATCCAGTCGGATCCGTGAGTGTCCAAGTATCGATACTGCGACCGGATGATTGAATGGAGTCGCTCGGGTTCAATCTCTCCTTTCGAGACAGGCGGTTATTGTGGTTTATCGTATTCATTTGATTTATGCATATGCTTGTCATTCCCATTCACTTTGCATTCGTCCATGTGCATGGAGGATGCCAGTGGTTGAAGTTGAGTGGTTCTTGCTGCGACCCCGAAAATGGCGGCCAGTTGTAGCTCGCTGCAGCGGCTCGTGAGAGCCACACATCCCAGCCCAACCCTGCTTATATTCGGATTTCCCAAGTATATGACTTCTCTGTGCTTGGGAATCCCCAGTTACCTCAGCTGCTACAAATCCTCCCTCCGTCCCATGGTATGGCTCCAACAGCATCCCGGACCACATGGACCCAAGACTTTTCCCGCCGCGCAACAGCACCCACCAGGCTGTTGTCGTGTTCATCCACGAAGCTCACTGTATCCACCAGGCTCATTATCATGGTCGGGAAGCGATGTGATGTTCTACTCTTGACTTTCCACTATGGAAGCGCTATCGACAGTACGAAGGCGTCATGAGGCAGCCGGAAGGATCTTGGCGATGATCCACAGAGAGGACCCGACAAGGGGTGAAACTGGACAACAAGTACTGTTCGATCCGAAGACATTGGTTGGCCAAAGCAATCCCGAGGATACCCTTCTTTGACCGCTTTTTCTGTCGGGTGAAACAGCAGCCACTTGGGCAAAGATCGGGAGTGAAAGCGATAATTTCCCCCGTCCTCTGCGGTTCGTTCGTTACGCTTGTTTTCACCAGCAACTGGCCTCATCGCGTGCCCTATTTCACCATGATTGATAAGCCCTGGCACATCCCTGAGGATGCCATCACCGACTGGTCGACCAATCCACTTGCAGCCGGCGGCTTTGGCGAGGTATTAACTGCCTCATACTATGGCGCCCCTGTCGCTGTCAAGCAGCTCTACCGAGGCTACAACCAGAATGAACTCGCCGACTTTGGCCGTGAGATTGGCATCTGGCACAGACTCAGTCACCCTCATGTCCTTCCACTCCTCGGTGCCTGCGATACCACGACCAAGCCCTTCATGGTCTCGCCGTTCATGCCCAACGGCACCCTCCACAACCACCTTGCCACCGCTCCTGAACCTCGTCCCCTAAGTGAGAAGGTCCGGCTCCTCTACGAAATCTCCTCTGGCATGGCCTATCTCCACGGCAACAACATTGTCCACGGCAACCTCAAGTCCCTCAATGTGCTGCTGGATGAGTCGTATCATGCCGTTGTGACTGACTTTGGCATGGCCAGAACCAAGCACACTTCGGCCACCGCCAACCGAACCCGCCGCGACCAGCCGATGGGCGGCACCCTTGACTACATGGCTCCGGAGATGCTCGATTATGACGATCCAGTTGGATCGTCAAAGGCTACTGATGTCTATGCCTTTGGCATCACCATGTACGAGGTCCTCAACAACTGCAGGCCCATCTGGGTCACCGCCGACGGTCAGCCAATGAGGGAGAGGGTGATTGAGTCTCAGGTCCTCCGAGGCAACCGACCCAAGCAGTTCGACGACATCCCCGACAGTATCCGAGCCCTCATCGAGCGCTGTTGGCACCAAGATCCCGCCATGCGACCCAAGTTTCCCCGCTCAGGACGGAGAACAGAGACCCATTATCGTCACCCATCGTCGCTTGGAGTCGTTCCAGCCAATACAAGAAGTATCCGCTCCCAGGGTGTCCTTTCCCGAACCATTGACTCCCCGGACACCTCCGGCTGCTGCAGTGCTCACGTCCAAGCCAGTTCCTGTCAAGAACCTGGCAGACGCACTACAGCTGCTCAACTTTGGTGGCGATGCCGATTTTGATTCCGACGAGGAGGATGATGAGTTTGATCTCTGGTTCGCCGTCGCCAACGGGAACGATAGTGCCAGCTACCAACGAGCCTTCACCAACGTCTATGCCCAGTCCCACAATCAGCAGCTCCCCCTGTTCATCTCGGCCATCGCCGCATAGCAGTCTCCTCTGACCATCCGTATGATTGCTGACCTCTTTGGGGTTGACATCCGAATCGTCCGTCGATACGTCAAGGAACTTGGCCCCGTTCTCGATCCCGGCAAACTGAGCCGCGACAAGCAAGGCAGCTCAGCGGCCAAGGCCCAGAAACACAAGTCGATTGCTGCCTATCTGATAGGAGTGGAGTCTGTCAACGAACCGTTCCATGTCTCCTCCAAGTTTCACATGGCGTTCGCCTCCCAGTGCCTGCTGGAAATCCTCTCGCACGAGCCAGTGATCAATATCTGCGAGATCTACGACTTTCACGACAATATCCCTGACCTCGAGAACAAGGTCGCAGCCAAGATCACACCATCACTGCGATACAGCGTCGCCCACTGGATCACACACTTTGTGTGGTGTACCAGCAACGAGGTCTTTGATCGGCAGATCTGGAAGCAATACCGTGCTTCTGGCTTGGGCGATTCGCTCAGCCAGTTCCTTGCCAGCCATGTATTCTTTTGGCTGGAGGCAGGCTCACTCATCGGGGTGATTCCGGAATTGACAACCCAGCTCCACGCGCTGGAGGAAGTACTCGAAATGGCACCAAATACTGCCTTTGACGACGCCACGAAGGAACTGGTCAAGGACACGTATCGATTCATCTGCGAGTTTGCAGACCCGATCAGCGAGAGTGCACCTCAGGTGTACAACTCGGGTTATGCCTTCACGCCGAAGGAGACGGCGATCTACAAGACATATGCCGACCAACTCGAGGACAAGATTCCGTTCCTGGTGACGGCTCGAGTCAAAGGCGAAGGGGCCGATACGAATCGCTCGACCGAAGGTCATGGAACGGTTGTGGCTAGGACGACCACACGCGATGACAAGACGATTGTACTAGTCGAGTTCGACGGGACCATCAAGCATCTTGATGCCAACAGTGGGGAGATCAAGAGAACGTTCACAGATCACAAAGGAGATATACGGTGCTCGGCAGTGTCATCTGATGGCAAATTTGTAGCATGTCGTGATAATTTGAACAGCAACACAATCAAAGTGTGGAACACTACACACTTCAGTCTGAAGCACACCCTTACGGGACATACAAATCGTGTGCTCTCCGTGTCGATCTCACCCAATTGTTTATGGATTGTTTCTGGCTCGGAGGACAAGTCTGTCAAGATGTGGAATGCTACCACAGGCCAGTTGATACACACACTTGAGGGGCACACAAGCTATGTTCATTCCGTGGCCATCGCACCCGATAGCAAATGGATCGCCACCGGCTCGGCTGATAATACCATCAAAGTGTGGGATGCTACCACCGGCAGGTTGAGACGCACCCTCAAGGGACACACTAGCTATGTGTACTCTGTGGCAATCTCACCTGATGGCAAGTGGATTGCCTCTGGATCGTACGACAGGACCATCAAGCTCTGGGACGCCACCACGGGCCATGTGAAGCGCACACTGGAGGGGCACACAGGCTGGGTCAGTTGCGTAGCAATCTCACCTGATGGCAAGTGTATTGTCTCTGGTTCTGGTGACAAAACCATCAGAGTATGGGATGCGAGCACTGGCCAAACGAAGCAAACCCTCACGGGGCACACTTATTACGTGGGTTTGGTGGTTTTCTCCCCCGACGCAAATTCTATCAGCTCACGAAACTGGAACCCAGGATTGGGCCAACCCAGCACCCGTGAAGAATTTGTCTGGGTTCGCCAAGGAGATCAATGGGTTCGCTCCTCCAATCGGACAGCCAACTTGGTCCCGACACCCACCCGTCCTACGCGATTGACTCCCTCCGAGTGGTTTGAAATCGAAGATCGATTCCAGTGGATTCGTCATGGCCCTCACGCCATCAAGCTGCCACTGAGCCTCGGCCCTCCCAGTGACGCAATTGTCAGTCACATCCTTGTAAGTCCAATTCACTCCACGCCACCCGCCAGCCAACTCCTTATTAACACTCTTGCAGCCCATCTACCTCAACACCCCCAAAGTCATGATTGCCTTCGCCAACTACCTCAGCAACTCGCCCGATCCTAAGACCCAGGCACGCGCCGCTGCTGTTCACTCCGGTCCTGTGCTGTCGGCCTACTACGAAGAACAAGAGCGAAGGGCTGAGGAAGCGCGAAGGGCTGATGAAGTGAGAAGGGCTGAGGAAACGAGAAGGGCAGAGCAAGAGAGGAAGGCCAAAGAAGCCAAGAAAGCCGAAAGAGCCGCCAAACTGGGAAAAATCACAAAGTTCTTCCTCTGAGTGTATCCGAGTAAACTCAAATGCAGTACAAGTGTGGATCACAATTCGACTTGGATGGTCTAATACAACGCTACTATGCCTCTTGAATTCGAGCGTAGGTCCGGCTGCCCAGCGATTTCCACCCAAGCCCAATCCTGGATATCATTGTAGGGAGACCAATGAACAGCTTTTGCGTATAGCCAGAGCCACGGTTTTTCCAGACCGAACCAGTGGGCGGCCGAGGGCTTTATCAAATCAATACAATCAAGCCCCAGGAGTCGTTCCCGATTGCATAGCCAGAGAATCAGCCTCGGAAGGTACCGCTTGAGAAGCATGGAGCGGAGCTATAAATTCGCCAGAGACTCGGAAGTCACCCCATGTCACCCATGGGTGGGTGGAAGAGACTCAGTCGAGTCTATCGTCATCTCAACTTGGCGTTGCAGTCTCGGTCGCCATTCCGCAATATACTGGATCGAGTCGTTTGACATCTTGAACTTTGCATGGCTCTTTGCGATATCTGGCATCATGATCTCTCGTTTGCCTTCGATACCCACGAGCCGCTTGGCTGTCCCGATGAGAATCCTCAAGAATGCATACCCGCCATCTATTCGATTGCTCCTCGCGGGTGCGGTGCCGCACTCGAATGTGATGATGTCGTTGCGGGTGTCCAGGGACTCGAGCCACTGGACAGCGTCCTTTCCAAAGGCCGTGAATGCCCTGCGGCTGAGGCTGTTGATGAAACATGATGTACCAAGCACCCTTGATAGATGGTCGATGGCCTTGAGGGTGACTTTGCACTGTGAATACCGATCGCAACTGGCGATGGAGGAGCTCATTGAAATCAGGTCTCGACCTGTTCTTTGTGGGTCATGAAACCGTTCAGCGACGATGATTGGATAGAGGGTGGTAGGTGGAGGTACGGCTCTTGATAATGTCGTCAGTGGTGTGATGGAGGGTGTGCTTGAACAGATCTCTGCAAATGGGCCACGAGGATGGGCTCGTGATCGGTGAGGCAGTCGGGATCATCAACCAGATTGAGGACCCGGTCACCATACTCACAGATGTCGTTTGTGTGATGTTGAGAAGGTGTGATTCATCTCTCTGAGTGCGTGCTTGAAACTCTCAGTCAGTATGTTGCTGAGTGGAGAGGGATGTCTTGGGGACGAACTGGTGGCACTCGGTGCAGCAGGATGGGACCAGTGTTGGCGTTGATGCTGAACTCGACAGAATGGGAGAGATGCATCTGGCCTTGGATGACGAGAATGCGGGATTCGATTCCATGTTCCATGTATGTGGCAGTGTATTTGGCAAAGCTGTGAGTAACCACGCTTGTGTGTGTGTGTGTGTTCGATGGCCAGAGCTTGGCCTGCCAGTGTTTGGCCTGCCTCTCCACACAACAATGCGTGACATCCACATGATCCGAGGCCGTCCATCCGCAGCTCCCCGCCCTCGCCCCGTCGCCAATTCGGCGCACCTCCTTCGTCTCTCAGCCATGTTCCGCTTTCGTCTCCTGTCACCACCAGCCCCGAGTCCAGTCTACTGGTCGCCGAGTCAAGCGCTCTCTTCTGACATCTCCCTCTCCAACTGAGACCTGTTTCCTCCCTGTCGCCGACATGAGCGGTTCCACCGCAGCCCCCTCGAGAACAGGGAAGGTTCCCTCAGGGCTCCCACCCCGCAGCTTCCCTGGCCATCAGGCCACAGCCAACCAGCCGTTCCAGAGCTTCAAATCTCTCTTTGACATCAAACTCATGGATCAAATTGCACTGATGTTTGACCGGTAGCCCCTTTTGTTGATTTTATTCGCCTTTGCTCGATGAAACGGCACCCCCCCCCGCTCAGCATCAGCGCTGCATCCCATCATCCTTTCCGATCGGCTAACGCTAATTTTGATTGATTCAGTCACAAGGCACTCGAAGTCACCCTTGTATGGTATGTACAGTCACTTCATAATCTTGTGCTCTCATTGCTACTTTGTACTGATGTCTTCGTCTTCATGCCGCCCTCACTTAAGGATGCTGTTGTCGCTTCTCAACTATTGGTCTGGTAAGTTGCCGGGCCTGGCTTGGCTCAGTTTGGCTTTGTCCATTGTCTCGTCTTCATCTTTGGCAAATACATGCGGACGCTTCGGCTTTGGCTTACATTCGTTTCCGACACACCTCTACTCCGACCCTTTCAGCGTTCCCTATCGAGTGGATGTTTTTCCTCTACTTCACGATCACAATATTCGTACAGGCCTATAACCTTGGGGCGCCCGTGTTCATGATCCTCGTCACCGTGGTATCTCTCGCCGACATCATCATTTATGCCTTGGTTCCGTTCAAAGCCACCTCATTCGCGTCATCCTTCATCATTCACTCGTTTCTCGTCTACGGGATGCACGGCTTTGGGCTATCCCCAACTGCGTCCAACGTCCGCGGATGGCTCCTGCTGGCTATGATGGTGTCAATCCGTCTCTCGACTTGGGATCCCTGGTCGATTCAATCCCCATCGTCATTTGTGCAGCTGATTGCCGCGCATTCCACCGGATTTGGGAGCTGCTACTTTGCCTGGAAGTTGACCTTCTTGATCTACAAGCGCTTCGATCGAATCAGCTTCTTCTTTGGAGTCATCGTCCCCAATCCTCCTTTCCTCACTATCAAAGACATTACTGATTCGACCTTCAAAATGGTGTGGTCGCCCGCCCCTGCACAACCATTTGGCGTGAGTCTTTCAAAGTACTTGATCGACGTCAACGGCGTCATAATCGGGGAGTCTCCGATCAACGGCGAAAACTGCGCCATCGTGATGGGCCTCTCTCCGGATACCAAATATCGCGTTCGCATGTGGGCGGTGGGTGAAAGGCGCGTCAAGGCATCGTCAGCACCCGTGCTTGTGCGAACAACGATCTTGGCCACCAGCAGTCAGGCTCCTGGGGAAGCTGGTGAGATAACGACTTGATAGAATCACGTGCGAGTCCAAAAGCCTTTGGTGCTGCATTTCCAACCGCTTCGTCATCCATATCAGTTGCACCTGTCGTTGACCCTGCCACCGCTCCTCGTTTTTTGTTTGTTTGTTTTTTTTCGAATGCTACACCTCCAGCGCCAAAAATTGCCCAACAGACCGAGGAGACGTCCGCTCCTCAGCCAAGTGAAGGCACGGTGTCCACTTCCGGTAAATCTGAAGCCAACCACGCAGATGATGCTCTGCTCAACCAACTTATTGAGCAGCTACAGTCGGAACTTGAGATACTACAGCGCCAGCAGCTGGAGCTCGAAAAAACCGTGCAAGAGACCGAGGAACAGTATCGCCAAGAGGAAGAGACCCTCAAGATTGAGATCGTCCGCCTGAAGGAAGCCAGGAAGCTCAACGACTTCCCGCGTCAGGAACAAAAGGCAAGGCTCAAGCAAATGGAAGACGTTAAAAAAGAACTTGATGGACAATATGCCCGCCTCGAAAAGCACCTCGGTCGCGAATCCGAATCCATGCAAGGCGTCGTCCAAATGGCCAACTACCGTAAAGAGGAACTCGCGTCTCTTGAGTCCGAATTGCGCACCCTTGAGCGACAACACCATCTCGCTCAAACTGAGCTTTCGCGCGAAAGAATGGAGGTGGAAGCAGAGTTATCACGCCGGCGCGACGAGCTCCACAAAGCCAAGCAAATCACTGACCAAGAAGAGCGCGATGCTGCCGCCACCAAGAAGCGGCTCTCAGAACGAGAGTCGCTGCTTGAGAAGCTCGAGAGCGAGGTCAAAACCATATGCACCCTAAGCAGCAACTACGAGAAGCGCAAAAAGTTGATTGAAAAAGAGCAAGAGCAGGTATATGACGAGTTTGTCGTATTGCAGGAGGAGTTTCGCGATCTACAGCATCAACTTCGGGTCGAGACCAAATCCAAGATGACTCTTCTCGAACAACTGACCCGCTCCCGGAGGGAAGCCATGGAGCTCCGAAGCCGCTCCGGTGGGGTCAGTGGCCGCAACTATTACAGCGAAGCTGATGGCGAAGACCAATCCAAGAAAGTGAGTGCCCGCTCCCCGGAACCCGCCAAGGACTACTACAGCGACTATCGGTCATTTTCATCGCCACGGACCGCAAATCGCTACTCGGCACATCATCCAATGACCCCCTTGCAGCCTTTCGGAGGAACGTCTTCAGCGTTCGCCCGGGCCGCTCCTTCATGGAGCCCCTCCACTGGCGCTGCTCCGTTTGGAAGCGATTCCTCCTCTCACTTTGATCCATCCAAATGGACTACCGTATCGATGCCTACGAATGTGGATGAGCCACTATTGGATGCGCCCTCGATCGCCGGTTCCGAACGACGGTCGCATCGGGGAGCTCTGGAAGGACAGAGTAGTCCCGATGCCGTATCCGGTACTGTTCAACACCCAGAACCCAACAAAGACAACGTCTTCACTTCCGAAGCGAAGCCGCTGCTTCACGTTGTCGCCCCTCCACCCGCCCGCCCTGGTTCGACTCGTAGCCAAGGTGAAACGGACCAATCGCAGCCAAGCCTAGCCCACGCTCGTTCGCTCCATGGGTCGCTGCTCTTTGGCCACCATTTTTATGGTGATAGCGGCTCTCTTCCCCCGCCAGTCTCCCCAGCAAATGGTGCCCGAGGACTTTTTGGAAGTATTCGAGAGCCCGGTCGATACGAGGATATGGTCCTCATGAAAAACGCATTGAATGGCAAGTCCACCATGACCGTCAGCGACGGCGAACTCTGGGAGCCAAAGCCCCCTCTCGGCTTGGGCCGGGTCTTTCTTTCTGGAACCTCGCAGGGTAGTGCCGGATCTGCTGCAATGGAAGGCTCGTCATCGGTCGGGGCGCCATCTTCTTGGTATGGAAGGACGGGCACAAGCCATACCCGTGCCGTCGGAAGCGGTCGGGTTACTGCTCAAGTGTCAGACCAGAGTCTGCATAGCAGATATAAGGGCGGTCCGGAGCCCTCGTCAACCCGTAAATCCTTTGTTGGTCTTGGAGGATTTTTCGATCCAACCTGGAGCGACCGATGAGCGCCGGAATCCACCGCGTGGACCTTGGTGAGCACTGAACAATGACAGGATTTCAGACCTCTCCTCCCGACAAGAATGCCGTTCCTCCCAGTGTTGAATACTGCTCATAATCTTCTGTTTCTTGAATATATTGCGACTTTACTGTTGCCATCAAGGGAAGCCTATAGCTTGTTCGAAGTGAAACAGGACAGGGTGTGCTGTTTCGTTTGGAACTGTGTATCATATGATCGGAACAATGGTGTATTTCAACAAGCACTTCTCACAGTGCCACTATCCGGAAACCCTCTGGTTGCTATGGTTACTAGAACTACTATAGCAGCTCACATGGCACGACGCTGTCTTGGATTCGCCAAACGGCAACGAGCCGTTTGCCATTGGATGGGGAGCTCATTCATCACTCATTCATCACTCATTCATCACTCATTCACCACTCATTCATCACTCATCCTCCATATCAATGTCTGCGAATGAGATAAAGTCATCGTTCAGACCCCCTTTCCATGCGCTTTCCGTCGATTGGAGCGCATCAGTCAACTCAGAAGATATAATTCCCTTGAATGTATCCTTTCGCGTCGCTGTTGCACCGATGAGGCGACACAGTTTGGTGAGTTCAAAGCCCATCCGCATTCCTTCTGCCAGACTTTGATCGAGTAACGTTATGTCCAGCGTGTTGAAGAGAGGCCCACCTGCGTGCAACAAGACTTCGCGACCATTCTTCGTAATCGACTCCTTAGCTTGGGTCATATTCAAACCAAAGATGGATGCACTGCAGCATGATAAGCAAAATGGTACCTGCAGCATCTATGTCCATCGAAAACGCCAACAAACGACCGCGCAGACTCAGCAAACAGGTCGAGAGTCTTACAGGTTCATGATATCGTAAGGGGCTCGGATATCCAGTTCTCTGAATGCCTCCCCGGAAAGGATAATGTTCTTCCCTCGGCTAGCTCGGATAAGGCTTACAGCATTGTTGATCAAATGACGCCTCGATGACGAATCTGATGACATGAAGCAGGAACGATCAGCACTTATCGGGCTCGCACGATCAGATAGATCATGGTCCTCTGGCAGTCGTCCGAGGCTGTCCCCGCCCCGAGGCGATCTATCCTTCACACTCAGCGCATTAACCCGTGCAGAACACTCAAGCCAGAGTCCATTCGGAGCTCCAGAGCACCGTCGTCAATCCGGTCGTAGTTGCAGCAAAAATCTCAACGTCAGGCATTGAATACTGCCACCCAAGCATGAACGCCGCCATTCAAGCGTCCGGCTGAGCTATGGCCATCGGGCCTGCGGCTCCACAAAGGTAACCTTGCGCAAATGCTGGCCGCTGACCTCGGAGCGCCGTTCCTACAGAGATTTCAAAATGTACGCCTCTTTGAATGGCGAGATTGACGGTGGTTGCTTTGATGAAAAACGGGAGGCGGCAGGAGAAATCCAGAGTGATGATGTCGATATCGAATGTGCCACACGCGGCCTGAAAGGCCTTTTCGGTCATTGGCTGAATGGCAATCAAGTCGAAGGAGTTGAGCAAACTTTGGTTGCCGTTCTGAGTTGATTCCAAGAAGCACAGTTAGCTCAACGGCCCAGCATATATCACAGACAAATGCGTACATTATCGAACAGCGTCAACGAGTACGATTCATTTATGCACAGCCACTGTATATCTCCGACTCAGCATATCAACACTCGGTATGGGGCGATGTCCACCCACCAAATGCTGGTTTTGTATCGAGTCATCGACGCAGATGGTGAGCCTTGTAAGCTGAGCCAGCGCGGGGAGTTCGCCTTGGTGATGTGATGTCCACATAGCGAGTGACGCCGATACATCACCGGACCCATCGATCGGGATCGGCTTTGGGATCACAGCCTGTACAATGTCGATCGGAATCATAGATCAGCAGCGCATCCTGCAAACGATATATCCCGAGTGCGAGTGCCGACCTCCTCTTACTTTTGTGGCAAAGCTCTTCCCGGAAACAACCGTATTGAGCGCAACGCATTGATAGCCGACTGGGAGATTTCCGTTGGGTCAGAAGAGACTATCAGCGCTCTCGGACTTTGCATGGTTGCTGCGCTGTTGCGTTGTTGCTCCAGGCAAGGTCCCATGCCAGGTCAAGCACAACGGCGGAAGAGTCCGATCCACAGGCGATCGGCAGCATGACGAGCTTACGCTTCTTGAGGATATGCAGCCTCGATCCGAGGGCTGAGGCATCTTTGTCATATGGGACACTGAGGTCGTAAAACATGGCTGCAGGCCGATTGCGCACGATCGTCGATGGATCAAAGGCCGGTGACCTCAAACCGGGATCGACTCTTTTTTTCACCTCGACACTATGAAAAAATTTCTTGTTAATAAAATGAGCGAGAACGAAAAAGCGCGCTCTCGGAGCCACCTCGGTCGGCGAGAAGAGCAGTCTCTGGCGAGAGACCCCCGAGGGAAGGCGAGAAGCCTCTCGCCTTCACACACACACACTTTGCACAAGGGAGTCAAACACCTCCCATCGACCATCCCAAGAGGGATGGCAACCCCGAAGTGGACTGCCCAGAATATGGGCGACCCGGCATCCACTGTCGAAATGAACAAGATACTTACAGTCTATCCAGAAAGAAACGGGACACTTTCCCTTTCTGGCTTCAGATGTCTGAACCCCGCTGACTGACTGTAGGCCCCAGCGAGCAAGCCATGGCATTGCACTCCTGTCTTCGTTGGCAATCGAGTGGTTTTGGTTGGTTTGGGAAGCACAGTCTTGAATACACCCGGTCGATCTCCTGTGGCGATGATCGACTGGCATACCGAGATCATGTTCCTGGCTGCATTGATGTCTCGATCCCACAGCGTATGGCAGCTTGCACAGCTCCGGACAAAGTGTGGTTTCTCGACATCAAGATGCTGGACCTTCTCGAGTCGCTTGGCTTCCCGACAATGTGAGCACACCTGGAATGTGTTGAACTCGTTCACCAAGCACAGCTGGCCGTCTCTGGTGATGGATGAATCGCTCAAAGTACTTGGCGAACCCGAGTCTCCTTGAGCTGGATGTATATCCCTCCGTTGCTTCCACGAGGCATTCCCAAAGGCAATCACCACCTCGGTCTCTTTGGACATGCTGTTTGACCATGATGGCAATGAGTGGGTGGATGTATTCAGGTTCCCAGCAAACAACATCAGCCATGGCTCAAAACGGGTGCCCCGTTTCGTTTCGGGAACGCTGTAAACCCGTGGAGGCCCCAAGAGGAATTGCCAGCAGCCCACTGATCGTATCCACTTGCTTGTTCACGGACAAGCAGCGATAGATACGGAGCGATTCGCACGGTGCTTGAATTGACCCATCCTCCGACCAAGCCGATGGTAAGTGAAAGTATTACAGGCCAAAGTCATTGATGTTGATAACTCCACCAATCTGGAGCTCAGAGTTCGAGGTGTTGCCGTTATCCGAGACTTGCTCAGAGGAGCGCGCAGGGACCGAGTCGTCGCTGAACATCGCCGTAAGCAGTTAGTTGCGACCTTCAAGCCACACCGAGCGCGCAGTATGCTGATGGATACGACCATACCCGTTGGCCACATTAACCTGATTTGAATCAGGCGGAGGAATAGGAGGATCCTGTTGGACACAGACCATCGTTTAGTATGGAGGGACGGGCCCTCTCAGGGACGGACAGCTATTGCTCGCCTGCTTGATCAATCCCAGAACACCGAGCCTGCATGGTGTATACAGAGCCCACTGCTAAGCACCGGAGACTTACAACGACTTCGTTCAGAACAGAGCCGACCGAATCGCCGCTGGAGGAGGCAGCTGTGGGAAACAGCAGGGTCAGTTAGCGTATCGGCTCAGACACATCCACAGATTGCCGCACACTACTCCAAGCCATGGACTGCTTCCAGTCGTGAACAGCGGCATCAACTTACGGATGCTATCATCGCCATTGGGAGGAGGGAGGAACGAGTCCGCAAACACCGGAATCGGCGAGGCTGCAACCGAAAGGGAGGTCGAGAACAGGACCGAGCTCAGCCGCGGGCAGCTGGATGCCAAAAGAGCCAGAGCAACAGAGAGCGAGGTTGCCAGACGCATGATGGAACGCGCAAGCGCAGTATCAAGGAGATGAGAGGGTCTGGGAGGTCGAGGAAGAAAAGGCAATGTCGGGAGAGCCGATGCAGACGCACAGGCTCCATGAGCGTGGGATCTTTGGGCTTTATACCGCTGGTTGTGGGCGACCAAGCGGGCAGATCGGAACCGTTGCCGCAACGCCAGCGCGGCGCGGCTGGTGCTTGGGGGACGGGCGCCCTGTGCAGGCGTTACGGCGGCGCCAGCGCGTCCACCCGCCGCTTGGCGCAGGGCCGCGTCGCTGTCTCGCGTGCTGTTCCGCCTGGCTGTTCGCTGAGCCGACGGCGGCGTCGACGACGACGACGACGACGACAAGACCGACCAGGCTCGGAGCTGGGTGCTCAAGGTCAGGCGGAGCCATGCAGGGCCAGGCATCGGCTCGGCTGGGTGGCCCATGGGCCGGCATCGCGATCCAAAATTGCAGGGCAGCCCATATGCATGGCAGTGGACTCATGGGCACACAAGCGCGCATCAGAGACAACCACACATTTCCTAGACCAGGGCTTCATTTCGTTATATCAGCCAAGGAGAGCACCTGCCGCTCGACTGAGCGATCGACAGGTCCGCAAGTAGTCCTAGCTTTCAAAGAGCTGCCCAAGCACTTCCGAATCGGCCGTGGCATCAAAGATATCGTTGCGGCCAATGTCAGGGGGTGGGCGCGCAAGCAGCTCCTTCTCGGGCACTCGAAGAACAAAACTCGCTTGCTTTTGAAACAGTTTGCTGATCGTCGACTAAGGGCATTCCCCCAAGATATCAGAGATTAGCCTGCAGTCCGAAACAGCGCCCAGCATATGGGACCACAGAAACTCCAATGATGTTCTGGTCGGCCACATATCCTGAAAACTACCCAGGAGCATGCCTTGTAAGGGCAGCTTTGATCTGAGGGAAGCGCGGTATCAGACGCTTGTGCATGTGCATTTTTGCTTACCCCGGTGATACTTTGCAGGAAGCCTTGAGTAGCAATCTGCTGTTCTTTGGCGGTCGTTGCTGCAAGCAGTCGCGACTCAAAAGAGGCAACGGCCTGCTCGTCGGTGTTTGGAAGTGACAGGAAAACTGTAGCCGGCTCTTGAGTCTGGGGTCTCAGACGCACATACAGCTCCGTGATGAGCGCGATTGCTTGGGGATGCTCTGGCTGATGATAGCCGTCGTGAAGATTCTGGTACCAATTCAACCGATCGCTCAGTCAGCTGCATAAATTGAGGCACCAGGAGCAGTCCTTTATCTCATGGCTGATACAACGCCTTGACCGGATTGGATCATGGTCGGTACCCGCCGGGGGTTTGGGGGACACTTCGCTACTCTGCCACAGCCCTTACCTGCAACACAGCTTTCAAAAGCCCGTTTCCAAGAGGGTGGTGGAACTTGGGATCTTTATATGTGGCCCGCAAAATCCTGATTCCGGTGGTCAGCGCTCGGCTGGCCGCTGCATTGTCGTGATAGGTGATGAGGCGATAGATACTTGACAGAAGGGGCTCGACCATCCTCTTCGATAGGACTGGATGTTAGCGGCGAGGCGTTTCGGCAGTGGACTCGAGTGCATCCGGTGGCTCCAATGAATTGGGAAAAAATACTCACAATATTTTCGATCAAGAAGCGCACGAGTGATTCGTTGGCAAACGCCGCCACTCCTGTCTCAGCCGTATCCTCGGGTCGGTCGATGTCCTCCAGCTCCTCGCGGATCTTCGATGTTGGTAGAGCAAAGAAGGAGCAGAGCAGCTCCGAGTATGTCCTCGTCAAGTCCCGAAGTAGCTTCTCGAGCACGACCTCGGTCGAAACTTGGTCCTCCTCGTCCTCGCTACCAAGATAGCCGATTCAGTTCAAACAAGAAGATCGCTGGCAAACTGGGCGACAGCAGACTGGGCGACAGCAGACGTGGGACACAATGCTGCAATACTTACTCGTTCGGAGCTACTGCAGGAAGCGCATCTCGCGCCTGCCACTCCATGTCCAGTTTCTGCTGGATAAAGGTCATAACCGAGGGCAGGAAGCTTCCAAGTACGCTTTGGTACATCTGCGGCGGACAACTTTGAATCAGAGGTCTCAAAAACGCTGGTAGCTGGCAGAAATCAGAGTCGCGGAGGCAAATTTGCAGAAGAGATCAACATAGAGGCGAAGCGGGAAAGGAAGTTGATGTTAAGGAAATAACAGGTACGGTTGGACGATAGAATCGAGATCAAACCAAAGTAATGCGTCATCAAGAATATAAAAAGATATCAATCAAGGGCTTCCAGTGTCGGTTGTCCATGAACTCGGCTCCTGCAAGCACATGCGTAACCACGTCCTGGGTCATTGACAGGTAGTTGTAAAAGTCGAGACCAAAGGATGACAGCAGTCCTAGAGCGGAGTAGCTGAAGATGCAGCACAGCAGTATTAGCTCACGGTACTGGCTCAAAGCAAATGGGGCAGCTAGCTATCCCGGCAGCAGCGGTACCAGTTTAACATACCTGTATTCGCGCACGGTTGACATCCAAGAGCGAATGTTGCTGATACGCGAGTCGCTTGCATTTGGATCTGCAAGACTGGGTCTCGTGTGGCTTGAGGAGCCTGCTATCAAAGTCTATTAATCCTTTCCGTTCGGCAAAGACTTTCCCCCGACCCGCTTGATCTACCCCTTGTGGACCGGTTACCCACCCCTCAGCATACACGGATCTACGTGGCCCCTCCTTTGACCCACACCAGAGCGGCCCATACGCCCGCTCTGTCTGCACAACTTGCCCCACAGCCACAGTGTCCGACGTACCCATTATGGCCAGCTTCTCAGCATCGGCTATGTCGAATATTCCGGCGGCATAAACTGGGATGCGCTGTCTTATTGGAGGGCACCACAGTTCATTGATTCCGCTGGTCGTGATTGGGGTATGTAATCGTGTCAAAAGTGGCAACTTGTCGATATACACATACCACATGTGCTGGGATGCGCTCGCACACGGGACTTACTGAAGAACAGCGCAAATGCCCGGGAGCATTCTGCTATAGTATGGCGTCCAGAGTTGGCAAAGACCTGTCGATCGTTCGGGACTTGACTGCAACGGATCACGAGTTAGATGGGAACCGATGTTGCCCAAGGGCCACACGCAACAACCAGTATTGATGCTCATCCTACCTTCATACAAAGTACTGTCCTTTTGAGCAGCCTTACAATCGTGTGTAAAGTGCCCTTGAGCTGGATGGCCAACAGAGTGTACAGTTATTTACGACTGTCGCTCACTGTCAAGGGCCAATGGCGATCTCTTATAATGGCATATTGGGTGGGAATATGTTGGACTTACCAACAGAGCATCTCCGTGGATACCGGATCCCTGGCCTGCCAAAGGATTATATGCAAGGTCAGCGTTATCGCCTAGGCCAGTTGCTCAAAGGCTAAACTCGCAAGCTTGGGCACTGGCGCTCTGTGTACCTTGAACATCCAGGGAGTCCATTCCGAGGAGCCGATACAACTCCTCGCCACTTGATAAAGCTCCGACTGAAATAGTCTCGGCCCAGACTTTGATACAAGGATCCATGATTTGGTTCCACAGGTACGTTCTTTGGGCTGGCTCGATCGAACTGTAGAAGCTGACGTAGCAATTGAATGGATTGCATTGAGTTTTGGCTATGGAACTACCCAAGTCGATCGCAGAGCGAACTGCAGAAGGTCGATACTCAAAATGACCCAAGCCTACATAATTGATGCCTTGAACTCGTGGAGAAGCGTTTTTTCGACCAAAGTCACCGCGGGACTCGATATCAAGCCGTCGACAGCCGCAGCAATGTCGGGATAAAGGCCCTGGGTCGCATCATAGTCAAATATGAGCGCGATGAGCCAGCATTACAGCGGCTCGGAATCAGATCGCCCTTTAGAACAAGATGGGGACCTACCATCAAGGCGTCGGGCATGGCCGTGCCAACACGCACCAAGCAGGAAGCTGCTTTGACTCGGAGTTCAAATGTCTCATCACGCAGAGGCCTTCCTGCAGCTACATTATCGACTTCGTCGACCATCACAAAGCTCACAAAGGTGAAGAGCTATCGAAGCGGCGGGTAAGAACCAGGTACAAGCTCGCAAGCATTCGGCCCGTAAGCAAAGCTGGAGCACCTAAGGCGCAGGAGTATCGTTGGGAAGGGAACACACCTTGTGAAGTGCCTTTAACAAATGCTCTCTGCTACTGCCCAGTACGTCGACAAGAGACGCGATCATTGACAGCTGGACCTTTGTTATGCGCGGATCCTGAAGGAGTTGAAGTACATTCATCGTTAGAAGGCATACCCACACTGCTCAAGGTGTGGCAAAGAGGTCATGGGAAACTGACAGTATCCGGTCGTTCCATTCGCGCTAGTTGTCATGGCAGAAGAGAATGAGTCGCACCATGTACTCGTATGTGATAAGCATGTCACAGAGCTTCGTCATATAGTTTCGTATCTCAAAGGCGTCCTAGATCGAGGGTGACGACAACCGCGCGTCAGTGTATCAGCTCAGAACCAGGTATTGAGTTTTGCAAATACCGTCCGGGTTAGAGCTAGCTTATTGCTGGTCTTGACGAGGGTCGCAACCATAAGGACAACTAGCCGGCTTGCCAGATATTACCTTGGAGTCGCCAAATATGGCGTCCTTTGAAAGGGCCGAGACAATCGACTCCAGAACGACACACAAGTTTTGGAAACGAAGATAATACTTTGAATCTCCACGGCAATATCCCAGCGCTTCGTTGGAAAGAGCGGCGGTTGGCGGTAAAGGTCAGTCACACGAGCTGAAATTCGCGGTTGTGTGATTCTGGGCAATTCATCGCCTATCGTCCCTTCACCAGCTGCCCTATCAACGACATTTGATATGCTCAACATACCGTTGAGCTCGCTTGGGCTCGGCTTATCGGTCATTATGGCACTGATCTCAGAGCAGATCCACAAAAACGTAGCGGACGGCTGGCATGCAAAGCACGCGATGCATTGAGCGAGTTTCAGTGCGGTTAGGCTCGTGCATACCAGCAACAGCTTGATGTCGCGCGTTCCTCCTGGGAAGGCGATAGATCCGTACCTCAAGCTGAACTGCTTGCTTGATGATCTCCAGGCATTTCATCCGAAAGGAGCTTGCAAATTGAAAGTACTCCCCAGCAGTATCAAAATCAATTTGATTGTAGTGCTCAGACGCCTCTGTGAGATTTGCTTGGTTCGTCTGGCCAAGAATATAGTATCACAGGATGTACTATGTTGGCAGCGACGTCGCACAACCGTCCACTAAAATGCAACCGCTAGTGTCCGAAGAGCATTGATCGTTTCGACCAACACGTACCAGGAGCAGTTTCTGCGGAATGCCGCCCAGTAACTTCGAGATGCAAGCCAGCACTTGAGGCGACTATCGGCCAGCCAGCGCGCGCAATATGCACACCGAGAAATTGGTCAACGGAACACATAGAAGCGTTAGTATATGGATCATAGCCAATCCAATCGCAGCGATCGAGGTATTCGCTGTCATCGAGATGGTCACCATGCTGATCGCGAGAAAGTGGAATGAAAAGCGGTGCCACCGCCAATCCATAGGAGCATATATCCGAGATTGAACGGGTCCTCGCACTGTGTCGACACATTAAAAGCGAGATTTTTCGCCGCTCTGAAGGAGGAGAGCCCTGCCCGCTCTGCGTCAATCAAAATGGCAATTTTCGTCAACAAAGATGGGTTCTAAGGTACCTTTTTGAAGTATGTGTGCTTGAGAAAATCCGGCCACAAATAAGCTGCACTCGATGCAACCAAGAGGGATGGATGATCGAAAACCACCATCAACATGGCCAAATAGCTGGCAGAGCAAAGTTCGAGATGGAGTTAACAGGCCATATATACTCCACCCCTGAGAGACAGTCTGCAGAGCAAGTGCACTATCACCTTTCAAATAGAGGCGGCGTTGAGTCGTTCTTCTTGATACAGATCTGGCGCTCGCCAACCGCCACCAGTGCCTATTGATAGAATGGGTGAGTAGCTGATTCGTTGTGCCGAGGCGTATTCGCGCCCAGACGGATGTGCCTCTACCTGCGCCAAGCGCTTCAAGAAAGGGTAGTTGTCCTCGGACACGAGCAATGTCTGCTGCAGTATGTCGATGCTGTTGATATCCTGCGAGCCGTGTGCGCTCGTCCAGGCCTTGGCCATGATCCCCAGATTGTTGTCGACAAAAACAGGTTTCAAAATGGCAAAGTATCGATTCTCGTCGGCCAAATTGATGTTTTTGGAAAACAGCACGAGCAAACACTCGACTGCCCCCTGTTCCGGTCGCGAGAGATGCGGATGGTAGCGACAGCGGTGACGGTTAGAGCAGTGCTCATTTGTGCAGACTCGCCCGGCATCTGTTGCATGGTGTGCTTCATACCATCCTGATTGAACGCGACGTGGAAAGAAGGAGTGGGCACACTCTAGACGCAACTTCGGCCTCGATTATAGATCTGTTGAAGAAGGCGCATTCGCATCGGAGCCGGATTAATTCCCGCATAGCCGTAGGCGCCTTAAGCTCGCCTCTCCCATCCGACGTCCCTCAACGTATGCTAAGCTTAAACCGATGCTGGTGTCCAGGTCTACAGAGCCAAAAACCGACAGTACCGGCTGGCTCAACAGAACAATATACTCTTACCTCAGCCATACCCAATCGAGAAACACAACGACCGTGTTTAAATGGCGGACCAGGAGACACTCGACCATGCTTGAATCGGCGTTTTGAATCGCAGTCTTTGATAGTGGCAGAGGGTATGCGGCATTTCAATATAAATCTCCGTGCAGCACAAACATCGGTGCCATGGACTGTTTGCTGCACACCGATAGAGAATGCACTGTTTGCATTGATCGAGTCCGATTTACCAGATTATGCCATTGCTCATGAAGCTGCGCGCAGGCCGTGGTCCATTTGTTGAGCCATCCTACATTCTGAGGATTGGTTTGCATGTACTTGAAGAGAAGCTCCATATCTGTCCGTCCCGCAGGCTTTGGCGGGGCTCCGTTCGCCTCGGCAGCCTTTTGCTCCTGGTATGACAAATGACTGGACTGAATGATCCCACTGCTCATGCTCACCGAGAGCATGATGGCAGTCAGCTCTCTCTTCCTGAGCTCAGCCACAGCATCTTCGTAAATGAACACGTCCTCGGCCAAAGATCGATAGATCATGAGACTCAGCTCTTGCGTGGTAGGCTGGGAAGGCCCCGTTGTTGATCGAGAAATGGAAATGGAAATGGATGAGACTCTGCAGTGTCCAAATGCTCGGCCGGCACACAAGCGTTGAATATGTCGTGACCCACAGCCCAGCGTGAGCGACTCGCGCAACCGAGCCAACGGCAACAGATGGTGCAGTAAGGCTTGAGGCAATCGATCCAAAGCCGGGCACCCAAGCAGAAGCGATCATTGGCCTACCGAATCCCGATACAACTCTTGGATCAAAAGGTCCATATCCGGCCACTCCCACGGCCACTGGCGCTTGGCGATCTCCACAAAGATGCGGACGATTTTCTCTTTGATAAAGTTTTTCTCGAATTCGATTCCTTTGGTGCCCTGTATGGCGAAAATGGATGTCACTGTGGGTGCCACCGTGATCCCAAGCCGCAATAGCCGATCGGTGACTGATCCGGACAGGATATCGTGATCCGGGGTAGACAAGGCACAGACCCGCTTGCGTTTGCACGATCAAAGAAGATCGAGGAGTATTTAACTCCTCCTCTCCATATAGAGGGACGCTTACGGCTTTGACGAGATCAATTGACATCTCCCGGAGTTTCAGTTTGGTTGGATCATCGTAGTTGTCCCATTTGTACCGAACGGCATCCTCGAGCATGGAGAGGCCGAGGTGGCGAACGGTGTCGCTCTGTCCGCTAGACCGATGGGCCAAATAGTGGCCATAGAGTGGCGCATTTGTATCGTGCTTCAGGTCCTCGCAAAACTACATCCGCAGGGATTACCATGTGGTCAGCGGTCAAATAGCGCCTGCACTCGGCATGGCCCCAAGTAAAGCAATGCGCATGCTTCCATCGAGTTGGGCATGCCTACGAACATACCGACTCCGCGGTCTTGCGCTGTTCGTGGCTCGCAAGCGGGCTGTAGATGACCTCGACGGCCTCCACGATACGAGCGATTGCTGGAGATGGGGATTGAGTGGGACGTGATGGACGATGCTATAAGCACAAGAGCAGCACGACAGCGCACCGGAACGAGATCTGAGACAGCGGGATAGGGCATGCGTTTGGACTGCTTCTGTGCTGCCACTATACCAGGGAGGTCCATCCTGTTGCTGTTGCTTCCTGCGCGGCGATCGAAGCCAAGCGCGATGGGCTGGCTGACCTCACGGGCTGGAAATGGGAAGCGGGCTGGCAGATTGCTGGCCGGCGAGCTGCGCGCAACCAATGTTGCCTTTTCCATCCCAAAGAGGTTTCATCACCAGCGATCCAGACGCGGAGGCAAGTCACCCAATGAACGTAGATAGGATACTGTCCCGTTTCGGGTAGTATAGGGGTATATGAGGGGCTATATTGCGATCTGAGCAGGCTTTACTCGCTCATGCTATACCCCCTCGCTGCGGTGCTGGCTACGGACGAGAGCACCATCTCTGGAACTGGCATGTGGCATCGAGGTATCTGTGTTGTCCCATCCACCAAAGAGACAATTAGTTTCGTCATTGTCGCAAAGTCGGAGAAAGGCAGTGCAAGGCAGCATCGACACTTGCACAGAGTCTGCCCAAGCAGCACTCCCCAAAACCAACAGCAGTAGTATCACAGAGCATGCACCTAGTATACTTCTGTAGGACCGATGGTCTAGCTCTGATTTCAAGGTTGTGACGGATATCTCGCACCGTGACATAGACAGGGTCTCTCGGCTCCAAGACGACGGTGATCCCATCATCAAAAATGCCGTAGATTTTACCATTCATCCGCAGCTCGAAGACGCCGATGTTGCAAACCGAGACCTGGCGCGCAACTGTACTGTCTGTGCGGTAGCCATCCGAGTCGGTGTTTGGATGTAGGATGGTATCATGTTCGATGTATCGGCCTCTACCGAGCTGGAGGGAGGGTGGCCGCTCTGCATGATTTTGCAAGGGGTAGAGGGCTTGATGGTGCGCATATTGATACAGCCAAAGTCCTTTGTCGAGAATGATTCGGAGTGGATAGCTGGAGTCCCAAGCGCAATCAATCAGCACCCGAGACTTGCTTGTATCAGCCGTAGCTCTGACCGATTGGAAACGACGAAGCAGAGGGCATTGGATGCAGAGACGAAAAGATTCTCTCACCATATGCCACCGCGATAGTTTCGGACTCGTTCAAATGCATGCCGGCTGGAAACGGCGTACATGGTTCCTTCTTTGATGGCGTTCGGATCGGACCGGGCTTCGTCATTGGTGAAGAGGGTGGCAAACTCAAAGTCGCTGGATATATCCAAAACGGCACCATCAAAATGAAGCATGGCCTCTATCGACACTTGGTTCTCGTGGTACAGTGCCGTCAGCGTGAATTCGGAATAGGTGATATGCCTGATGGCTTTAGGATGGTTGCCTTTGGTGTTGGCATGTCGCGAGGCGTTGAAGCGTGCATTGTTCGAGTGCGAAGCCTCGACATTACAATTGGATCGAGGCAGATGGATCACGACATAGGGGAGCTGCTCGAGATGGGAGGCGATGGGGCACGGCGTCTCGATGCCGCACATGTTTTGGGCCAGCCAAAGTGGATAGCGCCAGCAAGGGGGGAACTGGGAAACTAGAAAGACTTGCTCGATCCAGACATAGGAGCAGTGGTCTCCAGGTTGGTCCTTCAGAACGAGTGCCGACTCGGGCCTCGAAGGGCCGAGCAGAACTTGCACGGGGTAAGATATGCGGAATGCTCGTCGATGGGGCATGAGCCCAAGCGTGCAGAGCCCATCGATGCTCCGAAGTCGACATTCGCCATCGGCGGTTGATGAAATCCAAGTATCGAGAAGCGAAGAGCGAGGCGTCGGCCAGCGGGCATACTCGAAGGCTTCGCTAACCTAAAATCGACAACATTCGGGCATCAATGTCTGACGGATACTAGGTGATTCCTGACGGTGGTGCCGCTCTTGCCAGCATTGCGACCAGACAGAGGCCCATGGCCACAGTCGGAGAAATGCGCCGTACCTGGAGCCAGCGTCGAGGGGCATAGCTGTTTGGGAGCAGTGAGTGCACCAGAAAAGGGGACTCGTGATGCCTTTCCTTGAACTCCAGGGCCTCCTGCAGCATTGGAATCCATTGCGACGGGACCGAGGTGGTTATGTGGCGGGTGACAGGTGGCTCGGCCGGTGGCCGAAACGGTCCTTCGATGATCGTGATAGCACCCGACGGGGAAAGATGCAGCGAGTAGTCGTCATCGGTGGGATAGTCCGCTTCAGATCGAAGGGGTGGGTGCCGCTGGGGCAGGCTGAAGTCAAGCTGGATCGACTGGTCGCAGAAGGCGAAGATCGCCCGGGTGGTATGTGGCTTCATGATCGAGCACAGGACCAGGACGATCGGAGTGGGCGGGCTGGATCGGTTGTCAGGCGACGCGACCTGGTCCTCGCCAACCGAGACAGCACCGAGGCAGCACCGAGGCAGTACCGAGGCAGTACCGAGGCAGTACCGAGGCAGTACCGAGAGCGCGTCCCTGTCCTCGCTCGGGTGCGACGGGGCATGTGTCCGCCAGTCATGTGTCGGGCTGCGCTTTTGCTTTTTCTGGACAGCGGCTCGTCCCCGCTTGCTGTGGCTCTGGTTGATTCGATCACCACCGCCCCGAAGCAACTGTTCGCCGCGCAGAGCCACCTCGTTCAGAATGTCGATGGGATCAAGGTTTGTTTGCCACTCGTGCACCGGAGCAGCCTGCCGGCATTTGCGTTGGCTGCGTCTGTCCTCCACCAGGACAGCGAGACGATCGTGCATGTACAGACAGCGCCCTCATACGGGTTTGCTCTTTGGCCACCCATCCATCCGCGGCAGCTGGCAGCAATTCTCAAGGTCAGTTCCACCTGAGCGTGGAAGCTTCCCCCTCGACTTCCATGCGCTGTGCAAGGACAATGCGCTCAAGTACATGAAGTGCCTGAAGGAAAACCAAGGAAACAGCTCGGCCTGCCGTGAGATGACCAAGCTCTATCTTGAATGCCGCATGGCAAAGTACGTAACTGGATCCTCAGCCGGGCTCTGGCACTGTGCGTTTGCCCTTCGGGCGGAGCGTTTCGTCGGCAATCACACAGAGTCGCGGACTCGCACGAGACGACCGGCTGAGTCGCAAGGACGACCAATTGGCAATCGCATCCACCCACCGACATTCCCAACTGACGCCATTTCATGATGCTTGCTCCGCGATGGCTCCACGGCAATGTCATCACGTTGGCCCGAAAGCAAACTCATGGACAGAGACAGCCTGGCGAACCTGGGCTTTAGCGAGGATGTCACCAAGCCAGATCAGCCCAAGGCATCATCAAAAGCACCCTAGATACATCCAGTGCATTCACCACAGTCAATCAGTCCGAGATATCAAAGGGCGCCCCTGCCCTTTTGAGGACGGGCCAGGACTCCTGCGACATGCGCGAAGCTGCTCCTACCCCTCTCAAATCCGTAGGCTGCAGCGTCTCGCGGTTGTGCGGTTCTGGAGTCGTGCAACTGTTGCCTGCGGCGGTCGGCGGTCGGCGGTCGGCGGTCGGCAATAGAATGCCTGTCGCTGGCTCGCAGCACGATCTTGAATACATCTGTCAATCCCAACGAGTGACGACCACACCGACATGACATCGTTCGCATGGATGTCCTTGGCAACGGATCCTCGCAGCCACGGCGAACTGGGCTGTGTGTGTGGCGAGTTGGACTAGGTGTGGCGCAAGGCCGCGTGGCCTCACCTGACCGAGAAGCTGTCCGGCCTCCTCGCTGGCCAAGCGCCTGTGTTCAACCCCCAGGCACCGACATCATCCCAGCATCATCCCAGCATCATCCCGACACCATCCCACCGCAGAGGATCTGTCCGCCTCGGTGCAAGGCACGATTTTGGAACAACAGCGAGCCAGCACCGGCCTCAAATCGATGGCAGCCGAGTCCCCAGAACGCATGTCCGTATCGCTCGCCCGGGCTGTGTCTCGTCCTTGCCACGGCATCATCCGATCTCGCAGTGTGGATCTAGGCTCGTGTGTGGCGGAAAGCATTTGCTGAGAGCAGATCGGCGACCCAAACCGAGCGTTGTCAGGCCTATTCTCAATAATCCGCATCCGGGGCTCACTGTACTTTGCTTCTTGGCTTCCGCTCCCTTTGGATTGCATCGCGATCAGTCCGAAGCGGCTCCTCTCCGAGGGTCCAGAGGAGGATGCTCCACCAGAGGAGCGAGAGAAGGGAGAGATTTCCGAAAATGTAAGCTCCAGGAGTCGCTGTCGCCATGCTGCCACGGACGCAAATGTGCGTTCGCTGATACGGTATAGCTGCTTGAGACGACCGGGCGGAATATGGTGGAGAGGACGGGATCTGATCGGTGCGTGTCCATGGATTCTGCAAGATGAGAATGAATCAAGCGTACATCGATCTCTCGTGTTGCCGGCACCATTCGATCGCGATCGCAGATTCTGATCAGCCCGCCAGAGAAACTTTGGGCATGAGCTAACTCCAGCTGCATTCACGATCCACAGACTTTGGGATCGGCACCAACAGCCAAGCGGCCAAGACTATTGGATCGTGCCCCCGAGTCTCTTCGAAGGGGCATGCAAAATTTGTTCCGAAGAGGACTGCAGGGAACTCTGAAGCAAATCAAGGACGACAGCGGCAAGCCAAAGTCCGAAAAGGTAGAGCTACGTTGAGTGATAAAGAGACGCACAGCATGCGCGATTTGCTGGTGGATCGGCTCTGGCGGGCGTGTGCAGCCGAGGTCGGCCCAGCTTCGGTCCGGAGGTGGTGCTTGGGGGATGCTGGGACTCGGGCTCACTGACGGAGACGTGCGAAAATGCGAAAATGCGAGGGATATGGCAGACGGGGACGGCCTGTGTGGTAAATGAAGCCAGACGAGCCGGATGATGGTTATCGGAGCCCAGGACTTCGAAGGCATTTGGTTGGCAGCGTGTTCGTGCAAAGAATCGATTCCCTTGCTCGCACACTGTGACGAGCAAATATCTTTGGCAGGAATGCGTTTGCTGATGCGTCCTCGAGCGAGCACTCTAACTCTCGATGCTGCCTTGAACTCTTGATCGTTAGGAACGGCAGCGAGAAGAGATTGATAAAAGGTTGATGGACAAGTTGGCCAAGGAAAAGGAAGAGCTTTCCAAAACGATCAAGAAGGAGCGAGACGAGAGAAAGGAGCGCATAGCCAAGGAGGAGGCAGAGGCAGAGAGCAAGCGACTGAGCATCAAGGTACGGGTATCTTGGAGTCAATGGGTTCGACTCAGCGGATTCATGGTGAAGTCGCCGCCTGGCTGACTATGCTACCGACGAGCGCACAAGCCGCTCCATTGACGAGCGGACGAGCACTGCCAGTCAGACGGAGGCGGGTGAGAGCGTTCGATGGAATTTCTCCAGCAAACATCAGATTCGCAGCGATGCTGACGCCCACCGCTGTACCTACTCCTGGATCTGTGACAAAACAGACTCAACATGTCCAAAAGAGCCGGGCACATCTTGGCAACTTTATCAAAACCAGCGCCGGGCCCCCTATTTACTTTCTGCCGGCCAAGATGACACCTGCCCTGCAGAAGATTTTGGACGAGCAGCGACAGGCACAAACAGCAACTGAACAACAGCAAGACAATGCCGATATGAAGTCAGCCAGCCTGGCTGACCAAGACCCCGACTCGGCCGCCACTGAGAAAGGGGATGCAGACATTACCACCGATGCAGTCCAGACAGAGGGTGGGGCTGCAAGTCTCTCAAGCAACACAGACGCCTCGCTCACTTGCCTCGAGCCACCAAACAACCCTGCGTCCGCACCGGAACCAGAGTCAACGGCAGAGTCCTCCGCCACCATGGAAGTCGACGCGACTGGTACTGCTGGCGATGGTGGCGACAAGAGAGAGTAGAGGCGAAGAATGCGAGTCAATGTAGGCACTGCCCAAGGCAGACGCTGCGGCGCATTCAACGACTCACGATGTCTGTTGCTGGGACTGTCAACAGTTCCATGGCCGTTCGCTCTGTTGCCTCTGTTGCCTCTGTTGCCTCTGTTGCCTCTGTTGCCTCTGCTGTCGACGCCATGGATTGTGCGAAGGACGATTCGATTGCCGAATGACTCTCAAAGCAGCGCACTATGTTGACAATCCCACCCACAACAGCACTGCAGCCGCAGTATTGACAATGCGGAATAGTCAGTCGAAGGCACACGGCCAAATATATTCAAATGACAAACTCAGGCAACGACAGGTCAGCAGAAATCTAGCCACGGCGAGTCATGTCCAGCGGCAAGCCGAGTCTCGGGGGCGGGGCGGTGATAAGTGGGTGGATTGGACGAGACAAACAAACCGAGAACCAACCTCCGCTGCGTGCAATATGTTTCAAGCAAATCCAAACTGGTGGTTCAATCCAAAATCAAACTCGACGGCAAAAACAAGAAATGTATGGAGGGGGGGGCATGAATTGCGGATGGCTTAGCCAAACAGTATGTTCTCCACAACGATGTGATGCAGTCCGGGAGTCCGGGCGACTGTCGAGCCAGCAGGCATCAGTGAGCACAGGATTGGCCAAAAACACGTTTGACCGATACCAGTCCGGTTGATCGGATGGGTTGATCAAGATAGGTTGATCGAGACGAGTGGATCAAGCGGCGTTGGCCAAGACATCCGCGAGCTAGCCGTTGCTGTTGAAATAAAAGTCGCTGACTAGCCGGGCCTGCTCCATCAGTCCTGGCTGGGCAAAGTCGATGACCTCCATATCCTCTGCAGCGCCCAACGCGGCCATAAAGGCAGCGGGATCAGACAAGTCCTGGACAGAACCAAGGGGCATGAACGAGGTCGTGATCGGAACAGAGGGCAGCGGAGTTGCGGCCGGCAGGACCTTGAGTGGATTCACGGCCTTATCGGCCTTGATGGAGTTGGCCGAGGCTGTGTACTTTAGATCTGAAGGAAGGAAGGGGGTGGCAGAGCCGAAAAACTCGGGTTGAGGAGCCCCTAGAATGTTTGCGGATTCGCAGAGGGCTTTAGTGGAGTTGTGGTCGAGACCGAAGGCTGGGTAGCCGAATTCCGGAGGGATGGAGAGGTCCAGCAAATCGCTTCCGTTGTAGAAGGGAAGCTGGATGTCCTCGCCACTCACATTTCCAGAAAGCGCACCGAGCTTGGCGGCGAGAACAAACGGATCGATACTGGATATCGAATCGGAAGCAGGCACTGGCACTGACGCTGGTGCTGGCGCAGAGCCAAGCGGCGCAGGAACAGGGTTCGGAGGCACGGCTTTGGTGACAGAGTTTTGGGCGGCAGCCTGGATGGCGTTGAAGGGCAAGAAGAAGCCCTTGAGGACGTCGGCGTTGCCGGGCTGGTGCTTCATGTTTGCAAAGTCAAAGCCCTCGAGGACCTTTTCGGAGGGATATCCGGCCGCAAAGAGGTCCGAGTCGAAGAGCTTCTCTCCAGCGAGAGAGGGCGACAGCGGCGTGGCAAAGTTGTCGGGGTGCGTGAACGGCGACCAGCCCGGCATGGAGGGATCGACGCCCTCGAGTAGGGCGATGGAGGACTCGAGCTGCTGAGAAAAGCTGTCGATGGGCAGCTGGGATGGGAGTGGGTCGTCAAAGACCTGGTCCGAGGGGTTGGTCATCCATACGTCTGCAGATTTCGGCGTCACAAAGAGGGTGCTATCGGACTGGCCAGACTCGAAGACATGGGGTTGGGTGTGGGGCACGGAGAGCGAGCGCTGCGACGGAAAGAGATGATTGAAGGAGTACGGCGTATAGCGACGGAAGCCGCCAGCGCCGGTAAAGTCGTCCTCATCATCGCTTTCGTTGGGCGGCAAGACGCCAAATGGGTTCCATTTATCCATAGCAAAAAGCGCGAGGAAGGTGGCTGCTTGGCAACCGAGCTGGTTTAGATCAGGGATACAAATCGAATGCGTAAAGCTGGGGAGGGTGGATGGGACGAGAGCCCAAGAGTTGGGGGGAGTGAATCCGGGGGTGGGTTGCGGATTGATGGGGAAACGAGGCGAGAAGGCTGGCGGCAGGGGCGGACGGCTGAAAAATGAGGCTGGTTGTTGACTGGGGCTGGGGCTGGGGCTGGGGCTGACAAGTCAACAGGCGGCGGGGGGGCAGGGGAAGGGCTGTCCGCAGCCAGCTGCGCACGTATGTGTGTGTGGAGCGTGGCGCTGCCGCCATGTCACGGGATCGGAGCGTTTGCGTCTTGTCAGCAGCTTCCCTGTCCGGCTGAGCAAGGCGGATGTGTCAGCAGCCCACCGATTGGTCCGGCTGGGCGGCTGAATCCAGCAGTGACAAGATCCGTGGTGACGTCTGCGAAGATATCTGCAGCAGCATCTACAACGACATCTGCAACGATATCTGCAATGGCATCTTGAGCTTCGCGGACAGCACTGACAAAAGACTGAGGTGCGGGGGCTGCGTCGTGTCTGCGTGAGGGCTGTTGGGACGATCGTTGGAGGGGCGGCGCCGCTGGCGATGCATATCTTGGGACGATGATTGGGCTCGCTCGCTTCGTCGTCCTTTGGAACTGGACGAGGAAGGCGAGAGGAGGCGTGGCCATCCTCAGCTCGGCTGGGTTGGGTTGGGCGATGCAGCAACAGGCAAGAGGAGAGCGGCAGGGGCAGGGAGACACTGCTGGGGATTGCGACGAGTCAGACGAATTCGGCCTGTTCTGCATCATCCGGGTGGCAATACAGCAGTCGCCCCGATCTGCCACAGGAACCACAGCCAACGACAGCGGGCTGGTGGGGCTCCATGAGCGACCGAAGCCTGCTCCACAACCGTCCATCGGCCCGCCCCCCGACACAGCCAGGGAAGGTGGGTATCGTCCCGCTTGGCAATCGCGGGCTGGTGCGGCGCCGATTTGGGTCTGGCGACAGTGCGGGTGGACTGGCCAATGACTTGGTTGTCCTGTTTGCCCCCGCGCGAGAGAGTTTCGAAAGCAGATTGGAATGTTTGGCAGCCGGGTGGGTGGCGTGGGGGGCAGGGGGAGGAGGGCCGTGGGCCAGCATCGGAGCAGCTGGGTCCTTCTGCGAAGGATGCGAGTGTTCGCGCGGGTGGCGGGCGGTGGGCCTTGTCGAAGGTCGTGGCCACGCGGGCACCGAAAATCTTGGGATGGCCAACACCAACCGGCCGAGAGGAGCCAGAGCCCGAGTGGAGACATAATAAGAGCAAGGGCTGGTGTCATCGACCGGGGGGACAGGATCCACCAGCTCGCCATGGCCATGGCAGCACGGCACCCGGGTGGAGCTGTTTGCTCATCGCTTGGGCTGGCTGGAGACATGGCGCCGGATGGGTCGCATGCCGCGTGATGTAAGGCCAAGAGGGCAGTTCGCCAGCCAAGAAAAGCGGCTCTCCTTGGCAGGGCTGGCGGGGCTGGCTCTGGGGCATGGGCGAGACATGGCCAGGGGCAAGAGGCAAGAGGCTGGAGGCTCGAGGCAGAAGCAGACAGACAAAGGGGGTCATGGCGATCGGTGGAGGGAAGGCGAGTGCGCCGGGGATGGGCAGGAAAGAAAGACGGGGGAGAAACCTTGCTGGCAGCCACGGAACACAGCCAAGGCAGGACCAAAGACCCAGAAGATAGAGTTTGGGTCGACGGGTCAGGGGACCACAGCAAGACAACAACGGGACCACAACAGGACAATGCACAAGGCCCGCCTGTGCCGGTTTGCAAGCAGGGCCAAAGGGTAAACTCTATGTTCCAAATTGGAAGCAGCAGCACACGCCAAAGAGGCAATACAGCACGCGAACGCACCACGCCGCCAGGCGCGCCTGCGTGCTGACCGAGCACCAAAGGACGGCGACAGGCGCGCCTTGCTGGCGGGTGTCGGGCGGGTGTCGGGCGCGGCAGGTGTCAGCGGGCTTGCCTTGACAACGCGGCGCGCAGAGCGCAGGGCTTGCTGATCAAGAAGCGAGAACGCGCAGCGGGCGGCCTTGTTGGGGGGCGGACACATGAGCCACCGCGGCTGGCGTGCGATTGGTCTGCAGGACGGCGGCTGCCCCGTGCATCAACAAGGGGTCCACGGCGGGCGGCCCACGACCCCGGCCCTGGGGAACCACCAATCGAGCCCGCAGCGATGTGCAGGCGGAGCGCTGTGTGAGGGCAGCAGGAGGCCGTTTCGCTCTCTTGAGGACGCCGGCATCGTCGCCCCCGAGCAGGCGCTGATGCTAGCGCTCGCCGCCACAGCGCGCGAGAGCGTGTGTATGGAGTGTGTGTATGGAGTGTGTGTATGGAGTGTGCTCTGCATGGGATGGAACATCGATTGTTTGTCGATGTCGCCACAGAATCCCGATCGCCCACAGGCCCTGAGCCAGCGGAGCGCCGCCCCCGGCAGGCACAACGGGCGTCCGCACAGAGCGCGCGTGGAGGGAGTTAGTCACGGCATTTGTGTGTGCTGTGTGTCGCTGTGCGCAATGCTGACACAGTCGCACACGGATGGCGGAGAGCCGCGCACAGCGGCAATTGGGCTGGCCACAGCGCTGATTGCTGTGGATACAGTTCGGTCAACTGTGCCACATTCGACACGACAGCGCAACACAATTCAACACACTTCAACCGACTTCAACAGTCCGCAACACCCCCGCCCGCAACAAGCTCGCTCGGGCCACCACGCAAGCCCGCTCCCGCAGCCCAGTCGCCCGTGCGACCACCGCCAAAAACTCTCGCCCAACAAGGGCCGTCCCCCCCGCCCCATCGCAATGGAATTTTAGAGTTGCCTGCACCCACTGTGACTGTCGCAAACCGAACGCTCCACGCCCGACCGAACTTTCGACCCTATAAACCTTCGCCGCCTTCTTTCCATTTTTTCTCGCCCTCGTACCGCCATCAATCGGGCTTTTATCAACTCGGGTGTTCGCCCTTCCAACTCTTCTTCTGGTTTCTTCGTGTCTTCTTCGTATTGCCTGCCTGCAATCCAAGTCTCTCCTCTGCGCCGCCCACTCTGCCCCCGTCGCTTCCGCCTCTCCCGCCTGGCGCCATCTGCCCGTCCTTCTGCCGGCTTGCCCCCCCCCTTTCGTGCCCCTCGCTGCCGCCTTTGCCGCCCTCCCCTCCAGTCCTTCCGATCCATCCTTCCCTCTGAGCATGGTCCAGAAGACAACCTTTATTCAGAAACTCTACAGGTGTGTTTTTGTCGAACGCTGCCTCGCCTCGCCTGGCCTGCGCTGTCGCTGCGATCACTGCAACGGCGCTTCGTTCGTGGTTGGCCATCAATCCGTCGGTCCTGTGTTGCCACCTCCAACACGGGCTTGGCTCTCCAGCACAGCAGCAGCAGCGGCACTTGATCCACCGATGCAGACGATGCCGTCCGTTTTCCTCCTCGTCGCCTCCCCCCCCTATTCCACACCGCTCTTCGTTCTGTCACGGCTTCTCCTTTCGTCGCAGAGGTGCTTGATTCCGTTCCTCAGACAGCAGCAGCCCGCCCTCTTGCCCTCATCGTTCTTCGTGCCCCTTCTCTCTTGCTGCTGCTCCTGCTGCTGCTTCGTACCCGTCGTCATATTCGGCCCGAGGCCGACTGTTCGCTCTCCTTGAGCAGGGCCGGGCTGGTTGCTCGCTTGATGCGCCATCTCGCCGCTCGAAGGGACGAGCACGTTGGCGTCGCAGCGGCACGCCTGCAGGCTCGGACGGCTCGTGTCCTGTTGTGGTGACACCCACCCCTCCGCTTTCGTCCCGACCCATACCCACGATCCACTCGTTTTGCCTCGCTGCCTCTGCCTGTTTTCGTCTGATCCCTGCTGACGCATTCGGTCTCTCGTCGTCTTGCTTTCCCACCAACCCCTTCTCCAGGATCCTGGAAGACGAAGCCTTCCACCACCTCATCTGCTGGGGTGATAGCGGATCCACCTTTCTTGTTTTGGACTCGCTCGAGTTTTCCAAGAACGTCCTCCCAAAGGTCTTCAAGCACAACAACTACACCAGCTTTGTCCGACAACTCAATCTGTAAGTCTCAGACCGCCGCCATTACCGTTCCATCCATCGCACCGCATCCCATCCCAGCCCACTGCATCGCATTCCAATCCTTAACGAATCTCCGCTTCCGCGTATTCGTCTTAGATACGGCTTCCACAAGCTCAACCGCTCGTATCATCGTCACAACCTCAACGACGACGTGGAGCAGGTTCCCGAGCCCCGCGAGTTCTTCCACCCAAAGTTCATTCGAACCCGCCCTGACCTGCTTCCCGAGATCCGGCGGCGCACCGGCGGCAACGCTCCCGACAACCGCAACACCAACGCCAACACCAACGCCAGCACCGAGTCGACTGACACTGTCAAGGAGGAGCTCAAGCTCAACCGCCCTGTTCTTCAGGCGCCCATGTTCAAGCCCCCTCATCCCGTCCACGACGAGATCGACTCGATCGGCACCCAGTCTGACCACCAGTACTCGCCTGAAAAGGGAACGCCCGAGGAAGAGGTTGAGCAACGCCGTGCTGCCAGCCAAATGGAGTCCCTCATGAAGAGCTGGGATGCCAGCAAGGAGGGAAACATGTCCCTGATGCGTGATGTCCAGCAAATGATGATGAAGCAGATCTCGATGCTGCAGTCCCACATGCACGAAATGTCCAAGGAGATCAAGGACCTGCGGCGACTCGTCTCCTCTGACGCTCGCCCAAGTCGCTACCCGCGGCACTCGCAACGCACCGAGACCAGCCCGACATATGGTAAGCGTTGCTCTTGCATCCATGCGGCGCCGATCGCGACACTGCGATCTGCCACTGCCTCGCAGTGATACTTCCTCCTCTAACGTTGCTGCCTCTGCCTATGTATCTGTCCCCAACCATCCAGCCGTCTCTCCAGCCCATCCGTCCTCCGCGTCGAGCCAAGCTCTCCCTTCTGTCTCGTCCCTGACCAACAACTACCTCCAGCCTGCCTCAGGGTCGCGCTATCCGGCTACCTCGCCTCGGCCCGTTTCATCCACGTCGCTGCAGCCCCCGCCTTCATTCCAGATCTCGCCCCCGTCACCTCAGCCCGAGCGCGGACGCTCGCACTACTCCTCATCCAGCCACCAACCTCGCCACATTTCGCACTCACCCCTTCCCAGCCACGAAGTCTCAAAGTCGCGGCGCGAGTCCGTCAGCCCCGCACCGGGCCACTTCCCACCCTCCCCAAGAGGCATCGATCAACTGGTAGCCGCTGCGCACTCGTCCAACGGCTATCCAGAGCACGATCGTGACTACGGCCACGCCAGCCATCGCAAGATGTCGATCTCGTCCTCCCGGGTTGAGGGAGATGCTCATCCCCGCCACCCTGGCGCACCGTCGGCCTCTTTGAGTATCCGTACCGATTTCGGCCACCACCCTGCTGACAACAGCCAGCGTGACCGCTCGGGTAGCTCGCTGAGTCCCTACGGATACGGCCACCATGCCTCGGTTCCTAGCCTGCTGCGGCCGCGTGGATCGAGCCCCCCGACGCATCCCGAACCGCAGCGCCATTCGTCGTCCCGCTATCACCCATATTCACCACCCTCCCATCCGAGCGCACACCACCACCACAGCCAAATCGTCGCCGAGCCGAAAAAGTCGCATTCCCTGCACGTCCCCTCGGCCGACTACAAGTACCGCCCGGGACACGACCAAGGCCACAGCCCATATGACATGAAACACGGCGGTGCCGCTCCCGGCGGCCCCAACGGCGGCATGTATGGCCACGAAATGACAAAGTCGCTGAGTGCCCCCGGCAAGTCCCACGTCCCGATTGCGCCCATGCGGAGCCCCTTCCACGACGCCTCTGCCAACATGGATACCGACTCCCGCGCAGTCTACATGGATCGGACAGAGCGCTCGCTGGGTGCCATCTAGGCCCACTTAATCGACATTGCCTTTCCCTGCGTCTGTTTTTTCTTCTTGTTGTCTTTGATAATTTAATGTTGCCCGTTAGATTTCCCCAGTGTTGCTGTTGTCTGGGCTCGATGGGGCGGGGGCAGCACAGGATGGTGGTGGCAAGCTGCAGCGCTGGCGTGCTGGGTTTCGCCCTCTCCTCCATCTGCCCCGTCCTCGGATCCCACCTGCCTCTGTATGGCCATACCATTCAAGCCCTCTCGCTCCCTCTATTTGCACTCTCTCCTCCAATACACAATCACATCTATCAAAAGCGATCCGGGAAGCCCCTTGGTGCGGGATGGATTGCTGGGGCGCTTTGTGTCCAAGAGATGCATTCGATACTAGTGTCCTGCCGGGGGGATATGTCCCAACGGCCGGTGTCTCGGGAGACAGGCAGCCGCATCGACACGACCCCGATCCGCCAGGCCCGTTCCGCGCCGATCACTTCCGCCGATCACGATGGCAGCAGCTCCCGCCGCAATGACTCAGATTCACCGAGTCTCGCCGGCGCCGTTGCCGCTCCCCTTCTATTGCGCTCTGTGGATGCCGCTCTCCTTCGGTTGTGGTTGGGCGGATGCCGCTCTCTCCCTTCTCTCTGCTGTTCACCCCCCCCCCAAAAAAATAGAGGGGGTCAGGACAGATCCATTGGGCTCGTCCAGGGCCAACAGCGGAGCGACTGGCGGGGCCGTCAATGCGGCGCAGGACTTGCGATTGCGCCACCACAATGACAACCGAGGGGAGCGACATTGGCGAACGTTGGCAGAATCTCGCGAACGTTGGCAGAATCTCGCGGAGGTTGGCAGAATATCAAGACATCGAACGCCCCTCATCTCCACAGGGCGTGCAGGGCGTGCACCACAAGAACCGAGCGGCCAGCGAGCATGTGCGCATGGACGCATGGACGCATGGACGCACATCAACGCAGAGAGCGAATGAATGCAGAGCGCGGCGCATGCCATGGCACAGAGCCCCGGCCGCAAATGAAACAGGGACCGGCTTGGCAGGAAGCCGGCGTGGCGCGGCAGGGCTGTGCGGCTCGTGGTGAAGCTGTGTGGCTTGTTGTGCTGGCGGGTGCTGGCGGGTGCTGGCGGGTGCTGGCGGGTGCCGGGCTCGCTTCCGACGGTGCTTGTCGCTGCTATCTTGCCTGGCTGGCGAAGCTGGATGGCGGCCTGGTCGTTGATGCGTCTCGAGCCTTGGGTTTGGGGGAGAACATCCGCGCTGGATGGGGAAATTGCGGATCCTTCGGCGAGTCACGTGGCATGACGCGACAGCCACCGCGCATGGTCGTGCTGTGACAGTGCGGCAGCTGTGCAGCGGCGGTGGCTGCGCTGTGGCCGTGTGTGTGTGTGGAGCCGGCCTGCTCTGTGCGCGTTGTTTGTGTGTCTCGTGCGACCCTGGGATCACTGCGTGTGCTCCGAGGGTGCCACAGCGCCGTCTGCCGCCCCAAAAAGGCACAGACAGGTCCTTGCGTTGCCGCCATTGGTGCTGTTGCTGTTGGGGGGGGGTGCTATTGGATGTACTGTTTGTCGATGAGTGGTGCTGTCAACCGGGGCACTGGTGAATTGGGCCTGCTTGCTCTCGCTTCCGCACCGCCAGCGAATGTCACGGATGCAGCTCACGGATATGATATTCGCAGCTTGTGGATATGGTGTCCGTGGGCCGTCAACCATCGGGAATCGCCCTCCACAGTCACCGGACTTGACGCCAGCGCGCAGCCCGCCCTGTCGTCTCCGCTTGTCGCCTGCTCGTCATTCCTTCTGATCTCCGCGATCTTGCCGTCGCGTCCCGTCCCACCCGTTTTGTGACCGTGTGCGCCCTCCATGCCTTATCCCGGCCCCAGAGCGGGGCCCAGGGCGTTATTCGGTATGGACGCCGGAACCAACTCCTTCGGCACAGCCTGGGTTGCTTGGGGGGGGGGAGGGCAGGCATATAAAGCCTCGGTCCTGCTCTGTCCTTCCCGGCACCGACGACCACAGCCCGCTCCCCAAAAAATAGGCTCGCCAACGACCCGCGATCTGCCCGCTCGCCGCCTCACTCGCTCACGTAAGATCTCCGCCCGTCGCACGTTGCCAGGCCCGCGGCCAGACAGACCAAGACCCGCTCTCGCTTTCCGACCCTCTCCCGCAACGTATTTCTTGGTCGACGGACCGCCCGGGACATCTGCGACATCGAGAACACCTCGCCCATCTCGGTCGCCCTTCTGCTGGAACCCAAGAGACCTGTCGCCCATGACCTGCTGCCAACTTGACCCCTGTCTGCTCTGTCCCGCCCATAGTCCCCACAAACCCACCATGGTCGAACTCTGCAACACTGCCCAGAACACCGAGGCCTACTCCGCGGCTCTCGACCACCTGCTGGCCAAGAACAAAGAGTGGGCTTCCAAGAAGGCTTCCGAGAGCGAGGGCTTCTTTGAGTCGCATGCCGACAGCCAGAGCCCCGAGATCCTGTGGATCGGCTGCTCGGTAGGTTTCTGCTCCATTGCGCTCCGAGCACCTGATCAACTCGGCCCGCCCGGTCGACTCCCCTCGTTCTTCTCGGGCGTTGGCTCGGCGTTTGCTCGGCGTCCGCTCCACCGGCTCTCCTCCACGGCTCCACGGCTCCACGGCCGTCATCCACCCGCCCTCCGCTCTCCCTCCCAGCCACTTCTCTCCCGCTGGACTGGCTGTGGTGCGTGCCAGAAACCCACGTCGTCTCCCATATCCTCTTGGCTGATTCTCTCTCTCCCCCTGTGACTGCAGGACTCGCGTGTTCCCCCGACCGACATTGGTGAGTTTCGCTGCAGCGACGACAGCAGCAATCAATAATTGGTTTCGTCGAACTGTCCGTTCTCGCCACCACCCCGCCCCCCCCCGACTTCCAGCGCCGCATCCCACACAAACTGACGCCCAGCCCGTCTCCCTCACCAGTCAACCTGAGCGTCGGCGACGTCTTTGTCCACCGCAACATTGCCAATGTCGTGGTCTCGTCCGACCTGAACCTCCTGTCCGTCCTCCAGTATGCCGTCGAATACCTCAAGGTCAAGCACATTATCGTCTGCGGTGAGTCTGACGCTGCTGTGATCGATCCTTTGATCTTGATAGACCACGCTCTGCCGACGGACCGTGATTGCATGCCATGCCCTGGTATCCTTCACTTGCGCACCATCTGCTGATCACGATCGGCTCGCTGACCCGCATACCGGTCGCTGCTCTGTGCTCAACTCTGCTGAATCCAGGCCATTACAACTGCGGCGGCGTCAAGGCCTCGATGAGCGACAAGCAGTATGGCCTGATTGACAACTGGCTTTGGTGAGCTCTCCACTATCCTGCATCGCTGATCGCTTGGTGCTTTCTTGCTCTGCCGACCCTGGGACAAGGATGAATCGTCTGGATGCATGAGCCGTCTTTGCCACAGCTTTGTTTCTGGCACGCCTTCTCGTCTGATCCCCGTCAACTGTGACTCACACAACCCATCTATCGAACCGGCCGCCGTCATTGCGTCCAATCGGTCGCTTGGATGTTCCGTCACTGTCCGCACACGGCCCTATTCACAGCCACATCAAGGACGTCCATCGCTTCAACAAGGAGAAGCTCGACAGCACCGCCGACGAGACCGCTCGCTTCAACGCCCTTGTCGAGCTCAACGCCATCCGATCTGTCCAAAACATCTGCCATACCGCGACGGTCCAGAACGCCTGGGCCCGTGGCCAGGAGCTGAGCGTCCATGGCTGGTGCTTCAACCTCCACAACGGACTCATCAAGTAAGATTCGTCTCTTGGCCGTGGCGTGGTGCGATGCGATGCGATGCGATGCGATGCGATGCGATGCGATGCGATGCGATGCGATGCGATGCACTGTCCTGCTTCAGACAAAGCTATGAACACAGGTTTTGCAGACAGCCTTGGATCCACCTGTGGGGCTGATCCGTCAAGTCTATTTTGCAATCCCACACCCGCCTAACCCCCCCCCATCTGCTCCTTCGCCCCGTCGTAATATGCAGGGACCTTGGAGTCTGTGTCAACAACAACTCTCACATCGACCCCATCTTCAAGTTTACTAGCTCCAAGTAAATCGGTGGTCCGCCTGACTGCCTTGGGTCTCTCGGTGATGAATCTATTCCCCATTCCTCTCTCCCCTTCCCTCCGGTACATTCAATCCCTCCCAATCCCCCCTTTTCCAGTGCTTCTATACATAATTATAAGTCTTACCCTTTCCCCCCGCAGACCCCCATCGGCTCCACCTCTCTCGGTGCGGTCTTGGCTGATCTCCGGGCCTTTGCCTATATATACTACAACCCTTTCAATATATATTCATTCCAGTAACGACGGGATAATCCCTACTCCTCTGGCATCAGCGACACAAGTCTGCTGATCTATAGCCCCGGTAGCGATGAGCGCTGTGTCGGTGCTCCTCAGGATCCGGACACCGATCGTATCGCCCGCCCAGATCGCTTGCGGTCAAGAGCAACCAGGGCTGCTCCCATCGCTTCAGCCATCCGCTACCAAGTCTCGCAGGACCGAACACTTGTGCTTCACCGCGGTGCTGTATGAACTCGGCGTGCACAGCCACCGGCCCTGCCCTTGGCCAAACACCGCCCCCGCTGTTCCCTCGCCTGTCTCGGCCTCTTGGTCTGCATCTGTTCCCTCCGCCGCCGGCCTTGGTCTCTGGACGATCCCAGCGCCTATCCCCAGTCTCGGCTGCCGAGCTCCTCCTCCCAAAGGACGTCCCGGTGCCCCATCTTCTGTCCATCCCGACTCCCTCGTTGACATGAGCAGCTCCAGCGGCCACCAGTCCTTCTTCGACGTCGTGCGAAACGTCGTCAAGACCTCCAACCCGCAGCTCTACAGAAAACTCTCAAAGTCCGACGAGCCACGGACCTCGACGGCTCTCGAGTTCACCTCGGGCTACGACACCCGAAACTACGATGAGAGTCACTCGCGGGACCGCAAACGCATGTCCATCATCCAGTCGGTCCTGCTGGTTGTGATACTGGCTATCACGCTTGTTGCCACCTTCCTGCCCCATTGGTTCATCTACGCCGGCACCATCCAGTCCCCGGATACGGTAAGCCCTGCCAAAGAGGACCGGCCTGCTCGACCTGCTCGGCCAGCTTGGCTTGGACTCGCATCTCTCGACCGCCGGGACCATGGTTTTGGTGTGCTCGCCATTAACTCGTTGATCGATCGTCCGGTCCCATCGGCAGAGCAACCAACCGCGGCCGTTCCAGGAAAACGTCGGGCTGTACCAGACTTGCTACTACAACTACCTCCAGGAAAATGCATGGGAGTGCTCGCCCTTCCTCTCGTTCAGCTGGAAGCTCTGCAACGACTACGGTCCCACCGCCAACGACACGGATCCCAACGTTGCGTTTTTGAAGGCCAGCGCCGAGGCCTCGTGCAAGGGGCTCAAGGCCACCGGCGGTCTGGCCATCACCAGCGCTTCCCTGGCCCTGCTCGCTCTGAGTAAGCATGAAAGCGTGATGCTATTGCTTTTGGACTTGTGAGGAAGGAGTGTGGAACGACGTCCTCCTCTCCTCACCGCCCCGCCCACGCATCTTCAGAGGTTGTGATGGGCAACCAGTTGCTGCGCTGACCTTCGCTCTCGGATCTACTCTTTGGATCTGCTCTTTGGATGCAGCCGGGACCATTTACAACATCATCGGCAAGTCCCGGATCCGTTTGGTCTACAGCCTCTCGTTTTGGCTCGCCAACTTGTCATGTAAGCGCCCGTGGTATCGAGCAGCAGCGCCCAATTGGATGCGCATCCACTCGCCGCTGACCATCGGCAGCCTCATGTCTTTCACGACAAAGTCGCCCGGTGTACTCACTACCGCTTTTCGTTGCTATCGATGGAAACACCGATACCATCGCCTAATGTGTGTTCACTTCAAAATCGTTCAACATAACCCGATGTCGCCCCTCCATGCTCCTCGTGCCCGACAACGTCTTCAACTCCCCCCCCCAAAAAAAAACAATTAACTCAATTACCCGCGACGCTGGCCCAGTTTTGTGTCAGCTCACGGCCTTCTTCGTTGGATACAAGGCCAACTGGGATCTCCAGTACGACGGCGGATTCACAGGCACGGTGGCATCGCTCGGGGCATCCTTCTTCATGTGGCTTGTCAACATGATGCTGAGCTTTTTCCTGCTCATGTTCATGGGCTTTGTCTGGCCACGGCTCGATGCCTAGGCCAGGAAGCATCTGTCGAGTCCCATTCGGACGGCTTCTGTCGTCCGCCTTCCTCCTCCCCCTGATCATGAGGATGGCCACTGTCGTAATATACACTTCATCAATTCCAGCAATCACTCTCGGATGGATCTTCAGGCATACAGGCGCTTTGTGCGCACAGAGTCTATTTCGTCGACTTTGCCACCGGCCAGAATGCTGAAAAAGCCGACGCTTAGTACCACTGCCGAGGACAGAACCCTTGCTTGTCTCTGGCTGCTCAGGGCTGGATGGAGCAACCCATGGCCTCCAGCGCAGCCCTTGCATCGTCCAGACGATCCTGCTTGACGAGAATATAGTCGGTGTCAAACGTTGACACCGCAAAGATCGAAACCCCAGCCTGCGCCAGCACGGCCGAGATCTGCGAGAGCACCCCGACGAGGGCAAAGTCCAGCGGGCCCTGGATCTTGAACGCTCGCCAATCGGACTCGGCTCGAGGGTCCGGCAGCTCGGGTTGAGCCTGGTCATTAGACGCAGCGGCGGCAGTTGTCACCGGGACCGCTGTTGGAGGAGCTGCAGGGCGGTGGCGCATCAGAGCCAGGTGGTCGTCCAGGAGTTTGCTGGGGCATACGATCGAGATCTCGTCGTGCGTTCGCGTTAGGGAGCAAAAGACCTGTCGCTCGCACGATGCACGGAAGAGGCCCGCAGCAAAGTCGAGGATTGGGTCTGGCTTGCGGGCGACGGCCGAATCGGCGGTCGGGCTTGGGAATCGGTAGACGCTCAGGTGGTCTTGGAGCAGCTCCAGGGTGAACGACGGCATGATGGGAGCGGGGATGGAGGTGGCGAGATGAATGGCGAAAGAGCGGCGCTGAAAACGGGGTGGCGGGGTGCGATATGAGGCGAATACCCAGACAAGCACAAACCATGGAAGATGGGATAGCAGATGATGGGATCATGAGCCGCAGCGACCACGACTCGCCGATCGAGTGTCGCTGTCCAACCACGACATATATATTACCTCTGCGCACTTGTTCAATCGGTGGGCTCTATGAGTACGTGCCCACGACATCCTGCTCCACCTGGACAACCATATCCCGCACGCCCAGCTCGTAAAACAGCTGAATCACAGCAACCCGAATGTGCTGGCAGTTGGCTCGCTCGTGCGCCTGGATCTTGATGGAGCCCACAAACCCGTTGGTGCACATTTCCCAGATGTGCGGCTGGCTGAAGCCAACAACGCCCTCGATCGAGGTGATCTGCATTGCATCACAGAGGTGCACGAGGTGCGGCCGTCCCGACGGGAGTGCGCAGTGAGTATAACGCTCGATGTCGGTCCGAGCTCAAAGGCCAGGACTGCGATGACAATGACGATCGAAGGCAATGCACAAACCCTGATCCCGCGCAGACCGCATTCGTCCATCCTCGGCTGGTTGCTCTTACCTTGCGATAGACATCGCCGAGCTTGTGGTCAAGATCCAGAGGGATCCTCTGCAGCAGGACGAGGGTCGACTGTCGGAGCAGCGGCCAGATGCTGATGATCGTCAGGACAGAGATGATGATAGAGCACAGGGGGTCGGACCACTTCCAGTCTTTGACGACGCATCGAGGTCGTCCGGGGGGGGGAAGCAATGGAGGGGAGAAGGGATGACAGGGTCTAGTTAGCTAAAGGACGGATCTCAGCACACCCACTGAACGTCAACGGACGAGCCAGTGCGCCGATCGACCCGCCAATCGAAGCTCTGATAAGCTCGGCTCAGCCCGCATCGACAGACTCACCATAGTACTGGATCAGGAGGCAGGAAATGATCACTCCAACCGAGCCGAGCGTATCCGAGAGGATGTGCAAAAACATGCCTGATGGAGCAATTGAGAAAACGACGATCGATGGTCAGTCCCTCTATGTCACCCAATCAAAGCGACGCGCCAGGGAGCCAGAGCATCAGAGAGTGAAGCGGTTGTCTGTCTCGCATCCCATCGACCGATCCAGATCCAAAATCCCGCTCTGGTATCCTCACCGTGCATGAGCGGGTTGTGAGTGTTGGCAGACTCGTGGTGTCCGCCGTGGTCGTGGCTGTGCCCATGAGAATGGCCGTGCGAGTGTCCGTGCGAATGGCCATGGGAGTGGCCGTGGTCGTGGCTGTGATCGTGGCCGTGATCGAAGCAAAAGATACCCACTGGGTGTGGCCGAGGAGCAGATGGTGATTAGTCTGCTGGAGCGCGATTTCGATGTCGCCAAAGGACGCACCAGGCGATCGCGCAGATCGACCGGAGGGAGGATGTTTCCTTCCTCGTCGATAAGCAGCACCAGCGCCACTTCTGAGCACCACGACGGCAGCATCAAGACAACAAGCCGGACCCAGCATTCCGTCGTCTAGCTCCTCCGCGTCTCCTCCCCTTGCTAATTCTGCCCCCCCTTCTCAAACCGTTGCTTACCAAGATTGACGAGCAGACCCAGAATCGATACCAATAGAAGCTGGTCGGTCTTGATGTTCTCAGGCTCCATGAGCCGCTCGACTGCCTCCCAGATGATTGAAATGCTCGCAAAGAGCAGAACAAGGGCGTTGGCAAAGCCCGTCAGCGTTTCAACTCGACCAAAGCTGCACGCCAAGGTGCAAGTTGGAAGAGGGAGGGAGCAGTCCGTACGTGTAGAGGGATTGAAGAAGCCCGATACAAACAGGTGCACATCGACAGTGTCAGTAGAGCCGAGGGCAGAACAGACATATTCTGCTCGTGGTGCTTGGCACTGAAGTCGAAGCGCTCATGCGACGGGATGAGATGGGAGGGAAGGCACACAATGGACAGAGTTCACCGCAAATGACCACGTCTTGGCCTCGCCGACGGCTTCGGCAATACTCACCCATAGGTATACTTGTCGTCTGCGCCCCACTTGGCGATCACGCTCGCCACAAGCGAGAGGATGATGGCGGTGGAGTCGAAGAGCATGTGCACGGCGTCGGAAATGAGCCCCAGCGAGTTGGTGTAGACGCCATAAAAGGCCTCGACAAAGGTGAAGCTCACATTCAGGAGCAGGAACCAAAACACCTTGCGGGTCGCAGGGTTCTGGTAGATGGACTGGACATATCGGATACAAATCCGCACCAGGCTCTGGGGCCTATACTTGGAGTTGTAGCCGACCGAGGACTTGTACAGCGGCAGGGACATAGAGGGCATGGGCACGATGGGCGATGTGTTGAGGTCGAGATTGAGATAGGGTGGGGGTTGAGATTTGATAGGGCGGCCTTTGAAGCCGGGGAGTGGATACGGAGCCGAGCTGAGGCTGTGGTGATGGCGAGTCCAGATCGAGCTTGGTCCCGATACCGTTTCAATGCCACGAATTTGGTACTTTGATGGGCTTCAGGACACCTGAAGTCAGTATGAACCGGAGGCGGCCGCGAGGAGGAATCGAGCGTGAGTGCAAGTAAATGGCCGCGGGACGGTGTGATCAGGATGTTGCGAATGGACTCGAAAGCTGTGGTGGTTGCATCAGAAGTCGGATGGACGAACCAGTCGCCGGGATAGCACAGAAGGTTGATGCTTCGAAGAGGCGGGGGACGATGCTGCAGACGGCCGGCCGGAACGGTCCACGGAGCGGCGAGGCGATGGGTGCAGGCCAAAGTCGAGGGAGATCCAAAGGCAGGAGGAAAGGGAACGGAAACGACGACGACGAGAGGACGACCAAGCAATCCGGAGTGTGTGTGTGTGGCTGGGTCTGGACACACACACACGCACAGAAGGTGTGGCCGTGCAGGCAACGGCGCGTGCGCTGTACACCCTGGGCTTGTTCGGGCGAGACGACAAGAGGCAAGAGGCAAGAGGCAAGAGGCAAGTGGCAAGAGGCAAGAGGCAAGAGGCAAGAGGCAAGAGCATCGTGCGAAACCTAGATGCAGGGCGGTGTGCAACAGGGTTGGGACATGTCTGGCGAGGGCCAGTGATGCAGACGCGGATGCGGTAGGAGTGGGAGTAGACTGGGCAGCCAAGCAAGACAACCGCCCAAGACACTGCGATCCGACTGTTGGACAGCCTCTCGGATACCGAGCGATGCTAGCAGTCACGGTGCTGGTTATTGTGGAGAAAAAGGGCATGTATTTCGGGTACGGTCGCATTTTCTTTCGTATGATAGATAAATAAATTATGCAATAAATTAGAGAGAGGGAGAAGGATAAGGACCATGGGGAAGGAAGAGGAGGAGCAAGCCACCAGGCAGACCTTGGACCTGTGACTGCAAGCCAAAAGGAAGGGGGGGGCTAAGAGAGGGGACGACACATAGGGCTGTCGACATGGGTGACGCCTGTGCCAACCGATCGAAAGCGGAGAGGAGAGCTGAACGACGCGAAGGATCAAGGACGGGGGAGTGAGTAGGTTGGGAGGGGCTTTGGACAAATCGGAGGCGAGCAAAGGATAAGTCAAGCAGGAGGGTATTTGACCAAAACGAAACCAATAGCGCCAATGGTAACTGAAGGGACAGCCGCAATGACGGAGACACGGGCAGGGGAAGGGCACAGACGGACGTCTAGGCTGCACGGGGAGAGAATGGGGGGGGGTGATGTGCGAACAGCTCTAAGGGAAGTGAGAAAGGGCGGGGGAGATTCAGAAACAATATGGAGCGAATATCGCAGGCAGGGAGAAGGTCGAGAGATAGAAGAAGCAAGAGCAGCACGATCCAATGAGGCAAGCGCAGGGGATGGATGAAACGGGCTCGGTTCAACTTGTCAGCAGTGTCCAGACATGCCATGACGTGGGAAATGGCAGGGGACTACAGCAGGAACTTGATGGAGTCGCGGCGTCGAAGAAGAGCCTCGAGGGATTCTCTCTTGCCGGAGCGCGACGAAGGCGAGACTCTGGATGTGGCCTTGCGCTTGAGCTTGCGGATGCCCCGGATGGTGGTGTTGATCTGGTCAAGCAGCTTTTGGCGGGTGATTTGGAGATGCACGAGCGCTGCAGCGCGGGGAGAGAGCGAGAGGCGAGAGACGAGTCAGCCAAGGCACGGGCAATGGAGACAAGACCAAGATCCAAGTCGACAGGACAGCCACCAGGTCGACAGGACAGCCGCCAGGCACACCACCGCAAAGCCGCCGCCCCGGCACCGGCAACGGGCACCAAGGCGCACGCGCGCTGGTCGGCCGCGGCACAGCGCACATGGCGCGGGGCCACCCCGCGGCTATTTCCGGTGCGCGGGCGGCGCGCGTCGGCACCGGGCACCGCACAGCAGCGGCTGCGCACACAGCGGCTGCAGCCGCGCAAGCCGCGCGACGGCGTGGTGTAACGGAAGCACGGATCGCCCCTGCCTCCGCAAACACCGCCTGCCGCCGTCGCCAGCGCCCAGTGCCACAGGCCAAATGAAAAAAAGCCGCAGGTCCATCCCCATCCCAAGGACCACTACCCACTCCAATCCTCCCCCTCCCAATCGCCCTGCAAATCGCCCCCCCCCTGCAGGCCGGCCTCGTCCTGAGGACAGCCCCTCCCAATCACGCCGGACTCGCCGCCAGTGCACCCGAGATCGGCCTTACCTCCGGTGCGCTTGGTCCAGGACGCGGATGTCTTGCAGGGCTCACCCAGGCAGCCAGAGGCAAGCCTCTGTCCGGGAGTTCCTTGGCCCATATAGACCTTGGGCACCGCACGCTCGATGTTGCCGAGCATACTGCGGGTTTTTTTGGCAACAACGACGACGGTGCTGGCCTCGAGCGAGGATTTGAGGACCTCGCTGTCGTCGCCACCAATGTCGCCATCGTCGCCGCCGTCGTCGTCCTCGCCGTCGTTGTCCGAGTCTTGGCTCGGGGTCGGCGACGGCGGATTCCAGATTCGACGGTTCAGAAGGGGTTTCGGCGGCGCGGGTGACGGAGCCGCATCGGGCACGTCTCTTGGGCGCGGCGAGAGAGATGGTTTCGGACGGGAGCAGACAGCCGCCAAGGCGGACTCGCTGCAGCAGAGGAACAGACGCGGATGATCGGGAGGGTGAGCGTCAATGGATCGAGACGGACGAGCGGCTCTCCGGGCAAGGTGTGGTGAGACAAGCAGAGGGCAGAACCGGGCGTTGGCAGCCAGAGCACCGCCCGGTGTGGAGGGAGCGGACCCACATGCGCAGAGAAGGGGAGGGGGCACAAGACGGGTGTGGATCGGAAGGCAGCGAGCAGCCAGGCCAATGCTGTTTGGATCAGCAGAGGTGCAGCAGCGGTGCAGCAGCGAGGCTGGAGAAGCATATGGTTGACTTGCAGGTCAAATTGTCGAGGGGAGGGGGCAATGGGGAGGGCGGGCAGAGACTCGAAAGTTTGCCAGGCAAGATCGATGCAATCAAAAAGAAGCGAGGCAGCACCGAGGCAGCGTCATACGACCACACCCACTTACGTTGGCGGACGGTCGACTTCCATGCAGTCGCTCTCGCAGCCCGGCGAGGCGCTATCGAGGGACTGCGGCTGCGACTGCTCGCAGACTGGCAGCAATGGGCTGCTCAGGCCAGAGACACCCTCAGGCTCGCTTGGCGTGGGTCGGTCTGGGTGTGCCGGCAAGCCTTTGGCTCTCGACACGGGCTCGGGAGGGTGCGTCTGAGACAGGCTCATCAGCACCAGAGCCAGGTCCATCTCGATGTTGGAGACCGAGCGGCTACGCGGAGACGCAAAGGGCGATGGCGATGGAGGGTACGAAGAAAAGTCTGGGGGGTGGACGGGAACGAGCCGCAACAGCCGCGGCCAAGGTGTGCACCAAGATACGGACATGGAAAAAGCGGGGGGCCAGCACAAAGGCGGAGGAGGCAGAACCGAGATTGGGTCAGCAGAAAGTACGGAAGCGAAGCCAAGGAGCGGCAGATGCCTACAGAGACCGCGACGAGTACTGCTATGGATACGATCCAGCCGCGGGAGGGAGAGTGGAAGGCTCGCGAGGGGTATGGATGGGCCCGATGTGCGAGCTCAAGCTGTTGGTCGCCAGCGGAGCTGCTGAGACACTTGCACCAACAAGCCAGGCATCCCCGGAGAGCCAGAGTACTGGGTAGTGGGTGTGCAGAGACGATGGAGTGCAGAGACGATGGAGTGCAGTGACGATGGAGTGCAGTGACGATGGAGAGTGCAGTGCAGAAGGGAGGGTGGTTCCGAGCCCGAATGGAGACAAAAGCAGGGCGCTAATCTGGACAGTAGTTACCATCGAAGCTTAGATTGGGCTGCGAGAGGGCCCGTGACAAGATGGCCGACATGTTGGAGAGGAAGAACCGATGACGGAGACAGTTTCGAGAGTGGGCAGCGGGGCGAAAGAGGGAGGAGAGTCGGAGTCCAGTTTGGCAAGAAACGGGACAGTTTGCAGGACCGAGGGCAACGACAGACAGACGAAGGGCGTGTGGGTCGTGGAGAGGGGAGGGCGATTGAGTAGGATCGAGGGAGGGAAGAGAGACGATCGATGCGGTCGATGCGGTCGAGGGCAATGGCGAAGAGAGGAAGAAAGGGAACGGGAGGGAATGGGAGTCGGAAGAGAAAGCGTCGGGTTGTGACGGGGGGGGCGAGAACGAGATTTGAAGGTGAGGGGCAGAATGCGGCAGCAAAGGGAGGACAGGGAGGGGAATACTGCCTGTGTCACCGGGCTGAGATACAACGTTTTTGTTGGCCGCGATTGAGCGGGGGGGGGCTTCGAACCAAGATTCCAGTGCGGGTGTTGTTGGCGCTGCGTCGTGGGCATCGACGGCGGCTGGACAGCGACTCGACAGCGCGGGGATGCAGCAAACGGTGCAGACGGCTTAATGTCAAGTGCAGATGGCTTAATGTCAAGTGCAGATGGCTTCATATCAAGTGCAGCGGCCATCACGGTATGCATCCAATGCATGCACCCATCGCTGCGATCGGCACCGCACCCGCTGCGCCGTGCCGCTTGCTGCTGCTGCTGCTGCTGCTCCCCAGCGTTGCCACCAGAGCCCGATGGCCGTCCGGGCACACCGGTGGCAAAGCCGTTGTTGCCTCTCGCCAGGCCACGTTCGCCGTCGCTGGCAGCGGGAATCGATCCTGCGGGGGGGGGCTCACATGTCCACCGCAGCCAGGACGCAGCCAGGCAGATCCTTCGGTCTCCAGCGCCGGGTCTGTCGATACAACGCGCAGATTGTGCGGGGCAAGGGCAGTGCGTGTCGCCTGCGTTGCCGACACCGGCCCATGCCAGAGCAGCTCGCTCCAAGGCAAGCGGACCCAGCCATATGCAGGCCAAGTCTTCTCCATCCAGCCCATCGCAAGCCCGTCCAGATCGCATGTTTGCTCGGTGCACCTGAGCCCGGCCTGGTCCTCGAGACAACCCGCCCCATGCGCGCTCGCCATGCAGAGCGGTGTCACCAAGACTCACACCTCCGTCAAAACAGCCGATCGCAGGCGGCACACGCCGGAGAGGCCAGTGCTGCAATCCAACTTGTTAGCCCGGCCCGATGCTCAATTTGCCCGATCATCCAACACGCCCGAGCGCCCAACTCGCTCGAGCACCCAACTTGCATTCAAACACTCCTCTGCAGGAGTTTCCAGAACGTCATACGAGGCGCGCACCAGCCCGCCCTTTGGTCCAGAGCCACAGTTTGTCTTGACAGTCTCTGTCTCTCGCGTGCTGCTGCCGGCTGCCTGTGTCGGCCTTGTGGCGTCTGGCTTGCCCATTGGCCGGCGTGTGGTGCCCTCACAAGGCCAGGGCTCACAGCACGCGCAGCAACCCCGCTTCTGTTTCCAGGGAAATGCACCCATCGCACCATCCATCGCACCATCCATCGCACCCGCCGCATGTTCGATCGAGTCGATGCCGGATTGTCTCGCAGATTGACCCTGTGTCAGACTGCCTGGTCTTGGAGCCAGCGTCATCAAGACACTGACACCAAGATCGCAGGATTGGTCCCCTGCTGCCACGGCGGATCCAAGACATTGTGTGTCATACTGCCAGACGAGATTCCCGCGCGAGATCAGCAGATGTGCGGTCGCTGCCAGGGCATGTCAGGCGCCGTCCACATTGCCCGCCCCTGTTGATGCCATCGCCAATCTCCGCCTCATCCCGTCGCAGCGATTACCATTACGCCTCGGGATCACAGATCAGGCAGGCAGGCAGGCGCCGAGTGATCCACCCCTGCCGCTTCGGAAAGGGAGACCGAGAATCAGGGCTGCTTCTCTTATGGCATTCATCGTCTTTATTGGAGTCCTCCATAATTACATTACACAACCACAGCTAACATACACACGGTGGTATATTTAGATGCGGGAAGGGTAAAGCATCTAGTTGTTTGAGGAGAGCAGCAGATGTGTGAGGTCACAGATCAGATTCGCCCCGGGTCTTCACATTACATGCCCCGAGCGGGCCCAGATCGATGGATACAGAACACGCTGGGATTGCACCCCTATCCGCGCCTGCCCTCATCGCTGTCGTCGTTGCACATTCCCATCCAGTCCCAAGTCCAGCCGCAAACTTACCACACGGACGCTGGCGCCGAAAGCCTTGGGAGGGAGGTTGTTGCGGAACTTGGCACGAACGACACCAGAGGTTCCGTGGGAGCGGGTGACACGGCCCCAGATAACACGGATCTTGGATCCATCAATGGCGCGCTTGGCACGGTAGACGTAAGCGACACGCTTGCCGAGGTAGAACTCGGTGTCGTTGGTGTTGTTGACACCCTCGATCTGGAGCAGGGAGGTGCTCTCGGTCGAGTTGCGCTTTCCACGGGTGTGGCCAAGGACACGTCCCTTAGCGTAGAGGCTGTGGAAATGTCGGCAAAAGAAGGGAAAAGAAAAACACAGCGAGATCGGATCAGTGTCTTGCGCTCGACAGACCAATGGGGAGAACAGAGCCATCATCGATCGGAAGACGCTGGCTTCCAGACGGATGGGGATGCATGAGCGACGGATGGAATCGGAGGATGCTGTTGGTCGGTAGCATCCAAGGGTCCGCCTCCTTCCTGCACATTGGTCGGGTCGAACCGGTGTTGTGTCGGCGTCTGATAGTGACTATATCGCTGCAAGTGCCCTGATGCTCGATCGCCACGCCATCGATTGCGCTGCAGCAGCGCCAAAGCGCTGGGTGCGGTCCAAGTCCAACAGTTGGCTTCGCTGCAGAGCAGAGCCAACACAGACCGCATGGACATTGCCAGCGTCCGCACTGCTGGACTATCGATGTGTCAACGGCTCGTTCCGGCGATCCCAGAGCACGACGCAGCATGCCACACTGATCCATATTCTGCTCGATTTGCTGGGCTCCGGAATTGCCGCCAGCCCAACGGTTTGATGGCTCAGGCGAGGCGAGCTTGGCCGAGTCCGTGTGGGTGCATTGGTGTCCAAGAGAGCATCCGTGCCTCGAGATCGTAGCAACGTGTCGTACTCTGCGAGCTGGGTCGGGTCGTTCTGTCCATCGTTGCTTCTCGAGGGCGTTCATCCAGTCGGTCCGGCCAGCAAAAGCCCATCCAGCCATCCATCCAGTCATCCATCCAGCCATCCATCCATCCGTCCATCCATCCATCCATCCATCCGTCCATCCATCCCAACACACCGAGAGAGGAGACGATATTAACCGGTGAGGTCTGACGGCAGCCATTTGTGAAGAGTTCGACCCTAATAAGACTTAGAGAAATTCGAAGTGGAGGAAAGGAGGTCTCAACATTCCCGCCTGCCCTCAACACACATAGAGCGGCGGCGGCCAACAAAGCCACTCTGGTGCTTATGTCAGCGAGCACGAGACCGGCAGCGAGACCGGCAGCGAGAGCACAGAGAGCGAGGACACACACACACACACACACACACACACAGTACTTCCCTTCCAACATCCACGAACAAATATCGACTTCCACCGACACATGTATCAGCACCACCGACACATGTATCAGCATACATCAATACCCACCGGCACCCACCGGCATCCATCGGCACGGGCACCGCATGGCATTCGCACTGCGTCAGGCGCAATATCCACAGTGTCCGATCCTCGCGCCTTCCGCTTTTGGGCAGCAACCCCTTGCCTCTGGCTGCTGTCTCGCCGGCCCGCGATCCATCTCCATCTCCATCTGCATCTCCATCCGCATCGACGCTGGGACTCGCAGCCCATCCTGATCAAGCTCTCGTCTTTTCCTCTTTGTCAACCCTCCCGTCGCCATGGCTGCTCGAGACACCCTCCAGGCCCTCGCATTCCAGCGCAGCTCCGTCGCCGACATCAGCCTGCTGCCCTCGATCCCCGACCAAGCCATCGCCACATACGACCCGCTTGAAGTCTTGGCCTCGGCCCAGGCCCTGCTCAAGTCCGGCTCGGGCCTCTCCGAGGCCGAGCGGCTCAACCTGCACGAGCAGATCTGCATCGCCGCCCTCGATTCGGGCAATCTGGCCCTTGCCGAGACCCACCGAGACATCATCTTCAGGAAATTCGACCCAAAGACCTCCATTCGCGCGCAAAAGCTCTCTGCCTACATCTACGAGTCTACCGGCAACTTTGAGCAGGCCCTCAAGACCTACGAGGCCATCCTGGAGGCCGACGAGACCTATGTCGCCGCACACAAGCGTATCGCTGCCCTGGCCAAGGCTCAGAATCAGAACCAAAACGCCATCAAGAGCCTGATTCAGTACCTCGACACCTTCTCGGCCGACGTCGAGGCCTGGGTCGAGCTGGCGGCGCTCTACACCGTCGAGGGCATGTTCCAGCAGGCCGGGTTTTGCTACGAGGAGCTGATCGTTCTCCGCCCCGACAACATCATGTTCCATCTGCGATATGCCGATGTGCTCTACACCCTGCAGCGATACGACGTCTCGCTCAAGTACTACTGTGCGGCCCTGGAGCTGTGCCGAGACACCGTACGTGCCCTCTATGGCATCCGCCTAGCCAGCGATCAGATCCTGGCCTCGAACAAGTCGCCCGAGCCCAAGATCCGCGCGCTCAACCAGCTTGCCAAGGAACGCCTGGCAGCCCTGTATCAGGACCGAGCCAAATCGACTCCCAAGGTGGTGTCTGTTGTCAAGTCATGGCTGGCGCAGGAATAGCCTAGGGTTTCGAGGGCAGACCCACGGGGCTCTTGCAGCAGCCCGAGCCTGATCGAAATCAACGCACATCGTCTGTGTGGTGTCCACCTGTTTCATCTGCATCCCAGATCCTGTCTTTTGTGCTCTGCCATTCTGCATGCTGACTCGGCGAGCGTTTTTTTGAAGCCGAATGTACTCTGGGTGTGGACTTTCAATACGGACTCGGTTGCTCAAAACAGACTCACTCGCTCCATTCCCAGTCACCTCCATGAGATGGCTGTGTGTGATGTGCAATGGCACCATGCCGCAATGGCATAATGGCACAATAACGCATCGATCTGCAATAGTGATGCGATGCTGGTCCTTGCGCTCAACACGCCGTACAGCGTGATGAAGAAAAAATGAGACACATCGTCTCATTCGGACAAACACGGCGTAGTCGGATCATATCACACGCCCGATCAAGTGGGTCAAATCATTTCTCTGTGCGAGCCAGATTCATGGAGTCAGCCTGTCCATAGCTCCAGTTTCTGCGGTCGATATCTCATCGACAGAGTCCACCACAACAGTCAAGGCAGGCCATGCTCGACTCCCCACAACTCATCCGTGTGTGAAGGTGTCCCGTTCCAAGTAGTCCGGGCTGACTACTCGTCCTCTGCCGCCAATCAGCATGGGCTGCTGCTGAATCAAGCAGTTGCGCACATGGATACCAAGTCGATAATCGGTCTGATTGCTCGCCCGCCAGAGACATGATTGTTTGGCCCACTGGCCGGGCCAAGCAATCACGCATATCGACCATGTCCGGGCTGGTCCAATCGCTGAATATTTCCCGAGAGGGGCCGGCGGTATCGCACCATGCCGAGCACAGACCCGGTCGCAGAACTATATATGACGTGATGCCGTTGCGGCTTCGTTGTAGCCCTGGCTCGAACTCGGTCTGACATTCCCACATCTCGCTCGGAGGTTACGTGTCCTTTCCGCGACCATCTCCAGCAGTCATTTTTTCTTTTCTTCTTCTTGGCTCCATCCATGGGTAAAAAAGTCAGTCCCCTCGAGAAGCCCGAGTACGGCGACGAGGTCGGTCCCATCGGCAACCGGCGATGCACCGACATTCCCTTTCTTGTCCTGTTCCTCGTCTTCTGGGCGGCCATGTTCTACGTGGCCTTTATTGCCATCAAGACCGGCAATCCCAGCAAGCTCCTGTAAGCTACTCGACTCGTCGCAATCCCGCATTGTGTCGATGGATTCGCGCTCTCACTGCATCCCTCCATCCCAACGACCTTCAATCGCGCGGCTGTCGGCATGCTCAATGTCCCATATCTCGCTCAATGTCACACTTTTGTTCTCAAGCTGGTCCATGCTCGTCTCTGGCGTTACCTCTCCCCCGCATCATCCTTTCGCATGCCATGGTCCTCTGATTCTTCTCGCGCAGCTACTCACCGTGTTCCCGTTGCATTCCCACGCCGCCTTGCTCCAACACTCCACCATGTCCCGCTCGATCCTCCCCCCTCGCTGCTTCACAGATACCCAACCGACTATCTCGGAAACACCTGTGGCACCAACAACACCGCCGTCAACTCCTCTCTGCTTGACATGTCGCTCAAGCCATACTCGTACTTTCTCAATCCCATCGACCTCACCACGAGCGCCCAGATCTGCATCAGCTCATGCCCGACCACCATGGTCGTCTATGCCTCGTCGACTCCAACAACGGGAACAACTTACTGCAAGTACACCGTCACGTCGGCCACGCTCTCCTCGGCGATTCTGTCTGGAGACTGTGCTCCGTTTGTGTATGCATCTGAGGCCGTGCTCAACCGATGCGTGCCCACGCAACCCATTCCTGCCAGTGCGCTGTCATCCCTCGGGTCCCTCAGCGTCACGACCGGCAACACCACCGTCAGCATCAACTCGCTCCTCAGCGATGGCCAGACCTTTCTCACCCAGGCCGTCAGTGATCTCCAGGTGGCATACCTGTGGCTGATCGGCGGAGCCGTCGCCGCACTCATCATTGCCTTTATCTGGCTGCTGCTGCTGCGCTGGTTTGCGGGCGTCTTTACCTGGCTCATCATCATCGCCACCAACGTGGTCTTTATCGGCGGCGCCATCTGGCTCTACTTTTTCTGGACCCAGACCCGCGACAGCTACAACAGCCTTAGCACCCAGTATCAGACCGACATTCTAAAGTACGAGGTCTACGGCACCATGGCAGCCTTCATCGTCGTCGCCGTTCTTGCCGTCATCCTGCTCCTGGTCACTCTGGTCCTGATCAAGCGAATCCGCATCGCGATCGAAGTCATCAAGGAGACTTCCCATGCCGTCGCAACCATGCCATTTATCTGTAAGTGCGCTGTCCAGCACTTACTCTCTGCAGCCGGGGAGGTCTGTGACATCTGCTCCCGCGAGCACCACAGCAAGGCGGAAGCACACATCCATTAACGCTGCTCCACGCCTGTTTGTGGGGGGGGGAGTCAGTGCTCTATCCATTCGTCATGTGGCTGTGCTCCCTGATCCTGCTGGCATACGGCATCATCATCATGCTGTATCTGGCCTCGCCCAGCGGCGCCGTCTCCATCACCGGTCTGGGCTTCACCCTCAGCAGCTCAAACATGACCACGTACCTGGAGTGGTTTCATCTCTTTGGCTTCCTCTGGGGATGGTACTTTATCTCGGGCTTCCAGACACTGACGATCGCCGGCGCATTTGCGGCATACTACTGGACCCTCGACAAGTCGCACACCCCTCCGCGCAAGCTGCTGGGCTCCATCTATCGGGCCTTCCGCTACCACCTCGGCAGTATTGCTCTGGGATCGATGCTCATCGCTCTCGTCCAGATCCTCCGGATCCTGTTTGCGTATCTCGGCAAGCAGGCCAAGGCCACACAGAACAAGGTGCTCCAGTACATCTTTGCCTGCATCGGATGCTGCCTGGCTCTGGTCAAGAGGATCCTGCAGTTCATCAGCAAGAACGCATACATCCACATTGCCGTCCGCGGCACATCCTTTTGCAGCGCATGCTCTTCGGCCTGTGGATTGATCATCCGCAACGCCCTCCGAGTCGTGGCCGTCACGTTTGTGTCCGAGTTCATCATGCTCCTGAGCACCGTCGTGATCACGGGCTTGACCGGCTTTATTTCGTACATTCTTCTCGGGTGGAAGGGCAGCTACCTGAACCTGCAGATTCCGCTGGTGCCCGTTATCTTCATTGCCATCGAGGCCTTTATCATCTCGCTGGTTTTCATGTCGGTCTATTCTGCTGGCATCAACGCCATCTTCATGTGCTTCCTGGAGGATTCGGAGCGCAACGATGGATCGCCCACGCGGCCGTACTACATGTCCGAGGCCCTGCAGAGGATCACATCATCGCAAAACACCGAGGAAAAGCCGGTAAGCTTCGCACACTCGGTTGCAGAGTCGCCCCCTGTGTGCGTCCGCATATTGCCCACTCGAGCGATGCACTGCAGCAGCACTGTTACCCCCCGTTTCTCACGCCGAACGCCGTTGTTCTCGACTCAACTCTGGCTTGCACTTGGGTTCGGGTGGATCCAGAAGAAGGCGGTATGTATTAAAAGCAGAGGCTCAATGCGATTCCACATATCCGCACCACTGTTGGCACCTGCTACGGCTTCCCGACCTCTCCTCCAACGAAAACTAACGCCGCTGCGCTGATCCCATTCCCAACCACAGACTGGACGCAAGGCGCGCAAGATCCACGATTCCAGAGAGATGGTCGAGGAGGAGTACTAGTGGCGTTCCAATAAAAAACGGGACACCCCGGATTTTGAGTATTGATCAATTTTAGTCATCCAAGACCAACGTCTGCTGGCTATGGCCATTCTGTGATGCGGGATTATGCCCTCATTCATAGCCTGAGAAACGTCGCCTCCATATTTAGTGTGTCCAAGAGCACCATTCGCCGCTGGCACTCCGAGACCAGTGCAACGACCCACGAATGGGCCACAGGAGGCGCCAAGTGGTCGTCAGCAGGATGTGCAGGCGAGTCACTGACCAAGCACCAAGGGAGACCGATATTGTGATTGCCTTTGGGAATGCCTCGTGGAAACAGGGGAAGCGATATATATCCAGCCCATGGAGACTCAGGTTCGCCAATACTTTGAACAATTCATCCACCACCAGAGACGTCAAGGTGTGCTCGGTGAACGATTTCAACACCTCCCAGGTGTGCTCACAGTGCCGGGAACCCAAGTGACCTGAGAAGGCCGAGTACCCTGATACCGATACACCATGGAGCTGTCCAGAGAGTCGAGTGGATGCACCACAGAGAGATTGCCAACCATGGCGGGAAATAATTACACGGCCCGCCCACCGAGACCTGTCCCGTTTCTTTCTGGATTGACTGTAGAGGCTTGGCCACCTTCTCAGTACAGCATCCTCGGAATTCATGCTATTGTCTGTGCACATGCATGGCCGTGATCCGGAAGCTGGCCCGATTCGAGGCCTTTCAACTTTGAGGAGACACACATCCCGCCCATCCCCATTCCAACCTGGCCCGCCATGAGAGAATCATGCGCCGCGGTCGCAACGGGGCAACGATCCAAAGGGCATGAGAGCAGCCCCGCTCCGACGACATGGCTGGGGTCTGCTCGCCTGCTCGCCTTTGTACTGTCCGGCTTCTTTGGCTGTCTCTTGTCCCGCTCGCTCCCTCACTCATTTCAACTCAACCGGTTCCGACGCCTGCGAGCACCAGCCACTTTCCACAAACAGCATGCCAAAGGACTCGAGCAAAGCGCCGGAATACGGCAGCCACTATGGCCCCATCGAAAACCGCAAATGTCGCGACGTTCTGTTTCTGCTGCTCTACCTGATATTCTGGGCGGCGATGCTGTTTGTTGCCAGCATTGGCTTTGAAACCGGGGACCCAAGGAGACTGCTGTGAGTCTACCGGTGGCAAGGCCGTGCCGGCACTGCTGCTGCTGCTGCTGCTGGTGCTGCTACCGTTGCTTGACCTTTGCGCTCGCGTTGTATGCATCTCGGAGTCTCGGCCCGTTGTTGGCCTTCCGTGCTCGCATGCGCATGCTTATCGCCATGGGATAAACGGGGCTCCTATTTTCGCGTATGGGGCTCGGATGATTGCAAGGCATAGTGCTGCTTGAGTTCTAAGCTGCCTCTAGAGGTGCCACCTCACCTCACCTCACCCCCTCCTCGCCCACCAAGCTCCACCCCACCTCGAGCGTGCCGGGGAGCCTGTTTCCCCCCGCGCCATCCAGTTGTTTGCGTGCCCAGTTGTATTCAAAGCATCAGACATCACAACCATGCCACGCTGCTGATCTTTGCTCCCATTCTCCGAAACCCCTGGCGATAGGATTCCCACGGACTATCTGGGCCAGCAGTGCGGCGTCAACAACACCGTGCTCCATTCCAACCTGACGGACTTCACCACCAAGCCCTACGCGTACTTTCTCAATCCCTTCGACCCCTTCAGCTACCCGGCCGTGTGCGTGAGCCAGTGCCCATCGTCGTCGCAGGCCTTCTGGGCATCCACCCCGAGCACCGTCATCTGCCGATACGGATATCCGCAGCCCCAGGACGAAAACCACATCATCGACGCCTACCTGAACCAAAGCTGCGCTGCGTTCTTGTACTCGGGCGGCCCAGTCTTGGGCCGCTGTCTGCCCAACTTTGCGGTGAATGCCTCGGCCATCTCCCAACTCAACCTGCCGAACGTAACCGTCTCCGGGACGACCATCAGCATGAGCAGCCTCTTGGCCAACGGCAAGGATACGCTGAGCCAGGTGATGAGCGACATTGTCAACTCCTGGCCGTGGCTCGTCGGCGGCGTCGTCGTGTCTGTTTTGGTGGCGTTTTTGTGGGTCTGGTTGATGCGATGGCTCGCCGGGATCTTTGTATGGATCTCAATCTTTGTTGCCAACGCCATCTTCATTGGCGGCGCCATCTGGCTGTACTTTTACTGGCAAGGTCGCCTCACCAGCTACAACAGCCTGTCGCCCGCCAATCAGCTTCAGATCCTGGACTGGGAGGTCAAGGGATCAGAGGCGGCCTTTATCGTCGTTGCCGTCATTGCCGGCATCTTGCTGCTGGTTACGCTGGCCCTGTGGAAGCGCATCGATATAGCCGTGGGAATCATCAAAGAGACATCGCATGCAATCCAGCGCATGCCCATGATCGGTAAGTGGATGCTGCCAGCGAGCCAACCGGCTGCAGGGGTTCTCAGGAGCTGGTGTTGTTTCAGCGGAGACACTGGATTTGAGAAGCTACACAGGTTGGATGCCGCAGACTGCTGATTCTCTGCGCCGCTCGCACCAGTCTTCTATCCGCTGGTTATGTGGGTCGTCTGGCTGGTGCTACTCGCCTACTTCATCATCGTCATGCTCTACTTGGCGTCGCCAACCTCGGTGGTTGTCATTACCCAGTTTGGACTCAACCTGCAGAATCCGCAGATGACTACCTATCTCGAGTGGTTTCACCTGTTTGGGTTCTTCTGGACATGGTCGTTCATGGCGGGCTTCCAGATCCTCTCCCTGGCCGGCGCTTTTGCCACATACTATTGGACCCTCGACAAGAAGACCCTCACAAGCATCCCGCTGCTCAAGTCGATTTACCGGACGCTGCGCTACCACATGGGCAGCATTGCCATCGGCTCGTTGCTCATCGCCTTGGTGCAAATTCTCCGCTGCCTTACCTTCTACCTCCAAAAGACCGCCAAGACTGCCCACAACCAGGCGGCGAACTACATCCTGGCCTGCTTGCAGTGCGTCCTGCTGACCATTCAAAAGATCCTCCAGTTCATCAACAAGCGCGCCTACATCCACATTGCCGTCTGGGGCGACTCCTTCTGCAAGGCCGCGGGCAGCGCTATGGGACTGCTGATCCGAAACGCCCTCCGGACCGCAGCGATTGGCTTCGTGACAGAGTTTGTTCTCTTCCTCAGCGCCGCGGCCGTCTCGGTTGGGACCGGGTTCCTGGCCTACGTGGTGCTGAGCTGGCAGTCGGCCAACATCCATGTGAACTTTCTGCTGACCCCCGTCATCTTTATCGGTGTCGAGGCTCTTGTCGTGGCGCTGCTGTTCCTGTCGGTCTACAGCACAGGCATCACCACCATCTTCATGTGCTTCCTGGAGGACGCCGAGCGCAATGACGGCACCCCGGAGCGACCCTACTACATGAGCTCGGAATTGAAGAGGATCACGGGCCATAAAAACAAGGGACCGTCGCAAGACCACACCGTAAGTGCAGGCATTCAGCAAGGCCGTCTGGAGAGATTCTGCGCCGTGCGGACACTTTGCTCCCCCGAAGTATGTCGCTGATAGCCATGCACTCATGAACGTGTGTCGGCCTGCCTCCCCCAGGGCATCATGAAGATGGTCGGCGACAAGAAGATCTAGCGACAGCTCGCTCCTTTGCTTGGCACCTCTGACCATTCAACCGACGGCCCAAGATTGGAATCCTCTACTGCAGCCATGCATTGGAGCCGCCCTTCCGCTTTGCGCTGCTCCATTGGCACAAAACCTGCACATGCTGGTGACTGGGGCTCGATCATTTGTCGCATTTTGAACAGATATATTGTGGAAACGCTGGTGATTGTTCTTCGACAGAGGCATGACAAAAGTCGATATGAGATCCTTAACCCATTACCGAGCGGCCGAACTGAACTTGAACTTGGGCAACAAACCACAATACGAATGATATGAGCCGCCACCTGGACCTGGCTGGCTGGCTGGCTGGCTGGCTGGCTGGCTGACGCCTTGGCATCCTTAGTCGGCGCGATGTTGCTCGGCCTTCCACTTGAGGATTGCAATGTCGATCTTCTTGTCAAGCTTCTCGCACAGGGCCTTCTTGTATCCAAAGAGAGTGAGGATCTCAAAGAACACAAAGAAAGGGGCAAACAGGAACGCTGTCCGCAGTAGGCGGGAGATGAGCTGGCCGATCCGATCCAGAATCGAGAAGATGCAGCGGCGACGGTCACCGTCGCGGACGTAAACCATCTCCGACGAGGAACCAGACAGGCAAGATGGTGCTGCGAGATACCGAAACAGAATCCTGCCATATTTCCGAAGCTTTACCTTGAGACAGATTGTCGAAAAACGCGGGACGTCGCTTCTCGGCGTATTCGTGGCCAGCTATGGTACCAGAGAGCAGATATGAGACGATGCCGTGTGGATCCAGCAAACAGGCACGCAGGAACAGCGCCTGCTGGGCCAAGTGGCAGGTTGTGTGGATTTGCAGAGGTGCCGCTTACCGATTTGGATGGCAAAGCTCACGACGATGGAGAGCACCGCCAGAGCGGTCGAGTTGTCCACAAGGCTAGCGAACAGGTGAGCAGTATGGTAGCCGAGAATGAGAAATGGCGCATACAGGATCTGTCGTATGGAACATCAAGTTTAAGTGTGAGCGGGGAGGACGTTGCTGATGAGGCTGGGATCGAAGAGTTGCCGGCATGGCGCCAAATAGAGCCGGACCCACACAAAAGACTCACGCCAGTCAGAGGCTCGATGAGGATATAGAAGCCCGTGTAGACCAGGGTCGTGAGGCTCGCAATGTTGAGCGGAATATAGTAGCTGTAAGCCCACTCGGCAGCGGCAGGGGTATTGTGGAGCTGGGGGGACATATAGGAATGTGTCAGTGGCTTTCTGGGGCTCGATACTTGTCCGGCTTGACCCACGGACACTGGTGTCGCCATATACCAGCTCGGTCGAGCCCCTCGCAAAAACATGTCCGCAATTTCTGCCTCTCGGATGAGTGAGGGTCGAGAGTCGCGCGGAAAGAGGGCATTGTCATCAGCGACTCTCACCAGAACCAAGACGCTCCACAGGATCACAGGAACAAAGACAAAGTGGATGGCCTTATTCCTTCACGAGAGGGAAGATCGATGAAGAGGCCGTGTTAGCCGGATGCGAGTGGACACTGGTGCTGCATGGTCCGGGGCAGGTTGCACGTCGGGAGGGGGCAATCATGTTTCGCGGGGTCTGTATGTCCTTCCAGACGATCAGGCATGCTTACACCGAGTCCCGGTGATCTATAGGAGGCGATGGGAACGCTGGCTCAGTGAAAAGAGCAGATGCGCACGCTGCCGGTCTCAGGCTGCCGATAGGTGCTGGCATATCCCCGACGAATGCTCCGGATCGCTCACGCCCAAACGACCGAGAATATCAGCACAGGCACGGAGCCATGGCGGGCGCAACCTACATTGGCCATAGAACACAATCTGGTCTTCGAAGGAGAAAAAGTTTCCGGGCATTGTTGTTGCGCTGCGGGGCGATGGGGAGCGATGCAGTCAGAGACAACGGAGTCGCCCCCCGACGGATTTCAAGCATAGGAGCGGGCAGCAGAGAGCCCTGCAGCCACGGGCTGGCTGGCCATGGTGTTTGTTTCATGTGCATTCCAACGGAAGCGTGACGCGGCATGAATCCGCTGGCCGGGATGGCTGTGGTCTGCGTCCGAGGTTGTCGTCGATGCATCTCGGCCCCGAATTGCAGCGATGACCACACGCAGAGGTGACGACCACAGGCATAAGTGGAGACCGCACGCACTCGTCCAGGAAGATTGCGTAGAGCACGATGGACCTCCAGACCGAAGCACTGCCCAAGTTTCGCCGGTTGCGTGTTGGCCCCCTCTGAAGCCCAAACCAAAAGAATATACAGCCACCTCAGCACTCCCCCGAGCCAGCCAGGCTCGAGCACTGCAGACAATCATTGCAGAAGGGGATCAAGTTCGGACGCAATTTCGTCCGCCAGACAGATAACCGCTTTGGACAGGGCACCGAGTCTGTTGAAGAGCCATATGCATGGATCAGTATCCACAGTTGCACGCTCGGACCATACAGAAATATGTTGCTGTGCTTACCCGCGGAGGAGCTCATCAATACTCTCCGTCGCCGTCCTTGATCCTTCAACGACAGCCACCATGCAGGGGCCGGCTTTGAGCTGAGATGGAGAGTATTAGCGCCAGTCCAACGTCGACAGCGCTCGCAAACTGCCAAATACGGGCGGTTGCGGTTCATCCGCCAACATGTGCGCCCCTTGATCAAAGTTCCTCATCCGACTAGATCGAGGCGCGAAACCATCTCTCCACGCAGACTGGATCTTACCCAGTCAAGCACCTGCTTGTCGACAACATCGGCGAGCCGCTCCACGACAGATTGACTCAGCTTGGTCAGCTTGAGCTTGGCCATATTCATCGGTCGGCTGCGGTCGGCTGAGCGGGTGTGCCGATGCGGTTTGCTAATCGACGGGGCGTTGCCACACAGCTCTTCCAACGTTTTCCCCCACAGACTGTAGTTGTCTGCCATCATCGGGAACTCGCATGCCACCACGACACATATCCGACGGTCGGATCCGTGCGCTCCTCGCTCGATCGCTGCGGGGGCTGTCAGTTCATTCGTTGGTACAGCGGCAATGCCGAGTTGAACGGAAGGGGCAATAATCTGCCGCAGCGTAAAGGGGTCCTGGACAACAAGAGCATCACAGTGTCGGCACATCAGCACATCAGCACATCAGCAGATGGCCGAGACTTGGACTCCCTCGCTCGACCGTCGTACCTGGGAGCATGCAGACAACTCAATGTCCATCCCCTCTGGAAACAGGATCTTGAGTTGGAGACTGGCAAGCTCATATGTCCATGGCAAATACACCCCGCAAAAGCTTGTAGACGTTTCTGGAGATGGCCATATATCATAAGGTCAACAACAGCCCACCAGATCGGACTAGCAATCCCACTGCATGTCCATAACAAAAACCTTACCTCCACATAGGCAGTCGAGCAACAGCCTGACTGCATCCGAATGCACCACCCCCAGCACGACAGACATTCCAGCGGCGGGCTCCTGTGCAAAATGCAGGGTACCGTTTGTTGGGCAATCGCTACGATACTTTGCAGCAATCTTGCGTAGCCTCGATGCTGTATCTTGTTGAACATGGACCGTCGTCAGGGTCGATACAACAAGCCCACAAGCCGCGGTCCTGGCGAGAATCGAGCCAATGCAGCCGGCCTGGGGGGGGGAGCAGACACAATGCGGTCAGGACTCTGCGTGATTCGTTTGGGTGCAGGTTGACGGACGTGAACTTACCAGTGATTGCGGCACTATCACAAACGAGCTGATCAGGAGCGGAGGCGTTGTCGCATATGCAAGCCAGCCGAGCGCAGCCAGCCTTGGGGTATAAATGTCTGCAGATCCCAAGCATTCTATGCGCAGATCGCGGTCGTGGAAGAACGCATTGACGTGCGCAAAGGCCGCTTCTGGGTTCTGTGAAAACACCACCGAGAGCTGCTGTCGTAGCCGGCTGACACGATCATGATATTGCTCGCAGTTGTTTGGGGGCTTGTTCAGGGGTTTTGGCAGTAGCTCGTTGGCAATCCTCTCCGCAAACGCATATCCATCTGCGCGATGCAGGGCAAGGACAATCCAGGACGATTGCTCTGGCGGCTCGAGGTTCCCGGGATCCATCAGCGCCTCCAGACTTGCCACGCTGTCCCAAGTCCCGGTGGCAAACGGTGTGAGTGTGGCAGCCAGATGCCGATCAAGTGCCCGAACCATCTTGATTCCCAATAGCCTCGTTCCCACGACAGGGAATCGGTCAGATGGTTTGGTAGGATGCTGCGTTGTAAGGAGCGGCGATTCCTTGACCGGAAACAGCTTTCTCAGCAAATCGACAGCCAATCGAAACCGAGCTGCTATGACAAATGTCTGAGACTGGGTCTCTCTCGATAGCGGGTGTGGGCAGTTGAGCTGTCGCTCGATGACGATGTTCCTGAAACAGCAGACGAATGCCATCAGCGATATCGCGGCAGGTTGCAATCGGCGATGCAGCTCAATCCGGTCACCTGGCTGTTGGGGCCACGCGATTGCCATAGCAATCAAAGTTCCGAAAGCTCACCGTCTCGGTATTCGGTATTCCGTATTTTCGTCGCGAACATGAGTCTCGCCGACTTCCAACTGCACAGACGAAGCTTGGAAGAGATCGCTGGCCAGAGCCTCAGTTATCGGCTCAAGCATCACGGCCGTGTTCTTAAAGTGGACATGGCACAGATTGATGAGGAGCTTGTGCAAATGCTCGCTCAAGCGGCGGGGTTGCTCAAAGACAGAACAGACTCCTTCACAACGTCGCAGTGTCACTGCAAGATGCCGCTTATCCCTAAACGGCACAGAGTTCCGGGTGAGCCACATCAACGGCCACAGAAGCCACAGAGCCACATTTGACTGGCGTCGGACAGACAACAAGACATGTCCAGCATGGAACCCACCTCTGCATGTTGAGGACGTGAAACCCGATCGCCTGGATTTCTTTGAAAACATTGGTGTAGAAGCACAGGGGGACGTGCTCCGATATTCGCAACAACAGCTCGCTGGGGCCCGCCGGGCGCTGAGGCGGGTCATGGAGACACGTCTCTGGAGGCTGCTTGCCATCAATAGGCGATCCCTGAGGAGCGGTAGGTACAGGGACGTTTCTGGGATAGCCTGGTGGTTGGGGCGAGTGTGTGCGAATCTTCGTTCCACTCTCCTTCTCGATGTGGTCAACGAGCCGGGCCACCGACTGCTGTTTCCTGGATGCTTCCTGGGCTGGGTGATTGTGCTCCACGGGCGAGACTGTGGCCTCGACCTCGTTCTGTGACTGCGATGAATCGGTTGCTTGATCCTTGTCGGCGGTGATGCAATAGAGTGAGGGAGTTTGGTCGCTATTGGAGCTGTCGGTCTCAGTTGCCACAAACCCCTCGAGCTGCTGCTCGTCCGCAACGTTGTGCTCGTTACCACCAACATCGTCTCTTCGCCCCTCGCAGACCTCGCTTTCGCTACTTTCATCTTCAGAGGACGCCGTGTCCGCCTGTGCTTGTGCCCGCATGGCGTATTGAACAGAGGCGTGAATGATGCGTTTGGCGTCCGGCAATGGTGCCAGCGGCCGAGGACCGGATGTGTGAGAAAAGTATCGGTTCAGCAGGTCCTGGTCGCTTTGCGAGCAGTGGCCATCGACCAGAATCGAGGCCAGTTTCAGCTCGGTCTCAAAGTTCAGCTGCGCCGGCAACGAGGGTTGGTCTGGCCCAAATGGCGATGTGCATCGAGAGTCAGCGATTTTCACCGGAGCCGGAACCGGGGCTGGATTTGGAGCTAAGGTTGAGTGTGGGGCGGGGGCCGATACAGCCTGGTCTGCTCGTTCCGTGGCCACCTGCGATGGTAAAGACTTTTGCGGTTGCGGCTGTGGTTGTGGTGGCGGCTGCTGGATCGTCAGAGGCCGGGTGTGGGCGAGGGCGGGCAGCCACGTTTCGGTTGTGCGGCTCTGAGTCGCAGGGATCGGCAGTAGGATAGCGAAAGACAGATAAGTCGATGAGTTCAGGGCAATATCGTGCAGCCGTATCGGTGAGTTGGCAGGATCGACAAACCTTCGAGAGGGCATGGACTTTGGGACCCACGCGGCTCAGCGATGCCAACCACGGAGCATCGTGCTCTCCGTTGGGGAGGGGCAATGCTGTCCGAAAAAAAGGGCGTTCGGCAGCAGGTCAGAGATACATGGCCGTGATCGCCCATGCAGAAATCGCCGGATCTAGTGGGCCTTTCATGATAATGCAAATACGCCTTCCGCCTTGATGTCGGTATGGCCGCATACTTACGAGCTGCCGTATCCAGGCTCCGATGGCCCTGCACAGAGATCGACCTGCCGGCACTTCCGCGAAAGTGCTCGGCAGCCGGGGCGACGGTAAAGATATGGGACTTGCGGGGCTGCAGGTGTTTTGGGAGCGGCACAGCGTGGTCGTTGAGGTCCAAGCCTGGACGGCTGGGGTCCTTGGCTGGAGCATGAGACGGCTTTTGGAGCTTTGACTGGGGCCACGACATGGTGGGATGCGCAAAGGGCCGAGCGATCGGCGTCCAAGCACGATCGACAGTACAGGCTGGCGGCGAGAGGGAAGTCTGGATGCAAGACCGGGCGGACACGCCAGAGTGGGTCTGTGGGTGGAGCAGTCGAAGAAGAATTCGGTCGCTGTCCGGGAGCGAGCGAAATCTTCCCGCCGCCCGCTGATCCGCCCGCACGGATTTCCGGCGCTGGCGCCGATCACGCCGACTGGCTTTGAATGTATGCTGCTGTTCACGAGCACATCCGCGGGCGGATGGACGAAAACACCCAGGGGGCATGTCCGCGACCAAACACATGACATGTCCGCAGCCAGACACATGAACATGAACATGGGCAGGAACAAGGGACAGGATGCTGTATTGGCCCTGAGCCGACGGTCACAGCTCGACAACGACAGGGGCGTACTCGTCGTCGTCGTTCTCGTCGCTAAACAAAACCGACAGCTCGCCCTTCAGATCCCACCCAAACCGCTGCTGCACGAACGCAGCCAGCTTCTCGGTCCTTGTGGTGAGAATCGTCGGGGCAATGCTGGCATTCTCTTGCATGATGCGCATAAAGGCCAGCAGAGCCACTCGGATAAAGTTGTCGCTGGTGATGGCGTCGGTGAAGAAGTCGAGCGGGCACTCCTCGAGCTGGGCATACAGCACACCTACAACGACCAACGAGAGCATACGCACAACAGACCGGCACAGAAGAGTCGGGTGTGTGAGAATGGCGGTGATTTCGGGCAGGAGCGGCAGGCGCAGACAGGGGTCGTGGTTCACGCATCGACAGCAACAGGGCAGGGGGCACTCACCAACGAATTCGGCCATGAGCGTGCTGCCGTGAGTCGAAAGCGCCTCCTCGCACTGGGTGAGCAGCTGGATCAGGCACTTCCACTGCTCGAATCCATCGTACACCTGGCCGATCAGGAAGATGATGAAGGACAATTCTAGCTCTCCCAGGATCTGCTTGTAGCCTGAAGCCGTCACAGAGGCAGTGTTCAGTTCAGAAACTACATCTACAGCTGCCACAACTGCACTCCCAGCGACTGCTGCCGCTGTCGGAGCCGGGCCACTGACCGAGGGATTGCACAACAGACGGCTTACCTTCCGGACGACGAGGCAATAGCGTTTCGAGCAGATACGACTTGTCCATGCTGTACTTTGTCACCTCAGCCCCCATCGCTCCAGCTCGGAATGACCGCTTGAGATCGATGGGCGTGAAGCGTATCCGCAACTCCTCGGCGACATCGCTGTATGCTTGGCTTGTGGGGAGCGGCGTGATCACTCCTTCGGTATTGCCGACAGCGCTGGCTGAAGACGAGGGGACTTGTCCAGACACATCGACGCTCATTTCTTGCTGGCGCTGCTTGGTGATTTGCTCCAGGCGCTCGTCTGGGATATCGGAGAACCTCGAAGTACTCGACATGGTCGAAATGCGGCCGCCTTGCGGAACGACCTTGCGCACCAGATCTTCGTCAATGTAGGAGGTTAGACGGAGCCACTTGTGATAAGTGTTGACACCGCCAGCGATCGACTCGACCGGCACAAGCGGGTAGGCGCCCAGGAATGGCTCAAACTCGCGGATATCTGCAGACATTGGGGACTGCAGTGTCAGTTGAGGTGGGTACTAAAGACATGCCGCCGAGCAGCTGCAGGGCATGCGGTTCAGCACTCTCGACAGACAGCTCGATGGCCTGCTGCTGCGACAGTAGGGATTCTTACTGAACTTGAGCCGCTCGATTTGCTCAGGGTCAATCGAGCCTTCGGGATACAGGTCTTCTATTTCGGGGTTCCACTGCCTCACCAAGATCTATGAATGCGTTGCATCGAAGATCTCTATGTCATTTGATATGCCGACAGCCATTTCTGCCAGTGTGTCGGCCAGAGGAGATCGCAACTCATCGCCATACCATCCGCATCACTGCGGCTGTCTGTAAGCGATCAATGGCAAACCTCTTTAGCTTTGAAGAAATGGAAGAATCCGGTCCTGCCCAGTTGCTGTGTTCCTCCTGATCCTGTAGTGCTGATAAGCCCCCAATGTCGTCAGTTGCAGGAGTCAATGGCGAGGACAGACGCACGATGCTGAAATGCGGCGGACAAGCTGCGACGCACCTGTAGTAAATGAAATGAAGCCCTGGCGGAATGAGCTTGACGCCCTTGAACTTTGGGCCGATCTGCCAGCTGTTGTAGTCGATGCCAAAGTCCATGTTGGCTGGGGCATCGAGAAAGAGCAGACAGGCGCCGTTCTCAAAGACGGCTCTGGCGGTATCTGGATCGAGGTCCATGGCAGGGGCGGGCGTGTCTGGATCGGGTATGCTTGATGAGCAGCCCAGCACGATCAGAAACCAAGACCAGAGTGGCCAGATTGATCAGAGTGGCCAAATTGACCGGATTGATCGGAATGACCAGAAATCAAGACCAGACGCCAGCCACTCGGCGGCCAGCCAGCGGCGGTTCGATCCGGCCGGTCTGCTTCGCGCCGTCGTCATCGCCCACGCCCGACGATCGGCCCTGGTCCGTCCTGCATCAATCAAACCCACCACCGCACTTGCTTTGCCAAGCAGGCCAGCCATGTCAAATAGAGCGCTGCGTGCCAGCACCCGCTCGGCTCGCCGCAACAACGAGAACGCCGCCCAGGCCAGCGATCTCGGCCACGTTGATGCGCATCTCCCGCCCTTGCGCAAGTCGTCTCGACCCCTGTCGGCCACCATGCCGGTGGTGCTTGAGCCCGCTGCCAAGCCATTGAAGCCTGGGGCAGCACTGAATGCATCCAAGCCGTCCAAGACCTCTGGAGCCTTGAAGCTGTCCAAGCCATCCAAGATGTCCAAGACGTCCGAGACACCCCAACAATCAAAATCCCTCGGCAATTCGCTTACGCCAGCAGGCAAAGTCACAGACGCCGCAGCATCCCCGATCTCCAAATCGCAGCGCTCGTCCATTTCTCGTCCACTTCGGACGCTGATCGACAAGAGTTCAAACACCCGCGCCGATCCCAAGACCGGCCCACCGATCCTGGCCACTGCGAGCCCAAAATCGAGCGTGGCCAGCCGCACCATCCCTCTCTCGACCTCAACTCCCCAGCATGGACGGCTGTCGGCCGTGTTTGTCCAGAGCCCCAATCTCTCGCCGCTTGGGGGCGGCAAGCAACGGCCCTCGGTCTCGCATGATCCCGATGGCATATTCGAGTTTGGCTTTGATGACGACGACGAAATCGGTCTTCCAGCGCGGCCCGCAAGCGCCCGTCAAAGTCCTGGTGGCCGAAGAAGCATCGCCAGTCGACAACTGGGTTCAGAGAGCCCCGCTCCATCAACCGAAAGCGACCGCATCACAAACAGTGCTCGGTCGCCCAAGCAACGCTCGCCAAGACACGCTGCCAAATCGTCACTGCCGCTGCTGGCCATCGACTTGGCCTCCGATCGGGTGCGACCCAGACGGCCGCCATCTTCGTGGCGAAAACTGGTGGACGACTCCCGGTCCGAGCCCGAGGAGATCGGCATCAATACCAAGCCCGATCCGATGAAAGATCAGGCGGAGGAGGATTGTGCCGCGCCATCAAGCCCAACAGAAAGCCGCTCACGACGACGAACAGTGCGGTTCCGAAAGCGATCGCCAGACCATGACGAACCAAAACCAGCGACATTGACACCGAACAACCCAAGGAGCTCGCGGCCGATGAGATCGGCCCTGAAAGCCCCCAGTAGCACTCAAGCACGAGCAACCGCAAACGAACCCGCAAACGAACCCGCATCACCAGCCCAGCAAGCTGTCACTCTGGATTCTCCGACAAAGGGCGGCAGCGCCGATCTCATTCCGGTTGAGACCACCGGTGCTTTGCCCGTCGATGGCAGTGTTGCTGGTTGTGCAGAGCGTCCCGTCGACGATCCACAGCTCTGTCCGTCACCGGCAGCACCGGCCCTGTCTTCGCCATCGGCGTCCCAAGTATCGCCGGGATCGAGCCATTTGTCGTCGCCGCTGCTTCCTGTCGGAAAGATTTCAGAGAGCATGGATCTCGAGCCTCTGTCTTTGCCGACTCCCCGCAAGCCCGCTGAGCCGAGCGGGGCCCACAAACCAGCGATTCGCAACAACAAGCGAAAGCAGCCCCAACAACCGCGGCGGCGGAGGCGACGGGCTTCGCTCCAGGATACCGACTCGATAGCCGCAGATTCCGACGGTGACGATGATGCCGATGATGCCGATGATGCCGATGGGATCGACGATGAAGATCGGCCCAGGCGAGCCAGAAAGAGGCCAAAGACCTACGGCCGACGCAACGAGGGCGAGCCATCGGCCGACGCGAGCCTGGATGATCGGGTGAGTGCATTAATCGACGTCGGTCAGTCGGTCGGCCTGACTGGGCATTGCGGCATATCGACATGGAGTGTTCGCGGATTTGACTTTGGTGCTAAGGAATCCCTGGACTCACGGATGCTAGCTCATAGCACTGACACGCGGGATTTCATGACCACAGATCCGGAAGGAAAGAGAGGAAAGGATCCAGCACTTTGCCGAAGTGGACGAGTTTGTGATCGAGGGCTGGTAGTTGCTGGCGTTGGCGGATGCCATGGGGGGCAGCCCATCGGCGTTGTTGGTGCTGGGATGTGGGTCGTGGTTGGCTGGTCCTGAACGATTGGGGTCTTGTTTCGACACCGATCTCCGAGATGCACACCAGCAGCAACTCTGCCACCGGTGGATGTCGTGGCGGCCTGGTTAATGCGATAAAGTTATTTGCATTCTGCTCCAAAGAGCAACGGCCGCACCCCACACCCATTTGGCATCGCAATCCGAGGGCGAGGCTGTCGTGACATGGACGTGCGGTGCAGCCCCATCGAGACCGATGTGACTCGGCATATCATAGCAGGATAGCGAGCGATCTGTATTTGCACAGCGCCCTGCAACGCTATCCGCAAACCAAAATTCAGCGCAAAACAGCTCGCCCAGGAAAGAGGGGTCTGGACAGAGGGATGTTGGAGGGGGGGGGTAATGAATGGCTTGGCACGACGCGAGATGGAGGTATGGGGTCACTCGGGGGCTGGAGCTGCAGGGGGCTCATGCTTTCTTATGGCATGAATATTTTGGGCACTGCATTGATGGGGACAGATCGGGCGGATGAGTGTCGAAAGCCGGTGCATTCATGCAGCCAGATGGAAGGCCAACAGCAAAAGAGCGGCCCACAGCACCACCAAGAAGCAGCAGCACCAACAGTTGCTAGTAAGAAGCTGCCAGAGTCATACCGGCCACACGAAGCAGTTCAGGGTTTCATCGTAACTGCAGCTTTCGTTGGCAGAGCAGGGGTTGTCGCTGCACTTGATGAGCTCAGGCGCGCAGCTCTTCAGGCAGTCCAGTTTGGACTGGTTCGGTTCGTCCGGCAGACCAAACAGCAAGCGCAGAGTTCCGAGTCCCAGCATGCAAATGAGCGGATGATGAGAGTGTGGCAACGGCGATGATGAGAGTGCGGCCAACGGCAATGCATGGGGGAACCGAGGGCGAGGCATCCGGCTCAGTGCATGGAGCAGGGACATCAGGTCGTGCGACAGGGCCCGCTCGCTTCTGGATGCCTGCATCGACCCCAGGCTTACCGCAAAGATTCGCTCGCTGCCGCAGCCACCCCAGATATACGAAACGCAACCCTGCTCGGGATCAAAGTAGAAGCTCTCGATGCTGGCTCGGCACGGCCCAGTGGTGCCGACGAGCTGGCACTCGGGGCCAGGGCCGGGCGGCTGGCCGAGTGCGAGACGGGAGGCAAGGACAACAACCGCAAGAGAGGCCAGCGACAGCATTGGAGGGATCGGATTTAGCCTGTGCATTTGGAGAGCCGAGACGAGTCAGTGCAGGAGCCGAGACCAGGCCATCTGGGAAGCGCAGACGGGGAGCCACGGGCCGAGACGGCAACGCAGACGGCGAGCCGATAGCGAGTGCGAGCACAACATGCCTGGTGGGCGGGTCGGTGGCTTCGGAGTCGGTGAGATGGAGACAGGGTCGACGACGGCCTTGGCCGGCTGGATGTCGGGATGTTTGACCATCGCAGAGCAGAAGGTTTTGTGGCGTTGCCTGCAGTGGGCCATCGCAGACACAGAACCGGCCATTGTCGTCGACATGAGCCCCGCGGCCAATCATCGCGGCTTCGGATCCGATCGTCGGTCCGGCGTCTGCAATCATCTGCCTGCAATTACCTGCAGTCGCCTGCAATCGGGCACCGTCTCCGAGCCTGCTCCATCAAGCATGAAGTTTCCTCCGTGCACCGTCTGTCGCTCCGTCCGGTATCGCCGCAACGACTCGGGCGGCTACAACTGCATCAACGGCCACGAGCTCCAGGTACGGGTTTCTGCTGCCTCGTAGATCACCGCAGCTTCCAGCGGTCGCTTACTGTTTCTCCACTCGCAACCACGCCTGGTGCTTCGCACTATCGGCAGCATTACAGAGAAGAGGTCGAGGACGACGAAGCCCATATCGGCCATCTCCGCACCCGCCTGACCCGCAAACGAGCGCCCCCGCCCGACTCTGAAGAAGACCGAGCCTCTGGTGGGCCATCGCTGCGGCTTGCATTCTCTCTTGGATGCATCCAACCAGGACGCTGATCCTCCACTGGCCACGCCGCACACTCTGCCTTCTGAACCCAGACTACGACGCACTCGATCACTATGTGATTCCGTACAGTATCCGGGCCGAGCTCTATCAGCTACTTCTGCGGGCCCAAATCGAGGCTCTGACCAAGCACCTCTCGCTTCAAAACCACGGCGAGATCGAGGTACCATGCCGACGCCGTGATATGTCAGTGCGATATGCATCCCGCGCTTTGGTTGCCAATGGGCTCGATGAATCGAGACCAAGGTTTGGCTCCGATGACGACGGGCTCGGGAACGTCCTGGATCTCGGGGTGGCCAGCAGCACCGACCAGCAGCATCGGCCACCACCTGGGATTTCTGACCAACTGCTGACCTAATGCATTTCTAGAGTACGGCCCTGGAGCTCTGGATGCTGTATATCACCCGAAGCAACATCAATCTCGACGATCGTCTCAAGGGCCGTGCTCACAGATCGCGCAAGGTCGCCCAAGACAGCACGAGTATGTGGGCCAAGAACACCGAAATATCGGACCAGACACGGCTTCCTGGCTCGATGCGGCACCATTCGTCCATAAAGTTCAAGCTCAACTACCATGTCACACTGGTCGTCTGCTATGTTGCCTGTCTCATCCATCGCGTACCTGTGATGGTCGGGGATCTTCTGAGGTTTGTCGATGAAGGCGGCCGAGCCACGATTCAGAGCGGGACCAGCGCCGGCCCGAGAGTCTCATGTAGCAGCGTTGCATCGATGGTTTCTATTTCGGATGAGCTGGACCAGCGATGAACCGAATCGGCAATGAATCGAGACTCTGACTTGTTATGCTGAATCTGGATAGATGGGCGTCGAACGAAGTCATTCCATATTCACTCAAGTCGATCGACCTGCCGGTAGAGCTCAAGACGATTGCTGGAATAGACATATTCCCAGTAAGCCACCAGCAGCCATTTTCTGACTTGGCATCCCAGAGAGCGCGGAATCGTACGGGCGGAGGGCCTTCTTGAGCCCTGAAGGTGCGAAGAAATGCACCTCGCAATCTAATCGGGAGTAGATCCCGCCCCTGTACCCCGACAGATTTCTCAAGTTTGCTCAAACGTGCATCGAAATGTACATTTCCGACTTCCTTGTCCTCTTGCCCTGTCCAAACTGGCCGCTGCTATGGGTTCGGATCCTGAAAGAGACTCGGCTGCCATGTATGTAGTCTTCGCTTAGCAAGCACTCGCAATGTCGAGTGTATAACTGACAACGGATTGCGGTGGAAGGGGGGTGTTGCTTCCATTATCTCGACTATTGGCCTCATTAGACTCACTGTATTCCACGTTCGTGCGTTGGTTGTTGCTTTCAGTGGCGATATACGCCATCGCCGACCAGTTCAACAACATCGTCAATAATTTCCGGGTGCCTCGGGACTACAAAGCACACAGCCAAATCACCATGATCGTCCCAATTGTAGCCACAGTTCGGATGATCTATGGTCTAGATGGCATTTCGAGGTACGTATGGTCACGACCGAGCAGTGCCCAAGAAACCCACCCGATCCAGCGGACACACCCGAACTGAATGGCGGCATCATTCGTCGCAGGAAAGAGCCTCCCGAATCACACCTCAATATTGCTGCGCGGCTCATGCCGCTCGACGAGTGGCTGCGGTTCATGGTCGACAAGTTCGGCTCAGATACAGGATACATGTCCTGGAACTTTAGCAAGTAGGTCGCCGTTCGACCGGCTTGTTCCCATCCAATTTCATACCGCCATCCCACCCACGTGCACTGACGCCATTGCCGCCATCTTTACACTCGCAGCAAAGGTCGCCCGCTTTCGGGTCACCAGGTGGTCGAGTATTCAAAGTTTGTCAGCCGGATTACCACAGCCAGAGGCAATCCGAACAGTAAGAACCAGTCCGAATTCCAGATCCGAGTCGCCTCAGGACAGCGCACGCGATGCTCGCCCAGCAACATGCGATTCACAACTGACACCGAGATGGGTCTTTAGTCCACGACATCATAGCCACCGCTCTCAAACAACCAAGTGGCCGTGCTGATACCGGCTTGAGCCAGCGCCAAGTCCAGACGATGCGTGATGGCGATGCTGTCCCCGCGCATTTGGCAGCGTCGCAGCAAGAGCTCGTTCCCTCCGAAGAAGCAGGCCACGACGATGGTGACGGCGACAACGACGACGACAACGACGACAACAACAACAACAACAATGACGATCTGCAGCTCGCTTATGGCGATCATATGCGCATTTTCTACTCGACGCGCAGAAATCGCAGTGCCTCGTACTATCTGTCGGCTTCTCAGATGCCCGTGCATCATCACCAGTATGCAATCGTCCTCGACTGCTTCTCGAGGATCGTTGGCTGCATCATTGAGGATCTGGAGGAACAAGTCTCCAAGTTTGTAGTAACCCTGGATGCCCTCACGCCCTAGTCCCTGGTGCCCACTCTGCCCTTTATTTTGCCAATCAAAGCTGCTCTACTAGGGAGCTGCAGCGGCAATATCATCGACGGCTGTTCTGTAATCCATACCGGGCTGCCGAGTCAATATCTACCCGATGGCGGCCTGTCCAGACCACCATGTATATATTGGACTGACTGACTTTCGAGAATGCGATATGACAGCAGGAACAGAAGCAGGTACCCAGGTGGTTGCGGGTGGCATGCTGGATGCTGGGAATACTCCAACAGGGAGGACCAGTCGCAAGTTCTATACACTCGGTGGAAATGAATCGGGTCGATCCGTGCTCGTCGAGGTCTGCGGCTCTGTCTGTATCCGGGCGCCACGAATCAGAATGCCCTCCAGCGCCCAGAATCTATCTAGCATCCAGGCGACAGCGTCACTGGGCTTGGCAGTCCCGTGCAGATCTGCGGCAGTCTCCAAGGCCGCCTTCAACGAATCTCCTTGGCAATGTTTGTGAGAACCTCTTCCTTCCGGTCGATGAGCCGAGCCTGGTTCGGGAGGGTCTAGGTCAGCACCACGATCAAAGCCAGTGTCGTTCGGGCATGGCTCGGCCGCTCAGAGACTTTGGTGGATGGCATTAGCAGCCGCCAGGGGATATGTCTGTGCCTCGATATCAGGTTGTTTTGCCTACCAGTTCCTGCTTCTTCTCTCCGAGCTGCATTCGAGCCAGGCGAATATCCTACTCGAAAGAAAAAACACAGTCAGAGTGAGGGAATGCATCGAGGCGCAAGGGGGAGGGAGCGGCGGGCTTCGTTGAATCAATGCACCCACCGGAGGCAAATCTCTGTAGCTGCCGAGCTGGTCTTGAGCGACGCCCAGATCAGATGCCAGCTGGAGCACCTCCGACTCGAGCGATTTGAGCGTGCTGAAGCGCAGATCGGCGCTCTCGGGACTGAGATGGCTCTGTTGTCGACGGTGGAAGCATCAGCGATCGGTCGGCGCCTGACGCAGCACCAGATGACACTCAGGACTCTGCCAATACCTCCATATCCGTAATTCGATCGTGATACTCCTGGCGCTTCTCATCAATGACGATGCACTGTGTCCTCCAGCTCTGGAGCAGGGTTTGCTCGGCCTTCTGGCTGTCTCTGTCGTCGACGGTCTTGAGCAGCCTGGTTCATCGGGTCAGGTCAGCAAACACTGCAAGCCGCAGTGGTGGATGGGCTACGGATCGGGATTTCGCTCGAAGCTTTGCATGCATCGCATCAGGCCGACCAGGATGCTTGCCTCTGCGCCTCTTCTCTCCGTGCTTCCATCATTGATATTCTCTTGGACAATGTGTCCTTGGTACGGCCGAGTTGCCCGATTTCCCGCTCGAGGCGACTCTCTCGCACATGGATGTCGGCAATCGCTGCCAGGATCACGCCAGTCGAAGCATCGCTGCAGTCCATGGATTGATACAGATGGCCCATCTCCTTGGCGAGCGCCTCGCTATTCTTCCAGGACTTGTCCGTGAACCCCATCGCAGCCAGCACGGCACTCATGCGGTCGCTTTCAGCAGCGTATTCGCTGCGCACGAGCTCTTCGAGCTGCATATTTCGCGGGCGGGTGATCGTGGCGTGCTGTGCGGGAGTATGATAGACTTGCGGTGTGCTGTCTTGGGCAGGCTCTGCTACGGGGCGAGATGGAACGGCTCGGAGAGGGACAGACGCTGGAGAGCCCAGACTCGGCTGCAAGCAAGCTCCTGCTGCCGGGGCGGATGGCACGTGATGCCACCTGTGGGTCTGTGCGACATGGCCCACGATCCACACCAAGTTCGGGCAGCAAGTTTGGGCAGCGCCGGCCAACCGCTCCAGCTGCCAGCATACTGTTCTCTGTATTGTGCATCAGACTGATCCAGGTTCGACGGCGCCGCTTATCTCTGGGCGCCGCCGGTATGGTGCATGCTCATCAACTCGTTGATTCGCCGGTCAAGCTCGCGCACCAGCCGGTCCTCCCTGGTATAGACCCCGGTCATGAGCAGTGCGTCTCGCTCGGTAGCGAGCCGCTCGATCTCGGTTGCCACGCTGGGATCCAAGGCAGGTGCTGCGAGACTCTCGGCGCCATGGAGTCGGCTTGGGTCGCCTTCGTGGCCTTTGGATTGCTTGGCAACGATGGCGGCCTTGGCGCTGCTGGCAAGCTGGCGCAGCTGTCGGATTTGCCTGCTCCAGTTCTCCTTGTCGTGTTCTGGGGCTGCCGTAGCTGGCAACACGTCCGCGTCTCTTTCGTCGTCGTCCTGGAATGGCTGCTTCGTCTGGGGCTCGGGGAGGGCGGGCCGTTCGTCCTCGAGTTTGGATGGCGGTCGAATCGAGTGCGACTTGAGGCCGTCGAGGTCATTCTGGATCTCCTTCAGTACCCGGCGATTGCTGCTTTGATTCTCGACTTCTTCCTTGGCGAGCAGCCGCATCTTTTCCATCTCAAGGCTCCTCTTCTCCTCCTCGACCCGGCGTGCCTCGGCGTCGATTGCGGCTCTCTTGAAGGTTTCGATGCTCTTGAGGGCCTTGGCGAGCTGCACCTTGTACTGCTTTTTGGAGGCCTCCAGGGTTTCATTCTGGCGCTCGAGCTGAACGAGCTTCTCCGTGAGCTCGGCAATACGCGAGCGCAAAGATGCCTCAACGGTCACACCGCTGCTTCGTCTAAATCCGTCCAGCTGACTCTCCAGCTCCTTGCATCGGCCTTCCCATGCATCCCTATCCTTGTTTGCCTTGGCCAGACGCTCCTCGGTTTCGGCCGTCCGCTCGCTGTGAAGCTCCATCCGATGGCGGTACTCTTCATGCAGCCGGCGACTTGCGTCACGGACCTCTTCGAGCTTCCGTTCGTGCTGTCGCTCCAGGTCCGATCGGAGCTTTCGGACCCCGTCTTCGCTAGAATTGAGCTTGCGTTCGCGGGCCTCGAGATTCAGCACGAGCTCATTCAGATGGCCCTCAAGGTCTTTGAGTTCTTCGAGCTTGCCTTTCAAATGTTGCTCGCGCTCTCGCTCGCGCTGCTTCCACTCGTTGCTGAGTTTTTCCATCAGCTCTTGCTCGCGTTGCTGGAGCTTGTGCCGAAATTTGCGCTCCTCCTCCTTCTTCCAAAGCTCCAGCTCAAGGGCGACCTTGTATTCGATCTTGCCGTGCATTGAGCCGCCATAGCCTGAGGACCCCTCGGACTCGGTGTAGCCTGGATTTGGATCGGGTTCATAGCTGGCTTGTCGCCGATGGCTAGCGTGGAGATGTTGCGGGGAGTCTGCATATTCGTATCCACTCGTGCGGCTGGGCTTTGCCCTTGACTTTCCATCGACCTCGCGAGCACCCTTCCCAAAAGCTACGTCGGGATACAGATTCGACTCCAGAGACGCACTGGGCGCTGTATCGACTTGCTCCCTCGATATCGAGTTGATCGGTGGCTCAGACACAGCCGGCCGCGCGCCAAAGTCACCCTCGACTGCGCCAAAGTCCTCGAGCGCAAGAACTACCTTGAGCTGCAGCCATTTGTGGTAGCGTCCGTTTGCTGCTCCGATAACATCATACCATTCTTCGAGCGTGTGAATACGCACTTTGCGATCGACAGCGCCTTCCGAGTCTTCGACAACAGGACTATGGTAAAGTCGCCCGAGGTCCAGCGTTGCTGATCCGAGACAATTGTCATGTTCGAATCCGGCCCGATTCTTTTCCCAGAGCTCGACAACCAGCGGCACGCCTTCAAGGTAGGTGACAAGACGGGGGTAGAGCATAACAAACTCAAAGGCGCAGAACGAATGCGGCAAAACTTGCTCACTCTCGACATTGGGATGCGGCTTCAGAGACGGAGCGATTATCGGCGTTGGCGTACCAAAGGCAGGATACACATATTTGAAGTAGATCAGAGGGGACTGTGGTTGTGTGAAGCGGGCTTCTCGAATGGAGCGGAGGTCGATTGAGAATCGAAATTGGTGCCACCGACCATCATCCATGAAATGCGTAGTGGGCAGGATCGGCGCAAGGAGCCCCTCTGCGCCCCCTGTGGCATCGCGCGCGACATTGTCGAGATCGTTCGATGGCACTACGCCGAGATGATTATCCCCGGCTTGGCCGCTGGCCGCGATCGCGCCGATCGCACCGCGTTCATCAGACAATGGGTGATCAGCAACCTCAAATCCGGGCAGATCCGAGTCGCTTCTGAGGAGCGACTGCGTCTGTTGCGGAGGTTGGTGTGGGGCGAGGGTCTCCTGCTCGTGAGACTGGCGGTGCTGATATGCCGATGGTGGTGGGAGGCGCTCGCCAGATCGAGCAGCCGCCGGAGTTGTGGACAAAACGATATCGTCCGATCGAGCGAGCGGTCTCCGTGTCGACCCAAATGCGGCTGTTGGAATGCGCGACCGATTTGAAGAGGCAGCGGGCTGATCCTCCTCCAGCGCATCGGGCTCGTAGTCCTCTTTGTCGGGCTGGAGCATGATCGACAGGCCAATACTTGCCGACTTGCCCTCCTGGTTAACAGGGAGCTCCTGTTTCTTGTTGTAGAGGGGATAGAGCCGTTCGGTGACCCTCATCTCACCCAGCGGGGTCATGGCACTGGCGGACTCGTCGCTCCACAAGCTGGAGAGCTGGACGTCGGCAAATCCAAGAAAGTCGCGCTCATGGCACAGATAGATTGCGATTTTGCCAGATTCGTATAGGAAGGTTTTGAGATCGGGAAGGAGCGCACGGATGCGGATCGACACTTTTTCGGCCGGAAAGTTTGGCGAAGATATGTCCCGAAACTTTTCGGTGACGATCTGATTGCCGAGAAACGTGTAGTAAAAGTATAACCCCGGTGTGAAGATGGTTGAGCGATGGGAGCCGTCGAGCAGCACGGCGAGGTTCTCGGCAAAGGCAATCGAGACCGACAAGACCCATGGCTGTTGCCCGCTGCCTATCCGGTAGAATCCATCCTGAAGATCGATGGGGAGCGACGACCCGGCGTTGAAGGGCATCTCGCGGCCTGCCGCCCGGAGCTTGGGTGAGGAGATATGGTCCTTGGCAGCAAGTTCCTTGGATATGGCGCTTCCGCTCGCCCAAGCGGGAGGAGCCTCCTCGTACAGGGGCAGACCCTCGTCCTTGGCCGAGATGGAGAACGATAGCTTGATCTCGGGCCGGAAAGCACCGGACTGTTTGGGATTGATCAACGGGTAGAACTTTTCGATGGCCTTGGCGGCCTCGGCGGCAGCTCGCAAGTCCAGGACGATGTATCCAACAGCGTCTCGACGGTTGTGGACATCGACAGAGTAGCACATGAGCTTCAGGGTGGCTCGCTGGGACCGCAGAAACGACAGCACCTTGGTATCCAGATCCCATGCCAGCTCGGTGTCGAAGGTGGGGCTTGCGACGTGATCAACCGGATCAGTGGTGAGGATTTCCGTGTTGAAGCGGCACTGGATGTAGAGCTTGGCATTGGGGTTTCGTGGGAAATAGCGGCCTGTGATGCCGAGGGGATAGGGCCACGATCGGCCAATGGATGAGTCTGAATCCAAACCCGATTGCGAGTGCAAGCGAACGATGGGCGGCAAGCTGGATCGGCGACGGTGAGGTCTGCAGAACAGCACCCTGCCAGGAGGCGGAAATGCACGACCACCCAAGACATGCGACAACGGCCGCACCTTCAAGAAGAGTCACCAGCACGGTATACTGATGAGGTCTCGACATGCTGGTGGACGAATGCGCCCGACGTCGTCTGAGCTGCCAAAGGAGCGAGGGAGATGCCGGCAACAGCAACAGCAACAGCAACAGCAGCAACAGCGGCAGAAGCAGAAGCAGGGCGGACGAGCGACGAGGGGAAGCAGCAGACGACAGACAAGATCACGGCTGAGCACCAGCGCCAGTCCGCCAGGGCCAGGGACAGAAAGCGCGGGCTGACGGAATGGGATGCGACGGAATGCGATGGGATGGCTGGGATGGGATGTGCTGGCCTTCCGAAGCGACGGCATGCAAGGAGCATCCAGGACAGCAGGCAACTGGGCGGCTGAACATCCAAGCGGATGACGGGCTGGTCAACGGACACCCAGGAAGATGAGAGAATAGCAGGCAAATGTCCAACCTGACGAGAGACGGGGCAGATGAACGACCGCCCGGTGAGTCACCGCCTGCCAGACTTGACCGCCTCGCCTCGGCCGACCTGCTGGCCCGACCGGCTTCGTCTTTGATCCGTCGCTTGCATGTCCATGGCGGCTCAGCGGCTCCTCGTCCTTCTCATGGGCGTCTCTGGATGCGGCAAGTCGACGACGGCTCGGCTCCTCCAGGACCGGCTTCCCAACTGTGTTTTCCTCGAGGGCGATGACTTCCACCCGGCAGCAAACAGAAACAAAATGACCAGCGGACAGGTGAGCTGCAGTACATGTTTTGTAACGACATGCGTGTCGACATCGTTCTTGGCTGTCGCTCGAGATGGGCTCTGTCCTGGCTGACCACCCGTCCTGTCTGTATGGCTCGGCCCCAACGGCGATACACATCGCAGCCCCTCAACGATCAAGACCGAGCGCCGTGGCTCGCGGCCATCCATGCAGAGCTCGTGCATCGATGGCTCGACGCCGATGGAGGCATGTCGCCCGACACGATTGTTCTGGCCTGTTCGGCGCTCAAGGCTCGATATCGCAGTGTGCTGGTCCCCGTCGATGCGCCGTTTGCTGCCTTGGTGGTGTACTTGCGGGTTGACCGCGATGCGCTATCGCAGCGGCTCTCCGCGAGGACAGACCACTTTTTCAACCCAGCATTGCTCGACTCACAGCTGAGCGCACTCGAGTCCCCGACTGTCGACGAGTTCCGAGGCCACAGCAAGCCGGTCCAATTGCTGGAGCTCTCGGCTTCCCAAAACGAACCAACCGACCAAAGCGCCCTGGCGGAACATATTGCCCAAGCTGTGTCTGTATTCAGAGACAGATCTGGCGACGCCGCCTTGGGCATGTTATGATCGAATAGAGCCCAACGGCCCCGACAAACGGCTGGTAGGACTCGCCGATGACACCGCTGGCCATTGCAGTGGGCCGATCTAATCGTCGAGCTCGTCGGCATTGAGCGCCTGCAGCTGGGCCTTGAGTTCCTGGATCCGCAGTCCGATTCGACGCTCAACGTCCTGCCTTTGGGCCTGGTCGGGAAGCTGCTCGATAAGGCCCTCGTAGGTCTTCAGGCAAGCTTCGACCGATTCTTGTGCGGCGAGCTTATCTTCATTGTAGTATGTCGTACCCTTGCTTTCAGTGGCATATTCAAGCTGATTGCCGCATGGGCCGGGCATGAATTGGGCGTCAATCGACCACAGAGCAATCAATGGGCCGTATCAAAATCGGACAACAACAAGTCCCGTTAGCCTGGGATGCGACCCAATCATTCCACCGGAGTGGCTTATTGAGCCGTCATCGACACCACCATCGCCATCGACACCACCATCGCCATCGACACCATTGACTCTCGGCGTACTGAGCAGGACAGCTGCAGCAAAGACATATCCCTCTGTCGCAATCACTTTGGCGATCCTTTCTTCCGACGGCGTCGCATGTACTCACATCTTCCCGGGCCACACTGAACATATCGCCGATGGTGTCGATCTCTTTCTGGATATCCACGGGGCGGCTGGAGAACGGCTGGTGCCGGAGGGGCGAGAGAGCAGCAAGCGGCTGCACGGCGCTGGCTATCAGGCGGCTGGGCCGAGCGGACGGGGACATTGTCCCATAGCTAAACGAGCAGCGCAAGAGGATGTTTGAGGCTCGGGCAGCAAATCGCATGATGTCGTTGATGATGGCACGATCGATCGATCGATCGATCGATCATGTCGCCGCGAAACCCGAGATCACTCCCAGCCCAGAGCGAGAGCAGAACAGCGCTCTCGGCATCTCCTCGGTGTCTCCTCGGTGTCTCCTCGTTGGAGTGGAAGTTGGGACTCTGCCGGCGGACCGCTCAGTTGCCTCGCACCGCTCCAGGACGGCTGTTGCTCTGGGACTCGAATATACCCACACATTGCAATCATGTCCAAACAGTGTGTCCCAGGAAGCAGCGGTTTGCTGGGTACTTTGAACAGCGCAGGTCGATTGTGGAGACTGGAGAGCAACCCACGGTCTTCACTCAGAGGCGATCTGTTGAATCGCATGTGGTTCTGTTGGACCCATTCTCATCCTAAACCATGCTGGCATACGGGATCGCGAGGCCGTCCCATGTGTAAAGTGTATGGCGAAACATGGACTCGGGCAGCATGATCATGACCACACCGCAGCACGACCCGATAATTTCGGCAGGACTGTTTACGCCATTTTTTGCGTTGGCTGTTGTTTATTGCTTCGTTACTGGCCGTTTTGATTGATTCGGCGTTGTTCATTCCTGCACCCATCACTCTACTGTTTTTGGTTTCTGGTTGTTCTTCCTGTTGCAATTGTTTTGTGTTCACTTGGAAACGTCTCCGACTGATAGGTAACCCCGTGACCAGTCGTGGTAGGGTTAGGGTAGAGCACACGCGTGTCTGTGCGCGCCTGCTGTCGCACAGCCGCGTGGCCGAAAATAGCCGACGCGCCCGTCGCCACCGGCCAAGCGGCGTCCGTTTCGGTCTCTTTGAGCTGCTGGGCCGCTGGGGTCTGCTTGCGTTTTCTTTTTCCCTGTGGCATCATCATCCTCGGGTCGCCTCCTCGGGTCGCCTCCTCCGCCTGCAGCCCCATTCTCCTTGCTCGACCTCCCTGTCTGGGACGTCGGCGGTCCGTCTGTTTCTGTCTCTACCGTCTCTTCCGTTTCTGTTTCCGCCATCCGTCGCCCAACCGAGCGGCGCTCTCAGAGATTGTCTTGAGTCGTCTGTGCCTCCTCGGTCTGCATCCCTTGCTCGCCACAACCGCCCTTGCCGCCGCTGCTTCTTGGCCTGCGGCCTCAGCAATCAACTGCCCCGACCACCGGTTACTCACCCGCCCGGTCTGACGAGTGCTGCCCTGCCATCACCAACTTTGTCGCCAAGTTCTCCCATTGCGCCATGAACGGAGAGGGCCCCATCCACTACGCCAACAGCGCCCCACTCGGCCGTCTCCACATGAGGGTCGTCGAGGCCCGGAACCTTCAAATCCGGGGCGCTGCCGACAACAGCACGCTCTGCCAGCCGTATTGTGTGATCGAGTTTGAAAAGACCGAGGTTATCACTCGCGAGGCCATCACGATGTCGGCCAACGCCGACGGCACCTTCAATCCTCTCTGGAAGCACGAAGCCATCTTGTAAGTCGTTGCCGGGGCTCTGCCGGCAATATGCTTGCGATTCCTCCTGTCCCCTCTGGGTATTGGTATTCGCCAGGCGTCCACTCCCCCCCGTCCGCACTGTTCTGCATCCCTCGCCCTACTGTGGCCGCTGCCGGCCTATTCATCCTTCATGTGCATCCCGTTTCTGCATCCCTATCTCTGCATCCCTATTCTGCATCCCCGTTTCTCTCCTGCTTCATTTTCTGTATGCTGTGTGCTACCACTGGCAACTCGTCCACTTCTGACCACTTTGCTTCCACAGTGATGTGTTCCGTGCCGACAGTTCCCTCCAGATCAGCATCTGGGACCGCTCCACCAAACACGGCGGCGAGGAGACGTTCTTGGGCATGATGAAGATCCTGCCGATATATGACGACACAAAGCAGTACGACAACTGGTTCCGGCTGCTTCCTCGATCGTGGTCACATCGGGTCAAGGGCGATATCCGTGTGTCGTTCCGATTCTCTCGGACCGAGGTAGGGTTGCTATCCGATTGACCTCCGCTGGATTCCTGGCTGTGGGCTGGCTGTCGGATTAAATCCATCACCATCTTGTTCTGCAGGCGGTATCGCTAAAGTCGACAGACTTTGAGTTCATGAAGGTGCTCGGCAAGGGTGCCTATGGCAAGGTCCTGCAGGTCCGAAAGCGAGACACATGTAAGCCACTGACGCACAGTCGATGGTCCAGCCCAGCCCAGCCCGGTCCAGTCCGGTCTGGTCCAGTCGCTTTGCCTGGATATGTCTGCAGTGCATACGCCGCAGACTCGATGTGGGCTTTCATGAATGCTCACTCGCTGTCGGCATCGCCTTCCAGGCCGAGTCTATGCCATGAAAATCATCAACAAGCGCGACATTGCCCAGAAAGACGATATGTACAAGGAGATTGTCCACACCATCTCGGAACGGAATGTACTCATCAAGGCGCAATCGCCCTTCCTGGTCGGCCTCAAGTTCGCCTTCCAGTCTCCCGAGAAGCTCTACCTGGTTCTGGACTACATGAATGGCGGCGAGCTGTTCTTCCATCTCCAGCGCGACCACATCTTCACGATGGAACGGGCAAAGTTCTACTTGTGCGAGCTGGTGCTGGCCCTCGGCCATCTGCATCAGTACAATATCGTGTATCGGTAAGTTCGTGCGAAACAGTCGACTGTGATTTGCCGATCGAGACAGCTGTCTGCTCGCCCCCACAGTGTCTTGGCTGCAGCACTGGCTGTCGGTGGAGCCGCCGTGCCCTAACATATCTGCGTATCTGGTCGCACTCTCGATGCTAGTGATCTCAAGCCAGAGGTAACGTGGCGATGAGGCCTGCCGACCCGTCTGTTTTGGCCTTTACCTGCTCTTTTAGGCTGTCCAGCCGATGTCTCGCTCGGTCACTTTGTCATACTTGATTGCTCGACACTTCTTACCGACCCCGTTGTGGTCTAATCGTACCGTACTCATGCAGAACATCCTGCTGGACATCAACGGGCACATTGCGCTGACCGACTTTGGTCTCTGCAAAGAGGAAATCGACTTCAACACCACCACACATACCTTTTGCGGCACACCCGAGTAAGCACGTCAAAGGGCACCCTGGTTGTTTTGTCAACCCGTCTCATGCATTTCTTCGTCACCTGTACATCAGCACGACTGTTGAGCATTGCGGGGCTGATTTGATCCAGCACAACGTGTCTTCTCATTTGCTTTCATTTGCCTCACTTCTCGTCAGATACCTTGCTCCTGAAGTCATCCTGAGGCAGGGCCATGGACTGGCTGTAGATTGGTGGGCTCTAGGCATCCTGTTCTACGGTAAGCCTCACCTAACCACCAGGGCAGTCACGGCAGTGTCCCGCATTACGGACGCATCACATCGGGACCTCGTTATTCTTGGTCACGTCCCTCTCCATGCAGATTCTCCAGGTGTGTCGCATCAGCTGTGATCTGTGCGAATGCTTTGAGCTAACCGGCGTCGATTTTCCCTTTCGGTCTGCCAGAAATGACCACAGGCTTGCCCATGTTCTACAGCACCGACCGAGCCACAATGTTCCACAACATTGTCCACCAACCCATCAGCTTCTCACCCAGCTACGATCCGATAGCAGCCAAGATCGTTCAGGCAGTAAGCACAATATGCATATCACATCACGATCGTGTGTGGCATCTTGGGGCATGGACGAGCCTGGTGCCTCAACCAAACTCCCAATCGCTATGCTGAATGGCATTGTCCCCCCCCCGCCTGCATCCATGTAGCTCCTGCAGCGCGATCCACAAAAGCGGCTGGGAGCCGGTCCGAGAGATGCTCTCGAAGTTCAGGAGCACGAGTTCTTCGATGGCATCGACTGGATCAAGGTGCTGAAGAAGGACCTGTGCCCCCCTTTCAAGCCCAATGTGGTGAGTGTTGGATTCCTGGGCCCCTGGGCCCGTTGCTCTGCGATAGTAGCTTGCGAGGTTATCTCAATGCTCTGTTGGTGTGCGTGGGCATTGCGACCGCCGTTAACAATGGTTCCGTCTTGGCGGCCACCGCTGCAATCCAGGAGTGCGAAACAGACACATCCAACTTTGATCCCGAATACACCAGCGTCCCCGCCACCATCGACTCGGTCTCGGATCACCAAGACACGCTCCAGATCACCGAAAGCTTCCAGGAGCAGTTCGAGGGCTTCTCATATACCAACGTCACGCCTGGATCTAGTGCCACATCCCGGTTCAAGTATGTCCTGCGAGGCACCAACAACGAATAGAGCCCTCGGTCGCTCGATGGACCCCCAGCGGCCGTGCAGGCAACCTCTGGGGCCCTATTCGTCTCACTATCGAAGCCAAATGTCTTTGTTAAGCCATTGCCTGTCCGGGAGAGCCTCCTCTTTGCCATTCTCTCACTTCTTTGACCACCGTGCCCCTGTCTGGGCTGATCTGTGTCAATGCGATGTCAATGCGATGTCATGTCATGCGATGCGATGTGTTCGCCATGCCCTGCTGAACTGCTGAATACATCATTCACCCGACGCAAGGTTTGCGCTGGCCGCTTGGTTGCTCGCCACCGTGTCCACGAGGGCCCACGGCGAGGTCCCATTTGTCAGCGCCTCAGGGACTGCGCGCGATGGGCGGATGGGCAACAAGGCATCGCGACTCCTCGAAACAGAACAACCCGCGATGCCACGCAATCAATCGCGACAACAGGGGCTGTTGCCGGACTGCCTCGTTCCGGGCACTCGCCGACTCGCCGGGCCGCTCTCGTCCCCGTCCGTCCTGTCGACCCGCTGTTCTCCCGCCCTCTGTCCTCGTCCGTGCTTGGTCTGGTTCGCTAACGAGTCTCACCACCACCACCACCGACATCGCCGACATCGCCGCCAACACGCCGACATGCCGATCGAAATCAGACCAGCCGAGCTCGAGGACGTCGACGCCATTGTCGCCGTCGTAAACGATGGTGAGTCTGCGGTGTGTTCACAGCGGAATGGGCCATGGCTGCGTCTTGCTTCGTGATCCGAATCCCACTTTGCCTTCGAGATGGATCTCCTCCTACCTACCCCCCGATTCTTACCCTTCTCGCACGCAGCGTATCAGGACGCACACTACTTCAAGAATCCCGATGCCTTTGACCGCACCAACGCCGCCGAAGTCCGCGACTTTCTCAGCAGCGAGATCAGCCAGGATCCGGCGGAGCGGCGCCGAACCTTCTATTGCGTCTGGGACGACAGCGAGCTCGCTGCCTGTGTCCAATTCGATGGGGACTACAGCGACCAAGAGACTTACTTTGGCATGGTGGGTGCATGGCAATAAGCACCGCCTCTGGATCCAAAGAAGTTGCTTTGCACTGTTCTGGCCTGTGTTGCGCTGCATGAGCAGATTTTCGTGGGTACTTTGTGGTCCAGCCTGACTCCGTCCCCTTCACCCTTTTGCCTGGCCCATCGCTGTCTCAAGCTCTCGGTCAAGTCATCCCACCAAGGTCGGGGGCACGCCAAGCGATTGCTCCACAAGATCGAATGCAGAACAGCCGAACTCGGCAAGACGACGCTGACCTGCGCCGTGGTCTCGATCCAGGGCCATCTGATGAGAATGTATTCTTCCAAAGGCTTCAAGATCATCGACTGCTCAGAGTGGCCCGTGGACTCCAAGCCCTTTGTCGTGCGCTCGGACTATTTCGAGCTCGTCAAGTTTGTGAACATGAAGAAGGCGATCGCTGCTTGATGCCTGCTTGATGCAGCGGAAGCAAGGCAAAGCATCCACATCTAAATCATTGCGGACATCTACATCGGCATCGGCATCTGCCTCGACACAATCATTAGCATCAGACTAGTCGACAACGCAGCCTCCCTGGAATTACGAACCAACCCTCGAGTATCCCTTGGCCGCCACGGCCAAGCCGTATTGCAGCGCTCCCAAAACAAAACGAGACACCCTGTTTCGAGCCAGGCTAAGTTATTTTCTGGTCCTGAATACACACCCATTTACCATTCACCATTGTGTAACAGTGTGCCCACAGTGTCTGTTGGCTAATCGACATGAAAAAGCCGGGTATCTTGATGCCGAGCAGCCATGGAGCTGCCCGGAGGCTGTACAGCGGACGGGTTGCTTTGCTACATCGTAGTATGCAACGGCCATCGGCTTTGGATTCCGACTGCGCTGATCCCTTCGTCCCTTCGTCCCTTCGTCCCCGTTCATCCATCGCTGCCAGCGAGATCGTCCAGACGCCTTCACAAACAATGCATCGTGCGGCATACCCGTACGGGAGGGATCTGTATTCGATCTCGTAGCTCTGCTCCGCAACTGTGACGACACTCATGGCGCTGCGCCTGTGACAGCCGCATCCCACAGCAGCGAGATGGCATGATTTTTGTGGTCAAAGTGCGCCGCAGAGTTGTGGGTTGATCGGGCAAGTATCTGCATGTGCACACAGCGAATGCCCAGACCCCAGCCAACTGCTTCGACATCTCAGTCCGAACCACTCCGCCTCAAGGACTTGTTCACTACGGTCCAATCTGTGTCCAACACAGCCATAATACCAGCGGCATCGTGGCAAGCGTAGAGCAGCCAACCCCACTCATCAGAATCCCTGGAAGCACTGGTTATATCGTGGCAGTGGCGCATCTACCTTTTGATACACGCCGGATACACTGTCGCGGCCCCCATTTTCGTCTTTGCTTTCGTTGTCATCGTAGCTGTTCGGTTCTGAGAAATCCTCCTCGACAATCTTGACCGGAACGCTGTGGCGGGTTGACACCTGCTCCCAAACAGACTCAATTGGAGTCGGGATCGCTATCTTTGGCTCGGGGTGACCGGGTTTGGCGGACTTGCCTTTGCTTTTGAGCTGGTGGAGCATCGGCCACGTATACTTTGTGCGGCCCAGATCCGGGAATGGTCGAGCACTCCCGGGAATCTCCTCTTTACTGGGCTAGCGATGGAGATGGAGATGGAGATGGAGATGGAGATGGAGATGGCGGTCAGGCGAGGCCAGGATGCGGATGATGCTCGTGAAGTACAGTACTGCCAGGGCAAAGAGGAAGCTCTTGACACCCCCAGCGACGCCGCATGGAGTGCTCTCCCACACATCGGTACTTGATGAGTAGACTTACAATGACTTCGACTGATTCCCAAAAGGCGACCATGAATGTAATGCGCCGTTCGTCTGGGTTCGTCCGAAAACTCCTGCCCGGGATAACACCTAGTATGTCCGAGACACACGCATGAGATTGCGTTTACAAGCAAGCATCGGCTGTTGACGCTTATCGCCTCTAGTGGCGAGTTTGCCATACGCGCTCAAGGCTGCGTGATCTATGACGCTAATTCGCGCTTACGTGATCAATGACGCTGACCCGAGCCCATCTGCAGATACGAACCAGTCACTCCAAATGACTCTGCACTGCAGTCTTACCGTGAAGCACGCTGCCATCAAAGACGGTATACCGATTGAGCTTCGGGAAGGCCAGCCAGGCTTTGTCTGCCAGAGGATCACCAAGCCGCTGGTTGGTCACTAGGGTCGGACCACCGATGCCTTCGGTTAGATAGCAGACACTGCTCACGATCGGGTGCCGTGGCTTGCCGCCTTCGCGTCGTCGGCCCTCGTCGTCAGAGTCAAAATGAAGCTGATGGCCGTGCGAATGCGGGCGGCAGTGCGCCCACCACTCGGCGTACTTGGCTTTGGCGGCTTCCGGGTAGAGCTCGGTGGCGAGAGCATGCAGTTGGTGGATGATGGTGTCGAGGTAGGTGGCTTGCTGGCCCGGAGACGGACTCAGGGCATGTACATAGGAAAAGTATGGCGAAAGGGGCGAGTAGTGATGTTCTTTCCAGAAGACCGAGTTGATCCCAAAGGTTGATTGCAGATGAGCAAGCATCTCGGGCGGCAGAGCGTCGTCCCAGACTCGAACATAGTCCACATCATTCTTCCAGGGGCCCCTGACTGGATGCGGATTATAGTGCAAGGCGTGCGGGGAGAGCCGCCAGGAGTATCCCAGCTGCTTGAGAATCGGCTCGGCGTCGTTGTCTCGTCCCTCCTGGCACAGGAACAGCAACAGGAACTGACTGGCTTCCTTGCCGGCCTCGATTTCCTCGTAACATGAGGGCTCAAAGACCCACTTGCCGTCGTCGACAGACTCGAGCGACTTTCCGATGCCGATCATCGAGAGGCGCTGTTCCTTTTGAGCCTCAATCAAAATGTCGGCTGCCTCGATGGCGGCCCTCAAATGGGTTTCGATCGAGTTGAGCTCCTCCTGCGATGTGGCGGACTCGCGGATCAGCTTGGAGACACGCAGATTGATCTTGGAGCTGTAGGGAAAGACAATGATGGCCTGCTGATACTCTTCATGGGCGAGCGACATGCTGTCGGTCTCTTGGAGCTCTTCATAGAGTGCGCCGAGGTGGAGATGTGCCATCGAGCGCAAGTAGTAGGGATTGTCCAGCACAGGCTCGGTCACCTCGTCGTTGCATGTGTGGATGTTGGCCTCATCTTTTAGCAGACGGATGCAGGCCTCGAGCTGCTGGATCTTGTCGTGGATGTCGCTAGGGAGTGAAAAGCAGTTGCCATGATCGTCTTCCTGTGTGGCTGCCTTGTAGAAGGGAATGGCCCTGCGGACGGCGGCAATCTGCTCGTTCGTGAAGAGCCGGGACATGGCGGGGGAGGGAGGCGAAGACGTAGTTGGCTTGGGGTTGCAGCGATGGAGACTTGCGGTGGAAGATTGAGAGCTGTCGCGATTGCGGATGGACCAAGACGGATGATTCGCTGGCGAGCTGTTGCTGTTGATGGTCTTGACAAGCGAGGTACAGGATGCTGATCAGCCGGGACTAGTGTGGATCCGGATCGATTGACGGACCTGGGTGAGCAGCTTGTGGTTTGCTATCGTGTACAACACGTTGCGTCGAATCGCCCAATCGATCCACAAGACTGGCTGCAGGTCGAGACAGCGGTAACAAAGCGGGCACAGCAGGACCGGCCCAAGCGACGGCGAGAGAACGCAAGATTGGCTGAAGATACAGTTGGTCGGGGACGGGATTGACCAGCGAGGGGGGGGGGAGATTGCGCAGGACAGAGACGGACGGCGATGGCCAGCGGATGGACTTTGGATACGAAAGAGAGCGTGCAGCTCCAGATGGCAGTCGAGAGAGGCAGGGATTGGCTCCAGAAGACTGCCGGCGGCGGTGGTGCTGGTGGGCTGCTGGTGCTGGTGCTGGTGCTGGTGCTGGTGCTGGTGCTGGTGCTGGTGCTGGTGCTGGTGCTGGTGCTGGTGCTGGTGCTGGTGCTGGTGCTGGTGCTGGTGCTGGTGCTGGTGCTGCTGGTGCCGGGGTTGCAGATGCGCTTGTCGGTTGTCAATCGGCATCGAAGAAAACACAAGCCACATCGGCGTGTGTGTGTGTGTGTGCGGGTATGACAAACACGTGACACACCACTTCTGCACCAGATGCAGCGCCACACCACGCGTACTGCGCCACATCACGTGCCTGCTGCGCGCCGCGCCACCGCCCGGCTTGCCCCGCGACCGCTTTCCCACCACTGCTTGCCGGGATGCGCCGTCTCCGAGCCGCCTTCTTTGCTGCTCGGTCTTTGCCATCGTCGACTTTGCATCCGCTCTCGCCTTTGCCGTCGTCGTCGTCGTCGTCATCGTCGTCTGCTCGCCTCCGCTGCCTGTCAAGTCCTCCCCTCCTCCATCGTCGTCCGCTCCATCGCCGCTGCTCCACCATGCCTGTCGCAGAACGGTTCCTCGCCGACACCCAGATCCCCATCTCGGTGCTGGAAGCCAAGGTCGCCTTTGAGCTCCTGACTCCCACCGAGAAGAAGTACGGTAAGCCAGCGTCGTCGTTGCTGCCATGTCGTCTTGCCACGCTTCCTCTCTCCGAGGTCCTGCCAGTCCGATCCTGTCCGCCTCCTCTGCGTGCCTTCTGACAGTCAATGTCCATGTGTCTCCCTCTCCACAGCCCACTTCATTGCCCGTGCTGGCTGGGCTGGCTCCCGCATCGTCTCGGCCCAGGCCACGCATCACTCGACCGACCTAGTGGACCTGCTCCTGGCCCTGTTCACCGCGCCCGAAACCCTCCATACTGCCCGTCCGCACACTGTCGATCTTGCCCAGCTCAAGACCGCCGCTGGTCTTGACGATGCCGCCTGGACACACCTCCTCGAGTACGCCGCCGTTGTCCTCCACAACCGAGGCAACTACAAGTCTTTTGGCGACGTCAAGGTCATTCCTCGCCTCAGCCTCGAGGCCTTCGATCGTGTTGTCGAAGCCTCGTCGTCGGACGCCGCCAAGACCATCTATCCCCGTGTCAAGGACGAAATCTTCTCTGCCGATCCCGAGTCCAAGCTTCTGCTTGGCTTCCCAGCCGAGGGCCATGTCTCGGGTTACTACTTTGGCAATGTCTCCAAGGAAGACAACGACTTTGTGCAGGCCATCCTCGAGCAGAACGATGTCTCGTCGCTCAACACCCGCCTGGCCAAGATCTCCGAAACCGAGTTTGAGGTCCGTGTTGCCTCGGTCGACTCGTACATCGGCAAGACCTTCCAGAAGGACGGCAAGTCCGTCACCCTGGTCTTTGGAGAGTTTGCCCCGCATCTCGCCAAGGTTGTCGAGAACCTCGAAAAGGCCATCCCCCATGCCGCCAACGAGCACCAGCGCCTGATGCTCGAGGCCTATGTGCGCTCCTTCCGCACCGGCTCCATCGAAGACCACAAGGACTCGCAGCGCCACTGGATCAAGGACATCGGCCCTACCGTCGAGAGCAACGTCGGCTTCATCGAGTCTTACCGTGATCCCGCCGGCGTCCGCGCCGAGTGGGAAGCCTGGATCAGCATCGCCAACAAGGAGCAGACCAAGAAGTTCAATGCCCTCGTCGAGGCTGCCAGCGACTTTATTCCGCTCTTGCCCTGGTCGGCCGAGTTTGAGAAGGACACCTTCCGCCGTCCCGATTTTACCAGCCTCGAGGTTGTGACTGACGCCGTCTCGAGCGGTCCCCCCGCCGGCATGTAAGTCAGCGCAACTGCACTTGATTCTTGCATCTGGGGGTTTGCCAGCGTTTGTGCTGACGCCTCTCTGTTCTGCTTGGCCCTCTATACTGTCTCATCCCCGTCGACAACCGCAGCAACATGTAAGTTCCTCACTGCACCACGCTTGCCGAGAAACTGCCCCAATATCATGTAGTCGGCGGCTTCCTTGGATGGAGCGTCTGCGGAAGCCAGTTCCTCCAGGAATCAGGTCGACCTGCAGATCCTTCACCGAGCGGCATTGACTGAGCAGCAGGTCTCTCGGCCAACACCATCCCTCTACTGTGCGCTAATCGTGCGACCCCGCCCTTGGCCGTTTCTCTGTCCACCGGTACACCAGCCCCAACTACGACGACATTCGCATGAACGAGGGTTTCAAGAACGTCTCCTTTGGAAACATTGTGAGCGGCCGCCCCACCAACGACAAACTCACCTTCATCCGTGATGAGGACAAGGAGATCTACGCTCAGTTCTATTCCGAGACTTTCGAGGTTCAAGTTGGACTCCATGAGCTTCTCGGTAAGCATCTCTTGCCGCCCGGCACACCATCTGCAGCGGCGAGGTCCTGGTCCTGTCTAGGCTTTGTTCTGCCTCGGCGGCTGGATAGAGCGTCGAGTCTCATCGGGTTGTCTTTAACCAACTTCAGGGCATGGTTCCGGCAAGCTCCTGTCCGAAGAGACTCCCGGCCAATACAACTTCGACATTGAAAACAAGCCCATCTCGCCTCTGACCGGCGAGCCCATCAAGACCTGGTACAAGCCCGGCGAGACTTGGGGCTCGGTCTTCAAGGCTGCTGCTGCGTCTTACGAAGGTACGTTCCTTGTGATCGATCAGCGCCCTGCTTCATTGTGTCATGGCCAGCTACTAATGCACTGGATATCGCTGTGCAGAATGCCGCGCCGAGGCCGTTGCCATGCACTTGGTCCTGAACCGCCAGGTTCTGGACATCTTTGGCCACAAGGACGAGCAGGAGAGCCAAGACGTCATCTACATCTCGTATCTCAGCATGGCTCGGGCTGGTCTCATCGCGCTTCAGTTTTATGGTGAGCGACTCTGAATGGATGCAGCTCTGCTGGAGGATACTTCCTCTGTCTCGGTCGGAGCCTCTGAGCTTCTGGGTTGGCCTCGGCACACCGCCGATGCCGCCTCGTGATCTAATCCGCCGAACTCTCCGTGCATATCATCCCCGCGCGCTCTCTGGCAGATCCCAACTCCAAGAAGTGGGGTAAGTCGCCCGAACGGTCCCTGTAGTGCGCACTTGCGAAGCAAGCGTCTTGGATCGCGCCTGGCCCTTGACGTATCGCTACCACATCACCAGCGTTTATTGACTGACTGAGTATCCCTTCCCTTCTCGACACTGGCATCGGCAATGCTGCCGCAACGTGCTCGCTGCTCTTCCAGGTCAAGCCCACATGCAGGCCCGCTATGCCCTGCTGCGCGTGTTCCTCGAGTCTGGCCTTGTCCATGTGGAAGTCACCAAGGAAGGCGACCTCGACTATCTGTTGATCCATCTCGACCGCAGCAAGATCGAGTCGGTCGGCCAACCCGCCATCGCCAAGTTCCTTCAGAAGCTGCAGATCTACAAGGCCACTGCCGATGCCGAAAACGGCCTCAAGTTCTACGAAGACTCGACTTCGGTCTCGGATGAATGGGTTGCCAAGCGTGAGATTGTGCTGAAGCACAAGCAGCCCCGCAAGATCAGAATCGAGAGCAACACGTTTGAGCTCGAGAATGGCGACATTCTCTTCAAGGAGTACCCTGCTTCGTTGGAGGGTCTTGTCGAGTCCTACGTCGAGCGTGCGATCTAAGCCCCGCCTCTTTGGTGTTGGCATCATCGATGTTGGTGACTGCGATTGACGATGATGGCAGTCTGTGATACAGCGCGTTGAATACACATCGGAATACATCGTCTCATTCGGACAAAAATACGGCGCTGTCGGATCATATCACACACCCGGCCAACAACGGCCAAGTGGATCAGATCATATCCCTGGGTTCCGCCCGCTTCGTCCCCTGGCCCCGCATCATGACTCTCGGGATCACATGCCCTGCATCGCGAGCGCGGAGTGACAAGATCGTCCTCGCGATCCCCGAAAAAAATTTCTGGATTTGTGTTCCGTCTGCTCGCTCGTCTGCTCGCTCATCTGCCCGCCCCAATCGACGCGCATTCGTCTCGCCAGGTTGCCCATCTCTGCGAGACTCGAGCCAGCTGCACACGAGCGCTCTTTACTAGATTGCGGGATCCGAGTCGCCATGCAGTTGAAGGAGAAGCTACAGGGCGTTGTCACCACCGAGTCGGTTACTCGGCTGTTGAAGAGCGCCAGTAACGACACCAGCTCCCAGGACAAGATCCGATTTGCACAAGAGATCCTGGCATCGCGCTCGATATTCATACCGGCCAAGCAGGAGTGGCTGTGCGAATGGGTCTGCTCTGCAATGATCAAGTCGATCCCAAAGGACCTTGCCAAGGTCGACGGGCGCAGGTGAGCCCTGTCTGTGAGCCGCTGCCTCGGTGCTGCGACATTCTGATTTGCCAACAATGAACTGACGCCCATTGCGTCGTCGTGGTCGTTGTTGCGGCCATCGTCGCCGATACCAGGCTCGACTGGAGCCATCCAGATCCCTACGTCGACGCCGATTACTGGGCATTTCTCCTGTCTCTCATCAAGGAATTTGCCAGGCTGAGAAAGGAGTCGCTCAAGAGCAGCGGCGTCGATCGCACCCGAGCCGCATCGATCAAAGTGCCGATCCTCCCGCTTTTTACGAGTCTCTGTGCAATTGTATCGTCTCCAAAGACTGAGGGTGCCTTCTTGGACACCTGCAACGACTTGGTTCGCTTGGCCATTGAGTGCTATGCGCTCCTGACGACCGAGCTGCCGGATGCCTTCCATTTGACCATCGAGCAGCTCGTCGCCTTCTCGTCAGACATTCTTGCAGCGATTCTCGTCCGGACCCAACCAAAAAGTCTCCACCGTGATCTGTCTGCCACGCTGTGTGTTCTCCTCTGCCGGGTCCTCTCAACTCTGACAGCGTCCTGCAACCAGTCGTCGAACCAAAAGAAGGTGTGCTGTCGATCGTCTTTGGCTTCAGATCCACAATCCGTGGCATCGCTGGGTGCAAGACTCACCAGCGCCTGCCATCTGCCTCTCATTCGTTGTCCAGATCTTTGGTCTTGTCTGCTCAAAGCTCCTTGTGCCTCTGCTTTCGATCCTGCATCAAGCACGCTGGGACCATTGCTTCCAGGAACAGTGCATCGCCCCGATCCAGTCCGAGTTGGAGACCCAGATCGAGGATCTCATTCGCACCGGCCTGTTCCACCCTGAGCACATCGCCGAGTTTTCTCTCACGCTTCAGAATCTCGAAGCTATGGCCAAACTCCCCAAGGAGAGCAAGAAGGATGTTTTGCTGAGCTATCCGCGGCAGTTTTTTGACCAGATCAAGGCCTTGGCAGGTGCCGATGCTGGAGGCGCTAACAGCACCATGGGTAAGTCGCTGCTCGTGCACTCGACCCTCGAGGTGCCATTGCCGTCAGCTTATATCCTTCGTCGTGTGGCCCTGTAGCTCTCCGCTCCCTGCCGATTCTCTTGAAGCTCTTCCTCACGTCCGCGACCCAGAGCAGTCCCGCCATCTCGGCCTCTGCGGTCTTTCGAGTCGAGTTCAGCTTCTTCAGCCATATGATCGAGATTGCAATCGCTTGTGTTGATCGGGTGTGTTCCGAGGCACACAAGTCTCAGAATATTGACTCTCAAGGTGCCAGCGATAGTCTCGCCGCCGCTATGTTTGCCGTGCATGCTCTGCTGGAGCAGCTCGACCGATTCGAGATCTATCGCCCGACAAACGACGACATCTCGCGATTCCAGCTCAAGTATTTCCAGGGCATCCGTCAATCGCTCGGACAGTATGCCAGTCAGGCCCCTGGTATGAGCATCGCAGTCGCCTAGTGTCCCGCTCCTCGGCGAGTGTCCACCGGCTGTGCCTGCACTTGCCCGAGTGATATCTATCATAGCACAGACCTCGCTCCGAATCTCGTTTGCCATCTTACTGACTCGCAACTCTCTTGTGGCTACGGCTGCGATTACGACTCACTGTGACAGCGGATGTACACAGTCTCTTTTTCCTCGCATGGCGCCAGCTTCTCAAAATCGACTTTTCGATCATCTTCCAGAATATGGACAACATCTGGCCGCTCGCGCTCCAGGCAAGTAGTTGGGCTCTAGCAGCCTCCTTTCCTTTCCTTGGATATCGATATGCCCATGCGCACAGCGGGATCTATTTTGACACTTCATCTTGCCCACATACCTTGCATCTAGCCGCACACGGGATGCTTTGAGGACGCCGAGGAGTTTGTCGTCGAGCTCCTCGACACATTCACAAAGTCGCGCCAGCTCGATCAGCTTATCCGGGAGGTTCTTGGCTGGATCCAGCAGCTGCACTTGCACACAGACCAGCGCCGTTTCCAAACCAGCACCTTCTTTTCGCCAAGGGTCCTCGGGGTGCTCTCTGCTTGCATCCGAAGAAACCTACCCGCACAGAACGTCCAGATCATTGGCGTATTTTGCGAGCAGCTCGACGAGTGCTCTGGCTCGATTCGAGATTGTCTGGCTGATCAGGATGAACCTGCACCGAAGAAGGTCAAGAAATCAGACCAACTGGCCACTGGCAGTGTCGAGGGCACCAAGAACATAGGATGCGTCGAGCCGCTCTCGCTGCTGCTGGCGCTTGTTATCAAAAACACCGCCATCTCTGCGGGACAGCAAGCGGCATTTTCCAGATTGTCGGGCACCCTGTATGAGCAATTCATCACGCCTGTACTCCAGAGCATGCCTGCTCTGGAGTCTGCCTCGACTAAGCGCGCCCGAGACGATCCGACTCTGGAGTTTCTGTATTCTGCGCTTGCCCTGCATCTCAACCTGATGGAGGCCTCAGACCAGTACTGGAGGGAGCACGTTCGCACCAACGACATTTTGACCCTGGTCAAGGGCCTCGCTGTCTTCATCGGCCGGGAGCCGCGCGTCGCTGTTCTCGTGGTAAGGATATCCGCTGTGCGCTCTGGGCATTTGCGCACTCGGTGGATGGCTCATGCCGACTGTGGCTGCACCTCGGTTCATTCGACAGTCCAGTACTGTACCCGCCTGAGTCGCACGTTCGCCAGCAACAGGATTTGTTCGGCAATGCAACGATTGACGATGTTCTGTTTCTGCACCACCTCCGCCAGTGTAAGATTGGGCTCCATCATGTCGACCGAATCGCCAGCACCAACACCGATCTGCGTGACGACCAAGATTGCATCGACATTGTTTCAAGAATCATGAACAGTGCGACGCAGCTCATCGGCTCGGCTAGGCACGCCACATGGGACCGCCAGTGGAGCCAAGTCTCCGGCAGCAACATCGGTGTGGCTCTGTGGGTCACCTTGCTGGATCATCTCGCCGCTATCTGGTAAGCAAGGATCGGTATCATGCGCGTAGCTTTACTAGTGCTCGGGCGGGAGCAACCCACAAAGAGTCGCTGTCCCGCACCAGAAACAATCCCCAAGAGCGGTGCAATGCTAATCCGCAGTATCGATGAACATGGTCTGGCCATGCACCCTCCAGCCGCGTGGCTTCACAAGCTCAAGTTGAGTTCATCGTGAAAAACGTGCTTCTCTCGCTGTCGATGACCAATGTTGCCGCCCACTCTGGCGGCTCTGCCCTCTCCATGGCTTCCGTAACAGCTCAGCTGCTGTCCAGCGCGTCCTTTTTTGAACTGCGTCCGATTCGGGGTAAGTGTCGATGCTCCACATATACTACGCTATGCCATGCCATGCTATGTTATGCCATGCCATGCCATGCTATGCTATACCGGCTTGTTGTCACACCTGTAACCATCGATATCGTCCAGACTTCTTCCTGCTTGGTTTCTGGGAGCAAGTCTCTGTCCTCAATACGGCTGTCCTCCCTCCCGTCCTACTGGACTTTGTTCGGTCGCCCAGTCACTCCCAAGATCCGTCTCGACTGCAAGAAGCCATCGTTGATCCAGCCTCGTGGCCCGCCCACAGCTCTGCTCCAGTCGACATTCTGTGGAATCAAATCTCCTTGCTCAGCTTGTTTCCGTCTTTGTATTTCACGGCGCCAGAGCGAGAGGCGCTGTCGTGGCTTTGCCTCGCCCTAGCTAGCTTCATGAAAAGTCGGATTACGTCCAACACTGAATCGCAGGCGCTAAGACTGATCGCTGTCAGCCTCAAGCTTCTTGTTCGCTACGGAAAGAAAGACGACCGATTTATCACCGTGAGTTTCAGCATGTGTTCGCGCCAAACACAGCACATGATAGTCTTGCGCAGGGTACGGCTCTCTCACATCGATCTCGTCTGCACCGCTCGCTCAGCTACAATCGCCACGACTACTGCAATCCATCATCGAGCTGGCAAGCAGCCTTCCCGAAGGGCCCGAGTACAACCCGATCTGCGATCAAATCCGAGGCGCTGTCTTGGCGACGGTTGATCAAACGTCCAAGTAAGTTCTGCCGGCCGATCCAACCGGCTCCCCCGGGAATTTTCTTGTTCGATTGGTCATGCTCTCGAATCTGGCGAGGAACGGCGTCTCGGCATCTCCGCCATACCGCTATACATTACTCGTGCAGGAGCAGGCCGTGTGGCTGCCCTCGCCGCACATAACCGAGTCGTCTAATGCCATGAATGGTTTGCCTGTCCAGGAAACTGCCTCCAAAGATTGGATCCAAGTCCGTTGGCAGGGCCGCGACTACGACTCCAGCCGATTACGTTCTCGAGATGATCCGCTACTTTACCTCAAGTCAAGCGCGGCTGCCGCAAGCCCATGGCTTGTGGGAATGCAGTGTGGTTGGCTTCATGACTCCGTTGACCCAATGGGTCTGGAACAGGCACAAACGGTAAGTCATTGATGTTTTCTTCTGGCTCAGTGACCATCACTGTCGCCACCAGAAGAGCTGGCCGGTCTGGAGCAGCACTTAGCATCAGCCAGTGCTAACCTGTGGACCGACCTAATCCATCGACTGATCCTTATCCATCGTTGCTCTCTAACACCAGTGACACCTCGCATGCGGGCGATCAGCCTGCGGCGACTATCGAGAGTGAGCCTGTGGTTGCTCACGTTATCGAAAGCATCAATGGGTTTATCGCGCTGATTGAGGACACAGCAAAGCGCCATCTTGAGCAATACGCGAATTCCACCTCTGTCTCTCGCTCGGTCCTGGACTCTGCCATGGGCCATTTGCGCCTGCTTTCCATGGCCATCCGCCACTACCAACGCCTTGCATTGAACACCAACGATCCACACCATCAAAAGATCGAGCAGCTCTACGTTTACCTCGTCACGCTCGCTGCCAAGGTGCTCGCTGACCTGCAGCCCACCAACGCGGGCAACTCGGATGAAGGACAGCTCGACTTCAGCGCCGGGATTCTTGCCGAGCTCTTCCACGGCATCCAAGTCATGAGCCTGGGCGAGTCTGGCATCGGTGGGCTTCTCGATGCTCAGTTGCGGATCATGCATCAAACAGCGCATCGCAGTGGTATGAAGCTGCAGCGTGCATGTTTCGCTTGTGACATTCTAATTTGGCGGTGAACCCACTCCCTTCTTCTCGGCGACACGAGCCACACCGCCGCCACCGCCATAATCGCTGACCTGTTACGACTCGCTTGGCAAACAGACCGATCTGACAAAGGCGCCGACTGCGCCATTGACGGCCTCGTAGCTCTGGTACAGAATGTGAACTCGGAGCAGTACCAGGTCCTGATATCGTGGGCCATTCAGAAGCTGGAGCTGGTTTCGGCCGCCAGAGGGCTCGCCGATCCATCCACCTCGCGCTCGGAGACAACCGTGCACATCCCGAGCCTCGGGCGAATCGTGGAGGCAATGGTATCGGAGATCAACCCAAACGGTAGGCGTGAGATCGAACCCGATCGATATGGCGCCACTTAGTGCGCGCAAGAAGCGTCTTTCTGCGGAGCCGCATGCGCTGGATGCTCGTGGTATCAGAGCAGACAACTCAGTCCTATGCAATGAATCATCTACTTTTATGGTGCCTCGATCCAGTCTCGCGCAGATTCCTTCGGCAAGAACTCGGCCGCATTGTGGTCCAGCTGTCACGAATACTCATGAGTGCCGACGACGTGGCGTCCTTGATTGCGGTTCTGCACCTGCTCAACACTCTTGTTTGCGATAGGGTAGGTGATGGGCTGCATTCTCGAACCGGGTGCTCAGGCCGTCTCTGATGTCGATCCAATCGCGCAGGGCCTCAACATGCGGAACCACGACGTCGCGACCGTCCTTGGCGCGGCATCGACCGTCACTTCGGAGGTCGCCCTTGCGCATGTCTCCAAGATCACTCCGGAAGTCGCAGAGAAGCTGTTTGATGGGATCTATCGGCTTCTTCTGTCACTGCTGCGACAACGGCGCGACTCGGTCGTCGAGCTCATTCCGCCGTTTTTCAGCATCCTGAAACATATCCTTTTTTGTTACTGAGTGACGGTCAGGCGAGGCGCACATGTGCCGACTGATCCGCGGGCTGGCTGGCTGGGAGTGGAAGCAGCGTTTCAAGGACTGCTTGGCATCGGAACGGTATTAACCAACGTCTGGATATGAGCTGCCCGACATCTGTACTCCGCAGCGACTTACGATTGTCCTTGACTCCTTACGGCTCTCCCGATCCCAATCTCTACAGCTCATGCACGCCTTCCGTCTACCAGTGACGGCGGTCTCGTCGCGCAAGGCAACAACCGCCGATGCAACCCGACCGTTCCAGGCGCTGCCGTGTCCTCTCATCTGCCGGCACGCTCCGCTCTCGGATCTCTCGGCAATCAACTACTCGCGTCTGCTGACATCGCTGACCGAAAAGGCTGGTCCGAGCCAACGCCCCGGTCGTGGCCAAAGCGCTATTTCGGATGTAGGAACGTTGTCGGCCATGAGTGTCAAGCCATTCAGCAAGCATGTTGCATTCTTGCTCGCCGAGTTCATTTCGATCCAGACCTCGAGCCGACCCATCCATCCGCGCCGGAAGCACGACATTGTGCAAGGCATCTATGCGCTGCTGGATCTTTGCGGCGAGCACGGCCGTGAGATGATGCTGGCAGCGGCAGACTCGCTTGGCTCGGGCGGTCGGGATCTGTTCAAGTCGCTCGTCAGTGAGTGGGAGAAGAGCCATCGCTTCAAGGGCAAGGTGTAGTCATGCAGCCAGCGATTGCACACCACCGTCGAGGCCGAACGATTGCGCATCGCCGTCGCTGAGAGTCCGGACTAATATACAGCACGTTGACGACGAGTCGGATGGGAGCATGTATTGGAAATCGATGGTCGCGAACTCGACCGGGGGCAAATGCTGTGCGCCCTCCTGACCTCGTTCCTGCACAGCCATCATCCGCGTGACCTGGACGCGCGCTGCGGCATGGGCACCTGTGTGCCGGGGGTGGCCCCGTTTGCACCAAGCGACTGTCCCGGCTGTTCCGGCTGTCCCGGCTGCCCATTCTTGTCTGCGGCTGGGCGGGTGTCCATGCCATGCAGCCCCAACAGGGATACTCCGCTCTGTCGCACCTGGATGCGACATGAGGAGGAAAGTCGCAGACACAAAGGGTGTCGGCACGCCGATTGCTTTCTTTTTTCGCCTTGATCTGGCCCCCACCGCTTTGCTGTCTCAGGCCCTGGTGGCGATCGGCGATGCCGGCGGGACGCTCATATCCCCGTCGGCAAGGGTGGGCTGGCGTGGACGGGACAGGCATGCGCTGCTGCACGGATGCAGGGCCGGCAGACAGAGGCCGGCAGCCGGATATCAACTGCCACCGTCCTCGACCTGATCGGCGCTGGTCTCTGCCTCGCGAACATGCATCTCGGAGCGGCAATCCAAAACACCCTCGGATTCCTGCTAGATGCATCCGCTCCGGCGGCCAGTCCGACGACGGACCTGGGCGCCAGCACAGCGACCACGGGCTCAAGCGTCAACTCGGCCAACACCGACCCCATCTCGTCCGGGACCAGTTCCACTCCCACCACAACCATCTCGTCTCTCGGCGCGACCTCATCTCCCACAAGCCTCGTTACGGATCCACAGCAGCAGCAGTTTTGGACACTGGTTGTCGTTTGCATCGTCGTCGGCGTCATCCTGCTGCTGGTTCTTGCTCTTGGGCTTGTTGCCTATCGTTACTACTCTGGCCCTCGACGCCGCCAGCCCTTGGACATGCGTCGGCCATCGACAACCCCGCTGGCCCAGGACAAGTCTTTCTATCCTGCCGAACTCTCTGAGCCTTCTGAGCCCGAGCCCCTGGCCATCGTCGTCGACACTGCCCATCTCTCGCTGCGGCACTTTCCCACCCCCTCGGCCATTGCTATGCAGGACAACCCGGCTTTTACTCCAGCATTCGGCAGCCAGCAGATCGCTGTCGATCTCCGGACTATTCCAGATGAACCAGCGACACGACCGGCCGTCTCAGCCGTTATTCCCAGAGTCGACTCCCTTGGGTTGCCTGCAGACCCCAGTCAGGCCTCGCTTCCTCGGCAGGACGACATGTACGAGCCAATCGCCCAACCCGCTCCCGCCATCACCGCAACTGCCCCGATAGCCCTGTCGACCCCAACTGCCCCAATGATTTACCAACCCATTCAAGTACTGAGAGCGCCGTCGGTGAGGAGCATGGCTGCGTCCCCTCGCCCGGGCTCGACATCAACGCCGCTGGTTCGGCCGCACGACTCTCCAGCAATCGGCCGCGGCGCCATTCGCACAATGGCCCCACTCGCTGGCTCTGACGACTCGGCCCGGATGGAGCGTCGGGGCTCCTATGCCCCGCGACACCCTCGAATAACAACCCTTGCGTTCAATACACCGGCGCAGGGCTACCTTGTCAAGCCTGACATATAATGCCCAGGAACACACTAATGCCCAGCCACACATTATAATTCAGTCTGCCAAAGCTATGTCGGGTGTCCTTCCTCTTACAGTCTATCCAGAAAGAAACGGGACAGTCACTTCCTGGCTTCAGATGTCTGAACCCCGCTGACTGACTGTAGGCCCCAGAGGGCAAGCCATGCGATTTTTTCCCGTCCTGGTTGGCAATCGAGTGGTTTTGGTTGGTTTCGGGAGCACAGTCTTGAATACACCCGGTCGATCTCCCGTGGCGATGATCGACTGGCATACCGAGATCATGTTCCTTGAGGCATTGATGTCTCGATCCCACAGCGTATGGCAGCTTGCACAGCTCCGGACAAAGTGTGGTTTCTCGATATCAAGATACTCGGGTGACTCAAGTCGCTTGAATTCCCGACAATGTGAGCACACCTGGGATGTGTTGAACTCGTTCACCGAGCACACATGGATCTTGGAGACGGATCGGTCTGGTGGTCGTCTCTGGTGGTGGATGAACTGCTCAAAGTATTTGGCGAACCTGAGTCTCCTGGGACTGGATGCATATCCCTTCCCTTGCTTCCACGTGGCATTCCCAAAGGCAATCACCATTTCGGTCTCCCTTGGACATACTTGCTTGGCCATGAATGCGATGAGTGGGTAGGTGTATTCAGGTCTCGAAGAAGCGACAGTCCAAGCTCAAATCGGAATGTCCCATTTCATTTTGGAATCGCTGTAATATCATTTTCTGTGCTGCCACACAGCCCTGTGCACTGTTTTTCTTCCTTCCTCGCTGCAAGTGAGCAGATGAATCGATCGACCTGCCGCATCGAGACATCAATGCCAGTCGATCATCGCCACAGGAGATCGACCGAGTGTATTCAAGACCATGCTCCTGAAACCGACGAAAACAAAGCGATTGCTGGCCCTGACTAGACTGGAGTGAAGTTCCGTGGCCCGCAAGCCCACGGCAGCCCACGCAAAGCTGGGAACTGTGGGATAGACCGTGCTGGTGGCGCTCAGAGGCGCAATCACTCATAAGGTCGGTCCATAAACAGATTAAAGATCTCGAGACTGTGTCTGGGCTGGTCGTAGGGAACCTGTGGGCGAGCAGTGTCAGGGAATTGCGGAAGGCGGCTCAGCGCTTGGCTCGGCACCATTCCGGCCGAGTATCACAAAACCAAACTCTCTTTGCCAGGGTGGCGGAATCGCCACACTCGAGCCGACTGGCGGCGTCGCTTACCATGTGTCCGGCCTCAAAGATCTTCACAAAGGCCAGATTTTCATAAACCCTCAGAGTTCCAGCCCTCGATCCAGTGGTGTAGCTGATCCAGGGCAGATTGCCGGCGCTCAGGAATCCATCCTGTCCCCTCCACTCCATTTTCTCGAGCCAGTGCTCGTTGCCGATCCAGTTGCAGATCCAGTCTGTGATAACAGATCACGTTGGACATCAGCGATCGCCAGCGGTGAGCACCGGTAGTGGATGCGCCGGTCCAGTCTCTGCGTGATTCCATGCTTACCGGCATCACCGGCATATCTATACCATAAAATTAGGATAGAGGAGCCGAGTGAGACACATATCTCCAAGCACAGCAGGTGGAGTGACAATAGCAGCAGTAACAGTGGCAGCGACAGGGAAAAAAGTGAGAACACTGCTCCCAGACACCAGAGGCAGGTACTTACACCAGGACTTTGATGTTCTGGGCAAGCAACTCCGAGACATGGTCGGCCGAGGTCCAGTATCTGTGAGAACGTAGATGAGTCGAAGGATGCGCCGTACTGCGCTGGATTGCATCGGACAATCCAGAACGGACAAACTCTGCTCGTATCGGAAGCACCACAGAACCGAGCCTGCCGGCAAGTCGATTGCCTCGTCTTACCCTTCGCCAGAACCCAGGAAGGCGCCTCCGACGGAGTTGCTGCAGCCCTCAAACTTGCGAGGCACTCCGTCGACGCCCAGGCGGACCTGGATCTCGGGCTGGTTCAAATAGGTCTCGATATCGGTCTCGATCGGGTAGCACGCATCTGGATCGCACTTCATTCGGACGTCATAGACATTTCGGCCCGTCTTACTGTAGGCATTGTTGTAGAGCGACTCACAATAGGCACCTGCTGGAATGCATGTAAGGCGGCTTCGGTACTTGTCGCAGCTGTCCAGGAGACTCTTGCAGGTGCGGTACTTTTGATCGAGCTCCATGATATCAGTGTCGGGAAGAATGGGTCCGTCTAGCAGAGAGAAGACCAAAGAGAAGACCAATAGCAGGCAAACGTGACAATCAGAATCAAGTACCGGCACTTTGTCGAATATGGCTTCCAACTGCACTTACACTTGTCATCTGCAGCCATGGCCGAATATGCTGTTGGCCATCAAGAGGGAGGTGGGTGAGAATCCTGCAGTGTTGCAACGGGCGGACACGATGGGTAGACAGTGCCGAAACGGAAGCGAAACAGTAGTGAATCGAAAGTGAATCGACAGAGATACAGCGGACTCACATTTGCTGGGAACAGCGGGATGCACAGCGCAGTGTCGACGGCGATGGAGGAGATGGGATCGCAGCGAGGCAAGGCACCATGTTGGATCCAGCACCATTTTGAGTTCAGTACCGATAGACCGCCAGCCACACCCCGTCCGTCGAGAGCGAGCAAGACGAATGAGTGATTCGGTGTGTTGACTTGGTATCATCGCCGCAGCTATTGATGCATGGCCTCCACTTACAACTGAGCGATCGGATCGACCCAGGGGTTGCCAAGTCCAATTCCCTTGAGGTTCACATCGATGATGGGTCCGTTTCGGTTGTGCTCTAGGATGGCGGTGGCCAGGGGAGGAATGTAGTGACCGGCATACGATTCGCCAAAGAGGTACAGATCAAGCGGGTGATACTCCTTGAAGGCAGTCAGGAAGATTTGGAAAAAGGCCAGGGTGTCGGCGGCGGCCAGAACCGACGTCGACGGAGTCTTGGAGTTGGACGAGTACGAGAACCCGACGTTGACGGGCTACAGGACCGCAAGTGTGAAAGTGCGATGAGCGGGTCCGTAATGGCAGGCTTGGACTCGACCGATGCCGTCCTGGCAATCCATCTTATGCTTACTGACCTGGTCCAGGAAGATCACACTGGCATTTGAGTTCCATGCATGGGGATTGAACTCGATGTCCTTGCCTCCGGGCAGCACTCTGCAGGGACCATTCTCCATCAACAGTCCCGTGAACGAGCTGCATCCAGGGCCACCTGTTCCAGGCGCAGAGTAAGTGAGATGCGAGCTGTGCTTGAGAGTCAGGAGCGTTGTATTTGGTCGGTGGTGGCTTACCGTTGAGCCAGAGGGCAAGCGGGTCTTCGCTGGGGTTGGAGCGGCTCTCGAAGAACCAAAAGTAGAAATGCTTTTCGCCGAGGGCAACGACGTAATCCACCGGTCAGCAAAGCTTCGCCTCGATCGATGTACTTGCCGACCATCATCCAGCCGCACTCGATATCACCATCCGGGCATCGAGCGATATCCACCGCCTCTCAGCTCGCGACGTGCAGCTGATCAATGAGGGGGGGGGATCTCTGCTGGTCGTCCTCAGGCCAGGCACGACACTATACCTTCCCTTCGTCGAGGACATCCAGGTAGCCTGTGAGCTGCCTGACGCTGGTGTCGCAAAGCGCCGAGTCATTTCGAACACGGACGGCATACTTTGGGAACTTTTGGAGGGTGAAGACGGTCCAGCCACCCTGGCTCGTTTGCACCAGGCTGTCGCCAAGAGCAGCAGCCGAGGCCAGGAGCAGTAACTGGGAGAACAACAAAAGCGCCTTGATCCACACTGGCAGGCGGTTCATGGTGCGAGGAGGAGACAAAGTCGTTTCGGCAAGGCTGCCCAAGCGAGACGCAGATGGCGAGCAGAAGGCGGGCGGGCAAGTGAGCGAGCGAGATTGCTGCCTGGGCGGGCTTGCGACTGCCACGAATGGCGAACATGCCCATGCCGATCGGGGCGTGGGCAAGGCGCATCCGCTGGATGTATCCGCTGTGTTGCCGGGTGGCTGTCGGGTGGTGCGGATTGCTGCTTGTGCAGACGAAGTGGTGGAGGAGGCCAGGATCTCTGAAAACGCCCTTGATCTCGGAATGCAGTGCACCATGTTCCATCGCCAGGGTGTCCCAGAGCAACTCCTTGCAATGCTCAGTGCTCTGTTACAGCGCAGATAGCATAGGGGTCGCGGATTGAGTGATGTTGATCGATCTGGCCGAATTATGTCGATCGCTGCTCGCACTGCCGTGATGGACTGGCTCCATGGCGGACTGACTCCATGGGACGGACATCCACAGAAACGATTTGGCACACTTGCCCATCGTCGGTCGAGCGCACGATATGATCCAATTATGGCGTGTTTTGTCTGAGAGAAACAGTGCCTTATTGTCTTTCAACGCACTCTACTGGCGGCGATCCAACAGGAGACCAACACATCGCTTTTGCAGCTGAAGCCAGCGACAGGTAGTCCGCAGTGCGCTACTTGAGAATCCAGTCGTTGAAGCGCCTTGCCAGCTTGTTTATCAGCTCCATTTGCTCTGTCCAGGTTGTCGAGCTGTTGGACTTGCGCGAGGCCATCTTGGACGACGGACAGCCATCGGTATGCATGTCGTCGACCTTGTGCTCGCTGCTCTGTTTCGGCTTGTACTCGATCGTTTCTTCGCTCTGGGTTGCTGGTGGGTACTTGGTGCCGCCTGCGATCGTTGCAGAGGACTCGAGCAGACTCATGGCGCCGAGATCGGCCTCCATATCAACGTCAGGATTCCCTTCGGTGCTAGAATGTGTCCTGTCGCCAGCTGCATCGGCAAGTGGATCGCCGTGGATCGCTTCGGCGAGAGCTTGGCCGAAGACCTTGATTGTGTCGGCCTGGGAATAGAGCCGGTAAGTATACTCAAAGTCCCGGAAGAGCCTCAGCTCGAGCCAATCCTTTTGCGACCTTGATGCACAGGCTCCGGGTTGGAGTTGTGCTCTGGCAAAGACAAGCCCCGGACTTCTGGTGCTTCGGATGCTCAGCCGAGTTCCAAAGGCGTTTGGACAGCCGAGATGGACCGTCACAGGTCCCAGCGACTTCCACTGGGCATCGGCCTGGATCCACAGCTCGTCAAAGGGCTGCATGACGGCATCCGTGTCGTCATTCATGTCCGTGCCGCCGTCGTCGTTCACCAAGTCTTCATCAAGCATGTAGTTGCTGAGCACCTTGAAGCGTTGCTGGATGCTCTGAGCACTCTGGTGCTCAAGCGCATGAGTCAGATCCGAGGCCTGGGCGGCATCGCTGAGTTCAAAGAGAAAGACATGTGCTCCAGTCTCGCCCATGTCCAGGAAGCAAACCTTTTCGCTTGTGCTGTTGGATGTCCATCGACAGGATGGCGTGATTCGAATGTCGATGTACTTCCGAAACGTCCACGGGCACGCCAGCGCAATCCACGATCGAGGGGTGCCGACGCTGTCTTCGGTAACGTTCACGGACAGTTTCCGGCATGCCAACTCTTTCCACTCATGGTCTTTGAAGACATGGACTCGTCGACAAACGAACGTGACCAGAGCCGGGTCGGTGGCATCTGAGCCCATCACAGGAACACATGGGACAGCCTTGCTCGCCACTGGAGTAATCTGAGTTATGAATTGAGATGCCGAGGCGGTGGGTGAGATTGGACCAGGGACCAGTTTGGCTGGTTGCAGTGATGTAAATTCTGCGTACCCGCCCAGAGCGATAGCAGGACGATCACGAACCTCGCTGGTAACCTCCCAGCTCCACTTGGCCATCTGGGTCGTTTGTACATCCACACGGACTGGCGTTGATTCCGGGGCAGTTGGCGTCTGTTCTGCGGCTGTATACATTGCCATGAATAGCTGTCCAACCAACGACACGGCCACTGCTGTCAACGCTCTTTGCAAATACAGACCTTGCTGCTGGCGCTTTGCCTTGAGCGAGGCAATTGTCGAGTTCAGCTTGGCCGCTGTGTAGCTCGAGTGGCCTTCAAGGATCAAAACTTCGCTCCCTACCCGGAGCTCGATGACACGATTGAATCCTTCGGAAATCGCACACACAGTCAGCGGGGGTTCTTATGTGAAAACGATCTCGGCCACAATGCCAAGTTGTAGGCAGATCGATGGGTTGCAACATCAGACAGTCACCTTGGACGGGCTGGTATATCACGTCGACTTGAGCAATGTTTGAAGGCGCCAGCAAGAGTCGATACTCCTGGATATCAAAGGGGATCAAACAGCCGAGTCAAAGGCAGCCGTCGAGTCAAGGACGGCCATCGAGTCGAGGACTGCTCGATAGCTTTGAAGGTATGTCAAGCTGGCTCCAGGACTCGGCGGTACTCTACCTCTGTGTATTCAGCGTCGCCCTGATTGAAGAACACGAGAACGCATTCTTGAAGAAGCGTCACAAAGACAGCTACTCGCTTGGCTTTCTTGTCGAGCTTCAGGGTGTCGGGATCATCGTTGTGGAGCTGGCTGGTCTTCTCGGCGATCAGGCTGGACTGGAATGGACTCCATCTCTGGATCTTTCGGCGTCCCGTCACCGCCCGACGTGCTGCGGACTTTGCCGTTGACTCTGAGCCGTCCTTGGGGTCAAATAAAAGCAGATTGAAAGATACCCGCTCGAAGATAATGGCTTGTGGATAGACGTGGTTTCCAAATATCACAGGTCGAAGAATATCGATCTGAAGCACAGCGCAGCGCATTGGTAGGGAAGGAACAGAGCACGCGGAGTGAGGAGATGATTCTGTGAAGCACGGGTCGATCATCGCCGACTCGATGATGGGAGGTCAGGGACATACACGGTCACTCTCGAGAGATGCCTCAATGGCACAGAGCCTGGTCCAGTCATCTGAAATCCAGAACGGAGTCGTGCACTTGTAGTATGGAAAGAACTCGGTGATGATGAGGTTGATAGGCGGAATGAAGCCTTCAAAGTCGCTGCCGGGGCACATGCGGCTCAGGCGCTAGAGATGCAACCAGAGGAGAAAAGTGAGATGCAAAGATACGCAGCGCAGATGAGCCGTGATCGTATTGCGAGGCTACAGCGAGACATCCATCAGATTGGAGCAGCAGTCCTGCACCTTCATGTAATATCTATAGAAGAAGAGTCTTTGATACGGGCGCCAGAACGACTCGGCGACCTCGGACCAGTACGGGTGCTCATGCAGAGGGGACTCTTGGCTCTCGATGTGGCTGGCCAAGACAGTTCGGAAGGTCTTCAGCAGCGGAATGATGCTCTGGAGGCAAATGTGGAGTCTGTCAGTGGATCGAACAAAGGATTGTCTCTGCCAAGCGATATCAGCCGACTTACTCGAGCCATGTTGAGACGGCAATAGGATAGAAAGTTTTGGCTGAGTCCATCCCATTCATAATACTGGCTCGATGAGAGTATATGTGGGGGGGATGTGAGCATCCGCCCAAACAATCGTGTCGGGTCAGGAAAGCAAACGAGGCAAACGAGGCAAACGAGGCAAACGAGGCAAACGAGGCAAACGAGGCAAACGAGGCAAACGAGGCAAACGAGGCAAACGAGGCAAACGAGGCAAACGAGGCAAACGAGGCAAACGAGGCAAACGAGGCAAACGAGGCAAACGAGGCAAACGAGGCAAACGAGGCAAACGAGGCGATCGAGGCAAACGAGGCAAACGAGGCAAACGAGGCAAACGAGGCGATCGAGGCAAACGAGGCGATCAAGGCAACCGAGGCGATCAAGGCAAGCGTGCGAAGAGTCGGAGAGGAAGCCGCTGTAAAGCCGGGCAGCCCCCGCCGGTTCTCCATCCCGGAGATAGCTCGCGGAATTGGCGCAACTGGAAGCAACAGAGAATTTCGCAGCGCACCTCGATAAAGTTCCGAGCAGTATTCGCAAAGGCAGCCAAGGCAGCTTCGGCCGGAGCCCAGTCCCCGACTTTCAGAAACCCCAGACGCTGCACAAACGGTGGAGTGCGGTAGGCAGAAGAAGGAAGAGTGAGCAGGAGTAAGTGGACGACGATTGCCGCTCCTATTTCATGGACCGCACTGTTGGATTCATGATCCCGCACGCGTTGGCGAACCTGGAGGGCAAGTTCGAGGTCACTCAGAAATACACGCTCGCTCTGAACCCATTCGCGCAACAGAGCATGGTGCTCCTCTTGACACGGTGCTGAACCGACTGAGGGCACGTCGGGGCGTGGAGATTCGGGAGGTTTAGCAAAGCCTAAACTGAATAGATTCTTTGAGGGTGCTCCCGAAGCCGAGTCCAGATCCAGCAGAACGCGGCGTTGATTGTGGGAGAGGTTAGTCGAGATCACGGATGTCGACAGTGCTCGGAGAGCGCATCGGGGGCCATATCTAACACGCCAGTCGATCTTTCGGTGGGAATTGCGTGCGCGGGGAAACGGAATGCAGCATACCTTGATTGCAACTGTCGGACTGATGTTGCGCTTGAAACCATGGGAGGTGTTCATATTTAATCACGATGATGCGAGAAGGAAAATACCAGCCATGTACCCAGTGACGAACAGAGGGCGTTTGGTGTGCAAGGAGGGAGGAATCAAGTGCCGTCAGCGCCATCCAGCGTGATCCCGTGGATGTGAGAGAGGGGAGTTTGCTTGAGCAGGGGAGGGCAGCCCGCGGGATACCACTTCGATGACACTTTGCAGCCGACATTCTGCACACAGCCACACATCACATCAATGCCGCTTGTGGGGACCGATATTCATGACCACGCCGCGCCGCATCGCACGGATCGTGGCGGCTGTGCGCAGCAGGCGAGCGGCGTGTCTGGAGACACGTGACTGCGGCCGCCGGCGGACAGGGACCTGCGGCGGCGACGCTCGCACACCCGCGCAGGCCTGTCCGGGAAAGGAAAGGGCACTGTGCGCAGACGCGGCGTGCTGCGGGTGCACGGCTGTGTCGCAGACAGACAGTCTCTGTGCGGCGCCTGCTTGTCTGGGCAGCCGGTGCCGAGGAGTCGCTTGAGAGCAATGTGTCACCTGTGTCACCACGCCTCCCGCCCAAGCCGCAGCGGCACACGGACTACACACAGACTGCACGCCGGCCGCACACACACACACGCATCCACTCGCCCGTCTGAAAAGGAAAGCCGCTGCTCCTCCGAATGCTCCTGCTGCTCCTGCTGCTCCGTCGACACCTTCGTCTCCTCCGTGGTCCTCCGTGGTCCTGCTGTCGGCTCGCCGCTGCCCATATCTCTCGCCTCGGCTTCCGGGCTCTGCACTCTGACTGGAGCCTCGTCCTCGGCGATCCATCCATGACCCATCCCACGCCCTCCGTCGGGGACAAACTCCCCAGGTACGCCTATTTCGGTTGCTCGGTGCTGTGTTTTGCCATGTCTCCCTGGATCCTCTTCGCTTCTGTCCTTTGGCGTCTTCGTCCTTGCTCTGCCTCCATTTCCGCATCCGTTGCTCCTTTCCCCCTCCTGTCCTTCACTCCCATCCCGCTGGCGGCAAGATCGGCGGCAAGATCGGCGACACTTGCAGGGGCAGTCGGCTTCAGAGCACTACTTGGAGTGGCTAAGCCGTGCCGCGACCGAGGCCGGATCCGGCATCATCGGCCATGGCCGCTCCTGGCCCCAACTCTTTTCGACGGAATCGCCCGATTCGCGCTGGAGATGCAGCCCGGGCCTAGAGGCATACATCGGTGATGGCTCTCGCTGGATCCCTCGACCTCCCTCCCCCAATCCGCTCCGCTGATTGGGTCTGCTCGAAGGAAGACTGGCCTGGAAGGGTGGCGGCGCGACCCAGGAACGTCAGGCGGCTTTCGCAGAAGAGTTACGCAGCATCGATCTCTGGAAGGCTGGACAGAAGGCCCTCTTCCGTCTGCCTTCTGCGCTCTGTCGCCTCTGCCCTGCAATTCAATCGACGGGCACTTGTATTCGGGCGGTAATCGCCGTTGCCGTCGTCGATCGTGCACAGGTGGCCGCGACTGCCGCGAGTTCCTATGGAAGCCGTTCTCGAAACTCTGCCGGATCTGCCCCCCGCTGCCGCCAGCTCGCCACTGCCCTGCCTTTCTATTCTCTCCTCCCGAATTTCTACTGTGCCTTCTGATCCCCACCGGATCGGCTGCCCTCATTCCAGACGAGGCCATGCGTGCAAGGGGTGGTGTCCGGGAGGGGGTCCCTGCTGCCTCGTCTGCCGGTCGCCAGAACGACCGCTTCCCGCCCACTTCTGCTCCCCCCCTGCTTTCGCCTGCGTCGAGTCCTGCATTGTTTTCCTCGACTCTTCCCCGGGCGCTCTCTGTCCCGGCGTCGATCCTGCCTTCGTTGCTCTCCTCGTTCGTTCTTTCTTGCTACATAATCTCCAACTCGCTGTGGGTGTGCGTCTCTGTCCTGTCGACGTAGACCCCCGCAGCCGCCTCCCTCTCTGCCATCCCCGTCCCCCGTGCTTGCAGCCAGAGGGCCCTCCCCTTCCACCCGCACTTTTGTTCTTCACCCACCTCCCCATCTCCCCGACCTTGGTCGTTTCTTGGCCTACTCACCTGGCCCCGCAACGTTCCGCCTCTATCCACCCCCTGTTCTTCTTGCTTGTCCTCTGCCTGTGCTTGCTTGGCTGACCCAGACGCGGCTCCTGTCGGCTCGCTCGCTTTCATTCCTATCCCTTTCGCTTGTAGGTCCAAGCTCCGCACCGAGATCCTGCTTGACGACATGGCCGGATCCTACCTCGACCCCTTCAGCCCTTCCTCCACCGACTCGCCAACACAGTCTCTGAATCCCAGCTTGGCCCCCATCATCCGCCGCACCCGGGCCGAAACCTTTTCGTCCTTCTCTGCCTCATCCAAGCTCTTCCATGACCTCCCGGCCCCAGAGAACCCCTTGGCGTCCAGCTCCGGCGGCGGCCGCATTCGGTCGGGCTCGCTGTCGTCATCGCTTCCACAAAACACCAGCCGACAGTCTTTTGGCAGTGCCCTGGCGCCGTTCCACCAGAACAGCTTCCCCTTGAACTTTGGCGCCTCGTCCTTCGAGTCGTCCTGGCACTCTGGCCCCATGGAGCAGCCTGATCCCCTCGCCAACTACCACCACCACCCCGGTGGCCAGTACGTCGAAGATGTGCCCTACAACCTGGACTTTTTGCCCCTGGACGACGACCAGTCGGTCTACCATCGCGGCGCACCCGACTATGGCTCGCCGCAGCACGGCATGCCTCCCCAGGGTGGCGTCTCCCAGAGTATGCTCTCATCGCACACTCTCCCCCCTCAACACCTGTACGGGCCCCCTGGTGTCGAGCCCAGCCTTTCGACCCGAATACGCTCCCTCTCCATCAACGGTCCTACGCCCGATAGCATTTCTGTGGGACCTGGTGGCCGTCCGCGATCGAGCACCATTGCCCAGACCGAGACAATCCAGAACTCCTTCTACAGCTACCCCCGTGAATTCATCCCCAGCTCACACTACAACGAGCCCAAGTGGGGCCGCCACGAGGTTAGTACGCAAGCCAGCACGGTTGCCCTCCGCTTGATCTCCTGTTCCGACATTCGATGCATCACCTGGGTTTGCAATGGCTATGCGATCGCGCTGCTGATATGTGCTGCTGATATTTGTTGCTGACGCCTTGTATCAATGCCATCCGTCGCTGCCCTCCTTTGTCGTGTTAGCAGATGCAGCATCCGCCCAAGAGTCACGACCGCCACAGTCGCGATTATGGCGCCGATTACCACCATTTCGAGCCCAGCGTTCCCGATAACACCTTGCCCTCGCGCTGTCTCTGCATCCGCAACATCAACCTCACTGTCTCGGCCTCGGACCTCCTCCACACCTTTGAGCAGTTTGGTCCCATCGAGTCGCTGAGGCTCTACTACGAAAAGGAGTGCGCCTATCTGACCTATGCCAAGATGGAGCACGCCCTCCACGCCCAGAGGACCATGGATGCGGCTCGTATCCGCTCGCTGCCCATTCGTGTGGGGTTTGTGAGCCCTGAAACCAGCAACCTCGTCAATGGCGCCGCAAACCCAGGTCCCAACTCTGGCAATCTTCAGCCCGGCCATCCCACCGCCACCGCTGGCGCTTCGATTCAGGAATCGTCTGGTGGCGCACCAACCAAGTCGCTGTGTGAGTAGATGCTGTCCGAACGTGTTGGCGCGACAGCTTGTGTGCACTGCCGCCTCTGTATGCAGGGTAATCTGCTTCAAGCGAGCCTGTCTGGGTCTGTCCTATCCTTGGCTGCCTTCCGGGGGCTGCCTTTCGCACAGCACAGCCACTGGTGGTTGGCATATGTTTCCAGCATCGCTCGACGTTGCTCTGATATGTATGGCTTGATCATCAACAGGGATCGGCAACATCTCCCCATCAACGGATCCTGCAGAGCTGGAGGCGCTCTTCACACAGTACGGACCCATCGAGTCGGCCCGGGTTTTGGTAAGTCTCTCGTCGCCCCCAAGCTGGATCAATGTGCCCTGGTGCTCCTGTCGAGACGAGCCAGTAGTCTGGCGTGCCCATTCCCAGGCTAACTCTCTTAATCAATCAATCGATCGATCGATGCCGATAGACCCACAAGAACTGCGGTTTTGTCAACTTTGAGCGCGTCGAGGACGCCGTCGAGGCCCGCAAGCGCATGAATGGCAAGGAGATCGGCGGGTTTGTCGTCCGGATCGGCTTTGCCAAAGTACCCGGCCGTGGGGACTCGGTCAACACGAGCTCGCCCGAGTCGTCTCCTGGCCATGGGAACTTTGCCACGCTCCCTCGCCGCGAAACTCAAGACAGCCACGACGCCGACAGCAGCCACAGGTCTCAACCGATCAACCCTGTGCCGATCCCACCCTCGTATGGCTACAGCAGCCGCCCTCAGAGCGAGCACAGTGGCAGTCCGGTTCACAGTGACTATACCCAGCAGCAGGCATCTTCTTATCGCTCCGAGCCCCAAAGCACGCCTGTTGTGTACCGGGACGGTAAGTGCTCCGAGAGCGTTGGCTGCCTATCTGCCCTTTGTTGACTGAGCACAGCTGCTTCTTGATGTCAGGCCCTGCTGTGTTGCTATTTTCCGCTCGTTGTCGCCTCTTGATGTGGTGCGGCACGCTTGCTGGCATGCGCTCTTTCGTCTAACGGTCAGCTTTCGTCGGCAACCTTGGCGCATAGGACAATACGAGTCGGTCATCCCGCCCCTGCCTGAAGCGAATCCCAATCGACGTGTCGATCAGAACAGACTGCGCGAGCTTCGCAAGAAGCTTGAGAGCTCCATCTCCTCGCAGGAGGTTGAGGCCATCTACGCCGAGGTTTTGGACGAGGCTTCTGAGCTGGCGACAGGTTTGTACTATTCGAACTGCATGATCAATGCCCGCTGGCGGAGGGACGCGCTGGTGTCCTCCTGCGATACGGGGCGGTCCATCGGCTTCACAGTGCAGGCCGATTCTAACTGGGTCCGGTGCCACCCCGCACGCTCATGTTTCCAATTTCTGACCTTTACACTGCCACCTCTGTTTTGGGGACCGATCGCCAACAGACTACATCGGCAACGTTGTTCTCCAAAAGATCATCGACAAGGGTGATGACCAGATGCTGCTGGGTCTCATCGACAGACTTGGACCCTACATGGCCTCCATCGGCATCCACAAGAACGGCACCTGGGTGATCCAGAAGGTGATCGACACGGCTCGCACCGAGGTTCAGATGCAGCAGATCACTGCTTTCCTGAAGCCGTATACCCCTCCCCTTCTCCTGGACCAATTCGGCAACTACGTCATTCAGTGCTGCCTCCGCTTCGGAACGGTCTACAATCAGTTCATCTTCGACGCCATCCACAACAAATGCATCGACATTGTTCTGGGCCGCTTTGGTGCGCGCTCCACCCGCACCTGTCTTGAGAGCCAGTTCACCACCAAACGCCAGCAGAAGCACGTTGCCATCTCCATCGTCCAGAACGCTGTTCAGCTCTGCACGAACGCCAACGGTGCGCTTTTGATCACCTGGTTGCTGGACACCTCGACTCTCCCAGGGCGCTTCCGCGTGCTGGCGCCCAAGCTTGCTCCTCACGTCTCTCAGCTCTGTGTGCACAAGCTGTCCTCGGGCACGATCTTCAAGCTGGGTGAGTGGCAGGGCGATTGCATCTGCATGCTGTCCGATTTTGGCTGCCCGGCGGCATGCATGCATACTACCGTTTGCTTCTCTTGACCACGACGAACGGCGTCTCATGCATCTTGCTCTATCCTTGTTCCTGCAGTGAGTCAGCGCTACGAAATGGACGCCCGCGATGTGATCATCAAGGCCATTTTCTTCACCGACGACGTCACCCTTCGCGAGGTTCTGCTGGACCATGTCCATGGTGTGCCCCTCATCCAGAGGGTCATCCCCACTTGCTCCGTCGACGAGGAAAAGATCCAGATTGCCGATCAGATCCGTCTGGCCCTTGCCACGATCAACCCCGAGCTCAAGGAAAGCGCTATCGTCTACCGCCGCCTTTCGGATGAGCTGCTGAACATCAAGTCGTATCTGCCGCGTTCGGAAGACCAGCCCGACTTTGCCGAGGATATCGTGTCGCCCCTCAACCCGATTCACTTCTTTCCCCAGAACGGAAACGGCACGGTGCCATACGGCACCATGAATGGCATCCCGCACCACCTGCCCACCCCGATGCACTCTCCCCAGCGCAACGGTGGCGGTATGGGCATCCATTCGCCCATCAACGCCCATCCCCGTCCCCAGGGCTTTTCCCTGCCTCCGTCCCAAGGCCAGCGACAGGGCGTCCCGCCTGCCTTCAACCACCCCTACGACGCCAGTGGAGCAGACTCTTACGACAATTACCCTGCCGGCGCCGGCGCTGCGGATCCCGCACAGCCATCCAAGTGGGCGCAAAAGTCGCCGGTGCAAGCCCCCATGGAAGATGCCTCGAGGGTAGCCGTCGACTATTCCTAATCCCCCTTGGCTCTCGAGTCGCTTACTAGTACCATGATAGCATCACACCCTCTAATCTTATGCACATACCAACGCGGACTCGACACGACCAAACTCGAGACATGGAAGCGCTAATGTTTGGGTAATCACAAAGTATCCTCCTCCGTCTTGAGAGGAGGGAGGTCTTCGTCTCTGGAGCAGCTGGCGTTTCTTGACCATAGACGTCGCCTCCTGCTCCTCCCCCTTATCTCTTTTGCCCGCCTGCATAACTGGGGGGCAGTAATCACGTCGGTGGCCTCGACTTTCCCTCGAAGCTCCCCCTCCCCCCCCCGCTTGCATGAGTGTTCCGTCAAGGCGGCTCCGGAGCCCAACTATTGTTACTATACTACTCCTCCCACCTTACTACTATTATTATTGCCACCACTCCTCGGTCTCTCCCGAGCAACCCTCATTCCTTCCTCCCTCCCTCTCTTCCATCCTTCCGACTCTGGAAACTGGTTCCCACCAGCGTGTCCCACAGTCGCCCGGCTGTCTGGGCTGGTCTCGTCTCCGCTCCTCCGCTTTACCCCCCTCCTTCCCCTACTTCTTCATCCTATTCGTCGTTGTCGGCTCCCTGCCTTATCTTTCGTTTCCCGCTCCCTTCTTCTTTGTACTCTAAAACGAATTTCAAAAAAATGTAATTTCGCCCCTTGCGCTACTTTTCTTTTTCTTTTTATATTTTTATAGTTTTTCTCTCTTTTGCATTTGGCTTGGGAGTGTATGTGTGAGTGATTTACGTTTGTGTGTGCAGGTGTATGTTTTTTTTTTTTCTTTTTTGCCTTGCTTTCCTTTCGATCTTCCAAACCTTGATCCCTTTACATTGGGTTGTCCATCCTGTTGATTTATTATCGATCTTTTTTTTCCTCCTCCTTTTCTTTCTTGTGCTTGATTCTGGCTTGTCACTCGTCAATAGCCTCTGTGTATCTGTCCAATGAAATATTGTCCTTGCCCGTATTACAGCGTTTCCAAAATGAAATGGGACACCCCTGTTTTGTGCATGGCTGTTTTTTTTCTGGAACCTGAATGCACCCACCCACTCATCGCATTCATGGCCAAGCAAGCAAGCCATCGACCAGGCACCAAAGGAGACCGAAGTGGTGTTTGCCTTTGGGAATGCCACGTGGAAACAGGGAAAGGGATATGCTTCCAGTCCCAGGAGACTCAGGTTTGCCAAGTACTTTGAGCAGTTCCACCACCACCAGAGACGACCACCAGACCGATCCGTCTCCAAGATCCATGTGTGCTCGGTGAACGAGTTCAACACATCCCAGGTGTGCTCACATTGTCGGGAATTCAAGCGACTCGAGTCACCCGAGCATTTTGATATCGAGAAACCACACTTTGTCCGGAGCTGTGCAAGCTGCCATACGCTGTGGGATCGAGACATCAATGCCTCAAGGAACATGGTCTCGGTATGCCAGTCGATCATCGCCACGGGAGATCGACCGGGTGTATTCAAGACTGTGCTCCCGAAACCAACCAAAACCACTCGATTGCCAACCAGGACGGGAAACAATCTCACGGCTTGCTCACTGAGGCCTACAGTCAGTCAGCGGGGTTCAGACATCTGAAGCCAGGAAGGGGAAGTGTCCCGTTTCTTTCTGGATAGACTGTATAATCAACGGGTGTGGTGAGGCATTTTTGATTGACGACCATATGGCCTGGTACCTCACATGGGCACCCACACAATAGCCACACTGTTCCGTAAGCTGGCGCCGTAATCCATGAGTGCCGCTGGGAAGTGAGCGACCGATTACCGAGGGCCATCGCATTTTGGGGCAACAGCAGTCGAGCTGCACGAGAATATATTGCAGTACGCATACAGGTTTTGTTGGAAGGGGGGGGGAGCGAATAAAACAACTGAAAGGTCAGGGGCACTGCCATGAATGCTCGAGAGTCTCATTCAGGGGTCGAGGTCCATGTCCGTCGGAGCCCGTTGTTGCTGTTGCTGTGGAGGAGGGCGCCCAAATGCGGACGGAGCGGGCTGTTGTTGCTGTTGCTGTTGTTGCTGTTGCTGTTGCTGCTGCTGCTGCTGCTGCTGCTGCTGCTGCTGCTGCTGCTGCTGCTGCTGCTGCTGCTGCTGCTGCTGCTGCTGCTGCTGCTGCTGCTGCTGCTGCTGTGATTGAGCCCCAAATGTAAACCCGCTCACTTGGTTTGTGTTCGCATTCATGTTCGTATTCGCATTCATGTTCGTGTTCGCATTCGTGTTCGCATTCATGTTCGCATTCGTGTTGGTGTTTGTTTGTGCTGGCCTGCCAAATCCAAAGCCAAACGTCGGTGGTACTTGTTGCGCTTGCTGTGCTTGTGGCGCTTGCCTGGATGCCCCTGAATAGGCGGTGCTGGCTTGCTGGCCAAAGGCGCTGCTGGACACTTGGAAGGCACCCTGCTGCATCTTCTGGATTGGAGCAAATGTTGCCGAGCCAAAGTCGGTATACAGGTTGCGCTGCTGGCCGTGCACATTTGCAACCTTGGTGTAGCTGGACACTGCCGCGCTTGTCCACGACTGGGCCGACATGAGCCGGAGACATCCGTCGAGGTCGCTGAGGAATCCAAGGTAGAGCATCCAGTCTTCGCTGGAGAATTCGCTCGGGGCAGGGAGAGTGTGGTAGACGTCCACGCTGGTCGTCTCTGGGTTCGGGAAGAGGTCGGTTCGGCTGCTGGCAAGACCATACGCAGCGAGCAGGAGCTTGATCAGCTTGTCCCGTGCATCCATGAGCACCTTCTTGCCTTGATTGTGTTGTGCATTGTTTGCGTGCTTCATGGCTTCAGGGAGAGTCAATGCCACAAGAGTCCGACACCGCTGCTTGGCTACAGCGAGGCTGGGTCGTTCGCTGGGCAGCGGGAAGACTGGCGACTGACTGAGACGAATGCGGCAAACAGCAGGCTCATTCAAGCGCTCGATTTTTTCGCCGGTCGATACCCGTTCAAAGGCGCAATCGGCCGACAGGGCAACAACACTGCTCTCGGCTGTGGTTGCGCCATCGGCACTGTCGCTGTCGCTCGCAGGTGTGTGTTCCAACTCGATGAGAATGCTCTTGGACTCTTCGCTGAAGAGATTGGCGATATCGACAGTGATGCCTGTGGGCTTGAAAGGAACGACTCGCTTGCCTGCGTAGGTGAATGACTTGATTGCCAGACTCGGGAGGACGGTTCGGACCGAGACGCTCAGGTTCTGGAAGGGCATCGCCTTGATGGCGCCGAGGCAGCCGGCAAAGGCGTCTTGGATGGCATCGTTGTTCGAGATATATGCGTATTCACCACCCTCGGAGAGGCTCTTGAGCAGGGCGGCGTCGTGGGACGATCCATAACCAAAGGTGTAAATCGGGATGCTGAGCGACCTGGACCAATTTTGGATCTCGAGGTACGCTCGTTCGTTGCGGTGGTTGTCGTCACCATCGCTCATGAGCATGACGCCCGCGGCTTGGTTCTTGGTCGATCGTTGCGCCAGGAGATTGAAAGCCTCGCTCATGCCGCTGGGAATGACCGTGCCACCGCTGGCACGGAGCGACGCGCAGATCTGTGAGAAGGCTGCACGGTTCTGCTGGTTGGAAAAGATTAGATTGCATCTGCGCGTGGCGGCACTGCTGAAGGTCACGATCGCGATGCGATCCTTGGGTCCGAGGTGGTCGTAGATGTACTGGAGCGTCTGGCGGACATATTCGATCTATGAGGGCATCCGTCAAAGGCAGCGTTAGTGCGAGGAAGGCGGCGGGCATGCCAAGTGGCGAGGGGCCGCTCGGAAGCGGTAGTGGCCGACTCAAGGCGCGAAATCATGATGCGCTTGGCAGCATCAAAGAGTCGGAGCGGAGCAGTGCAGAACAGAGGGGATAGTCCTTGCCGCGAGCGGAAGCCGTGGGAAGCCGCACTAACCTTTTCTCCAGACATGGAGCCAGATACGTCGACGACAAGCACCAAGTCGATATCGGTGGATACTTGGGTCTGAGGGGCTTTGACAGTTGCTATGGCATGGAAACTCGCCGGGCCGGTGCCCCTGGCTGGAACAGAAGCATACTCGAGTTCGAGTGCAATTGTTGGTGCAAGCGTTTCGGCAGACCCAGCAGCAACAGCAGTGTTCGCATCAGGAGCACTCTCGACCAACTGTTCCCTTTCAAGGATGCCTTGGGTGTACTGGGGCGGCTGGGGCCTTCCAAAGCTTCCAAAGAGGCCTGGCGGTTTAAAAGTCCCAGATGGCCGAGGGGCTCGAGATGAACTGAAGCTCCCAAAGCCCCCAAACAATCCAAAGCGGCTGGACTTGGTGGGAGGCGGGGCAACATTGGCATTGGCATTGGCATTGGCATTGGCATTGGCTGGAGCCGCAACCTGGACTTGGACTTGGGCTTGGGCTTGGAGGGGTGGAGCCAGCGGCAAAGCGGCGGCAACCAGGTTTGCAGCCGATGCTTGAACAGGCACCCGGCAGACGCTGTGAGGCGGAGATGTGGGAATGGGCAAGACAGCGAATGAGTATGGGGTGTGCGGGTCCGGCACAGATCTTGTATCAACACACCTGCAAAGCGGATTGGCGACGCCAGTGTATGTGTTGATGAAGCACTGCAGATGCAGGTGGTGGCCACAACCGGGGTTGATGGTGGGAGGACCGCCAAAGCGGGAGAGCTCCTCGATGCAGATGGGGCACTTGTCGGTGGGCTCGGCGAGCATGATGCAAGATGGACTGCCTCCAAAGGACAGGCCGCCGAGCCCGGTATTTGAAGCATGGTGGCTGCAGCAGCCGAGAGCGGCAAAGCATGAGCCGCGTCGGGCGAGAGTGGCAAAGCACGTCTGCGAGAAGGCCTCTTGGCGAGCGAGAGGCGGAGCGAGACCGAACAGAGGGCGCCTGGCATTGGCTGTCTCGTTCGGGGCGATTGACGGCTCCGCGCTGCCCCCATCCAGTGTCTCGTCGCCATCGTCCATCCGGCGTGCTGGTGGCATCCCCGCCAAGCATCTCTTCTTCGGGATCAGCCATCTGCCACAGCGCACCCGTCTTGCAGTCGCCACGCAAACCAAATGGGGCTCAAGCGACCCTGCAGCCCAGAGCCTGCTGCCGATCTCCCCTCCAAGGCGGGGCGGCTGGACTCGCCGCTCGCTGCAGAGCCGCCCGATCTGGGGCTGCAGCAACCCAGCCGTCCCGCCATCGACCCACCACAGACGCAGACTCAGCAGCACCACGCAGCCTCCACTGAGGCACACTCGTCTCTCGATAGCCACGATCTGCTCACCATCTTGGTCTGCAACGATGCCTTTGTCGAGATCATCGATCTGCCAACCCTCAATAAGCTCCCGCGGCTTTCACGTCAATACACACGCATCTTGTCCCTCGTCGCCGACGATCTGTGGAATGATAAGCTCTATATCCATCTGGGAATTGAGTCTATATTTGATGCCGATGGCGAAGCGTACGATGTGGATGGCATCGACATTGACGAGAGGGCTATCCTCGAAGGCGCATGCCATTTCCTCAGCCGCAAGAACCATCTCCCCCGCAGCCATGAAGCATACCAGAAGGAGCTTTCGCTTTGGTGGGCGCTTGCCATGCTGCCCATTTTGAAGTGTGGTGAATTGGGCGAGAGGCTGGATCAAGCTACCGGGAATATGCCCACTCGTCTCTGCGACTGCATCACATACGACGACTCCAAGAAACTCGAAACACCCGATCTCAACGAGCAGTTCCGGCTCCTGGACGCCTCACAGATCATACGAAAGGACCTCTGTGAGGATTGTGAAGCAAGTGTCAACCACGAATCTGTAAACTACCTCTATATTGGACGCTTTGGGAGCAATCCCTTCTACACCGATAGTCAGCTGGCTGCCTTACTTCCCCACGAGTACGCTCCGTTGTCAAGTGCGTTGGTGACAACCTGACCCTCATTGACTGCTCGTTTGCGTCGCTCTCGGGTTGGCCAAACAGACTTGATGGCCTGAGCAGCTTGTGCATCAAAAGGACGTCGCAAGGACCACCGATTGAGAGCCTCGCTGGAATGCCGTCGATACCCAAGCTAAGATCACTCTCGCTCCCTGATACCTTCGCGAGCTGCGAGGATCTACCTCGGAATACGAATGAACTTGCCAATCTCGACATCTCCTCGTGCACCCGTATCACCTCCCTCAACGGGCTTCCCTCATTTCCAAACTTATCAAGCCTGACACTCCCTCCATTCATAGAGAGCCTCGAAAGTCTTCCTCAGGCTCTTGATCAACTATACTGGCTCGATCTGTCCGCCTGCATTCACCTCAAATCACTCAAGGGACTTCCTCCACTGCCAAGAGTATCACAACTTCGGCTTCCTCCATCCATAGAGAGCCTCGAAGGCCTTCCTCCTGATCTTGATCGACTTCACTCGCTCGATTTTTCCGCCTGCATTCACCTCAGATCGCTCAAGGGACTTCCTCCACTACCAAGAGTATCGCAACTTGAACTTCCTCCATCCATAGAGAGCCTCGAAGGTCTTCCTCAGGTTCTTGATCAACTCCACCACCTCAATCTTTCCGCCTGCATTCACCTCAAATCACTCAGGGGACTTCCTCCACTGCGGAATCTGTTACGCTTCCAATTTCCTCCATCCATAGAGAGCCTCGAAGGCCTTCCTCCTGATCTTGGTCGACTTTACTCGCTCGATCTGTCCACCTGCATTCACCTCAAATCACTCAGGGGACTTCCTCCACTACCAAGTGTATCACAACTCACACTTCCAAAGTTCGGTCGGAACCTGAACGATCTCTCGGGCTGGGTCGACTGGCTCAAGGAGTCCCCAACATGGAATCGCTTGATCGGATCAAGTCAGCGGCTAGAGCGTGTGATTCCTAAACTCCTCGATCTGGACATTGCACTGCCAATCGGTGGATTTGATGCGCTCCGGGGGTCATTCGGGGCTCTCAACTCACTTCGTATCAACGTGGACGGATCCGAGAATGTAATAAGCTCACTGCCGCTCATGCCAAAGCTCACACGGCTGTCGATTGCTGGGACTATAAAGGACATGAGCCAATGGTGCGAGCCAACACGTCCATCTACCGACGACAGTACGAAGCAATGCGACGGGATCGAATCGCCGATGGCCTCGAAAATGCCGAACTTAAATTTTCTGGTTCTTCCGGCGTCAATCGAGTTGCTGGATCAGATCCCGACAGACCTCCATTTGGCTCGTGAGCTGGATCTGTCGGCATGCGAACGGCTGCGATCAGTCGGTGGTCTATCACCGATGAAGAATCTGTGTCGTCTCAAGCTGCCAGCATCGCTCAAAACGCTAAAGTCCATGAAGCGTGAATTGGCTTCGTCTCCGTCCTTGACAATCATCGCGCCTGGGCTCGAGACGGTGGAAGGCATGCCGGCCGCCGGTCTGCTGAGAGACCTCCAACTCAATGCGCCGATTGTGACTCTGGAGGGAATGTATCCGAATTATCCGTCTCTCAGGAGGCTCAGTCTTACCTCTTGTTCGAATCTCAAGTCCCTCACGGGCATGCCTCAGATGCCGATGCTCGAGGTCTTGAGCTTGCCGTACTCGATCGAAACTCTCAGAGGGATGCCAACTGTCCAAGAATCCATTAAAACTTTGTCACTGAACAGATGCGACAAACTAAAATCTCTGGAAGGTCTTCCGAGCATGCCGCGCCTCGTTGAACTGACCCTTCCCTCGAGCCTCGAGAGTCTGGATATCCCCTCAGTCAGTTTGAACCGCTTGGAGCGGCTTCAGATGGCGTCATGTTGTAATTTGACGACGCTTGAGGGGTTTCCGCAAGTGCCACAGCTCAAATTCCTTAGTCTTCCTTCATCCGTCACCAGCTTCAAAGGACTCCCTTTGACGCTTGGGTCGCTCAGAACGTTGATACTCGCGAATATGGAGAGCCTCGCCTCTCTGGATGGGCTTCCGCATATGCCCAAGCTCAACCGAATTGTGACGCCCGAGAAGCTCCGCAGCGCACCTATCGTCGAGACACTCAGGGCCGCGATCAGAGAATACCGGCCAAAAGCTGTTATTGTATGAAGAATTGCCAGAAGCTGCGATGAGCAATTGAAAGATACACTAGTAGGTGGGAGTGACAGGGCTGATGTAGGCAAATCCCTGCTACCACTTGCTTTCATTTCAGGCGCATCATCGATGCTACGCCGGCCTTACCCTAATCTAAGTATCATTCTTGATATGGGTAGCATTCCTGATATGGATAGCATTCCTGATATGGGTAGCATTCGCGACCAGTGCGATTCTGCCTGCACGTTCGGCTCAATCTGGCCCCTATGGGAATTGCATTCGGTCCGCTGGCTTTGAAACGGAGCACCGTGATTTGTGGCAGCTCGTGCATAGCATCCCTCTTGCAGCAATACAACGGCCCGTGGGGTCATACGCCGTACCCTTGACCCCGTTGAGACGCAGTGGAGAACACCATCACTGCCCAAGAAATAGAAGTGGTAGATGGCGGTGGAAATAGTCTGTTCAGACTCGCCCTGTCGTCGTCTTGCATAGCGCCTTGCGGCATGTCGACATGACGATGCCGTGATTGACACTGCGGGGCCTCTGCGGTCGTGCAGGAAGGGTCTGTCGATCATGGACCAAGCCGCTTGGTCCGTATGCAGTTCTTCGGCATATCATTCTCGCAATCGCCGCTTTCCTACTACACAACGCTCGATACGCTCGCAACGGACCCCGCGAGAGCACATACCTAGCGATTTCTCCGTCACGATTCTTGTTGATGAGCTCCCCACCACCGTCGTCGATCTACATCGATCCCGAGCCAACATCCTCGCCACGGACTTTGACTCGGAATCTCTCGTTGCTCCGACGCATCAGCGCGCCGGCTGGATTATGGAGGCGTCCGCCGAGTTTCTATATCCACAATGCCGAACAATCCGTGAATAGCTGGAGCGACAAAGGTGCTGCTGCTCTTGCTGCCGATGCATCGGCGAGCGCACCTGTGGATGACGAGGATGCATGCGTTCGGATCGAAACGCCACTGCAGAGCCCATCGAACCTCTTCAAGTCGCGATCCCTCTCACTCAACATGCTGAGCTTGTCGGCCAAGTCGTCGCGTTCACGATTCTCGGTCGCCACAATGGCAGAATGGCTCAGGGCTCCTCTGGCTCCAAGAGCAAGTTCAACGGTTGAGCCCAGCCCCGGATCGCCATCACCTCCGCGTCGGGAGGCGAGACTGTTTTCGCTCCGGGCCGTTGCGCACCCATCAAAAAGTCAACGGTCCAGCACGACGCCCATATCATCAAAACCCAATGCGAAAATATCCGATGCGATGCCCAGCGCCAGCAACATAACCAGTCAACCCCTCGACTCTGACCAGAACGGCCCTGCAAGCCCTGCCGATTCCAGATGGCCCTCGGGTCTGCAAGATCCCACCTCATCCACGACCAATCCAGATATCTTTTTCACAGGAACCGTCCTGTCGGTGACTGAGTTCCACATGCAATCGCCATGGTCCAAGCTATGTTCGCGGAAACGCATGAGCTGTGGACTCAAGACCCGGAAGGTTCCCGTGCGGCTCGAGATTACGATCAAGTGAGTCTGCTCTCGGTCGATAGAGCTGGATGTCTTGCGGCTGATGAACCCGGCCACACCCTCCGTCCATACGATGTCGTTTGCCACGTACTGACACTTGATCCATTTGCTTCAATCTATCATGGCCGTTCATTGGTCGCTCCTATGTACATCGATTTGCATGTGGGAATGTTGCTCATCCGACGGTGGAGGGTATCCAGTACCGTACGCGAGTACATCCAGTTCAAGGAAAAGCCAGAAGCTGTGGTGGTGTTGGATGCTAACCTGGGATCTGTGGGATTCGAGGTCCTCGGGGAAGTCCAAGCCGGTCGCTTCCGTTTCCTTCTCAGGGACGTATCCTCTCCGCAAAATCCAGAGCGAGTGTATGAAGGTAGGCAATATTTGTTGTTTTTCCATGCAAGCACCCTTTGATTGCCCCAGATGCGCAAGTAACTTCTGTAGTCGAGGATCGGAGACATGACTGATGTGATGTGATGCGGCCGGCCATCCATTAGTCTATGGCTGTGGTGCTGATCACTCGCTGTCTCGTGCGTCGCAAGTCTCATCGAAAGGAGAACTCGAGATGTGGTCCGAGAACCTCAAGCGAGCGCTGTTGTCACGAGCCATCAGGGCCGTTTCAGTCATGCACGCCTCGGACCTGGTCCCCGACGCAGTTTGGGTAGAGCGCATGCAGGCCGCCGACACCAGTTCCAGCCGTCCCAATGTCGATTGCGACGACGGGCTTGGAGATCAGCAGTTCCTGACTCAAACTATCAAGGAGATCGAGTCCCTGTTCGCAGCACCCATGCCAGTGCTACCGTTCCAATACGAGCTGGCGACAAGGTGCTTGTGGGACGATATGGAGTCACTCTCGCTATCCAAGTGGTTCGACGAAGACCAGCCAAAATGGCCGCCATCCACCCAAAGATCGCAGGCGAGCGAGATTGCGAGTCTCAGTAACGAAGCCATCGGAAACAGCCCGCTGTGGTGTCGTGATGTCGATGGGGAGAGTGGCAATGCGGAACTCCCATGCTGCACAAGCATGTCGGTCATCACAGAGGCCCGGTCCACGAAGAGCAGATCGTCGTTTTCCGTTGGAGAGCTCTTGCTGGACAACGAATGTGGAGCAGACAAGCTGCCGATCCCAGCTGGAGACACCGGGGCTCGGTCTCTGTCGTTGTGGCCTTCGGCACCGATGCCCCAAACACTCGATAATTCAACCACGAGCAGCCCCACTCCAGCCGAGGAAGAGACACAAGCGACACAACCTCCGCTAACGACATCATTATCACCTGCAGCATTGCTTTCATCGTCATCACCACCACCTCTTCCAATTCCGCCAAGGAGCCGGTATGATCCCCGCACGCAACGCATTCGCAAACTTCTCCAGCAGCAGGCCAGCGCCGGTCTCTCTCGTCACACACCGAGACAGTCGGCTGATATCCTCCATGAGGGCGTCGAGATTTTGGTGGACATTGGGCTTGATGTGGACTGGCTTAAGGACCGGGTCCACAGCGAGCGTAATTACAACCAACTTGCCTTGGCGGGACTCGAACGGGCACTTCGACAGGTCGGCGAGCTGGGTGGTCATGCTGTGGACTGGACATAGCCAATCATCAAACAGGGAAGGAATACATATATCGCTCGACTGCCATAGTCGCCTGGCTGGCGGTGTCTTTGGAATATTACAATCAAACCGAGTGTCGGCTCCTGGGCTATGATGATTAACTGCGACCGCCTTGGCCAGAGTCAAGTCACCGAGCCCACCATCTGATGGGAAAGGCATTGCACACTTTATTCAGAAAAAAACGGGACAATATAGCCGTTTCCATGAACATGTAGTATGTGCTGTGCTTGCGTCAAGCAAAGCCACAAGAAATAAAACAGATCACTTTGGCAGCCTCCGAGTGAAGACCGCCGGTCGCTCTCCGGTCTCCACAATCGACCTGCACACTGTGATCATGTTGCGCGCCGCATTGACGTCGCGATTCCACACTGTCCGGCAGCTGGGATTCTTGCAGCTCCTGACAAAGTGGGAATTCGCAACACTGGGCGCATCGAGTCCTTCCAACCGAACTGGCTCCAGGCACTTGGAGCACACTTGCGAGGTGTTGAACTCGTTCGTTGAGGCCACCTTGACGCTTCCATGATGGTGATTGGGACGGCGTCGGTGGTGCTCGAATTGCTCAAAGTACTGAGCAAATCGCTGCCTCCGAGGGCTGGATGCATAGCCCTTGCCTTGTCGCCATGACGCATTGCCAAAGGCGATCACCACATCGGTCCGTATCGGGGTGTGCTTCAGGACGGCCTTGCACATCCTGTCGACGGCCACTTGGCGCCTCTTGTGGCCCGTGAAGCGATGGTGACGGGCCTTCTTGCCAAGGTGGAAGTCGAGCTGCACTCGCAGCTCCGGTCGCAGGACATGGGTGAGATGGACCTTGAAAGCCTCCGAGGACGACACCTTGGGCGAGGGAGTGGTCGACATCCAGGTCTCGATGTCGAGTCGATACTTCATGGTGTTGTGCCACTTGGTGTTGGACGTATGGCCACACATTTGCTGGTAGTGACCATTGGAGAACGAGACCACCTCGTCTTGGTGGCCCGGTGCTTGGATGACCGCCGTGAAGATGGAGCCGACTCCAGGATCGATGCCAATCCAAGTGGTACGGTTGGGGTCTGGGTCGCCGATGTGGGCCTGGATGCGCTGCTCGGCAGTCGGAGGAGGCTCGGAGGTCTCGGTGCGATCGGTTCGACGCACAAACTTGACGAGACCGATGGTGCATCCAATGCCATCGGTGCTGATCTCGTAGTTGAACAGCTTGTGATTGATATCCCGGTCACGGAAGAGGGAGCTACGCAGCTTGAAGCAACTGCGCCAGAGACGATCCTGGTTGTTGACACCGTCATCACCTTGTTCCTTGAGCATGTCCCGGGTGAGTCCAAGGCGTTTCTTTGGACCAAGGAGTTCCCAGAGAGTGACGGTGTCGATCTTGACATACTTGGCCGTGGCAGTGCACAGAGGAACCATCGTGCACACGGCCGGAGGAGTGTCGACGGCGAGCTGCTTGAGTGCCCAGTTGAGTCTGGATGCCAGCTTGTTGATCTTGGACTTGGTGGTGCCGAGCTCAGACTTGGCCGTGGTGAACCTCTTGTCGTCGGAGGGAATGCCTCGGGCAGTGAGCTCGTCCAGCTTGGCCTGGCGCTGCAGCTCGGTGACTCGGAGGGCGGGCATGTCACAGTCGATCCACTTGTGGACATCGTCGACCATCTTGTCCCGGGCGAGGATTCTCACATGGTGTGAGAGGCGATGGAGGGCCCGGAAGCGGTCCTGGTCGCTGCTGTACCGAAACTCGTCCAGGACGTGGCCAAAGTCTGGATAGAGGAACTCGAGATCGGCCTTGGGTGGAGTCTGCCCTGGTTTCTCGAAGAGCTCGAGACAGGCCTCGATGGCTTCGTGCTTGTGCTTGTTGGCTGGGAAGACGGCAGCGCAGAAGCGGCGAAGGAGTCGCCAGTAGGCCAGGTCGAGGTGGGTGGTGCAGTTGGTGGCATAGGCATTGACAGCGAGAGTGAGAAGCTGACTGTGAGCACCATCAGGCAGACGAGGGGCCGGAGGCAGGTCTGCGTGCCGAGTGGTCTGGTAGTCGCGAAAGGAAGCGACCAGATGCTCGTTGTATTTCTCATTGTCCCTGGCCGTCGAGAGGGCATCGGCCTCGACAATCGTGAAGCATTGGCGGATGAAAGCAGGGGTGGACTTGGAGATGACGGGGACGGGAAGATCCTGCTCGATGCACCGGAGGATGTGCAGGTTGAGCAGCCTGGATGCCTCGAACTGGATCTGGGTCATGGCCTCGACGGTGGCCTGGATCTTGTCGCGGAGAGCGGGATTGAGACAACAGCCATCCATCGTCTGCTTGAAGCAGCTGAACTGAGGGGCGGATGACCTTCCATCCACGAGTGGGACGACGGAGCTCTTGAGGGGCCGGTATTTGGGACATTTGCTGGTGTTGCAACGTTCGTGATCGGTGCCATCGCACTGGCGGCATCGCTTGCCGGTACTCGAGGAAGTAGATGGACCAGGCTCGGTGGGATCGACATCCATTGGATCTGCAGAAGCAGTGGTGGTGAGCGACGGAGCAACAGACGACCAAGCATGCGTGGGGTCAGAATACGAACCAGAGACAGGCTCCGACTGTGACTTGGCTTTCTTGGGCCTGGGTGGCCGAGGCTGGCCATCACCGGCACCCTTATGCTTCGGAGGCATGGGGGCAGAGGATGCTGGATGCCTGCCAGTGGTACTGGTCAGAGCAGAGACTTTTTTTATCGTACAATAGCGCGATGATCAGATCAAGGCGAGATGAGGGAAGAAAGCAGCAGGACGAAGGTGTGGCATTTATACCCGAGAGCAGGAGCCCGTCTTTGCGGGCTGGTTGGGGAAGTGACCCTGTTCAAAAATCGCCGAGAGGTTCAAGCCAGGGATGTGAACGCGAAAATGGCGGCTTGATTGGAGGGAACTCAACCCCAGAAGCGCATCGCTCGCTCAATCAGCCGTGGGAAGACATCTGGAAGCACCCTCCGAACGGCAGACTCAAACAGTGCGACCATCCCGACCCTGAACCCCTCGGACGCATTCAGCGCTGCGGCCTTCCTGTACTGATGCTTCACAATCCCAAAGAAGTTTTCGATGGGATTGAAGTCGGGCGAGGCAGGTGGGGTGAAGATCACTGACCATCCTCGGCGCTCGATGCAGTCCAGGACAGGCATTGTCTTGTGCATGCTGACATTGTCCATCACAATCACAGAGTCGTCTGGGAAGCTCGCTCGCTCAAAGAACTCGACCATCGAGTGTGTCTTGAATGATGTGGGGATGTACACGCGATGCAGCACACCAGAGTGGTTGATGGCAAATGCAGCCGAGACAGACTTGTGTTTCATGTGATTGCGCTGGCGAAGCGGAGCACCCTTCGGTGAGTATCCGTAGAGAGGGAAAATGGATTTCCTGATCCCTGTCTCATCGACAAAGACGAATCGTCGTGGGTCGATGGAACGGACCTGGTCCCTGAACTGTGCCACTCGCTCATCCAGTCGCTTGGACTTGTAGAGGTGTGTTGCCCTCTTGTGTGAGAGACCTGCTCGGTGGATGGCAGTGTGGCAGAGTGAGAGTGATACTTTCCTCTGGAGGATGGACTCGAGCTTGCACCGCAACACAGGACCAGTCTGGAACGGGTCCTGTTCAATCAGGGTGCGAATGACTGGACATGCCTGCTCGAAGAAAGTGGATATGCGAGCTGGGACTCGGGATGGGTCATCCAGCTTGCATCCTCGGTGCCATCGATGGATGGTGCTCTTGGACACACTGAATATGGAGGCAACCTTACGCAGGCTATGGATGAGGGCGTAGCATCGCAATGCGGTGGTGCGAAAGTCGGATGTGTGGCGAATGGTCATGGCCAGCGCGCGATAACATTGGGTAACAAAATATTCGATGAATGGTCAAAAACCCGGGTGTCCCGTTTTTTATTGGATTGCCTGTATTCGGGCCTGATCGTGGTCGGGTCGATTGCGCGCCAGCCGATTCCCTCCCAGTGCCCGTCCAGCCGATCCTCCTGCTCCCCTTCAGCTACATCTGCCCTCCTGGCCCCTCGCCAACTGTATCTACCCTCCCGGCTCACCCAGCGCCGTTTCTAGTGGCCGTATATCTGGATCTGCTTACGCCCCGCCGTTGCCCTCCCCAGCTGCTATTTCTCAACTTTCGTCAAGAAGTTGCTCACCAAGATGCATCCGGCGCTGAACGTCCTGATTTGCTCGTTCCTTATCCAGCTGTTGGAGATTGTTGGCTATTCCTTCATCGCCAAGCAGGTTCGGCGCGACTCTCGCTGCAACCAAAGCACCAGCACTAGCGCCTGGACGAGTCTCTTCGCTGTCCAGTCGCTCATAGGAAATATCAGTCCAACATCGTTTCGCTCTGTTGTCCTCACCACTGTTTATCGTTTCATAGGTATATCTCCTTCTCTCGTGGCTCTCCAACCCAGCCCAGCAGCGCCAAGCCGAGAAAGAAAAGCGAGAGATCCTGGATCTGAAAAATGAGCTGAGCAGCGTGAATGCACAGGTGGGCTCCCGTATCCGATCTTGCTCGTCTCGGCGACTGTGCTCCCCGCCTGTGATTATTGGACAGACGAGCGATGCCGAAGTATTCCGCTCGATCGGCTGCCACACTCATCCCCGCTGTCCAACTTTTGCTGGCAACTTCGGCACGCTCCCGCAGGACGAGTTTGCCAAATGGGCCAAGCTGAGACGCCAGCTGGACAAGAAAGTTGCTGCCTTCGAAACGAGCGGTGGGTTCGAGGGCAAAGGAGACGGATCGCCACCCGAGCGAGCTGGGGGGGGATATTAGGCGGACACAGCCATGTTCCCTGCACCGGCAAGATCGTTGCCGTCGACGGCGAAGCCCCACAGACCTGCAGTCATGAAGAATCGGAGACGAGCACACCCGGGTGCTGTTCATTGCGAGACGGCAAAGCTGATCTGACTGAATCCGTTCCAACGATCGGCCATCTCCTTCTGATACCCTTACCATGCACGCCTCTGTTCGACCAACGATAGGCCGCGATCGTGGTCTGCAAAAGGCCACGTTCGAGTTCCAGATCTCATGGGGCCTGTGGCTGACTTTCTGGATCGTCAAGCTGTTTCTGATGTTCACGTACAGGGCCAGCCCCATGTTTTATGTGCGCAAGTCCTGGCTGGGCCCCTTCTACTACTTTATCTCCCTCCCGTTTGCACCGAAAGGTAGGCACCGATGGCTTGTGCGAGGCTATACTGAGGACAGCTGGAAAACAGCCAAGGGGAGGATCCTCGCAGATGCCACGAGCACAGCGGGTGCGGTTGGGTGGTGCTGGCGCAGGCAAGAAGTTCCAGGCAGACGGCGTGGAAGTCGATCGGGTGAGCTCGCTTTGGAAGAGACATGCATGTGGCCACTTCGTGCCATTTAACCCTTCGTTTTGCATGTATTTTATCGATAGGATCTGTCAGCGTTATCTACTGGTTTTTCGCCTGCCAGAACGTGTTCACCCGACTGTTGAAGTCGATCGTCGCAGCAACAGCAGCCCGAGCCACACCAGCTCAAACGACATCAGCGGCGACTGCCAACTGAGCCGGTGTTCCCCGTTCAATCTCTCCCTCCTCCTCCCCCCGGTATATATGCACCGCTCACAAGTATGGGACGCTGCGTGTTTCATTCCCAACTCCATTCTTCGCTGGGTCGTTAATACAGCGCTGTTCATCCAGTGCACCTGAGAGTATCATCAGCAGTGGCGACAGCAGCAGTGGCCACAGCGATGGCCAGGAAATGCAGAAACATCAAACTGGACCTCGAACACAGGAGCTATATTTGGAGACAGAAAGTTCTCTACACAATTAACCTTGGTGAACAGCTAGACTTCGGTACAGCAAAGGACGGGTGCACTGATGATAAATCCAACGAGCGCTCCGGCAAAGGTAGAAACACATCCAATGACAGGCAACACCAACGAGCCAACTATCAAAAGCACTCCCAAAGTAACGTTCTGATGGGTGAATGGGCCTGAGGGAATCAGAGCCATGATGCCGAGTGTTGCGGCTGCGACGGTGCCGGTGGCTCCGACTATGTAGCTGCAGAACTTAGAAGTACAAGCAACGACCTCTGTTCCAGACATGTGAGGCAGAGTGTAACGGGGAGGCAGGTGGCTGTTTTGAGAGGCGGAAGGGCAGTCGCTACAAGCTAATGGGACTTGAGAATGGCTTGGTCAGACAATCGGATCGGCCAAGACGGATATGCTCAGCTGGCCAGAGAGGCTTTGGTTGTGGACAGCGGTTGACGTGCGGCCAAAGGACAGACCAGGGTGCGGATACTCGAACAGCGGAAGACTGGGGACTGGGGGATACGACAGACGTGGGGGATTTTATATGGCCTCGGGCCGGGCATTAGATTGCGGCCGTGCAGCCGACCGCACCCGATCGAACAGCAAGGACATTCGCCAATGCACCGTTTGTTCTGGACTGGCGGATGCATCCCGTTTCGTCCATATTGGTCCTGATACCTGCTGCGCTCTCTTGAACCGCACTCGCGTTCAGCAGCGGCTGATGCATACTCGGGCCGGGGACTCCAGCGATTCCCTTGTCGATATCTCAGCAGGCGGGAAATTTTTTTCTTTCTTTGTTATTGTTGCAACTGTGTGCGGTATCTCGGCGGGTGGCTGTCGCGAATTTTGGCATATTTGGGCAAGTTTCAGCCTGCCTGGCGCGTGTGGCGAGCGCTGGATGAATGGTCTGGCTCCCATTTGTGGTGGTTTCTGTGATACCGCGCAAGGCTGGTGCCGCAGGAAGCGCTGATCGAAAACTGTCTGGGCTGTGATGGGTCCCGATACCACGGAGCAGAGGCGGGCAAGGCCCTCGATCGTCGATGCCAGTGACCGGGGCAGTCCCGGACCGAAATGCACCTGTATCCGAGGCAGCGAAAAACACCCGCTCGGACTGCAAGCCTGCATCCCACTGGGCGGAGATCACAGGAACAATGGGGCCGGCCAAATGATAACGACTGTGTCGAGGGCACATGGCCGCTGATGGCTGCCGCTGGCATCCATGATCTGCTGACGGCCGGGCTCTCATGAACACTGTCGAGCTCCGCTGCCGCAGCAGGCGGGGAGATGTCATGGTCGCGTGCTGCCAAAGGAGTGTGTTCGTGTCCCAGATTCAGGGGGTGGGTTCTATAAATAGCACTGACGCAGTGTTATTTGCTCACCTGCACCGGGTAGTCGTGGTGTCCCTGCCCCCTCTCTCGGCCGCTGGACTCGCCAGCGCTCCGTCCACACACCCCGCTCGGCTCCAAGACCGTCCGTCCACGATAATCAACTCAAGGTCTCTGACTGCACATGTACATGCACATGCACTCCCTCGAACACTCTCGGCAGCTGCCCCGCTGGAACCCAGATGTCCTGCACCACATCTTTGGGCTTTGCCAGGCCGCCGGCGACTTTGGCACCCTCCATGCCGGCATGCTGGTCTGTCGGGCCTGGTCCTGCGTTGCTGCTCAGTACCTGTACGCCGATCCCGCTCGAGTCCTGGCCACATTCATCCACCGAACCGACCCAGACCTGTTCCCCGGCCTGCCTTCGCCGTGGGGACACTTTGATGCTGGGCTCAACAGCCAGCTTTGGAGACACTCCCACAACCGAGCTCGGCTGCTTGGCCAGCTCGTTTCCTCTATCCTCGACGGCTCGCACCTCCCGTTTCACGACTACGTTGGACATCTCCGGTCCTTTGACTTTCGGTGGCTCCTCGCCCGGCCGGGATGTGACCAAGATGGAAACGAAGACGAGGACCAGGATGAACCCGGCTGCCATCCTGTCCACTTTGCTTCCTACCGTACTGACACCCAAGACAAGTGGCTGCGACACCGAGCACTCGAGCGCCTGCCGGCCCAAGTTCGGTCGCTGGCCTCGCTGCCGAGCCTCTTTGACGAGCCAATCCCATCGCTGCTGCCCCGGTTTTCGCACCAGCTCCGCCAGCTCGAGATCCTGGTGGCCGACCGAGCGGTGCTGGAGCTGCTCCAGGTCTCCGGTGCTTTCCCACAGCTGACGGAGCTGCGTCTGGACCTGCGCCCGCTCTCGGAAGACGGACTGCCCGAGCGCCCGCGGGCCTGGCGACAAGATCGAAACGACCTCGAGGATACAGACGGGCGATCCAGACTGCAGCAGCCGGTCTCGGCCCTGGTGTCGGGCGTAGTCATGAACCACCGCGGACTGGCACGGTTCAAGCTTGATTCGCTCGGCTCGGGACTGCTGGATGTTGTCCACGCACTGCGCTTCCTCGAGAACCTGACTCATCTCGGCCTTTACAACTGCGACATGACCCGAGCCAGGCTCGGCCGGCTGGCGCTGGACTACGGAGACGGCAGCGACAGCAGAAACAGCGATGGCGGCCCAGGGGTCGGTGTGGCTCTCGTGGGGTTGGAGATTGCGGACTGCCGCGGATGCTACGATGACGACCTTGTGCCGATCCTGCGACGCTCGGTGCAGACACTCGAGTATCTCTCGCTCAAGTTTACGCAGTGTACCGACGCCGTGCTTGACGAGATGCTCGACGGTGTCGGCGTATTGGTCGACGACGGCAACACCGCCAACGGGCCAGCCGCAACCCATTCAAGCACTTGCGCCCAAGTACATCCAGACAATGAAGCCCTTAACTCGATACAAATATGCAGCCGGACCGACTGTGCGTTGATGCCGCTGCGGACGCTCAAGCTCCATGGTGCTTTTCAGACGACACTGAGATCGAGCACACTGCGCCGGCTCGGGCGGCTCTGCGGGCGGCTCAAGGAGCTGGACCTGTTTGACACCACCTTCGAGGTTGCCGGCATCCACGACCTGCTGGAGCTGCGTGGTGCACAGCTAACGCATCTGCGGCTCATCAACGGCATCGACGGCACCACCCTCGACGACAACACATTGGCGGTCGTCGCCCGCAGCGGTCGCCGCCTGCGACATCTCGATCTCTCCTTTGCCCAGCTGACAGGAGCCGGCATCGATGCTTTCGCCCGCACCGTCGCAGCAGCACATGCAGAGGCTCAAGCGCAGGACCCGCAGCACAGCATCGCTGGCGACCGGCCTGGGCGATACTCGCTCGAGTTTGTTCGGCTGGTGCACTGCGGCGGACTGCAGAGCAGCCACATTCGATCGCTGGTCAAGGACATGCCGACCATGAAGACGCTGGATTTGCGCCGGTGCTCGGTCGTCGGCCACGACGAGGAGCAGCGAGTGGTGCAGATTGCGCGGGAGGATGGAACGATTGCAAGCGTGATTGTGGGCGAGTGATGCGGCGATGTGGGGTAAACGATGGATGCGGTGGATGTGATGAATGCGATCGATGTGGTGATACATACAGTTAAGGTACTGGACTGTTCATGATGGCTGGCAGGTCGTTCACGGAATATGATACACACAGCACACAGCACGCACAAACAGTGACTATAAAATGTGATTTGTATTGATGTTGTGCATGATTCAGAATGGGCGGCCATCGGCCACGATAGATCACATGCAGGGCAGATTGGTGTGCCCCGCTGGCTCGTTTGGAGCCGAGAGAGTCGGTGCAAGAAAATCAAAGTGAAACATGAAAGGCGCGGCACATGGCAAAAACACAGCCATGTTCGCGCGAGGGGGGGGTTGTTATCTGAATCAACAAGTGTCATATGCTTCTCGATCGCAAGTCGGCGGCACAAAGGGGCAGCAGCGAGACAGAGCAAGCGAGAGAAGCGGGGGGAGCAACCAAGGCACCGCAAATCCAAGGAGGGCAGAGCCCGGCCAAAAAGCTCCTCTTCTGATAGTAAGGCTGGTAACTATCCAACACGACCCGGGAAAGGGAAGGCCGGTTCCAACGGCGGAACCAAGAAGAGACGGAGCTGGCGGGGACTGTGCGGGGGAGGGTGCGGCAAGGTGCTGGGGCAAGGTAACAGAGACACAAGTGAAATCCAAGTCATTCTAGAGGGAGGGATTGAGAAAGCGGGGGAACTGGTCTTTTGAAAAGAGAGTTGGCGCGGCTGGGGGGAGCAGCCATCAGAAACGTCGCATTCCAGGGCAGAAAAGGAAAATGGAATGCGGGCGCGCCGGGGGCTTTCTCAATATACGCTACAGTGCTTTTCCGAGGCAGGAAAGGGTGAGAGCCTCGGAACAGCCCAGGGTAAGGCATTGACGCGACGGACCACGAGAGCAAAAAGATTAAAAAAAAAGAGGGTGAAGAGTATAAATAAAGTGTGGTCCGTCGAGCTGTACCTGTTGCATAGGGCTTTGGCCGAATTCCAGGACAGGAGGGGCAGCGGAATTCGGGGCACGGGAAGGGCGTAGCGTCCCAAATGATCTTGTCAGAAGTAGCGGAACGATCCATAAGACGCGGGCAGAGGCGCGGCGGCATCTTGAGGATGGAACAATGTGGGTACATTGGCAAGGGAATGGGTTGGCGAGGCGAGCGAAATGCCATTAAGCAGTTGCGCCGGTTCGCTGGCAGGTTTGCTTGTCCTAAACAGAGAAGCAAGTTTAATCGAAGGGGCTCCCGAGCCAAGGGTCACATTGCTGAAAGAGGAGTGGTGGTTAAACTTTACCAGGTGGCGACGAAGCGCATCCGAGCGGGTGAATTGTCGAGTGCAGTGCTGGCACGAGAACTCCTTCTGCTTCCGGTGGCAGCTGTAGTGGCGCTCCAGGTCGTGGGGGCGGACAAAGCTCTGGGAGCACAGCTCGCAGCGGAAGGGACGAGGGCGGTTCAGGTCGTGCGTCTTGACGTGGGTCTCGAGGTTGAATCGACGGGTGAAGGACTTGCCGCAGCCGTCGTGAGTGCAGGTGTACTTTGCGTGCCGGGTGGGAGGCGAAGCAGGCGCAGACACGACCTGGAAGGTAGGCAGAGGAGCGGCGACGGGAGGCGAGTAGGGGGTTGCGGGCATCGACATGCACGCGAGGAGATTGTTGTTGTTGCTGTTGTTGTTGCGGGTGGCCGTGTCGAGGAGGGCCAGCAGCTTATCCATTGGAAGGATGACGTTGACGCTGTGAGGGTCGCTGTTGAGATCCACGGGGATGGCGGGAATCGAGAGAGGGAAGGCCGAAGGAGGGGAGGTCACGGGGGTGTTCATGGGCGAGTCCATGAGGGTGTTGAGCTCGGGAAACAGCTTGGCGGGAGGATTGACGGGGGTAAGGAGCGCGTCGAGGCTCAGGGATGACGAGCACGGGGGCGACGAGGCGGGGGTGAAAGGAATGGTCATGCAGTCAAAGACCAAAGGGGTGGCCGACGAGAACAGCGACGCAGGCGTGACGCAGGGATCCTCAAAGGCGGCGATGGGGGTAGGGAGGGGATGGCCCAGCACCGGCGGGGTGAGATCGCCCTGGCTGAAGAAGGTGGGAGTCTCGCACAGCAGCTCGTTGAGCACGGCGTAGTCGATCTCGGGGGAAGTCACAGGAGCAGCGGGAGCAGGGGGAAGAGCAGATGCGCTGGCGGTGGTGGTGTCGTAGAGAAGAAAGTCAAAGAAGGCAGAAGTGTCGGAGTGATCGAAAGGGTTGGCGGCCATGAGCGGCAGAGACTCAGATGGGAAAGGGTGGTGTGGCAGGGGAGATGCAAAGCCGTCAAACAAGACGCTGAAAAAGGGGGGGATTGCGGATGCCGCTGAAGCTCAAATGGAGCTTTGTGGGAGCAAAGGGCCAAGAAGATCCGACTGAGATGGAAGGGCTCAGAGACCAGCAGGGCTCAGAGACCAGCAGGGCACAGCGCAGGGCGGAGGCAGAGTACCGACGGAAGGCGAAGCGGACCTGGATGTCTATTTATCATGAGAGGCACCGCCAAGGGATGGACGGCGAGGAGGCGAGGTATGGACGAGAACGCCATGCGAGACAAGGGCGAGACAAGGGCGAGACAAGGGCGAGACAGGGGCGAGGCCGAGACCGCAGCGAGAGGGAGCGAGGAGGCAGCGATTGGGTCACAGAGACGAGAAGAGAGCCGCCTCGCGCCCCGACGCGGTGACGCATCGCCGGCACACGACAACGGCGCACGCAGTGTTGTCGTGGCTCGGTCGCGCTGACGTGGCCGCTTGTGTGGCCGACGCGGCCGCCGTGGTATCCGTCCTCGCCGGTCTCGCCGGGCCTCGCTGCGGTCTCGTCGGAGCTCGGCGGCACAGCGGCTGCTCATTCGCTCGTGCGACAAGCGCTTGACTTCGCCCCCCGCGCAGTGCCTTGTTCTGTAGCGATTGTATGGAGAGGTGCTTTGGCGAGCACCGCCCCTCGATCTGGCTGGATCCGCACTCGCTGGCTGGATCCGCACTCGGCTGGCTGGATCCGCGCTCGGCTGGCTGGATCCGCGCTCGGCTGGCTGGATCCGCGCTCGGCTGGCTGGATCCGCGCTCGGCTGGCTGGATCCGTCGCGTGGGAAACGGCACCACCGACAGCGTCACCAATCCAATCCGATGATATCATCCATCGCAGCCACACACCCGCAGCGTATTGCTCCGACATGCTCTTCTGCTCACTCGCCTGCCCTTGCATACGCCCGCTTGGCGAACGATTAATTAGCAAACTACCCTTCCTTGTCTCAAACCCGTCTCGCCGTACCGCCCCGACCCACTCGCCCAGCGCCTTCCATCCATGTCCATGACCCTGTGCATCTTGTTTCTGTGCGTGATAATGTGCGCATCCCTCGTCTCGGCCGCGCCGGTCGTCAAGCCGCTGTCGATGAGGTCGACTAACGAACGCATTGCCGTGGTGAGCATTGCATCCCATGGCTTCCCGCTGCAGCAACGACCGGCATCGCTTCTGCGTCCATCGCGGCTCTGGGTCACAAACGCACACACTAAGCACAATCCGGGATGTGGCTTGACCATTTCAGACCGAAACCAATGTGCAGTGTACCGTCGTGCCCATGTTTGGCCGCTTCACCCTCTCGGTGTCCTGGACAGCCAACACAAAGAACACCATGGCCGTTTGCGCACCCTTTCTCCAGTCCGATTTCTACTTTTGCGACTATGTCCACGACGTCCCATCTCCGGACGGAACATACGACTGGACCTCGCTGATCTGGCTTGACCCGAGCAAATGTGCTCTGCAGTCTTCTGAGTGGGCAAGCAGCTTGGAGGACTACTTTGGTCAGCCGGTCACCTGTGACGCTATGCCTTGCAACCCGTCCCCGAGCAGCCCCACAGCATGAGAGATCTCGTCCTCCTACATGCCCCGACAACGCGTGGTCTTGCTATCGACCCGACATGCACCGGCTCGGCGTTGCCTGGCTCGGAGTTGCCTGGCTTCTGTCAACACGACTGCTTTGTGGGCCGAGCGTATCCAGCTTCATGTCGCAGCGTCATGTGTGTACCCCTGTCGGTATAGCATGGGTCCATCGCCGGTGCTCAGTGCAATATGCGCACCTGTCTCCCCACCATGGAAATAGACATCGACGCTTCAGCGCGGCGAATGCACGCCTCCTGGCAGAGAGGGCGGCCGGGCTTGGACTGGTCGTGGCGCAGGCAGGCGTGACCCCACATGACCACAATGTCCAGCCCGCCTTCTCGGGTCCAGATCCGTTTCCGTCTGGCTTTCGTCGCTCCTCGGCCACCACCTCAACCGCACATCGATCTCGACCGGCATCCGCGTCCGTCGCACCGGCCTCGTCCGTCGCATCCATCGCATCTTCTCGGTCTATGGCTGCCCCCAGCATGGTCCCCGGCACCAGCATCGATCTCGAGCAAATCCTCGACTGCGCCATCCAGGTCCTTGACGCGGCCACCAGCAACCAACCCACGCATCGCCGCTGGGGCGTCATCGACTTTTTCTCCTCGTATTGGCCAGAGGAAGCCTGGAGCTTCGTTCTCATGAAATGGGACACGGACATTTCGAACCGCCCTGCTGTCCGCGCCGCGCTGCTGCTGGCTCTCACCATCCCGCGAAAGCGTCCGAGCCCCGATCTGCAGCGCATCACCGAGCAGGTGAGTCCCGACATGACGATGGGCAGCATTGGCAGCACCGATCTGCTGCGGGTCGCTTCTGTCCTCCACCTTTCTATTCTTCTCCTCTCCTTTTCTTCTTCTTTTGGGCTCGCTTATTATTATTATTTTCGAAGCAGCGCTGTCCCGTTCTGAAGAAGAGCAGCTGCCTGCATGTGTCGTTGCTGCCGCCGGCTTTGGCCACGCAGATCGCTGCACTGCTCGGACCGCTCGATGACAGACGGCATGGTGTCTATCGCTCCGACCACTTCTGCAGGAGGCACTGTCGTCCCAGAGACACTGCCATGGATGCGCTGGTGTCTGGTGCCGGGCGGCCAGGCCCTTCCTGCTCGGAGAATCGGCTTGACAACGAGCCAGCCGGCAGGATCTGTTCGGCCGGTCCGATCGCTCCTGCACGGCGCTCCAGCCTTGCCTCGGCCCGCCGGCAAGCATCATCTGCCAGCACCATCTGCCAGCAGACTGCCGACAACGCAGAATAAAGCCATCGACGTTGCAGGTTTCTCCTTGGGCTGGCTGGGTCGGACGATTTTCTTTTTCTACCTTTCCCTTTGATCCCGTCCCACCAGCGTTTGCCCACATAAACTCCGAGCCAAGGCCGGCACATAACCAATGAAGGCGATTTTCGTCTGGCGTGCTGGCACGTTCTCATGCGAGATCCAGTGGTGCTTGTGCTGCTCGACCATATCACTGTCCCCGGCTGTCCTCACATCCTGATCTGAGTGCTCTCCCTTCATCCGCGGTGAATCATCTGTTGACACTTGCGGCTCGATGCTCTTTGTCTCTGTTCTGTCTCCTCGTACACCATCCGGACCTGTCTATTCCAGCTGATCCAAAAAGCACTCGCCGACCCAAACGAGACCGTGCGAACTCTTGCGGCAATCCTCAAGGATGTTCCCTGGCCCACAAATGGAGGCCTCACCCTGGAGCTCGATCCCAACCTGTGTCCCATCTTCGAACAAGCCTTCCAGGAGCTCCGTACCGGTAAGCCTGCGACCGGCCATAACAGCCACCTGCACTCGCCGTCCAGACTGTCAATGTCCCGCATCGCCCACACCCACCACTCGCTGACATGTTTCCTTCCCGCGCGCCCGCCCTGTCAAATCGCGGCAACCATAGTGAGCTTCCCGAGCACACTATTTGTTCCGCGCTACATGGCCTATCTGGATCCCGACGTCGTCAATGGGCTCATTCCCGGTGGAGAGGCCCGCCTTGCAACCGAATCCAAGGAGCCACAGCTTCGATTCCGTCCTGAGTTTGCAATCCCATCCAGAGAAGAACGACTGAAGCTCTATCTCGGAGGTACCCCACGCTGATGGCGGATGAATCAGAGTTGTCGCCTCAGTCGGCCCGGATGAGTGCCGCTGTCGCTGATGCGCAACTGGACCCTGGATCCTGCACCCGTCCATAGATCTGACACTTTCACCCTCGTGCGATGCCCCAGACCCCATGGCCGAGGACACCCAAAGCCCCGTCGGCTTGTCCAGTCTCCCTGCCAAACCCATGGCTCGTCCCCTCTCTGGATCCCGCCTTCCGCTCAAGCGCCCGCCCATGATTCCGCTCTCAAGGCCACCTCTCCCCCGTGAGTCACCGCCTGCGAGCTGCCTGTGAACTGCCTGCGAACTGCCCAGATCCCATGAACACAGCACGCCCTTCATCGTGCTGCGCTGGAATCATGGATGCTCAAGCGAATCTGATCCGATCCCCTGTGCTCCATATTACTGCGTAGGCGTGACTGCAACTCCATCCTCCAAAACATCTTTGGGCATCAACAGACCCATCCCCAAGGGCTTGCAGCGTGAATCCCGGATCGTTCAAATGTCTGACAATGACTCGATCGAGCTGAAGAAGGAGTACCTGAACGAACAGCGAAAGCATCAGGAAGGCATGTACTACTGTAGCGATCGGGCGACTTCTTTCTCCGCGAGCTTCGCTGGGCTCGACCACCGCTATTCTCTCGCTGAAGCCTGTGTCGTGCACAAAGGCACCTCCATGCTCATGATGTCGGTGATCCAGCGGGTGTATCCAAGACGGCTGCGCTGACTTGCCTTTTTTCTTGCTCTGTGCGCTGTCACCGACACGATGGTACTGTCCATTGACTCGGTTCGGCTCGACTCGACTTGACTCGGCTCCTTCCTGCCTATCGAACACGGCCATTCATCGCGCCAATTTGTCCCGGCGTTGTCGATCTGTGCTGCAGAGTTGGAGCGGGCCAAGGAAGAAAAGATAAAGCAGCGTAACCTCGAAGCCGAAGAAAAACAAAAGAAGCGCCTCGAGGCCATGAACAAGAAGAAAGAACTCCAGCAGCTCAAGATGCAGGAGCGACAGCTCGCCCAGCAACAGAAGCAGCTGCTGAAGCAGAAAAAGGAGCACTCCCCGCAACCGGCATCCGACGATGCGCATGTCGATGCCGAGGTCTATACCAATCCTGAATCCGATGCCAACTCGCATGTCGCTCATTCGCCCTCCGACCTTGCATCTCCAGCAACCCTGCCGCCCGATACGCCGGAGGCGCTGGATCATGAAAGCTCGCCTCCGCCTCCGCCTCTGCCGCTGCTGCCGCCGCGCTTGTCCAGCATCGAACTTGATCCAGACTTTATGAGCGTCGAAGTTTCCGTGGAGATTCCGGTGGCTCCGGAGAGCGATGACGAGTACATTCCCGAGGTCTCTGCATCCAAGCGCCAGACGCGATCGTCCTCAAGCCGAGCTGCTTCCGCAAATGCAGCCAAGGCATCGAAGCCATCCCCGAGCTCTGGCGATGCCACCAATGACACTGATCCACAAGATTCGTCCAGTAAGCATTGGCCGTCTGCTGCGCACCCTTTGCTCTAGCTATTGGATTTCTGCTCTCGGGCGTCATCGGAACCGCATCCCTTTCGACCCAGTCAGGTTCACCAGTAATCTCATCGTTTTTTCTATTACTCCTGATAGAAACGCCAAGCAAGCGAAAGCGCAAGCCTCCTGTTGCATCCGAAGCACCGAACACACGCAGGCGTGGCAGATCGGCGCGCGGTGCCGAAGAGCCCACACCATTGCCACCGACACCTGCCGTGCAAAACGGATCACCAGCCACAAACTCAGCACCAACAGCGCGCGGACCAGGCTCTGCCTCCAAAAACAAAAGTACTGCTGCTACCGCTGCTGCTGCTGCTACTACTGCTGCTGCCAGCTCGGAACAGCCGCAGCAGAGCCAGCCAAGTCTGAAGGATATGCTTGACTCAATCTTCCAGTACTCAAATATGGTTACCGACGACCACCGCAAGATCATTATCGATTTTATGAATGGAAGAACAGGTACGATCGCGCAATCCGGACCCTTATCATCATCACCCTGGTGTCAAGTGGCACTCTGGCTTCGCGCCCGCTCCTTCCCTCCCTCCGCACAACCCATTTGAACGGACGCAGAGGGACAGCTACGCTCATTCGCACACATGTTCTTGCTATCCTATCTTGCTTGCTTGCTCGTCCTGCAATGACCAGACAAGAGTATGCCCAAACAATCTTTCCTGCTCAACGTGAATACCTCCACGGACCACGACAATTTCGAAGTCACTGAAACTCTGATGATCGAGCTGGATTTCCAAGAGGGTCGCTGGAAGAAACTCCGGAGGACGCAGAGGCTACCCAAAGCCGCTGCCGCCGAGAGCGCATCCGCTGCCACCGGGCCCAAGTAGCCTGGTGAGCAACCGGCCGTGGACTGGCCTCTGACGATGAGGAACAGGATCTGCGCCTTCATGGTGCGACTATCGAGTTGCGACGGGGTGTTTTACATTGATTTATGCTCCAATGTGTTGTTCGCACCCGACGATATATGATGTGCGTGCGCGGTGTGTGTATGGGGATGGTATGCCAACAGGATGCCAAATGAATTGAGTTTCCCTGTTGTTTCCTTTCTCGCATTCACCCACTCGCTCTCTTTATCTTTGTTTTGTTTCTGATTTTTACTTCTCGGGCTTGCATGCTCTCCACGGAGCCGAAAACAATGCTGAATGGTGGCTGCTCTTGATTGATTGCTCGTGATGTATTCTAACGGGGTGGGCTCGGTGCGGGCTGCTGAGGGCCGATTGCTGAGGGCCGATTGCTGAGGGTCGATTGCTGAGGGTCGATTGCTCAGTGGAGATCAGATTCCTTCAGCTGCTGGCCGTGCGGTGTTACCGGCGGGGTCATCATCAACTCGGACTCGAGTCGATGGGCGAGGGCGCTGGCGATCGGAGGTGCCAAGAGCGTCGCCGTCACCATGCCCACAAATACCACCTGAGAGTAATAGTTCTCGCGTCGGTGCTCAAAGTGCACCGAGTGAACCATTTCGATGGCGGCCGTGCACAACGTGGCCTGGACACTGGCTTTGCCAATCCAGACGCCGGAGGCATACATGCTCTCGATGTGTCCGAACCCGACGAGCTCCCGGCTCACCAGATATGTGGCCAGCATCCGGAACACGAACCCGCAGCTGATGATGAGGACGCAAGGAACCACGACCGAGACGGGCATCTCGCCCAGGAAGATGGATGAGCCGATGATGGGGAAGAGAAGCGGCTCCAACAGCGTCCAGACGCGTTTCAGCCTGAGCGGATGCCGGAATGTCGGATGTCGGAATGTCGGATGTCGGAATGTCGGAATGTCGGATGTCGGAATGTCGGATGCCGAGATGAAGGGACGACGAGATGTTCAGGAGTGTTCAGGAGTGTTCGGGAATGTTCAGGTGTGTTCGGGAGTGCAGTAAAGCCATATGCCAGATCGATGTTGGCAGGGACAAGTGCCGACGGCGGGTAGTCCAGGCAGATCGCGATCATCGACAGTGGGAATCCCAGCGAACACATCCATTGATAAGCGAGGGTGTGAAGAATGTTGATCGAATCGGTAGTGACATGGGCACGAGAGGCGAAAGTATCGACGGTGTTAACCAAGGCAAACGCAGTAGAGACACCATCGTCCGTCCGTAGCGCATGCAGCACAGTGCCCGCTGTGCCCGATTGATGCCCGCAGATGCCATCGACACTGTTATCGACACTGTTATCGACACCGTTATCGACACTGGCACTTACTGCTGGTCTGCCCAGACCAAGTCCTCGTGTTGGACCGTGCCGCCGTTGGCCCAGGTGCTCCAGGCAAGCATGACAACCAGACTGGCTGCCCCAACGCTTCCCTGTTGCTTCAGAGCCATCATGGCGATCGCGCTTCCGAGATAGACGCCGGCGACACCAAAATACCGTCCGGCATAGGTGTGAATAGTCCATCCCAGACCTGCTCCGAGGAAGGTGCCGAGCAAGAGCCCTGTGGCCAGTTCCTTGGCGACGTTCCAAACCGAGACGGGAACTCCAAAGCTGATCGAGAGCGAGATGCCAAAGACCGTCGTGGCCACAAAGACGTCGATGCCAATCGAGCCCAGCAGAATCGAGAGCAAGCCCTGAAGGTCGTTGCCCAGGGCCAGTTCGGCTGCGTTCTGGGTCAGCGGCAGTCCTCCGCTGCGTTTGACAGCCATCCGCTCCTTGGTCGCAAAGAGCAGCGGCACGACCACCCCGGGACTGATACTGCCGATTCCAAAGGCAAATAGCGCCGCAAATGGAAGCGGCAGGCGGAGGACCGAGAAGGCCAGCCACATCAGCACCGTCGACTCGACCAGCAGCGGGATGGACCCGATCTTGAGGACTTGCCACAGGTTGCGGTCGAGCTTGAGGGTCAGCCCCGCTCGGGCAATCGCCGCCGTCAGCGCGAGCGACCACAATTTGGTTGTCCACGAGTGCGGGATGGAGACAATGATCGAAGGGAATAGGTTGCGAAGAAGGACGCCCGTGAACAGCATCGACAGCATCGGAGGAGGCCGGATTCCGGTAAGCGGCACGAGCCGAGCCGCGGCGGCTCCCATTGCGGCCGTGACGGCCAGCGATATCAGGCAGCCGATAACTTGGATGGGCGGATGCACATGGTCGACAGGGGGTGCATCGGGTGTGAAAGCCGCCGAATTTGTTCGCACGGCGGCACTGCTTGCAGCTTGCGTCTGCTCGGCCATGGTCGGTCCCGGCGCCTTATCGGTAAGGGAACCAGCGTCGGCCATGACGCAGCCGCTGGTCAGCAGCAGAGCCAGGAGGCCAGACGATACCAGTGCAATCTGCGGGCAAGGCAAGACAGAGCCATATCGTAAGCTGGAGAGCAACAGGAGGGGCCTATTGTTGTGCCGGACACTCCATCGAGCCCAGCCCGTCGCCGTGCGCTCTCCATCGACAGTCCCGGCGAGGAGGCTTGGCGAGCCGATATTCGTTGGTTGACAGATTGCGCCGCGGGGGAGGGGCGTCTCACCTTTCTCGTGGGGCCGCGCATGGCGATCATATTTGCAGACGGCAGTGCGATCCAGGCGGTGATGGCGGCGACGGCGACGGCGACAGAGCGACTCAGGGGCGGCGGGATGCTTGGAGGATGTCGCAAGAGCACCGGCGCAGGTCGGCAGAAAGGGCGGGCGGCGTCCAGCAGGAATGCAAGGGGGAATCGGCCACTGGGTGCGGGCTGAGCCAACGACACGGGCGGTGCCACCGTGGCCATGCGGTGCTTGCGAATCAGCGGCGGTCCACGACAAAATGGATCAGGGCCTGCTCGGATGGATTTGGTGCGCACAGCCCACTGATACGATGCACACCAATACGACGCACACTGATACGACGCACACTGATACGATGCACACTGATACGATGCACACTGATACGATGCACACTGATACGATACACACTGGTACGATGCACTCAACCCACACGGATGTATTCAGACAAATAGGAAAACAGGCGCTATTCCTCGAGGTGTGCAGCTGTCGCTTGCCCAGCAGCCGCCAGGTCTCGGTGATACTTGAGGAAGTCGTTCAACCATCGTTGGTCCTCGGGTCTGTTGAGGGTGGTGGGCTGTTCACCAAGAGAGCTAAGGTTAGTACTCGACAGAGTCGTTCAGCTGCCTACGATACTGGCCTTGCTCGCCAACCATGCGGGCCATGCACATATACGTACGTGAATGTAAATAGGATAGCTTGGAGTCTCGCGGGTAAAGAGAACGATGCTACCGACGGATGTGCTGGCTTTATGCGTCCAATCCGACAGCGCCGATGGGATATGCAGCAGCTGTTTATCGAATCTGATCCAGCCGTCGGCATCGGCCACTGGGCTCCAGGCGGGTAGGTTGGGCTCCGGCCGGCGTGCAGGCACAAAATCGGCGGGTCGCTGCGCCGACCGAAGGTACTTTCCGTCGACCAGGTCCCACAAGAGCTGTTGTCCGTTCACGTCCTCAGACAGGATCGAATCCGAGTCGTTCGAGACGGCAAGGGACTGGATCGCTGCCGAGTGGGCTGTGAGCGTCTGCACGAGCGAGCCGCTCACCGAGTCCCACACCTTGATCGTGCGGTCGTCTGATCCCGACAATATCCACTTGTTGTCGCGGCTGAGGATGACAGTCTCCACGGCTGCAGCGTGTCCCTCGGCGAGAGTGTCGGTTTGATCATCCCAATCAATGTCAGCACTCCACAGCTTGATGGCACCTCGCTCCGAAGCAACGATGACATTCGCACTATCGGTCGTGAATACGATGGAGGTCACCGGATCGGCGTCTCCCTGGAAGCTCCGGAGCAAGGTCCCTGCGTTGACGTCCCACAACTTGACCACACCATCGTCCGACGCCGATGCAACGACGCTGTTGTTCGGGGATATTGCGACCGAGAGCACGGCACTCTCGTGGCCTCGGAGGATGAAAGTCATTCGGCGCTCGGCAATGTTCCATAGCTTGACCGTGCGATCGACTGAAGCAGACGCAACTATTCTGCTATCAGCAGAAACAGCCAGGGCGGTAATTTCGTCGTCGTGGCCATCCAGATCCCCATGCTTTTTAAAGCTTTCGCTGCCCAGGAGGTGGATTCGGTACTGATCTGTCGAGGCCACCAGAAGCGATCCGTCCGGTGTAAATTTGGCGCAATTGCCTCGGCTGGTATAGTTTTTGACTTCAATCGGGGCAATATCATCCTCGAGGTATTCCCAAATCTTCAGGAACGTCTCCTCGGATCGCGAGATGAGTGCTCCTCCGTCCGGGAAATAGTCAAGGGCGATCACCGGTTTGGTGTGGCCGTTGAGCGTGAGCCCCAGTTGGCCCGTTTCGGTTTCCCATATCTTGATAGTTCTGTCGGCTGACCCAGAGGAAATGCTCGAGCCATCAGGAGCGACGGCAACAGTGTTCACTGCACCGTGGTGATCGTTGAGGGTGTGGACCAACCTCTGAGTGGCAATATCCCAGACCTTGACCGTCCCATCATTGGATCCAGAGACAACGTAGCTGCCGTTCGGTGTGACGGCCATGCTTGTTACTACACCAGTGTGGCCCTCAAAGACCAGAGCACGCGGATTGGCGGTCGGCGCTCGGGTAGTTTGTTCGAGCGAGCGGTATGTGGCAGCCACAAAGGGGATGGTCATCTGTCCCTGAGCCTGGAGGACGTATTTGCCGTAGATCAGGCCTCCTTTCGAACAAAACGCCAGTCCGGCGCTGTAAACCTGGGGAGCGCTCTTGACGATCGAACTCTCAAACTCCTGGGCAAACGAGTACGCCTCCTGCGCAAGGAGCTTGGTTTCAGCAGCAACGACCGCGGCAGGTGCGTCTGCGATAATGCGGCTTAGTTCACCGAGACTGTTGATGACGGCCGGGAATTGCCGGCTGAGCGAGCTGCATTCGAGCCAGAAGAGCAGATGGGTGGAGAAGAGCTGGCCGAGGATATCCCCCAGTCCGACAGTCTGATACTGGTTCCATGTTGTTCGAGTGAGTGTGTCTGGCTGCAGACAGTGTAGAAAGTGGGAGGCAAAGTGTGCGACACTGTACTTGAGGGCTTGGCTGATGTTTCGGTCAACAAGGGTGTCGAAATCCGGGATGCTGTCGTGGAAATCGTATATATCGCAAATGTTGGCCTTGGGCTCCTCTCGCACAATGAGACTCAGGCATTTGAAAGCAAGAACGATGTGGAACCGATACGAGACATGGAAAGGCTGGTCGACTGCAGCCCCGTGGAGGAGGTAGGTGGCCACGGCCTTGTGCTTGGCGCTCCTGATAGCCGCATGGCTGGAGGTAGTGTTGGTCCCTGGATCCAGGACGCTGTCAAGGCAGCGGACGCACTTACGAACGATGTCTATGTCGATGTCAAACAAACGAGATATCACAGCGGACGTCAGAGGCACCTGGGCCGTGGCTATGGCTGAGAGGACAACTTGTAGCTCCGGCAGTCGGCTGGCATAGTGGAAGATCCTGGCGAAGGCACGCTGGTAATAAGCCTCGAGGCTGCCACGGTCGACAGAGTCTGATCCGGCCACGGAAAGGGTGAGCTCAAAATCGGCATCATCGTTGCCGCCGTCCTCGAGGGTCAAATCAAGGCGGTTGACGAGGTCAAGACAGTCGATGGCGGTGCCACGGGCGAGCTTGTCACGCCACTGCTCCAGAACAGGGATAGGTCTGGGAGCAGGGATGGGCTCGGGCACAGGGATGGACTCGGGAACAGGGATGGGCCTGGGAGCAGGGATGGGCTCGGGAACAGGGATGGGCTCGGGACGGAGTTCTTGGTGGACATGGGGCGACGGATATCGGCGTTCTTCCTCAAAGTTCGCTTGGTTGCCCGTCTTGAATGGCTCGAGGGCGACACGAATCTCATCAAAGGTCAGACGCTGAGCAGGATTTTGGTGCCAGCATTGCTGGATGAGATTCCATATACCGTCGGGGATGCCGTTGAGTCGGGCGGGACGGAGACCTTGCAAGACATGCTCCTCGACAGCTCGGATGCGTAGGGGGCCGTCCTGGCCGACCCAGATGGGCTGGCAGTTGTTCAGAACCTCGTACATCGTGATGCCAAAGGCGTAGACATCCGTCGCTGGGGATGGATCGGCCAGCGGCTCGTTGGTGAGCATCTCAGGGGCCATGAAGGCATGGGTGCCGCGACCCAGGTCTCTGGGTCGGATCAGGATGGCCGAGACGGTGGTGCGGCGGGTTTGTTGCAGACCGAAATCGGAGACGACGGCATTGAAGTCAGCATCGAGCAGGATATTTTGAGACTTGAGGTCGCCGTGGACAACGTTCAGACTGTGGAGGTACGCCATGCCCGAGGCGACCTGGAACAGGAGCCGGAGCTTCTCGGCAAGCGAACAGGCCGACTGGGGGTTGCAGAGATGCGTACGCAGGGTTCCGTTGGGCATGAAGGGCGTGACCACAAAGGGCCGCTCGACAATGTCACAGGCACCGCACAGCGGCAAGATGTGCTCGTGCTCGAGTTGATGCCATACGGCAACCTCGTTTCGGAATTCGGTAATCTGGGCCTCATCGAAGCTGGTGGGAAAGTGCTTGACAGCGACCCTGAGGCCAAAGTACGTGGCGGTATGCACCTCGCCAAAGCTGCCTTTCGGAAGGGGCTCGTGGGCACTGTTGACAATGGCCCTGTGCTGAATGCGCCATGGCTCTTCTCTGACGGCCTGAGCCACGGGAGAGAGGCTCTGGAGCAGAAAGAGCAGAGGCCTGACAATGCTGGAGACGACGACATCCGAGAGGCTTTCGTCGTAAGCAAGCACGATGAGGGCGCCTGCGACCCGGCGGATGGTCCATTCGTGGCCGTCAAGACGGATACCCACTTCGCCGAGGGCGGTGGCGTCGCCGGCTTGCAGTAGTTCGACAAGGCGGCCAGCGACGATTTGTTCGCGGGTTTCGTCTTCGCGGATGGCCCTTTCGAGCTCTGCATTGCTCATAGCATAAGCGACGGTGAGGCCGAGATCCAAGACGACGCCCTGCCAGAGCGCATCAAGATCCGTGCAAAGGCGCTCGATTTGGGTTCGGGCCTGGTGTCCCTTGAGCACACGTTCGACCTTGGTGATGTCGAGGAGCTCGGCGACAAACTTCTGGGCACGGCTGTAATAGTCTTGGAAGTGGCTCACATACTCGATATAGGTGCGGACACTGGACTGGGACTGAACGAGGAGCCGAAGAATGTCGAGGGAAAGGTTGGCAAAGAAGGTCCACGAAGTCTTGTTCTCTGGGATGTTGTCGAGGTCTTTGCAGAGGTCGATGACCAGCGGCAACAGGCTCGTGAGGGGCTCGCTCGTGGCCCGTCGCCCCAGAGCCGTCAGTCCGTTGGTGACGACATAGATGTCCATGATAGCAGCGAAACGGCCAGGAGGAGGGCGATGGCGTGGCTGGCTGGGGGGAATGTCAAGAGGAGGAACGACCAAGGACGATGCCACGATCTTATATTGCACCACTGCCCCCCAAAATTGGCAGTCAGAAGCGCGACGAGTTGATACCCGACACGCCAAGGCGGCGCAGCCGCAGTTGAATTGTTTGGCAGGCGGATCGCAGCGGCGGGCTGGTGTCCACAACAAAGTGCGGGTATCACGGAGAGTGCGGACGTCGCAGACGAGGTGTGGATATCGCAGACAAGCAGCAAACATGTTGGAGGCGATGCACGGAATCGTGTCCACCAAAACCTGTTTCGGTTTGGGGGCGCTGAATGCATACCAATCCGTGACCCATCGCCAATCGGCTCTGATCGCCCAATCGGCCTTCGCTGCTGCGATTCCAGACTGTCCCTTCCAAAGGAAGAACCAGTACCGATGCGGCTTCCCTTTTGCATTGCCCACTCGCCAGGTCATTGATGGCGATGCACTCGGGACTCGGGGGCAGTGGTCAATGAACCAAAGAGCGCAGTGGGCATTCAAGCGAGGTGTGCTCACAGTGCCTGGAAGCCAAGCGACTCGACTCGAGAAGGCCGAGTATCGTGATATCGATACACCATGGAGCAGTTCAGAGGGTCGAGTGGATGCACCACACTCACACATCGACACAGGGGATCGACCTGTGGATCGGCAGATTTGTGTCGCTGATGCCAGAAAGCGACTGTCCCGTTTCTTTCCGGATAGTTTACAAAACGCCTCTCTGTTTTATGAGGGTGCTCGCACTTTCAAAATGCGCTGTGTATTAACATATGGAGGATGCAAGCGACGACGCATCCACACGTGGAAGGGAGGAAGAGCTTTACTCGGGGCGGCGGAAGCTGGCACCGGCGTACTTGGCCTTGGCACCGAGCTCCTCCTCAATACTATAGAGAGCGAGAAAGATGTGGGAGAATGGTTAAGGACTGCCATCATCCACACTGCGCCGATGGCGTGGAAGGGAGGGGCCCGAAAGGGATGATGATCAGGCCAGCTACAAAGGAGCCTGCGACTTGGACACATACCGGAGAAGCTGGTTGTACTTGGCGAGACGCTCAGAGCGGCAAGGAGCACCGGTCTTGATCTGGCCGGTCTTGAGGCCGACAACGAGATCAGCAATGAAGGTGTCCTCGGTCTCACCGGAGCGGTGAGAGCACATAACACCCCAGCCATCGGACTGAGAGAGGAGGGCACTGTGGGCACAACACGGTGCCGTTGTCAGTTATCCAGGCCGAGATTAGATTGGTGCTGTGTGGCGGTGTCCAAACGATGGCAAGCATTGCACAATGCCCATCATACAGCTGTGCAGCTGTGCGAATGATTACTTACGCCTTGATGGACTCGGTGACGGTGCCGATCTGGTTGACCTTGAGGAGGAGGGCGTTGCAGGCCTTCTTCTCGATGGCGGTCTGGATGCGGAGGGGGTTGGTGACAGTCAAGTCATCACCGACAATCTGGATCGAGACCGACGAGGTCAGGGCGGCGTAGGAGGCCCAGTCGTCCTGGTCGAAGGGGTCCTCGATGGAGACAACTGCGATGGGCGGACGAAACGAAGCGAGGCGAGAGCGTCAGCGGGCGGCACAGAGAACTCAGGCAAGTGGGCAATTGATGCGTAAGCGTGGCTCTCAGGCGACACACATGACAGTGCCTGTTGCTTGCGCAAGTCGCTTACTGGGGTAGTCCTTGATGAAGGAGCGGTACAGGTCAGAGAGCTGCTCGCCAGTGATGAACTTGCTCTGGTCAGAGTCGGGGTTCTTGAAGTCGAGGTCATAGAGACCGTCCTTGTAGAACTCTGTCGACGTCAGCGAGGCAGGCTGGGTTAGCGCCGATTAAGCAGTGGACAACGGGGGAAAGTGCCGTCCAGCAATGTGAGGCACCACCCCATGCGATACCGATGGCATTGGCGAGAACAACAACTCACCAGAAGCAGCAACATCCATGCCGATCTGGACCTTGCCGGTGTAGCCAGCGGCGGCGATGGCCTCGATGAGGAGATCAAGACCCTCGCGGTTGTCCTGGATGTTGGGGGCGAAGCCACCCTCATCACCAACGTTGGTGGCTGGAATCAGGCCGGTGGGAAGGGCGCGGGGTAAGCGGCGGTGCGATCCTCAGGGCAGAGACGACCCGATACAGCGAAGAGCGAGCGACGGCTACGAGAGGCTGTACAAGCACGAGAGGCGGATGGTAGGAATGGAGAAACACAACAGAGTGAAACAACAGCGCGCGGGCGAAGCCGAGTCACATACCATCGACACCGTACTTCTTCTTGATGACGGTCTTGAGGTGGTGGTAGACCTCCGAACCGATCTTCATGGCCTCGGCAAAGTTGGCAGCGCCGGTGGGGAGGATCATGAACTCCTGCATGGCGAGCTTGTTGCCGGCGTGGGAGCCACCGTTGATGACGTTGAAGGCGGGGACGGGGAGGATGAAGGGGTCCTTCTTGCCAGCGAGGTCAGCGATGTGCTGGTAGAGAGGAACACCCTTCTTGGCAGCACCGGCGCGGGCAACGGCGAGCGAGACACCGAGGATGGCGTTGGCGCCGAGCTTGGCTGCAGATGCGGCACATGGATGCAGGCAAGGTCAGCAACAGGCGGATAAGAGCACCGTGTCGGATGCGTGACCACTGCTCGGCAATGAGACTTACACTTGTTGGGGGTGCCATCGAGGTTCAGGAGGAAGTCGTCGACCTTGCCCTGGTCAGAGACATCAATGTTGGCAGCAACGAGAGCGGGAGCAATGATGTTGTTGACGTTGGCGACGGCCTTGAGGACACCTGCGAGCCAGAGAGACAGCATCGGAGAGGTCAGTCGACGCACGGTGAGTCACGATGCTTCGAACTCCCAGCAACGCCACCAAGCCAGCCAGCCAGCCAGCCAGCCGCCGGGTCGCGACACCACGCAGGCAATGAGCAGGACCGACGAGCAGGACCGACGAGCAGGACCGACGAGCAGGACCGACGAGCGCGGCCGATGAATCACCGACGGATGCGTCACCGGCCTGCCCCACACAGCCAGAGAACGCAGCAAGATCCTGATCTTACCCTTGCCGACGTAGGAGCCCTTGTCACCATCACGGAGCTCGAGAGCCTCGTGGATGCCAGTGGAGGCACCAGAGGGAACAGCAGCGCGGAAGACACCTGCGGTCGCAGAACGCGTAGCAGAGCCAGATAAAAGCTGTTAGTTCGTTGCTGGTGGGCTCTGCAACTAACCCATAGGTCTAACCAGCGCCGCCAGTCCGAAGGACATATGCAGGCAGGCGTTCTGACAAGCCAGCGTTCCCAAGCGAGCAAGCCGAGCGAGTAAAGCTGGGCAAGCGCGTTGATGGACCACAGGCCGGACAGGTTGCGCGGACTTGCCCACGCAGACAATGCAGAGGAACGAGCAATACCGCGAGTGGTGGTGACCTCGACCTCGACAGTGGGGTTGCCACGGGAGTCGAAGATCTGGCGAGCGTGAATCTGAAGGAGACGCAGCAAACAGAGGGAGGCAGGATTAGCATCGGCATCGATGTCGTCATCGCCATCGCCATCGCCATCGCCATCGGAGCAGAGCGGCGACTATGAGCGACAGCGAAGCGGCTGCTTAATGATGGAGCCAGGTCGGAGAGCAGCCACGGAACGGGGAGGCGGAAGGCGATGGAGGACGATGGAGGACGATGGAGGGCGATGGCGATGATGATCGCCATCGCCAGACGCAGATCCACCCGAGAGCAGCTGCTCAAGCACGGCGGCACCAGTCGATCGCGGCCTCGGAGGTGTCGTGCAGACGGTACCTTAGAGAGGGTCATTGTCGATGCGCGAGGAGATGGAAGATCAGACGCAGATCGGGGCTGATAAGCGGCCGGATCGGTATATATGCTTTTTTTCGCCCCTTGCAAGGGCCGCCGCGGAGCAGCCAGCCCAGCGGGCCAGCCAGCGCGCGGCCGGCCAGCCGGCGGCCAGCCACCCCCCGCCACCGAACGAAATGGATCAAACGCACAGCGCTGCGATAAGCCGCTAAGCCACACCCAATCGCACAGCGCCAGGAACAACAGGCACCGTCGCCATCGCCAGCCAAGATGAGTCCGAAATGGTCATATGAAGCGCTATCGCCTGGGCACTATCGCGACGGGGCTGCCTCGATGGGGTTGCTTCGATGTGGGTTGCTTCGATGGGGCCTGCGAGCCGTGCATCACACTGCATCGGGGCTGGGCTGTGAGCCGCGCCCAAGCCAGACCAGCATGCGCTTTGCCAGCGGCTCGCGCAGACGAGCAGCGCCGGGCCGTCGCAGGATCCGGATCCATCGCCGTCACGCAGATATCCTCCGCGCATTGCGCATGCGGAGGAGCCAGGCCGGGCCCGCCTGTCGGGGATGTGTCCGGCGCCCCTCGCTGAAAGGGAATCTTCCCCCCATGATACGCCGGAGCTCACAGCGCGACTTGTCTGTGGCGGCACCTGTGTAGAGGGGTTTGGTTGCTGCGACACAACCGCATCGGCGATGCGATTGCATCAGCGAGGCGATCACACCGACGATGCGATCGCAGCCAGCAAAGCCCCACAGCGCCGATGCAATTTCGCATCCGCCCCGGCACGTGACGCGCGCGAGGACGCTCTCGCCCGTGTCTCGCCCGTGTCTCGCCGACAACTCCGAAACGGCAGATCGTTCGGAGGACATGGCGGAGAGGTCGCCTTCCACAGCCGAGCCGGCCTCTAAGTCTGCCACAGACACATGCCACAGCAAGGAAGGACACACTCCAAAGACACGGAGACGCTCGCAGACATGTCCCGGCCGTCGCCGGCTCCATCGGCGCTGCCGTCCCGTCCGCACATGGCACCACACATCCGCCGCGATGCCGAGTCTGTATTGAGCATGGCTCGCACCATCCGCCATCGGAGCAGATCTCCAGCAAGTCAGTCTTCAGACACTCCCGCCTCAGGCAAACAGCCGTCAGGGTCATCGCAGGCAGCCCATCACACGTTAACAGATGCCGCATTCAAGGTTGGCAGCGTCCCATGAAACGAGGGTACAAGCACACCTCGCGGACGCTGTATCGGTTCATGAGCCATGCCAAGAAGCGCTCGACACCGAGGCCAAAGCCGCCGTGCTCGCAGGTGCCGTACTTGCGTTGATCGGTGAACCAGTAGTAAGGCGAGGGGTCGATGCCCTCGCGCTTGTAGCCCTCAAAGAGCTCGACGAGATCGGTGATACGCATGCTGCCACCCACAATCTCGCCAACACCAGGCATCAGCACGTCGACACTCTCCGTAAGCCGGCGGTCTTCAGGGCAGCGCTTCATGTAGAAGGACTTGATCTCTGTCGGGAAGCGGCACAGCAGGATGGGCTCGTTGATTGTATCGGTCATGCGGCGCTCCGGGGCTTCGGGAATGTCTTCGCCAAACTGGTAGTGCTCGCCAGTCTCCTCGTTGCGGACGTCGTGCTCGCGGAGCCACTCGATCGCATCAGCATAGTTCATGCGGCGGAAGGGCTTGCGCGGCCGCTGGAAGTTGGGGTTGAGCTCCTTCATGGTCGCGGCCGTCTCGGGGTTGTCAAAGATGCTGTCGACGACATAGACGACCATGTCCTCGATGAACTGCAGCAGGTCGTCAAAGTCAATGAACGACAGCTCCGCTTCGCAGTGCGTGAACTCGGACAAGTGCCGGCGGGTGTGGGACTTTTCGGCACGGAACGAGTCGACCATGCAGTACACATCACCCAGCGAGGCGAGGCAGGTCTCGAGATACAGCTGCGAGGACTGGGTGAGGTAGGCCTGAGCGCGGGAGGGGGCAGCGATCAACAGATCAACGGATCAACAACAGCACGCATGATCAGGCGCGTTCTCGCCAGCATCCAGTGCACCGGGGCATCGACACAGGTTCGACAGGAGTTGGAGGAAAACACACAACGCGGTGTATAGCACAGATACAGATACGCCTCCACTCCTGTCGTTCAGCGGGCTTCAGAGTGGCTCGATATGGGCCGAGGCTGCTCACCTGCTCGCCGTAGTAATCGAACGAAAAGAGGGTGCTGCCGCCCTCGACCTGGGTCTGGACCATCAGAGGAGGAGTCACCTCGATCAGATGGCGAGATTCAAAGAAGGAGCGGAAGGCTCTCATGACGTGGGCGCGCATCTTCAAGACGGCAGCGGTTGTCTCGCCACGGATGACGAGATGACGGCGATCCAGAAGGACGTTGGGGCCGGATTCCTGCAAATCCATCCGGGTGGGCATATCACAAAGACCACACAGGTGAGAACCCGCACCGACTCACCAAGGCGATCGAGGCAGCCAACCAAGGAGACCAACCGAGCGACACAACGCCTCCCGTGCAGCAGTCGCTTACAGTGTTGAGTTGGTTACCAAAAGCCTCTTCGCCGCCGGGAGCCTTGCCGATGATCTCCCAGTAGTCCGCTTGCAGTTCGTGGCCGCCGGGAGCCTATACAAAGACCCACAGTCAGTCAAAAATCGCAGCCGTTGTCCCGCAGTGGTCATCGTACTTACGGTCTTGCCGGCAGGGAGCTCCTTGATGACACCATAGATCTTGACAGTCGACTCGAGCGTCAGCGTCAGGGCGTCATAGGTGTGACACTGCATAGATTATGCGGCCAGCATCGAGATCGATATCAGAGCCAAGTAGTGTGCGCCGGGAAAGGGTAGTTCTCGGTCAGAACAGTAGATAGCATACGCACATCGAATCAACCAGCAGCAGGATAAGCAGCTCTTGCAAATGGTGACATGGCGTGCACACGGGAGCACACGAAGAAGCGTCTGGACAACTCGCACGCGCACTCCCAAGGCCCCATCGAAATCATACCAGCTTGCCAGTCAGGACACACTGAAGATAGCCAGTGCCGTCACGCAGGACGACAAAGGCCATATCCTTGCCCTGGACACGGTGGCGATGGACCCAGCCGCTGACAACGACGCGAGTCTCACGGCTCTCGGTCGAGTCGCGAATCCGAATCTGGATCAACCGACAACAGGTTAGAAACGGTGTCGCCGATCGTAGAGGAAAGAGACTCAGGTTGGACACTCTCTCAGTGTGTACGAGTGCAATGCCCCAGATCGGCTTGCTATGTCGCCGCCGCCCCTCCTGGTTTCGAATACGCCGCTGCGTGGCTTTGCGGGGCGCCGTACCTTCTTGGCAGCGGGAAGAGACTCATCCACAGTCAGCACAATCTTTTTGGACTCTTCCAGGCGAGCAGCCTCTTCAGCAGCCTGCTTCTCAGCCTCGGCCGCGTTCTTGGCGCTTTGCTCGGCGGCCTTGAGACGCTTCTTCTCGTTGTTCTCCCAGGTCTTGCGGGCCTTCTTCAGGGCAGCACCCGAGATCGCGACAAAGCCCTCTTCGTAGGTCTTGCGGACCACGATCGAGACATCGGCGGCACCCTGGGCAACTTCCAGGGCACGGAGGGGTGTTTTGAATGGCAGCTTGATGGTGCCGAGACCTTGGATGTCGTCACCCTGGATATCACAGACGTGGTATGGGGCTAGGTGACGCCGGGTAGATTGCATCGATTATCGATTACGGACGGCGACGAGACATCGACCGCGGCATCGTGCCAGCACGACATGAACGCAAGTGAAGGGGGAGAAGATTGTTGAATCATCAGCTTCCCGTTCCAGACCCGGTGCACGATGACTGGCGAGGTCGATCAACTGTGCATATATGTATGCCCTGCACCACCCAAGCATTTGTCGTCCTGGCGACAGCCAAGTGTCCGTACCGCTCATAGCTTCAGTGGTAGGCTTGGCAGTGGTAGCAGGGGCAGAGTGAGCTTGGGTGTTCGTGACAGGCGGCAGCGAACGATCAGCGACTGTAGGCGTGTGCTGCTGTTGTTCTTCGAACCAGGGAGCTGTTGCCGAGCCAAGTCGAGTTCGGTCGAGTCGAGCGTTTCCGCAGATGGACAGATCGCACCAGGAAGGAGATGAGCAAAACACAGTCGAGAGCGTGGGCAGAGCCAAGCAAGATTGGACAGAGAAGCAGCGGCAAGCACAGTGCATCCAGTCCGGCGTCGCTCGGGGTCAATAGAATGCACATACCACCAGAGCGACCGCTCATATGAGATGGATCACGCTTGAGGGCGATGGAGGGCTGGTGGTGTGAGAGGAACAGAAGAAAAAGCTGGCGCCAGATCGGCGAGCCAGATATGGGGCGAGGGCTTGCACTAGGGCTTTTCCTTTCTGGGCAGGCGATCGCGTGAGTCACGGCTGTGGCGCGTGGTGACAGCAAAGGCAATGGTGACCGTCCTGTGGCATGGTCGATGCTCTGCATCGGGTGCTCTTGCGAAGGCAGCGGTCAGCCATGGAGGACGCTGTGGAGGATGCCGTGGAGGATGCCGTGGAGGCAGCTCCGGGTATTACAGGACACCGATGGCCGCGCCTGCCAGTAGCGCAGAGGCACAGCAATGTCATCGCACGACAACTCCGAGTCAGCAGGCTGGCGCAGTTTTCTGTGTGATCGAGTACTTCATTGAGGCTGTATGATACAAGAATGGATGGGGCTCGCAAGCCGGCATTGTGTGCGAACGAGCATCCGTTGCATGTCCAACGTCAAAGGCGAGGGCCGAGGCGGCATAATTCAAGTATCCCCCCTCGCTTGCCCTCGCTCCCTGTCTCGGCCCGAAACAGCAAGCACCGGCGTTTAGTCGTCCTCATCCCAGTTCTTGTTCTCCTTGACCTTGGGGCCGCCAGCAGGCTTGCTCATGATGATCTGATCCACACTCAGGACGGTGATGGCAGCTCCGGTGGCCAGTTTGATGGCCGAGCTCTTGATGGAGAGAACATCCAGAGTGTTGCGCTTCAGGGCATCAAAGGTGCCGTTGCTGTCGCCCTCGATGTCGACAGCAACAGCTCCCTGGCCAGCCTGGTGGGCAGCGTAGAGCTTGGAGATGACAACAGTGCTCTGGTAGAGGAGGAAGCACATCGATTATGAGCAATATGTCATCTTTGGAGAGGGTGCTCGCCAACGAAAAACCTGGGAACGAGTGGCCCGCGATCAACCAACATCACTACGTGGCACTCGCTTGCAACGCAGCAGCACAGCAGCACAGCAGCCGCCTGACCAGTATCAACTTACATCCATGCCGGCGTTCTCAGCAAGGGTGCGGGGAATGACCTCAAAGGACTCGGCGAACTTCTTGATAGCATACTGGTTGAGACCAGGAGTTTTCTGGAAAAAGCATGAAGCGGAGGTCATCAGCATTGACTCACAGAAGCCTCGATAAACGGGTGACCCGACGCTGAGACAGTTCATCAGTGCCGGAATTAGATAAAACTCACCTCGCCAAAGGACTGCAGCTGGCGAGCGAGCTCAATTTCGGTAGCGCCGGCACCAGCAACAAGGCGCTGGTCCTTGGTGATGGCCTTGACGACGTTGATACCATCGTCAATGGCTCGCTCGATGTCATCCAGGCTGTTCATGGTGGCGCCGCGAATGACGATGGTGGCCGTCTTGGTGTCCTCGGTTTCTAGCGGGAGTGGTGATGGTCAGCAACAGGCGGCAGACTGTCGCAAATCGATTCCGGCAATAGGCACGCCGCTCGACCTACCTTGCTTGAAGACGGTGCAGCGATCGCTGCCGATCTCAACCGACTCGACAATGTCACAATAGCCCATCTCCTCGGCCATAGGAACGCCCTGGATGAGGCGGGTGGGTTAGCGGCTGGCTCCGATGTTTGCAGCGCGAGACAGACAGGATACTCACGAGACGAGCCAGCGTCGTGGCACCAGTCACACGGCATAATCGGCGCAGATCAAACTTGGAGAGAACTTTGCAGACCAGGATGCTGTATCTGTTCAGGAAATGCAGGGCGAGATCGCCAATGCCGCTGCCAGACACAACAACCTTGACGCCAGCATCGGCAAGTTCCTTGACGATCTGTACGGGATTCGAGAGAGCGCCAGCAACCCAAGGTGTCAAGATACATCCCATCTGATCCAGACCACATTGGCCAGCGAACCGACTGGCACTGAAGGCCCATGCAGGGCAAGCAGAGCCCACAGCCCAACGCACCTTCTCCATGCTGCTTTCCTCGCCCTTGCTGAAGTTGAGCATCTCCTCGGCATTGTGGATCAGGACGGTGCCCTTGGTCTCGGTCTGCGAGATATCGAATGGGCAGCTGAAGATGGCGACCTTGGCCTTGCTAGCCTTCTTGAGGGTGCCTTCGGGCTCGCGTCCAAAGACCATGCCACGGATGACTTGGGTGTCGTGGATGCTGCCGCCGAGAATCTTGACGACACGGATGCTGTCGACGTTGAAGTCCTTGGGGGTCTTGGGCATGACCTCCAGAGCGGCTTGGACAATCAGCTCGCCCAGCAGATCCTCATATCCATACTGGACAGCAGACGAGAGGGGTAAGAGAGGTGCAAGGATGAGCGCTATCTCCCAGGCTCGCTTGTATGTGCTGATGCTACTCGACTCGCTACAAATGCCTGAATGCGTGCACAGAGCCGCCATTCTTCTCGGGACAGCTCGGGACAATTACGGGCGTTCAGTGGACGATACGAACCTGCTTCGAGGCAATGGCAGTGCGGACGACCTTCAAAAGCTCGGCCTTGGAATGGGCATCGCTGACCGAGTCGACGGATAGCGCTGTCAGAGGCGACGCCAGATCAGTAAAATGCCATGTCCACCAATGATCCTCTCTCATACACAAGTAGTGTGATGGAGACGCAGCGAACAACCCGACTGAATCCGAGTCCGCACAAACTCGATACAGACAGCCGGGACAGACACTCAGCCGATCACATACATTCCAGAATCTCGATGGCCTTCTTGCTGGCGATGTTGTACCCATCAATGATCTCGCTGGGATGCAAACCCATTCGAAGTAGATACTCGGCATGCTGCAGAAGCTCGCCTGCAAAGACGACGACAAAGTTGGTCTGATCACCCATCTGGATATGGATGAGGGATTGTTGGGCGTTAGAGCAAGCGGAGGGCAAGCAGAGGGCAAGTGCAAGGCAGCGTCCTGGGCCGGTAGAACTCAGTCGCGACCCACACTGTGCTAGCCGTTTCCGATCGTCGTCGATGGCGATGGCTCCAACCCGCTGCTGGCTTCACCAGAGCGACATCGCTTTGGCCACCCCTGCGGCCGCCATCGCATCACAAACCTCGGTCTCTTGCTGCTGGGAGGCCATCACCAGCAGCTTGGCAGCGGGATGGACGACCTCGAGCTCCTTCATGATGGTGGCGGCATCGTTGGTCACAAAGAGCTTCTCGAGATGGTTGATGACCATCTTGTTGCGGCCTGAGTAGATCGGGCCCAGGATTGCAGCAGCCGTCCAACAACGACAGGCAGAAGCATGATGAGAAACATGCGATTCAATGCACAGCACGACCGACCACGATCCCATGAAGCCAAGAGGCCGTAATCAGGAATCCGGGCCGCACACAAGCGGAAGAGAAACCCGTGGGCGAGTTCTGGGAACAGGATGCAGATCGATCGGGGCGATCGTGTACCGTTGGGGCCCAATGAGGTCCGGACAATGTTGGACAGATCCTTGGTGGCAGCAATGTTGCGGAAGACGGCTTCCTCGAGACCTTGCATATGCTGTGGGCCGGATGCGACGACAGAAGCGCACACCGGGCCGAACAAGAGGGGTCAGGACGGACTAGATCAGATCGGCTCGCTGCCATCGACAAGCCTCGAAAAGCCAGCCAAGCCAAGCCAGCGGCTGCGCGGCGGTACCTTGTAGCCATCCTTGAGCATCTGAGGAAGGCCGATCTTTGGGATCTTGAGAGCCATGGCGGTGACGTGCGGATCGGGAGAGGCGCTGCGGCGGTGGGGAGTCTGCGGGAGTCGGGGGGCGACGGCGAGGCGAGGCGATCTGGGCGAGAGATGTGGGCCGCTGGTGGGCGGGAGCCCTGGTCTTGCATCCCAAAAAGGAGCGGCATGCGTTCGAGCCTGGCTGGCTGGCTCGAGCCGGCTCCAGCCGCCGGGTCGAGCCGATCAGCCTGTGTCACCGCCTGCGCACGCGATCTGTCCTTGGCTGCCTTCGCGATCTGTCCTCGGTCGCTGCTCAACCGCCATCTCACCCTGCGTCGGCCCAACGGCAATCGCTCTGCCAGGACGACTGTGGTTTGTTCAGCCGCCCGGTCTGTTCCAGCGCGGCCTCTTCGCCCTCTCCCTCTCCCTCTCCCGCCCTCTCCCGCCATGAGCACCGCCTTTGCCCACAAGGGCGTCCGATTCATCTTTGTCGGATGGACAGCATTCATTGCCGAGAACCTGATCCTGTCGCAGAACCGCGACTACCTCATCGACAAACTCGGCGGGGAGGACAACTACCACCACTGCTACAACACACTTTCGACGCTGGCGTGCGCATCGATTGCGTGGGGATACTTTCGCCACGGCCGTGGCCAAGGACCCACGTTTCTCTCCTCGGGCTCGCCGACCGCCATGGTCAAGCGCGGCATCTTTGGTGGATCCGTCCCGATACGCCTGCTCGGCTTTGGGCTCCAAGCGCTTGGCTTCGTTGGCATTTCACAGAGCTTCCCAAAGCTTCAGATCCCAGTGGCATTCTCCTCCAAGCCTAATGCTCTGGGACCATCGTCGCTCACGCCCCAACAGGCCGGCTCGATCCCGCCAGCGCCTCTGCCAGCGGCTGGTCTGCGCATGCAATGCCCGATCGACTTCAAGCCGGCGGATGTTCCAGCCGACGGAATCTATGGTGTCCAGCGAGTTACTCGGCATCCGTCACTGTGGTCCCTGGGCCTGCTGGGTCTTGGCTCGGCCATCGCGACCCCGTTCCTGTCCGAGTTCGTGCTGTTCGGCTTCCCGGTGGTCTTTGCTCTGATCGGGGGCGCCCATCAGGACTATCGCTTTCGTCGAGCCGGCACACTAACTCCAGAGAAGGACGCCAAGACCTCGCTGATCCCGTTCGCCGCGCTGCTGGAGGGTCGGCAAGAATGGGCCCCGCTCAAGACAGAAATCAAGTGGGTCAACGCCTCCGCCGGCATCCTGGTCGCCCTCGGGCTGGCCCTGCGCCGTGAGATGCGCTGGAAGCGATTGCTCAAGTCTGTCAAATAAAGCCGCCATGCATCAGTTCCAAGAGTGTATTTCAAAGGCCAGACCACCGCCGCCCTTGTGGATGCAAGATGGGGGCAGATGCCGCAGTTCGCGCCGGCCGTCGCCTTGCCACTTGAACTCAGGAGAACATGTTCGAAAACATCTTCTTCTCGCGCTCGGCATAGCGGTCAACCTTGGCCTGGACGAATCTTGCCATCCGGCGCAGCTCTTGCTCCTCGGGGCCGTCGCGAGCCGCAGTGCCATCGGCAACGTGGGCTTGAATGATTTCTCGGAGTCGGCCAATGTCCTTCTCGGCCAGATCCAGATCGCGGCCGATCTCGGCATAGGCTTGGGACCGTCGGAACAGCGCCTTGACGCACTTGGGGTCGTGCTTGAGTACTTCGGAGCACTGGATGATGACCGTATTCCAATCTCGCAGCTTCAGTTTGCATGCGGCATAGTTCAGCCGGCATGTCTGCATCAGCGATGTAAGCTCGTCCAGATCCACAACACCCTCACCGCCAGCGAGAGTCGTATCCGCCGATGAGGCCGTTGCATCGGACGTGGTCTCGGCAGCCGAGGGGAGCCCGAGCCGGGCTCGTCTTCTGTCCTCCTCTTTGGCGATGTGCTGTCGGCGCTCCTGCTCGGCTTTCTTCTGGTCGCGGTCGCGCCGTTGATCCTGGATGGGGCTGCTCTGGTCCAGGCTCTCGAGCAGCACCAGTGCTCGGGTATACTTTGCGCAGGCCTCTTCATAATTGCCGCGGCCATACTCGGCATTGCCTTCGCTCTTTCGGACCGGGACCTCGGCCCACTTCTCGGCCGCATTCATCTCCCAGGGCTCCTTGAGAAACGATCCGGGCGGATGGACGGCAACCAGGGTGATGTCCAGCTCCAGCGGGGATTCGTAGATGTGGGCCAGATCCTGGTTTTCTTCAAGGTGGTCTGGCGACGAGTGCGCACAGCAGCCATGGGCGACCCTCGGGACACCGGTCTCCTTGGCCTTTTTTTCCTGGCGCAGGACGGTCTCGAGTTGAGCAAAGCCCTGGAAATGCAGTCGACAGCACAATGTCAAAGATGCAGCACACAACCCGCTTTCTGCCCGTAACACCGAAGGATGGCGAATGGCGAATGGCGAATGGCGGCTAGTGGCTAGATCACTCACCTCGATCTGATCGGGCATGCAGAGGAAGCGTGCCCGTTCGCCAATTCTCATGCTCTTCACGCACTTTTCCATCGCCGGGACCGAAAACCCAAGACCGACACGCATCTCAAAGGGTCGGTTGGGGTCGTAGCTGCGGGAGTCCGAGATCAGCTTGCGCACTGGCCGGGGCTCGGCCTTGGTTTTGGTTCCGTTGAGGCTGGATGCATCGTCGCAAGACTCGGACCCACAGCAAGCGCCGCCGGCTTGGTTGCCATGGTCATGATCATGATTGTGATCGTGATTGTGATCATGATCATGATGCTGGTGGCCGCACTGACCGCTGTGGTCGTGATGGTCGTGATGGTCGTGATGGTCGTGATGGTCGTGATGGTCGTGATGGTGGTGGCCGTGATGGTGGTGGTGGTGCTCGTCCTCGCCGGCAGTGAACGTATGTGCGGTGTAATGGAAGCAAGCGTTGCTGCCCTTGATCCACTCGGGGGACTGGACCGATGGATCGCCTTCGCCGATGACCATCTTGACGATGCTGCCGTCGTCATTCAGCTTAGCCAGGCCCGAGCCCGCAAAGTCGCCGGGAATCTGAAACCCTGTCGGCACCGATTGCGGCACGGCGTCTCTTGCCGGGGTGTTCTTTTGGGTGGCAAGCAAGAGCGAGGCCAGCTGTGCGGCGCTATGCTTTTGGCTCGCGCTGGGCGGGTTGGCGCTTGTATCGCCGAGGCTTTGGGTCATGGCAGGTGATCAGGATCTCTGAGTGCAGCGGGCTGGTGGGTCGATCAGTCGAAAGGGCGTATCGAAGCAGCAGCGGGCCGGCGGTGAGATCGAGCGAGGGAGGAGGAGAAAGAGGCATTTGTTGGGTGCAAGAGCGGGTCTCTGGCTGGAGCGCTCCCGCCCAACCCGTTCGCGCCAGAGGACGGCGTGATTGCCCGGAGAGGGCTGCATCGGCGGCAAAAAAACTGCATCTGCGACGAGGGATCGCCTCTGCGACGAAGGATCGCATCGGCGGCGACTCGCTGATCCCCGGCCATGCATGCTCACGCCGAGGAAGACCCGAGTTGCGACCTGTTGTTTTGTCCAAAGAACATGTATCCATTACTTTGTGCCAGCACGCTGCGTTGAGCGCCTGCGTGCCTTTGGAGTGTTCTTGCTGCAAGCAATCTTGATCTCGAGAACTGCACAGATTGGGTATCTCCCCAGATGTGTCGCAGAACAGATGGAACATCCACCGGATATCAAAGTGTTGGCATGCACTTGAGTGCTATGTCGTGTATCATTCGATCGGCCGGGCGGTGGAAAAACGGCTGTGGTCGCTGCCGGCCGTGTGGTCAGGCCTCGTGCACTCCAGAAAGAAGCAGCCCCCGGCAGCCGATGGATTCATTCGACGGCAACGCTGTGTTGGGTGGCACTCTCCGGCTGACATTGCTGGGGACCATTTCATTTCTTGACGCTGCTGCCAGACCCCACCACGATGTGCACGATGGCCCGGTTTCGGCAGAGCAGCAAGGCCTCCCCGCCGAATCCAGGTCGGCACCGGGTCATATGCACACCCCACCGGGGTGTTCCCGCCCTCATGCTTTCCATCTCGGTGCGTGCCGATATCGAATTTGATCGATCCGCTGCCAGCGAGCCCTGCTGCCGATGAGCCTCGGGCCTTGTCGCCGGGGGAGAACCAAAGCCGGGAGTGCGATTCAAGGCAGTCCGTGGGGACATTGGCCTTGCACCGACCATCCAGGCGAGCGCGCGTGCTGGGAAGCCGAGGACATGACCAGCCCAAGACCACAGCGCCTCGGGTGCCACAGCAAAAGAAAGAAAGCGCCGAGGCAGAGTACTTCCAGGCAGTGCTGTGGCCCGCGGGAGCATTTTGCTATGTATCAGGTGCGACGTTGCGAGCGCATGAGCCGGGCGCAAGGGGCTCGTCGCTCAACCCATGCCCGCGTGCTTGCGGCGGGACGCAAGCCTCCGAGTTCTCACGCGCGGCCTCTGCGTCCGAGCGCATGGTCCTCGTGCTGGAGGCCTGTCGATCATGGCGGCTGGGGATGGCCCCGTCGCCGCCCACTGCCGGCCCCGGCTCCCGGAGGATAAAAGGACGGCCAAATGCACTTCCCCACACACCTGCATCGACCCCACCCGGTGTTACTCGGCCTCTTCTCTCCGCCCAACCTCGTCTTGGCCTTTCCCGCTCTTCCTCATCTCCTCTCCACTTTCCGCCATGCTCTTTGCCAAGTCGTTCCTCACTACCTCTGTCACCCTCGGGGCCCTTGCCTTGGTCTCGGCCTCGAGCCTCTCGAGCACCTCCTGCCCGCTGAACCAGCTCGCCTGCTCTGGCTCGGTCCCCTCGTGCTGCGCCTCGCAGAACGGCCAGCTCGTCCTTGCCGTGCAATGGCTTCCCAACTACTGCGCCTCGGCCACTTGCCCGTCCGATGTCGTCGCCAGTATTCCTGCCAATGCCTGGACCATCCACGGTCTCTGGCCCGACACCTGTTCCGGCGGCCTCACCAACTCCAACGGCTGCGACTCCACCCGCCAATACACCGACATCAGCTCCATGGTGACCGCCGACACCCTTGCCAAGATGACCCAGTACTGGATCTCGTACAAGGGCGTCGACATGGCCAGCTACAACGCCTTCTGGGTCCATGAGTGGGGCAAGCACGGCACCTGCTACTCTCCCGCCGCCGTGAGCTGCACCGGCAGCGGCAATGATGTCGAGACCTACGTCCAGGACGTCTTCACCGTCTATGAGAAGTACAATGTCTACAACGCCCTGGCCAGCGCCGGCATCGTTCCCTCCGAGACTACCACGTACACTGCCGCGGACTTCCAGAACGCCCTTAACCAGGCCTTTGGCCCCATCACTGTGGTCATGACCTGCACCAACGGCTACCTAACCGAGATGGACATTCACTTCTGGGCCATCAGTGGTGGACAGATCGTCACCCCGGACGGCCAGGGACAGAGCCAAACCTGCTCGGGCGATATCTACTACGTCCCCGGTCCCAACTCTCCCACCACTACCACCACCGCTCCCGTCCAGACCACCACCACTACCACCGCTCCCGTCCAGACTACCACTACCACCACCGCTCCCATCAAGACCACCACCACTACCACCATCAAGACCACTACCACCACCAAGACCACCACCACTACTGCCACTCCCACCCAGACCCGTCCTCCCTGCCAGCACGACAAGTGTGTTCCCGGCAACAAGCTGAACGCCGCCTGTGATCCCTGTGTCGCCGCCATCATGGCCGTCGACAGCCACTGTGCCAACGTTGGCTGGAACAAGGCCTGTGTTGCCGAGGTCGGAACCGTCTGCGGCATCCAGTGCTAAGTGCCTCGATGGTTAACCGACGCTGCTGCCAATGCCTTGTGCTGCTGATGCCTGTCCTATCTCCCGCCGCGCTTTCAGTGCTTTCTGGCGTCTGATCCTATATGTTGTACCGAACTGTACCGCTGCTGCGACTTGTTGATCAGTAAATATATGCAACTCTTTCGAAGATACAGATGTGGAGTTGATTGAGAGAAGAGTGTCCGTTATCAGTGCGATGTCTGCTTGGGTGGTTCTGTGCAAAGAATCGGTTTCTTGGCACCAAGATAGTCTGATCGAATGAGCTGTTCGACCTCCAGGCACACTGAGCCAGGACGGGCGATGGATGGGAGTGTATTCAGGATCCGGAGAAAGGCTACAGCCCTGGCTCGAAACAGGGTATCCAGTTTCGTTCTGGACATGCCATAAGTGGGCAGTAAACCGAACACAGTGATCCGTTTCACTTGGGAACGCCGTAAAGCAAGTCTCCCCGTCTTCGCATTCATTCGTCAGGCGGCAGCCTTGAGGCAGCAATTGAACCACGACCACACACACTGAGCTGCCGACCCTGGGAAGCTCACAACCCGCGCGGCTGGGAGGGGGGCATCTTCACTTTCGGTTCTTGAGGCTGATGTGCGAGTACCAGAACACACCCGACAGGGTGACGAGGATACCAAAAATGTTCTTGAGGTCCACGGCTTGGCCAAAGACTGTAAAGCCAGTGATGAGGATAATGCACGTCTTGAAGTGGCCAACCTGCAAGCACAGATCGTCGAGCGATGGTCAGCACATCAAAGCACAGAACGGCGGGGTCTTTGGGGGTGTGACGGCAACAGTAACAGCACCAGCAGCAGCAACAGCACCAGCAGCCTGCCCTCTGTAGCCAAGATGCTATCCCATCGATCCACAAATTCGTCTCAGGAGCCATCCGCGAACCGCTCAATCACCCGTGCTTACCATGTTGTAAGCAACGGCGCTGGTCTTGCCAATGACCAGGAAAATCGAGAGGTTCACAAAGAAAGCCATGAAGCCCGAGAGGAGGATCATGGAGAGCGCCTCGATGCTCATGGAATAGGCACGCAGCTTGTGCATGTCATCGAGAAAGGGCACTGCAAGGAGCAGCATCAGGGCCGAGAGAGGGGCCTGGTAGTAGAGGAGCTGCATCGAATTGACTTCAAGTTCTCTCTGCTTGGTGCCGATCAGGATCTGGACGAGCGTCGGAGAAAGTGTGGATCAGCTGATATCGCGCCTCCCAGAAATATCATGCAATTCAGCAGCAGTGCTCGGGTGTGGGAGGCCGAGTCCACAAAACGTCCACGCACACACGCACATCCCCCAATCGTCTGCCTGCTGTTCCGGCAGCGGGCTGAGAGGGGGGGGGCAAACGGGGATCTGTACCTGGTAGAGACTGGTGACAACAACACCAGTCATGGCGTAGACCGTGCCGATGAAGTTGACTTCGACGTCGGTGAAGCTGGTAATGACAACGCCAACGCAGGTGACGATGACAGCCAGCTTGATTACCGTCGAAAACTTCATGTTGTAGAAGATAGTTTGGATCAGAACCACGCAGGGAGTCGTCAAAACCTTGCTGATCTGGGGAGGGCCAAGCCGGCGCCAGAGGTCGCAAGCGGCGACGCCAAGCGTGTCCGAAAGAAACAAAAGGAACGAGGCGTTATTAGCAAACGACGCTGACGAGGTCGCAGCGGCGGCAGCAGCGGAATCGGGCACCGGTATGAGCACAGACGGTGCGGAGACGAAGCAGGTGGGCAAAAGAATGCGGGAGCTGAGCCCCCAACCTCCAGACGCCGCTCGTATCCGTCCGCAGTCCAGGAGCCACGCCCGCAGGCGATCGTTGCTCGCTTTGACCGAGAGAACACAGGCTACCGCTCCGATACGTTGCATGCACTGAAAGAGCAGCAGGGCTGGCTGGCTGGCTGGCTGGTAGGCTGACTGGCTGACTGGCTGGCTGGCTGACTAGCCAAGAGCATGTACCTGATAGAAACCGACGGTATTGTGCTGCAGACTCAGGTTGGTCAGGACGACGAAGCCACAGAAGCAGGCCGAAATGGGAATCATCTTGGCGATGGGGATGCGCTTCCGCTCAAAGACTTTAAACATGGCGCAAATCTCGAGACCAATGAAGGTCACGACGAAGTGGACGACCGTCAGGAGGGTGCCGAACTCGAACTTCAGGCCCTTGAAGACCCATTTGTTGGTCATGACGATGCCGACGGACGAGACGATGTTCAGGGCGATGTAGAGCACGTTCACGAGGTCGGCAGTCGAAAGACCGATTGGGTTCGGGGTGGCCTTGAGGGTCTCGTTCAGGAGACTGATGGACACAGCATGCTCCGAGTTGGCTTGCTCGAACTCCTTCTGCTGCTCGAGCTTTTCGGTGACGGTGTTTGAGACGGGCGGCGAGGGCATGGCGGAGGCGGCTGCAGCAGCGGTGCGGTGCGGCGGTCGGGTGGTTGGGTGGTGGTCGGATGGAGACAGACAGGAGACGGCTGGCTTGGAGGAGGCCTGCTGCAAGACGGCGTCGGGCCAGGCGCGGGCTTGCCACGGCCAGGCTCGATCCGGCTTGTGCGACGCCTTGCGCGTTGTGCTGTGTTGCGCACTGCCACACAAACACAGCGCGGCTTGGCACGATGCGCGTGGGGCGGGGCCACGCGACACTGCTGTGCACTTGTGCCACTTGTGATACCGGCGCACGCTGTTGCCATTTGCGTGCTGATGCGTCTCACAAACGACACGCCCATACTACTCACCGGCATCAGCGACACAAGCCTGCCGAGCTCCGTTTGGCCATGGTCGCGATGGATGAGCGTGTATTCAGGCCCGGAAGTCAGCGACAGCCCGACTCAAATCAGGATGCTCCGTTTCAAAGTGGGCACGCTGTACGCTTGTGGTACGCTGGTTCGCTCAGCAGCCCCACACGTTCACATCGTTCCCACACGCAAGCAGTGCGACAGGCCCGGCTCGCCGTGTGCGTTCCCACCCGCTCGAGTCCCAGCCCGCATCCCATGAGCCCTGCCAGATGTTGGCGATGCTCCTGTCTGCTCGCGGCGGTAGCATGCGCACAACCGCCCCGTCGGGGCTGCTGGAATCTACGCCGGTAGACTTCTGCGCCAGGAGCTGCCCCGTGCGAGTGCTCCATATTCGCAAGTGCTTGTCCTGTCCGACTGAGGGAGGCAGACAAGTCGAGTCCGTCAGTCGCAATGGTGCCGGCTGTCGCCAGTGCCGGCTCAAGCCAGCAGACATACCTGAGACCAGTGTCGATCCGCTGTCATCGAGCTCAAAATTTTGCTTGGTGTGCGAGTTGACGTTGCCTTGGAACTCGAGCACAGGGGAGCGTGTCCACCTCACATCCCACTGCTTGATCTGTGTAATGACTCGTCCATCAGCATATCGCACAGCCGTGCCCGGTTGTCGGCTATGTGATTGCAGATACATCCGGGATGAACTTACACTTCCGTTCATGGCGCTTGAGTACAGCCCGGTCGGTCCGACTACCTCGAGGTGGCAGATCGCGCTGTCGTGGCCCATGTCCGACATGGCATTCGCAGACTGATCGATGCGTCCCCGCAGGTCGTGCCAGAATATGTTTCCGCTGCGACATCCGCTGCATAGCAAATTACCCTACATCTGGCTCTGTTAGAATAAGTCAAGAGCCCGCCCCGCTCAGTTCGCCGGTATCCCGTCCGACCCCACGGTGTCCGTAAGCATCCAGTCCATCCGTCCCATCGGAACAGGTGAGTGCCCCTGGGCTCACGAAACTTACGGTCTCGTCGAACGATTGTGCGAGCACATCGCTCTTCTTGACAAACAGCGAGACGGGATGCGGGCTCGAAACAGTCCAACCACGGATCACATACGCACGCCCAGAGCCGCCTGTCTGTGGGGTTAGTCTCGACACGCTATGCATTGCGCTGCGAGCCAATGACTCTGGCACGATCGCATGCATTGCAAATAGCGCTCCAGTCGACCCGCCCTTACCGACTGCAAATATCTCCCGGTTGACCGAGTTGGTGGCGCAAGCAAACAGGCTGCCCTTGGATGGAGTAAACCGATGGAGGAGCCCTGTTGACGAGCAATGCAGCTGCGTGTGGGTCCGAGCTCCGAGCAAAACGTTCGTGAAATCGATGTGCCTTCAATACTTACTCGGTCCGGGGGCCACTATGCCAGCAGCTTCCTCGCATGACAAGGAGCAGCTGTACACAACTGCCGTTCCAGGAGACTGCGATCCACCAAGGTCAGTGGCACTGGCAGCAACAGAGTCGCAGTAAGCACCAACATCATGGCCCACAGCGCAGCATGTCCGATTGACTGCCTTTTACACTGACATGACGATACTCTGGTCTTGGAACGGAAGGTAGCGCAGCGACGTTATCTGCAGGAGGTTTGTCTGGAATCAGAGCTTGGCTGCAGATAACCCATGAAGCAGCTGCAGCACTTGGGAAGTACTCGTCGACTAGAAGCGCCGCTCGGTTGGGTTCGATCTGGATCGTGATCGGCGGTGCCAATCGTGATTCTCACCCGCGATGAACCCTGACGATATGCTTTGTTGAGACAGTTCTCGTCGATGTTTCCGTCTTCGCGAATCTTCAGCGACGAAATCCTAGTTGGTCCGGATGGCACAGTACCGAATCAAAACCAACAGCAGTTCGTGTCGAGAGGGAGGCAGAGAGGCGGAGACGACCTCGATGTACAAAGTGCTGCAGCAGCAAGTCGGGCAGTGTTGACTTACGATAAGTCGCCGTTTGCATATCCAACACACAGATGGGTTCGGTATGGATGCAGCTAATCGATTCCGTCGGACAGTCAATAGTCGTTGATAACAGTGCTTCCCTGGCTTGACGAGGGCTCGGTGCGGGGTCTGTCGAGGTACTCACGGCAATGTCGGTGATGGACGAGCTCCGATGCGGCGGCAGAGCTGCCACCCTCGGCAGGATTGCTCGATGCCTCAGTCCTGAGCGAGCGACATCCGTGGGGTTATTGCAGTGCATATATGCCACGATATGCCCTTCCAAGCTCGGTGTGTCCACATACTCTTCATGGATACTTCTTGGATATGTCTGTGGAGCGGTAGGTCAGCACACTGCACCACCAGGCCAGCAGCTGCCGAAGAGCCACCACCGACAACATCGACCTACCCGGCAAACGGTCCTGTTTGAATGCCCGATTCCCGATCTGACATGAGATGAACCAAGCCAGCGTACGAATAGCCTGGACTCAGCCGAGACAAAAGTCCATGCTGGATAGATGAACAGAGAATTAGTGCCTGAACGATGGCTGCTTTTGGGATGCACTGCAAGACCCTCCAGGCATCCGACGGCAACTCCCCGTGGCATTCATGCGAGTCGCTTTGCTCTGCTTTGTCGTCGTTCAAGTCCGCTGTTGTCCGACAGCGATACAGACTTCCCAAATCTGCCGTACCTCACGATTCTTCTGTCGGATCCGCTCTATCCGCTGTGCTTGCTCAGCATCGGCATTTCGGGAAGCCTCGGACTTTGCCAGCGAAGCGCACGCCTGTGGAGCCACAGCCAAGGCCGTTGGAAGGGACTTGAAGAACCGTTTCTTTTCGGGGTCCTGAGGCGGCATAGATTCAGCACAGTGAATCGCTGGGCAGTCAAGCCGGCCACCACCACAGCAAGAAATGGATCGGATGGCACGCTTTGCCGCATCTTACATAGTAGTAGCCGGGGATCTGAGGCATTCCCGGGATTGCGGATGAGCTGGATGACGATGCGGAGGCCGCCGATCCAGCTCCGTGCGTCTGGAGAGGCTGGCTGCTGGTGTCCTCGGAGGGTCGTGTCTGGACTCGGGGTCGTTTGGCCGGATGGCTGCCTCGCTTGTCCGGGTAGTGACGACCATTGTGGTTGTTATGGCGGCTCATGGGCAGAGTTGTGCTGTGGATGCACCAGAGAATGACGGCGGCAAGGGTGCCCACACGATCGCAGGCCAAAGCTCGCAGGAATGCTCTTGGATCAGAGCGGTCTTGTCGGCCGTTTCGCAGCCGATCGCACCGTGGATGAATGGCTCTACAGACAGATGTCCTTGGCCGCAGATATATTCCTGGCCGCAGATGTATTCCTGAACGCAGATGTGTTCCTGGCCCGCAAGCAGACAAGATCTTCGCGGGCAAATGTCGTTGCTGCCCCCAATGATCCGCCAGGCTGGTTTCATCCAGCCAAACGCGGACCCAAGGGCCGGCTTCGCTTTTGCGGGCTGTTCCTCTGCAATCGCTCCGATCTTGCCACTCGCAGCCCCATCGACCGATCGTACAGCCATGACGAAGGCCGGACAGCTCTTGGCCAGAGACTCCCACAGGCAACAGCCGGGCGCTCTGTTCGGCGCCGTCTGCTTTCGCATCTCGAGCTCGGTTCCGCCACACCAACACAGATCTCTGCATGAAACACTGGCGATGCATGGCGCACATCCCGAATCCTCGTCCGGAGCCGTGCTGACACATGTCATCTCACTCGACGCCGAAGAAGCAGACTCCAGAGAGCAGGGGGTGGTGGTCGTCACGGTGGGTCGCAATTGGTCTTTGGCGACCCGCAGCAAACCCCGAATGCAGCCCCAACCACCAGCTCTCCTGCCGCTGCTCACCATTTCTCTGCATTGCTTCCTTACAGCCAGCCTGGGTCGCTTCATCCGTCCAGCTGAAGGAGCTCGCCAGGTAAGTGGCATCGCTATAACCGTCGATCTGCCCATCAATCGCCCCCCTCAGTCTGCCGCTAACATCTTTGTTCCAGTCCAGCAGGATTCTCGGCAGATCGATCCATGATCTTTTCGGGATTCGTCGTGGCCGCTGACGGGGTAAGTGTCGGGCGAGGCAGCATATCTCCAGTCCCTCCAGACTGCAATGCTCGACCCCCTCGGTACTTTCCGGTCTCCAGCATGGTGCAACAAAGCCGCGGACCGGTGCCGATTTTGATGGGAACGAAGCAGGACTGCAAAGACAGGATCGGATTGTTGCCTGCATGCTGCAGATGTGGAGAACTGACGAGTCTCGGAAACCCAGATGAGCGACCGCGACCTATCAATCTTTGGAGGGATCGAAGCCTTGGGTGGGCAGTGGCGGCTGTCGCTGGAGCCCGATGTGACGCACCTCATAGCTCCCTCAGACGAGACGGTATGGATGACCGAAGCCAATGTGATTGCACGATCCAGCGCTTTCGCAGGGAACGGAATTCGATGGAATTGAAGGGAATTCGATGGAATTGAAGGGAGTTGAAGGAATTGGGTGCTGACGCTTTGTCGTACTGCACATTCACCGAAACCGATTCAACCGGCGCCTCGACTGCCACGATGTCGATGCATATGCATCACCGGGCATATTGTGCATGTGGGGGTGATCCTGTTGCCGAACTCGATGGCTCGGGCCTACCGAATCGCAACATGGCCATGGCTGCCCCAGGCCGTATGCAAGGCAGCGACAGCTCGAGGAATCCCGGTTATCCTGCCACACTATTTCGACGACTGCATCGCCCTGAAGCGACGCCTCCTTGATGACATCTACCGCTTTCCCAGTCCAAAGTTCTTTGTTCTGGACGACCCGGCAATGCTGTCAAGGTATGCAAAGGTCTCAGCGATCGGAAATGAAGAAGGTGAGCCCATCGGTGAGCAAGACACTGGCATGCAATCACGGCCGACCTCGCCTACGATAGACAGCCGCTGACTCGACTCTGACCGATCCAGCAGCCGACACCGTCGGAGATACCTCAAACTTTCTCAGAGAGCATGTGTTCTTTATCGAACCACGAATATGGAGTACACGCAACGAGAAGGAATGCGCTGCGATTACCGAGTTCATCGACAAGCACGGCGGATCCGTCGCAAGCGAATACGGGCCAGAGGTCACCTGCGTCGTGGTGGTGAATCGAGAAAGCCCCTTCTACCTCGCCGGCGAAGAAGATGGCAAGATGGTTGGCTCGTGGCTGTGGCTCAAGGTGATCATCAAAAGCAAGCAGATTCGCTCGCCGAGGCTCAGACTTTTGCATTATGTAAGTCTTAGCTGCGGAACATCGCAATTGGTCGCTGGAGCCTGCTTGAAGCGACATGATTCCCAACTGGCACAGAGGCGTTGGCATCGCGATGCTGCTGTCGTCGTCACACCACTTATTGATGTCTTACACATCGGATATCCAACGAACCTGCTTGCAGCCGCCACCTCCTCAACTCGAAGGGATGCGGGGCCTTACTATCTCCGTCACAAACTACACTGGCAAGGCACGAACCGATATAGAGTACCTGATCGCGATTCTGGGTGGACGCTACACGGGCCATCTTACGCCAACAAATACCCATCTTATCTGCGCCAGGTACACCTCCCCAGCCGAGCGTCTTGTTCCACCCGCGGATACATCACATCGCCTCTCAGCAACACCCTGGCATTGATGTCGCAGCTGTGTTGAGCATGTTCGCAGTCGCCCCGCTGGTTGCCTTCTCATTTTCACTCAATTCCGGCTATCGTATCCTCTCCAGACCAACAGGCAGCAAATACGAGAAGGCTGTCGAATGGAACATCCATGTGATCAACCACCTCTGGCTGGAGGAAGCATGTCTCCACGGCGTCATACCCCGAGAATCTCGAATGCCATTTGTTCGGTACCCGCCGCTGTTGTCGCGGTGTGTGGGCGAAGTCAGTGTCCCGCTCTCTGTCATCAAGCAAGCCATTGGTAGCCTCAAGACAACAAGCAGCTCACCCGAGACACACCCGTCCCTGGCCGCAGCTGACTGCAAGATCCAAATCGGAGAGAGCGGCCGGCGAGCTGGAGACCCGAGCGACACACGCAGCGACCCGCCAAGGGCTTCGGCCGCTCCTCCACGACCACAGTCAGCTCATAAGATCGAACGTAACACGATTGCTGCCGACGCCATGCCAAAGAAAGGGCCCAAGGCCGACCGGGACGCACTCCCCCCACATTCCAAGCGACTCGACAGCCCAGGCGGAGCGAGCGATGACCGGGACACCGACGCCATCGAGATGCAGCACGATCCTGTCAAAGACACCGGATCCAAGCCTCTGATTGCAGATGGCGAGCATGACGGCTTTGATGAAGCTCGGTCGAATGACGACGACTCTGGAACCGTACACGAGGAGCAGCATCCAGATCTCAGGCACAAGCTGCCCGCTGGTACTAAACCCGCACCCGAGCTTCTTCACCCTGTTGTCGAAATGCCGGTGGGTGTGGAGCTTAAGACTGCCAAGAAGCGACCGCGGTCGGCAAAGCCCGGCTCTAGTGAGCCCCGCCAACCGAGTACAGAGCCAAAGTCCAAGCGCCACCGACCAGACTCGCCCATTGATCTCGACGACGAAGCGCCTGGCGAGGTTGAGTCTGGGAAGCCTGCCAGACCAAATCCCAAATCTTCGTCCCGTGCCGCCAAACCCACAACGGACCGGCGTGCAACTCCCAAGACCGTATCCACCCCCACCACCAACAGAAAGATCCCTCCAACAAACAGGGGACCCGGGCCCTCGGTGAGCAGCGCAGAAGTTACTCCAGCTGGAACGCCATCAGCCGAGCACAAGCAAAAGGGCAGAAAGTCGCGAGCGGGCACTCCAAAGCCCGCCAGCTACCGAATCTTGTTTACCAAAGTGGAGGCGCCGTTTATCCGGATGGACGTAAGTGCGCCTCCGGACATCGAGATATCTTCTCGCTTGGCTTGTTCCTGCCGTCGTCTGCTCTGTAACACCACGCTTGCAGCCAGACACTTATTTCTTTCTGTGGTGTCTGTTGCAGTTTGTCGAGGAGTTGGGTGGGCATGAAGCCCGCAATATTCGCGAGTGCACTCACCTTGTCGCCCAGAAGATCGCTAGGACCCAAAAGTTCCTGATATTCCTCAACTCCATGAAGGAACACCACCACATTGTACACGTCGACTGGCTTCTGGAGAGCAACAAGGCAGGACGGTTCCTTGGTAGGGAGTTTGACTTGGCCGCTCGCACATTGAGGATGTGAAAGATGCCAGCCTGCTCTCGTTGGGGCGCACTTGCATACGAACGAGAGCGTGCAGGCTTCCCACGTGTGCGATCATATCGGCTGTTGACTCGGTGCCCTGTATCCCCGTCGATAGACCCAGCCAATTTCCCGCTCGTGGATCGGATAACAGAAGAAAAGTACCAGTTCAGCCTGGAAGAGTCGATTGCGCATGTCAAGAGCAATCCGCCGTTGCTGAAGGGCAAGCGCTTTTACATGACGAGCAGCGTTACGCCGCCGTTCGAAACCATGAAGGATATCATTGAGACTGCTGGGGGTGAAGTGAGTACTTGTGGGTGAACTTGATTCTCAATTGCAGAGTGGCCCGAGATGTGAGGACACCCGAGCTCGTCTCGCACTCGCCTGGAACCAGAGGTGCAATCCCGAGGCCAATGCCGAGCGCCTTGACGCTGTGCCGCCGCTGCTGCTGCAGATCATATACTGACAGTCCTTGGCGCTGCGTGCTACACCCGTCCCATATCTCCAGCTCATATCAAAGAGCTATCCAAAGCTTGCAGAAGATGCCGAGCGCGGCCGGGTGATCGTCTTTTCGATCGAAGATGACTACAAGGAGTGCCGAGCCTTCATCGAGCGCGGCGTCCGGCTCTACTCGACCGAGCTCTTATTGACGGGGCTTCTGAGGAGAAAGATTGAACTCAGCGATCAAGAGTTCTGGATCCACTTCGCCTCTCGATAATCGCTGTGCTGTGCCGCACTATCTAGCCCCACCCCAACTGACTCTTGCAACAGCGAAATGGAATACTGGTGTTCCTAACCAGGCAGTGTGGATGCACCGCCACTGTTTGGGGGTGCTCTGAGCTCCAGGTGCAAGCTCTTCATGAGCGGATCCCTCGGGAGTATATCGGGCTGGCCTGGACGGGAGCGGTCGTAGCTGCGGCGGGGATATGTGCCCCCAGAGCCCAGCCCGCCGTGAGCCGGTGCGCGGCGGGTCTTTCATGGCGGGATTGTCCTGCTTTCGTCGACCAGCACCATGGCGGGATAATCCACCTCCATTCAGAATTCCCTCCATTACTGCGATCAGCTCCAATCCCCTCCCCTCAGCGTCTTGCCCTTACATATTTGCGCCAATCTACATTTCGCTGGCATCATGGAATACGAAGACGTTCATCTCGAGCCCTATGTGCCGTCGCATTACTTTTCGGCCGAAAGACATGAGGCTCTAAACGCTTCACATCGAGATGGGCAAGTGTGGACCTCTGAGATTTTGCAGCTCGAGAACATCGTGGCTGAGAACTCCAACTCGGTCATCACCGAAGGTACCTTGCTTGCTCGACTGGTCTGGGGCTCGGGTCCAGCACCTCGCTGGGAAGTCGGGTCCGAGGATTGATACGTGTGCCGTTTGAGTGTTTCTCTTTGGGCCGTCGTTTCTGGCGATGGAGTCGCTTACTCGCCACCCGACGATGCGGAATTCTGGATCTCACAGCCCGCACGCTGCTCCAGCAGTGGGTGGAGTCAAGCGAAGCCAACTCAGACAATGACATCTCGCTGAAGATCCGCCTCTTTGATGTCGAGGATCTCGATGAACGCATCCTGAACAAGGAGACGCGGCAGATGATTCATGGCATCGTCCGCGAAGTAATCGGCTCAACCCGGGACGAGGTGCAGGCGCCGTCCTCGGCTTCCCAGGACCCACGCAAGATCATGGAGGCTCGGCAAGCGTTGGTCCGCGACCGACGCGAGATGATGCAGCGCATCAAGCAGGATGAACTTCAAAAGAAGATTGAGCAAAAGCGACTTCGGACATACGAGGAGCGCAAGAAGCGGGATGCGGACCGGCTGCGGTAAGCCAGAGCATCCTGTGACGCCATGCAACTGTTCCAGGCCTGGTCCATGGGGTCGCATTGGCAACTGACCAGCAATCAAGTCTGCAGCAGGAAATTCGCGAGCGGCAAAAAGCCCAGCTCGAGCTGAAGGCCTTGCAGCAACAGATCCAGGAAGACAAGCGATTTATGGCGCGATCTACGACCGGGGCTGGAACGAGGACTGTAGCTCGGGCTGAGGCTGGGGCGGGATCTGAGGCGGCAGCTATTGCGACCACGACGAAGCAGCCGATTGAGGATATGCATATTCCGCTCGCCGTGTAAGTCTCGCCAAGTGTGCGGAGGGTGTGGGATCATCCGACGTATAACACCAACCATGGCCATCCTTCCAACCACCCACGCACGATACCGAAAGTACGGCCCTTCACAGCGAGCAAGCCGAGTCGATCGCTGATGCCGCAGCTTCCGAACGAGCTCTGCCACAGACAGTAGACGATGCTGAGACCAGCAACCGCCTTGACGCAGCAGCCACGGACTTTCTCCAACTCAGACGAATGCGAGCAATGAGGGTATGCTCAAGGGATAGATCCTAGCGGCGTGCTTCCTGGGTCCCGGCTGACGATATGTCTCCACCAGTCCTGTCTTCGAGCCTGGACGAGAGCCACTGCTGAGACGCACGACCGCTTGACCAAGTTCCTGGTGAGTAGCCATCCTGAAGCGCAATCTGCGACATGCGGAGCGGCACCGTCTTGTGGGCGTTGTCTGACTGCGAGCACTGCTACCGACCACCGACTCCGTCCTTGGCTGCGAATGCCGCGGTTTCAACTTGCGACCAACGGCCTTTACATCCAGACAATATCCAACTGGAGAGCAAAGAATCGCCTGTTTTCGGTCTGGCTTGTGCGACTGAAGAAGCTGCATATCGATCGGTAGGTTACTTTATCCGTGTGGAACGATCGTTACCAAAGTTTCCATCCCACTTAAAGCCGCTGGATGGGGGGGGACTTCAGGGAGGCAAAGCGACAAGAAGCCCTTCTCAAGGCCGAAAACGAAAGCCTCATCAAGGCGCTGCGACACCATCGCCGTACTCTGATATCCAAGTACTTTGTTTGTTGGGTTGCGTGGATAGAATCTCAGAGTAAGATGTGCACAATCACCCGTCCGTTATGTACATGATAATCCGTCCATCATCTGTGCACCATCTGTTCAGCACCATACGCAATCGGGCTGATGGCATCTCTGCTACTCAACAGAGCATGAGCAGGAGCTTCAAAGGCAGCACAAAGAGCGGCTCAAGAGAATGAAAGATCTGCTGCAAACACTTGAGGCTCAGCACAACGCTGCAGAAGAAGCGCATCAGGACCACGCCAACGAAATGGCTGAGGGTCGGGACTGCTGTCGCCAAGGCGATGGTTCCGATGGTGCTTCCGCGAATGGACCGCGATCAATCCGAGAATCTATGGAATCAAGCACCACACAAGATAGAGCCGCGCTTGGGTATCCAGCCAGCACGAGTAGCAGTCGGATGCTCGACGACCCAGAGACGGTCGAGTCGCAGATGGTCAGGAATGATGGTGACGAGCTGATCATCAGTACTTGTCCGACCCAAGATGCGACTGAAGTTTCCAGGGCTGAGTCAAGATCTACAACCGGCCCTCGAGTGCCGCTGGTACGCTCCGTGCGTAAACCCACCGAAAAATTCAAAATCACACGCAGCAAGCACGACGAAAGGCTCCTCCGGAGTAAGTGCAATGGGAGCCCAGAGGCTCGGGTCGCGGCGACACAAGGAACTGGCCAGTCAGCGATGAGCTGATTTGTGGTTCGTATATCTCGTCGACACAGAGATGGAGGAGCGAGATCGAGAAAGAAAGGAGCGGCTGCAAGCCGCCGAGGAACGACGACTGGAGCGTGAACGAAAGCAACGGGTGAGACATCCGTAGCATAGTCTCCGATCCACCAACCAACGTGATACTATCCCAGTCGCTGCTTGAGCCTTGGTCAGACTGACCTTCCCGCCGCCGAGTCAGGTCGCAGAAGAGGAGGAGAAGCGCAAGATGGAGGAGGCAGAGCGCGAGGAGCGCAGACAGATGCTGCTCGAGAAGAAACGACAGCTCGAGGAGGAACAGAAGGTAGGTCTTCTCGGCCACGCAACTTGATCGCCGCATGAACCTCTGCGAGCAGCCGAGCGTGCCTCGTTTATGCGGCAAGGCATCTCGAATCGCACATATTCCAGATGCGTGACGACATGTTGACAGTCGAGCACTGTTTCCCACAGAGAGAGGCTGAGAAGCTGGCCAGGCGGAGAGAGTTCGCAAGGCTGCTTCAGGCAGCGCAAGCGCATCACCAGCAGTCCCAGATCAAGTATTTTGGCGTTCTGCCATGGAAGAGGCTCGTCTGTGCCTTGCGAGAGCAGATGATCGATGCCCAACGGCACCGTGACGTATCGATGGTGAAATCAGCCTTTACCCTCTGGCTGACAAGGCTTGAAGCACGGCAGCGGCAAGAGCAGGACCGCGCTGTGAAGCACCACCGAACAATGGCCCTCAGGCAGTGCCTCGAGCTCTGGAATGAGGTTTGTGGAGCGCGACGAGAGACGCTGCTGCTGGGACATAGAGCAACCTTCGATCGAGGCTCTGAACGTCCTTGCGTCTGTTTGATGCAGAGGTATTGTGCAATCTACTCGATGCGACAAGGTGCCCATGTCCACGCGATCCAGCACCACCAGCGACGGGCTTTTGCCGACTGGAAGGTGGCATACGTCCGCACATCCACGAGCCGGCTGGAAGTTGAACGGGAGAAGGAGGCCCGGGCCGACAAAGTAGCACAGCGGTACGTTTGCTCCAGCACCAAGGGCCGATGGCGGCAGGAGTGTGATGAGGGTTGGTGCACTGTCGCTGGCCATGCCGCTGTGGGGACTGAGACGAATGTCGCCACTGCGATGCTCATCGTTCGATCAACTCTCAGAATTGTGTCCAAGCGCTGCCTGAGAAGGTGGCGTAGTTTCGTAAGCGAGTCCAAGGAGGAAAAGTGGCGAGAGTTCCGACGACAGATGCTCCGTGAGCGAGTTCATGTAAGCCCCATTTACATATGCAAACTGCAAACTGCAAACTGGAGGACCCTGGTCATTCCCTGACGCCTGCGAAGCTGACCCTGATGGTCGTGACTCGTTCCTTGGGGGCGGGGTGTAAAGGAAATCCTGTCCAGCTCTCGCCTGGAAGAGGTGCTCAAGTTTGAATCCATATAGCTGTGCCGAGCGATCATGTGTATGAGCTCGATGTCTTGCCAATAGCGATCCGCGCACAGAAACGCATCTGCGGCTGAAAGACACAGAGTGGCTCCGAGTGCAACCGCTGTTTGTAATTCGTCAGGAATACCATCGTGGACACTGCAGCAGTAGCCCTTCAGCCTTGCTGGCAGGTGTATTTGGCTCTGCAACCGGCTCTGCAGCTGGATCCGCAAGGGCCCATCGTGGGATTCTGTCGGAGCGGGTGCATCTCGCAGGCACTGTGGTCCAAGCGGCTCAACAGACGTGGGAGGTGAGCCATTGCTTGAACTCGGGAACATCATCCAGATCCATTCGGGAAATGCCACCGTTGCTTTCACGCGCCAGGAGCGGACCCACGGCCATTTCCTTCCACTCAGACCAGCACGCTTCCACTGCCTCCTTGGAGGGCTGCGACAGCACGATGCAAAAGATGGCATCGAAACCACCGGCTATGTGGCAAGACCGATTGGCGGAAGTAGAGTGGCATTTGGTTAGCCATGGGGACACCAGGCGGATATAGCTGGCAGAAAACACAATTGCGCTTGACCACTGGTGTGGCATCAGCCAGATACTCACCGCCAGGCACGCCGGCCATGATGACGCCAGGGACTTGCATACATCTATCTAGCAGCCGCGTTTGCTCCTCCGGCTCAATAGGCACGCCCGCCAGCTGCGACATCAGCCTCAGGTTCCTGCGAACGTTCTACCGAGTGATTAAGTGGAGTTAGTATTGCGTTGGATTTGGTCTGCAGCTGGGGTTGCCACAGACAAGGGCACTTACCTGGAACTCCTTGAAGATGGTGATGCCGAGTTCCAGCACGGACAAGCCGTGGTCATCGGCAGCAGCCTCAGTCTCCCACTGCAACCAGGTGGTCGGGGTTAGTCTGATGTCCCTTGACTACTCGCATCCATGTGGTGCTGCTGTACTCACTCTATCGGCGGGCACAACGGCCAGTTTCGAAATAGTGCGGTCGTACACCTCGGGGTACTGGACCGACAAGGCGCAGAGCTTGCGAAGAGAGCTGTCGATGCAGGTATTGTGGGCATGGATCTCGTCCCAGAGCTGCTTGCCTGTTGAAGAACGCCCGTCAACGAGCTTGTGATCAGCAGCTAACCGGCGGCACATATGATGCATTCCTGCTCGAGGCTCATGAGCAACCAGTGCCCAGTCGGTCGTCCAAGGAGACTGCTCTCGATAAAATTACATTCGTCGGGTTTGCTTTTACGCCAGGAAAGGACCTGCGAGACGAGCTTGGGAGTGCTACTGCCGGCGTCAATGTCGGCGAGCATCATGATAAATCCTCGGGGCAGATCAAAGGTGCTGACGACATTGTCCCAGCTGGAGAATGGAGTTGGGAGACGAGCGCGGTGAGCGGAACAGACGTCGGCTCAAATGCAGCGAGCGAAGAGACACGATCGACACCGGCAGGCAGATGAAGCACCGGCTGCGAACAGCCTATCTTGCATACGGGCCCTTACCGATCGGCCGCCTGGTTTGGGTCCAAGGCCTGGAGCAAGTCGCTGCCCGTGAGCCGGGGCGAGTCGGGCTGCATAGCTCGCGACAAAAGTGGATCCAGAACCGATGGCGAGAACTTGCGGTACGAATGACTTCCAAAGACAGCCGAGCTGACGTCGAAGCCGCTGCCGATCTTGCCCTGGGCGAGACAGTGCGTGAACTGGGCAACGTTGTGCACCAGACGGGCGCTGTACAGCTCCTGCTCCGACCACTCCGATACATGGCGATTGCGGGGCAGCTCAGCGACACCAAAGTGAGATAGAAGGGCACCGACGACCGAGGTGATCATGGCCGCACTAGAGCCGAGACCGGTCTTGTGCACCTGGCCGATGGGAGCCAGCGTCGAGCAAAAGTTGGGCAGCGACGACAGCGATGCCGACGTCAGAGGGAGATGCTGCTGCTCGAGCTGCTCCCGTTGCGAGTAGAAATCGTTGTGTCCGACAATGACGATATCGAGGCCCTGCTCGATCCGACTGCCGAAGGAGCTGCTCAGGACACTGGCGAGGGTGAGGGTGTGGCAGAGGGTCTTTTCGAGATAGGGGTTCTCCTTTTGTCCGCTGGCGACAAGAACGACAGACAGCCGTCAGAGTCCGGAGCGGCTTGAGCGATGCGCGATGGCCCTCCATGTTCTGACCATGTTGTGCTCGTTTGGTACAGCGATACTCGAGAGCGGAGGCAAGGCGACAAGCCGCCGTCAAAGAAGATGAGAGCTCCCACGAAGCTCCGGAGCAAGCCGGATGCAATGCAAATCACGACCGCCAAGGAAGGGGAGGACGAGCATTACCTCGACGGCTGTATCTCAACAGCGCCTTGCTCCCACTTGATCCCGAAGCTCCAGAAGCCATCCGTGAACTGAGGCGATTTGACGGTAATCGAGCGCGGACGCTGGCCCGGAGCGATGCTGGTGAAGAACCGAGACGATGTTCCGACAACAAGGCCAGAATACTGGCGATCCAGGACCAAGTATCCGCCGGCGAGGAGCACCTTGCCCGGTGCCGAGACAATGCTGCAGCAGATCACAGCAGAGGCGTCGATGTGTGATTAGGCTGGTCTTGAGCCGGTAGCTGCAGCAATCGATCTGCAGCGGGATGGAGGGGCTGGTCTCTCCAAATGCACCAGCAGACGCATGTGAGTCGGGGCTGCAGGATCCGTCGCTGCGACGAGCCTACCTGATTGCGGTGGAGTCGGGCATGCTGTGCGATCGGACTGGAGGATGTCTTCCGAGACAGGGGGTCGACAAGTCGGGCGGCTTGCTGGGAGGGGGGGCAAGACGATGGCGAAGGAACCTGTCGAGACCGAGGACAACGGCCGGCTGGGAAGGAGGCACGCCGCTTCCGTTCTGGGCAGACGACACGACATGTCTGCGGATGCAATTTGCCCACCCAGACAGATCGTGTGGGATACAGCGCTTCCCGAAATGAAACGGGGGCACCCTGGTTTGTCGTTGGTTTCCAGGCCTGAACACACACCGCTCCATCGCTCCCTTGGCCAAAGAGTGTGCCCACAGTGCCTGGAAGCCAAGCGCCTCGAGAGGGCCAAGTATCTTGACCTCGGTATGCCAGTCGATCGTCATCACGGGAGATCGACCAAGTGTATTCAAGAGGATGCTTCCCAAACCAACGAAAACAAAGCGATTTGCCAACCAGGACGGGAAGAAATCGTACGGCCTGTCTACCGGGGCCTACGGAAGTTCAGCAGGCTTGTGTCGCTGATCCCAGTGAAAAGTGAGGACCGTCCCGGTTTTCTTCTGGAGTGACTGTATAAGCGCCATGGCTTGGAGCGGCCTGCCGCCATCTGTGTTGCGGTTTCTCATTTACAGAGCCTTGATGATGGCCTCGGTGACCTGGGTGGTGGTGCTCTTGCCACCCAGATCAGGGGTCAGGAACTTGCCCTCGGTGATGACCCGGTCGACGGCAGAGTGGATGCGGCTGGCCTCGGCAGTGAGACCGAGGTACTCCAGGAGGAGGGCAGCGGAGCGGATCGAGGCAACGGGGTTGGCGATGCCCTTGCCGGCAATGTCGGGAGCAGAGCCGTGGACTGGTACGATGCAATTCAGACGATGCAGCCACAGTCAGCAGCGTCAGGCGCAAATATCTGAAGGCGGTGCGATTCGTATCCCACACTTTCATCACACCATCATCTTGTGCTATCGACACCATGTCCTCCCGTGCCTGGATCTAGCACACTGAAGCCGAGGCGCTTACCGGGCTCGCCAATGACAAAGCTGTCGCCGACATTGGCGCTGGCAACGACACCCAGGCTACCAACCAGGGCAGCAGCGCCATCGCTGATGATGTCGCCATACAGGTTGGGGGCAACGGCGACATCAAACTTGTGGGGCTCACGGAACATGCGGTAGCTGTGCGACCCGAGACGATTGCATGAGTCGAGTCAGTCGGGCAGCCGAGAGTTGAGATAGTTTGGCGAGGTTTGGGGCAGCGAGCGGACACGAAAACAGAACACCGGAAACGGCCCAAAGGACTCGCTGGAATGCCGTAGAGCCGCCGTCACCGGGGGCTGTTGACTGGTACCTCTCTCTCGCCAAAAGTGAGCCACTTACACCATCGAGTCAACCAGCTGTTCCTCCAGATCGACGCCGTTGTAGGCAGCGTTCTCATTCTTGACCGCCAGGCAGCTCTCACGGAACAAACCGTCCGAGACGCTGAGGACATTGGACTTGTGGACAACCGTGACGCGGGGCTTGCCTTCCCACGAGACAGCCTCGCCGGCCTGGCGCTTCTGCTCGCGAACCTGGCCACGCTTGACGGCAATGTCAAAGGCAGCCTTGGCGATGCGGCGGGAAGCGGTCTCGGTGATCTTACGATCAGCCCAGGCAATCTTGTTGCCGTCGGGCTGAGTCTCGAGACGCTCGCTCTTGATGTACTGTTCCCGAAGGAGCCGCCGTGGCAAGAAAGGTCAGTCGGATTGCAAGGCGGACCAAGACCAAGACTGGTCAAGACAGCCCTGAGGAAGGCGCAGACAGCAGCACAGACAGTAACGCACCAGGCACTCGGTGTTCTCGCGAACGATGACCATGTCGACGGGGTGGCCCGAGCTGGAGCCGGCAGGGCTCACAACGGGTCGCACGTTGGCATAGAGATCCATCTTCTTGCGCAGGGCGACGATGGGAGAAGAGTATCCGGCAACCTTGTGCGAGGGCGAGCTGTTGGCACGGCAGCACACAAAACTCGATGAATAGGTGGGCGGATATGCTGATGTCCAAGGATTCGTGGCAACATGGCTTGAAGTAAAAGTCCTGCCGACGATAGAATCGACGGCGGCATCCGCACCGAATCAATCACAGCTGCGCGTGGCAATTGACGAACCTGACAGCGCCAAAGAGTGCGCCCTGGCATTCACCCTTGAGACGAGCGACGGTCTCCTCGGGCAGGGCCACGCCGGTCTTCTGGAAATGCTCAAAGCCAGCGTCGAGGTGGACAAACTCAAAGTGGCCGGGCTTGACGGCCTGCAGCACGAGCTGGGCGGCCGGAATCACCTCGCGGCCAATGCCGTCGGCGGGGATCAGGCCAATCTTGAGGGCCGATCGCGAGGACGAGGAGGAGAAGTGACGGCGAGCGAGGCGGAACATGGTGCGATGCGGATCGAGACTCGAGGTGCTGATCGAGGAGACGGAGGCAGAGGAAGAGGAGGCAGAAGCGCGGCGGCTGGCCAGGATGAGATTGGGCAATCTCAGCGGTCGCACAAGATCTCCGGGCCTTGTTGCGATGGCATCACGTGTGGGTCGATTACACGTGGTACATCTATGCTGCGCACGCTGGCCTGGATCTGTACCTGTGTGGCCAACATGGATGCGAACATGGACATCCACATGAATGCGAACATGCACATGGACATCCACATGAATGCGAACATGCACATGCACATGCACATGCATACGACATGGCCGCAGATATGTCCTGTGGCTTAGCGGCGCCGCTGCCATCCACCCCATGTGCGAGATTGCTGTCCGGCTTGGAGAATCCAAGCTCTTCATGTTTGCAAAATGGGGTGCGTGATCGGCAGCGGCGGAGAACACTGGAGCCGAGGCGGTCGTGACTCGTAGCTCGCCCTGGCGCCGTATTTCATCGACCGTCTGAGTCTCGGCCTCTCCGGATCCAACATTCTCTGCGAGACTCAATCGCAGGCTTCATTTGTACGCGCTCTCCGAATCGCAACTCTCGCACGCCGAACGCGAATGCTGCGTCGCAATGATCCGGTGAGCATCTCGTATCGGTGCGGATTGCAGAAACGTCGACTGCAATCGAACAGGGTCGGCGTGTGCGGGACCACCGGTCTCGGCGATGTTCATCCGCACCCACCGTGTCATGTCTGATGTCGTCCATGTCGCCGCTAATTTCTCGTTCATGGGGTCACTCTCGGTACACTTGTGGGGCCGCCGGCTGAAGCGGCCGTTGACGCATATATCAAAGAGTCACAACGAGCTCCCCGCGACCCACCCAAGTGAGCCGCGGAGTCCAAGAGCAAAATCCCCCTCTGAGATCCAGCCACCTCACCGCACCAACCCTTTGCAAGCACCGCACAGCCAGACGGCCGCGATTGTGCGCCGCAAGATCCATCCAAACGAGGCATCGAGCGTTGCGGATCTCTTTTCTGGTACGGACAGCAAAAAACAAACAAAGGCAAGCGAGGCAAACGAAGCCAATGCCCGGTGCCCAGACTCAACTCCGCGCCTGCAGCCGGGTATCGCTCGAGACCGGAAGAGCGTCCAAAAGTCATCGTCGCGGGTGCTCCCGCCCAACAACAGACCCGGACTAGCCAAGACACGCAGCAAAGAGTCGATTCCGCCTGTGCCGTCCATGGGCCAGCCCAAGATATCGCAGCGACTGAATCCCAAAACCGTCGGCCCGATGGGCAAGGAGGACCATCATAAAACGTGAGCATGGCGTGGCAAGGGCCGCCTGGGCTGGCAGGTGACGACGGAATTGTTAAGATTCGACGAGGCAGATGATCATGATGAATGTGGGAGTCAGGAGCTCAAAGTTCAGCGCCCGACATTGGGTGCTTGGCTGCTCTAATGTCCTTTGTGGCCACGCCTGCAGGATCTTCAGCGAGGTGTACTCGAAAGGAGGGATCCCCTGGTGAGTCTCAACCTGACTTGTATCTTAGCGTTTGGGCTTGCCACTGGCGGACGCCTGACCTTTGCAGATGAGCCCCGGATCAACATGAGTCCGCAGCTGACCAGCGCAGCCGGGCATGTGGGGCTCAACATGATCAAACACAACAAGTCATGACAACGACCGTTTCCATCCGGTGCTGGCTGGATGGCAAAGTCATATGGGGGAGAGGCTATCTTCGCACTGCTTTCACGACTTATGGCTGCATACCTGCGCCGCTGTTCCCGCCCGAGCGAGCGTCTTGTGCTATGCATCACACCTTCTACAACCGCATTCACTCAGCCACTCACTTACTCATTCATTCATTCATTCACTTCATTCCATGTCCATCGATGCATCGCTCGACACAATCGCATGATTGTCCTGTCGACAACGGCATTTCTCGTCGTTCTGAATCCTCACGGGATCCCCTTCAGCCGTCTTAACCACGGGTCCGTCAAGCATTCGCTGACATGGATCCAAGCACCGGCAGGACTGGACTATGATCCGCTCTACTTGACCTTCCTTGAAGGTCTGCGCGAAACAGAGCATCCGTATACTTTCATCGTGCGAGAAGGACTCACAGCGCTTATGGATGCCGACGGTGCCAAGGCCAAGCTGATGCCCCTGATGCCTCGGATGGTCAGCACTTTGCGAAAGGGGCTGGCGAGCCACAACAAGGCAAGTCGCAGAGAAGACAGTGACGGCTGACAGTGGACTCCCGGTAGACGGAGATTGAGGTTGGGGTGCGAATGCCTCGATCAGGATCAGGTCCCCCCCCCGAACATGGGAGAAAACCATTCGAGTCCACGAGACCATCGAAGCGGCCATGACTGCATTCGCTGACGGATCCCGATGGCCCCACTGGGTAACAGAATACGGTCCTGGCGACACTGAAGGTGCTTGCGCACCTGTCGCGGACACTCGGACCAGCCATGAACTCGATTCTGGGGCCTCTGCTTCCGCCCGTCGCGGCGCAGGTGATGAAGACTGACTGGGAATGGCGACAGACGGTACTGGAGACGCTCAAGACGATCGAGGTGCACCTGGGCGAGACGGCGCTCAAGCTGATCAAGTCCAAGGTGCCAACGTATACGTCCGCGAGCGGCATCTGAAGCTGCCGTGGCGAGCGAGGGAGGTGCGGTGAAAGAACAGATATCGCAATGGCGGGAGCGAAGGGTCATGCGCGACAACCAAACACGACGCAGACAGCCTTGCTGGACAGAAGGCCATGAGCACCGAGACTGCTCCAATATCCATCAGACCCGACCATTCCAGACCATTCTAGACCAGACCAGTCCAGTCCTGCACAATCTCCATCGGTCCCCAGACCAGACCAGACCAGACCAGACCAGACCAGACCAGACCAGACGGCGCGTGGGCCGGACAAGCACATGGCGGCTGGATCCGGCTGGAGCCGCCCCACAGCCCCACCGCCAATCCTCCCAAGCCAAACTTTTTTCGACGCCCGCAAGACAAGGCTTTCCTTCCGGCCTTTGCTCCCCTTCGCCTCCCGCATCGTCGCCGGCCGCAACACAGCCCACCGCCGGATTCCTCTGCACCAGCACATCCCCCCCCCGTCAGCGTCCATCGCTGCCCGCTCGGCCCTCTGTCGTGCTGTCGCCTTCTACTTCCAACTCTGATCACCAGCCAGCCAGCGAGCGACCCAGCTAGCCAGCCAGCCAGCCAGCCAGCCAGCCAGCTCACCCATCGGCTTGTTCCTCTGTCACTGCCCTCGACTGTTTGCTGTGCCTCAGCGCTTGCTGCCTTGTCGCCGAGCTGCTCAGGTCTCCTATCGCCATCGCCTGCAATCCTCCCACACACAGCTCCAGCAAAGCCTCCTCCAGTCGGCCTGAGCTGGTCTTCCCTTCCCTTCTCTTCCCAGCTGCGTCACTCCCAGATTCCTTCGATTCTCTCGCCATGGCTGTCTGCACCAGCTCCCCAGCTCTGCGTCGGTTCATCAGCACCTCAACCGAGAGCCTGAACATGTCTGCCATCGCCTCGGTTTCCTCCAATGTCGCTTCTGTGCCGTCCGTCACCTTCACGGCGTCGCCCTCGTCGCTTCACGCCGTCCCGATCATCATCCCTGCTGCTACGGCCCAGGCACAACGGGATTCAATCTCGGAGCACCTGAACCCGCTACTGTCACACATCTGCGCTTGGTCGCATCCCACCTCGGCCCAGCTCCACACCTTCGCCGTCCCGGCTGGCATCACCGTCTCGCAGTACCACCTGAGGAACTACCCGCTGCCATCGTCCCTCACCGAAAAGTACGAGCTGTGCTGGGAAATTGGCTCGGGATCGTCGGGCTTTGTCCTGCGCGGCATTCGCATCTGGGACAACATGCCGGTCGCCATCAAGTTTATTTTCAAGGTAGGCCACAAAGTCAGCATCGTCCATTCGGCAGGACGGGGCGGCCGGCCAGCCCGAGCAGTCGGCCAACCGTCGCTGTCGGCTGAAGCAGACACCCTTCCCTCGCCCCCTCCCACGGCAATCGGCTGGCTGCGACACTCTCGGTCGTGGCGTGTTGGGATTATGTGCTTTGCTGTATATCTGGCCGATCACATTCGTCGGCTGCGACACCGCTCGACGCCGGCTGCGCCTCGGGCCAGTGATGTCTGCTTGGTGGATCAGCAGCCCCCCGGTCATGTGGGCCCGAGCGGGCGCCGAGCGAATCGATCATGGACGTATGGGATGCCAACGTGGTGTATTCCCTGCATGCTGCGGCAGAGATGCGCCGAGATCGAATTACGTTAATTGCATTCAGACCCCTCCCCTCGCAGCCATGTGGACCCCAGTATGCGCTGTGATTGGTCTTGGCTCATCAATGCAGAGTTACTGACGTCGCCGCCCTGTCCTTCTCGCCGTTCCCACATGCCGCATCCTGTCCGCTTGGCCTCCAGGATCGCATTGCAATCGACAACATTGCCCGCGGCATGCCGAGAGAGATCTTTATCCACAAGAAGCTCAACCACCCTGGTATCGTCCGCATCTTGGACGTTCTCCAGGATGACAAGGTGGGCTTTCCCTCCATTGTCCGTCGCTCATACCGGCGCCGCTCCTTGCTGAGCCAACAGGGCGTGCGGACGACCGCTGACCTGTGCATCCGCTGTCCATGCAGTTTTACTTTATCGTGACCGAAGTCCACGGCGTCCCATCGTACAACCCCTATGTCAACTCGAATGAGCCTGCCATGTCACCGGACCTGTTCGAGTTTATCAAGCGACACCCAACGCTCGAGGAAGAGCAAATCCGGTTCATATTCCGGCAGCTGGCAGAAGTTGTCCGGTACCTCCAGCAGGAGATCAATGTGGTGCATGGCGACATTAAGGATGAAAATGTAAGGATCGTCTGGTCGTCTGGTCGTCTGGTCTCGACCGCCGACTCCACAAGGTCTTCACAGCTTCAGCTGCTTGTGCGGTGTTCGCATACTGCTTGTGAATTCTACTGCTGTCAGCTCAGTCGCACTCAGTACCACACCCTGGCTGATGACCATCTGTTGGCCTCGATCCAGATCGTCATCGATAACAACCTTATTGTGAAGCTCATTGACTTTGGAGGCGCCCGTCACATCCCCCGGACAAGAGCTGGATGGACGCGAGCAGAAGACTACCTGGGAACGATCCGCTATGCCCCGCCAGAGATCCTGAACGGCGAGGAGTTCCGTGGCCCCGAGGTTGAGATGTGGTCGCTTGGAGTGGTGCTGTACAAGCTTACATTCGGAGTGCATCCCTTTCCCGACTCGACGAGCGCTCTTGAAGGCAGAGCCAAGATGGACTGGGTGACACGCAGCCCGGAACTGCTCGATCTGATCTCGCGGCTTCTGGATGTGGACCTGCATTCGCGAGCCACCATCAAGGAGGTGATGAACCATCCATTCCTGACCATGCATCACGAAAGCGCCGCGCCAACCAAGGCTGTGCTCATTTGAGCGCTGCAGATTCGGTATCATCGCGCATCACTGCATCACTGCGTCACTGCGTCACCGCACCGCCGCGGCCGCTTCTGCTCGTTGCCGCGAAGCCTACGATGGCGAGCTGCTGGCCACCAACTATCGTCGGTTACAAGCACCGATTGCCCCCGATTGGCTTGCTGTCCCTGCCAATCCCAAGTCTTTCAATCTGTCTTGCCGCAGAGCTCGCCAGGCTCTGGCCGAGACGAATCTCCACAACTGGTCCCCCCACCACCTTTAGCCGCTGCGCTTCTCCCTCCCCCCCCCCCCGCCATCACCGCCTTCTCCTTTGGTCATCTGCAAAGCATCGCCAACTGCACTCATGTACCTGTCCAGTGCCTGGACATATGCAATCACCTGCACGTACTCGACTGCGTTCCCAAGATGCATCTTCAAGTGGTCCACTAATGCCCGCCACTGTGCCCAGTCGCTCCTCCCGTTGTCCCTTGCATCGTCCGGCTGATCTTTTCTTTCTCTCCCCGCTTCCCTTCTCTCCTTCCTTGAATCTGGCACCGACATCGCTTAATTATTCCGCACTACCCGTCTCGTCTACTCGAATTTAATGAGCACTATCCTCCTCCTCCTCCTCCTCCTCCTCCTCCTCCTCCTCCTCCTCCCACTTCGCACACCCTCTCCCATTCCATCTCGATTCATCTTGATGGAGCCTATCCCTGACGACCCACCCTTGTTGGCCCTCTCGCGTCCCTCGCTTGCTGTTTGTCTTCTCTCTCTTTTTGGATGTCCTGCTCGATAATTTGTACATATCTCCTGCCCCTTTTCCATTCTACCTCCCCCACCCTTTCTCCTCGCTCTCCTTTGTTTGGCTGGTACTCGGATGCAAGAATTTGCTGTGCTTTCTCCAGAGCCGAGGGAACAGCCTCCCACCGTCCGTCGAACCTGACAGTAGAATACACAATGTGAACCATGTCCTTGATGCCGACCAACGCACGGCATTTACAGTGATGGATCCGATCTCCTGCATCCCCTTCGCCGCAGTCCGTGATGCACGGTTAGATGGATGGCAAGCACGCTTAGCGGGGCTATATTGGTGGTGGCTTGAGAATAGCAGCAGCGCAGCATCGCCCCGCTCGTTACAGCTCCGAGTGGCCCTCAGCCGTCGTCTTGTCCTTGTTGGTGGCATCGGCCTCGGCATCGGCATCGGCGTTTTTCTTGCTGGCGTAGGGGCATTTGGCGCCGGCAGGGGCTTCCTTGGCACCAGAGGCATACGGGCACTTGCCCGCCTTGGCGTCGTCCTTTGCGCCATCGCCGGCAGCGGCCGCCTTACGGGCAGCCAAGACAGGGCAGTTGGCCAGCTTCTCGTGATGGGCCTTGGCTTCCTTGTAGTAGGGGCATGACTCTTTCAAAGGACAGTCTGATGCGTCCCAGTTGACGCTGTCAGCCTTTCCGGTCTTGACGTCCTATAGTAAGGAAGTGGAGGGCGGTATGGCTGTGAGTCGGTGATGGGCCAGAGCGACGGCAGTATAGAACACACGCAGCACTTGGACTCATCGCAGACCATATGTCACCAGGCATGGGTAACAGAGAGCAAGCAAATCCCACAAGCACAAACCTTGTAGAACTTGCACTTCTCGGCGAGCGGACAGCCTCCCTCAGCAATCTCGTCGTCGCTGTGGTCGTCGTGGTGCTTCTGGTAGTATGGGCAATCGGCGGCAGGGCATCCCTTGGATCCAGCCTTGTGCTCATGGTGGCTCTCGTAGTAAGGGCACTTGCCCTCGAGCGGGCAGTGGTGGCCGTGGTGCTGCTGCTGCTTCTTGAGGTAAGGGCAGTTGGCGGCGTGGTCGTGGCCGACCTCATGGTGCTCCTTGATGTGCTGGCCAGACTTGAAGTGCGGGCAGTTCTTGGCGATGGGGCAGCCCTCGGTGAGCGCAGCGGCATGGTCCTTGCTCTTCTGGTAGTAAGGGCACTTGTCGTGGATAGGGCATCGGGTCTTGGTCCAGTCGACCTTTTGGGCCTTGCCATCCTTGATGTCCTGGAGGGGCGATCCGGCCGAAAGAGACGGTGCAATGAGGCGTGAGATCCACAAGATACAGGAGCCAGATCGTGTCGAACAAAAGTGAACCGAATCACTTTGGCTTGACTGGGCGGAGACACGCTACCAACGATCGTTGACGGCCAGATCTGAGCCGGCGGCATGTCGATGCCGATGCCGATGTCGATGTCGATGTCGATCATGCACCACCAAAGCTCCGATCGTCTGCCCATTCACCAACAGCTCCTCCAGGAGTCATCGCACGCGTCGAGTGCATAAGCCCCAAGACCGAAACCGAGCAGCCAATGCAGATCGCGCTATTCAGGGCTCGGAACGCTACCTTGTAGAAGGAGCATTTGCTGGCCAGAGGACATCCACCGGACTTGTCCATCAGATAGTCGGCCTCGTCATGATCGCCCTTGTGCTGCTTGTAGTAAGGGCAGTCGCGGGCAGGGCATGGATGATCTCCAGCGGACGGGGCCGCATCTTTGTGGTATTCGGCATAGTAGGGACACTTCTCGGCCAGCGGACAGGATCCGGCCCAGACCGAGAGCGACAGGGCCAGCACGAAAGCCAGGACAGCAGCGAAAGGCTTCATGGCGACGACGAGGATGAGGACGAAGACGGGATCAAGCGCGCCAGCAGAGCGGGGGATGGGGGATGTAGGTCAAGATCGATCGAGATCGACGAGGGTCAAACAGGATCGGCAGCGTTGCGCTTGCGCTTGCGGTTTGGCGGGCAGCAGGTAAGGATAAGAAGCCTGGAGGCCCGGGCAGCGCCCCGCTTTTATGGCCGCCGCGGCTTGGTCTGATGGGGACCGGACGGCCAGGGCCGGGTCCTGGACGGCGCGAAGCGGCGGCGGAAGGCACAACGGCACTGCCAGCGAAGAGTGCAGGGACCAGCCGAGAGACGGTCGCTCCGTATGTTATCGTTATCGCTACCGCTGTTGCCATTGCGGTCGGCTGTGGGATCGTACGATACCGTGCGGCGTGTGCGAGGCGAACCATCCAAGAGAATATCGCAACGAGAGTTCGCAGCCAGACATCCCTGCACAACACCTCGGCAGCGTCGCCTCCCGTTTGCCTCCTGGGAATTCGGGCCGGTGGATTGCCAGCAAGCCACCAAGATCATCAACACCGTCTGGACCATGCGGGGCTGTATTTTGCTGCGACAGAGCCACCGGATGCGGCCTGTTCTCGCATCGCCGCCGCCCTGCTTCGTACATGCGCCTGTCATTAAAACGTTTCCCAGCCGCTCGGGGCGGTTGACTCCTTGCTGGTGCTCGTGCTGGTCGTTTGTCGATAGAGCCATACAATCGTCAGTGACAATCTCAGCGTGGCTCCAAATACCATTCAAGCAAGCATGACGTCCATGGCCGCCCTCAATCGAGAGCATCCCGATTGTACCCCGGCGCCAACCCGGACGTCAAGCACAGGATCGATGCAACGGGCCTGCCGGGATCCGCTCATCAGCCCGACATACTCACGGGTTCGAGCCCACAAAGTCTCCAAAGTCTGCCCAGCCCGAGGAGGGATCCGCCGATGCCGACGACGAGGCAGCGAACGGGTCCGGCTGCTGCTGCTGCTGCTTGGAGGGCGGAGGGGGCAGGAATCCGGTGGATCCAAACGACGATCCTGAAGCCAGAGATCTGGAGGGCGGGGGAGGCAGCATCGTGAAGCCACCCGAGGCTCCAGAGAGGTTTTCAGACGACGCCCCGGCCGGCTTTGACGACTTGAGCTGTGCAGACAACCAACCCGACAACAATCTCAGCAGCCAAGCCGCGCATGCCTTGACACACAGCTTCTCCTGCCATCGAGCGAGCCCCCTCTGTATGCGATGACGGATGACATACGCTGCCAATATTGATGGTGATGGTCTGGCCTTCCTTCCAGCTATAGTCCATCTTGGGGGCGGCGCTGGCCGGCTTGGCGCTGTGGGCTTCCTTGGCTTGCTTGACCCGCCTGATGTCGATCGAAACGGCCAATGTCAATCCTGCGGACCCTCATGGAAGCATACCAAGACACCGCAGGCTCCTCGAAGACCCACCTGGTATGATCCTGCAGCGCCACGTTGAAATCAAACGCCGACGAGCGTTCGGTAAAGCCCATGCCGATGAAGGCATGCTTGCCCGAAGCCTTGTCAACGATTCGCAGCACAAAGTAGCGGGACGAGTCCGTGACGGACTCGACGCTCGATCCGTCGGGGTTGTATGGGCATTGAGCAAAGATCTCGCCTGGAAGCGTTGCAGGTCAGGCCAAACAGCAGGTCAGCATGGCATGGTCGACACAGAACCCACTGCGATGATAACGATGCGAATCTGCCCGTGCTGAACCTACCCGTCGTTCCGTCCTGCAGACAAGGATTCGGCAAGCAGAGGATTGGCCGCCGGAAAGGATTATTAACAACTCGTGAAGCCGCTCGGACTGCAGCCGAGAGACGGCTGCTCCGCGGATATCCCTGCTCGGGATTCTTGCTGCCTTACCTCCAGATTAATGAATGCATCGTCGCCGCGGGCAATCACCCTGAGGCGCCCCGTCCACATGTGCTGAGTGATATCCCAATCGGCCGCCCTGGTTACGGCGCCATCGACAACGGGAGCGAGGGGATTGAGCGAAACGGGCAAGAGGATCGAAACGAGCGATGGGAGCAAGTGTGATGCTGCAACGCCGGGTGTCGATGGCAGAGACGCCACATCAAATCCAAGATTGCCTGCGATCCTACCTGTATCCTCTGGCATTCGATCGCGGGGGAATCCTGTGTTGCGTTGTGTTGTTCTGACGGTCAGCGTCCGGGCAATGTGACAGCTACGATCAGGCCAGTGCGCAAAAGGACCTGCCGATGGGCGGGCTTGCTCTGCTGCTGGCTCGACAGTACCTATACACCATGCACTCGCGGATCACCACCAGCACCGATTCGTATGTGTCGTCGTCGAGAAGTCCCATGGCAGCTACGAGCAGCGGGTCTCAGCGGGCAGGCAGACAGGTTTGATGTGTGCGAGAGCCTGGGCGGGGAGATTTGCAGGCGCTGTCGGGGATCGCTCGCGTGCTGCAAGGGCCAGGGCCGGTCCAGCTGTTTGTCCTGGTGCTGCTGGTCCCACGCTTCCACTACTTGGGGGGGGGGGCTCTGCGACCGCATTTGCACTGGGGCAGGCGTGCCGATCGACTTGGGACACTGTGGTGGATCAGGAATGTTCGAGTCGGCTGCAGGCTGAGCCAAGCGAGCTGCCCGGTCTCCCACTCATCCCTCGGCGACCCCATCCAGCGCACCAAGCGGATCGGCCGGCCTCTGGTTGGAAACAGATCTGCGACGAGCTGTTGAACAATCGCCCTGCAGCCACCAATCTGGGCGAAACTTTCCAGCGGGTGATGCAAGTCCAGCCACTCTCTGGCAATGTACTGGCGATGCACTGGTCGGCCAGCCCACAGCACCACCGGGCAAAATCACCCGGCCGCCAAGGCCGGCAAGTTGACCCTTGCCTGGCGAAGCAGCCCTCTAGTGATGAATATCAGCCACCCAATCTAGTTACCACAGACACAGGCCATGATTCGCAACGTCATGGCGGCCCCGGACGTCACCAAACCAGGCAAGATTCGTCGCCGTTGACGACGATTGCATGACGACAAGTTGGCTTGGACAATCACACCGGCTACAGCGTATCCAAGTTTCACCCGATTACGCCGATGTGCTCAGCGTCCCCTCGCTTTTTTTTTCTCTAGCTAATTCTGCTCAGCAAGAGCTTTTCCGCAAACCAGGCCGGTCTCACGCTTGCTCGACTTCTTGCTCGCGGACTATTCCAGCGTGTGACTTGGATACAGACCTGCAGCTGCATAGCCGATTCGGATACTCGTACGTGATATCGACGCTGGCCCTCGATCCTGGATTTTGCGCCAATTCAAGCACAGCTTCGTACTTTTCCCAAGCTGGACCGAGTCCCCACTGGAACATCCATTCATATTCGCGACGACCGCTCTTGGCCATTACGGGGGTCACCACTGCGATTCCGGAGCAACGTTTGAGTGGATTGAAGTGCGAACATGGCGACAAAGAATAAAAGCATGGCCAGCGCAAGTAAGAAGGCCCCAGGTACGTGAATCGAGAGTGTGAGAGTAGGTGAGTGGGCGAGTAGAGAGTGAGAGCGACGCATGAGCGTCGGAGAGTGAGAAAGCACCGTGCAATGCATCCATCAGTCTGGACTCGAACGACAGAGCACGCTCACTTATTTGGATATGCTTCGCAGACCGGCTGGCAATGACCCTGCCAAACGACGACCCGGATCTCGAGAAAGGGGGAGGCGACACAAGCAAGGTCCTGAGCATCCTGCGGTCCGAGAAAACAGAGCCCAAGCTTCGAAAGCTTCTCCAGAAGATGCGGACATGGCTGCCGCCGGTTGAGAACGGAGTGATGCAGGAGCCACATCCCTTCTGGACGTTCTGGGACGCCCTCGTCCGGATTAACCAGTGCATCAACCTGTTTCTGATACCGCTCCAAGCCGCCTGGACCTGCTCGCTGGTATTTCCGGGGACCCTGTGGATAGCGGGCATCATGGACCTGATCGAGATCGTCGAGGTCATCTTCCGGCTGGTGCGCTCCTATGAAGACGAGTTCGGGTACCCAGCAAAGTCGCGCCGGCAGGTCCAGGGCAACTTTCTCCGGACCCAGAAGGGTACCTTGATCATCCTGACCGTATTTCCGGCCGACCTGGCTCTCTACATTGGCGTCTGGATCGTGGCTGACCGCTCGATCTTCACGACATGCACGTCCGCCAACCTGTCGCTGTCGCGGATTTGGTCGATTCTGCGGATCGCGCGGCTGTACTCGGCCAGCCGGGGATTTTTAACTTGGTTCCTGTCCGTCCATTTGCCTGGAACGCATGTGGTGAGTAGCGCAGCCAGCGGCCATGAGTAGCTTTGTGTCCCCGAGTCTGCTCCAAGCGACTGACCCGATCCCTGCCCTTCTTCTCCAGTCCATTTCGCGGCTGATCAAAAACGTCCTGGCGATCATCACCATTTCCCACTACTTTTGCTGCGTCTTCTGGTTCCTCAACACGTTCGAAACCTCGCCCGACCGATGGATCGATGTCGACCACCTGCTCTTTGATGCCAACGGCGTAGCCGTGCCCTTTGGGACGCAGTATCTCTTTTCGTACTACTCGGCGCTCAAGGCGGTGTTCTTTATCTTCCGGAGCGTCAACACTGACGTCGAGAAGGGCTTCTCGATATTCGAGGTTCTGATGTCGTCGTGTGTGTTTGGATCGTTGTTTGGCAACATTGTCAGTTTGATTCGATTCCTGGACGAAAGCGTGGTCAAGAGCGAAGCAGGTGAGTCGCAGCACCCGGCGACTTGATGGATACTTTCGGCTCCGTGGCTGCGTCGGCGGCGATGGTCGCTCCCATTCACGGCACGCCAACTAATGCCGCTCCCATCGCTGCTTGACGGCTGAACAGAGGAACGAATCATCTTTCGCCACAGCAACCTGCGCGACTACATGCGGAAAAAAGCCTTCCCCGTCGAGCTCCAGAAGCGCATCACTGCATACGAAAAATTCTTCCAGGCGCGGAGTCAAGGGCTCGACGAGAAGGAGATCTTTCAGGATATGCCGTATGTGTTGCGGGGCGAAATCGCCCTGTTTCTGTACGGCAAGTATATCGATCGTGTGCCACTGTTCCGGGATCGTCCCCAGACATTCAAGCGGGCACTGAGCATGAAGATGCGCACGATCAACGTCGCGGCGGGATGGTATTTGTTCCACGAAGGAGTAAGTGCCTCATGATATGCCCTGGAAGGCGGTAGAAGTACATTGACCATTCTTAGATGCCACGGGGTCCTGCAGGATGTGGAACGATGGGGCAGGATGCAGTAGGATGCCGGCCTGGAGCTTGAGCCTGCTTGGTGGTGGCTGACATGTGCCGCACACACAAAGGACGACGCTCAAGAAATGTACGTTATACGCAAGGGCGAGGTCGAGGTTTGTTCTGGAGATGGACAAACGGTCTTTATGAACCTCAAGAAAGACAGCTTTTTTGGTAAGGACACAGCCAAAGGCCCAGATGTCGCGCAATCGAAGGCTGCCCACCGTAGCAGTGGAGTGCTCGATGATGTCTCGCTCTAGATAGACACTGTGTGTGGGATATTACTGGGTTACTTACATATGCCGCTTGGGCTGCCGGTTTGATATGACGCTTGATTGCACCCACACACAGGCGAAATCACGTTATTTGAAGGTAAACGATGGCATCGCTCATGGCGCTGTGCAGAGGGCTGGCTGACAAAGCCAGACTCGTCAGTCGGTGTGATGTTCACGGACAGTGGCTAGCGTCTGAGGCTTTTCAACCCATTCACCCATCGCCGCCCTCTGCCGATACAGAGTGCACACGAACGGCCTCGGTGCGGGCCGTGACGGACACTGAGATGTGCGTGCTCCTACGGATGGATGCCCGAAGCGTCTTCTTGGAGCATCCGGCAGTTCTTCTGGATATTCTTTCGCTTATTGAGGATGTCAAGCGTTCCGAGGAAGCTCGAGTCGAGCCTGTTGAGCCACCCAAGGATGGTGGTATCATCGAAGAGGAGTCCGAAGAAGAGGGCGATGCCCGGTACATGAGCACGAGCAGCATCGTGAGCTCGGAAATGGAGCGCCGCCATGACCGTGGAAAGCGGTCCCCTCCAGTTCAGCGGCACAAGTCACTTCTCCTTCGCGGAGGGCGGTAGAGCGCTTGTATCGAACAATACCGCGCCAGCTGAAGCTGGCCATCGAGTGTATCTGGCGCACGTTTCTGCGTCGGTCAGCGTCGGTGCTGATGCCACAACCGGCGCTCCTGCTTACAACTTGGGTGGACATTGTAGCTGGCTACAAAGCAGGGGTCTCCTCTCCCCACACACATCCCCAAGTCCGGATATGCGGCTTCATGGGCAGATCCAAGGGCAGCTTTGTTGGTCCCTTCGATCGCTGGCTCTCAGAAACAGACAGCGGCAGCATGTTATAGAATGGGTATATTCATCATGCTCGCGACGATGCTGTGGCTCGATGCAGTCAGTGCAAGACCCCACAGATGGAACACGGATGAGCACCGATGACGCTGCAACACCCCGCACTGGCGCTGATGGATGCTGCAGCACCCCGCATCCAGCTGTCCTGCCTCGCCATTGCGATTGCATCCTGGGGCCATTGAGCGTGGGAATCGGCAGCCATGCGGCGATTGGCGACGCGGTGATCGGCTGCGCCACAGATGTGGCACAGGCGCTGCCCTTTTCTTTCGTTTGTGTGCTGGTTTCTGCTTTCTCGATCTCTGCCTTTTCGATCTCTGCCGTCTTGGTCTTCAGCCAGATTCCCCTGCCCGATCTCGCTTCTCCTGTGCTCTTCGCCGCAGACGTGCGTCTATGTCGCGGGCGGTGGTGTACTGGCCAGAGCAGGACTGTATCGTCCAACCGGCCACTACACCTCGCTTGCTCGCTTCAAAGGCTCACGTTTCTGTATTGCCTCGTTGGAGTCGCGCGGATTCACTCGTTTGCTTCCCTTTTGCAAGTGTTCCTGGTGGCGGTTGTATGGGCTGCCAGAGCCCAGCAGCGCCGGGCACTATTACTGCTTCTATGATGCGATGTTGCGCTTTCCGAAGGCGCGAGGGGAGCTTGTTGCTCCTCCGGCCAAGCGGGGGACAAGGAGGGGGGTTGCTTATGGCCCCTATCAATGATTGAGATACGCAAGATTCTGCACTCGAGCTGACGTTCTTAGCCGTCACTTGGGTTCCTGTTCCACTCTGTGGATACACTTGCAAAAACACCAAGCCCTCTGTTTGAGGCGCAACCGGCTTGTCTTCACGCCGATGCGTTATAGGTATGCGGGCGACATTTATTCACTGGGCAGCAGACCCAGACCCAGACCCGGACCCAAGCGCCACTGTGCCGGCTGGGCATGGTTGGTTGGTTGGTTGGTTGGTTGGTTGGCCGTTTCTTTGGTCGGATCGTTGGATGCTGGTGCATCTGCGTCGTGATCAAGGGTCGCCGGCCACAGATGCGTGTGAGTTGGCTATCGGCAGATCAGATTCACGGGATGCTGCTGCCACTGCTCCGCTGCAGGCTGTATGAGGAGAGTGAGGGACCGACAAGATCGTTTGAATGTGCCTTGATTGTGTGGTGAAGGGCAGTCATATCGGCGTCAGTGGCCGGCCAACCCCGATCAACCGCCGAGAGTATGTGTACCTGCGCATCCAGACGGTCATTTCCAGACATTCGTAAATCCAGATATCCAGAGCCGTCCATGGCCGTCGCAAGTGGTCGAAACTTTTTTTTCTGTCCTCACGAGTTTGTTGTGCCTTTGGCGGGGAGGAGGGGAGCTGAAAGTTTGGCTGGACAGGACAGCCCCCTCTTGGACAAACTCTGCGCCTCATCAAGTTTGTCGCTGCCCCCAGGCCGTCGCTCCTCCCCATCCGGCCTCCCACCCACGAATACAACCGATCCACGAATACGACCGAGAGCCGAGCAGACCTTGCCCGATATGATCACCCTGAACCAGCCTCGCCGCATCGTGCTGGCCATGTTGGTCCATCTGGTCCAGTTCCTGTGTGCCGCCATCTTCCTCGGTGGCATCGCCGACCAGGCCCAGTTCGGCCCCAACAACCAATGGTAGGCGCATCGATGCCTGCCCGAGACGAACTTTGGACTGCTGCGGCTGGGGACTGAGTGATCTCGCGAACCGATGCAGCCCCTTCTAACCGACCGTCTGTCACTCCACCTGTCCGGTTGCGCATCGGCTCGTCTGCTTGGCTCGTCTGCTTGGCAATCCAGTCTGCTCTTCATCTCCAACTTTAACCGCACCATCAACTCGCATTTCACCTTTTCGGCAACGTCCCTGAGCTGCTCCTATATTATCCTGTGAGTCTCAAACCAATGGGACAGCGGAGGGAGCGAGGCAGCCGCGGTGCTCCCTGGCATCGACCCGGGATGTCCGGACGATGATGAGCATCACCGACCACGGACTCGGCGGTGACGATGCACCCCCTGTCGCTTCGGTCGCAAGCCAGTGTTCGAGATCCCGGGCATGCGTATGCAACCTCTGCGGATCCAGGAACAGATCTGTCTGGCGGCTCGTGGCTCGGGCTGCAGAGGACATCTCCGTTGCCCCCCCGGCTTGTGATCGAACAGTACTGCGTTGGCCCGATAACGCTGCCCTACATGCTAACTCAAGTGCTACTCAACCCATCCCCGTTCAGCGTCGGCTCGGTGGGCGTCGTCCTGTCGTTGATCTTTGGGGTTGGCACCCTCTACTTTCTGTCGCGAGAAGCCTCTCGAGCGGCTCGGGTGATTCTCGCCTACGCAGCGACCTCGACCATCTTCTCGCTGCTGCTGCTTGTGGCTGCGTCGCTGGGCAGCATCGGCATCCGGTGGACCTGCGGATATCTCGAGCAGTCTGGAGTCCAGTGCGCCTCCGTCTTTGCTAGCGGGTTCACGGAGAACAATGGCAGTGCCATCCCAAAGAACCTGGGGACGATCAACGCCGCTATTGGTGCCGGATGGTTTGGGCTGCTCGTCTGGGTCCTGTTTGCCCTGCTGGAGCTCCGAAACTGGAAGAACACTCGCAACCATTTCAAGAACTCGACCGAAGCCTCGTGAAGGAACTCTGTTGCCGAGGACATGTCCGAGACCTTGGATGTTTTCGGCAGCGAAAGTTGCATTGGACCTGGCTGATTCAGACAGCCTGGTTGGCCGGCCAGATATTCCCCCTCCATCTTGATTGTGCCTCTCTTTCTCTCCTTTCTTTGCCACTCTTTCGTTGTCGCTCTTCTCCTTTGCCGTGGTGTGGTTTGCGCTGATGTCGCTGTTGTCGTCGAGGATCTCATTTGTATCATTTCTTCTTCCGTTTCCGTTTTCGTGCGATATCCTCTTGTCTTCCTTTCTGATCATGCCCCCCCCCGGTTGTTCCGGTAGCCTTGGTTGCGGACCTTGCCATGCCGCAACGAAGGGCCAAATGATATGAAATGAAACGAAAGAAAATGCAAAGACGCCGCCAGGACAGCGGGCGATGCCACAGGAAGGCAGCGCGCATGGTTGCCATGGCCGATTGAACGGGCGCCGAGCCAGAGGAGCAGCACACATCGAACATGCTGCGATCTCGAGAGCGGCTGGTGGTCTCGGCACGGCGCTGGTTGGACGGGCTGCGCACCTGCACCGCCACAGCAGCCACACGTGGCGACACACACACACACACACACACACAGTGGCTGCAGCACAACGCGACCCAGCTGCGCAGCGGCCGCCCGGCACCACACGAGGCAGTCCCAGCCGGCCGCAGACACGCGCGACGCGACGCACTCGCAGCTTGCAGCCGCCGTTGTTGCTGTTCCAGGCACGCTCCCTGTCGGCGCCGCTGTCCCTTGGTGGCCGCGTGGCTCGCTGGGGGGCGGGTCGGAGTTTGGCTCGGGGCCCCCTTGCTGGCAGCGCGGCCGCTTGTTGCTCGGTTCCCAGTCCGGACGAGACGCGCCCGCGCCGCCACAGGAAATGAGGCGGTCGTGTGGATCCGGGCGGCCGTGCGACATTGCGTTGCATCCGTGTCACCCAGGACGCGCCTGTGTTGCCGGCCTCGGGCGTCTGGCGTGTGCCTGGCGCGCTGTCTGTGTGGCCGTTGTGCTGCTGTTGCCCGCTCGGCCCCTTGCTGTCCGGCCCCCACCACCACCATTGGCTCGCTGCGGCGAGGATCTATTTAAAGCGGCCAGGCCCCCGCACACCCGCACGCCCGCCTCACCCACGTCTCCCGCCCGAGCAAAGCGAGCTTTCCTTTCCGCCCTCGTTCGCCGGCGTTTCCTGCAAGTCTCTCCTCCAGACGACGCATCATCTGCATCCCCTTCCGCATTCCCTCGCCTAGAGCACCTTAGACAAGATGGCATTCAAGTTCAACCACACCCACAAGACCTTCATCGCCTTCGTCATCCACTTTGTCCAGCTCATCTGCGCTGCCATCCTGACTGGTGGCATTGCCGAGCAGGCTCAGTACGGCCCGAGCAACACCTGGTACGTCTCTGGCCCGAGACTGGCTTCTTGTCGCTTGGCACGGATATGCCGGCTGAACGAGCGGCTAAGCATCGCGGTGGTGGCTCCAAGTGGCAAGCAGCCAGACGCAGACACCACGCATCAAATTGGCGAGCGAAAGTCTGGCTGCGGCCTCTGTGGCATCTGCGACCTGGCGACGTTCATGTGCACCCACGACTGACCTGGCGATGTATGGCTCTCTCGCTTCGATCCAGTCTTCTCTTCATCTCCAACTACCAGCGCGTTACCAACACCCACTACCTCTTCACTGCCATTTCTCCCTCTTGCTCGTTCGTTGTTGCGTAAGTGCCGTTGCTCCTCGCTCCGCCGCCAGCCAGCCAGCCAGCCAGCCGAGTCGGGCGCGGCATGGCCGTTGCATGGCCGTTGCATGGCTATCATCCTGCAGATGACCCTGTTTTTGTTCTGGCGCTCTGACCCGTGCCTGCTGTTCTCGCTCCAACAGCATCGGCGCCATCGGCATCATCCTCTCGCTTGTGCTTGGCGCTGGCTCTCTGTTCTTCCTCTTCCGCAACGAGTCCCGAGCCGGCCGTGTCATCTTGGTCTTCTTTGTCATCTCGACCATCTACTCGATCCTCCTGCTCGTCGCTTCCTCGGTCGCCAGCGCCGGTATTCGCACCACCTGTGGCTTCCTCGAGCAGTCCGGCACCTCGTGCGACGCCATCTTTGCTGGCGGCTTCTTCGAGGACACCGATCAGACCTACATCAAGAACCTGACCACCGTCTACGCCGCCATCGGTGCCGGCTGGTTCGGTCTGATTGTCTGGATTGCCTACACCGTCATTGAGTTCCGCAACTGGAAGGCCTCCCGCAACACCTTCAACAGCAGCGGTCGTTTCTAAAGCGGCGGCTTCCGTGGCGCCTCCCCCCATCCCGAGTTTTCGGGACCTGGGCTAACGGATCCGGCCCTGCTTGCTCCGTCACCTCACTCTTCTATACACGCCTGCCTGTTTTTTTTTTTTTCCCCCACCATCACGTCAATCCATCCATATGATCATTTGACCGTTCGCGCGATAATCCTCCTGCCCGCACATTTGTTTTGTTGCCGCTCCGTCCCGCCTTCCAGCCGTTCCTCCCCTCCCACTTCTTTCTTGGCATTGCGTTGATCCGTAGTCTCCGCAGGACGCTTCTACACATCAAAGGCCTTCCACCAACCCATGCTTGCAAAAATACACGCAGCTTTTAGAGTCATTATTCACCTATTGCTCCTGGACCGATTGCCAAGGAGGGCGGATATGTTTGGAAGATTGGCTTGCCGAGCTGATCCGATGGTGCAAGCGTGCCATATATCGACCCCGCAATGCCGGTGGCGGCGAGGTGTTTCATGTTTCAGCGAGGGCGGTGTCATAGCGGTATCATCGTGCTTGCGAGAACGAGCACCTCTGCGTCAGCCTGATACCGCCCAATGATACCGCCCACAGAGACCGGATACCTGCGGCTGATACCCCCGGCCGCTGACACCATCCGCGCACGCCATGCCAACGCACCCCGTGTTTGCCGGGGCGTTCACGTGGAACCTCGGATGCCAAGTCCGACCACACAGAAGCGTCTGCGCGAAGAAGCGTCTGGAAACGACGCGACACGCCAAGCCCAGCGGGACAGCGCTCGCGGCGGATTGCTGCGGCGATTTGCGATGGCCTGTGGTGGGCCATCGCAGCCAGCAACGACGGCATCGCACGGGCAGGACAGCAACCTGCTCGCACAGGCTCGCATCCGGCTCTCTCTGCGCTGGTCCGGCTTTGGGCCTGGCTTTGGCCCTGGCGGGCTTTGGCCTGGTCGACAGGGGGGGATCCTTGGCTGTGGCGGCAGCAGGCGGGCTGTGGGTGGCGTGCACAGAGGCCGCCCCCCGCCTGACCAACGCATTCCCAATCAGGCGGTGCGGGGCATTGTCCGCCCGCCAAGGGCGGCATCACGCTGACACCTTGATTGGTCGGCAGTGAGCTGCTCCGCCTGCAGTCCGTCCCCGCCCCCGCCTTCGCTGACAAACAGGTGGCGAAGCGGGCTGCCTCATATAAATATTGCCCCCGCCGTCGCCCTCCCTCCTCACGCCAAGGTCTCATTCAGTCACCTTTCCAGCGCTCTCCTCTTCGGCTCTCCTTCGACTCTCCTTCCGCTTCACTTTGCCCGCCCAGCATGCAAATTTTCGTCAAGACCCTCACCGGCAAGACCATCACCCTCGAGGTCGAGTCCTCGGATACCATTGACAACGTCAAGCAGAAGATCCAGGACAAGGAGGGCATCCCTCCGGACCAGCAGCGCCTGATCTTTGCTGGCAAGCAGCTCGAGGATGGCCGTACCCTCTCTGGTAAGCACCGCACTTCGGCTGCCGACGCGTCGCCCTCTGCCCTGACGTGTTGCTGTCGGAATGCGAATCTGTGGTACTAACGACTACTCCGCTTCTCCTTGCAGACTACAACATCCAGAAGGAGTCTACCCTCCATCTCGTCCTCCGTCTCCGTGGTGGTATGCAGATTTTTGTCAAGACCCTCACCGGCAAGACCATCACCCTCGAGGTCGAGTCCTCGGATACCATTGACAACGTCAAGCAGAAGATCCAGGACAAGGAGGGCATCCCTCCGGACCAGCAGCGCCTGATCTTTGCTGGCAAGCAGCTCGAGGATGGCCGTACCCTCTCTGGTAAGCACCGCACTTCGGCTGCCGACGCGTCGCCCTCTGCCCTGACGTGTTGCTGTCGGAATGCGAATCTGTGGTACTAACGACTACTCCGCTTCTCCTTGCAGACTACAACATCCAGAAGGAGTCTACCCTCCATCTCGTCCTCCGTCTCCGTGGTGGTATGCAGATTTTTGTCAAGACCCTCACTGGCAAGACCATCACCCTCGAGGTCGAGTCCTCGGATACCATTGACAACGTCAAGCAGAAGATCCAGGACAAGGAGGGCATCCCTCCGGACCAGCAGCGCCTGATCTTTGCTGGCAAGCAGCTCGAGGATGGCCGCACCCTCTCTGACTACAACATCCAGAAGGAGTCCACCCTCCATCTCGTCCTCCGTCTCCGTGGTGGCTTCTAAATACCTGCTCAACCGGAGAGCGTCTTTGCCAGGCACAAGCCGGGTGGGGTGTGAAGCTTATTTTGGTTTTTGGTGATGTGCCTCGTAAAGGTTGAATACATGACACTGTTTTGATGGAATGAGGCCGCCTTTGTCCCAGTTGGTTCTGTTCCTTCCGTCGTGGCTGTGTGGGTGGGCATCATCGGGTGTGCCCATCGTTCTCGTGCAAAACGAGCTCGCCTTGGGTGATGCTGCCCTGGACAGAAGTAGCACACCATGATAGGAGCCTACTCAGATTCATCGTAGCCCATTTATCTCATCCACGAATCGAGGTGCCTTTCCCGAGTCACTTTTCCAGCCATCGCAGCCAGCGCCCGTTGCTTTGGACCGCACGGCCATGCTCGTCCGTCACTCAGACGTGGCTTTGTATTGAATGTCGGCGACTGGCTAGTCCTCGCTCGCGGGCACCTCTTCGTCAAGCATCTTGATGAACTTGACCCGCAGCTCGGTTGTGTCGTCACCCCGGAGTACGTCTGCCACAAAAAACGCTTCGATTTGGAAGCCCACCATCTCCAGGGCCCCGCGCAGAACACCCACAAGGATGTTGGAGTACCAGAGCACCTGCGTGGCCACGCCGTCCTCTGGAAGCTCGACAAACTCGGCCAGAGGGTTCTCCTCAAAGATGAGCGAAAACTCCTTCTCGTCCTGCGACCAGTTCTGAATCTGCGGCACGATGTTCAGGAAGATCTTGAAGCCGACCTGTGATTCGTCATTGGCAGACAGCGCCCAATAAAATGAGACTCCTTTCATCGAGGCTCCCATCACAGCCTCGATCGGCCACGCCATCGATGTCGCCAGAGCCCAGCCGCAACGCCAGGGCCAGATCAGCGCACGCTGACTTGGCCATCGCATCCTGTTAACAGCCTCCCCCTTCCCCGCCGCATCCTCCGTCAGACAGGGTGGGTGGTCATGGAGCGTACCTTCGAGATGACCTCTGCCGTGTCCTTGAAGTCTTGGCACTTGACCAGATTGGTCTTTGACAAGAACTCTTCAATCAAGCGGACCCCAATGTTGTATCCCCTGTTATCAACAGCCGATGGCATTGATGTCATCAACAAAGGGTCAGCGCTGAAGCCGTCGTCGCTTGCACGGGCCCGGTTTCAGATCCCTCCGCACCAGCCATGCCGTCGTGCCTTTGAGGTCTGTCCACCTGCGCGCTGCTGGCTTGCCACCATCGTCGCTCACGACCTACATTTTGTCGAGCTGCTTGTTGACCTCGACATAGTCCTCATAGTCCTTCACTAGCTGCGTGACGATCGATCCGTACGTGAGGGCAAAGAGTTCTGCACTCTGTTCGAGCCAACGGGCTGTGAGCAGCGAGTCTTTTGTTCGTGCCGATGCCGATCACCCCTATTCGCTCCTGCGCAAAGAGCTGGATCGAGGTGCCCCGGCTTGTATTGCCGATCTCCTCTCCGCTGTCCCCGCCCGCTCCTTGGCCAGGGAAAGCGTGGCCTGTCGGCGCTACCGAAACGGCACTCACAACTTTGTCGACCTTGGTTCTCCAGATGTCCTCTCCGGCTGGGCGAGCGGCTGGGCGGCTGGCCATCTTGTATTCGAGCGATGCCTTTGGGGCCGCGGAGAATGTCCCTTGCATGTTTGGCGGCAAGTGCAGGCGGTGTTGCAGGCGGTGTCGCAGGCGAGGGAGGAAGGCCGGAGCGGTTGGCGCCAAGGGTGTTCTCGGCGCGCTCTTGGCTGGCCTGGCTCGATCCAGCCAGAGGCGCTGCTCGGCGATGGGAAATCGAGATGAACACCGGAGGTTGCTCCAGGACAGCGACGGCCTGGCATGGCCTGGTCTGCTTCTGGGCGGGGTCGTCTGTTCTTGCACCGGGAAGCTCAGCCCAGCCCGGGCACTGGGATATGAGGAGCCGCATTGCCCAAGGCATCCGAGCAGAGCCACTGCGATGCTCACGTGATCCTCGAGTCCATATCTTCGGCCGTGTGCAACCATTCCACAACTCACCTCTCACCCACCGCCGAGTGCGATCCGAACGACCCCGCCATGTCGGAGCCGCCGACATCCCACGACAATCTCGTCCATCTCGAGCATGAATACGAGCTCGAAAACCTCAAAGAGGTCGAGCGGGAGCATAGTGCCCACCGACACTCGCACATCACCATCCACTCCAGCTATCTTGTCCTGCTTCTGTCGTTTGTGTTTTTCTCGATCCTGGGCACCTGCATCCGCCTCGGGCTTCTTGCCGTGTTTGCTTACAGCGGTAATTGCACGCATGCTGCAAGATGTCCGAGCTTGTTGCCACTGCAGCCCTCCAGGAGCACCCCCCGCCCCATCCCATGCCGCTCATCGTAACGCTGTCCTCGTCAATTCAGACTCGCCGGTGGCCAGCATTGTCTACCCCCAAATTGTCGGGTGCGCTATCATCGGCTTTGTGAACGTCTACAAGTCCGAAATCACTGTCGGGTATGTCGCTTTGTGCGTCGGGGCATCCCACCAACTGCAAGCATGCTCGAGTGGACCGATGTGGACCAACGGCGTACTAAAGCGTGGGGACGCTGTCTGTTGTGGCCCTCAAGATATTATCCGCTCTACATCGGCCTCACCACGGGGCTCTGCGGTGAGTGGCATAGTGCGAGGTTGCATCCACAGGTTTGGAGACCGATTCGACAGGCGACCATGCATCTAGGGGTGGTCGCATCCATGCGGCAAACGCCGTGCATATCGGATCAAGCGTGCAGAGTCAATTCCCAGTCCATCGGCACTTCCAATAGCCTTGCTCACCCCGTCGGCATGTCCGCAGGCTCTATCACCACCTTTTCGTCCTGGAGTCTCGCTACATTCAAGTCGTTCATGTCGCCCAGTCCAGGGATTGGCTATCAGGTTGGCTCAAGAGCCGAAGAAGCCGTTTGCATTTGGAGGGATGCCTTCGTCCGCTTCCTGACCCGGCTCGATTCCCACTCCCACTCCCACTCCCACTCTCACTCCCACTCTCACCCCACAGATCGCTTCGTTCCTGGCCTTGATTGTGTCGACCATTGCCATGTCCCTGATTTCGGCCGACTTTGGTCGTCATGTTGGAGAGGCTGCGGGTCCGTTGCTCTACAAGAAGCGGCGGTCTCCGTTCATCGGCGTCAATATGGCTCCGCGGACTTGGCTGCCAAAGGAGCTGGCTGTGCTGGATGCATTCTTTCTGGTCCTGGCTCTCGCTAGCATTGGCACAAGCATATCTCTGGGCTTCTGGAACTCGCCTCACAGCGACTTGATGTGGGCACTTGTGTTATCTCCCCTGGGTAAGGCTGCGAGATAATCACGGTCTGGGAGGTGCAATGACCGAGCCAGTGCTCCAGCACGCATGCAAGATCTCGGGCTCGATCGATCGTGATCATGCCATGTGCCCCTTGCATCAGCCGTGGTAATGGCGACGAGGCTGGAGCCGGCGAATGGACTAACAATGCATCGACAGGAACATTGTTGCGCTTCCACCTCTCGGTCTTGAATTCCAGGATGCCCGCCTTTCCTCTTGGAACCTTCATTGGTATGCGGCATGCCCTGCAAGCAAGCAGAGACTGCTCTGGACTTGGGTTGCAGATCTCGCAACTGACTGGTCTTGCTTCTTCCTGGGCCGGCTTAGCAAACATGATCGGGACTGGGGTCATCGCCGCCCTCTATCTCTACAGCGCTTCGATTGCCGGCAGCTGCACCCTTGTGCACGGGATCGCCAACGGGTTTTGCGGCTGCCTGACGACCATCTCGACCTGGATTGTCGAGCTCAAGACCATCCCAAGCATAACCAAGGCCTACATCTATGGTCTAGCTTCAACCGTCGGCGGCCAGATCCTGCTGGTGCTGATCGCGGGGTCTCCGCTGCTGTTCCGCCCGCACGGGTCAGAGTGTCTGTGAAAGTCCCGCCAGCATCGGCAGCAGCAAGGGAAAAGACAGCCTCTCCGCCATGCAGCTCGAAGGGTCAAGGGGGCCTTTGGAGCCGTGCAGACGGTAAAGGGTAGCCCATCCAGTCGCTCTTGGGCCTGGGCGGTATCGATGTGTGCGAGGGCGGATGTGTGTGTGCAGCCGCAAGTAGATATCGTATGCATGGGCGATGATGCCAGCGAATATACGACGTCAGCGAGGCGACCAGCCCACCCATGTGCATTGTTGCGGAAACATCGGGCAGAGGCTGCATCGGGCAGAGCCTGCATCGGCAAACCTTGTCGAGCTGGGCCTCGCTTTCAGGGTCTCCGCTGGGCCCAGAGCCCTGAGAAAGCGCGACCCTGGGAAATGCTCGCCCGAGCACTCGCAAGCGCCTCTTCGCTCTGGAGTATATAGCTGATAGAGCTGCATGCCGTCGCAGCGGTCGGCATTCAGTGCTGACTGACTATCCCGCCGCAAAATGGTCGCCATGCAACTGCCTCGTTGGTCCTGGGTGCACCTGCTGATCTGCATCCAGCTCTGCCTGGCACAAACGATAACTTGCCCCAGCAACACCTTCTCGATCCAGTCGATCAGTCCTGGTCGTAAGTCTTCGTCGCTGGTGATGCACTTGCCGAACCCAGCCACTCGCCGACAGAGAGAGGGCCTGAATCGCCTTGCTCAACGTCCCATTTCCCATCTATTCGCCCGCACCCCCGCCTGGCGGTGCCAGCCCTGACTCTGAGCAGCACGGTCCTGGTCATCTACACCATCCCGTCGACCTCGACCATCACCAGCATCGTCTCGATCAAGATCTTCCGAGACACCACCGCGACGATCCCTGTGTCCCAGTCCTCGTCCACGCCGCAGCTGCCTGTCCAGAATCCTTCGCCTGGCACTGGCCAAATCTCGTTTCCAATCCCCAGCAACATTGTCAATATCACCAACGCATCCGGGACCACGTCGTTCTTCCTGGAGTTTGTTCTGACCATCCCCGGGACCCTTGCCGGTGTTCCGGTGTCGCAGCAGTGCACTATTGACTCGCTTCGTAAGTTTCGCTGTGGGTCCAGGCACCTTTAAAGCCGCCTCTGGCTTGAGAATCAGATGGCTTGAATCAACAGAGATCAGCATGCTCTTTGTCGATCTACTGATGCCTCTGCATACTATCTATAGAGAGCTTTGTGCTCCAAACTTCTTTATCAAGCTCCTCGACCAGCTCCACTTCATCGACCAGCTCCACCACATCCTCCTCCAGCACATCTTCTTCCAAGACATCCTCCTCCAGCACATCCTCCTCCAGCACATCCTCTTCCTCCACATCCTCGTCCAAGGCATCCTCTTCCAAGGCATCCTCTTCCACCACCTCGTCCACCACATCATCGACATCCTCCTCTTCCAAAACGTTGTCTTCCACCACTTCGACCAGATCTTCGTCGACGTCGTCTTCCACCACTTCGACCAGATCTTCGTCGACGTCGACTTCGTCCAAGACATCCTCTTCGACCCCGACCTCTTCCAAGACACCCTCCACCACCACCACCACCACCACCACCACCACAAAAACAACATCGACCCACTCGAGAGCCTCGCACACTTCCTCCCGCTCGCATGAAGGCGGTACCGGAGTTTCCTCGCAAACAAGCACCAGCTCAAGCGCCGCCACATCGACCCTGAAGCCCACTCCGACAAAGAGATGCCCTGCCAGACAACACGATCGATATCACAAGGAACATGACAATCACGACAATCACGACAGTCACGATACACACAAGCCAAAGCACCGTCCACATCATTACGATGAAGCGCACCCGGATCGATTCCAAATCTGGGCTTGAGGGTTAGTGAGCTGCTCCGACTCGGAGGGAATGAGGCCCACACGCATCTCCCAAGCATTCCCATCACTTCCTTAACAGCACCTTTGCCCCTCCTCCGCATGTTCAGCCAAACGGACTGCCAACAACACCCAACCCCATGACGGCCCCGTATCTGTAACGATGTGAAACCAGGTGCTGGCTGTGCTTTCTTTCATTTCGTTCATTTCTTTCGCTTCTTTCGCTTCTTTCATTTCGTTGGACTCGGGTGCATAGCTTTCGTGCCGTGGCCCTTTATAACCTTGCCCCTGAATACATGTGCTGAACCTCCTTGAACACTCTGGGGCGTGGATAGACAGACGCTCAGTGGAAAGAGGGCGCCTGCCGACAGAAACTGGACAGGTCTATGCCTATGGCTCTCGGTTTCGGGGGCTCCTGAATGCGCTGGGCGTGCCCGCTGTTGAGCGTCAATCAGCATGATCGGCGAACATGACCGGATTTATTCGTGGCGCAAGCCATAGATAGCCTGTTGCTGCTGTCTCCACACCCTCGAGTCTTTGGAGCAGAGCGGCTCTGGGCAGAAGCCATCCCCTCCCCTGGCGTCCTTTGCGCGAAGAATGGCGTCCCTATCCGAATCTCTTGCCCAGTGGCAATATGTCGAGGATTTCCGATCAACCGTCGCGTCCCGGTTGAGAGACATCTCGTCCATGGTGCGTCGCCGAGCCCTTGGCTGATATAAATCACCGAAACGGTTACTTGATGTGCTACTGCTGGCCCACGCTGCCAAGGCTCTCTCGAGGCACATACCGCACGCTGCGAGATCCCGCTGGATAGCGCCCCTCCACTCATCTCGCGTGGGAACCAACACCCGATCCCTTCACAGTACGACTCGAAGCATCCGAAGCTGAAACTGGATGCATTGCGGGATCTACGGAGCTATCTGTCCAGCGATTTACCCGACGCCCTAGTCCTGCTCAAGACCGTCGACGACGAATCCGTGACGAGCCGTGAGTGCATTCATATTTTCACCGTAGCTCTCGGCTGAGCGGTATCACGGCGGTAATATGAAAAGCGGCCGAGCCATCTCACGCTCGTCGGCGGTATCAACAGTCCTCCAAAAACTCTGCGTGCGCCTCGGGAAGTTGACGGAGAGCCGTGGTAAGGCGCGTTTGATCGAAAGCAAGCGAACGCTCAAGGATTTGATGGGCATTCCGGGCTGACATCAGAGCCTCGTCGGCATCAATCTGTCCAGAGACCATTCTGCATCTGGAGGTTATCCAGGGCCTGGCGCTGCTCTTTCCTCAGTCCGGAAAGTGCTTTTCAGTTCCCGTGCACATGGAGGTAACTTGATTATGGAACGCATAACCGGATCTTGGCAGCGACCGATCCCAGATATAAGGGGGAGTGAATCGTGAGCCTTGCCGATGCAAAAGATGCACTGCGCTGATCCGATCGGCACTCCAAATACATCCTTACTGACTCCTCCTCAACGGCCTTCTCTGCCCAGGCACTTCTCAAGCACCTGACAAGTCGCAGCGAAGAAATCCTGATCCACGTTCTCGAAACCCTTCAGGCTGTCATCATCGGCTCGTGCGAGAACTGGAAGGTGCGCCAGTCCTGTCGGATCAGCTCTGTGGCTTCCCTCCCAAATGCATTGGCGGACCAGAGCAATGACGCATGCTGTGGCGGGACTCGATTCCTCTCTTCCGTGCTCCAGAGATTCGAGCAAGCCGATGGGATAGGCAGGATATGCTCGGTGCTCAAGAGCCGCGGCGCAAAGCGAACCCCAGTCCTGTTGTGAGTATACGCACTGTTTCTGCTTTCGGTGAACTGCCCGCACTCAGCCCAGTCGTCTTGTATCTGCGTTGGACGCCGATCTCAGCCGCGGGTCGCTGGTTCACTAACCGGATGCACGGATTCGACATTGGCGATGGCCTTTGTCCGCAGGAACAAGTATATTGAGGTGTTCTACATCTATCTGAGCTCCAACAAGTCCGGATCTTCTCTCGACGACCGCACAAAAGTCTTGAGCCATCATATGGGCGACGCCTGGGTTTCCCAGATGGTCAAGATCCTGCATCTCCCAGAATCCATCGAAGGCTCCTCTCTCTTGCCAGCAGACTGATTGCATCACACCATCAGTTTCGGATAGCAGACGGTGGACTCGTTCCACTCCACTTGCAAGTCGCCCAACTTCTTAGTGGCCCGCAGCAGCGCTTCCTTGAATCCATCAACGATCGACCGGCCGGCTTCATAGATCTCGATCGGACAACTGAAACTCATCATACGGAACTTGTTGCCAGAAGGGTCCCTAGTGCAATAAGTCTATGAATGTTACCTCATAACCTGGTCGAGATCTTGTCGTTCGAGTCGCTTGAGCTTCGAGATCTGCCTACCTTCTCGTTGTGTCTGGATACGACGCGAGGTCAACATTCACTTCAAAGAGCCGGAGCTGGACCGATCCCAGGCAGTTGTCGAGGCCGTCCACAGAGTCCGATATTTGGCTGCCTGTCCAGAGGGTGTAGACGACTGGGTAGCCAAGAAGCCAGCCGCTAACTGCCGGGATAAGCTCCTGGGCGATGACGAGCTCGGTTGTTTCGAGAGACAAGCCAGGCCGGTCGAGGAGCCTGGCCACCAGCGGGTCCAGTTGGCTGATGATTGCAGCGGTTTCCTCTTCCTTGCATATCTGTGTGAGTAACGGGGCGGTTGTGATCGCTACAAAATCAAGATCTGACAGAAGCCGAGCGGATGCAAAGCGGCGCGCACCAGCGAGGGTTGCCCTCTTACCTGCGGTGATTTCAGGGCCTTGGAGACGTTGACGAATATCCGATCCGAAAACCGGCTTTCGACCTCGTTACGAAGAGTTTGAGCGAGTCTCGCCCGGTGGCAAAAGTATACAAACTCTTCGTTGAACACCATGCATCCCAGCTCCTCAAAGTCCCGCGAAATCTGGCAGGAGAGCGGTGGCTTCTATCAGCCTTCGTAGCGATGGTGGCAGGGCCCTCGAGTTCCTTGCCCCGCAGCGAACGACAGAGGCTGACCTGGTGAAGCGAGCGGACAAAGGCCGAGAGCTCCTCGGTCGTCGAAATGAAGTAGTCGTTCAGGAACACCGGTCTGTGGGGCGTACCCGGATGAATGAATGGATGGGTGGATGGATGGATGGATGGTTACTTGGTTGGTTGCTTGGTTGCTTGGCTGGACAGTCGGAATGTTGGAGGACAGATGGCGAGCAGGACGCAGCAGAAAGCCGACAGGGTGCTTGAGAGGTTCTCAGCATCGACACTACCTCACACCAAGCTGCACAAAGTAGATATCTGGGCTCCGAAAGGCAAAGGACAAAAGGCAAAGTGGATGAGCGCAACCACAGCCGCTGCGACTTGCCGCAAAGCAACAAGCGGCCACTGGCGCTCCCGAGAAGCAATAGCCGTCGGCGATGAGCAGATCCTGTATCCTGCTGCAAGGCCCATCCGGCAGAGCACGAGCCAGTCGTCAGTCAACCTGGTGTTCAACAAACGCACCATGTGCAAAGGCCTTCAAACGAGATCCCAGCTGCCTGCGAAAGTGCCGGGCAGCGACTTTCTGGATAGCTTCGAGCACAGCGTGGCTCGACATGGCGCTGGAAGCGGATGGGCTGTAAGCATGGTCCCTTCAATCGGCTTGCTCTTCGCCGGCCTCGGCTGCAAGTCGCCCGCAGGCCTACCTGTCCGTATCGATATGCGGCTGCGAATCTGCCGCCCACCGATGCCGTAGCTCCGTAGCGACGTTCAGATCGGAGGGGTCGCTTGCAAAGCGCCAAACTAACAAGGCGCGAAACGGCCGTGACGAGCAGCCGGATATTTAATACTGTTCCAACGACGCATCCCGACGCCCAACCGCCGTTCCATCCCAAGCAAGGGTTCTCCCGCAGCATGACAGCAGCAGCATCCTTTGTCGCCGTCCTGCTCCTCTTCGCTGTCGCCACCATGGGCCAGACCAGTGGGTCATGCCCGATCGCAATCGCCAGCCAGTTCCGAGTCGGACAGATTCCATATGGACGTAAGCACCTTCGTGGGGGCTCGGGGCCTTGACAAGAACAGAGCCCTCGCTGCAGCTACAAAAGAGGCCATCTCCAACTTCTTCTGCCCGTCTCCACCCACTACTCTCTCCTCTGGCTCTTGCACTCTCTGCCACAGCATACGGCCTCGGCGCCATCATCACGATCCCATACACTGCCTCTGGAAGCAGCCTAGTTCAGATATCCAACGTCAAGTACATTCCGAGCCTCGACACCGCTGTGCCGTTCAACGCTGCGTTCTCGCCTGTATCCCTGACGGCCACGCCCTCCGGCAGCATCTCCATTACCGTCCCTCAGAACATTGCGGACCTCTCAGGGATCACGATCGGGACTTACAACTTTTCGCTCTCGATCAAGTACGTGGATTCAACCAGCCCGACGGGATATACCAACTGCCTCGTACAGACCAATGGTAAGTGGCCGATTTGCGTTGTGGGTGATGCGAGCAAGACACTTGGCGAAATGATAGACCGTGGGGGTGCGTTGGATGCACGACCAGAGCGCCCAGTCGGGCTGGGCGGCACAAACTGCACCATTCGTTGCATGAGCACAGCCCCGGAGAACGGCCCTGAATGAATCAACCGGAAACAGGGTGCTTCAGGTGATCGAATGCGCCTCTCATTATTGCTGAGTACTCTCGCATTAATCGTTGTTTAAAGTATTTGCGATCGACTCGACGACCTCGGCTACGTCCACATCTACATCTACATCTACATCCATGATCCTGGCCACAACTACGAGTTCCCAGATACCGATGACGTCCATCGTAGCGACGATGACCACTCTGGCCTCGTGCATTGAGGTGTCCACCCAAGCGGCTTCCACGACGGCCCCAACGACGACGGCGGTAACGACCACCACAACTGCAGGCACAACGTCGGCGCTCACAACCACCACCGTTGGGCTAGTGTCGACAACGATCGCAGGCACGACCACGGCGGGTCCTGTTCCTACTCCTACCGATTGCATAACACCTACGCCTACACCAACTCCGAGCACCTGTCCGACTGGCACAATATCCGTGGGCGACTCTTGCTCGGTTGGATCCGGGGCGACATGCTCCGGCTCGCAAATCGCCTACTGCGATGGCAGTAAGTACTTGCTCTTGAAGCTGCATACGCTCATCGCCATTCGGACTCGCTGACTCACTCACTCACTCTGACCAGATGGTACCTACGAGCTGTTCAACTGCCAGGCTGGAACCTCGTGCATGATCAACTCGGCCGGGTATGCGCTGTGCCAGCGAAACGATCAAAATCCGTGCACCACTCCCAGCCAGGGATGCTCGCTCTATTCGATGCGCTGCTCCTCCACGCAGAGCTATCAAATCTGCATTCCGGTGACCTCGTCCCAGAATGGGTACAGTCCAGAGCTGTCCTGTCCGCAAGGCACATACTGCACCACATCGGCCGGCTCGATGATCACTTGCGTCTAGCCCATGATTCACACATATCTCTGGTCGCGCTGATCCTGGCTATGGTGAGGCATTGCGGCGCCAGGAGTCGCCCTGTGGCATACTCTTCTCTACCTCCGTGCTCTCTATATGCATTCGCGTTGACTTGACTATATTTTCACTCTGCCAGTAGAGCCAGCCCAAGGCGAGACAGGGTGGTCTGGATTTTGGAGTCGGTCGTCGATATTCTTTTCTTTGTTCCTTTGGCGTTCGAAATACATATTCACAACCTTCGCAATCGAACCAAGATGGCCGGTAGCAACATGGCGACTGACAGTCATACAGCCAGCGGCTAAATCGAGCCGCTACCGAGAGCTTTTATGCTGCTGATACTGTGCTATAAGCTTATCGACGCTCTCCGCAAAACTCCACCCTGTGTCCTCAGCATGTGCGGCGCACAGCGAAGGGCAGCTGTGTCGGCAGTCCAAAGCCGGGCGCTCCTGGATTCGGCGAACCTTTTAGGTGTTGGCCGAAGCGGTCGAGCTCACGCTCCAGGTCTTCGATCTTCGATGTGTACCCAAAGAATGAGTTCTTGGCATAGTGGCGCTGCGGTGGCGAAAAGTAGCGGTCCGAACACTCGACTGAAACCGCTTTAGGAGCGGGCCTCTCTGCGGCGGCGTTGCTCGGTTCCTGGGAATCCAGCATCGCAGAGTCGACTCGAGAGATGCTTCGTTCGATGCTGTAGGGGCTGGCTTGGTAGTCACAGTCCCTCGCTGCTTCTCGAGGAGTCCCATCGGAGTAGTAGCTTGCCATCGTATCCCTGTCAAACTTGGGGTTCATACTCGCCTCAACATCCTGTGCGGATTGTCCACCAGCTGGATCGCCACTGCCGGACAGCGATCGGGCGACGGCCATGGTGTGGAACCAGATTGGAAGACCGAGGCACGGCAGGAAGCAGAGTAGGTCCAGAGTCGCAAAGACAATCGATGCACCGACCATGCCCTCCGGCGTGTACAGGCTGTAGACTGTCCAAACGCCCAGGGACAAGGTCACCAGAGCGGACAGCAGCGACGCTGTCATGCTGAAGCGGCACATGAACTGCAGTCGAGCAACCAGCCCCTCGAGCGAGGATCTTGTGTCGGAGGGGTGGCCCGCTGGCAGCTTCTGGTGGTAATTTCGCAGCACCTTGAGGCTGGTGTACCCGTAGACAGTGAGGGTAGTGCCAGCGATGATGATCGAGGTAGCCGTGACGCCAAAGGTGACCGCCATGACTGAGACCTGCGGGACATAGTCCATGGAGTAGTGGAAGACCGAACCGAGGGTGTGTAGGCCCAGGTTCAGGACCAGACGGATGTAGAACAGGAGCTTGAGGATTCGAGTTGTACGCGAGGCGTCGGTATAGATCAGAGAAGCGTGCTCCGAGACCTGGACAATTTGGAGACTGCTTGTGGATTAGAACACACTCCCGGTCGTAATCTGCTGAAGCTGACGAGCCAAACAGCTACCCACCAGGACAGGATGTTGGCTTCGATAAAGACAAAAACGCCTTCGATGAAGAGTCCCCGGAGCACCGGAGTAAGCCAAGGCGCTGCTTGCGACTGGACGATCGCCCAGAGGACCATGAGACCTAGGTTGGATACCCGGCGGCTGTTAGACACTCGGATGTCGCTGCGCCCAGCCTTTGTCCAGCACGATGCCAGAAGAGCGCCAGCCGCGAATATGCAACCCATCTAGTCTTACCCCAGCTGTTGAGGCACGAAATCGTCAGCACTTGGAAGGCAACTGTCTTGCGGATGTCTGGGCCCTTGGCCCAACACCGATACACCAGCGAAAGCAGCGCAATCAGACCAAGCATGCCAAAGACGAATGCGTTGATGATGAAGATGGGCGGGATGTCTGGAGGAATGAAGGGGGGGGATTCAAGATGGAGAATCAGTCAGCCGAGCGCTCGTTCCTGAGGTACCCGCAGGCCATCGACTCGGCTCTGAGCTTGTCCTAAACCCACCCACGGGCCAATAGATGCACATCTCTACCTTGCTCGCTTCTGCAGTGGCGGGTCAGTACAAACTCGGTCTCCAAGAAGGAGCCACTGGGACACACGGGGAAGCTCATTACGGACAAATGCGACGATGGCTGCTGCGACGAAATCAGGCGGCTCAGCGCAACGGGGGCCCATATAGTCCCGCTACCCCTTGGCCTTTCAGAGCAGGCTTGGCCCCTTGATCCTTCAGAGCAAGCCCTGCCGCCCTTTGACCTTTCAGACCGGGCTCGGCTCCTTGCATTCCCACGCCTTCAGTGCACCACGTGATTCGCTCTGCTGGCACCTCCCCTGGGCCATCAATGCATGCTCCCCATCCACCATCATGCCTGTGGACGCAGTAGGCTGCTGGCGATCGTGTCGGCGAGCGTGTCGGCGAGCGTGTCGGTGAGCTGTGATCAATTCTATTTGCCCGGCTCAAAGCCTCGGAGGGAGGGGGCCACGGCAGTCAAAGCCGTCATATCCGAGGCTGTTCAAGATCACAGCAGCCACGATGCTGTCGTTGTGCATCGCACCCGAGCCAGCTAGATCTGGCTCTCGGCAGAGAGCTGCGTGCGCATGGGCCCATAGCTGCCATAGCTACCGTAGCTGTCGACGGCAGACTGAGTGCGCGAGTTTCGCTTGCCATCCGGATCGAGGTCGCGGATGGTCAAGCGGGTGTCGCTCACAAAGGCGTCCCAGTTATCGGCCTTTGGCGACTCACGAGCCATGATGAGGTCAATGTCATCGCGGATGAGGTCGCAGTAGTCTTCGATCGGAAGATCATTCGGATCCGTTCCAAAGGGATTCTCGATCTCGGCTCCGATTGCCTCAATGCCCTGTGGCGCAGGTACGAACAGGTGGTCAGATTCACGATGGTTACTCGGCAGTATGGCCTCCCAAACGCACGACCCTTTCGGCAAAGGATCCATCCCTCCTCCGGATGCATCGTGGGGGTCGCCCGGATTCCAGGCAAGTAGCAAAGTATTCTTACAAACAGGGTGAACGAGACGATGGTCATGCAAGGAATCAGCCACCACTGGAGGTCATTGACCAGCTGGAATGGAAGCACAAGCAAGTAGAGCAGGACAGTGTGTCGCTGAGGAAACAAGCAGGTTAGAACCGTATCGGGGATACCCAGCGAACTCGGCTTCAGCGTGGATACAAATCTGTAGGCTTACCAAATGCAGGCGGTATGCGGATGGCACCGGGGTGGACAGAATTCGATCCAGTCCAGTGAGGATGTCGACGAGGGATCTGCCATGATTGAAAAGATGTGTGTCAATCACCACATATCGACCAAGACCCTGCGACACTTTCATGTCCCGGCCGCTTCCAGTCATCGCAAACATACGCAACGTTGCTGTTGAGGCTCGAGAATGTCATCATGTTGATGCGGTCTCGACGCTTGAACACAAAGGCGGCCAGAAGATTGACGATTTCGATCGGTATCTTGACACAGTTGCAGCGGTAATCGTGGAAATGGCGTGAGGAGTCGTCCGCGTGGTAGGCAGCTATCAAATCTACCTTGGAGCGCCGCAGCGCCGACATGGGCAGATCTATAACGGTATCGCTGTTTCGTGCAGTCCCAGCCGCCGGAGAGTTGATTTCGGGAGACGAAGCAGGGACGGAGGTTCTGACGGAAGGATTCGCGTAGCGTTGTTGAACATTCTGGATAAACTCGGAGGTGTGGAATGTTTCAAACTCAGGGAGGGGCGGCAGGAGACCGGCCAGTTTTTCGGCCGTGCCGTCGATGCCGTGCTCGGCGCGCAGGTGGTGCTTGACGGCCACAGGGAAGGCCTTGATCAGGTTGAAGGCGATTGCCTTCTCGTGCTGCTCCTTGACGGTTCTGAAGGCGGTGAGTCCAAAAGTGAGTGTCACTGTTTCATCGCAGGCGGCGGAGTGGAGCTTTGCGGTCAGGGCTGAGCGATGCGCCGGACAGAGGAATGTGTGGGATTGGGAAAGCGGAACTGCGAAGACAAGGAATGATTCCACATGCAGACTTACGGCTCTGGGCAAGAGATCCACACCGTGCGTGCGAGATTCCGCAGAACAACAGTCACTGGCGGGTGTATTGATATTTGGTGTCAGCGAGCGCCATCGAAATGCGGGAGATGATTGCAATTGTGCATGCTGTCGAACTCACTGCTGGCCCAAAGACGGCGACCCTCGTAATAGCGGTCATCTAGAGCGCGGGTCGAGTTCGGGATGACGAGTTAGCGACGAGCTTGAATATGAAAGGCTGGGGCGGACATGCAGGAACAGCGGGCACGGGCATATGCAGGAGCAGCAAGCACGGGCATATGCAGGAGTAGTGAGCACAGGTTGCTCAGGCACCCATGATTCCGGCCCCGTCACAGAGAGCCAGGAAGCAGTTGGCATGACCTACAGGCAGCGTTGGTGCGGAAAACAAGCAGTAGACCGACAACAACAGACAGAATCGGGATCAAAGCTGAGCGAGAGAGAGACCAAAGAGTCAGGGGTCACAATATACCCACGTGCAATGACGCAACAGGGCCACAGCAGCATCGGACTCACAAGCAGGAAGGCCTCTGGTTCGAGTAATAATGAAGAAGCAGCACCAGAGGGCTGTCCAGAGGGTAAGGAGCACAACAGGAATGGCTATCTGGGTGACCACAGACCCGTCGATGCTGTTGGAGGAATGGTGAGAGCGGCGCCGGTTGCAGAGCAGGTCGCAGGACGGGTGCATTTGGGCGGTGGCAGACAGCACATTCGAATGCAGTTGGCCAGAACAGAACTTACGAGAACCACTTCAGGCTGTCAGGACTGGGTGAAGTTGAGACGTCACAGGTGCATGAGACGGTGCCGTCAGCAAGAGCTTGACGAGAGTGCGTCCAAGCAATCCGTCCAGACAGACACCGCTCGAACGAGCGGGACAGATCGACGCGAGCCCAGGATCATGAAGCCAAGCTGATGGTTGGCGAGCAGGTGTCACTCACCTCCAGCGCGGTCTGCTGTTCTGGCGGTTCAGTCGGCCGACCGCACGGCGACACTGCTGGGTGTCGGTGTACTTGAGAGGAGGAGGAGCTGCAGCGTTGTCGGCCATAGCGATGGGGATGGCGAGGCGATGAGGATGACGAGGCGAAAGAGGCGGCAAGGCGAAAGAAATGGCCGGGGGGGGGGATTCTCGCTTTGCCCAAGGGCTGTTCCCTCCAATTCCAGACAAGGGCCACGGCTTGTGCGCCTTCATGGGGCCGGTCCAATCGACCCGTCTGCCCGAGGAGCGGCTCCCAGCACGCCCAAACCGAAACGGGGCGGTTGGCTTGAGCCGGGCGTGTCGCTTTCGCCCAGAAGGCCTCGGGCGACTGTGGAGATCAGAGGGCGATTGTGGAGACCGGAGAGCACCACAGCCGCGGCAGAGTGTGGAATCGCGACGCCGATGCGGCGCATAGCATGATCGCTGTGTGCAGCACGGCTGTCGAGACTGGAGTGATTATCGAGACTGAAGGGTGATTGTCGAGATGGGAGAACAACCCGCGGCCCCATCCGGAGGTTGCCAAAGTGTTCAGCCTGTTATTGCAAAAGCGGCAGCGAGCATGGCCGCCGCGGCAAAGACTCGCCCAGCCCGAGACGGCGATGCAGCGCATGTGGGCCTTTATCCGCACAGTATGAGCACAGTATGAGCACAGTATGGGCACAGTATGCATACAATGCAAACGTCACCAACGCTGTCGCAGCTCTGTCGCAGCAATTCCTCAACAATTCCTCAACAATTCCTCAACAATTCCTCAACAATTCCTCGACGCAGTCTCGTTCCTATCGCAAGCGCATCGATCCCAAACATCCAATGTGTTCTCGGCCCGCTCTGACTCCAAGCGCACAGCCCGACGCTGTTCAGAGGGACCAAGCGAGGGCGCGCAGCGCTTGAAAACCTTCAGTCGCCAGGGCCAGCCGATCTCCAGCCCTCTGTCCCCATCCATCCATCCATCCATCTATCCATCCAGCACCATGTCTCTCCCGCAAGGACGGCTCGGCTTCGACCCAACCCCAGAGGAAAAGGCCGTCATCGTGCGCTCCACCAACGCATTCTTGAAATACTGTAAGCCACACCCGGTGTGTCCAAAACGTGCGATCCATGCCGCCGCCCGTTCTGACCACACCAATGCCCGTTTGCTGCAGATGTCGGCGGAATCGTGCTCGGCTTTGGTGCGGGCATAACCCTGTGTAAGTCTATCGGTCGGCGGTCGGCATCGCTGGATCAAACGTGCCAGCGTCCGCCGCAGACAGGCCGTCCCAGCTGCATCCAGCATGCTTCTCTTGCTCGACCAGCGCTTCTTTGGATCTGCAATGCCCGAGTTGCACACAAACCGCCAAGCATGTTTCGACGCCAGATCCCTCGTTCATGGCATTAAAACGATCGCCGTCGCCGCCCAGTACGATCCACAAAGGCCCAGGTCCGGTCGATGCGTGGCGGTGCCCTCGTCTTTGCGTGTGGCCTCACTGGCGAGCTGGTTGGCCGGCATCTCGGCAAGGCCGAGGGCATCCGGATCCTCAAGACCGAGCTTCCGCAGGACAGCAAGCTCCGTGAGATTGTCCTGAACCAGAGGTGAGGCCCAGTCGCCCGGAGACAGACCCCGGCAAGCGCAATACCGATTGTTGCGAGCACTGATCCCGCTTGCGATTCATATCTGATGTCTCGTCGCACTGCATCGGATCACATCTCGGAAACGGACTATCGTAGCGGCGGCGAGGCGCCTTCTGGATCGATATCGTCGTTGCCCCCGCCCAAGATCGACTATTCTCTGGAAGGATCTGTGCCGTCGCAGAGCGAAGCTTCGTCGCCAGAGACCGGGTTCTCGGCCGATTACAGCGACTCGGGCTCGATTGCATCCTCGGCTCCAAACTCTGTGCCTGCACGCACTCCTCGTCCCAGAGCTCGAGACGAAGCTTCAGAGTCCTCCGTCTGGGACCAGATTCGACGACAGGGTCATGCCGGATCGTCGACTTGGGATCAGATCCGAAGACAGGGCCAGTCACAGCCCGAGGCTCGTGGCAATGCCGAGATCGCCGAACAGTCTATCCAGCTGGTGCCCAGAACCCGCGAGGACTACGAAGCCATGCAAGGAGCAAAGCGAACCAACCAGTATGGTGACATTGTCGAGTAGGATACGTCCGCGGAGCAGCTTGCCTGTGCCCAGAGCCATGCTCATTGACCGCCCGCCAGTGGATTTTCCAGTCGCCAAGCGATCGGCAATATCGCGAATACAGCTGTGTAATGGTATCTGATGAATACGACTGCCACGGCCTCTGAATGTGGCGTTGCATCGGTTCATGGACGACGGTCGGGATCGAGATCGAGATCGATGCTGCCCATGCTCCAGAGTCGCGGAAGTGACATGGCACGGCATGTCCCATCGTCAGTCATGCGCCTCGTGTCCTCGGTTTCCGTTGATGCCAACGCATGCACATCACATCCATCATTCCGTCGCAGCTGTCTTGCGGGGCTCGAGATCTGCGGCTGAAGAGGATGGAGCGGGAGAGTGGCGTGCAGATTTATTTACGTTGACTTTGCAGGTTCTTGAATGGCCTCTACGAATTTCGAAAAGATGTTTGCTGATGTGGTGCATCCAAACAGATCGAGTTTGTGCTCGGTGCCGTTGGCTGTGGTCGGAGAAGAGACAGCGCCGATGAGAGGGACCGGTCAATGACGAGCCTTGGCAGAGCAAACTCCAGCCGCGACTCCACCGTTTGGGACATCAGCTTACCATCCACAAGGGAAATCGTGCTCTGGGCATCCGATCCATCTGGGTTGGCGTCGGTGGTCTTGACGACGATGCTAGGGTTGGAGGCATAGATCCTGGGCAGTTCGTTGACATAGAACAGACTGGACATGGGGGCGGAACGAAGCGCAAGCAAGAGCAGCTGGATCAGCAGCCAGGTCACGGCGGAGAGACTTGCTCATGAAGCAACATCGCTGCGCCGATGGACTTGGTTTGACGACACGAGGCGAAGCATAGCAGGAGGGCGATGGAAATATTTGGCCGAGTCTATGAGGTCCCTTCATCCCCTCTAGATGCGTTGCTTGGCTGATTGTCGAACCTGATCGGGTACTTGCGGAAGCAGTTGTCGTCGCCGAAATGCACATGCACCGACTTGAGCGCCGGGAGGGCAAGATTGGCGCCGCTGCCGACTCGCAGGTTCTGTTGCAGTGTCTTGACCAGGAACGATTTGACGATCATGGCTGCCGGTCTTGGTGCTGATGCTGGTGCTGGTGCTGGTGCCGATGCTGGTGAATGCAGGATGGGAGGCCGCGCTTGGAGCATCAGGTCAACCCGAGAAAAAAACGCAGGAGCCAGAGCCAGCGCGCCATTACGTAAGCGAGGGCCGATTGATGGATGAGCCAGGGCCGCTCGCTCGCCCACAACCGACTCTGGCCCACAACCAACCACCGCATCAGCCAACCGCCGCATCAGCCAACCTGCAGATATGGCCGACGACAGCACCAACGAGCCCGTGTCCGAGGCCGAAAGGGCCCGCCTGCGTCGAGAGGCCCGTCGCCAGAAGATCCTCGCAGGCGGCTCGGCCCGGCTGTCGAAAATCACCCAACAGTTTTCAGGAGTGCCCCCAGAGCCAGCCAGCGAGTCGTCCGATCCGGTCGACGGCGCCCCTGCCAGCCACGAACCACTTGCCAGGCACCAGGATAGCGCACCGCAATCTGCATCGTCTGAAGAGCCCTTGCTCCGGATGCTGGCACCGATGCCTGCCGAGCGACAGCAGCAGTCCTCCGACACGGCAGCAGCGCAAGCGCGCCTGAGCCGACAGATGCAGCAGCAGACCGAGGATATGCTGCGGGATATGCAAGCCCATCTTCCCCCCGAGCTCTTCAACCTTCTCCAGCCGGGACTCGGAGGGGGCGAAATGCCCTCGTCGTTGCTGTCGGGCTTGTCGGGCCAGTCGCAACCCGGCGCTCCAGACTCGGCCGACCCCCAGGCGGAGCCGCCCCGTCTCGTCCAGCAGCGGGGCACCTGGACCAACTGGATGCTCTCGGCGCTCCAGGTGCTGTCGCTGGTGCTGATCACGCTCTGGACGCTCTATTCGCTCCAGGGGCAGACTTTGGCTCGATCTGGGGATGGCGCGGACCAACTCAAGCAAATCCTGTCGGAGATGAACTCGATCGGCACGATTGGGTATCAAGAAAGTGAACTGGATCGTCGACTGGTAGGTGCTGGGTGCACACAACACGAAGATGCAGCACGATACGTCTTACACATCCATTGAGAGGGGTGTTGATACTCGATCGATGACGGGATGCATAGCGGGCTCTGCAAATCGAAGGATTGTCGTTGCCTTGGGGGCGATCTCCTGGCTTCTGGACTGCAGCGATGCGCGGAAGTTGACGATGGTTGCTTGATTGATGCGCTGCCCTAACGTCCTCTGCTCTGCGTTGTGCCGATCGCGGACTGACTCCTCGATCGAATGCTTCACTGCATTCAATGACTCCACCGGCTCTCCTGGAATTGCTCGTGGCCGAATCCGTCATTGATTCATATCACCGACTCCAGCCTGTTTGGGCACTCCTGCTCAGCGTGGAGGTTGGGCTGCAAGCTATTCGTGCATTTGCTCTGCCGAGGGTAAGCTCCCTGTTGCTATCCGATGCACCTGGAAGTGAGACTGCCGAGCAGGATGCACACCACTGACAAACCAACCGCGCTTGATCGACTGCCGTTGTATAGGAGCCGCCGTCGCCATTCAGCTTTGTCTCGCAGCTCAAGATGTTCAACCCGCAGCTGGGCGCTGTCTTCGGGGCGATTGTGCAGTACCACTCGATCTTCAGATCACTGGTAGACGACATGGCAACCTTCCTGTTTCTGGTCGGCGTGGCCTTTGTTGTATCGGAATATGCAGTCTGATTACGTTCCGCGACTCAAAAATGAGGATGTCGTGCTTTGAGGTCCATAGCTGTCTTTTCTTCTGGTGGCTCCTGATACACACGTTGTGGAACGGGGGCACATGCCTCCAGTCTATTTGGTCTGGCACTGTGAGCGGCCCCTATCGCCAGGGAGATCATGGACGATTCCACCCAGAGCAAACGGGCTCGTTCTTGGTATCGCAGCATGGTGCGCGGATGTTGATCAGCAAGCCGAGGGGCTTGCCTGCCGGTCGTGGGACGCAACTGTCCGTGGAATGCAACTGTCCGTGGAATCAACTCCTCTGCAGGGGTGTTCCCATGATGCAACATTGCCGTCTCGGTGTGAAGCCCCGCACCCACGCCCACGCCGCCTGCGCAGCCGGTCCACGCCCAATTTTCCGCCTGCGAAGTTCTCGTCCGTTCGCCTGTGACCAGCCCTCTGCCCTGTCCTCCGCCGCCGTCCCAGAGCATCAAGATCGCCTCCTCCTCGCCGTCCCGCTTCGCCTCGCACCAACAGCTCCAAAGCACTCCTGCTGTGGAAACAGTCCAGTCGAACAGCGCAAATATGTCTCGACGACGAGCCACAGGCAAATCCGTCGGCACGCCGCCGTCCATTGAAGAGTCGCCCGCCGCTTCCTCCTCGTCGCAGCGACGATCGAGTGTTCGCCTTCGCGGCCGAAGATCGCAGAAGGTCCAAGCCTCGGGCGAACTGTCCGAATCCTCGCCCAGCCATGTCTCCGAGACATCGCAGTCCGAGTACGATGACGGCAATGACGATGCCAACAACAACGACAACGACGACAACGACGAGAACAACAACGACAATGCCAGCGATGCCGACTGCTTTATTGTCGACGAAGCCGGCCCGAGCTCCCGCTGGTCAACGCCGGCGAGCTCGATGCCGTCGACTCCTGCGAGCTCCAAGGCTTCGACGTCCAAGCGAGCATCCGCTTCTGCCAAAAGATCAGCCACAAAAGCCAAGCCGGCTGCTCGGCGGGCCTCAAGCCGCTCGACGTATGCCTCGGACGATGATGACGAGGACGAAGAGGAAGAGGAGGAAGATAGCGAGGTCGAGGAGCGCCCCAGCAAGGCCCGCAAGTCATCCCGGTCATCCAAGAAGGCAAAGGAGCCCAAGGTCCGTCGCAGGAAGCGATGATGTTGATGCACGCACTTGTCACTGGTATTTCTGCGTGGATGGGGCGCCATGAGATCATCTCTGATGGCAGCGGTCTTGTCCGGAACGTGTCGACAGGTCGATTATCGTGAATATCACCCGGAGCTCGATGCCGTCTGGAGTGAGCTGAAGGAGGCTCCCGTCTTCAAGTGCACTGTGGAGCAGCCCAGTGACGTGAGCGTCAAGCTGCTGCCATTCCAGCTCGAAGGCTTGGCCTGGCTGCAAGAGCAAGAAGAGTCCCGGGTAGGTTGCTCGGCCCACTGCTCAATGCCACTGGCTGTGGATCACGAATCCTGCATGTGCCTGTCCTGGTGCCCAGCCCGGCTTGTGTGCTGCTTGTGGTTTCGCTGAGGAAGCTGATGCAAATCCGGGTCGCTGCTCATCTGTCAATAACTTGCAGTTCCACGGAGGGATCCTGGCCGACGAAATGGGCATGGGTGAGTCGACGCGGCCCTTGAGCGCACTGCCTGAATCTGAGCTGCCAGTGATTCTACCCCTGGGATCATCATCAGCAGGGGCCATCGGAAAGACTCGCTGTTAACCGACGACATCCTGTGTGTAGGCAAAACCATCCAAATGATCTCGCTGCTGGTCACCAAGCGACATGTGAAGCCCAACTTGATTGTCGTCCCAACCGTGTATGTATGGCCTCTGGAATGCGCTGGCCCGTGGTTGCATCGCGGCGCTGGTGACAGTGGTGGTTGGAGATATGTGTTGGCCGGAGCGTCGGCATCACAGATAGGTCATGCGATACCGGCGATTCACTGACCATCGATATTCCGCCGGTATATCCTGCTTCGCGTGCAGCGCTCTCCACCAGTGGAGGTCTGAGCTTGCGGAGCGCACATCGGCCAATTTGAGTGTCAAGCTGTACCATGGTATGAGCGGCAGCTTGTGCATCGTTAGCGTACATCCAACTTCGGGATGACTCATGCGATTGTTGTTACTCACACTACCTCCCCGCGACTGGCGATGATCCAGGAGTCGCTCGGACGGAGACGGCCGAAGACCTGGCCAAGTTCGATGTTGTTCTTTCTACCTACTCGATCTTGGAAGGCGCCTTTCGACGCCAGAACTCGGGCGTCAAGAAAAACGGGCTGCTGACCAAGACGCCGTCGCCGATCCACCGAGTCAACTGGGCGCGGGTGATCCTCGACGAAGCGCACAACATCAAGGACCGCACCTGTTCAACAGCCCGCAGTGTCTTTGCCTTAACTTGCGAGCGTCGCTGGAGCTTGAGTGGTAAGTGACAGCGTACAAGTTGGCTGCCTCCCAAAGCGACTCGTGCAATGTCGGGGCGTGGCTCGATATGGTGTGGAGCAGTGGCTTTGGTAATCGAGACGGCGAGCACCCGTGTCAACGACGAAATGCTATCGGCAGTGAGCGCGAGGCTGGGGTCTTTGGTTCACACATGGCCGTTGCATCGTAGGTACTCCTCTGCAAAACCGAGTCGGAGAGCTCTACTCGCTGATCCGCTTTTTGCAGACCGACCCTTTCAGGTAAGCATGTTTGCGACACCACCACGCTCGACGCTATTAATGCTGATGCAGCTGGCGCATTCCAGTTTTTACATCTGCAAGAAGTGCCCGTGTAAGCTCAAATCATGGACATTCAAGGGCAATATCGAATGTGCCGGTAAGGGCTTTACTGCAGTCGTACACAAGCCTAGATGTGACGGGCTGTTTGGTGGACTGATGGTAGTGTCCTATGTCGCTCCCCCCTATCCCCAGAATGCGGCCACACAGCGTACAGCCACTTTTGTTGGTGGAACTCGGAGATCCTGAAGCCAATCCAGCGCTTTGGCGCACTTGGCGATGGCGCCACAGCGTTTGAGAAGCTGCGTCTTCTACTCGACCGTATCATGCTCCGGCGAACAAAGCTGGAGCGAGCAAGTGACCTCGGACTGCCTCCGCGGGTGGTCGTTGTTCGCAGAGATCTATTCAATGTCGCTGAGGAAGAGCTGTATGAGAGTCTCTACACGGACTCGAAGCGGTGAGTAGCTCATATGCAGCAAACGGGTGCATTGCTCGCACTGCTCGCACTGGTTGATAGCCAGCCACTGACCCGCGCTCTCTGTCCGATTGCCGATCAGTACCTTCAATACCTATGCCGAAGGCGGCACAGTGCTCAACAACTACGCGAGCATTTTCTCGCTGCTCAGCAGAATGAGGCTTGCTGTCAACCATCCAGGTAGGTCGCAACCAACCCGAGCCAAGAACTGGTGGACCTTTGTGTCGATGTTCTAACAGATTGTCTGCCGCATCGGTTAGATCTCGTCACCAAGCGCCTTGAGCGCGACCAGAAAATCGGCGCTCTGAAAGACACACTGGTGTGCGGTATCTGCCAGGAGCCTGCCGAGGACCCGATTGCCAGCAAGTGCAAGCATGTATGTACCCGATGCACGTTTACGCTACTGCTGCTGCTACTGCTGTGGCATGGCGCTGGCGGTCTTATGCATCCACTGACGGCCTTGGCCGCTTGCATCACAGATATTTTGTCGTGAGGACGTCCGACAGTACATCATCAGCACACCAGAGGACCAAGTTCCGGCATGTCCTGTCTGCTTCAAGTCGCTGACAATCGATCTGTCGCAAGACGAGGTTTTGCCGAACCAGAGCGCCGGAGACGCCCTCTACAGGACCAGCATCGTCAACCAAATCGACTTTACCAAATGGAGGAGCAGCACCAAGATCGAAGGTACGTGGCGGAGGAGGCGGTATTTCAGCTGCGGATGTGGGAAGGCGCTACTTGGGGTATGCGCCGACCTGCTGGGTGCCGTCATTTCTCTCGTGGGAACTGGTGTTGGAACGGTCCACACAAGTGCGTTCGCTGATCTGATGCTGACTACGGATGCCACTGGACCCCAGCCTTGATCGAGGAACTCTCGGAGCTGCAGCGAGAGGGCGACTACACTTCAAAGTCGCTGGTCTTTTCGCAGTTCACTGCCTTCCTCGACTTGATCCAGTGGCGACTCTCGCGGGCGGGCTTCAATGTGGTCAAGCTCGATGGACGCATGTCGCCCGACCAGCGCAGCGCTGTCATCAACAAGTTCATGACAGATCCAAACGTGACCGTCTTCCTGGTCTCGCTCAAGGCTGGCGGCGTGGCCCTGAATCTTACCGAGGCCTCGCGGGTCTATGGTAGGCTTTGGCGCTTCCGGTTGCCAGCGGCGCGGCATGCATGTCGCACCAGCAAGAATCGTTGGCCTTGCTTGATGCCGCCTGTGAATCGGGCACTGATCCGCAGAGCCGTACTGACGTTTCGATTCCCTTCGCACGGTGCGCACCGGCAATAGTGATGGACCCCTGGTGGAATCCCGCTGCTGGTAAGGATCTCGACCGACCATGCACAAAGACCGTGATGGTAAACTAACGCCGTCTTCATCTCCAGAGGACCAAGCATTCGATCGCATCCACCGTCTGGGTCAGTACCGACCGATCAAGATCACACGGTAGGCTCTCGCCCTTGCCCTTGACTCTGAGGACCCGCCAGCAGCGCCGCCCTCGCCCAGTCCCGCGCTGTTACTCATCAGCGACGCTCGCTGCTTTCCAGCATGATCATCGAGAACTCGATCGAGTCCCGAATCCTGCAGCTCCAAGAGAAGAAGAAGGCGCTGTTTGCCTCGACCGTCGGCAAGGATATGGATGCCCTCAGCAAGGTGGGTTTGGCTGGCGACAGCAGCGAGGCTGCTGTCTGGGTTCCCGAGCGTCCACCGATCGATGCTTTGTGCGTCGTCCGTGATCCCCTGGGCTCATTCCAACCCGTCCTCCCACAGCTGTCCGAGGAAGATCTGCGGTTCCTGTTTGTCCTCTGAGAAGCTGCCGCCACATGGGTTCTGTTGGCAATCGAGCGGGGTTTGGCTGGTTAGGGGAGCCCAAGCTTGAATACATGTGGTCAGCCTACTGCGGCGGTGATCGCTGCCCTGCCCAACAGGGCGTCTCGTTTCGGGTTGGACCCTGCTTGTTGATCGTCTGCAGCCAGGGCGAGAAGCCAGATGCCTCGGCGAGAAGGGGTGTGGCCGCTCTCGTCTCGCGGAGCATTTTCCATGGGGGTTCGGCGGGTGTGTGTACAATCACGTGCGATGCGGTGGCCATAAAAGCCGCCGGCGCGTCCCAGCGGAGCATTCAGCACACTGCCGATCAGCCCTCCGGTCGAATACCACACCTGCCCGCAGGACCATCTCGCTGACCGACCGACCGACCGACCAACCTATCCATCCATCCATCCATCCATCCATCCATCCATCCATCTGCCCGGCGATCCGCGCATCCATCCATCCATCTTCTCGTCGCCTGTCTGTTTGGATAGGCCTATCTCTTTTTGGACACATTCATTCCGCCCAAGGAATCACACAGCCAGTTTTTATGTCCGACCCGAACATTCAGAAGTATGTTTCGGGCACGCTCGGGCCTCCTTCGATGGTGGCGCTCTGGTCTCCGTTGACGATGGCACTCTTCGAGATGCCTGTCTCCGCCTGTTGCCGAATCTGCATGCTAATCGCGCTTGCTTGATCTTTCCCTCGGTCATGTCCGAACCCCACAGCCTTGCTGCTTACGACCCTTTTGCTGATACCGGCGAAAACAGCGAGCTCTCCGTCGAGGGCTACATCCGTACGTATCACGCGCTTTTTGGTTTCTGGGCCGGGCTCCCTTGCGGATCTCGGCCGCGGCGACCATAGCTATAGCTGGAGCCTTGCAAGGATGATATTAGCCCATACACTGAAAATCCCTGAGTGGCTTGTGCGATGTCCTCGTTTTGAGGATATCCCCACGTTGATTTTTAATAGTCATAGTTACACTGATGCAAGCGAACCCATGCAACCACGCATGGAGATGCTGGAGGCGACTGGCTCGACAGCTAACATTGTTTGGCCCCCCCATTCCATTCGGTATCCTCAGACATTCGTATTCAGCAGAGAAACGGCCGCAAGACCCTCACCACCGTCCAAGGCCTGCCTGCTGAGCTTGACCAGAAGCTCGTCCTGAAGGCCTTCAAGAAGGTATGGGTTGTCTGGCGTATTCTGTTTGTTCATTGATGCCACTGCATCACGAGCCGGTGGCTAACTGGTGAACACGCACTTGCGCCACCACAGGAATTTGCCTGCAACGGCACTGTTGTGCAGGACGAGGACCTCGGCGAAGTCATCCAGCTTCAGGGCGACCACCGTGTGAAGGTCCAGCAGTTCCTCGTGGCTCAGGGCATCGTTACCAAGGACAAGGTCAAGATCCACGGTTTCTGAACGATCCTGGCGCAGCTCAACGCTTTGGCCAGGCCTGCTCGCCCACGAGCGTCTCCTCCAACCCCGCTTTTTGGCTTTATCCAACCCGACGACCACCCGCTCTATAAAAATATGAAGAAGCGCCGCTCAAGGTGTGGCATCATGAGTTACCTTGCCCGGCGAGCCGGCCGCCGGCGACTCCAGTGATATCCAATATAACAGAATTTCAGCACACGCACCGTTCTCACTTTCGAGTCACTCTGGCTGACCTGGGCTCAGACTGTGCGAGCCCCGTGGAGATAGGGCAGGCGGGGGATGCATGGAGTGACCGAGGTTCCTTCATCGCAGCTCTCTCCGCCACCAACAGCCAGAGAATGGCTTGTCTATTCGAATCGTCCATCCTGCGAGGTGCTTGGGTGCCAGGTGTCTGGACGGCGAATCGTTCTTGGCACTGCAAGCCGGCCCACCACAAAAGCAAGGTCGCTTGCCATCGCCGTTCCAGCCCGTTGCTCGCTTTCATCGCTCGCCCCTTCCTCAGGCAACAACTCAAGCCATGTCGACCACCGCTACCGACCAGCCCTATTCCTGCCATGTCCACGGGCCCGCCCACGACCTGTTCCTCTCGTATCGAGTCGCTACCGATGCCACCACCGTCCAGGCACTGAAGGAGGGGCTGGTGGCTGTTTCAAAACGTCGATATGGCAAACCCCTTTCTATCTTCCACGATGTCGACTGCCTTCAGTCCGCCCAGGATTGGAGACAAGGCTTCCTCGGTGCACTCCCCACCAGCAAGGCCGTCTTCCTGCTCCTCAGTAAAGCCTCGATGGAACTGATGAAGGACAAGGTCATCTCCGGCCAGGAGGACAATGTAGTCCTTGAAATCAAGACCGCCCTCGATCTCAAGGATGCCAAACACTCCCTCCCTGTCCTTCCCCTCGGAATCGCCACCAAGGAGACCAAGGATGGTGTCGATGTCTTCACTCCCTTCCTGCCGTACATGGTGTCCCTCCCCGACGACCCTGCTTTTGCCTCGCTCAAGCAGACCCTCGGCAGAATGAACCAGATTCAATCCATTGGTGTCCGTCCAGACCAGCTGTACAAGCGAATCCTCCACATACTCAATCTCATCCATCCAGTCCAAGTGCATGATGGTACTCGCCAGGTCCTCGACTCGCTCTTCTGCGATTCCAAGTTCCGAGTCGATCCCGCCCACCTCAACTCCCTGCTCAAGCACCTCACCCTGACTGGCCGCGCCGTCATCTCCGGCATGGGTGGCATGGGCAAGTCTGTCCTCGCCATCCAGATTCTGTTCTTCATGATGGGCATTATGAATGCGAGCAACAAGGAAGACCTCCTCGCCATCAAAGCCGAGACCATCGGCATCAAGCCGCAGTACAGCCAAGTCTTCTGGATCAACTGCTCGACCGAATCGACTGCCCTTGATGGGTTGTGCGAGATCTTTGATGGTGTCGAGCCCGACGAGATCAAGAAGCACGCCGCCAAGTTCCTCGCCAAGACACGCGGCTATCTCCTGGTGCTCGACAATGTCGATGACATCGCTGTGGTCGACTCTGTGTTTGAGCACTCCAAGTCGGTCGGGTTCAGCGGCGATGTGGTGGTGACGACCCGACTGGCCTCGCTGCCTCCCGGTGCATTCGCCAGTGCACTCAAGGCCAAGATCCCTGGATACAAACATGACCCACTCCGTCTCGGTAACTGGGACGACTCCACCACACTCGACTACATCATGTCGTCGTCACCAATGATCGTCGAGAGACTTGTGTCGGACGAAGCCAAGAAATCCCTCGACAGCATCGTGGCCAAGATCAGTGGATATCCACTCGTCATCCAGACGTTCATGACATTCTACGAGAACAACGAGGTGCCGCTGTCCGAGATCGATCGGCTGTTCTCCAAGGTCCTCGAGGAACAGGATGGCGAGGACGACACGCGGTCGTCGCTCAAGGTGATTGTGGATCTGTCGCTGGACTCGATTATGAAGCGAGGGAATGAAGGCATCGAGGCGGCCAGGCTGTTCGGTGCAGTCAGTCTGGTGGCGCCGGCCAACATCCAGTTCGAGTTGATCAATGAGATTGCAGAGCAGTTGGAGCTCAAGACCGAAGGTGAGTTGCCAGTGGATCGAAGTGCAGTTGATGGTGCCAGTGCATGGAACTGATCATCCATCTGTCCACAGTGACTGATCTGATCAAGATGATGGTCCAGAGTGGTCTCCTCCGAAGTGGAGCCGAGGGACAGTACTTGACACACTCGCTCACTCAGCAAGTGGCTCGAGAGTATGTTCAAGCGCATGAGAAACTGGATGTCGAAGCAATCGAAGATGCAACGGGCGAGGTGTTGATCGGGTTGACTGAGCCAATGGATCTCAAGGCACAATCATTTGCAGAACATCTCGATCAGTACGCCGGGGTGACCGTTCCAGATGTATATACAAAGGAGCTGCATGACCGAGTCGAGTTCCAGAAAGCAAGAATGGCCTACAAGAGACCGCTCTATGCCAAGGCCATGGAGACGTATACGAGAAACTTGGAACGAAGCGTGGTGTTCTACGGGACCCGCGAGCATCCCGCTGTTACCCAGATCCTCAACAATATGGGTTTGATTTCAAGATCTCAAGGGCATCTGGACGAGGCGTTCGCCTTCTACAATGAATCGCTCAGTTTAAGGGTCAAGATCTACGGCACCCGCGAGCACCCCGATGTTGCCATGACCCTCAACAACATGGGTACAGTGGCAAACGATCAAGGACGCCTGGACGAGGCAATTGCTTATCACCGAGAATCACTCGATATAAAGATCAAAGTCTATGGCACGCACGACCATCCCTCTGTTGCTGGAACCCTCATGAATATGGGTAATGTTGCAAGTGCCCAAGGGCGCCTGGACGAAGCGCTCGCCTTCTATCAAGAGTCCCTTGACGTTAATGCCAAGATCTACGGCACCCGCGAGCACCCCGATATTGCCATGGCCCTCAACAACATGGGCACCGCAGCAAATGGCCTAGGACGCCTGAGCGAAGCACTCGCCTTCTACCAAGAAGCACTTGAGATCATGGCCAAGGTCTATGGCACATACGAACATCCGTACGCTGCGCAGGCTCTTATGAATATGGGTAGTGTGGCATTGTCCCGGGGACATCTGGACGAGGCATTGGCCTTATTCCAAGAATCGCTTGATATCTCTGTCAAGGTTTACGGCACCCGCGAGCACCCTGATGTTGCCTTAGCCCTCGGAAACATGGGTCGTGTGGCAAGACTTCAAGGATACGCGGACGAGGCAATTGCCTTCTATCAAGAGTCACTCGGTATCAACGTCAAAGTCCATGGCACACATGACCATCCCGGCATTGCCCAGATCCTCAACAGCATGGGCTTGCTGGCCAGCGACCAAGGACGCTTAGACGAGGCACTCGCCTTCTTCCAAGAAGCACTTGGCATCTATGTCAAGATATATGGTACTCGCGAGCATCCCGATGTAGCCTCGGCCCTGAACAATATGGGATTGGTTGCATATCAGGATGGGCGTCCAGACGAGGCGCTCGCCTTCTACCAGGAAGCCCTCGATATCAAGACTAGGATCCTTGGCACTCGCGAACATCCCGATGTTGCACGGATTCTCGGCAATATGGGCAACGCGGCGAGATCCCTAGGACACTGGGACGAGGCATCTGCCTTCTACCAACAGGTCCTCGAAATCAAGGTGAAGATCTACGGCACCCGCGAGCATCCCGATGTTGCATCGACATTAACCAATATCGGCATCCTTGCTGAGGATCGAGGGGATGTCGTGGTGGCTCTCGGACACTTCCGCGAGGCCCATGCCATATACAAGAGCGTGTTTGGTCGCGACGACCATCCTTTGGTCATAAGAGCGTCGCGAGAGGTTTCTCGAATTGAGGGCCAGGTGGAGTAGAAGTAGTGCTCCCGTCCCTGTGATTGTCGTACGCCACACTGCTCGTGATGTGTCACTTCACCATCTGTATTGAGATCGATTGTGATGTTCTTGCCGGCATCGCCTGAGCTGGAACATCATGCTCGGCCAATAAATCTATGATTCAATGCCAGCACTGATACAACTCCCATCGATCGACACAACCACGGCGTTCGCTAAGCTTGACTCAATTCAAGCTTTCCACACACTTCCACATCCACTGTCTCCTCCACCGGTCTGTCGGAGCCTCCGATTCATCTAGTCGATGTTGACGATGATCTTACCTGCAAGTTGAGAAGGTGTGGACGATGGTCAGCAACGGCACAGAGGGTGCCATCAATGCCATTCACGCCATTCATGCACACCAACTGCTTTGGCTCACGGTAACTCACCAATGCTTTGGTTGCTCTCCATGTACTGATGTGCTGCGACAATGTCTTTCCAGCTATACTCGCGATCGACGATGGGCTTGAGATCGCCAGACTCGAGTTTTGGAATCACATTCGCCACGATGGCGTTGCGGAGCTCGATCTGGTACTCGAGCGAGCGGGAACGCAGCGTCGAGCCTTGGATCTGCGAGGTGTCCAGGCGGCAATGCTGTCAGTGGAGCGCCCTCTAACCCCAGCACGAGCGCATCCGTCCCGTGTTGCAGAACTTTACTTACGCGCAGGCGGTGCTTCAGAATAACTGCCAGGTTCGACTCCTTGATAACCGAGCCTCCCAGGAAAGCAAGCATGACCATGCGGCCATCCAGGGCCAGTGCGCCCAAGTTTTTGTCCCAGTACTGCGCGCCGACCATGTCGATGATGACATTGGCTCCTTTGCCGCCGGTGTACTCGAGAACCTGCGTATGACATCCGAGTCAGCACCACGAAGAGTATGATCTCAGGCATGAACCTGCATCCGAGCGATTTGCAATACGCGTTTTTTGACTGACGACATTGAACACCACTCCGCGAGGCATGTGGAAGCTTGCCAGGGTCAATCAGCTTACCTTGGCCTGGAAATCCTCGGTCTTGTAGTTGATGCCGTGGGTGGCTCCGAGGGACTTGCAGAAGTCGGTCTTATCGTCCGATCCAGCAGTCACGATGATTTTGTCACTGGAGGATCAGATGCAATCGTCGTGAATATCACAGCGCCTGCTCCGTGAGGTACCGGCCCACGCTGCAGACACAATTTACTGCGATCCTGAAACTTGGCCGAAATACTTACGCCTTGGCGAGCTTGGCAAGCTGAATAGCAGCAGTGCCGACCTGTTGGATTCCGCAGGGCGTAGGGGCGAGTCCACGAAAAATGCATTCAGCAACCGCCGTCCCCCATAAACAGGGTCAGCTTGCACTGAGTCCGACAAGGAGTAGCCGTCTCCCTCCAGCTGACTCATTCACACACCTTCGCTCACACGCCCTCGCGCTCTCACTCCTCCATGGCTACTTACACCAGATGCACCACCGTGGATCAGGATCGTTTCGCCGGCCTTGAACTCGGTCACAAAATGGATGGCCTGATATGCCGTGAACCACGTCTCGGGAATGGCGGCGGCCTGCACGAAGCTGAACGAGTGCGGGATGGGCATGACCATGGCTTGGTTGACTGCAACGTACTGGTACGATCACGATGGACAGTGGGGCGTTAGAACATTGGGTCTACCAGCTCAGGATCGAGCCATCGAAACGATACGAATTTGGCTGGTGCTTTGGGATGGTGAAGGAGGGGGGAGACAACTCCTTACCTCGCTGTAGGCGCCGCCGCCAACCAGACCCATGACTTTATCTCCAACCTTTACAGATCGAACTGGGTGGTAGTTCGTTGCAGCCGCAGACATGGGCAAGTCAATGAGGATCCCGACAGGCACAATTGTCTGGGCGCAAAGATCACCATCGAAGCGCGATGCACACTCTCGGGGTTTGTGTGGTGATGCGTGCGAAAGACCCGCTGTTATTTAGCGGAGACAGGCGATACGACGCAATAACATACCATCGCCTCCGATTTGCTCGATGTGGCCCGAAAACTCAACACCGAGAATGTCCGAGGCACCCTTGGGCGGAGGATAGAATCCCTTTCTCTGGACAATGTCCATCCGGTTGAGACCAAAGGAGACAACCTTCACGAGGCCAGCGAGGCAGCCTGGTCAGCTCGCGGAAGCACATGGACACAGGACGAGTGCGGATCGAGAGGGGAGCAAGGCCGAGAGAGCCGAGACGATCGGTGGATGCTCTGTGGCTCACCTTGACCAAAACCTCATCGGCAGCGATCTGCGGACGGGGAGCCTCTCCAAGCTCGAGCTCGGTGGCTTCTCCAGGCTTGCGAACCAGCACAGCGCGCATCGACGACATAACTGCGAGTGACGGGGAGTCGAGGCCGAGTATATGCTCTGGGTGGAAGATGGCAATCGAGACCGATGGCTTGGAATGCGCAGATGGGCTGAAACTTTGGGTCGATAAATGCACGAACGAGATTTGAAATGGCCTCGTCTGGGCGGCGCGGGGTTTGGCGGCGCCGCCCGTTCCTGGGGTCGGGACACTTGGGTGCTGCTCGGGAACTGCTCGGGAGCTGCTCGGGAGCTGCTCGGCAGAACGGAACAAACGCCTCGGCGTCGAGGATGCGCAGCGACGACGTTGATGATCTTGCCTGTCTCCGGAGATGCACATCGAGGCATTCCTCAGCGAGATGACAAAATCGGCTGCCCGTGAGCATGTCCCTCGACAAATGCTGGCAACGGTCGCAAGAGCCACAGACAGCCACAGACAGCCACAGATAGACAGACAACTACCATCGCTCAACGGTTATTGTTGGCACGAAACCGCAAGGGGGGCTCGTTTCATCTCGGAATAGGTGTATTTTGGCAGACAGAGAGGGCGGAAAGGAAGGGCAAGAGCGCGCGAATGTGTGGTTTTGGGAATGTGGCGTCTACTCCTGGGTCTCCTCCTCATTCCTCTGGACCTTGCCCTCGACCTTGAGTTCCTGGCCGGTGACGCGCTTGTAGATGTTCTTGACATCCTGGCACACAGTCTCAAAGTGCGAGGTGGCATCGTAGGACTTGGAGATGTAGACGCCGTCGGCAGTGCCATCGGCAACAGGCTCGTAGAGCTCCTTGATATCGACAAACCTACCAAAGGATGTGAGGGTGGATGCTCGGTTAGAGGGGCGAGTCCGGTCCGCAGGACTGAGGACATGACAAACCAGCACCGACAGAGGCTCACACGCCCGACACTTACTTCTCGGCAATGGGGCCAAGCAGGGCAAGGGCGGGCTGCACCTCGAGCTCGGGGGTGCTGGTCTCGACAATGGTCGAGACAATGGCGATGGTGTAGCCCTTGGCACAGACGGCGTGAGCGGACGAGACAGCGGCAATGTAGATGTCTGGATGTGACCGGAGAAAGTCGGTCGAGTCAGTCAAGTTTGCGAGGCTGTTGGAGGACTAGAGATGGGGATGGGAGAAAGGCATCTGCCCATCGTCCGGCAGCCTCTGGGCACGTCCGGCATCGAGAGCAACAGCTCCACCCGCTCCGCATACCGTTCTTTCTCTTGACCTGGTTCTGGGGGATGACGATCTGAATAGAGTCGGCGTCGCCGGTGTTGGGGATGGTGTGGTTCAGCAGGCAAATCACACGAACGACACGGCCAGTGAGAGTGACCTTGTCGGTGAAGTACGAGGGATCGCCGATGACGATGGGGGCCTTGACGGTCTCGCCCTCGCTCTGGACGCCGACGAAGCGATCGTTCTCGAAGATGACTCTCTCGATGGGCTTGCGGAGCATGTAGGTGCCACCGTAGATGGCAGAGAGACTGGAACACACGGCCGCAGCGAAGAAAGCGAGTCAGATACATGAGACCGGGACCTACACGAGGATCGTCCCCTGTGGCATTGCAGATGGTGCAGCAGCTCCGCGATCGACCAGCACGGGTACGGAGGGCAGCATGCGCGGCGGAGGAATCGAATCAGCTTACCGGGCAAAGCTCTGGGGGAGCTCACCGAGGCCGTACATGGGGTAGATGTAGGGCGACTTGCCGTAGCGAGCCATCGAGTTCATGTAAAGGCAGATGCGCTCGTAGGTTTCGCGGGCAGGCTCGTTCAGGTACGAGTCGTCGAGGTGGAGGGCGAGGGAGTGGCCGATCAGGTCCTGGGCACCGCTGTCCAGGCCAAACTTCTTGTAGACATCGGCCATCGTAGCGACGTTGAGGTCCAGGCCCTGCTGGGTGGTGGCGTTGTTGAAGTCGTAGTTCTGGATGAACTCGAAGAAGGACTTTGCGCGGTGCTTCTCGAAGAGACCCATCAGAGGGGACGAGACGGCCTCCAGCTGGTTGGCGGGAACCTTGGAGATCTTTCCGTTGCGGTAGACGTACGAGCCAGCAACCTGACGGAACTCGAGGTAGCGGGTGACATCGGTGTGGTAGAGGATGTTGACAAACTCGCCCGAGGCCATGGCGAACTTGGGGATCAGATCCACGTTGTAGTCGCGATCGCGGCCAAAGGATTCGGGAGGGGTCTGGCCATTGCGGAACTTGGCATAGAGCTGTTGGCGCCGTGGCAACGAGGGCCATCCGATCGGCGAGGCATCGTACGTGATATGATGTTGGATCAGCGATGATGCACAAACAGAAACAGGGGACCAAGTTAGGACAGCGCCCGCAGACGGCTTGCTGCGCCATGGATGGGATGGAGCCACGGAGCGAGCTCAGGGGAGAAGCGAAAAGACAGCATAGCCGCATGCAGCGGCCGCCGTGAGGCAAAGCCGGGATTGAGGCGGGTGGCTGCTGGCCGCGCATGATCAACGGCAGCCCCCAACCCGTCTCAATGATGGATCGGTTTGGATGATTTCTACGGCAGTGCTCGCCAAAGCGCGGCTGCCCGTAATCAATTGGCTGGTCGGCAGCACGCAGGTCCCGAACAGGCGAAGCGATGAAGCCGCTCACAGCCAAGTCGTCCCGGCCTGCTCAAGGGGCGAGGACTCATTACCTGGCTGAGGTTCAAACTGGCCGACTCGCCACCGTAGTAGTCGTTTCGGTCCATGTGGAGGACCTTCTTTCCCTCCACGGATAAGAGGCCGGAGAGGATGCATTCGGTCAAGCCGGTGCCAAGAACGATGACGTCGTAGTTCTCATCCTAGAGACAGGGCGGGAAGGAAGCGGCGGCAGACCAGGCCCGAGTCAGCCAGATGCTGGGTCTACCGAGCGGCAGGGCAGGCAGCGGCCGCGCCGGTCGGCCACGGCAGATGCGGCGCTTGCAGAGGACCTACCATGGTTGAGGCGAGGCAGCAAAAGGCGTGGAGGAAGACGAAGAGGCGAGATGGGTGATGAGGAGCCGGCCGAGATTCGGTGCAAATCTCGAGGAAAACGCAGAGGCCGTGGGACGGCGGCAGCAACGGGGCGATGGCGGACGACCGGGGTGGGCGTGTGTGTGTGTGCGGCGCGACAACGCACACACACAGTGGGCGCCGGGCCCAGCTCCGTGTAACATTGATGTGTGTGTGTGATGCACAGTCTCTGTGCGGGCTGTGCTTGAGCGCGGTTTCCTTTCCCGGACGCGTGTGGCACAAGCCAGCAAGCCAGCCAGCAAGCCGGATCCAGCCGCGCCGAGTCGATCCACGCCGGATCCAGCCACGCCGTGTGGCGCGGCGACCAGGGCTTCGCCAAAGCAACTTCCGGGTTCAAATACCGAAACCTTGCCAGGCGACATCCGTCAACAGCTTGCTCCAAAGATACTCTCACCCGCACAGCCCCGGCACCACCCAGCCGAGCACATTCCTTCGTCTCCCCGTCTCGACCACCCGTCTCGACCACCCGTCTCGACCACCCGTCTCGACCACCCGTATCGGCCACCCGGCTTCGCGTCCCAAGCCATGTTCAAGATCACTCTCTCGCCAGACAGCCCGGTCTCCGGGTCGCCGCTCGTCCTCGACAGCTCCGTCAGCCCCAATGGCGAGCTCCCGATCGGCCGGGGCTCGCATCCCTTCAATATCAGTGACAAGCGCTGTTCCCGAGAGCAAGGTCTGTCCGCGCTGCCTCGGCACCGGTGACGTCTCCCGCACACCTCCAACGCACTGACAATTTCTCCCCTGCCCTCCAGTCAAGCTGCAGTTCGATGTTCAAACCGGCCGGGTCTCGATCAAGCGAGTACGGAGCCACTCCTCTTACGCCCTTTCATGTCCGCTGTCTTGGTCGCCGTCATTCGTGAAGTTGCTAGTGACATTGGTTCTTACGGTTCCTCTGCTATTTGCAGCTCGGACCCAACAACTCGTTTATCATCCGGAACAACAAATCTGAGAGCATGGACCGGAACCAGTCGTACGAGCTCAGGAGCAAAGAAAAGTTCTCCCTGGTCGGTATCCTCATCAGGGCCTCGGCTGTGCATTGCTCCTGGGCGAACCGCTGGTGCGTCCATCCTCTGCTGACAATCGCCTTCTTCTATAGCTCGACACTGGACATGTCTTTACCATCATGATCGACAGGTATCGTCATTTTGCCGTCTCTGCGGCGCCATTCATGCATACCCCGTCTGACTCTGCGCGTCCATGATTTGTTCCCAAGACCTGGAGGAGACACGGACCCAGCCGATCTCACCGATGTCACCGATGTCGAAGACGATGATGCCGACCCAGACGTCCTCAGCAGCATCAACAGCAAGCGCATTCAGGCCCAGAACAAAAAGTTTGCTCAACCCCGACCCAACGACGACGACGATGACGACGATGACGACGATGACGACGATGACGACGATGACGATGTTGGTCCGTCGACAAACGGCTCTGGGCGCAATTCGGCAGACACTGGTGCCAGTGGCAGCGCCTCAGCACCCAAGAAAGACGATCGCCGGGTCTGCATGTATGGCGCAAGCTGCTACCGCAAGAACCCGGCGCATTTTCTCGAGTTTGCCCATCCGTGGAAGGACAAGCCCGAGAAGGAGCAACAACAGCAACAGCAACAGCAACAGCAGAAAAAGCCCACAGCCCCCAAGCCCCAGCTCGCTAGCACATCGCGGACACCGGCTTCGTCGACGGGGTCGTCAGCGACTGCTGCTCCCGCCCCTGCTGCTCGCATCACTTCTCCAGTTCGTGCGGCCTCGTCCAGCCACAATCCCTCGCCTCCCAAGCACGATCCCTCGCCTCCCAAAGGCCCAGGCCCGTACTTTGGTCTCGGCGTTCCCCAGAACCAGCCCTCAACAACCAGTGCCAAGCGATCGTTCTCGTCCTTGGCTGCCCAAGCTGCAGCCTTGCTCGGCAGCAGTGCCGACAACGACTCCCTGGATTCAGTAACCAAGCGACCTGCAACCAGCCCCGAGAGGCGTCTTGCAAGCGACCGAGCAGCATCAGCTGCATCAGCTGCTCACCTACCCCGCCCAACGAATCGCCTTTTGATGACCGACGACGAAGACGATGAGCCCGCCCCAACTGTGTCCAAGAGCACCGTCGTGCCTGCCAAGCGACCACTGATGCCCATCGACATGGAGTCCGACTCGGAGGAACCCAAGAGTGCCCTTGCTAGCCGCAGTGCAGGTATTCCTGCAGCAGGACGCGCTGCCGATCCGATCATCGCCCCAACTCTGCTTCTTGAGAGCGACGACGATGCGAACGCCGACGATCTCTTGAATGGCATGGATAGCACGCGAGGACGCGCTGTGAACAACCAGGACGACGACGATGAGGACATGGATGCAGAAGACCTGCTTGCGGGTCTGGACGGACGCCGACGCCATGCAAAGCACGCTTCGGCGGCGGTGCCAGGTACGCTGAATGAGCCGAGGCAAGAAATGGCGACGACGACGATGCAGTCCGTATCCCACCTTGATTCTCACGGTGCACATCTTCGTGCCAGCCTCTGGAGCCGCCTTGGGACCCGAGCCGACCCGGCTGGTGATGTCGTCGATATCTACCTTTGACGGCAAGATTGATCCACACTCGGCCGTCAATTGGGCTGCAGAGGTAGCGTCTACTGTGTTTGTATAGACGCACCATGCCTGGCGGCACACTGCACCAGAGAGTTGACTCCGAGTCGTTCTGGATCTCGTGTTTGGCGCCTGCTGAATGGCATTCCTCGACCTCGGCAACTCCCCGATTCAGGTCATTGGCAGTTTCTTTAGAAAGCACTCAGCGGTCCATCTGCAGCTGGTGCTGATCGACCCCGACCAAGTGGTAGTGGACTTGTTCAAGAAGGTAAGGGCGGTCTGCCAAGAGGGGCCGATATCTATTTGCGGCCCTCTAGCACGTCCCGGATCCCGATGCCGATCGGCAGACTTACCACTCTGTGCTCCTTACCAACATCGTGCCTGGCGGCGATGTGGTTCTCCTTAACACACTGGTCGGTTGCGTGCTCGGCTCTGGCAGACTCTCCGGTCTTCTGGCGAGCGCTTTGCCGCCTTCCGCGGCGACACTGCTCGGCCCAAGACCGACTTCCATATCCGCAGCAACATGATGGTCGTCGAGACGACGTGGCGCCTCAAGGGCGGTGAGTCTGGGCTCTGGGCTGTCGGTGCTGTGTCGAGATTAGCCGCGAGATTAGCCTGTGCTGTCTCGAGATGAGCCGGAGTCGGCCAATGCATCCCGCCGTGATGCCGTGGGGGAGTGGCGACTGATTGGTGTCCTTGATCTCGTTCCGACAGAGAGTACCCGCGTGGGTCGCAGCCTGATTACTGCTGGCAATGCCTCGCTGTTCACCGACGCCAAGCGCAAGGACAACTCGCCTCTGGCTGTCGGCGATGTGCGGCTGTGCTCTGTCCCGAGGGATGCGGTGCTCTACACCCAGGAGGGCATCGAAAGCATCATTTTTGCTGTCGGCCCAAACAACAACCTGAACCGACCGGACTACACCAACGACCCTGCCCTGCACAAGGCCCAGCTCCAGCAGTGCTACAGCCGGATACTCGAGCGCTGGGCCGAGGCGTCGTTTGATTCGAGCTAGAGGCGGACATGAGACGGAAGAATGGCGACTGGTCCAAATACAGTATGCTCAGAGCGAAGCGGGACAGTGTATCCCTGGGTGTCCTCCGCATCAACCCGCTGCATGCTGCAGGTTGGGTGAGCATGGTCTTTAATACACCTGCCCCGTTTTCGACTTGGATGCGCCGTGAATGCGAACAAGCAGCATAGCACAGCACAATAATGATGCAGAGCCGCCAGGCGCGGCGTTGCGGGGGGACGGCAGGGCATTCGAACGCAAGCGCATACCCAGCGCTTTCGGCATGGAGCCGAGGGGCACTTACGCGCCCGTGGGAACGACCGCATCAGACTGATCCGATGCTTGCGCTGGCGGCGACGATCTGCAACGCAGCAGCAGTCCGCCCTCTGACGGTAACGACTCTCCCATGCAGAGGTCCCCAAGGTTGGATCAAGGGCGACCCAGCCCTGTTTCTGGAGCAGGGGGCTGGCGCCGAGCCCAACAAGGCCGTCCTCCTGTGCGCCTTTTGCACCCACATGCGCTCTTGCCGGCCTTGGCTTCTTGGGTGGGGACACTGGCGGTGGACACATCGATCCTGCGAACGACATGATGTGCGGGCGAACCTGCGGCCCTACCGACCGCCGTCGCCGGCCGTCGCAGACCACCGCCCGCGAGGCTGCGATGGAGACCGAGGCCGCCGATGCCTGCTTGTCCGGCATCACTGCCGGTGCACAATCCGGGCAGGCCAGCCCCAAACGCGGCCTTTGCTCGCTCAAGGATCGCTCTGTTCGCTCTCCCCACGCCCGGTGCTTCTCCATGGGGAGTCCTCGAGGCGGTCCTCTGCCGGGCTGGGAGACCAATCCCCCTCGTCTGCGATGGCGAAACGAAGCAAAGTGAAAAAAACGGACACATTTGTAAGCGGCTGCGATATAACCTCTATCGTTTCGTCGCTTGGGCTCTGCACTTTCTGTCGCTGCCGGAAATCTGTTGCCCCGGCCTCATTCCCGTCGAGCCACCATCGGCTGCCGTCTTCGTCCAGCCTGCTCCGTTCCCCCCCCCTGTCGGTCCGAACCGCACGTCCGTTTCCAGGATCAGCAGCATCCTCGCCGACCATGGCCCAGCCCCAAGCTACCCTCGCCTCCGAGGTCGACCTGACCAAGACTGTCGCTGACAGCACCAGTGTATCCATCGCCGACCACGGCAAGGACGAGCCCACAAGCCCGGCCTCTCCTTCGGCACCAGAGGCCCTATCCGGTATCGATTCGGAGCCATTCTCGCTCAAAGCCTATATCCGCAGCCGTCTGGCATTGCGTCCGGCCGTCACATCCGACCCCCGCAACCTGCCGTCGCTCCAAAAATCGCTGATCCTGCTCTGCATCACAAGCGCTTCCTGTCTGCCGGGCCTCTCGTCCACGCTGTACCTGCCGGTCGTCCCGCAGGTCACCGAGAACCTGAATGCGTCTCCCATGTCGATCAACCTGACACTGTCGCTCTTTATCCTGTTCATGGGGTGAGTGTTCTCGGCCAGCGATGTGTGGACAAGCATCGGGGCGGAGAAGGACGGTGGGATGGATTGCAGGAGAGAGCCATGTCCGGCCCGGTGAGAGGAAATCGGAGATTGCAGTGCTGTCTTGCTGGGGAGGGTCCCTGTTCATGCTCTTCCTCCGGCTCGCTCGCTTGGTATCTCACCCAGTGGCTCTTTACTCGCATTGACCCGCTCGCATCCACCGACTCGCAGCGTTGCCCCCATCATCTGGGCCTCCGTCTCGGACTACCTCGAAATCCGGCGATGGATCTACCTCTCCTCGATCACCATCTTCTGTCTGTCGTCGATCGGCTGTGCGGTCACCGACAATGTCATCGTGCTGATCATCCTGCGCTGCTGCCAGTCGTTTGGCTCCAGCGCCGTTGGAAGCGTCGGCGCCGGCACCATTGCCGATTTGTGGGCCCCGACCGAGCGAGGCAGCCGTATGGGCATCTATATGGCCGGCGGTTCGGTTGGTCCGCTGATCGGCCCCATCATCGGCGGCTTTCTCGGCGAAGCCTTTGGCTGGCGCTCGACCTTTTGGGTCGGCACCGGCCTGGGTCTTCTGGTGCTCGTGATGATCTTTTTCATCTCGCCCGAAACATACCGCTCCGAGGCCAAGTTTGGCGAGCATCAAGCCGAATCGTTGCCCCAGACCCAGGCCCAGACCCAGAACGAGATCCAAGGCAAAAGCCATGCGGTTCGTGCCGTCACCAAGACGTTCAACCCGCTCAAGTCGCTCATCTACCTGCGCTACGGCTTTATCTTGATCATCTGTGTCCAAGGCGCTCTGTGCTTTGCGACCATGTTCACGTACGAGACCATCATTGCCGTCATCTACACCGAGGTCTACGGCACCCCCGCCAACTTGGTCGGCCTGACCTTCCTCGGTGGCGGCACGGGCAACATCATCGGCTCGCTCATCGGCGGCAAGATCTCGGACCACTACCTGCGAGAGGCGATCCGGAAGCGCGGAGCCGACTCCAAGCCGCTGCCCGAAGACCGTCTGTCGCCCTTTACCTTCTTCAGCGGCATTGTGATCATCCCGCTGGGCTGCCTGCTGTTTGGGTGGTCGATCTGGGCCCGCTGGTCGATCGGCTTCCCGATCTTCAGCTTCTTCCTGATCTGCTTTGGGATGGTGCAGATCCTGATTGCCTCCTCGACCTACCTCGTCGACGCCATCCCCGGCAAGGGTGCAAGTGCCACTGCCAGCGCCTCGGCCCTGCGGATGCTGATTGCCAGTCTGATGTCGCTGATGGCCACACCCTGGGACAACAGCATCGGCGTCCAATGGATCGGCGTCCTCTTTGCTGCCGTCAACATCCTTGGCACCCTGGCGTACGTATATCTGCTGTTCAAGGGCCAGGAAATGCGCAAGAACTCCAAGATTACAGCGTATCCAAAATGAAGCCGTGCGCCCTGTCTCTGAGACGACGAACTTTCTGGATCCCGAATACACTCACAGCCACACCCGTGGGAGCACAGTTGAAGTACTTTTTTTGGGGGGGGGAGGGGTGAGAGTCAGATTCCAATTCAGTCAGGGACATCATGGCGTTGTTTCGTCAGATGGCTGCTCATGCGACTCCAGCACTGAGTTGCCGTTCAACTTGGGCATGCACGACCAGACAGAGCCAGCACTGACGATAATCCAAAAACTGCGATGGGAGAAGGCGGAGACTGTTTCGCGAAAAGGCATCATGGTCCTCCTCCTCGTTCAAGGGACCAGATCTTAGAGCTTGGCGGGAAGGATCTCGGGCTGGTGGGAAAGTTGGTTTCGGACGATGCGAATGGCCTGCAAATCGCCACCGCCCCAACACCAAGGGAAAGATCGCCGATATGAATAAACAGCTTGTATGGATCGTGTATCTCTCGCTCCCTCTCGCTCTCTCCCTCTCTCGTCCACGGACGGGTGCGATGAATGCGAGCAATATCATCCAGGAGGGAATCAGCACAGACGAACACGAGCCTCACCTCCGAGACCAGAGTTTCGACCATTCTTTTGAGGGTGGTGCCCGAGCTCGTCACCTGCTCGTAGATGGAGACAATGGCCTCCTTCTCTGGCACGGCCAAAGCTCTGGTGGACTTTGAGCTCTCGACAACACGAGGGCGGAAGCTTCGTTGGCGATTGCCGAGCGATCCTCGCTGGTCCTGGCGACGAGCGGCTTTGCCAGCAGGGAGTTGGGCACTAAGATTCCTCGACTCTTGCAGCAGCAGCGCAATGATTTCCTCGTGGTCTACGTCCTGCTGGCCGATTCCGGCTATCGACGCAGGACTATAGACATTCTCGACGGCCGAGAGGGCTGCGGTGGTGTCATCAACCGCCATCCACTCAGCGAGACGCTCGCCAACGGAATCGAATGCGTCGGCCTGAGGGTCAATATAGAGCGACTCGAGCACAACGTCGTTCCGACGGGCGGCATCGACATCCACAACGGGCTGGTGTGCCAGTCGGGAGGGTGTTGGGGCCAGCCTGGGTTGTGGCTGGCTGCGATGGGCTTGTGCAGATTCGATCATGAGATCAATGATCCCGACGATAGCATCGAGCGACTCTTGGGGGAGGAAGAGCGAAGACACAAGATCATCGGGGGTCTGGGGCAGTGTCGACAGGAGGCGAGACATTGAAGATGGATCGGTGGGATGGAGAGGGAGAGGGAGGGAGAGGGGCAAGCCGAAGCGAGTTGGGCGATGTGGGGAGGAGTGATTCGGTGGGAGCGGATGTGCGGTGGCGAGTCGACAACAAACAGTCAGGGCAGTCATTTTTGTTTCCGGGTCCTGTATACACCAGCCCACCGCTACCCTGGCTACACTTTATTCAGAAAAAAAAAAACGGGACAATACAGCCGTTTCCATGAACATGTAGTATGTGCTGTGCTTGCGTCAAGCAAAGCCACAAGAAATAAAACAGATCACTTTGGCAGCCTCCGAGTGAAGACCGCCGGTCGCTCTCCGGTCTCCACAATCGACCTGCACACTGTGATCATGTTGCGCGCCGCATTGACGTCGCGATTCCACACTGTCCGGCAGCTGGGATTCTTGCAGCTCCTGACAAAGTGGGAATTCGCAACACTGGGCGCATCGAGTCCTTCCAACCGAACTGGCTCCAGGCACTTGGAGCACACTTGCGAGGTGTTGAACTCGTTCGTCGAGACTACCTTGACGCTTCCATGATGGTGATTGGGACGGCGTCGGTGGTGCTCGAACTGCTCAAAGTACCGAGCAAATCGCTGCCTCCGAGGGCTGGATGCATAGCCCTTGCCTTGACGCCATGATGCATTGCAAAGGCGATCACCACATCCTTCTCCCTCGGGGCGTGCTTCAGGACGGCCTTGCACATCCTGTCGACGGCCACTTGGCGCCTCTTGTGGCCCGTGAAGCGATGGTGACGGGCCTTCTTGCCAAGGTGGAAGTCGAGCTGCACTCGCAGCTCCGGTCGCAGGACATGGGTGAGATGGACCTTGAAAGCCTCCGAGGACGACACCTTGGGCGAGGGAGTGGTCGACATCCAGGTCTCGATGTCGAGTCGATACTTCATGATATTGTGCCACTTGGTGTTGGACGTATGGCCACACATATGCTGGTAGTGGCCATTCGAGAATGAGACCACCTCGTCTTGGTGGCCCGGTGCTTGGATGACCGCCGTGAAGATGGAGCCGACTCCAGGATCGATGCCAATCCAAGTGGTGCGGTTGGGGTCTGGGTCGCCGATGTGGGCCTGGATGCGCTGCTCGGCAGTCGGAGGAGGCTCGATGGTCTCGGTGTGATCGGTTCGACGCACAAACTTGACGAGGCCGATGGTGCATCCAATGCCATCGGTGCTGATCTCGTAGTTGAACAGCTTCTTGTTCACGTCCCGCTCTTGGAAGAGGGAACTACGCAGCTTGAAGCAACTGCGCCAGAGACGATCCTGGTTGTTGACACCGTCATCACCTTCTTCCTTGAGCTTGTCCCTGGTGAGGTCAAGGCGCTTCTTTGGACCCAGGAGCTCCCAGAGAGTGACCGTGTCGATCTTGACATACTTGGCCTTGGTGGTGCACAGAGGGACCATCGTGCACACGGCCGGAGGAGTGTCGAGAGTGAGCTGCTTGAGTGCCCAGTTGATCCTGGATGCCAGCTTGTTGATCTTGGACTTGGTGGTGCCGAGCTCCGACTTGGCCGTGGTGAACCTCTTGTCGTCGGAGGGAATGCCTTGGGTAGTGAGCTCGTCCAGCTTGGCCTGGCGCTGCAGCTCGGTGACTCGGAGGGCGGGCATGTCACAGTCGATCCACTTGTGGACATTGTCGACCATCTTGTCTCGGGCGAGGATTCTCACATGGTATGAGAGGCGGTGGAGGGCCCGGAAGCGGTCCTGGTCGCTGCTGTACCGAAACTCGTCCAGGACGTGGCCAAAGTCTGGATAGAGGAACTCGAGATCGGCCTTGGGTGGAGTCTGCCCTGGTTTCTCGAAGAGCTCGAGACAAGCCTCGATGGTTTCGTGCTTATGCTTGTTGGCTGGGAAGACGGCAGCGCAGAAGCGACGAAGGAGTCGCCAGTAGGCCAGGTTGAGGTGGGTGGTGCAGTTGGTGGCATAGGCATTGACAGCCAGTGTGAGAAGCTGACTGTGAGCACCATCAGGCAGACGAGGGGCCGGAGGCAGGTCTGCGTGCCGAGTGGTCTGGTAGTCGCGAAAGGAAGCGACCAGATGCTCGTTGTATTTCTTGGTATCCCTGGCCGTCGAGAGGGCACCGGCCTGGACGATCTTGAAGCATTGGCGAACGAAAGCAGGGGTGGACTTGGAGATGACGGGGACGGGAATATCCTGCTCGATGCACCGGAGGATGTGCAGGTTGAGCAGCCTGGATGCCTCGAACTGGATCTGGGTCATGGCCTCGACGGTGGCCTGGATCTTGTCGCGGAGAGCGGGATTGAGCCATTGTTTCTTTGCATTCTTCCAGAAGATGCCGTCCATGGTCTGCTTGAAGCAGCTGAACTGAGGGGCGGATGACCTTCCATCCACGAGTGGGACGACAGAACTCTTGAGGGGGTGATATTCGGGACATTTGCTGGTGTTGCAACGTTCGTGATCGGTGCCATCGCACTGGCGACATCGCTTGCCGGTACTCGAGGAAGTAGATGGACCAGGCTCGGTGGGATCGACATCCATTGGATCTGCAGAAGCAGTGGTGGTGAGCGACGGAGCAACAGACGACCAAGCATGCGTGGGATCAGAATACGAACCAGAGACAGGCTCCGACTGTGACTTGGCTTTCTTGGGCCTGGGTGGCCGAGGCTGGCCATCACCGGTACCCTTACGCTTCGGAGGCATGGGGGCAGAGGATGCTGGGTGCCTGCCAGTGGTACTGGTCAGAGCAGAGACTTTTTTTTATCGTACAATAGCGCGATGATCAGATCAAGGCGAGATGAGGGAAGAAAGCAGCAGGACGAAGGTGTGGCATTTATACCCGAGAGCAGGAGCCCGTCTTTGCGGGCTGGTTGGGAAGCGACCCTGTTCAAAAATCGCCGAGAGGTTCAAGCCAGGGATGTGAACGCGAAAATGGCGGGGTGATTGGAGGAACTCAACCCCAAATTGGAGGAACTCAACCCCAAAGAAGTTCTCGATGGGATTGAAGTCGGGCGAGGCAGGTGGGGTGAAGATCACTGACCATCCTCGGCGCTCGATGCAGTCCAGGACAGGGATTGTCTTGTGCATGCTGACATTGTCCATCACAATCACAGAGTCGTCTGGGAAGCTCGCTCGCTCAAAGAACTCGACCATCGAGTGTGTCTTGAATGATGTGGGGATGTACATGCGATGCAGCACACCAGAGTGGTTGATGGCAAATGCAGCCGAGACAGACTTGTGTTTCATGTGATTGCGCTGGCGAAGCGGAGCACCCTTCGGTGAGTATCCGTAGAGAGGGAAAATGGATCTCCTGATCCCTGTCTCGTCGACAAAAACGAGCCGTCGCGGGTCGATGGAACGGACTCGGTCCCTGAACTGTGCCACTCGCTCATCCAGTCGCTTGGACTTGTAGAGGTGTGTTGCCCTCTTGTGTGAGAGACCTGCTCGGTGGATGGCAGTGTGGCAGAGTGAGAGTGATACTTTCCTCTGGAGGATGGACTCGAGCTTGCATCGCAACACAGGACCAGTCTGGAACGGGTCCTGTTCAATCAGGGTGCGAATGACTGGACATGCCTGCTCGAAGAAAGTGGATCTGCGAGCTGGGACCCGGGATGGGTCATCCAGCTTGCATCCTCGGTGCCATCGATGGATGGTGCTCTTGGACACACTGAATATGGAGGCGACCTTACGCAGGCTATGGATGAGGGCGTAGCATCGCAATGCGGCGGTGCGAAAGTCGGATGTGTGGCGAATGGTCATGGCCAGCGCGCGATAACATTGGGTAACAAAATATTCGATGAATGGTCAAAAACCCGGGTGTCCCGTTTTTTATTGGATTGCCTGTAAACAGTGTGCTCAGAGCGCCTGGAGGCCGAGCGGCTCTCTTGATGTTGGAGAGCTGCCCTGTTTCGCTCCGAACTGGTTCACGGAGGTCTCCGACCCATCTCGAGAAAATGTCGAAGATTGACGACAATCCAGAGAAAGATACACATGAAATTGGGCAACTCCATGCCGAGCTACCTTGAGAATCGACCAAACGTGCCCAACGAACAGGGAATGATGTGATGGCCTTATATTTGAATCCAAGTGCAGTGTCTTGAGAGGGGGAAGCTTGTCGACGAGCCCGCTGACTCGAAGATCCGGGACTGTGAGGGAGCTTTGATTCAAACGAAAATCGGGCTGGCTCACAGTTTGAGTTGGGAGGACAAGATGATTGGGCTTTGGCATGCTTGGGAGTTGGTTCAAGATGTTGTGGGGTTTGTGCGAGGAGATCGTGAGCTTGGTGAGGGATGGGAGCTCGTCGGGGATGGCCGAGAGGGTTTCGACACTGGCTGGAATGTCGAGTTCGAGCAACATTGGCACATTTGACAGCCTATAGAGTGAGGCCAATCAAACAGATCGATCCAGAAAGAGGAAGGGTACGAAGTCAGATATTTTGGCATGTCTTTCAGGACTCTGTTGACTCGAGGAGTTGAAGGATCTCAAACCGCGGCATCTCGGATATTTCCTCGAGCGACTTCAGCTGGCCGCATCTACTCATGCTGGGCCTTGTAAGCGTGGGCAGCACTTTCGGGATGTCTTCAAGCGGCTCGATAGATGGTGGGAGGAGAAGTTCCTCCAGGTTTGGCATCACAGGCATTCCCTTGAGCGACGTCAGTTGGCTGCATCTACTCAGGTCGAGCGTTGCCAGCATAGGCATGACCTTCGGCATGCCTTCCAAGGACTCGATGGAGCTGGGGAGGAGAAGCGCCACTAGCTCTGGCATCTCAGACACTCCTTTGAGCGATTTCAGTCGACTGCATCCACTCAGATCGAGCGTTGTCAGGCGAGGCAGCTCCTTAGGCATGCCTTCCAAGCTGATCAGTGGATCGGTCACTCGTTCCCGATAGTTATGCCTGATCGCCAGATTTGAAATATCGGAGAGTGTCTTGGGCCATCCAGACACTTCCAGAAACGACACATCCTCGAGTGTCAGTTTCTGTTCCTTTGCGCCGTTGATTCCTGAGATGTCGAATGGCAAAAGCTTGGAGACATAGATATATCTGTCCATGCGCTGGCTTGGTCGAATCGTGGCACCGTACCAAAATCCAACAGATATCGGCCATTGAAATTCAAAGTATTGTTTTTCAGCGATCGTTATCAATCCCTCGACGGATAATTCCTTGAGTCCGTTTGGTTTTGCGTTCTCGGGGAAGTGAAACTCTGGATCGGTCACTTGGCAGTATCGAAACACTCGGTTGAACAGCTGTCTGTCTCGATAGACTTCGGACCAGAGCTCGTTTTCTTTCTCCAGTATCGATGAGCTGATTGGCATGTGCTGGTTCCGGCGAAGTGTGTAGCAGAGGAGCCCTTGCGTCACTTTCAACTGATCGATGGAGGGATCGACACCCTCGAACAGGAATTCGGGTGTGATCTGCGAATTCGGAGATAGTAATCGCTCCCATATTTGATAAGTGTTGAGGATGGCCCGAGTCTGGTTTGAGACTCTCAGGAGCTTTGCGAGCAATGGTGGACTCGCAGCGTGAATGAATGCTTCATTTGTGATCAGGATGGTGAGCAGGTCGAAGCGAGCGAGGTCCTCCTGGACCGGGGATGGCTCGGCCATGGTTTGTGCTGAAGCTCGCATGGCGGAAAAGAGGGATGGGGACAGGCCGCGAGTGAGTGGTGGCTGCAGATGGGAGACAGCTGGGGCAGAGGGAAGAGGCGGGATGAGGATGAAGCAGAGGCGACGACGAAGAAGCGGGACGACGATAGTGCAATATTTGAGGGGCGATGTGCTGCTTCCTCGCTGATTCCGTCAACATGGTGTGGCTGGGTGGCACTGTGTCCCTTCTCCCGCCACCACAGGAAATCGACCGGGTGTGTTCCGGATGATGCTTCCCAAACCAACGAAAACAAAACCGATTGCCAACCGGGACTAGAAACAATTGAAAGAGCGTGGATAATATGGCGAGCATGGTGGACATGTACCGGTGTATTGAAGATACAGAGGAATCAGACCCAACATCCGAGTTGAGGGCCCTTGTGGGCTTGCGTATCACATCGAGGGATCGGCCGTGTCAATATCGATTTTCTAGTCCGTGACCTCGGCTCGCATCGCCATGACTGTCATTACCGATGGAGGGTGGCCCTGCTCTGCGGCCTTGGAGAGCCATTTGAGTGCTTCCTCTCTGTCTGGGATGACGCCCTGACCATACAAGTGGCACTCGCCCAGGGCGTGTTGTGCCTTGGCATGTCCCTGCAGCGCAGACTTGCGGAGCCACTCGATTGCACGGTGCTCGTCTTGGGCAAAGAGTTTGCCTTCAAGGAAAAGCATGCCCAGCATGTACTGGGCATCGTCGTCTCCCCCTTCAGCACCTTTGCGCATCCATTCGGCACCTATCTGTTGCTTTTCCAGCGAGTCCCCCATTTCGAGGAAGAGCTTGCCGATGACGTACTGGGCCTGTGCAAATCCCTGCTCGGCGGACCTGTGGAGCCATTTCAGACCTTCTTCCGTATTGGAGGCCACGCCGTCGCCAGAGAGATAGATGCCGCCCAAGGCCATTTGAGCAGAGGCACAGCCCTTTTCGGCTGCTGAGCGGAGCCAGACGACGGCCGCATCAATGTCCTTGGGGAGCCCGCTACCTCGCATGTACATCATACCCAGCTGCATCTGGGCTTGGGTGTTGCCAAACATGGCGGACTTGCGGAGCCACTTTTCTGACTTGACATGGTCCTGGGTGGGGCCGTCTCGGGTGTAGAATCCGCCCAGATAGAACTGCGCCGTATCGTTGCCTTGATCGGCAAGGTCCTCGATGATCGATAGTCCGCGTGTCAGGCTCTTCATGATGCCCATGCCCGTCATGTAGCATCGCCCCAGGAGGAAATTGCAGAGCCAGTCGCGCTTCGACCCCAGAGCGCACCAGCGAAAGAACTTTGAATGGAGAGGCGCCATGCCCTCGACGTGCGACTGCTGCTCGCCCCACTGGGTCCAGTCTTGCTGTGTTCCGCGGCCGGTGCCGTAGCACCAGCCCAGGATGACACTGGCAAGCTTTTGCAGCAAAATATCGGTAGATTGCTCCGAGACCTCGAGCCAATAAAAGAACGCAAACTCGTCGCTCTTTGGCACACCGAGGCCAAGGAGGCACATCCAGCCGAGATGGAAGCTGGCCTCCACATCGCCTGCGCTGGCTGATGCCTGGAAGGGCTGCGCTGCCTCGGCCCAGACCGGATGGGCGAGGGTCAGCCGGTCAACCAGATTCTCGGCAGCCATGAGATAGTTGCTTGGGTCGCCGCTCCGAAGCTTGTCGAGTAGTGCCTTTGGAATATACTCATCCGCGTCAGGCTGAGTCTGGGGCGGCTGACCAGAGGACGCATCTCGGCCTGAGTTGCCACCGTGGTTGTTGGCTGTGCTTCGATTGCCGGCGGCACTGTACACCCCATCACGGCCTTGGTTGCCTTGGTTGCCGTTGGTTGCCGTTGGTTGCCGTGGGCTGATGGTCAGTGGGGATGGCTGTGCGTCGGTCGCCACGATCGCTGCGGTCAGAGGCAGCACCATCTTGCAATACATTCGGGACGGCCTGGCGCTGGATCTCAATGTCTGGATTGAGACCGAGACGACGCAGAAGCTTTTCGACGACAACGTCCTCGAGGACCTGGGGAGCATCGGTGGCGGCAGGCTGAGGTTGGGGTTGGGGTGGCGGAGTCGGCCCTCGCACAGGGACATAGTTTCGATAGGGCTGCAGCGAGACCAGGATGTCGGTGAAGCTGGGCCGGGTTTCAGGGATCTGGGCCCAGCATCGCTCGATCAGGGCCCAGATGTCGTCGGGGATGGCGGGAGTTTGCTTGGGGCGGGTTCCTTTGGAAACCAGAGCCTCGACGGCGCGAGGTCGGATTGGAGTGCCGTCGGTGGAGACCCAGACGGGCCTAGCGTTGTTGAGGACCTCGTAGAGCATGATGCCAAAGGCATAGACATCAGTGGCCTTGGATGAGTCGACGGGATTCTCGTCGTCCATCATTTCGGGAGCCATGTAGTCGAGCGTGCCACCAATGCTCTCGCCGGGCTTGAACAGGAGGGAAGACGACGATGTGTGCTTGGTCCGGGACATGCCAAAGTCCGAGATGACGGCAGAGTAGGAGTTGTCCAGGAGAACATTCAGGGTCTTGAGATCGCCGTGGATGATGTTGCTGCCGTGGAGGTAGGCCATGCCGGAGGCAACTTGGTACATGAGCTTGAGCTTCTCGCCGACGGGACGGACTTGTTCGGCATCGGCGACATAGCTGCGGAGGGTGCCGTTGTGCATGAAGGGCGAGACCATGAAGGGCCGCTCAGAAGTGTCGCAGGCGCCGAGGAGAGGGAGGATGTGTGGGTGGCTGAGCCGGTGCCAGATGCCAATCTCCCGCTGGAACTCGGCAATCTCTCGAGCGCCGCAGATGGAGAATAGTTGCTTGACGGCCACATCGGTGCCATAGTACGAGGCGGAGAAGACCTCGCCAAAGCCGCCACGGGCAATCGGGTTGGGCGACCTGTCGGTGATGGCCTCGGCAGGAACGTACCAAAGCTTGTCGGACATGGGATACGAAGGGATAGGCGAGATACGATGGGATACGATGGGATGGACGGAATAGATGGGATACGATGGGATACGATGGGATACGATGGGATTGGGGACAGACCGCAGGGGATGCGACCGAGCGATGGGAAAGCGAACCGCAGAGGAGATGAAGTTCAACCTGTCGCCCAAGCCCACGACCCCTCTCCGGTGAGCAAAAGGCTTTCCCCCCGGCTCGGTCTTCTCGCAGCAGCGCTCTCCGGGCGTTGTCGTCCTTGTATGCCGTCCTGATCTGCCGTCCGATCACTGCTGTTCGCTACCGTTCCCCGCCGTTCGCTGCCTCTCCTCTCCTGTGTCCGGCGCATGGCTTGTTGCAGCCGAGGGTATCCACTGGCGAGGGGCAACGGCCGTTGTTTCATCGCATCGTCCATCCCGCAACCCGCCACCCGCTCTCTCCCCGTCGCTCTCCCCCATCGCCCTCCATCATTGCCCGCCTGCGTCTACGACCGATGGATCTCGCACAATACATTTTCCACGAAAAGGTTTGCGTGCCGGTAGCTCCAGTCCGTTCGCTCTCTGGCTGCTTCTCACGGCTTTCGCGGACTGATCCAACGCTGCCTCGGCCAACAGCAAGAGGGAGCCCTCTGTGCACAACATGCGCTGAACTCGCTGCTTCAGGGTACGTCGCTCTGACCCAGCCGTCTCGCTGCTGATTCAACGAAAGCTAACGCTGCACGGTGTCCGTTGTGCCTGGGCCTGCTTTCGGCGATACCACAAGAACCCATCTTCAACGCTGTCGATCTCGCCGAGGTCGCCGTCAAGGTCGATGAGCTCGAACACAATGTACGCTCGCATCCCTCCGCAGTGTCTGTGTTATCGATAAAATATCCCTCTGCCACTTTGAACTCATCGCTGGCCCCCTGTCTCTCGCAGGCGGTTCGCCATAGCGGCGGCAATCACCAGGACATTGCCCGATATCTGCACCAACGCTCCTCGAATTACGATGATACTGGATATTTCTCAATCCAGGTACGATGCAATGCAGTTTTCACACTGCAATAGACGCTGGCAACAATCTCAACGGCATTCGCTCGGCCGATCGGCATTCCGGCGAATGAGACGCAACACGCATGAGCTGGCACCAACGTCAGAACTTTGTGCAGGTCATCATGAAAGCACTCGAGCCCTGGAGTTTGACCCTGGTTTCTGTCGCTGCCACCCGCGAACAAGAGACCTTGAGACACCCGGAGTATGTTAAAGCTGTCTGGTTGAGCTAACGGCATCGGGCTTACGGAAGGTTTCGATCTGACCATTGCCGCACTCTAATCGAATCGTCGGTCGGCAGGCATGAGCGTGCCTTTATCCTGAACCTGGATAGTCACTGGATGGCCCTGCGGAAATTTGGGATTCAACGTCCACGGCACGTACCAGTGCGCTGGACGAGTCTTCGGCTGATCCAGATGTCAACCCGTCCAGCAACTAACGACTTTCCGCTCCCAGATGGTTCAATCTTGATTCGACCCTGCACGCCCCACAGCCCATCTCGGACACCTATTTGGTAGGAGGACAAGAGTTGTGTTGAGCCAGACTTTGACGTCATGGGATACACACTGAAAACACCCGCCTGCCATCTGGCTTCTAACTGCTCTGCCTGATTCATCCACCCACCCACCATTCGCTCATTCATTCATCAAGGCAATGTTGCTCATGGAGTACCGCGACAGGGGTGAGTATTGTTACTTAATCTCCGAGCCCGGCTTCGTCACTCCGATGCCCAACTCATCTCTGTTCTAATGTCCCACGCTCTTAACCTGCAGGCTACTCCGTTTTTGTCGTTCGCGGCGTTATGCCTGACTGCCAAGCGGACAAAATTGCCGACGAGGGCCCTGGCTTTCAAGAGCGTCGCTGGACCGAGCAGGAAGAGTTCGAGCTTGCGCTTGCCATGAGCCTCGACGAGCAGCAGCAGCACGAAGAAAGGCTGCGACGAGAACAGCCCCAGCGGCACAACGTGTACGAGTACGATGATTTTCACCAGCCCGATGAACAGGCTTTCAGGCCCTTTAATGACGATCAGCAACATGCAAATGCAAGATCGCGCCGGTATTTTCCAGAGCCTGAGCCGCCCCGCGATCTGGTTGCCGGACATGGACTCGATTGCTTTGGGCCAGAATGGCGACCTGTGTCTGACGACGACCCCCCTCTGAGCAATGAGCCATCAGTCCGCGAGCGACTTTCGCCACCCGCGATCCATCGGCAACCCGGAACCAGTTACGGTGGTCACGACAGCTATTACGACGCCGATGATTATGATGACGATTTTGATGATGATCATGATGTCTATGTTGGCAACGAGCGAAAGGCGTACGACACTCGCCTACCCAGCCAGGAGCAGCACCGTCCTCCGCCACTGGATCCAAGCCACGGGGAGCCGCAGAGACAGCACCCTGCTGCCGTTAACGCGGGGCGAGAGCCGCTTCCGGACCCTTCGAGACAGCCTCCCCGTGAGGAGCCAGCACTCGAGCGGCAGCCATTGGAATATCCTTCTGGTAAGCCGTTCCCGCTGCTGCTTCGTCCGAGTGCTTTGGGCATTGTCGCTTCCTCGGTCTTTGCAGTCGCCGATGGTAGATCGGCTGGGATTGCATCATCTAACTCTGTCATGCCTCTGGCGACGATTCAACACCACGGCTGCTTCCCACTCACAAGATCGCCAAGCGCCTTCGGTCCAGACCGGAGACGGCTCGGCCGAGCTGACCGTGGAGGAGCTGCGCCAGCGCCGCCTCCAGCGACTTGCTCGTGACAACCACAGCCAGCAGAAATGAAATTTCGGCGATCCTCTCCAGGAGTGTGGGTGTCGCTCGGGGCGCCGCTGCATTTCGAATACATGGACGCTGTGTGGGCTACATACCAGTCGGTCGCACCGCAATGCAGCAACAGGGAGCGGTGCTATTTGAGTGGTGAATGAGCGTCTATTCAAATCCAAAAGTCGGCTGGGCCGGCAAAGTCGTCAGACTCCTCGTTGGAAACGACTGCACTCTCTGCATAATCCACGTTCACCCCCGAACTGCCATGCATTCGATCGCCACGTGCCCAGTCGCCATGCATTGAATCACCCATGTGCCCAGTCGCGGTATCTGGATCGCATCCGCCGCAGCAGCTCAGGGCGTGCGTTCGAGAGCTTTAATCGTCCTCATGTTGGCCGCTCATGAGCGTCAGGAAAGCTTCCTGTGGCAGTTGAACGCCGCCGGCCACAGCTTTGAGCTTCTTCTTGCCAGCCTTTTGTTTCTCCAGCAGTTTCATCTTGCGAGTGATGTCGCCTCCGTACTTTGGGACGACGTGTTACATATGTCGGTATGGCGAGCAGTTAAGAATCGTTGGGGCAGATGCGATTTAGTCACCAGATGCAATTTAGTCATCAGATATGATATAGTCACCAGATGCGATTTAGTCATCAGATGCGATTTAGTGACTAGCCAAGACTGCAGTCTACTCTGGTGGCATCCAGCGACCGATAGGCCGCCGCTATATGCACCATGCGCATTCTGCCCTATGCGCACCATACAGCCCACACAAAGGCAAATGCTCCGTACGTACACATTTGGCGGTCACGTCCTTGCGCAGAGCCGTGACGGACTCACGAGCCACGATCTTCCCGTTGATAGAAGCTTGGATCGCCACCTCAAACAGTTGCCTGCACACCGGTCGGCAAGTCAGTGAATCGATTGTCCAGAACGAGCCTGCGTCGCAAGCGTGCGACTTGCACACCAGCAAAGGCAAAGGCAAAGACACAGGCAACGACGGTACCCTTGCGCAAGCAACCCACCTTTGCACAACCTTCTTGAGCCGCTTGACCCAGATCTTTGCCACCCGCTCAGCCTGGACTCGATGCACGATTGTCGAGAGGGCGTCGACGGGCTTGCCGTTCAGGAGCAAGTTGATCTGTCGATGTGTTGATTGGAAACGTGTAAACATGGATCCTTCGCCACGATCGCAGGGCTCGAACATCATACGAAGGCCCGCAAGTGTGCGGCTCGGACAAGAGTGGGCAGACAATCTCGATCAGGTTTACAGATCCTACCTTGACCATATCGGCCTCTTCGTAGCCGATTTCTTCGTAATCAAAGCTGCGCACAGCGCATCGATATGTTAGGACTGCATACCCAGTCGACTTCCGTCGTCAAGCCTTTCTTCGACCCTCTCTCCATTCGAACAGATTCAGTTCGACATACCTAGCGTATCCCGAGGTGCGGCTCTTGAGCTGATCATAAAACTCTGTGAGGATTTCTGACATTGGGAGCTTGTACTTGATCATGACGCTGGGAGAGGATATGGAACCGGTCCAAACACCGGCCGAGTCAGCACACACCACACCGTTGTTATGCGCGAGTTAGCACCATGCATTCACGCGCTGGCTTACCGGCTGTCGTCGATGTAGGTAAAGTCAACCTGCTCTCCACGATGATTCTAATATTGCAGCGTTGGGCACACAATACCCGAGTGAGATAAGTGCGCCGAATGACAGGCATGCAGACAACTGTCAAGCAGCAACGCTCCCCAGCGGTACTAGAAGCAGGTGCGAGCCGCTGCTCATTGTGTTCGTATGTCTGACTCACCCCACAGAGATCCATGAGACTGCCCAGGTACTCTTCGGGAAAGACAAGAGTTCCGAGCACCATGGGCTCGAGGAAATGATCGACTTTGGAGAGCTCTTCGATCTCGGGAAACTCGGCGGGATTGCGAATGAGCTTCTCGGAGCCGTCTTTGTAGAGCACGCGGAAGGGCACCGTCGGGGCAGTGTTGATGACTGTTGCTTCGTGCTCTTCCTCCAAACGCTGGCGAAACACATCCATGTGCAGCGTCCCCAGAAAGCCTAGACGAAAGCCCTGGCCCAGCGAAGACGATGTCTCCTTGACGACCGAGACCGATGCATCGTTCAGCGTCAGGCGCTCGAGAGCCTCGGACAACTTGTCGTATTCAGAGGCATCCATAGGGTACAAGCCCGCAAAGACCATGCTCTTGGCCGGAGCGAACCCGGGGAACGGTTCGACGGGCTGAGACTGGTGGTAAAATGTGTCGCCGATGTGTGCGTCGCGACAAGTCTTCATCCCCAGAATCACATAGCCGACTTGTCCGGCATAGAGTGCTGCTGCCGGTGTCTGCTCGGGATACATGAGCCCCAAGTTGGTGACTTCGTAGGCCAGGCCGCTGTGCGCACTGACGATCTTCTCACCAGGCTTGAGTACACCGTCCTTCACGGCCATCAGACAGATGACGCCCAGATACTGGTCGTACCAAGTATCGAAGAGGAGGGCCTTGAAGGGCTTGGTGCGGTCGCCTTCCGGTGGGGGCATCTTGTCGATAACCATCGGCAAGATCTGGTCCACGTTTACCCCCGTCTTGGCACTGATTCGGATGATTTGGTCCGTCGGCAGTTCAAAGGTGCTTTCGATCTGGTTGCAAACCTTTTGGGCATCCGCCGATGGCAGATCGACCTAAAATCGTGCGGAGCAAGATCCAAGCAGATGGATTCGGTGCAAGACATGTCAAGATTAGGAATACTTCGGCGAGATCCCATGCGCCAGCGCTACTTGTTCGATGCCAACCTTGTTCAGGACCGGGACGACTGTGAGGTTCTCCCCAAAGGCCAGGAAAAAGTTGGCCACCGTCTGAGCTTGGATGCCTTGGCTAGCATCGACCAACAAAATTGCTCTGGTGGCAGCGGTCCCAAATCATGATCATGGTCAATACGGCGAGGGCCTGTGGCCACCTCTGCTATGTCACATCAAATCCTTCCGAATCTTCCAAAATAGCTGATACAGCGAATGCACTTACCCTTGGCACGCAGCAAGCGATCTCGACACCTCGTAGCTGAAATCGACGTGGCCAGGTGTGTCGATCAAGTTGAGTACATAGAGCTCGCCGTTGTGCGAATAGAACATTGATACGGTCTGTGCTGGACATAACGTGGAACTGCCGTTACTCAGTCGTCTGCCTCATCAGCATTCATGTGTTATCCAAAGACCGCCGCTTTGGTCGGGTGCTTCTCTTCTGGTGGGGCATACACCAAGACACAATCGACACCTACCTGGGCCTTCACCGTGATTCCTCTCTCTGTGAGAGGACAAAGTCAGGAGATGCAGTGTGAGAATGCCACTGCTTCTGTCGCAGTGAGTTGCAAGTCTATCCCAGAGCACTCTGGCTTGCTTTGTGAGTCCTCGATGCTCACCACGTTCGACTTTCAGCTTGTCAAGAACCTGCTTGTTGCCGTCGTTGCGCTGTATTGTGCCTGTCCAAGGACGAATGAGCACGGCAATCAATACGCGGCATCCCAGCTCAACAACAGTTGGCTTATCAGACAGGTGTTCAGGCGATCGGTTGGCGCTGCTTTGATATGCACCTGTGTGTTCGAGTAGTCGGTCCGCAAGTGTGCTCTTGCCGTGATCTGCTGGGCCGGCGGGCCAAAGATGTCAGAGAGCTGGTTTCCAAAATCGCTATGGAACAGACTCCCGATGTGTCCACTGCACTTTTGTTTGCCCAAGCCACTGACCAATATGGGCAATGATGCTGAAGTTGCGGATCTTGTCTGGCGTGAACTGGGACAGATCCAGATGGTCTTTCTGCACGATCCAGCAGTTCCAACAAATGCAATCGGGGTCAGCATCAGTGCAGATAAGAACAGACTCTGGTTGAATCGCTTGTATCGGCGCACTCGACCTAGCACCGTTGCATCGCGGGCCAAGCAGCCTCTCGGCACAGCTCGCTCTGTCGACCGGCATCCTGCGGTCGGAAACGCTTACGCCGCTGCCGGTTCTTGGGGCGGTTGCGTACCAGCGCACCATGGCATCCAGCCGAGGACTCCTGGATACACGGCTCCATATGCCGATGCCGCAAGGAGCCGTCCATCGCTTGGAGCTGAGCACCGACAGTCGCATTCCTCAGCGCTGCGGAGGCTTGTTGGGGGGGGGGAGAGGACCTTGGGTCTCGATGGGTTCGACGAACGATCGCGACGGAAAATGGAGACGGTTTTGGCGGAGCACCCGGTCATGTGGTGTCACTGCGCCACGACCGTCCAATCGACCGAACCTCGAGTCATTCTCCGTTTGCGACCCAACCGCTATCACCACGCGACATGACGGGGGGGCACATCCCAAGTACCATCATTCTGACATGATCATTTATCTTGGCTCCATATCTGGTTCGTCTCGCGCGCGCATCGTTTTCTCCCTGACCGATTCCTCATCCCACATGCAACATGAAATCTGGAAAGACATTCGAGTGTATGCTGAGCCGCTACTTCTTGCTAAAGAACTTGAAGAGCTTCTTGAATGGACTCAATATGCCGCCCTTCTTGCTCTTTTTGGTGTCCGGGGGCGTCAGCACCTGAGTTTCCCCCGTCGGTATCGTGACGGTGAGCTCGGGAATGGCGGAGGGTTTGGGGCTCGACGTCCTGGACTCTCCCAGATGCATCTTGGCCTCAGAGGGGCTTTTCTGCTCGAGGGCATGTCCCAACGAAGGCGAGACGTGGGTCTCCTTGCTATCTTCGTGTGCCGCATGAGCACTGCCTGGCTTGTCCTTCGCGGATGCCGTTGGGCCCTTGCTTTCGATCGACTGAGGGAGTGCTTCAGGAGGGTTCGTAGCATGGCTTGGGACGGGAGCAGCGACGACTACTGCTGCTGATGGAACCGAAGCAACCGGTGCGATCTGAGGCACTGGCGTCTCTGTCTCTTGGACCGACTCGGGGGCTTTGGCAGGTGTCTCGTCCTTGGTTGGCTCTGGCAGATTTGCCGGCTGTTCCAGAACAGGCGGGGGCTGAATGGTGTGAGCGATGACCTCTACTGGATGGGGTCCAACTTGAGCCTCGTCTGGCTTCTGGGCTTCCAGAACTGTACTCTCTGCTTGCTGGGCTTGATGGGGCTCAAGCTCGCCATTGGTTTGACCACTGCTTGCAACTACAGTTTCCTGAGTCAACAACAGGGCTGACTGAGTAGGTGCGCCATTGACCTCCATTGTTGCCACCGCTTCAACAGGTTGGTTGGGCTCTGGATGCTTTGGCTCTGGTTGTGTTGGCTCTGGGTGTGCTGGCTCTGGGTGTGCTGGCTCTGCAGGCTCGAGTGCTTGCGCCACAACCGCATCAACTGCCTTGGCAGTTTCGTGGTGCTCGGCCAACTGCTGCTCAATCAATTTCGGGTCAACTTCATCGCCAGATACGTTCTCGATTGCATTCGCAGCATCAACGTTGGTGGGAATTGCATCGGCATCTTCTGTTGCAATCTCCCTCGACTGCGCTTCCACACTTGCTGGGCGAGCCTCGGGTTGCTGGGAATCAGCTACTGCGTGCACACTTTCCCTCGGCACAGAGTGCTCCACCGGTTCATCGGCCTTGTGATCCGGCTTGGAGGGTTCCGTGTCCAGTTGTTCGCGCTTGATCTCGGGCTCGCTCGACTCGACATTGTTGTGTGCAGGAGCCTCCGGCTCGGCAGCAATCGACTCGCCATCTACAAATGACGCACGGCCGGATCGTGTCTCGATGCTCAATGCTTCTTCACGGATTACGGCTTCAAGCGCAGCGGAAGCTGCGGGTTGGGCAGCCATGACACCGATGGTCATGTTCATCAAAGTAACCAGGGCCTCGGAGTTCATGGCTTGTTGAAGAACTTCAAGACTGTGCTCTTGCTCATTCATTGGTTGGTCAGAAGCTGGTGCTGATAGGGTTGGCTCATTAGGCTGGCTTGCGACGGAGGGCTCAATTTCGGCCGCGAAGCCGCTTTCAGACTGATGAGTATGTTCGAGGGCCGGCTTGGACTCGACCACGGGCTCGTCTGGGTCCTGAGCGGTTGGATGGGGAGTTGTCTCATCGGTTGGATGGGTAGTGGGCTCATCGGTTGGTTGGGGAGTTGGCTCATCGGTTGGCTGGGGAGTTGGCTCATCAGTTGGATGAGGGGCTGGCTGCTGCTCTACCTGGACAATCACCGAGTCAAGTGCCGCATCTCTGTCCGAAGCAATCTCAGGAAGCACGGGTGGGTAGTCGAATGCCCTCGCGCTGTCGCCCTGTGATTCGTGAATATCGAAAGATTCATCCGCACGGCCCACCAAATCGGTAGCAGCTTCTTCGGCTTTGGTCACGGAATGCTCTGGAGCACTTGCCACCGTTACGGGCTCGAAATCTGCTTCGTGGACGTCAGGCTCTGCAGCGAGCTTGATGTAGGTATGGTGCACTTTGCTACCACTGGTTTCGGTTTCCGAGGGGCTTGTTGTCGCAGCCGGGTCCACAGGGGTGCTCATGACCGCAACACTCTCTGGCTCGGGTGTGTGTTCCGGATTCGGCTGGTCAGCGGCGAGAGTAGGACCGGCAGACTCGGATATTTCGTCTGCTGGTGGGGAGACTGAAACTTCGGCGCTATGATCTGTTTCTTTGATGGCGGCAGGGACAGCATTTGAGGATTCGGTCACTTTGGTCACTAAAGCGGCCTCCTCTGGGCCAGTTTCGTTTGTCTGTGATGTTTGAGGCCCGATATGCACGGGTTGCTCGACTGCAGGATTAGCGACTGCATCCGGGGATGCGCTCGGCTCTGGAAGCTCAACGCCAGAGACGGTATCCGAGTTGTTGGCATCCTGCTTGAGAATATCATCTGGATTCTCTGCGACAAAGCATTCGTGAGAAAATAGCGAGCCGCTGTCTCGAGCGGGACTATTGCAGCGCCACAAACGGAAAAATGAGAATGTAAGCCAGCCTATTCATACCTGTCATCTCTTCTGGAAGCGGCCTCGGAGCAACGGTTGATTCCGCTGGTCCTGAATGGAGATCGTGCCTCTGGACGCTAGACCCGGGCGATGCGTGAGCGGGGGCCGAGACAGCGGAAGCATTGGTTGGGGCGGCGTCGGCGGCCTCAAACGCGGCGCTTTGATGTTCAGACGGTCTGTCGCCAGCCTCGCTGACTGCTGGGCGTGCCTCCTCGACAATTTTATTGGAGGTACTATATTCGGGGACATCTTGCTTGGGATGGGCGTATACAGGCCCATCATCGTGCAGACCGTCAGCTTCAGGCTCGCTCTGTATGGGCTTTGGTTCGTCGTCGTCCTGGGTGCTGTCGCGTTCAGGCTCTGGCTCGGCGTTTGGAATCACTGCAGGTTGTGGTTGGTTGATTCCAGCCTCGTTGTGGTTATGCTTGGCTTCGACTTGAGGGCCGCTGTGAGCGTCAGGCGCATCGGAGGCATTGTTGTGTGTGCCAGGATGGTCTTCTTTCGCGAGTGTCTGAGCTGTCGCTGTCGTTGCTGCCTTGGATGCAGACTCGGCCTGGATGACGGGCGGAGCGGAAGGGCCGTCGTGTTTCGGGACCTCACTGGATTCCTCCATTTCTGAAGCGTAGAGCTCGACCGGAGAGGATTGTAGCAAGCGAGAGATGCAGAGCGGAAAGGCGCCGAGGACTCTTCCGCCTGCCAGGAAGGACGGTGACGAGGCGGGAAGCTTCTGCCGAGCACCCAGCTGCTGATTGGTGATGCGGCTCGCACTTGTGGGAACTCGGCTGTTTGCAACAGGCGATCCAATACAGCCAATCCAACAAAAAGCGTGACACCCTTGATTTTGACCATTGATCAAATGTTTTGTTACCCAATGTTATCGTGCGCTGGCCATGGCCATTCCGTGATGCGGTGCAATACCATCATTCACCGCTGGCACTGCGAGACCAGTGTGCAGGTCGATTGTGGAGACCAGAGAGCGACGGCGATCTCCACTCGGAGGCTGCCAAAGTGATTCGATTTATTTCTTATGGCTTTGCTAGACGCATGCCATCACATACTACATGTTCATGGAAGCGGCTGTGGTGTCCCGTTTTTTTCTGAATGCACTATAGTAATCATAGAGACGACGCCGTCGGGATTCGAGAGGTGCCCACGGTCGCAGGCCATGGACGAACTAGACCAGGGTAAAAGCAGCAGCAGAGGCATCGTTCTGGCCGAGGTTGCCCAGACCGAAATTGTCCTCGACAGTGGCCAGGAACGAGTAGTGGTTGTAGGAGGTGCTATCGTCGACACCGGGTCGGGCGCCCTTGCCAAGAAGGATGCTGTAGACCTGGTTGTTGTTGTTGTAGTTCTCAGACTCGTCAAAGGTGACAAAGAAGAGGGTGTTGGCGTGGACAGGGTTGCTCAGGCGAGAGGGCAGGAAGGACTGGAGCCAGTTGTCGGCATAGGTAACACCAGTATCATGACCATCGTTGTTGAGGCTGGCAATCGAGCAGGTTGATTAGATTTGGTTGTCACGATTCAAGCATGGATCGAGCGCCGCTCGAGCACGGTGAATTGTGACTCACTCAGGGGTGTAGAACATCAGGTTCGGGAGGTTGCCGCTAGCTTCATCGGCAGCAAGCTGGTCGGACGTCACAATGTTGTCGCAGCGGGAGCTGGTCGAGATATCGGTGAAGGACAGGAAGGGAACGTGCTTGCGGGCATATTTGCCGGAAGTGCTGCCGGTGAAGCAGCCGCCTGGGCGATAAGGTATGCGATACAAAGCGATTAGAACAAGAGCTGCATTCTTGGCCAGTTTCACAGCATTCCAAGCGAGCATTCCAAGTGAGCATTCCAAGTGAGCATTCCAAGTGAGCATACCAGGATAGCCCTGAAATCGATGTGCCATGCAAAGCAAGTGCAAAGAGCAAGTTCCGTGCCAAAATGAGAGGTGGGTTAGCGATCGGTATCGGTGTCATGAGAGTATTATTATCCGTGGCACCTACCTCGGCATAGTTCTTCCAGGTAAGACCCTTTGCTTCGAGCAGATCGGCAATGTTCTTGACATTCAGATTGACACTAGAGTCGCTGGTCACGCCGTTGGTGCTACCAGAGACCAAGGCGATGTAGCTGCACGAGCAGTCCATGTGTTAGCGCAGTGTATTAGTGGTGCGAGGGGCTGTTTAAGAGGCTGTCTATCCGGGCAGGAACTTACTTGGGCTGGGAGGGGTGGGTGATAGCCAGATAATTGCTGAGCAGGGTGCCGGACTGCAGAAGGCTGGACATGTACGAGGCAGCCACAGCGGCAGAGTACTGCAGAAGAAGCGCAAGCAAGGTCTGTCCGTTAGCCATGCGAAAGTGAAGTGCTATGACAAAGCTATACTCACATCTTGGTTTTCGAGCAAGATGATCATGATGCGATCAAAGTGCTTGCCGACGGATGGGGTTGTGACGGGGGCGGCGGTGGTAGTAGGAGCAGCAGCGGTGGTAGTAGGAATGGCAACGGTGGTAGTAGGAACGGCAACGGTGGTGGCGGCGGTGGCATCAGGGAACCTGCGATCGATGTATTCCAACGTCAGTTCTCGTCCACGACACCCAGAAAAGGATATGCATTCACAAGGTACTTACTGGCAGCTGACGCTGCTGTCGGCCTGGACGCAGACGGTACCGGCGGCGCAGCTGAACGAGAGCTGCGAGCCAAAATAGCAGAGAGAATAGTCGGGCGAGGAGCCAGCAGCCGCGCAGAGATCTGATGCAGAAATGGCAGGGAATCAGTCGGGACAAGTGTGAGACTGCAAGCGTGACGGCATGCCGGCTATGTAACGTACACTGTCCCTCGGTGCAGGACTGGGCAGCAGCGACGGCCGAGAAGGCCAGGGCAAGGGCGGAGGAGATGAACTTCATGGCAAGGACGAGTGAGGGATAGATGGGTGGTGATGATGTTGATGGTGGTGGTGGTGCCGATTTATATGCTGGCTGCACGAGGTGCATGCGCAACTTCTCGGCCGGCTGTGCGATGACCCCGGTACATGCGTTTGGCAGCCCCGGAAGCGCACCACGGCGGTGGCTTTGGGGGCTCTGTGCTCGTGCCCAAAAGCTCAAACACCCGCCCATTCTTTTCTTTGGCCCAGACAAAGCTCGGTGGCAATCGCACGCGCCTCTGCTCGGCAATAGAACGCCGTGCCACCCTGGGCGCATGCATGGTGGTCCCCAAAACCCCGCCGCCTTTGACCCAAGCATCCCCCCACGACCCGGTGGGGCATTCTTTCTTTTCTCTCGCAATCCTGCACGTTCGTGCTTTATTCGCCTCGTAGAGGGCTATTCTGGCTCAGTCAGCGACTTTGCGCCGTTTCAGCTTCTGGCGCTTCTTTTTCTCACGGTTCCTCCGCCGTTTCTTGTCGAGTCGGGCTTGGTCCTCGGCTGGATCGGCATCCTCTGATCCGTCGCCCCCATCGCTCTCGCCGCCTCCATCTTCACCGTCCTCATCGCCGTCCTCATCGTCCTTATCGTCCTCATCGTCGTCGTTGGGAAGAGTGGGTGGCCGAGGCATGCGCGGGGTCCGGGTAGCAGCTGTCTTGCTGTCCTGCTCAGTAACCAGAGACTTGCGTTCGAACAGTGCGACGAAAAACCCAATCACACGGTCGGCATCGGGATCGGTTCTCACGAGCTCGCCATCTGTGGTACGGGGAGAAGGAAATGGGCCATCTGTCAGCCTCTCGACAGACGTCTGCCAGGCAACTGCCTCCGCGAATCTCAGCATAGACTTCCCACTCTTCTACTCGGTCTGGTCCAATCGATCGGGTCCGTCCTGCAGCAGACCGCGGCGTGGTTGCATGGATGACGCCCACGCTCTCGCTGATAATAAATCGATAGACGCGACTTACGGCCGTCGACGATTGGGTCGCCCCGTCGGTGCCACTGGGGGAAAACATTCGCTGCCAGGACAAAGTCGGGCTGTGCCTCCAGAACCCGCTTCACGACCATTTCGTTTTCCTCTTGGTGCCTCGAGCACGTCGAGTAAACCACCTTTCGGACGTTTGGAAACTTGAAGGCGTGCAAAAGCACCGACACTTGGAAGTCAGCGAGTGACTGGACACGCGCGGCATCGCCACTGGATGAGCTCGATCCCGCGGTTGCGCCGTCGTCGTTTTCGACCTCCCCGCCATCTTGTCCGTCTAAAATCGGTGACCGTGCGTCAGTTGGCCGTGGCTTAAGTGACAAGTCTGCATGTAGCTCCTCCGAAAGCACTGCTAGAGCCCGATTTTGAGGTACCTGACTTTGGGGCCAAGAGATGGTCCAGTCGACGGACGATACCAGAGCCAGAACACGACGGATCGAGGAGAATGTACTCCACCTGGCAGGGAACATCGCCAACGGGACACAGTGTGAGTCGTGGTGCCATGTGTTGGGCGATGCAGTGCCGCAGTTCGAAGAACGAGTCGCTATCAGCTGTTGGGAATCATATACTCTGGCCAGTGGATTCATGGCGATGCGGAATTGCGACCATGGCCTGGCGCCCACCAACTCCGCTGATCCGCAGCTGCGAGAACGAGGATAAGAGCACAGGCGTCCTCAACTACAGGCACAAACCTTTTTATACTTGTCCGAGGTCGGGTCGGCGTCCAAAAAGCTTTGGTTCAGAGCATCGATATCTATTCCACCATCCGGTCCGGAGACGATGAGGAAACGGCCGATGATACGGCGCTTGCGAGACCCAAATCCCATGCAAGCTACAACACAGCATTGCATACTTGACTTACTCTTGCAGCCAGCGCGCCCGCAAAGCTTGATCAATGTCTGGAGTCGCTTTTGATCCTTGTCGAAAGCATAGATTCGACCGGTGTTGTTCATGATCGCCGAGAGATGTGATGTTTTGTTTCCAGGTGCAGCACATGCATCGATGACGGTCGAGTTGGGCGGGGGATTCAAGATATATGCCGGAAAGCAACTGGCTTTGTCCTACAGCAGCCACGAAAAGCCAGAGAGTGAACAAGCATGAACGAATGCTTCGGTGGACGGTCCGCAGAGTGCGTGTGGGCTCTGAATCTGGACACATCACAAAGCATCCGGCGACGTACCTGCAACACGATCCCTCCATTGAGCAGCAGCGGATGCTCATGAAAGTCGGTGTTGGCAGGAAAGACGAGCAAATTTGGAACGTGCTTGTCGACTTGGATGGTCCTTGGTCTGCATCGCAAAGGCCGCAAGACCACAAGCGGCGCGTCGTGAGTAAGTGCAGTCTCGAAAGCAGCGCGGGCTAGATAGAACACCGTAGTATCGCAACTCTGGATCCAACATCATGGCACCATAGCCGAGCTGCACATCGCCCGGAGCAGCCGCGAAGGTAACGAACCTCACGTCTGCGAGATTCACAATCGGCACAGCTCGGTATCCCTCGGATTCAAATTGCTTGATCACTTGCTCGCTCGAGTTCTTGAGAGTGTTGACTCGGACATATCTTGGAAGCACAACTGTTCTCACAAACGGATGCTCCTCGAGTCAGACACGAGTCGCAGCGGGCACCACTTCGGCTTACACAGGGTTCCCCGTGGTCCCGCTGTGAGCTCAAGCGAGTGCGAACGACACGAATTGCACCAACTAGAGAAAGCGATATCACAGACCGGGCATGCCATGTCAGCTACTTTACCTGCTTTGCGGATTGCCTCGGGAATCAGCTCGCGGTTTGTTTTGACGCCCCGCTTGATCTTGAGCTTGGTCAGCTCGCCGCTGAGTCGCACTTTGTGGTTCATGATGATGCGGAGGTAATGGCCCCCAGAGCGAACGCCCCGGCCAAAGAGAAGATCGTAGACAAGAACCTGTGCGAGGTTTGGAGTGATCCTGTTCTGGGGAGCATAGTCCGGCAGTCCGGCAGCACGTTGATCAGCCGCGATGCTGCTGGATATACAATTCTTCCGATATCTTCCGAACAGCTGCTGTAAAGAGGGCCGTAACGATGCACATTTGCATGGCACGAACCTTCTTCTCCAAGTTCAGAAGATCGGACGCCGCTATCAGCTCGTTCAGGGCATCGCGGTCTGATGTGGTTGACCGCCGGAACCCCAGGATTTGGCCCGATGCCGGAAAGAAGCAAAGGACTTGATCAGCTCCGGCCCAGAGCAGCGAGTCCGAGAGGCATGCCGGTCACGGATGCATGTTACCGCACATTTCAGCGACTCGCAGACCAAGGCATAGGTCTTTTTCTTCTCCGGGATGTTGTCGGCCAGGACAAGCGACTTGATGGTGCCCTGCTCGCGATCCAACTTGGTCAGGATGGTCGAGGCAATGTCGTAGATATTTTTATGGGAGGCCCGTTGCGAATGCCCTTGAGGGCGACCTTGGAAGCCCATTCTCGTCGTATCTGGATGGACGGGATGCGATATCGGTTGAGCAAAAGTTGGTGGGCGACAGCGCCCGGCGACGAACAGCGATGGCGATGGTGAGCAGATCTTGGGCCAGGGCATCGAGGCAGTCGACACAGCACCGGCAGCGCCGGAACACCCACCTGCCGATATCGAGACAGACCAAGCGAGATCCGGATCGACGACTTGGACGCAGCGCACCGCCGAAACAACCCTGTCGGCCCCGGCACAAAAAAAAGTTTGTGCCACGCCCGAATCGCAGTCCGCATTTTGCGTGCGCCTGACCCACAAAACAGCCCGCAAAACAGCCCGACCAGTCCTGCGCTGATCTTGCCATTCGTCTGCTGGAAGCGCATCGGCGGCGATCTGGCCCTGCTCTCGGCTGCGACTCGATCGATTAACCCACTCCCGGACCCGCCTCCCTCGACCCATGGCTGCCCTCCGAAGACTCCCCGCAAGCAGCAAGCGGCGGCTGCTCGTTCCCAATCCATCCTATGCCCGCCCTGCCCAGCCCTTCACCCATCGCATCTCGCTCTATCGGATATCGACCCTGACCCGCCTGGATCGCCGTCGCGCAAAAGCCCTTGAGATTCTTTGCCGATCCAAATTGTATGTCCTCGTTTGCGACCTTGCTGTTGTCGCCGCACTGACATACGCGGCTGTGGCTTTCCTGGTCACTTCTGATTGCATGCTTTTGGCCTGCTCACTCATTGGTACTGCCGCTTCGACACTCCGTCCTCGCCCAGCAAACACTACCCCCGGTTGATCATCTACGGCTCGGTCTTTTTGTCGTTCTTGCGGGCATTGTGGAGCCCGGTCTCCCCCGCGGCCGCCGCTGGCAGCAACCGCAAGTCGGCGTCACCCAAGAGCACCACATCCAAGTCGCAACACTCTTCTACCACTTTGTTTGCAGCAGCGCCTCGGCTCGATTGGATCTACTCGGCGCTGGAGCAAGCCATCGATGGACTCAATTTGCTGAGACAACAGGCGCTCGCAACGCCCCTCCTGTCAGGTCCACGACATGAGCCGTCGCTGTCCACCACCTCCATCCTCAGGTACGCCACATCCGCACCTCCTGCTCGGATCCTGGGTTGCCCTTTGCTCTCGATCCAGCACCCAGTATCGCTGTTGCCTGGTCATGCCAGTGTCCAAGCGACATAGCGAATGCTTCACCTCATGCGAGCTGCCTGGGAGGCGCCTCCGCGAGCCACAACTGCAAGCTCATTCCTCATCGACTCCCCAGATCCATGTCGAGCCCAGAGCGGGCGAATCCTTTCCAAGGACCACAGACTCGTCGTTTCCACTCCACATCAACACTGTCCGCCTCTCTCCAAGAGTCCTTTTCAAGCGCCGATCAGGTCGCTATTCCGTCGTCTGGCAGCGCATCGCGCCCCATCTATCCTGTTGGGTCACTCGCTCGCCACAAGCGCACAGAGGAAACCCACCACAAGAGCCTGCCGAGCAAGAGCACATCATCTCACAGCAGCATCCAGCGCAAGCCAAAGTCTCGCAAGCTCCAAAGCGTAGACGCTCACGCTGCATCCTCGGTTGAAACAGACACCGGCGTTGCAGCTCGGCCGAAGCACCAAAGCGCTTACAAGCTGATACGGGCGTACTCACCTGAGTTGGAGTATATGCGTATCCCACAAGCGGCCTTGGATTCCGGTGAAGAGTTCAAGCGCTTTATCCTCAGTATCGACATCCCACGCGGCAAGCGCCTCAGTCGCATCCTGTCCCACTGCTTCCTGCAGATCCACCCGGACTCGTCAACACGTAGCTGGAAGCGCCACGACTATCTGACAGCCTTCGAAGCTGTCGAAGCCAAAACCACCCGGTCCAATGACTTTTACGTTCGCACGCTCCACCATCTGGTTGTTTGTCTAAACTGCAGCGGAGGACACGCATCTTCTGGAGACGACTCGATCCAAGTTCTCAAGCGGCTGCTGGGCGACAGACGCTCAGAGTCCACCGACGAGCGTGACCACAAGATCTGGTACACCCAAGCCAAGGCAATACTGAAACTCCTCCCGCCCCCTTCCAAGTTTGAAAAGGAACCCGAAATCAATCGTCTGATGCTGGAGGTTTACTCGAGGGCGCGGGAGTGGGCCATCACCGAGCACTATCTCGCCCGAGTCGAGGAACACATCGTCCGCGATGTAGAACAGAACGGTCTTGCCGATATCACGGCGATACTCAAGGCTCTGGTAGCACATGGCCAGCAACGACAGGCAATGCACCTGCTCCGCAAGTACTTTCCGCTTCCTGACACTGCTTCGTCGTCGGATCAAGTGATTCGCGTGCCCAACGAGACCATCGTCTGCCTCGTTGTGAACGGTTACTTCCGCAACAACAATCCCGAGAGCGCCATCAACACGCTCAAGCTGCTCATCCGTGACTACAATGTGGTGATCTCCAGCACGAGTATCACCCAGATCCTGGTCAAAATGGCTGAGTCGGGGCTTGTCATGATGATCTACGACGTCATTCGTTTCTTTCAAAGGCAACTTTTGCGCAACATCGACACTGTCGTCATTGTCGAAACCATGGCCGAGCTGATCGCATGTGGATACAAGCTGGAAGCCGTCAAGCTGTGGGAGACGTTCTCGAGCGTGCCGCTGGAAAGCATGGGCAACCCTGAGCTAAGCATCTTGCTCAAGCGCTATGCAGCCCTTGGCAATCTCGAGGGCGTCAAGCAGGGATGGAGCCGCTACAAATCACAGAACGACAGCAGCAGCGATCCCAGCTCGATGGAGAAGGAAAAGGAGACTCTCGTCGACATTGTTGCAGCGTTCCAGAAGAGCCACCGATTCTGCCACCTGGGCATCGACTTTCTACTGGACCAGTACCAACACGACTGCGAGCGCCTAGGCCGAGCGGGGCTATCGCACGACCACATACTTGGTCTGATCAACTGGATGCTCAAGGGCGTCAACGGCTTTGACGACATGATGAACGTGTACGCGGGTATGAAGCACGTCGGCCTGCGACCCAATCTCATGACGTTTTCGCACATCCTGGGCAATACCATGTCCGATCGCAACCCGGATATGATGTGGAAGGTCTTTTGCGAGCTGCGCGACAGCATCGGCATCTCCAGAGAGCAGTACATCACGTTCATTCACAACCTCATTTGGATGGTTGGTCTCGAGCGAGCACGTATCCACGATCTCCTCGACATGATGAAACGGGACGGGGTCGAGATCGACATGCCGATATACCATCTGCTTCTCCGGAGACTTGGATTCGAAGGCAAGTGGCGTGAGATGCTCGCGATGATGGACGACATGGCCAAGCAAGGCATCCAGCCCCAAGAACGGACAATCAACACGATCGGGATGCTTCTGAACAACATCCAGCAGAAGGAACTCGATGCCAAGCTGCTGGATCTGTGCCTGCAGGATCCCGAAGCCGACGATCTGCCCAGCTCGCTTGGCGATGACCTCCACGACGACGGCCGAGAAGAGGAGCTCCTGAAACAAATCAACCCCAAGCTGGCGCTCGAGACAGACAGCCGTCACCGCCGCCAGACCCACGCCTCCGACGATCTAAGCACGGTCACCTTTGACGAGCCCGAGGTCTATGTCATCCAGAAGTTTGAAAGCTTTTCCGACGCGCGGCAAGCAGACCCCGAGATGCCGCTCGTCAGCACACTCTTCCTGAACCAGGCCGAAAAGTACAACATCGAGCTCACATCGACCAGCTTCCGCAACATGATCGACAAGCTTGTCAAGGTCGGTTACATCGACGAGGCCGCAGATTTCATCGATCGCATTGAAGACCGGATCACCCAGAAGGGCGGCAACCTCCGCGACGTCAACAACATCATCCTGTACTCGCGGGTCATTAGTGGCTATCGCAAGAAGGAAGATGGTGAGAAGATGTTTGCCTGGATCACCCGGCTCAAGGAGCGGTTTGGAAAGCTCAACGACCCGACTGTGATCAAGCAGCTGGTGCGGTGGTACACGGCCGGAATGAATCCCGAGGGGGCTCTGAAGCTCCTCGATGAGCTCTCCGAGTTCCACAACCACGACGAGGAGATCAAGATGCATCTCGGGACCCCCGAACACTTTTATGAGATGGCCCGGTACCACCGCACCAGCGGAAACCTGCTCCGAGCCTCCGAGATGATGAAGGAGATGCTGGAGCGCAATATCATGTGGAACCAGCGCGTCTACGTCCAGCATCTGGACGCCCTGCGCGAGCTGCATGGCGTCTCGTTCATGTTGGAGTACCATCTGCAATTCATGCACAGCCCGCCCGTTGCCGTGCGGTGCGATAGCAACCTGAACAACTATGTCCTCTCGGTCCTGGTCCGGAACGGCCGGCAAAAGCAAGCATGGGATACGCTCAAGTACTTTTTGGAGCGCAAAAAGTTTATCCCAAACATCCGTACCTTCAACGTGCTGCTGCTGAGCACCCACCAGAGCATTAGTCGCACGCCGGCCCTCTCGCTACAGCAGGTCGACCACATCTACCGACTCGCGCGTGAAACCTACAAGCTGCAGCCCAACCTCCAGTTCTATACCCAGATGATCCAGTGGTACGGGCGATTCAAGCAGATCGACAAAGTCGAGGCGATCTGGAAAGAGCTGCTCCGAAGCGGTCTCACCCTGGATCTGCGGCTCTTTGAGTACATGATCAGCTTCATGATCAGTATGGACTGCAAGCGCCCGACCATCCGACTCTGGAACAACCTCAAGGCCATGAATCTCCAGCTGTCGACGGAGTGTGCGCTGACCTACTGCCGCGCCCTGCGGCAATGGCAGGAGACGGAGCTGATGCGTGAAGTCATCGAGAGCGTCGCCAAGGGCGATCCTGCCTCGCTTCCCCGAGACCTGGTTGCGCACCTCCAGACGGATGACAGTCGGTAGTCACTTGACGGCGATGACGACCATGCCATGACGCTGCTACTGCTGCTGCTACTGATGATGGTGATGATGGTGATGATGGTGATGATGGTGATGATAATGATGATAATGAGTGTCCCTGAGCGCCCTCCATATCGACCACTGCATGTTGCCGGTTTGGCGGTGCACAGTCTTGAATACATCTGGTTGATGTCCTGTGGCGATGTTGAAGTGTGGTGCATGCGTTCGCCAAGGAAACTGTCGAGGGTTTATTCTGGACCCAGAAACAGTGGCAAGTGAGTTTCCAAACAGGTATGGATCTGTGTGATAGCTGATCGCCATGACAGGCCGGACACACCCATCCACAGCCCAAGCGCATCACGAAATTGGCCGCGGGCCAAGAGCGATCGACCTCAGATACTCGGTGTTGCTCGGGCCGGTCTCCTCGACCATCTTCGAGAAGGCGCTCGCTATGTTCCTGAGCAGGACAGCGGGCGAGTCGTACTCAATGACCTCGCCGCCGCCAAGGACGAGAATCCTGTCGTAGTCGATGACAGTGTTGAGGCGATGCGCAATCGTCAAAATGGTGCAACCGGCCATATTCTGGCGGATAGCCTGCTGGATAAACTCGTCGGTAGGTAGGTCGACAGAGGCAGTTGCTTCGTCAAGAACCACAAGCTTGGCACGGCGCAGCATTGCGCGAGCGAGACAGAACAGCTGGCGCTGGCCTGCGATGGAGAGGGGAGTAAGTCTCAAGGGCCATTGGCGACACATGGTTGCCCAGGCACATGAACCTTGGCTTGCATCAACAAGCCGCCATCTCTTGGAGAGAATCAAGCTTCGCAGAGCAGCAACAGGATTCAGACAGGGCTGATTCGAGCTGCGATTCGCCCTCGCTCAGACCGACAACGGCAGCTTACCTGTGCTCCAGTTCTCGCCGTTCTCAGTGACCACTGAATCCAGCTGTCCCGGGGTTCCAGCAACAGCCTTCTTGAGGTTGGAGCGCTCCAGACACTCCCATAGCTCCTGGTCTAATAGCCACGGCGAATGTTGGCAGCAGTCAGTCCATGTCGCTGAAGCACAGTAAAAAGTACCAATGCTGACGCGGCCGGCAGAGTGCTCGCATCGACGCAAGAGCACACACCTGTGTACTCGTTGAAGGGATCAAGATTGCTTCTCACGGTGCCCGAGAACAGGACAGGATCCTGCGGGATGACCGCAATTTTGGAGCGAAGGGTCTTGAGTCCGAGCTTGGAGATATCGACGCCGTCGAGCTCGATCCGTCCCGATGATATCTCGACAAGTCTCAGCAGGGCAACGATGATGCTCGATTTTCCTGCGCCTGTGTACAGATAGGCCGTCAGCGATAGAGTCCAATATCGGCGCCATTCCGCACTGATCCCGTTCAGTCCTGCCCCCCCCCCTCATCACTCCTGTGCACAAGACACAGACGCCTCGGCACAGATCGAACCGGAACCGTTCAGGGAAGCTGACCCACCTGTCCTTCCAACGATACCGATCTTCTTGGATGCCTCAGCTTCGAACGATATGCCCTTCAACACGTGAGGCAAATCGGCGCGATATTTCAGCTCGACATTAACAAAGCGGAGGCTTCCCGACTCGGGCCAAGTTTTCGCAGGCTCCGTTTCCTGAATCTCATAGGGAGCCTCGTGGTCGATTTCGCTGACATAATAAATCAAACGCTCAGTCGAGTTCATCTGGACCTCAGTCTCGGCCATGAGTCGGATACAGTAGTTGAACGTCGATAGGACTTGGATCGAATAGGTGATCACCAGGCCGGCAAAGCCAGGAGCAACCGAGTAGCGCCAGAGCATGGTCAGCAGCGACGCCATCAAGATCAAAAGCGATGAGAGCAGCTCCAGACGGACGGCAAGCCAGCGCTCGATCATGCGGGATGTATAGTAGATTTTGTTGTTGCCATCCAGCAACCGGAGATTGTTGCGGATGAAGTTGCCCTGGACCGAATAGGCGCGAATCGTCGCCAGCCCCGAGAGTGTCTCCGAGAACTGGGCGACGAGAGGCGACCGGGTGTTGGAGTCCATCCGCTTGAGCTCGCGGGTGCTCGAGCGATAATAGAGCTGCAGAGGGCGCATTAGTAAACTCACGAGCGTGGACTTGCATTCGAATTCTACCTATACACTGGTCCACACCCAGTATCCCATGCGGTCAGCAATTGTCACTCTGGCGTCTTACCTGCAGACGATAATATAGGTAAAGGGCCGGTAACAACGGTGCAAGGAAGGCCGGGAAGATGATTGCGATCATCACAAAGTTGGAGACAATGAGCCAGAAAGCAAAAATGACAATCCGGTAGAGCTCTGAGAGCTGGGTGTCGACAGTATCCAAATCCTTGCTGAAACGCTACAAGCACAGGAGCAGTCAGTTATGGAGCCACAGTCATCTATCCAACCAAAGAGAAGCGCATTCTCTCCTTCGACGAGGAGCGTGGACCAGAACCAACACAACCTCCTGCATGAAAACGATATTGCAAATGCATACGTTTGTGATTCGACCCAGTGGTGTCTGGTCGAAGAATTGCATTGGTGCATGGAAAAGGCTGCGTAAGGCCGAGTCGTGGAGAGTCTTGGCAGCCCGGATGCCGGCCGTCGCAAAGAGCGTGCCGACGACGACCAAGGTGACGACCTGGCACAGCCCAAGCACGACAAAGATGCCTTCGTTTGCGGCGAGACTGAGCCGGAAGGTGCTGTAGCTCCACTGGACGAGCCTAGCGGGTACGTGCCCAAGCATTCACAAGAGTGGATGTGAGTGCGGGTCGGAGTAAAACAATTGTCGTTTGACAGAGGCACGAGCGCAACTCGCTCAAGATGGGCTGAGCAGCGAGTTGCCTTCCGACCAAGTCGGCCCCCATAGCGACTCTTCAAACGATACCGAGTCTGCAAGCAATATAGCGAGGGCCCCCCCCCTCACGTCAGGCTGGATGCAATACCTACCAGTTGTCGGTGCCTATGCGCGATCCCTGAATCAGCACCGAGATGGACATGATCAGCACACCCATGGACACGCCGCCGGCCATCTTCAGGTACTTGGAGTACATCGATCCAGCAACGGCGCCAACATTGCGCTCTTCCCGAACAATCAGATTCCCCTTGTCCTCGCCGACGTCTACGGGGATGTTGTGGTCGTCTTCGATGACCAGATCGATATCTGTCTTGGATTCGGTTTTGGCCACAATCTCCGGCACAAGGCTGCCGTGATCAGCGGATGTGATCGACGGTTGCGCCGCAAGTGCGATATCAGCATTGACATCAATACCATCGGCACTGGCATCGACATCGACACTGGCATCGACATCGACACTGGTATCGACATCGACACTGGTATCGACATCGACATCGACATCGTCGTTGCTACTAGGCTCGGCTTGGTCGCCGGCTTCGCGCTCAGATACGCCACCAAACTCCTTCATGAGCCGGGAAAATGCACCGCTTGACTGCATCAGACTCTCATATGTTCCTTGGTCGGCGACGCGGCCTTGATCCATAACAACGATATAGTCGACTTTGGGCAGGATGCTCAGCTGATGGGTGACGAGGACACGAGTTTTCTTGCTGAGGGCACCTTTGATACAGTTGTCGAACAGGTACTTGCCGACATGAGCATCGACAGCGCTGAGGGGGTCGTCCATGAGGATGATATCGCAGTCAAAGTAGACAGCGCGGGCCAGATTGACTCGCTGCTTTTGACCGCCGCTGAGGTTGATGCCTCGCTCGCCAATCTCGGTCGAGTCGCCGGCAGGCAAGACCTGGAGATCGCGCTCCAGCGCGCAACATTTGAGAACCTTGGCATATTTTTTGTCGTCTATGGGCAAGCCGAAGAGGACATTGTCTCGGAGGGTGGCGTTTTGGATCCAGGCGGTCTGGGGACAGTATCCCACCGAGCCTGAGAAAAACACGGATCCGCGGGAGCGTTTCATCTCTCCCACCAGGGCATTCAGTAGCGAGCTCTTGCCTGAGCCAACCGGGCCAACGATGGCATAGAGCGCACCATGGGGTATCTGCAGAGTGATAGGGCCAAGTGACCATGGGGCAGGGCTGTGGAGCGAATCGACAATCTGAGGATCCCCCTCCTTGGAGGCAGCGTCCAGGGCAACACTCTCGGCAGTGTCCCAAACAAAGTCGGCATCCTGTACCGAGATGGCGTATTCTGAGCCTTGGATCATCTTGGGGCCATCGGAGATCTCCTCGGCAAGCAAAAAGCCCTCGACTCGCCTGGACGAGACCCAAGCATCAACCCAAGACGGAACCGCGCCCGGCAATTGGTTCAAAGGATTGCGGAGACAGTAGACAAGGGAGAGTGCCGGTAGGACCGTCGAGATGGTCAGCGGATTTCCAAGCTGGTAGTAGCTGATGAACATGAGGATCATGGCTAGCGCCGGGATGGTCTGTAGCGCAAACAGTTGGTCAGTGCACGGGGCGATGGTCGAAGCAGCGGAGCAGCGGACTGGACTGGACTGGACAGCCCCAATGCCTCTCCAGCAGCAACACTGACCTGAGAAATCCCGCCGATGTACGCTTGGGCCAGAAGGTAATACCAGATGTGCCAGAGCTCCTTGGAACGCACATCCTCAATAACCTTGATGAAACTGTCCTCCCAAGCATAGGATTTGATTACACGAATGCCCATCATCGATTCTTGCGTGATCTTGACCCGCTTGTCGGCGAACTGATTGGCTTTGGAGCGATGGATACTCAGCTTCTTGAGAATGAAGGTCTGCACAGGGATATACAAGAGCAGGAGCGCGATGGCAACGACGCCTGCAGAAGCCATGCTGGGATTAGAAAGAGTGCAGACGCCAAAGCGCCGGCTGGACCAGAGCACATGGGGCCTCTGAGAGCAGAACCTTACCACTGACGCCCACGGTCCAAATGATCAGGGCAGAGGCAACGACGATTTGGAACGGTGCGGCGTAAACAAGATGCATCCATATCATCGAGTTATCGATGCGGCTGGTGTCTGCAGACGAGGGATCGGCGAATCAGTATGCTGGCCGGCAGGACACTGCCCAGCCGATGGCTGCATATCCCAGCCTGCGATTACAGCGGCTGGAACGCACCCGTTGCCATAACGTTGAGCACTTTGCCGGTTGTGAACGATTGTCGGGCTCTTGGGGACAGCAGGAGACTCTTGCGATACAACCCCGACACCAGGGCCGTTCGTACCTATCGAACAATGGTTCATCGGCATCAGCAAAAGCGAAAGCAACGGAAACTCTGGCCAAGCTCATGTATGCAAGGCAGTATCAACTCGCAGACGCAGAACCCTGGGCGGCAGTATCGTAGCATTCATTCACCCAGCAGCCCATGCAAGGCAGCTACCCGATCGCCCACGAAACCCAGGCACGAACAACAACACTCACACAAAAGCCAGTCTTGGCTGTGATCTCAAAGTGCCACTGCAAGCACAGGGTCTGGATGATCTGGACCAGGAACAACACCAGGGCCAGCACATAGCCGTACCAGCCGTTGTCGGTGTTGTTGGGCGACTGGATATTGGACAGATAGTTCAGGATGGCTTGCAAGATGAATGGCGAGATCAGAGCCATACTGTCGGCGATCTGAATGGATGCGCGAGACAAACGGCGAGGACAGTGTCAGTCGAGTTTTAGCTTGGTGGCTCCAAACATGCAGAGACCGAACCGGCAGTCTGGGCATATCTGCATGTGCGAGGAGCAGATGACAAAGCCGAGAAGATCGCTTTCAAGAATGGCAGACAGGACAAGAGATCGATGGCCAGAGGAAAGCCAGTTCAGCTTGAAGCAGGCGGGCAAAGGCACATACGATCCGCAGGAGCCCCGAGAGGGCAAAGGGCCAACCAAAGGTCGCCCACAATGCTGCGAGCAGCGGATACTTGGAAGGCGGGTGCTTGGCCACTTCCCGAAGCCAGTTTTCCTGGAAGCGATCGGACAAGAGACTCGCCCGATAACGGTCGTCGACATCCCAGATGTCACGCTCTTGGAGGGGAGACTTCCAGCCTTTCTTGAGCAGCGGGCTGAGCCACGAATACGAGAGCTTGACGAAGTACGAGCTGGCAAACTCGGGGTGTCGCTGGGTCGCAGTCTGAGCGACCTGCGGTCTCAAGGCCGAGCTGGGGCCGGGCGGCTGCTGTTGTTGCTGCTGCTGCGAGGGCTTCATGGCGACGGTGTGTGCCAGAGATCCGATCGACGACCGATGCAGAGGGCGAGCTTATGTGCCCTGCTCGGCCCTGTCTTCCATGGCATGGCAGCCGTGGGCACAGCCGCCGATTTCAATGCCGCTGGAGACGACAACCGCCGAGGCGAATCGGGGAGGAGCTTGTTGGCGGAACTCCATGGCGACAAGGCCATGATGATGGGGCGCGGGAAATTGGCCGTTATCCCCCACGGACCAGGCGGCGAGCCCACGCCGGGGCAAGTCGCGTCAGCCATCTCCATCTGCATCTCCATTTCCATTTCCATCTCCATCTCCATCTCCATCTGCATCTCCATCTCCCTCTTCATCTCCCTCTTCATCTCCACATGCATCCGTCATCCCATGGCTGCGCAGTCCACAGAGCAGCCTTGGGGGGCTGGTGTGTCACCGCAGCAAGGAGGATGGACGGAGCTGTGCGCGCCAGCCGTGTGACAAGCGAGGCACCTTGTTTCTCAGCAAGCCGGCGATGGCAACGGACCCCCTGCCCATTTGCAGAGCTGGGGGTGCGAGCCGCCACCGGGACATGAACGCAGAAAACACATTGCATCGGAGGCCCTAACAAAATGCAAACTCAATGAAGGCAATGCAAGAACAAATGGTTGATGGAATGATGATGATCGGGCAGCAGGTTGCAGGAGAGCGGGCTGTAGAGAGCGTGCCGGATGCGCTGAGTGGTGGCCCTGGTCAGAACAGTGCTGATCGTCGCCAGAGGACCGCTCCGGCCTGCCAGGGCCCACGGCTGCTGACTACTTATTGGCCTTGTTGGTTTGGATGGCGTGGCTGGACTGAACAGCCTCATGGGCAAACTGTCTCTGGGCAAAGCCAGCGAGGGCAGCACCAAGGAAGTCGCCGACCCAGTAGATCCAGTGGTTGTTCCAGGAGCCAGTCAGCAGAGCCGGGCCAAACACTCTGGCCGGGTTGAAGGCTCCACCCGAGACAGTACCTCCCAGAAGACCGAGGAATCCCAGGGTGAAGCCGATGGCAACGGGGGCAAAGCCGGCCTTGCTGCTGCCAGATGTAGTCTGTTGGATGCGGTGCCGTTAGTCATCGAGCATAAGGTCGCTCGGGATCCTGTCGCGCAGGATAGGCCGAGCCGCGGCAAAGCAACAGGACGCGATCCAGATACTCACGTAGATGGTCAGATTCTTGCCCACGTTGGTGTCTTTGCCGTCGCCAGCGACCTTGATGCTGTTGGTGGTGTCGACTGGAAGCAACTCGGGCGATCAGGACGGGGCCTCACTTTCATGCCGACGTGGGGAAGGGGGTACAAGTGGAATGTGTTGGTGCGGCAACAATGGCACAGACACATACCGGTATCGAAGGCAGTGGCAAAGATGACGTAAACCAAAATAAAAGTCAAAGTGGTCTCCATCAAGAACGCGTTGATGATCTTGGCCTGAGAGTTGATATCGACAACGACGGCCAAAGGCGTGCTGAGATAACCACTGTCGTAGGGCTTGGGGAAGACGGCCATGAGATAGGCTGTTGCGATGATACCGGCAAGCAGCTGAATACCAATATAGGCCAGGCCTGGATGGCATGTTTGACCGACGAGTTGAATTGAGTTGATTTCGGCCGGTAGGGGAAATGAATGAGCAGGGAGATGAAGGAGTGGCTCATAATGGTGAGCACAGGTGATGCATTCGAACAATAAGATCGGTTCCCCTTGTGGACGAGACTACTATGTCGAACGGAGCTTGTCTAGGGAACTTTACCTTTGCGAACAGACACCTTGCCGGTCACGATGGTAGCAAACGTGACGGCCGGGTTGAAGTGAGCACCAGAAACATCGGCAAACGAGTAGATGAGGGCGACCGAGACAAACGCAGTGGAGATGCAGCCAAGGACCAGATTCTCAGGCGTCTCCTGTCGAGAGTTGTTCACGACGGTGGCCTCGACGGTGAACAGGAAGAGGAAGGTGCACAAGCCTTCACCAAATACAGCACGAAGGAGCTGCAATCATAGCACAGACCGGCAAAGCCAGACGGAAGCAGCCACGAAGAGATGCGTGAGACGCGGGGCCAGAGAAGTACATCAAACCAAGCATCGTGCTGCTCAGCCCAAGCGGTGCCGCAGTGCTGCAGTAACCGCCACTGGCACAACTGTGAGTCGCAGGGCTTTCGCGCTCGGATCAGCCGCAAGTCCCCGAATTGCCCCCAAGCGACTCGGCAACTTACCACGCGCTTCCTCTCGGTCATTTCCCAGGACCAGTCCTTGATGTCCTGGCGAATGGCGCTGACCCAGTCGACGGGATTGAGGCTCAGGGGACCCGGGTGGTCTTCCAGGTCGTTGTCGCGGGTCTCGGTGCGAGCAAGAGCCAGGTCGTCGTTGTTGGTAGGGGAGGCGGCGGCCAGCGGCTGTCGGTCTCCGATTTCGACGGTATAATTCTGGACCTCGTTGAAGTCATCCATTTTCTGGAATCCGGACATTCTGTGCGGGAGTTAAACGCTTGAAAGTAGCAACAGAGGAGCAGGGAGTGGACTCGCCAGCTGATGTTTGGGCAAAAGACGGTGTCGGAACAGGAAGGCAGATGCGCCTGGAAGCTGATGCGAGCGGCTATCGCTCGAGAGTTGGATCAGCTAGAGACAAAAAGGCGCCGTGGAGGCTGTTGCGCTTATGAGGGTATCCCGCAGCGATATATGTAAGGTGGAGCGTCAGGGGCCAGGGGCACTGATGTCACTGCCGGACGGCGAAGGATGACGTCCTTGGACCAGCTGCGGCCTCTTTTCGTCAATGCTGGATGCCAATCACGGACGACATATGACTTGCAGATCAGACACATCGGCTGGCTGATCCGCGGCCGATGCTGCAGGCGCTGCCTCTTCCTGGCAGGCCTCATGGAAGAGCCCCTCTGTCCTCCAGCGGCACCTGCCTCTGATCTCGAGCGTCGCCTCCATAAGCTGTGCGATCTGAAAACAAGAATCGAAACATGGCCTCTGTAAGTCGCTTGTGGCCGATGGTCGATGGTCGATGGCCGAGGGTCGCCCCACGAGGATATCTCGCCGGTATTGATATGCATGACCTCGCGTTTCCCACGCCCGCTCCAAACGAATCCAGTCTGAACGCGAGTCCGTCAAGGTCGTGGTGAGATGTCGCCCCTTCAGCGAGAAGGAAAAGAACGAAGGGCACTTCAATATCATCACCATGGACAAGCGCACGGCTACGGTCTGCATTCAAGATCCTCGGGTTCTCGGCACCGACGGCACCCAAAACAAAGGCGCAATCGAGCCACCGAAATCCTTCACATTCGACTCGGTCTTTGACTCGGGCTGCGAGCAGCTCGAGGTCTACAATACAACAGCTCGCCCGATCGTCGAATCGGTGCTTTCGGGGTACAACGGGACGATTTTTGCCTATGGCCAGACGGGAACGGGCAAGGTAATCCGCCCGAGAGCCGACGCATAGCCCATCTCGTCTGCAATAGTACCGACACTTGGCCAGAGTTGTTTCCGTCTCAGACACACAACGTGTCGTATTGGGAGGGGCTTTTCAACCACCAGGTTTCTGGTTGGCCGACTGGCGGACCGTGCCCACACTTGCATAGCCAATGCTAATCGCACGGCATCCTGCCAATCGCTCGCCACGCGATACACCAGACCTTCTCGATGGAGGGAGTTCGTGATAACCCCAAGCTCCGCGGCATCATCCCCAACTCGTTCGAGCACATCTTTTCGCACATCAAAACCAGTCCCACCAACACGCAGTACCTCGTGCGGGCGTCCTATCTCGAGATCTACAACGAAGAGATCCGAGACTTACTCAATCCCAAGGCCGGAAAGCTCGAGGTCAAGGAGCGCGCCGATATCGGTGTCTATGTCAAGGACCTGCGAACCTTTGTCGTCAAAGACGTCGAGGAAATGGACCGCCTCATGTCCTTTGGAAACAAGAACCGCAGTGTCGGAGCGACCCAGATGAATGAGCGCAGTTCACGCAGTCACTCGATCTTCACGATCACTGTTGAGACGTCCGAGGTCGGCACCGAGAAGGAGGACCACATCAAGGCCGGCAAGCTGCACCTGGTTGACTTGGCTGGCTCGGAGCGACAGACCAAAACAGGCGCCACAGGCGATCGCTTGAAGGAGGCAACCAAGATCAACCTGTCGCTCTCGGCGCTTGGCAATGTCATCTCGGCTTTGGTCGACGGCAAGTCGTCGCATATTCCATACCGAGATTCGAAGCTGACACGGCTGCTTCAAGATTCGCTTGGTGGCAACGCCCGGACACTGATGCTGGCCACGCTGAGCCCGGCCAGCTACAACTATGACGAGTCTTTGTCGACTCTGCGGTATGCCAACCGGGCCAAGAACATCAAGAACAAGCCCAAGGTCAACGAGGACCCCAAGGTGAGCAACTCGGAGTGGATGGCGTGAACCCAGAGACTGTGTCCAGTACCGGAAGTGCGACCGCACAGGCGCGGCGCCTCTTCGCCACCTGCCTAACCCTCTGGAAACTGTTTCTGCATTCCTCATCGTCTAGGACGCCATGTTGCGCGAGTTCCAAGAGGAAATCAAGCGCCTCAAGGCACAGCTGGAAGCAACAGAGAACGGGGAGATGGGCGACCCAGTCATCCAGGAGATTGAGGAGATCGAGGAGGTGGAGGAGATCGAAGAAATCGAAGAAGACGAGCTCGAGGTTGGCGCAGAAGGAGCGGCAGAGCAAGCCAGACCTGGAAAGATCAAACCTTCCAAGCCCAAGAAGGAGAGGAAAGCCAGGACGCACCGTGAGGGGCCTGTCTTAGCAAGTGAGATGCTGGCTTTGGCAGAGACCGAGTCCCAGCCAACGGCAGAAGTTGTTGAGCGCGGCGAGCCGGCCGTGGGAATTGCTGCCCGACCGCATATGGCTATATCCGAGACGCAGCTGCAGGAAATGCAGGCCATGGTGGAGGCCGAGAAGCAGAGCATCCTCAAGTCCAAGGATCTAGAGGAGGCCGAGCGCAACCGCCTCCTGGATGAGGCCGAGAAGCGTGCCCAGGAGCTCGAGACCGAGCGCAACCAGCGCTCGCAGCTCTCCGCCAAGCTTGCCCAGCTGGAGCAGAAGCTGCTCGTTGGTGGCGTCAATATTATCGACAAGAATGAAGAGCAGAAACAGCTCCTGGCCAAGCAAGCATCCGAGCTCGAAGAGCAGGCTCGGAAGGAGCGTGAGCTGCAGCGCGAGCTTGAGGAGCATGAGGAGACCAATCTCCAAATCGAGGAAGAGTACGCATCACTGCAGGAAGAGGCCGCTGCCAAGACTCGCAAGCTCAAGAAGCTGTGGGCCCTCATCCAGAGCGACAAGAGCGAAATCAAGGACCTGCAGGAGGAGCACCAGCGCACCCGTGAGAGTCTGCTGGAGACCATCAGGGACCTGACCCGCGAGCTGAAGCTCCAGATGCTCATCATCAACAGCTTTGTCCCAGACGACGAACAGAACCTGATTGAAGAGTGCGCCGAGTATGACGAGTCGGCCGACAAGTGGCGGATCGCCCACATTGCCCACGCCGGCAACAACATTCGCGGCAAGCGGTCACTAGTGTCGGGCCAGCTCCTGGGATTCCACCGCGAAGGACATGCCGACGCTTTGGACAACACAGATATGGAGCCTTGGGACCCGTTGTGTGTGTTTCCGGACGTTTACCTTTCATACGATGTCCCTACAGTGCCATCGCCCAAGAAGCGGACGGAGCGTAAGAAGAATAGCGCTTCGCAAGGCAATCGACGTCCCGTCCGCTCCGGAAGCGAGGCCGCGAAGCGATCGCCCACCAAGTCGTCGAGCACCATCAGCTCGGGAAGCGGGCTGCGATCGAGTTCGACCCTGACGGCAGACACAGCTGGCTCGGCGGTGTCGAACCCCGACTCGAGCAACAGTACTCCTGCGGCCCGGGGTTTGGTATCCAAGACAAAGCACTATGCCTGATGAACTTTACGGATGCATCTCCCACACGAGGAGACAGAGCACTCTTGTTTCGGAGGACACTGACAGCCTGATGGTCTGCCCCGAATATATTCACGCTTGTCGACAGCGGGGAGGCAAGGTGAAGGCATGCGCCGAGGGCAAGACATGTGCTGCCGAGTGCAAGACATGTGCTGTCGAGTGCAAGACATGTGCTGTCGAGGGCAAGACATGTGCTGTCGAGTGCAAGACATGTGCTGTCGAGTGCTTTGAATCGCAGGCCCGGTTGCTGCACGAAGCCATAGTGCCAGTATCGCATGGCCGGTGAATGTGGGCGAACCCCGTCTGGAGGAAGGGTGCAGCAGGGGGTCGTGGGAGCCGCGATGCATTCAATCGCGGCCGCTGGCCAGGGTTGCCCTTGCTTCAACTTGATCCATCCAAGGCGCATCGCCCGCACACACAGCCAGCTCAGGACGGTGGAATGGTACACACCACAGCGTCAAAGAGAACAGGAGCCGCAGCATCCGAGTCAAGCGCCAAGGACCAGGTCATCAAGGCCAAGGTCGACGAGATGAAAGCCAAAATCCAGCGGCACGAGTCCTGGCGACGACAGAAACGGCGACTGGCGCAAGTCGCCGGGGTGGTCGCCGTAACATGGATACTCGTCGATGCCGCATCGATCCTGTGGAATGGGCAAACTCTTGTCTTGCGATGGATCGCCTCGCATCTGCCGCTCTGAGGCGGTCTGGTGCAGCATCGCCGGCAACTAGATAGCCCGGACAAGCACCCAGGCAGCAGACCGCCAACGATTTCGTTCGTATCGCTGCCGATGTTTCTTCCGCCGACGGCGTATTCGGCAGCGGTGATCTTTCCCATCAATACAGCCTGGTCAATCCTCCTCGCCCTCCGCTCTATCGATACAGCCGGGTGATCGACGCACATCGCCCCAGCCAGCCAGCGCACACACACACACGTCGCCGTGGAGGCCTTTCGGGCGCCGTCGCCCCGGCAGCTCGTCGCTGGTTGCCCACCGCCTCATCTCGATCTGCCGGCCCTCTGCCCCTCTCCCCAGCCCGATCGACCAGCACCAGCAGCACCATGAGTCGACAGCCCCCGCAGCCGTCGTGGTCGCCCCCGCCCCTGGCCATGCCCGTAGCCCAGCACACGAGCAAGTTCAAGGGCTCGCTTTCGGGCACTCCGTCGCCGAGGCTCCAGAACACCACCCCGCCCCAGGGCTATGCAGCCTCGTCGTCGGGCCAGCAGCCATCGCTTCATCAGCGCCACGGCCAGGGGCAGACCTACCATCACCACACCCAACAGCAACAGGAACAGCAACAACATCAACAGCATCAACAGCAGTACCAGGCCTCGGGCTACCAGGGAGGCTACCAGGCGCAGGGATACCACTCCTATCCCGATGCCTACCAGAGCCAGCCCTCCTCGGGCTACTACGCTGCCGAGCCGTCATCCCCAGACACCAGCAACCCTTTTGCATACAGCCAGTCTACCCAGCAAGCTAGTGCGCCTTCGACCTTCTCTGGCGGCTACCAACGTGTTGACCATCAATCGCAGTCGCAGCAACAGCACCAGCATCAGCCCCAGGCCTCCTTCTTCTCGACCGACAGCTTTTTCCCGGACAACCCAACAGCCCAAATCGGCGTTCAGTTTGGAAAGAGCGCCCTGGAGCACGGCTCCAAGGTCGTCAGCCAGAACGTAAGTTGCGACATCTTTCGGCTTGAGCTTGCTCTGGATACCTGCCGCACCGTCAATCCGTTTGCAAGAGATCCAACCACAGACCGCGCCGCCAGACACTTACATTCTCGTCGCCGTTAGATCAACCGCTATGTCAATGTCAGCCAAATGAAATACTACTGGGATGTGAGCAACACATACGTCTTGCAGAAGCTCAGCATCCTCGTCTTTCCTTTTCGCCACAAGGTGAGTGTGCCGCCGCCTTGCCCACCAGATGAGCTATCGCCGGCATTCGCAGCTCTCGAGCGGTTGGAAGCAGCCATCCAGTCCATGGCAAACTGGCTGACCTGGCCATCGTTTGCCCTCGCCGGCAATGCAGTCCTGGGCCCGCCAGAGAATTACGGATGGACAGACCGAGGCCTTCCAGACACCCCGCTACGACGTCAACGCGCCCGATCTCTATATCCCAGGTAACGGGGCTTCCTCACGAGGAATGACAACGATGCGTCACTGCGAGATAGTGGGATGGCTCATCTATCTATCTATCATTTTCCTGCCCGCTTCCAACATATCACCACGTCCAGTCATGTCCTTCGTGACCTACATTCTGCTTGCGTACATTCATCTCGGGACCGGCACCAACAGCAAAGAGTAGGTGCAGCTGGCTATCCACAGTCTGGGCGCAGCTACGGTATTTAGACAGACAGCCGCTATCACTCGGGCCCTCGATCGGATGCAATGCACCTGTCCAACAAGACCCGCCCCCTCTTGCGCTCACTACTCACTGCATGCCATGATTTCGCTGCAGCTTCTCGCCCGATCTTCTTGGACGAACTGCCACAAGCGCACTTTCCACTATTGGCGCCGAGATCGTTTTCATCAAGTTGGGCTGCTACTTCCTCAATATACTCGCCGAAACACCGCTGTTGGATCTGACCTCCTATTGCGGCTACAAATTTGTCAGGTAAGAAAACTGCCCTGGGCAGCCGCCACATTCCTGCCTCCAGCCACCACTCTAGTCACCTCCCCGGTCCGTCCGACTCGAAATATCCTCTTGCCCGAGACTTACCGCCGCCCGTTTGGTTCTAGCTTGATCATCGTACAGCTCGTCAAGTTTGCGCTGCCTGGATGGATTGTCTACAGCATCTTTACATACCTCATGATATGTTTTGGCTTCTTCACGGTGCGTTATCCGACTTGATGGTCTCTGGCTGCATTTCGCCGCACTCATCAGGCTCTCTGATGCTGACGTGCCGCCTCGTTCCCTTCCAGCTCCGAAGCATGAAGGGCATGCTGCTCCCCGATGCCAGCACCGGTACAGTGGCCAGTGCGGCCAAGCAGCGCCGATACTATTTTCTGTTCGCCGTTGCGCTTGTCCAGATCCTGATGTCACTCATACTCATCCGTTGAGCGGTCCCGGGATCGGCTAGTTGCCTGACTAGTTGCCTGACTAGTTGCCTGGCTAGTTGGTCTGTGGGTTGGTCAGTCGGCGGCAGGCAGGAGCCGGATGTGGTTAGAGAATGTCCGCTGACGATGAGCCGATCAAATCAAAATGGCCATGCAGCCGCGCTTGCTTGACCGTCCAAAGTGAAGAGTCGTCTCGTAATATCGCCGTTGTGGAGGGCAATGGAGGAGGATTGGCAAGTCCCGACACAGTCTGGCCGCTCGTGCCGTTCCTGATCTCCAGGAAGCAGGACTGGGGCAGCGTATATCGGTGGTGTTGATGCCGATGCATCCGACTCGTCGTCGGCAGCAACCCTTGTGCTCGCCCACCGACTCCGGGCTGCCTGTTCTTCCGCATCTCGGATTTGCGGATCAGCAGCGGTGGAGACCTTCCACATCGGCTTTTGCCTGCCGCTTCCGCCCGCCCGCTGGCTGGATCGGTTAGCCAGCAACATCGCCATCCTTCTCGGATCGCCTGGACGCTTGGACGCTTTCGCGCCTTGGCTGTTTCGAGAAACTTGGAGCAACTTGGAGCAACTTGGAGCAACTTGGAGCAACTTGGAGCACTCGCAAGTTTTACCGGATCCCTGCGACCCGGACGCTTATCCATTTTCTTTCAAGCATCTCGGGCTTATTGCCCCTCCACTCCCAGCGCATTTGAGCTCGCAGCGCAACAAACCTCGCAGAGGCCACCGGAACCCTGCACCCGCAACCACGGTGCTGCAGTGGATTTGCTGAGTCTGGCACAAGAAGGCTCTCTGCTCGAATCCGCTTGATTGACTGCCTTCGCCGCGCAGATCATAGCGCCCAAAACCGACGGCTCTCGGCAGCAGCTTTGCGACGCAGTCCGAGTCCGTCGGCTCCATCGCTCTGCAATGACACAAAAGCGTGCCCACACCCTCGACTCGGATCCAGAGGATTCCGATACAGCATATCCTCAACGACGAACCAACCAGCAGCGAGAGCAGCAGCAAAGCCAACAGCGGCAGCGCTCGGCCAGCAGCTCGTCGTTGCGGGCAACGAGATCGTCGTCTACACAGCCCAGCATCCAACCTCATCGTAGCGCTCGCTCGACGGCCCCTGGCCTCCGCACCGCCCCAGAGCGATCCCGCCTTGCAGTCCCAGCCGTCATCGATCTAACGACCCCGAGTCCAAGCCGAAAACCCCGAGTGGCCCAAGCCCGGCTCCTTTCGACGTTGGAGCAAGCCATTGCGCCTGCCCGGTTGCGGCGAGGTCGATCCGAGAGCAACGTCGATGCCGGCGACCGAGCAGATGTCCAGATCGATCTGGAAAGCAGCGTTCAGAGCCGCGGTTCTTGGACTTCAAGCACCGGAGCCGCGGGCTCCAGGACATACGATCTGCGTTCGACGGGCTCCAGAGCATCATCATCGGGATCGCAGAGACGGGGCGGCGCTGGCGCCGAGCTTGGGAATGCGACCGATACTCGGAATCTGGAGCAGCGATCCAGGCCAGTGCTCCATTCCCAGGAATCGACTGCCAGCAATCCTGGCTCCTCAAGAGCACCCAACCCGAATACTCTTCCGCGGCGATCGATACGTAAGCATCAGAGCAGATGTGCCTGGGAGGAGGACATCGGCTCAACATTATGCTCGACATCCGCACTTCAACACAGCGCATCACTCAGCCCCGGACAATCCGCCCATCATGGCTTTCACCTCGTTCTGCACTTTCCTCCATTCCCACATGCCACCGGCTTTGCATACCGTGCTCACGCTCTGTCGGTCCATATCAATGACAGGCCGGCGTGCTTTGCAAAACCCGAACACCGATGCATCCCGCGATCCGTCACCTTCGACCCATGTACTTGGGATCCTTAGCCGGCCTTCGGGGCAAGTCATGTCGACAGGAGCCAGATCGCGTGCACCACAGGTACCTGAATTCTCTGTCATGCAGCGACCGTGGCCGAATCAATGGCTCCAGCTCGATAGACGAACGGTGTGGGTGCACGGTCCCCGCTCGACTGATATCAATCGATTCACACACCCCCAAAACTGACTCGGCACACATGCTTCCGTCTCGACCAGAGCTTTGTAGGCATTCCAATATCAGCTCTGGTGAATGATGATACCGAAGCCAGAGAGCTGGGCAGCTCGGCTTCTCGACGAAGGGTCCGCGCGACTGGTCTGGCAGCCGAGCCTCCTCTGGTCATTGACATCTCCCAGCCGTCACCCCCAACCCAGTCGGCTCCGACCTTCAGTTCCAGATCCACGCTGTCCAATCGACCGGCACTCGGCCGGTTCAATCCTTTCGGAAACTCGTCCCCAGCATCGTCGGGGATGTCCTCCGAGTCTTCGGAGCAGCGTCTGGACCGCAACACCACCCGCAACCTGGATGTCGGGTCGTCACGGAACTTGGCGACCAACTTGCAGACCAGTCCGTCTTCGCTTGAAAGCGACGAGGCACTCGCCAGGTGGATGCAGGAACAGGAGGTCATGCAGGTATGTGACTTGTTTCTGGCGGTACATTGTGTGTTGGTAGTATGCATGACTCGACATCTGGCAGCAGATGGCCATATTGCCGAGCAAGTGGAAATGGAGCCAGTTTGGGAGAGTATGAGAGTGGAGAAAGTGAGAGATAAACGGCCAGCACACCTCGACAACACTTGCTTCGTGCAAAGCAGCTGCTTTTTGATTGCATGTCTTGCAGCATTGACAAGACTTTAGCTTGCTTCATACAGGCAACCAGGACTGCGGATGGATACGTTGATCAGTGTAAGTGCCATTGGTCGAAAGTGTGATCTGGAACACGATATACTCGATACGGGGGATGAGTTTACGCAAGGTGACGAGATACGAAGATGAAGGAGGAAAGGGCAGCATCGACAGGGTCTGATTGCGAGAGTGTATCTTCCACCCGCCCCACAGACGGCCATTACCAGGACCTGGGCTGGAGTTCGCGAAGCAACCTTGATGCCTGGCGGAGTGCGGGATTCCACGAACCATCACCAGACTTCCCGACTGAGCTCCTGGACGATGCTCCAAGATATGGACGGTGGGTGATCTCTTGCTTCTCTTGTTCATCACCGCGACTCATGACGGGGTAGGGGATTCAATGGGAATCATAGCCGGGCCAATGTTGCCCCAAATCTCCGTCGCTGAGCCACACATCACTCTGGTAACCCAGCTTGCTGAACAACCCGGGCAACTACATGGCTGATGACCATGTCGACACTACCTACGAGGCAAGCGCAGATTGTGGACCGTTGCTGCGGTGATGCGGTGATGCGGTGATGCGGTGATGCGGTGATGCGGTGATGCGGTGATGCGGTGATGCGGTGATGCGGTGATGCGGTGATGCGGTGATGCGGTGATGCGGTGATGCGGTGATGCGGTGATGCGGTTGCAGTGGTTTCTGATACAGTGTTGTCTTTGGCGGTGCGCACGGTGTCATGCAGGGACTATGGGCCCTGAGCGAGCGCATTGGATCTGCCAAATCCAAGTCTACCCCACTCTACATGATTGATCGTCTTCCGGTGGTGAAATATCAAGTGGGAATGCTCATGGGAGACGACTCGAGGTAAGAATAAGCACGGCGTCCAACCAGAAGGGCGACACGCTCCGTTGTTGCGTGGAATCAGTAAATCTGGATTGCGCACTGTGGCCCGGTGAGACTCGATGTGAGTCTCGATGGCCCAGTGAGACTGGATCAGACAATCTTGACCTGACCCTTCCATGACACGGACGCAGGTGCACAATCTGTTTGACCGAGTTTGAAGTCGGTGAAATGCTCAAGCGTCTGCCCTGCACGCATGCGTATCACGGCGAGGCAAGTACGCCAGGGTCATTGCTTGTCGAGCAGTCGCGGGTCGGAAACCTGCTGTAAGCTGATCTAACGATACCTTGACGTCTGCCCTCCTCCATCGTCCAGTGCATCAACCGATGGCTTCGGATGCACGAGCAGTGTCCTATGTAAGTACACAGCCGCCGCGATGCTACCAGACAAGCCTCGTGTCCAGCCATCGAATGACTGACTCATTCTCCCGGGCCGCCCTGCCAGATGCCGCATCTCGGTCACAGATACGCTTGATCCGCAGAAGCCAGAGCCTTTGATGCCTCAGTAGTGAGCAGCATATGTGTCGCTGTGTGTCGCTGTGTTGGTTGAATGACTCTGGGGACCGCACCACAGCACATATATACATATGCCCGCGTGGATAATCGCGATCTGCTCCAAGAGCGCATGCCCCTGGCTTCCAGCCAACCCACCAGTCTGGCAGTAACAGTGATCATGGCAGCTTTTTACCAGCCCAAGCGCATGAGGAGAAAAAGAGAGATGTATTTTATGCCTTATGAGTTGCATGGGAGGAAACTATGCAGGAATTCACTTGTGCTGATGGGTGATCTTGTCGAATTTGACGCGGAGCTCCTTTCCTTGGGTCTTCTCCTTGGCGACGACGGTCAAGATCTCATCGCGCTCGATCTGGAAAGTGATCTGAACACGCAGCTCGCCGACCTTCGAGGCCTCGGGCAGATCCGAGAGGACGATCTGGCCCAACAGAGTGTTCTCCTGGGCTTGGGCATGGTCACCTTCGTAGACGGAGAGGAAGATCTCGGACTGCTTGGCGACGGCGTTGGAGGCCTCGATCGTGCGGCGGGCGGGAATGGCGGCGCGCTTAGGGATGATGGGAACAAAGACACCATCGGCACCCTCGAGACCGACGCTCTTCTTCAGGTGGGGAACACGAACAACCTCCTCGGTGGCAATGGCCGAGTCGTACTCGGACTCTTGGCTGGCGATCAAGCCAGCCTGGGTGGCACAGCCGACACTGATGGCCTCATCAGGCTCAAGATCGGTGCGGAAGACGGTCTCGGACTCGAACAGGCTGCGGATGACCGACTGGAAGCGGGGGATACGGGCACTGCCGCCGACAAAGAGAACCTCATCGACCTCAGTAGGGGCGGCGCCGCCCTCCTTCAGGACGTTCTTGACAACATCGACACAGCGCGTGAAGAGCTTCTCGGCCAGGGTCTCGAAGCGGCCGCGGATCATGTTGGCGTTGTAGTCCATGCCATCGTACAACGACTCGACGTGGCAGGGGGCGCTGTCCTTCTGCGAGAGCATGCGCTTGGTCTGCTCACAGGCGGCTCTCAACTTGGCAACGGCCTTGCGGTTGTCCGAGATATCGATGCGGGTCTTTTTTCGGAACTCGTCCTTGAAGAAGTTGAGCAGAACCTCGTCGAACTGCGAACCGCCGAGAGCATAGTCGTCGTGGGTGGCAACGATGGAGAAGAGGCCGTTGCTGCTGTCCAGGAGGGTGGCATTGAACTGGTGGGCACCCAGATCCAGCACCAGGATGGTGCGATCCTGCTTGGTGGACTGGTTGCCGATCTCCTTTGCGTTGTAGTCAAAGGCCAGAGCGGCAGCAACGGGCTCGTGGACGAGGTGGACGGTCTCGAAGCCGGCCTGGACAACAGCCTCCCGCAGAGCGTTCTGCTCGTGCTCCTCAAAGTGGACCGGGGTGGAGACAACGACGCCTTCAACCGAGCGACCCAGGTAGGCCTCGGCCGTCTCCTTCAGCTTGGCAAAGTACTTGGCGGTGACATCGGCAACGGTGTAATGAGAGGTAACGGGCTGGGCGTCCTCCTCGGGGGTGGTCTCGACCTCGTAGGCAGGCAGGGATTCGTCCTGAGGGAAGGGCACGATGTTGGCGAGAAGCTTCGAGCTGTGCTTCTGCACTTCGGTATCGTCGTACCTAGAGGCGGTGGAAGCGAGCAGGCGCGATGGAGGTGATGGGAGACAGAGAGCGGGTGTAATGACGATGTGAGTCATAGTAGAATAAACAGAAACAGAGGGGTGAGCGAACTGTTGGTCGTAGCAACCAGCTCTTCCACCCCGGGACGGATAGCAAGCCACTTTTGGCCGATTCAGCAAGATCGCCGGGCACATACTTCTTGCCAACCAGGTTTCGGAACTGGAAGATGGTGCCACGGGGATTGGAGTTGGCCTGGACACGGGCCTGGGTGCCGACAAGCTGCGGAGATCCAAGGATGTCAGAGAGAGATAGAGAGAGAGGAGGAAACTAGGTTAGATCCGTGCACAGCAGCAAAGGCAGGAGGATCGCTTGGTATCGAGGACCAGATCCGCACGGATGGCTACACTGCAGCTCCGGCGATAGCGCTGTTCTCATACGAATGCCAACACAACAGCGCAAAGTAGTACCCAGCAACGGGACGACAGAATCAACAGCCTAAACGGCGGATCTGGAGCAACAATACATACCTCCTCGTAATCCGTGAAGGCGACGCAAGTGGGAATGTTGCGATCGCCGTCCTCGTTTGCAATAGTTTCACCCTTTCCGCCCTGCGAGCGACATGATCCGCAAAGTTACGTTAGCGGAAACAATCATCAAGGTGGTCAAGGGCGACCAAGAACGAGCCAACGGCGAGCGATCGGGCTGGAAGACCGGCAGTGCGGGGACAGAGGCACGCCAGGAGGATTGCTGTGGGGCCGGGGCACTCGCCACTCGCACGGTCCGCAATGGCACTTCGGAAATGCAGCGGCCGATCGAAGCAGCTCGATGGCCCCGGAGCTGCATTGGGCAGAGGGGGCGAGAGCAGTGACAGCCGAGGAAGCAGGACAACCGGCCGATTGGGCCACGACATACCTTGCCGACGATGGATACCGAGGAGTTGAGGGTGCCGAACGAGATACCGACAAAGGTCTTTTCTTGAGCCATGGCGACGGTCTGAGACGAGCTGTGGGTGCAGGATCCGGGAGCGGGCAGGAGAGAAGGCCGATTGCAGAGAGAGGCACGCAGCGAAGGCAGAAGCCGGGTGTCGACGCTTTCGTGCTGGTTACGGACTGGACGGCAATCGTGCGCTCGATGGGATTGGGCCGGCTTGCTCTTGTCGCGAAGAAAAAAAAAATGCACTGGGGTGTGACAGAGACAACACGCGCTGGCTCCAACCGGCGGCTGGGTGGCTCCAGCCACGTCGATGCTGGACAATCCAGAAGGAAACGGGGCAGTCACTCTCTGGCATCAGCGACTCAAGTCTGCTGATCCGTGGGCTCCAGTGGGCAAACCAGGCGATTGTTTCCCGTCCTGGTTGGCAATCTCTGTGTGTGGTGGATGCATTCGATTCTCTGGACCACTCCATGGTGTATTGATATCAAGATACTCGACCTCCTCGAGTCGCCTGTATCGCCGTCGCCTGGGAGGTGTCCTTGATTCAAAACACTGAATGGCCAGCGCGCGATGTTTGAGGCACCAGAGTATTTGTCCAGCGACCAGTATCCGGGGTGTCCCGTTTTTTATTGGATTGGCTGTATTGGGCGTTGGGCATTGGCGCTGGGTGCACACCAAGGGGCGGCAGGAGGCAAAACGGGAGCCGGGGCAGCGGGGCTGTCGAGCCAAAGAGAGGAAGTGGAGAGAGGAAGAGTCGGGCCGAACGATGAACAAGCAAAGCGAAGCGAAGAAAACTGCAGCGCAACCAAACGGGATGAAGCAAAGCGCAGGGAAATCAAAGGAAAGGAAACCAAAGGAAAGGAAATGGAACGAGGAAAGCTCAGGAAAGACTACACTACACAACACCGCCGCACACTGGAGCGCCCGCGGCCGGCTTATGTACAGATTTTGCGTTTGGCCACGGGCAGCTCCCACTCAAACTAAGTACACCACACAAGAGCGAAACTATCGACAGAAGGCAAGAATGCCGCGGGAGCATAACACATAATGGACAAAAAAAAAAAAGAAGGGAAGTGAACCAAGATCGAGAAAGGGCACTACAAAAATCTACCGGCACTTCATCCTCAGCCGAGCAGGCGATCAAAACAACAGCGCAAAGCCACCCCCAGGGCGGCACATGGCACAGGCGAGGCTTCCGATCGAGCCTCTTCAGATGAGCGTGTACGGCAGCTGGTTGCCGACATCGGCGACCGACTTGGAGCGGCCGCGGAAGACTCGCTCCTCCGTTTGCGAGCGGCAGTCGCCCGAGGCCTCCGACCCTGCCTTGGCGCCATCGGGGGCAAGGAAGCGGTTGACGGGGCGGCTGGGGGGACTGACCAGGGGGCAGCCGTCGTCGCTGGGCTCCAGGAACGAGCACTTCAGGGCTGGATAGGACAAAACCAGGCGTGAGTCACGGCAAGCACAGCACCAGACCTCCCATCGGCGGATACAGAGGGTAAGAGAGAACGAAGAGGTCTCGGCAAAGGCAGAGGGATCGAATAGAATGACGGCGGAGCCATGGATGGAGGCCAGGGTGTGGTATCAGAGAGCTCATCGGAGGGCACCTCGGACGCCAGTAAGCAGGGTCCTGGGTGGACAGAAAAAAGAAAGCCAGGGGTACTCGGCCAGAAACCTGACCGGACAGGCTCAGTCCGAAAGGGAAGAGTCAGGGACTGACCTGGCGTCATGGGTGCAACTGAGGCGGTGTGTCGGCGGATGCTGAAGGACGGCGACGGAGGGATCTGGCTCGTTTCGTCGTCGGTCTGGGAGTCGTTGTCAGAGGGACGCCATGAGAAGGCCCGCGAGGCGGTTGGGATTCTGCGCGTGAACGACAGCCGACTCGACGATACAATCTCAGGCGAGGGAATCAGGGGAAAAGGAAGGTGCGAGTCGGACTTTGCCGAATCCGAGTGGGAACCGGGTGCGCCGTCATCGCCCTTGGCAAAGAACAGGACGGGAGCAACCTTGCGGGGAGCAGGCATGAATATATCCTCCTCTTCGGCAGGGCGGTGTCTTGGCGACAGCGAGGGCGCAGAGACATGGAAGCTCTGGGGCGTGGAACGGCGCTGCTTGTCGGGGAGATTGGTTGCGGAGCTCGGACGAGGGAGAGGGCTCTCACGGATACTGGACGAAGGCATGGCCGAGGACAGGACGTGGGGCTGGCGTGTGGGCTTGTAGGACTGGCTTGGGGCTGCTGGCTGGAGGAAAGAAAGGGCCTGACGCTGTTGGATGAAGGATAGCGCTGTATTGGCGGATGCGATTGATGCAGATGGGTGGGCAGATCTGGGGAGGTGTTTGCAGGAAGAAGCGGTGCTGTTGCGGCAGGGTGGTGGTGGGATGAGGGATCTATATAATACAACGGGGTGGATGTGGGCTGCAGAGGAGCGAGAGACGAACGACGAGCAAAAGCCTGAGAAGCAAGTCTGCATGGGATCACATGCGCAGCCGGATCGAGCCAGCGTGTGTGTGTGTGCGATGCCAGCACTGTGGCGATGTCGATGCGATACTGAGACGATACCGAGGCAACACTGGGGCGATACTGTGACAGCACCCCACCCCCTGTCATCGGTTGACAGCGTTCGCTTCTGACAGCATGCCGCCGTCCACTGCCTGCCTGCCCCCCCCCGCTGCCGTTCAAGAGACCGCAGCTCATTGACGCACCCTCGCCCTCACCCTCTACCGACTCATGATCCCCTTGGAACCAAGATTTAAAGGCGGTGACTTGGCCGCGCATTTGAGTGCCCTCAGGGCCGTAGATACCGAGGAAGCAGACCATCCGTTTCTGCCGTCTTCAGCATGTCGCGCCATTCTGCTGCACCAAAGGCTGTGGCCAAAGTGTGTGTCCAGCCCACCCCTCTCATATCGCCACCGGTCACACCCCGTCTTCTCACGAAAGCTGCCGCCATCCCACGGGCACCCAAGGACCCGACAAGCACGCCCACCAGAGTTGCACCCAGTCCGGCTGCTGGTTGCGATGAAAACGTCCAGGAATCCGAGGCCAGAAATTCAAGAGGCTCCCCACAAAGGTTTCATCAGGATGCAAGTGACAGGACTGAGCATACCGGCCGCTCGCCCCAAGCACCACTCCTCGGGACCGGGCGGAGCGACAGCCCGGACGAAAGTGTTGTGAGTGTGTCAAGAGGAGAGCCCGAGGCGTGCATATTCGTTGCCAGGCAAGTCTCACTCTGTTCACCCCATCTCATATACTGCGTCATATCGTCACGATTCGGCCGATCAACTGACTCACCGAGTGCGTCCACCAGCCTGTGCTCGGATCAGTCGGACTGTGAGCTCTGTGAGTCCCTTGGGCACCATTTCTCCAAGTGGGGGCTGCTCCTGAGCGTCAAGGTTTTCAGGGACTCATTCAAGCGGCCATATGCCTTTGTCCAGTTCCAGGTGGGCCTTTCAGCATCCTCAGAATCGAGAACGACTGTGATCCCCTTGTCGTGGATGTGCATGTGTCCGCTACAGTCGATCCGCTCCGTAACTAAAGTCATGGCCCATAGAGTGCCATCGATGCTCAGCAAGCTCGGAAAGAAGGACAGCAGAGCTTGGTCAATGGGAGACCGATCCGAATCGAGCCTGCTCGCGTGAACAGAACACTGTACATCAGCAAGCCCAAGGAAGCCGGTGGTATCGCTGGGAAGGTGCGTTGTGGAAGTTGCCCGCCGCTCGAGCAGTACCGCTTGCAACCTTACAATGGAGCTGCCGGCGACGCTGACGATCAATTCTAACCGTGTCTCTTGGCCCACATCGCCGATGGCACCCTGTGTGAATCTACTGTTTGGATGCCGATTCTCGCTGGTAGGACTTGAGACATCACTTGGAGGCGTTCGGGCCGATAGAGAGCATCACTCCGCACAGCGAAAAGGCTGGCGAGGATCGAATTTCCAGACTGGTCAAGTTTTGTTACCGAGAAGATGCCGTACAGGCCCTGTTGGTGCGTCACTGGCTGCTGCTGTGTATTTGACCTGAGCCCAGTGCGGGGGTGTCTTTGCAACATCCAAGCCCGCGAACTGACCGACTCTGCCATATCAGACACTGAGATTCCAGTGCCGATGGACAGTCGACTGGTGAGTTTTGCGGCTTCTCCAACCAAGAGCAGCAGCCATTGGCATGCACAACGTGCCGAGTCATCCTCGTCGACTTCTGAGCGGCAGTATGCCCAACCAGGGCATCAAACATGGAACGGCGGCGCGTTCAGATCGAAAAGAAGTGTATCTTTGTCGGTCAATTGGATCCGGACATGGCAACGCACGGCAATCTCGAAAGGCACTTCAGTGTCCATGGACTAGTCGAATCCATCCAGATCTTCAGCTCCACCGAGCACCAGGGTTTGTCCACCACTTTGCCAGGCCGTTCAAAGGTTTTCGTGAGTTTCAGACTCTAGGCTAGGATTCCGTCTCACTCCATGGTCTCTGCCACAGCTCGGAACAAAGACAAAGGTCGGATGAACGCATGGAACCGTCCCGCATTTGCATTTATTCGATTCACGGACGAGTCTTCGGCAGAGTCAGCGCTACGCGAGGTAGTTCCTGAAGACTGAAGTGACAGCACAGATAAAATCCAGACGGCCACAAAGCTGCAGTGTTGGGCCGGAGTGCGCTGCAGCAAAGCTGGATGACTCATTTTCGGATCCACACTCCAGAATGGAAAGCAGTGGGGTAGATTTGCACTGAAAATTCAGTACCGAGAGACAAGCCTTTCTCGGATGCGAGCCGAACATGCCGAGTACCAGCGCCACCGTCGATGGGAGTCGGTGCAGGGCGATACCTCTCTGGTCAGTAGCAATGCGATCATCGTGGAGGGCAAGTTAACAACCGATGGAAAGCTGACATACGAACTGCGTCTTTGCTAAACAATCTGATACCAGACCAATGGCCCGCATGCCCACAGCGAAGGTGAGAGTGCACCGAGTGAACAAGGCCGGTGCTTGAGACATCGAGCTCTGACACGATTGTGCTGTATGAAACAGAGCCCTGGAGCACCGCTCTGGACGCTGCGCCAAAGGACGGAGAGGAAGAAGATGAGTTCTATCCATCTCCGAACTATTCAGTCACATCGCACGAGCCGTGGCCACCGGGACAGCCTGATATGGTGTCGATGTATGCGTCGGAGCATGCCCTCGGATTCTACGATCCAGCGTTCGTCCCAGCCGCTGCGTCAAGATACTGCGGACCTCCCGAATGGGTCAAGTATCCCGCCTTCTCGACCCAGGCTGTCTATCCAGTGCCGACCATTTTGCCGCCTGTTGCATATCCGCCGTGCTACTCCTATCGGCTCCATCCATTCTATGGCCTGTCGATCGGGAGAGGCGATATGGCCGTTGGTGCAGCCAGCAGCCAGCTTGTCAGAACCGACAGCGACAGACCACGCAAAACAACTATCCCTTTCAACTACACTCCGTATGTGCCAAGCACATATCCTGAATATATCTGAGCATGGAGGACGCCGTTGGCCAGGCGTTTGTGGCGGCTCAGCCGTATCCCATCCCCCTGCTTTCACAGCGACAGCCACGACGGATCCTGGCCCGCTCCATTGTTCTCATCGACGACTTGCGAAATATCAAATGATCACATGCACCAATACACGCACACTCTGCTCGCTGTCTCTACATCCACATCCTCCAGCCATCAGGAGGTGTGGGAACCACGGCCAAAGCCAACCCGCACGGCGCAACGCGTCCTGTCCAGCGCGCTGACTCAGCTGCCACCCTTAATTAATTAATTTTTTTTCTTTACCTCCGATCGCGGTTTGGATGCAGCGCGCCGGGACTGCGTCAGTGACCCAGAGCGAGCCAGCGAGCTTCCCTGTCGCCGATAGCAACGCCGACCGTCTGTCGAGAACATCATCGTCTGCCCTGCGCGATATCCCGATCCAGAATGGACGTCGACATGGAGCTTCCCACGGCAACCTCCCGGAAGGCAAAGGGGCGCAAGCCCGCGAGAGAGGCTAAATCCGCCCAGCCCACCCCCAAGACCTCCAAGGCGCCCAAGGCAGCGACCACGACGCCGATCTCAACGCCCTCGTCAGCTGCTCATGCACGATCTACAGCGGCTGCCAGTCCGACAGTGGCCTCCAATGCGATGGGGACTCCAAAGAGCGAGAAGAGAGCCAAGACGCTATCCAAGGAAACCGCAAAGTCACAGGATTCGATAGCAACGCTCGTGGACCCTGATAGCGAGCACGATGTCGTCGCGCCTGCAAGCCATGGCGGGACTCCACAGAGCATCAAAGGACCAAAGACTGCCAAGGGACATGCGAATGCGAAATCCAACGCATCCAGCGCCTCTCGGAAAGCTGCGGACACGCCGACCAAGACCGCGACAGCACCATCCGCGAGTCCGGCGGGAAGCGGACCAAGGCCCAACGGCGCCGAGACCCCCAAAGGTCCGGAGGGAAAAACGAAGAAAACGAAACCGACGCAAATCTCGGACGCGAGATCTGTCGCCAAGGCGAACTCTGCTGCAGGGCCTGACCACCGACCCCAATCCTCGGCAGCTTCCACAGCAACGCCAACCAAAAAGTCTGGATCGTCGAGCCTCGCCAACGGACAGGCAGCCCATTCCAAGGTACAAGCGCCCGGAACTCCAAAGCAGCAGACGATTCGGAAAGACGATGCTGCGGCCCTGACTGCTCCGGAACAGGGAACAGCACCCAGCGGCGATGCCACCTCAGCCGAGTCCAAAAAGGCCAAAAAGTCAAAGGTTGCGAGGTCCTTCAAGGTCAACGAAAATGTGCCGCAGAGGGACGCCCTGACCTCGGCAGTGAAGAAAGGAGAGCGATTCTCGGCCAACGTCTCGACGCTCACCTGCGGCAATCTCGGCGCCATCCCACCCGTGTTCACCAAGGACTCTGGGTAACTGAGACTCGCAGGCCGGTGCTGTCAGAGTGCAAGGTTGGTGCGCGGATATCGCAGCACAGTACTCACCTCACCACCCCGCCTCTCGGTTGGCGCCAGATACCTTTTTTGCGCAACCGAATCGACCATCAAGATCTTCAGTGTCGCGACCGGCCATGCCGTTCGATCGATCGTGGGACACACGGACACGGTGACTGCGACGTTTCTCAATCCCGAGAACCATCTCCAAGTAAGTGGCTGTCGCCGACTCTATCAGCCGAACAGAAATCGCGAAAGGGACAATCTCGCCGAGCAGAGCCAGCGGCAGCCCTGTTTACCTGTTGTGAATGCACCAGCTCTACTCTGGCTCGTTAGATGGGACAATCCGCCTGTGGGACTTCAACGACGCCATTTTGCTCAAGGTAAGGCTTGGTTTGCCTCACTAGCCACGGAACTACGAATCCATCGACTGACTTGCCCGCAAACGCGATTCATCTCTAGTCCTGGAACATTGGCGAGCCCATTCAGCACATGTGTGTGTCCAAGGCCGAGCCCTCTTTCCTGTTTGTGGCCATCCAGAACCCGGGCCAAAACTCGAGCTCGGTGCTCAAGTTCAATGTAGCCCAAAAAACGGTCAAGTGGGAGGTCATCATGACGCTCAAGGGCACCATCTTCCGTATCGAGGTCGACCCATCCGGCGAGTACCTGGTTGCCGGCAGCACGTCACAGCGATTCAAGGTCCTGCACCTCCCCACAAAGACCCAAGAAATCTACTCGCTGGATGGCGTCGAGCTGTCCACCTTTGCCATCCACCCCACAGAGCCGGCTGTGGCGGTCGGTGACAGCGACGGTCAGATTACACTATGGTGCGTCCAGCAGGCTTGCCTGCGTTTTCACCAACTGGCTGGTGTCGGTCCTCGACTGTGCAGTCGCTAATTGCATGTCTACAACGATAGGTATTGTCTGCGCACACCCTTTGTTGCCGCTCCGGTCACGACCACGCTGCACTGGCACGCCCATCGAGTCAATGGAATCAGTTTCACAGCCGATGGTCAGTGCTTGGTCAAGAATATGTTGCTCGTGCATCGACTGGACCATGCCACCGTGTCGCGGATCAACCTCGCCCGATTTAACAACAGGCCTCGGTGTGTGGGCTGCTGATGAGATTGCGAGGCCGAGTTGGCGGCATATGAACTGACAGGCAGCGTGGTCCTATTCAAAACAGGCGCGTATATGCTCTCGGGTGGTGAAGAGGCCGTCCTGGTTGTGTGGCAGCTGGAGACCCGAAACAAGCAGTTCCTTCCGCGTCTGAACTCAGAAATCGTCTCGGTCACCGTCAGCCCGACCGGAAGTCTGTTTGCTCTCGGTCATCGCGACAATTCGATCCGAATCATCTCATCCGTCAACCTCACCGTTCGTCAGGCGGTTGCCGGACTCAAGATTGGTCAGTATCACATCCGCCAAAGTCCAACGTCGTGCTGTGTCGCGCTGTCGAGCGGAGCAACCGATTGTGAGCGCGCCCGTCTCACATATTACTCCCATCTCGCAGCTCAAGAAAACCGAGAGCTCTATCCACTGAGTACTGGACTGGTTGTCGAGCCAAGGGAGAACGCCGTCTGCCTGAACGGATCGCCAGGAACGCTCCAGTTCTACAACCCCTTTGCAGACCGACACGTCATGGAGCTGGAGATCACTTCGGGAAACCGTGTCAGTCGGCAGGAGGATCGCGAAATCATTCGCCCCCATGTCGTTCATGCGGCATTCTCAAAGACTGGTGACTGGATGACCACGGTATGTGCAGTTGCCTCAGCATCTGGTCTTGTTCGCTTGGGAGGGGGGGGGCGCTTTCTATGCCGTAGCTGTGTGCAGCAGAGCCATACTTGCGTGCTACTCTTGCTGTTTTGTTTTACGCTGCTTGTTGACTCGCACTTGTCTGGTGTTAGGTCGACACCCGGGACGATGGCGAGTTTGATCCCGAGCTCTACCTCAAGTTCTGGACTTTTGATCACAACAGCCGAAGGTGAGATTGGTTGCGACTGTCGCCTCCCGCCCCCCCCCAAAGTGCACAGTGGAACCCATTCACCCAGCCCAGTCGAGGAGCCAGCTGCTGATGAAACGGCGCCCATGTGTTTCTGCAAACGTAGCTATGCTGTCAACACCCGAGTCGACAACCCGCACGATGGAGCCATCCACGGGCTCGCCTTCCGGCAGGCATCCTCCGAGCCTCTCTTGGCGGTGACGTGTGGCAATGACAAGAAGTTCAAGATTTGGCAGCTCAACACTGCCCACAGCGACGACGACGAGAAGGAAGAAAGTAAGCGGAACTCACCTTGTTTCCTCCTTGCCCCGTCGCTTGCTTTGGCCGGATACCCACACTCTCCAGACCCGTCTTCGTGACAATGCCACATAACTGATCCGCAAGATCTCGAATCGGGGTCTGCCGACAACGAGTCGTCGTATTGCACCAGCTCCATTCCCTCTGCGTCCTACTTACGTCTTGTTGTCACCGCGATCGATAGCGTACTGGTCGTGTCGCAGTGTCGGATTTTACAAGGAATCGGCCATCTCCCATGTGACGTTTTCCGAAGATGGCTCGATTCTGGCAGTAGCCTGCGAAAACGATCTGACTCTGTGGAACCCACTTACCAATGCACTCCACGCCGTCCTGACATACCCGCCACCGACCAACACCATCCGCAACATTTGCTTCACGAGTGGATCCGAGCCCTACGTGGTTGCCGTCACCGACACCCACATCCACGTCTGGAATCTGCTGACGTGCACCATCTGGTGGAGTGTCCGAGTCGGCGATGTGGCACACTGTGCAAGCGATCCCAAGAGCGCGCATTTTGCGGTGGTGCTGACAGGGTCAAGCGACTACAAGAGCAAGATTGCCGTCTTCCACCCGTCATCGCCTGTCAGTGTCCACAACTGGAACGTCGATGAGGACATTGTGTCCTTGACGTTCTTTGCTCGAGCCGACAACACTGCCAGAAGCAACAGTGGCATGAGTGTGCTGATTCTGAACAACAAGTACCAACTGCAGCTTGTGTCTGGCGAGCAACTGGGCGGATCCGACGAAGCGTCACAAGAACAAGAGCAGGTAGGGTTGGCTAAATCGTCGTTTTTGGCCTTCTCGGCGCAAGCACCTGCCCGATCCCGATCCCTATCCTGGGCCGTGGCGCCACGAACTAACCAATGCAACCCTCAGGGCCAACAGGAGCAGATCCGGGAAAGCATCGCTCCGTCTCTCTTCAGCAGCATCTACGGCAAGGCTGCGGTCACCGAGCCCGAGACGCAGAGCTTTGCCACCGCAGCAACCAAGAGTGCCGAGAACTATGCAGAGAGCACCCCGTATCTCGAGGCGGCTGCCAGAGTGCACAAGACCGTGGCCTTCCTGGAATCGCCCTCGCATGTTCTGCCGCCGCCGACGAAGCTCATCACGGCCTTTTTCGAGCACCTCCTGGAGCAAATGGGTGCAACTCAGATTCAGGACGACGACCAGGCTTTGGATGCTGACGGCGATGTGGTGGTCGTGCCGGATGGCGATGAGAATCACATGATTATTGATACAGACCCGGATCAAGCCTTGGTCAGCGCCAAGATCGAGCTCGGCTTCATGAAAGAGCTCTTCCAAAGCCAGTTTGGAGGTAATTCGCCTTTCTCCTCCCCCCCCCCAGCAATGTCGAGTGTTGGGCCATGCTGATAGACTGGCGCCACGTCCTCGATCACCGCGGACTCGAACTAACCACGTTTCATTATAGCCGAGACTGGCAAAAAGTAGAAATGTCGCAGAGGAACCTACTGTACGGCGCAATCCATCCATTCATAACTCCTCCTCACTCCAGTAAACGCTCGCGCCTCAAGAGTTCCACACAGCTCATCAAGAAACCCTCGATGCCGCGAGCCCGGCGATTCATTACCATAATAACTGAGTGGTGGATCTCAACGGCTTTCCCATTGACTCATCACCACCACTGATATCGCCATCAGCCATCGATGGCAGGTTCGTCTCGGGCGGGGTGGCCCTGAATATACGAGGTTGATCTCCGACAATGATAGATTGTGTGCTGTAGTCGTACGTCCAGCTGCGGTGCCCTTGCGATTCCATAGAGCTGACGGCAATGGTTCTCCCTCGCGTCTGAACGAAAATGAGTCTCATGCCTGCCTTTCAAGCCTGCCTTTCATGGCTGTCGTGCACCACTTTCCCACAAACGCGAGATCCCAGAGCCCAGCCTGCTCCTGCTGGTGCTGCTCGGTGGAGACAGTATCCCATCAACCCGCTGGCTGCTCTAGGGTTATTCTGAGAGATTTATTCGAGGCCGTGTCAGCATACGGCTGGTGCAAGCCCCAGGATCTCAAAGCGGCCCGGACGAAGGATGAGAAGATTATGCGCATCGCCGCCAAAGAGCGGTGTATGCCACGGGCTCAATCCAAGAGACTGAGCTTGTAGCGGATTCCAAAGGGCAACTCCTCGGCCTCAGCTGCTTTGGCCAGAAGTTTGGATCGGCACTGTGTATGGTTGAAGTCGGGATGGCCGTGATTGCACTGGTCCCGGCAGCTGACGCCGCAGTCGAAGGTCTCCGGATAGACCAAGACTGGGGAGGAGAGAAGAGGGATCGCGATTTGATAGGAAACACCCCGATGCAGCAGTTGAGAGAGTCAGTATGTCTTTCAAGCGCGCTGGTTGGGGAGGAGAGCAAGTCGGACCGAATAAACTCACCGTTGGGAATCACCACCAGTGGCATGTAGTGGAAGGCCTTACTCGCGGAGTAGCGATAGACAGCATCGGTGAGATCGGCCAGGTGCCTGGGTGTGGTCGTGGGTTGAGCAAACTCCTTGACCAATTCGGAGGCGACAAACATCCAGAAGGGATGGCCAGGGATGCTCGCCATCCAAGCGTCAGAGATTAAGCCTTTGCTGGGCGAAAGCGAGTCGCTGCTGGAGAGCAGCAGTATGCCGCTTTGGAGCAGACTTGTCGAGTCGGGCGAGAGGGCCGTGGTCATGGGACGGAGCGACTCCACATACGGATCGGCGTAGACACCCCCGAATTTATGCAGGTAAAAGTAACGCGCGACGTGCAGCTTTTCGGCGCTGGACAGTTGGTCGTATGTTTGCAGAAACCAAGGATAGTGGTCCTCGATCAGGGCGCGGTCGCTCTCGCGAGACCACACCTGGTAGGTCCACAACATATGGAAACTGCGCCAAGTGGTGGACCACGCCTTTTTTTCCTGTTGCATCGCCAAAAGGCGAGAGCCGGCATTCGATTCGGCAGTGGACGGGAAGTTAGAACACAGTCTGTGATCGCGAGGGCCGCTCGGGGAAGCGTTCATGTGGTTGCGAGATGCAGTTACAGCTGCAGAATAGAGTAGGAACGACATTTACATCCTGGAGGGATATCTTGCCGTGTGACTGGTGGATGATGCTTGGAATCGAGGGGGTTGTTGGGGCCTTGTATTGCGAGGGACGCTCGCGAGTGAGCACAAGGTTGATCTGCTCGCTTGCATCGGGTTCTATGGATCCTCGAAGCTTGATCAAGAAAATGATCATCACGAGCGGCCCGGCGATGAGCAGGAACTTGAAGAGATTTCTCTTGAGCAGGATCATGATGGACTGCGGAAGGAGGCCAGCGACAGGAGATGGAATGAGCGCGAGACGAGGCCAGTGACGCAGATGCCAATGCAGGTGTGGGAGTGGGTCTGAGTGACGAACTGCTACTGTCCAAAGCCCCCCCCGCTATGTTGGATGATGGTGGGAAAGCGCGCGGAACAACAGCAGATGCTGCAGGCCACCGAGCTGATCTCTGCGAACGGGGGTGACTTGATCCCGACCACGACGCAAAAACGGATTTCATGCTACACGAGACAACTGGACTGCCAATCATGCAGCAGAACCAAGGCGGGCTGGGTAAGGTCTCTTGGGCCAGACACACATTCAGCTTATGTATGATGGCGGCGACTTGAAGCCCAACTTGAGGCCCGATATGTGCCAGGCGGAGCCCGCCAAGATTAGGCGCGCATACAAGTGAATCCCCTGCGGGGAATGCTACGTTCACGAAATGGGACATGGATGTTGTTGTGATGCCTTTCTGGGTCTTGAGCCCGCACGGTCATATCGTCAGAGTGCTTCAGGGCGCTGCCATCCGTCGATATCACAACAGACGGGGTGCACAGGCCCCAGTCTGTGGTCGATATTTCATCGACCCGGTCCGTCAAAACAGCGCGAGCATCACTAACCGAGCACCGTTCATCCAGAGGAGTTGGTCAACACCGCTCTTCCGGAGGATCGATCGACATCGGTCATCCAGAGGAGTTGGCCGACGTCGTTCGCATCTCATGAGTTTAGATTGGCGTCATAGATGCCAGATTGGAATCGGAACACAACTTCAATGGCTTCTTGGTCTAGTCAATGGGTGGGTCTTTATTTAGACTTTGCCTTAGCGTCCCTGGCGGGCTCTGGGACTGGGTGTTGGTTTTTGCCAACCAGGAGCTCTTATGGTCTAGTGGTATGACGTGTCCTTCACACGGATAAGGTCCCCAGTTCGATCCTGGGTGGGAGCAACGACGGCTTCTTGGTACAGTGGTAGCATACTCGCTTAGGGTGCGAGTGGTCCCGGGTTCGATTCCCGGAGAAGCCCTTGGCCGCCTTAGCTCATCTGGGAGAGCGTAAGACTGAAGATCTTAAGGCACCCGGTTCGATCCCGGGAGGCGGCATATATATATATATTTTTTCATGGCCTTCCCTGCCACCGACACGACTCTGGCCGCTTGTGCTCCTCTTCTTTCGGGATGAGACACCATGCAGACTCTGGCTCGCCAAGTGCTGTGAGCACTCCATCACCAGTGCGTTGTATGCGTGTATTCAAGGTCCAGCATCGACCGTGGCCAGCGGGACCAGAATCGGGTTGCTCTGCTTTCCCCTCTGCGAGCCCCGTTATGCGGTCCGGCGCCCTCCCATTGCCCGATGCCTGCTCCGGCACTCATTCTGCATCACCCTCTTCGTCGTCGGCTTCAAATCCCTCGCCAAACTTCAGGAAGTAGTTCAGGTGCTCCTTTGTGACGCAGGCTTCCAATGTGTCCATACGCCTCTGCTTTTCTTCGTTTGTGAAACGCCTCTTGGCGACAGTGACCTTTGTCCATCGGCTTTCGTCTGCTTCGTCCTCGCGAGATTTCCGCTACAGCGCCGCAGACAGGGCAGACGTTACCACCGAATCACCACAGCCCATTGCACCGCGGCACCAAGGACATGATCGAAAGGTGCCACGTGTGCTCTGCGAGCCCAGAGGATTCCCCAGCGATCATACAGCTCTCGTATGCCAGCCAGCCAGCATTGCGGGATACATGAAGCAGCTCCCTCAGCAACGCCGCAAGCCCACTTACCACATTTCTCTTTCGTCTGAAGACATATTTGCGATCCAGGACGTTGTAAAACGCACCGCCTTCGTCCGGGCGGAGGACGATAAATATTTTGGTTCCGGTTTCTTCCTCGATCTTCTTTTGCTCAAAGTCCCGAATAAATCCATAGTCGTTTGGAGCCTCCTACGGCAGATTACAAGCAGTTGTTGGGCGACTCGTCAGTTCGGCCCAATGATTGGGTTGAAAGACAGGGCGGTGCAAGATTGCAGTGCAGAAACTAGAGTATCGCGACTCATATCGCGAAATGACCAAATGAGTGTGGTATAGGGAGGGGATAATCGCCCAACATACCAGGTCTTGATCCTGATCCTCAAATATGTCGTCGTCGTTCTCTTCGCCATTGTCCCGCTTCCTTTTCTTGAGGATCCGCTTTGCCGACTCATCATCGGGCGCATACAGCGAGAAGAATTCGCCCTTGGTGCGGAGATCAATCATCGGACGCAGAAGCACTTCTTCTTGCCGCACCTTGGTGACCGGGTCCGCGTTCTTTTCCTGTGGTCCGGTTTGCAAGCAAAGTCACCGGGTTTGAGAATGCTTTCCCATGCAACCCACCATGTACATGGCCACATCGGACAATGAGAGCGCATCGATTCGACTCGATTCAATTGGATGTCGCTTGGAAAATACTCACGCCGCTCAGCTGGATTGAGGCCGACAGAGGGTTGGCGTCATAAACAGAGTGGACATATTTGTTGGGCCACAGCATGAAATCGGGATAGATCGGGAAGATCTCTGTGGCCGTGACGCCGCTGCGGACCGGATGCTTGATGTGTGTCAGACTCTTGCGCTTGACTGACTCAAACGTCTGCTCGATAGCCTTGATTTGGCCCTCTTGCGAAAGGTCAAAGAACTTTTGGATCTCCTTGTCCTTCATGATCGAGAGGCCCATCCTGAATGCAAGAGCGATCGTGTCCTTAGCGTCGCTATCGGATCTCCCCAGCCGCTGCGACTGCACATTCCATGCACTCTGTCGTGCGGGTGTGGCGGTTGTCTATCGTCTCCGGTCGTCTCCGGTCGTCTCCGGTCGTCTCCGGTCGTCTCCGGTCGTCTCCGGTCGTCTCCGGTCGTCTCCGGTCGTCATTGGTGATGTCCTTGTCCAATCGATAGATCCACGGGAGATTCGAACTTACTTGGTTTCAACACCTTCGTTACGCTTGCCCGTTCCTCGGCTCGCTTCCATTGAAATGTATTCCGTGCGGCGGAGCCACGAGACGTTGGGTGGACCCGACCTGGCTGGCCCCTCTTTCTTCACATCCACGGGCTTGTCGAGCAGAAAGCTGTCCTCAGGATCGAGTTTGGTTGGCTCGGGAGTATCTGTCCGGTCAAGTCAGATCACGCCGTTTTAGCGAGTGGCTGTGGTTCGATTCTCGAGGTGGAGGGAAGTGATGGACCGCGAGTATTCCTCGCTCGATACATGTACACATCAAACGAAGGGACACTCGAACTTGATCGATTTCGCCGAAAACAAAGAGGAGGACGGAGGCAGAGTGTTGTCCAATACAACGAGCGGGGGGGGGAGAAGTGGCCAGGGCGCCTTCGCTTCACCTCAGCTTACCAACCTTGCGAGCCTTTCAGCGCCTTTCGTATGAATCCCGACGACAGCAGATCGATCGGGCACGAGTTGAAATCGTCTGGGGCATAGAGTGGCTGGGGATGGCTGTCAAAGATTGGACACATTTGATACTTGTAATGCCGATCGGCCGCAAACGGATAGTCCAGCAGCTTGGGATCAAATGGGAGCTGCGGCATCACGTTTCTATATTTCAGCTTGCACACAAACTCCTGGTGCGGCGTACCGCGGTGGGGTGCTGGTTTTCTGTCGAAGGGAGAAGTATGAGGGTGACAAGATTTGTCCATCGAAACAACAGCGTGGCGAGGACGAGATGGTCAGTGGTTGGGACTGATGATGCAGGACAGGCTCGGATGGCATCCGCGCGATCAGCGTTCATCTGACTACTGCCGCTAAGGACCGAAGGCGAGGCAGGCCAGCGACGAAGCTGGAGATTGGCAGGGTTGGCGCGGCAGTCATACTTTTCCACGCTGCCGGGCTTTGAGGACGACATCCTGGCTGGTGATGTTGTTGCTGGTGACGAGGACGGGGAGGGGCTCGGTATTCGCACCTCGGCGCTATGAAAAAGCCGAACGACCGAGGGGCTGGGGTTCTCGGCCGGGTGCTCTCGGCCAGGTTCTCGCGAGAGCAGCAGCCACGCCGCTCCCACCTGATCGGATCTCGTGACCTGACCGATCGGGAGACCATGCGGTTTGTGTGCTTTATTCACAGTTGTTGCTGGGTGGGACAGGGGAGATTCAAGGTACTGCAGCGAAGGGGAGAGCGGATGGCAGCCAAGATATCGATGCAAGGTTGGCGGAGGGGAATCAGTGCTGCTCTTTGGGCAGCGAAACCTTCAGGAAGGCAGTAAAATCCTCAAGGACCATCACATAAATGTCAAAATTGGGCATGATTTCGGGCGGATACGCCCCCAGGTCTGTAAAGCGGTACTCTTTGACTTCTGGATGCCGAGCGCGGAACTCGTCCATCGTCAAGAATCCTTGCCGGCCCAGCAGAGACCGGAACGAGTCCACCGCCGAGCGCTTGGACGCCTTCTTTGGCCCGCTGAACAGGCGGTTGACACGGACAGGGTCGCTGTCGTCCGAGCTCTCGCAGCTGTCCTGGGGGTCGTGGTCGCCCTCGGGAATGTTGTGCTCTGCCGATTTGCGGACGACACACCAAACATACTTGCACGGCGGGAAGCCCATGCCAGCAGCTTGGGCCTCGGCCTCGTCCTGCTCAAACTGCTTCATCATCTGGTACATCAGCGGGAGCGCAATGCCTTCAATATCCTCGAGTCGCCGATCGGCCCGGTGGGATATCCGGAAGGTTCCCTCGGTTTGGTTCCAGAATCCGGTGCTGAAGGCACCGACAATCTGCTCGCTCGACTTTGGTGGACTCGAGGGTGTATGCGGCATACCACCACCGTCCTCAAGCAGCTTCTTCTTCTTGGCCTTTTCGGAGCGATAGCGCTGCTTGCGATTGGGAATCTCGGACATGCACGCCACCGTCAGGTAAGTCTTGCGGCCGGGAAGGTGCTGTGTCAGGATAGGCAGCAGGTCGGTCTCCCACATAAAGTCGATCCGCTTGGTGATGCGCTCGAATGTCGAGAAGGCTTCAAAATTCTCCATGATCCGGGTTTGCGCCAGCTTCATGAGCCCGACGTCGATCCAGATGCGCCTGATTTGGTCCAGCCAGGACTCGTCCGAGTTTTTCGAGCCAACGAACCGCCCGAGCTCGGGAGCAAGGCTGGCAGAGTGGCAGCCCTTGTCGTGATGGTCGTTGTGGGTAGCAAGGGGCAAGGGTATCGACTTGTACTCCTCCTTGAGGATCGTCCGGAGTCGATCGTGGGGCAGTCGGCAAGTCTTGCGTCCGTTGCCAAAGAGCTCAACCGGTCTCCATTTCCCGGTTCTCCACTGGCCCCCTCCGCCACAGTTGGTGCAGAATTGATACTTTGAGTGACACAGGGAGCAGACGAGCTGATGGTGGTGGCAAAGCGAGGATCATTCGAATTAGGAGTCATGTAGAGGCTGCTGCGCCGGGGTTCCCGAAAATAGCACCAGAAACACCCGGGTTCATAATGCTGGTGCTGAGCCAACCAACCAACTAACCAACTAACCAACTAACCAACTAACCAACCCAGTGCAGCGGGCTCACCTCGGTGCCAAATTTGGACTTGTCGGCCAGACTATGGTGGGTCGAAATCTGGCCGAATCCGAACGTTCTCTTGCAAATGTTGCAGTTGAGCGCCTGCTGACTCTCGAGGGCGCTCTCTGGGCAAGAGTGACTGGTAAACACCCCGTGCAATAGCGACGACGACGACACCGACGACGATACTGCGCCCAGCAAGCTCTGCTGTAGATCCGTCGGGTGCGCCTTGCTATGTCGTTCGGAGCCTGCAGCCTTGCGTTGATGGTGGCAGAGATTGCAAGTGAAGAGCGAGATGTAGGACCCTGGGAACGGCGGTACCTTGCCGAACATGGATAGGGTTGCATACTGCGTGCCGCATTGGATGCATACGAGCTGCTGCTCGAGCTTGCCCTTGCCGGGTGGAGCCTCGCCGGATTCTGCGGAGATGGCCGGAGGAGGCAGCGAGCTCGCTGCGATGGTGCTTGGGAACATGAGCAAATCGGTGGACGAAGCATGCTTGGCTCGCTTGTGGTGAAAGTCCAGGTCGGCACTGGCAAAGTCAGGGGCCGTCCGCTTGGCTACAAACAGCTCGGGTTCGGTTGGATGCGGCGGCCAGGCGACGAAATTCAAGGCACTGGCGAGGGATGCGGACGAGCCCGACAGAGAATGGCATGTGCCGTTGGGTATCAGCGATACAGCTGAGAGCGATGCCGACGATGACAGCGATGTGGGCGCCAGAGGGGCAACCAGGGCCAGCGATGCGGCAGCAGGGAGAGATGAGGGTGTCGTTGATGGCAGAATGGCAAGTGGTGCCGGTGTCAAAGCAGGCGAGGGTAGCAGCGAGGCCGCAGGGTCGGGCATCGAAGCGATGGTCGAGAAGCCGAGGCCAGAGTGGGGCTGCGAGGCGATGTGCATTAGATGCGATATGGCCGCCGAGGCCCTTGGGTCGATGCGGTCGTCGGGCGAGATGCGCTCGAGGTGATATGGATGCGGCAGCAGCGTCGAGTGAGTATGTTGATGCTGATGCTGGTGCTGATGCTGATGCTGGTGCTGGTGCTGGTGCTGGTGCTGGTGCTGGTGCTGGTGTAGATCCTGGTACGGGTCCTGGTATGGGTCCTGGAACGGAAACTGGTGGTGGTGGTGGTACTGCAGCTGTGGATGCTGGTAATGTTGCTGTTGTTGTTGCTGCGGTTGCTGTTGCGGTTGTGAGGAGTTTGGATACGGCAGCATCGGCAGCGTGCCGATCGGATAGTGCATGTCGTGGCTTGGCGGCTCAGGAGGAGCAACCTCGGGTGGGACCTGGAAGGGCGGTAGCGGGAACATGGGAATCAGGGCGGTTGCGGAGCGGAGCGGAGGAGAGGGCAGGCCAGAAAAGCCCAAGGGCAGCAGGTCGTTGGGCTGCTGATGGCATCTGGTCCAAGATCAGACCGGATCAGCAGCCAGAGACAGGCAAGGAGCGCAGCGCTTGGACAACAAACACTGGGCTGGGGCAGACAAGGAGGGCAAGCAGTCCGTCTCGGACGACGATTGCTGCAGCGACGCATTGGGCTGCAGCGACGGATTGGGCTGGTGCAGAGGCAGAGCCAGCCGAGTTGCATCGGCAGAGCGCATGCTGAAGGACGTACCTCGCGATTCGCAGCGAGTCGGATATGTACCAGGCGGTCGGCGGTGCTGCCGAGCGTCAGGCCGAGTCTCGGGGCACCGGAGGCATGGGTTACTGCCGATGGAGACCAGAGCTCGCTCGAGACAGACACATGGGATGCAAACGAGGTGCTTCGCGAGTCTGAAGAAGCCGGCAGGGGCGATTGCATCCCCGGGCCATGAAGCAGCGGGTTGGCATCCGGCGGGGGAGCTCGAATGGGCGGCCCTGGAGTGAAGACGCCGGGGGCAGCGGGTGACGGGTTGCTGTTGTAGCGAGGGCGCTCGACGGTGGTGACGATAGGCATGTTCATGGTGGGGTAGTCTCAGAGGGGCGTTGGAGCAGACAGACAGAGAGACAGACAGGCAGACAGACAGACAGACAGACAGATAGATAGATAGATAGATAGATAGATAGATAGATAGATAGATAGATAGATAGATAGATAGATAGATAGATAGATAGATAGATAGATAGATAGATAGATAGATAGATAGATAGATAGATAGATAGATAGATAGACAGCGTGGGACAAACGAACGGCCGAACAGCCGAGTGAATGAGTGTGGATGAGGAGAGCCGGCAGGAAGGGTCGGTTGGAGGAGGTGACTCTCGTGCGAAACCGGTGATTGGGAGAGACGGGAGGGTGGGAGGCCAGAGCGGGGGGTGGTCACGGCGGACGAATCCAGGCCGGACGGTTGTGCGGCGTAACGGCGGAGCGAGCCAGATAGTGGTGGTATGCGGAATCGGCGATGAGGGGGGGGGACCTGGCGCTGTCGGAATGGGTCTCTGGGGGCAGTATCGAGCAGGGGTCTCTGGAGCCAGAAAAGCGTCTGGCCTGGGTCGTGGGGAAGACCAGAAGGTCGGTGGGCGAGGACGAGGAGGGGGAAGGACGGACTGCATATAGCTGGTGGGTGATCGATTGGCCGGAATGCCGGTCGCAACAAGGACCGCCAGGCACTATCTGTTTCCGATGCCCTCGGATCCGCCTTGGCCGTGGGAGATTAGAGCAGCGCCACAAGCCCGATCGGTGGTGGGACGGCTGGGGACAGGCCGGCGACAGGGAAGGGGTTGCCAAGGCGGTCGCAATGGCAGTCGCAAAGGCAGTCGCAAAGGCAGCCGCAATGGCAGCCGCAAAGCACCGACTCTCTGAGCAGCAGCACAAGCTCTGGCACAGACCAGGCACAGCAGCCGAGCACCCCCTCAACCACGACAGCGGGTGCGAGTTCCTCCCTCCCGTCTTGGTCGAGGCCGGTACCTGTTCGAGCCGCGGCCAGCAAGGCCATGCACCGGCAGACAAGCTCCGGCACCAGCCCCCTTGGCTGCATTACCGCCTTGCCACTGCCGGCATCGGGTCTTCCAAGGCAGAGTCCAGGAAACATGGGGGCCGATGGGTTTAGGCTCACAGAGCGCCGTCTTCCCGGCGGGCGATAGCGACGGGTTGCTCAGTGGACATGTCCCCATTCTCCTTGTTTGGCCGAGCCACAGCGATGCGGCGCCTCTATTTCGTCGACACTGACCACACTCGCAGTGCGTGGTCGTAGAAGGAACACGAGCCAACAATGGGCAGGGCGGGGTCATGGCACCAGTCGGACCCGTAGGCGAGCGACTCATGCTCAGAGTAGCTGGCGACGACTCTGCTGGCTGTGCGGGTGCAGTTGCCGCGGTCAGAGTGGTTGCCGTTGTCGTTGTTGTCATTGCCGTTGTTGCCATTGCAGTTGCGGTTGTCGTTGTGTTTGTCGTTGTGGTGGAGGCAGCGCATCAAAGATACCGGCAGGGTGGTCGCCCACGGCGTTCATGGTCAGCGGGACAGCCGCACCGCCAAGCGCGCAAGCAGGGCCGCCCCAGTCAAAGCCGTCCGCCAGCAGCGGAACGAGATCAGTTGCACGGCATGTGTGAATTGCGCGGATGACCGTCAAGGGCGTTGGCCAAGGGCGCAAAAAGGGGGGGGGCGGTTGAGCAAGCACCGGGGGGGGGAGCAGTTGTTTGCGTGTGAAACAGCCAGACATAAACAGGATCAGCAGATGCAGCACATCATCCGGACCAGCGGTGCCGCGGTGGCTCGCTCTGCACAGACGTCGACCGTACTATTCGCCAGCCCATACCGCTCGCCAGATCCGTCTCGAGGACATGGAAGCCGTTGTGCATCGCCGCGGCAAGGAGTATGTTTTGTTTCCGGGGGTGCCACTTGAGTCTCCAGACGCCGCCGCCGATGTGATGATCGACCAGCGGTTGTTTCATCGAGCGGGTGTCCCAGACCAGGACATGTTCGTCGTAGCTGCGCCGCATCCAGGGCCAAGCCAGAATCGTCGCATTCAAGAAGAAGGATATCTGTCAGAATCAGGGCAAGCATGTCGTGTGTGGGTCATCTTGCACAGCTTGCCACGGACAAGCCACGGGCCATCCAACGCAGAATGCCACAAGCACTTACCTCCCGGTGGCCAGGATATGTTCTGTATGTGGATGGCTTTGGATACTGCAGACGCCCATTTGGTGCCTACAGCAAAGACGCAGAGGTGTGGCAGGATGAGGATCGGCCGAGGAATGTGTGCCGAACAGTAGTCTCACTGGGTCGGTCGCTTGCACTGGCCGTCGTGGGCGCTCACCTTCGACTAACAAACGTCGGGCGATCGCCACCCATACGAAGATCCCAGCCTTTGAGCCGACAGTCATCGCCACCCGAGTAAACGGTCGAGGTGCTCCAGTAGTCAAAGGCACCGATCCAAGCTTCGTAGTCGTGTGCGGTCCACTGAACAAGCGGCTCCAGCTGCCCCTCTTGGGTGACTCCAAGGTGAACCAACGACCCGTCGCTCTGGCTGACGATCAGCGAGGGAGTCCTGCAGCAATGGAAACAAAGTCACAGCATCAGGATGCGAAAAGGGCACGGCGACCCAGAATTACAGCAGGCCGACGGATTGCGCTGCCTCAAACATCCAAAGCTGGCGAGATGGTTGCTCGAGGGTCTGCGACAATTCGACCGTGAGATCGGCGGCTTACTCTGGATGAACTCGATTCGACCAGTCGAGCGACAAACAGAGCACTCCTTCTGATTCGTTGTTCCACGCAGCGGTCTTCTCCAGAATCGAGCTCTGCAAACGAGTGCCACATTATTCCGGTCAGTCAGTCAGTCTCTGGGACACGAGGCAATGTCAAAATCGAGTGCGATTCGGCGGACAGGCAAGCATATCGACCTGACTCAGTGTCCAGAGGCTCGTGTTGCCAAGGGCATCGACCATGCCCATGGTGGGTCGACCCGAGTCCAGCACGCGATGAGACCTGTGAATGCGATGTATGGCAATGTCAGTAGAAGAGCCATGATCAAGCCGAAAGTATCACGGCTGAGCGGGGAGGATCGTGGTCGGGGATAGCTCTGGACAAGATCTGGAGCGACGACTGCTGTAAAGTGTGCAGCCGTCCCCAACAAGCTTGGAATGCCCAGTGCGACAGACACGGGCAGATCGCACAGTCCGGGCGGTGGGGCATTGGATGGCCCTCTATCTTGCAGATGCCATCAATTCCGCAATTCCTGCATCTCGGGTCCATCTCAACTGTGGCTCGCCTCGGATTGATTTGGAGCTTGGGCTAGGAGCTGCTCTTTGCTGCGTCTGGGTACAGCCGCTCATACTGTCGATCGAAATCGCCCAACCGGACACCCAAGGTCGGATCCTGATCGCTGTCGTGCCTGACTCACCACTTCATATCGAGGATCGCACCTGTTTCGAGGCGCATCAATTCGTTCATGGTCACCGACGCCAGCCCATCGTTGCCTGTGCTGGTTGTTTCTGACTCGACGGAATACAGAACAAGTCGGCCCTTGCGCGGGGCTGGAGTGTCGTCCTCGGTCTTGATGACTTGGTAGGTGCCAAGGGCCATGATGCGCTGATGATCAGAGACGGGACAAAATTCGACCGAGTCTGCGCTGTACTCGGTGTCGATGCGGGCGAGCGTCGTTGGAGACATGTCGTCGATGGTTGATGGTTGATGGTTGAATGTTGATGGTGGATGGTTGATGGTTGAATGTTGATGGTTGATGGTGGATGGTGGATGGTTGATTGAATGTGCAATCGGCTTGTGATTCTCGGTTTGGAGCCACCATCGATCCGCCCTCGATCCGCCCTCGATCCGCCCAGTGGCTGTGCCAAAACCTCGGTGTGGCGCCTGCATGATGCGCAGCGCGCATGGCGGCCATGTCGCCGTGGTACATGTGTCACGCAGGTGTCGCATCGGGGGTTTCATCGCCACCGTCACAAAGAGCAGTAACTCTCGCCTTGTCCATCCCAGACCACCTTCTCGCCGCCAACTCTCAACCCAAAGACAGGTCGCATCCTTAACAGACCCAGGTGATGCCATGCTTGGCGATCGTCTTATTTGCACCGCGCTGATCATCTCGTTCGTCCCATGCCGATGCTCCTCCATCGCATTCATCCCGCTCCACCACCCGTTTCCGGACACAGCCACCTGTCCGCCGTTCAGCTTCCCCCACTCGCTGTGGCGCCCGCCCGTCCGTGCGTTCCTGGCAACCAAAATTTTTCTGTTGCCTTGCCGCCCTTTGCTGCTGCCCTTGCCGCAAATGCATTCGCCGATTGTGTCCATCTGCCGGCCACCCGCGAACCCGCCACCCTTACTATCAGCCCGGTGGGCTGTCGCCTCGCCCCCCCCCCAGTCAACCACCGCCTCGGTCCTTGGGCTCTTCCCTCCCACCCACTCCTCATCTCGCAGCTCGATTTCAGCTCTGCCTCCTGTCCGGTCCTGTCTCTGGTCCTGTCTCTGGTCCTGCTCCTGCAAGCTTCGACTCCTTGCCCGTCCACCTGCTCGCGACCTGTGTTGAATTCTCGGCATCCGATCATCTACCATGTCGGCGACCTCCTCCAGAATGAACGTGGGCTGCTTCGACTCGCACGTCGAGGATCTGACTGCCTTTGCTGTTCCCTCGGCGGCATCTTGGCCCAGCGGATCGTCCTCGCAGGTCACCGTCGGATCCTGCGTCGACGCCTGTGGCCAATCCGACTACAGCATTGCCCTCGTCGCTCCCTCCATGGAGAGCCGCAGCACTCTGGCCTTCACCTGTCACTGTGCCAACTCGGCCGCCTCGCTCACCGTCGTCGAGCCCCAGTACTGCAACCGGGTTTGCACCTCTGCCGAGGGCCGACCCTGTGGCGGACTGCAGAACCACCAGGTCTACATCTCGGCTTATCGGGTAAGCCGCTGCTTTGGTTCCCGACTGGAAAGTGATGGTTTGATCGTTTCGCGATCGCTTCTTGGTTGGCCAAAACTGACACCGTATCGTATCCTGGACTCCAGACCACACTTTCCCATCAAGCCGCTCGGTTGAACGCAATCTCTCCGCCTCCAACCGACCCCCAAGGCCAGCGAGAGCGCTGGTACGATTCTCCTACGGGCGCCTCCGCTCCAGAGCCCAGCCCCAGCGATGCTCCATACACCAATCCTCGCCAGCGCTGGTTCACGAGCAACTTTGCCTATCCTGCTGATGGAACCGATCCCAAGATCCAGCGAGAGCGCTGGTACAACTCTCCTACGGGCTCCTCCGCTCCAGAGCCCAGCCCCAGCGATGTTCCATACACCAATCCTCGCCAGCGCTGGTTCACGAGCAACACAGCCCCCCCGGTCGACGGCACCAAGAGCCCCGACGCCTTTATCCGCCAGCAGTGGAGCCAGCAGCTCCGCAAGGAGAGCCAGACCAACAACCAGATGTACCGAAACAACATCTTCAGCAACTCTGTCAGCAGGCCCCCTGCTCAGTCGGTTTCGGACCCGACTGTTGCCCCAACCCCCGCCGCTGCTGCAAACTCTGGGCTCAGCTCGACCGCAGTGGGCATTGGCGCCGCCGTGGCCTCGGTTGTGATCCTGGTTGGCCTGGTCTCGTACTATAAGCTGCGCCGATCCTCGTCCTCGGAGCGCAAAAAGTCGAGCAAGAAGCCCGTGCCGGCTGAGGCGGTTGAGTGCTCTCGCGTCTAGTTCTGGACTCGCCTGTCAAGATTCCGGCTGCTGATAGGAATGCGCCCCACTCGCCAGTTTTGTGCATCAAGCTTCACTGAGTGAAGCTTATAGATCCTCCCCGTTCCCCTAACTCTGTTTTACCTACCATCCCGGCCTGCCCACCCGCCCAACCAACCACAGTTCAGCGATCCTGCTGTCATATATGCCTCTTATCAACCAATGTCTTCTTTATCTTTATACTCACTTATTTAAATCGATTCACGATCGCCACCGCCCTGCAAAGCCCTCACGGTCTGTTCATCCTTGGAGCAGTCAAGCCCACACAAACCGAAACGGGACACCCATTTCTGAGTGCGAGCGGTAGCTTATTTTTTTGTTTCTTCCTCTTCCTTGGATGTGAATATACAACCATCCACCATACCATGGCCAAGCACAATGCCCTTTGAGTGCTGCTCCTCAGTATAGCGATGCTATGCTCGGTCCACAACCGATGTATCGGTGTGTACATCTCCCATCCCCGAGAGCACCGGCAACAATTGCATCGTTTGTTGGCCCACTGGACTGCATCGGGGAGATGTGGGCCATGGATCCGAACATGGTCCCTGATTCACACACGGTTCCTTAAATACCTCCGTGCATCCTTGCCTCCAGCCCTCCCCCTCGCTCCCAGTTGCTCTTGTGTGGCTCCAGTACATGTGCAAGTATATTGAGTCAACGAAAAGTGCCTATGGATTAGACATGCAGAGAGTGCAACCTTCAACATGGAGCCTTCCTCATCTGCAGGGGTATAGGAACGAGCGTCAAGTTCGAGTATTCATTGTCCCTGACGAAACCGCCATCACAAATCAAGGCAACGGTTGCTCGTGGTAGCAGCGGCCGACCGACCGACCGACCGACCGACCATGATCGTTACCTTCTATGGCCACACCATGTGCACCAGGTCGCCGTGGAAGAGAGAAAGTGAGATGAAAAGTATAGATTCGTGCCGATTGTGCGTTGGGGGAGAGGAGGACAACAGTCCGAGATTTGGTAATGCGATTGTAACGAGAATTCTGTGAGTCGTTCAAGTCCTTTAATGTGCACACGCACACACGTACATAGGCGATGTGCATATGGCGTCGCGGGAGGGGGAGTGAATGAATGGGACGATGATGAAGATGATGAAGATGATGAAGATAGTGGTGGTGGTGGTGGTGGTGGTGGTGGTGGTGGAAGAGAGTATGGAATGGCAGATATATTGCGGCGGCTGCTTAACGTTCGTATCGGTTGACCCCTGCATATGCTTGGTCGCCCACATGTCTTTACAGTCCTTGCAAACCCACACAGCGCCGCCCAAGAGTGACCACGCCGTTGGGGAGGAAAAGACGAGAAACTGGACGTGCTGGCTCTTACCCTTCGTCGTCGTCGGTGGAGAAGAGAGTCAGCGACTGCATGCCGCGCAGGGTGGATTGCAGGGTTCCCAGGCGAGATTCGAGTGTCTGGACGGATGATGGAAACGATCGGGATGTTGGAATCAAGAGTCAGTTGAGGGCGAGCCGGCCATGAAACATTCGGTCATGCTTCCTTCGGACAGCTCGGTTGTGCACAGGCTGATGGATGAACGGGCATAGGCTGCACTTGGGTGCGCCGTTGCAGAAGGCCGATCTAGAGGATCTGCAATTGGCAAGTGTCCATACCGGACTGATCGGCCCCAGTCGCCCGGCCGACTGGGCGGCCATGGGTGTGCTTGCAAATGACGAGGCATTGCTTGAAGTCGAGGTGGAATTGTGCGAGGCTGAGGAAAACGGAGCGCGTGCCGAGGATCCAGCAGAGGCAGAGGCGGATGCAGAAGCCGACGGCTTGAAGGACGACGACGACGCCGGCGATTTGAACGATCGGGGCGACTTTGAGGAGGCCGACCGGAAGGCGGATCGGGCCGACGACGAGGCAGATGTGAACAAGGCCATGGCGGCAGACAGGAACGGAAGGGCTTTCGCGACAGAGGGAGCGGCTTGGGCAGCGAACGGAACCGGGCTCGAAGTGCAGTCCGAGACAGGGTGGGGTCGGCAAGCGGGATGCAGCGAGGGACAGACGATCGGACCGGATGTCGTCGGCGATGCGTTCTGGAGTCGATGCAACGGAGAGCTTGGGAGGAGCAACATTTTTCGTTTTTCAGGGCTGCCGGTTCGAGCCGGACGCAGCGCTGATTGGGCCGATCTCGGCACAGAACATGGGCACAGCGACGCGCGTGCACGGAATCGGGATGTCCTGCGCACGAGCTGTTCGCCATGAGGATGGGCGGGCAGCAGAGCAGCCACGGCACGACACTGCAGACAGCCCGCGCGAGCATTGGCCTGGTGGTCTATTGCAGGCTCTCGGTTAGCTTGCATGCCGCGTGGGATGCTCTCGGTTGGGCTGGATCAAGCGGATGGCCAAGGCAAGCAGCTCCTTCATGCGACGGCATCGGCCCGGCATGGTGTGCCCACTGGACGCGGACCCGCATACAACGCTGCCGAGGAGGTCCCCCCCTGGTGCACAACAGATCGGCGGCGAAGCTCTGGGCGCATGATTTGCATGCCCTCGCCCGTTCTTCCCAGCGCCAAGGCCGCGCTGAGTCCTGCTGGGACTTCATGGTTGGCCCTCGCCTGGCTTGGCGTCGCCCCAAACCGGCAGTGAGGCGAGCACACGTGACCCGCCGCCCATGGAAAATCCTCTGTCATCGGATGTCCCGCCGCGTCATATGCGGCCGGCGGGGACCTGCCATATTTGGCTCGGTGACGCATCGCGAAGAGAGCGGGGGAGGGGAGGGGAGGGGCACAGCGAGACGGATGGGTGCGGACTCGGGCCTGCAGGGATCATTGGGCTGGATCAAGCACCAGACAGCAGCACCAGCGAGGGCCAGCGGCAGCATCAGCGAGGGTCGAGGGCATAGACTGCATGCGACGGCAGCAGATCCCCAGCCGCGAGGACATCCCGGCCGATGCAGCACAGCAGGCCTGGGCACGCCGCCTCGATAGCGCCCGGCGATACGGCCAAGCGGGCCAACCAGGCTCGCAGCGCGGTGTGTCCACTCGCTCGCGGTGACAAGGCAGAGGTCATTGTCGTGCCGGCGCCTGGCTGCCGCGCTGGCCGCGCACCACGGCGTTTCTTGGGGGGGGGGAACCTGTCGGCAAGGCAGAAAAAATGGATTGCGCGCATAAAAGGATGGTTGCAGGGCGCTGCTGACGCTCTTCCCCCCACTTGGTCCTGACCAGAACCCGCCGTCGGCTGCCTGGAATTCCTCGGCCCGAGCCATCGCCTGTCTCTTGCCCGCTCCCCACCATCCCAAACCCACCCGCCTCATCTCGCTATGGGCAAGCCCGACACCAAGACCGCCGACGACGGCAACGTTGCGATCTACCGATGGGACAACGTTGACTGGCTCCACACCACGCTCCTGACCATCACCCCGCTGACGGCCCTGTATGCCTTGATGACCGTCCCGCTGTACTGGCAGACGGCGCTCTGGGGCTTTGTCTACTACCTGATTACCGCCCTCGGTATCACCGCTGGTGGGTGTGCTGTTTGCTACTCGTCCTTATGTCTGCTGCTCTTCACATGCAAGTCCTTTGGCCAGTCGGCGGGCTTACCTTGTGGGGGGGGGTTGCCGTCGCTGCTGATATGCCAGGTCACGGCCAGGCCAGGTCGGGCTCGGTACCGACAACACCAACATACCGTGCTGTTGTTCCTGTTCTCAGCACCTCGCTGGGGCAGGTGGGTGGAGTGCTGGCAGCGATAGCCGAGAGTCGTGCTTGAAACCCGCTTGACGCTAACCGAACGCCACCGGGCTCGTGTCGTCTTCCCCCAACCTCAGGCTACCACCGCTACTGGGCCCACCGCTCCTATGATGCCTCGCTGCCCTTCCAGCTGTTCCTGGCCTTTGCCGGTACCGGTGCCTTCGAGGGCTCCATCCGCTGGTGGTCTCGCGGCCACCGTGCCCACCACCGATACACCGACACCCCCAAGGACCCTTACAGCTTCAAGAAGGGCTTCCTCTGGGCCCACATCGGCTGGATGATCATGAAGCAGGACTCGAGCTGTGTTGGCCGTGTTGACATCTCGGATCTCAACCGCAACCGACTGGTCATGCTCCAGCACAAGTACTACCTCCTGTAAGTGGAGCGCCGCCGGCGTTGTCAGGGATGGCCCTGTCCCGCAACGAGCATGTCACGTCTCGCTCTGTTGACTGACGCTGCTGCTCTGCTGGATCTCAGGTTCGCGCCCTTCTGCGCCTTCGTCTTCCCCTCGCTCGTTGCCGGTCTCCTCTGGGGTGACTTTGTCGGCGGATTCTTCTTTGCTGGCATTGCTCGCCAGGTGTTCGTCCACCACGCCACCTTCTGCGTCAACTCGCTGGCCCACTGGGTTGGAGAGCAGCCTTTCGACGACAAGCGCACTCCCCGCGATCACTTCATTACCGCCCTGGTGACTTGCGGCGAGGGCTACCACAACTTCCACCACGAGTTCCCCTCCGACTACAGAAACGCCATCAAGTTCTGGCAGTATGATCCCACCAAGTGGTTGATTTTCCTGAGCTCCCTCGTTGGCCTGACCTACAACCTGAAGATGTTCCCCGAGAACGAGATCCAGAAGGGCCGTCTCCAGATGCAGGAGAAGGTCATCGCCGCCGCCAAGAAGAGACTCAACTGGGGTGTCCCTGTCGAGCAGCTCCCCTCTCTCTCTTGGGACGAATGTGAGTATGCTGCGTTCGCTGTGTCGAGGGTGTGGTGTTGATCCACTGTCGATCTTGTGGACACTCCATCAGCCAATGTATCCCGCAACTAACCTACGACCGTCTCCATCGCTTCAGTCCAAAGCGAAGTCCAGGCTGGCAAACCCCTCCTGATCATCGACCACGTTGTCTACAACGTCGACAAGTTCATGGACGACCATCCCGGTGGCAAGGGCTTCCTCAAGGCGTCGATCGGCCGCGATGTGACCCAGTCGTTCAACGGCGGCATCTATGACCACTCGAATGCCTCCCGCAACCTCAGCTCGAGCATGCGTTACGCCAAGCTTGAGGGACCCATCCCCGAGAGCTTCATCGCCCGAGAGGAGTAACTCCTTAGGCGCTTCTGTCGTTTGTGAATTTACCATCTCACTCTCTGGTCCGCCAACCCGATCGCGGATCCAGTCTGTATATTCGAACTCTGCCTCCTTGTGCTTCGAAACCTGATCTCGCAGCCACAGTCCGACCCACGGACCTGCTGTGGGCCCAGCTGCTCTCTTGGCGCCTTTGCAAACTCATAACCTTTTTTCCCTGCGCACGCGATGCGTATTGGGCGCCTTTTATCTTCGGGCACCATGTCCAATCTCTCCCCATGTCGACGATTCGTACAAAATGCAATGGAATGGGGCATTCCTGTGTTCATGGCCAGCGGTAACCTTTACCCCCTGGATTTCCCAATACACACCCTTCCACGACTCGCACTGTGCTTATCGATAGCACCTCGGTGTTTGCGCTGCGATGCCATGGCTTGATCCGACCTTCCGTCCGCATGCTCGTCATGAACCAACGTCGCCCTTGCCGTGGCCAACGCCCTCCTGGCCCACCAGCGCGCATCATGTTTCATGGCGATGGCTGTGCTTGGTCCTGGCGAGTGATCCGCTCGGCTCCCGTCTCATCAATTGAACGCCGTGTTCAGATCTCCAAGCGGGCCTGGCTCTGGCTGCGCCCGATCGGCGAGACGGCGGACCCCGCAGCGGGCGAGACGGCGCCCCTTCTTGCAGCGCACTGCGACACAGGACTGCTGCTCCTCGGTGTTCTCTCGCGAGTGTCTCGCGGCTCGCTCCCCCAGGTTTGGGGCGTGGTGCGCCCCAACGACGCGACCGCGCAGGCCCCCAGCAGCGCAGACGGACGCACCGCGACAAAGGGCCTGTGCCTGCAGAACAGTGCCCTCGCGACGGCCGAAAAAAAAGTTGTGTCTCTGTCCGACGCGCTGCACGACGGCGATTGGCGCACGCCTCCAGCCAGGCGCGCCTGTGCTTGTGCCCTTGTCCTGCGGGGGCCAATGGGAGTGCGGGGCGCTGTTTCTGGCAAACTTGGGCTGTTGTTTGCTGTGCTGCTGTACAGCAGCGTCTCGCTGGCGCTCTCGGCCAGGATCGCTCCTCGCTGCACCGCTGTCCGGTGAGCCGCACTGTGCAAGCGAGAGCCCGCCGAGCGAGAGCACACCGGCCTCTGCTCTGTGCGACGAACCCCCGAGTGCCGTCGAGCCGGAGTCGAGATTACCGACCGGCCCTCCCTCGCATTTCTCATCGGCCTCTTCCCCCTTCGTTCACTCCCTCTCGCTCGCCTCCAGCATCGCCGGCCGAGATCAAGATGGGCTCCGACACCAAGACCGCCGCCGCCGCCAACGAACCTGTCGCCATCTACCGATGGGACAACATCGACTGGCTCCATACGCCTCTGCTGATTAGCACGCCTCTGCTGGCGCTCTACGGCCTGGCGACTATCCCCATGCTGTGGCAGACGGCTGTCTGGTCGGTCATCTACTACTACATCACTGGCCTGGGCATCACTGCTGGTGAGTGTTTGGCCGCGGATCGCTGTTCCGGAGACGGATCTGCAACTGCCGCTCGTCTGCATCGACTGGTCTGTCTCTGGTACCGTCATTCCTTCCTTTCTGACCCAGGTCTCTCTGCGTCTCTGCAATGCGCAGGCTACCATCGCTACTGGGCCCATCGCTCCTATGATGCCTCGCTGCCCTTCCAGCTCTTCCTCTCCTTTGCCGGCGCCGGTGCCTTCGAGGGCTCCATCCGCTGGTGGTCCCGTGGCCACCGCGCCCATCACCGATACACCGACACCTCCAAGGACCCTTACAACTCCCGCAAGGGCCTCCTGTGGTCTCACATCGGTTGGATGATCATGAAGCAGGATTCGAGCTGTGTGGGTCGGGTCGACATCTCGGATCTGAACAAGGACCCGATTGTGATGTGGCAGCACAAGAACTACCTCCCGTAAGTCTGTTGCCCTGTCGTTACCCCGCTGCCCCGGATTGCTGGCACACTCCTCGGCATGTGATTCCGCCTGGCTGCTGCTAACACGGCCCCACTTTCTTTGCCTGGCATGTGGATTGTCTGCTGCCATTCCTGTATGTTTTGCCGTCCGTTGCCCAATCCCAGCTTTGCTCTCTTTGCTGCCTTCGTCTTCCCCTCGCTCGTTGCCGGTCTCTTCTGGGGTGACTTTATTGGCGGATTCTTCTTTGCCGGCGTTGCCCGCCTCGTCTTCGTCCACCATGCCACCTTCTGCGTCAACTCGCTGGCCCACTATCTCGGTGATCACAGCTTCGATGACAAGCACACCCCTCGCGATCACTTCGTCACTGCCCTCGTCACCCTTGGTGAGGGCTATCACAACTTCCACCACGAGTTCCCCTCCGACTACAGAAACGCCATCAAGTTCTGGCAATATGACCCCACCAAGTGGGTCATCTTTGTGAGCTCCCTCGTTGGCCTGACCTACAACCTGAAGATGTTCCCCGAGAACGAGATCCAGAAGGGCCGTCTCCAGATGCAGGAGAAGGTCATCGCCGCCGCCAAGAAGAGACTCAACTGGGGTGTCCCTGTCGAGCAGCTCCCCTCTCTCTCTTGGGACGAATGTGAGTATGCTGCGTTCGCTGTGTCGAGGGTGTGGTGTTGATCCACTGTCGATCTTGTGGACACTCCATCAGCCAATGTATCCCGCAACTAACCTACGACCGTCTCCATCGCTTCAGTCCAAAGCGAAGTCCAGGCTGGCAAACCCCTCCTGATCATCGACCACGTTGTCTACAACGTCGACAAGTTCATGGACGACCATCCCGGTGGCAAGGGCTTCCTCAAGGCGTCGATCGGCCGCGATGTGACCCAGTCGTTCAACGGCGGCATCTATGACCACTCGAATGCCTCCCGCAACCTCAGCTCGAGCATGCGTTACGCCAAGCTTGAGGGACCCATCCCCGAGAGCTTCATCGCCCGAGAGGAGTAGAACCAGACTGACTACGATCAAATGGGTCTCTATCGAAGCCAACATTTCTTGATGGCATCTGGATTCTCCGTTTGCTCGGTCGCTGCAAAACCCCTCCCCTCCTGCTGGAGAGAGCGGCATCCTCCTCCACCCGCCATCCTCTTCCTTTTTTGCTATCCATAATATACTCCTACCAAGAGCACCATCACCAACTTGCGCTGCAGCCGCTGCAGTTGCTGGCCCGTGGTTGTTCCTCCAACAGACTCTCCCGTTTGAATCCTCATTCCTTTCCTAACACGATGTTCTATTCATCTCATTCGGGGCCACGGGTTTGAGGAGGTTCAGCCGAGTTTCGATGGAAACTCAGATCGAAACAGACAGATGCCGCTCAGGCAACACAATCAACTTTCACTGAGGACCAATTGCCGCCATTCGGCCGTATCGAGATGGCGAAGGCTGCGGTGGTCCCAGGGCTCGATGCGCGCAAACGCCGTCTGCCAAAGTATCCGCAACCCAAAGCCAAAAAGAAAACAAACGGCGATATCAGAATCCACTGATAGAGACCAGCGATCGACCATCAGACGACCACAGGCAGCAGAAACGTACCTGTAGGATCTGCAGTGTGTCGCCGTGGGCCACGAGCACAATATTCCTTGGGCCGGTTCGCTCGGTATCTGCTCGTTCGATTTGCGAAATCAGGCCCAGGACCCGGTTGCGCACAGAGACGGGGCTCTCCACAGCATCGTCAGGATGCTCGGCTCTTTCCTCGTCAGAGAAGCGGGGAACAGGCAGACGCTGGCCGTCAAAGGCCCAGACTTGGTCGTAGCGGGTGTTTGGCTGTCCTTCGAGCCCATAGCCAAAGAACCGCTCGCGCAAAAGCGGCGTGGTTGTCAGCTCGCAGGGGCCGGGATAGACGTCCCTGACGATCTCGGCAGTCTCGAAGGCCCGCTTGAAATCCGACGAGAAGATCCAGAGCCGGCTCCATTTGCAGGCCTTGCCGTCGTCGCCATCGTTTCCGTCGCTGTTGTGTAGTCCAGGCGAGCTGCAAAACCATCCTTCATTCACCCCGAGAAAGCGCCGCGTCTTGTCGTTGGCCTGGGACTTGCCCAGCTCTGAGAGACCAAACCCTTGCGTTCCCCGATCGGGATCGCTCTGGATGATGCCCGCTTGGTTGGCCAGGGAGTGGCCGTGCCGCAGGACAAAATAGCGATTGCGGAGCTGCTGAGGAAGCTCGTCTGCCAGCAATGACATGGTTGTGCGAGAGGTATGTCTGTCAGCCGCAAGCGAGAGATGAAACAGCCAGCGGACTGAGCACTTGTTCGGTCTGAGACCCACAGCCACCCGGCCGATCCCTGTGGCAATAATCGACTGGACTGGACTGGACTGGACTGGACTGGCACACCAAGATCATGTTCCGCGGGGTATTGATACAGCGACGCGGGTGTAGTGCATGCATTCGACCCTCTGCAGTGCGAGCACACTTGGCCGTGATGAACAATGGATGGGTGGTCCCGTTTCGCTCTGAATATGCTGTATTCGTTCCAGTCTGCATTGGCGGCGGCGTGGTTAGGAACTGGGCAATGATGGCAGACATTCGTCTTGCCCACACCGTTGCTCGACATTTTTCTGTCTCGACATCAAATAAAGGTAACCTGCTCGGCGCCCTCCTGGTACCACAGCAGATTGTCGTCGCTCATCTTGCGAAGAATGGCCTTGGCCTCGTCGACGCTGAACTTTTTGGATCCAGGCAGGCCAGCATTCACCCTGGTGATGATGTCGTGTGTCATGACTGTGTCTGATCCCTCGCTCGTGAATGCCTCACGCACTTGATGCAGTCGGCCGCGGAAGATGTTGAACCTGGAGGGAGCGCATAGAGTGCATAGAGTGCATGGAGTGCATGGAAAGAGGCGGACAAAGTCAGCGTGCAGATCGAGGTACGGAAGGATCGAGCAAGACCGTCGATGGCGGCTACTCACAGCTCATCCGAGACGAGTGCGCCTGAAGGCGTGTCGTCCAGCTCCATGGCGCCGAGTGACGATGTAAGTGTGTTTTGCAGAGTCCGCGAGGACTGCGAACTTGAAGAAGCGCCAAAGGTGTGTGCCGTGTGCTGTGAGGCCGATGTTGTCCGTGTGCGGCCGCGCGAAGAGCCTGCAGGGAGAAAGACGGCGGGGAGCTGTATAAGCCGCGTGCCCGCTATTTAGAAAGCGACTCTGTCCTTCCAATGCTGGCGCTTACCGCCGCCGCTGGTGAGGGCTTCGTCCGCACCGGTCCGCTGGCCTGGGCGCGCTCGAGTCGATCTGCTGAAGTAGAAGTGATCAGCAATCCAGCGTCAGCATCCGTGCGTGGTCGTTGTGCAGTCGAGGCGCATGTCCGCTGCAGGAACACCGCCATAGCCCTACCTGGGAGTGCGATGGGCTCCGTCGTCGCTGTCGCCATCGTCTTCGTCCTCGCCGGCGTCCTCGTCCCCAGTTTCCTGGTCGCTGTCTTGAGGCGCTTGCGGAACGGCACCTTCGTTACGTCGTCGTCGCTTCTTGCGCGGATCAGACTCAGGCTCCTTGACGATTTTGTAGAGAGCATACTCGAGAATCTCCTTGGCAACTTCGGCATCGCCCTGAAGAGCCAGTCCAGCAAGTCGATGATGGCAGCGATAAGTAACTCTGGCGGTATCTCCACGGGCTGCCGACGAACGTAACGGGACCCACCTCTTCGACGACAGTGCTCAGGCGGCACTTGGCATGGGCAGTGGCAAGACGGATGAGCGTCTCGAGAGTACGAGGCGTGATGGGCATGGTCTGGAAAGATTCAAAAAAGTTCAGATGACTGGCAGTGCAGGAGCAGAGCGAAATGATCGCCAACGGTGTCTGCAGTCAAGTCATGCTCACAGCTCGGTCGCATTTGCGGTCCGATTCGGTCATATCCGCAACAAGGTCGTGAACGATGTCTAGTCGATGCACTTACACGGTACTGATTGTCGTCGCGCTTGTCGCGCAGCTGCGAGTAGGTTTCGGAGATGATGTTGGCGGCTCCCTCCGAGAGCACCGGCTTGACACGGGTCTTTGCGTAATGAATGTACTTTTTCATGAACGGCAGTGAAAGCAATTCGACACGAGGCTCGGCGTCGTCGGCTCCGCCCTGTCTGCTCTTTCGACCAGCCTTCCGTCGGCTCTTGCCGGGAGTTGCAGGCTCCTTGTGCTGTTGGACGCCAACGTGGAGCAGAGGGTTGTATTTTTCATAGACTTGCGTTTGCCTTTGCTCGCCGGCGTCATCCAAGGCCGGCTCCCGTGAGACCGAACTGCACCGTATCGCTGATGGGGGCGCCCTCCTCGAGGCCTGGCGGAGTATATCGGTGGAGGCGGATAATGTGCTCGGAAATCCTGCGGTTGTGATCGTCGTTCATGTCATCGAGCACGACAAAAAGAAGATCAAAACGCGACAGGAGCGAGTCTGGGAGGGGAATATTCTCGAAGGGCTTCTTGGCGTCGATGTACTGAACAAGAATTCCATCGTTAGTCAGATGAAGCGACGCGAGTAACGATGATCCAAGGCCCGGAGTTGACCGAGGGTGCGCCCGAACCGCTGCTCGGGGCTACAGTGCATCGACCCGCATGCGAAAGGCTCTGTTCGTACCTGTCCAAAGGCCGGGTTGGCGGCGGCAATGACACTGCAACGAGCGTTCAGCGACGTGTGAATGCCTGCCTTGGCGATGGTGACTGTCTGTTGCTCCATGACTTCGTGGATAGCCACTCGGTCAATGTCACTCATTTTATCGAACTCATCGATGCAAATAACACCTCGGTCGGCGAGGACCATGGCGCCGGCTTCCAAACGACGCTCGCCTGACAGTTTGATCAACCCGCAAAGCGACAATGTTAGCAGGATATCTCTCTGTAACACGCTGCAAGGGCGATTGTCAAACTTATCGCCGAAACCAGTTGGGGCCGGCAGGCATGCCCGCTCGATCGCATTAATGGTCGATGCACGCATTTCAGCTCACGGACACGTACCGGTTTCTTTGTCGTGCGTCACGGCCGCAGTCAGACCAACACCAGAAGATCCGCGACCGGTTGTGGCAATGGCCAGTGGGGCGATGTTGAGCACAAAGCGCAGCATCTGCGACTTTGCAGTCGAGGGATCGCCAATAAGCAGCATGTTGATGTCGCTGAAGGGATTTTGCATGGGAGAAGGAGAGAGAGGATCAGCGAAGAGTTTGCATCACAGCAACCAGACACAGTCAGACCGCGACAGCGGAAGTAGAAGGAGCATCACTCACCCACGAATGTGTGTGCCACCAGGGAGGTTCTTTTCGATGCCACCCATCAAAAACAAAAGGATGGACTTTTTGATGTAATCATGGCCAAAAATGGACGGGGCAAGCGAGGCCGAGAGCAGCTCAAAGACATTGTCCTTGGAAGAAACGGCTTTGATGTGGCGAATATCATCTTCCGAGATAGAGGGCTGCTGGATTTCTTTTCCGAGCTGGCACACATTGTTGGCGATGATGATGGTGCTGTACAAGAGGCGATCCAGATACAGTTTCGGTGAGTACATTCGAGATCGGCCTATCTCTGGCTAAGGGAGCCGATTGTTGTCACCCCACTCTGACTCTCTCACCCAGAGCACATAGCCACGTTTCCATAACAGCTGCCGCATCGACAACGTACCGGAACGTGGCCGAGGAGGAGCCGCCAGCCTTGCCGACGGAGCGATAGGAGCCAATTATGCGAACTCGGTCGCCAGGTTTGACCTTGTCGACCAAGTCCTCGTCGAGGATGACGTCGAGTGGTCGGGGCAGCTGGCCCGCGGGAGCCCGCTCGGGCATCTCTTGGAGACTGCAGGTTTGATAATCGTTGTAGGTGGAGAGACCAAACTCGGTCGTGAGAGGATTACCCTCTTCGTCCTGTAACAAACCAAGAAGCCAAATAAGCAGAAAGACTCTGGAAGCGGCAGCGCGAGTTGTTCACCACAGTTCCATCGAGTGGTACTGATGGCGCCGTCGCATTCCCTGGCTGGTCGGTGCAAATCGAAAACCGACCGTGGTGGGGTATACAGCAGGCGTTGCCACAGTGCTACTCAGAGATGTCAAGTCTCGGTACTCTCGTGAGTGGAAGACCTGGGTTTTTTCGCAGTAGTGGACACTTCGGGCAACCTTGGGACGGACGAGGGAGCCTGCAAGGATGGAAACCCGACGAGGTCGATAAGTCGGCGCATATTTGCCGGCATCACACAGGAAGGGAGAGACAAAGGGCAGCACAGCAAAAAGCCTGGAGACCTACAACGAGTGACAATGCCCTCGATGGCGATGAGCTTGCCAAGGTAGGATGCATTCACTTGGCGGGGGCTGACGAGGTTGTCGCCAAAGGAGCCCTCGAGGCCGACCGAGAATGACTGGTTGGTGTACTTGCCGGGCTGACCCGCCGACAAGGACAGAACTACATCCTTCAGAGCTTTGTCGAAGGGAGGCAGATAGTCCATGGGCGCGCTCAGCAACCTGTGGATGCAATGAAGGGCGGTGACATGTGGTCAGGGTCATCCCAAAAGTAGGCAGAGAACACATGCCACAGGATGTTCCTGGAGAGGCGATCAGCTTCATGATCGAGGGACAGGGACGCATGCCGCTGGTAAGATCCCAGGCAGTGAAGAGTCATGATCGCAAGCTCACCCATCGGCATATTCTCGGCGGTGCATTCGGATATCGTTGATGTTGACGACGAGGCGGCGCTCGCCGCTCAGGAGCATGCGCCTGATCTTCTCCTTATAGATGTTCTCGCCATACTGCCGATCGCCAGATGATTAGCTCGAGCCAGACGCAAGTGATATCCAAGTTGAAGGCAAATCTGTTTTGCTGGCCCGGTGCGGCTGGGCCGAGCATCAGCACCGCCCTCGGAACTCGCCAACAGAGAGGGACTTACATCCAGATCGAGGAACTCTTGGAAGTAGCGGGCATGTTCGTTAAAGGCCTCATCGACGAAAAGGTTGCGCAGCGGCGGGGGCGCGGTGTTGGTGGAAGCCATCGTAGATGACGGGACTGGCGATTTTGACGATTCTGACGAGAGGACCAAGGACGATCGGGTCGAGGCAATGAGGGTGCTTTTGCTGGACGAGGATGCATCGGGCGGACAAAGGGAAAGGGAATTTTTCCTAATTTGGGCAACATTACGCATTCCAACCAGACTGGCTGGACTGGCTGGACTGGCTCTGGCCAATCAGGGCAAGGCGTGTTCCCATCTCCCATCTCCCATCCCCTGAGATTCACCAAGCACTTCAAGCAGTCTGACCGCCGACACCCGAATATGCCCACCAGGATGTGCTCGTGCTGAGGCCAATTTGCCCGATGTGCGGTAATCCATCGATCGGCATATCGACGCTGCCAGATCGTTCACACTCACGGAGATAGATATAGACCAGCGAGGCTCCGGTCATGCCACCAAAGTCCGGCTCGCCAATGGCAACTGAAACAGCGACAAAGGTAAATATGAATACATGCCAATTGATTGATTTTTAAACGATACTTTGAGGACAGCAGGCATTTATTATGGTCGTAGATACACCAATCGCGATCAGAGACATGATACCGTAGAGCACCGCGCTCAACAGCAACAAAAGTCGGACTGTTCGAGATGACCAAGCCAACATAAAGAACAGAAGAAAGACGGAATCATAGATTTCTGCCCACAGTGGAACCGGCGGGGAGCTGGTGTGGAGAGGAGGAGCGAGGGATAGAGGGATAGAGGGATAGAGGGATAGAGGGATAGAGGGATAGAGGGATAGAGGGATAGAGGGATAGAGGGATAGAGGGATAGAGGGATAGAGGGATAGAGGGATAGAGGGATAGAGGGATAGAGGGATAGAGGGATAGAGGGATAGAGGGATAGAGGGATAGAGGGATAGAGGGATAGAGGAGAGGCTCGGAGGCAGTTTTGTGTCTCAGAGTTCACGGCCAGGAGGCATTACTTGCTGGTAGGGTTACCCATGTAGTCAACGCCGAAGCAGTAAAAGTCGTTGGCCGCGGCAGGGTTAAGGAGCCAGCTGGGCATCAGGAAACCACCAACCGGGTTACCATCGGCATCCGTTACGGTGAATAGAACCTGCAAGATACCGATAATGGCACCGCCAATGCCGACGCCCGAATCGAGACCGACGGACAGGACAAAGTTGTACTTTTTCCACCACTCGTTCTTGTAGCGGAAGAGGTAGTACTGGGAGACAAAGGCGACGATGAAGGGGACGATGATCAGGACCTGGACGCCGGTCTGGGGGCCGATCCAGGTGGCAAGGATCGGGATGTTGATCAAGTGCCAGTAGGGGTGCTTGTAGACCTTGTTGCCGAGCCAGGGGAGGACGGGGAGGAGGAAACCAATGGGGAAGGCCCAGAGTACGTCGTGGTAGAGAGCGCCATAGCCGAAGAAGCGGGCCGGGGCGATGGCTCCCCAAATCGTACCAGCAGAGTAGAAGGTACCGTAGCCAGCAGCCTGCCAGTTACCCTTACCGACGAGTGGCCAGTAGCTGAAAGAGACGGCCACTGGGGCACAGATAAAGGCCGAGAGGATGGCGCCGATGAGCTGGGCGGCAACCATGGCGCGGGGAGGAACCTTCATGTAGTGGCCGATCTTGAGATCGTTGAGGAGGGTCTGGGCCTGGATCATGGTGTTGTAGCCAAGAGATTTGAAGGACATGACGGGAACAAACTGGCCGGGGACGATCAGACCGATGATGAACTCGGTCAGGACGTTGAGACCAATGCCCTGACCGGTCAGGGCCAAGATGGCCGTAAGGGGAATGATAAAGACGATGCCGATGGTAATGGCCAGGATGATACCCCACCACTGGAGCTTGTAAGGGGTAGCGAGACCGACGAAAAACATCAGGGCGGTGGAAGTCAGGAAGATGGCCAAGTAGACCCAGTTGCTGACTTCGGGGTAGGCAGCCATGAGCTTGTTGTGGATGTCCTGGTGGTCGGCATCCTCCTTGAGCTGCTTCATGGCAACCCGGGCCTGGCGGACAATGTCCTTGCCGTACCAGAGAGCGACGTGGGTAACGGCAGAGGAGATGGTGATGAAGGAAGTGACATAGACAAAGATAAAGGACATGCCGAGGTGGACGGGAGCGGCGCTGTTGTACTTGTTGATGTCAAGCTCGAAGGTGGTGGGATCCAGGAGGATGCGGCCGCTGAGACGCTGGCCAAGAGCAGAGCCGTTGAAGAGACCGTTGCTGTTGAGGAAACCGCAGCCATTGGGTCCGGGCATATTGCAACCGACGTACTTGCCATCCCAGACGTTGTCGACATAGGCGATGGGGACAACGATCCAGGACCAGATCACGTAACCCACGATGACGACGCAGTTGGCCCAGAAGGGAGCCGTCATCGGCGAGATGAAGCTGTTGAACTGAGACCAGTCGAGCGTAACAGCGCCAAGGCCGACACCCTTGGTGGCGGATCCCAGGATGTTGACAAGGCTGTTGGGGCCAGCGCCAAAGAAGCAGAGGATGGAGATGGCCTGGAGCGAGGGCGCAATGAAGTTGGGGAAGAAGTTCCAGGCAAAAGTGGCAATGAAGACGATCCAGAAGAACTTGAAGCGGGACATTTTGTACTTGGATGAGGTGTTGGCTTGGGAGCTTGCCTCATCGTGGAAGGACGCAAACATGGCCAGGATGCCCATGTTGCCGGGCCAGTACATGGCAGCAGGCTTGATGAGGAACTCACGGGCCATGCCAGCGAGGCCGAGGCCGAGACACTGGGTCGCGAGGATCCAGAGGATGGACTGCCATGCCTGGATGGAGGTGTCGTTGAGGTAGAGCGGAGAAGCCTGGCCGACAATGTTGTCGACCCCATAGGGAGTGCCGGCGTTGGACATGACGTAGATCAGGACGTGCTCCTTGATGGAGAAGGGGCCGGGGTTGAGCGAGTTCTCGACGCCAAAGAGCTTGAAGCGGACATCGGGGATGAACTTGGCAAAGAAGATACCGATGGGATACGAGACGATCTGGACGATTTGAAAGCGTGAGTGGGGTGAGAAAGCAAAAGAAACGGATGCTGATGGAGGGGTGAAAGCACCAAAGCCGGACGCGATACGACCTTGTGACCCAAATGAAGTGCGGTCACCAATCATTGGAACTCACTCATCGGGGATACCACCATGCGGCCAATATACTTACCACAGCAATATACGCAGGAAGGGTGACGGAGTTGGTGCGGAAGGAGAGGATGACGTTCACAGCCGAGGTGAGCACACTGAAGAAAATGCCCAGGAACATGGCACGGACTGTGAAGCAGGGAGTTGAGGGATCGTCGGTCGTGGGAACGACGGCGCTGATCTGAGCGTAGGCGCTGTGGGCGTCCAACTGCTCGACATCGTCAGAGTCGATGGTCGTGATACCAAGGATCTCCTTCTCCTCGGTGCCGAGCTTGGGAGTGGTATGGTGGTGTTCTTTGTGGGCTGTCTCGGCCATGGTTGCGATTGAAGACGAGGCAAGAGCTGCGATGGTGGTGGCCGACCGAGGCTGCGAACCGAGGTATTTATGGTCCAGGCCGGGCCGATGAGGGAGGGGGAATCGATGGACATGCTGGGACAGCCGGACGCCCCAGCCTGGGATCTCGAAAGTGGGGCACAGTTCATGGACGAACACTTTGCAGAGACCGACGCGTTCCCATCAGATGGCGTGAGTCTTCGCATGGCTCTGTCGATGGCGCATGGCCGGCATGGCCGGCATGGCGGTGCCACCACAAGCCGGCTGTCTGATTGGCTCGGCAGCATCGGCGGCAAGATGGAACGGCTGTTGGAGGTTGGGCTGGTGCGGGCTGGTGTGGGCTTGACTTGGGCTTGACGGTTTGTGGAACGAATGGCATGATTCTATCTCGACTTCCCGCACCAATCACCGTGAGGGCCAAGGAAACGCGGGGCATGCCGAATCATTCGAAACAGACGTCTGTCTGTGGTCCGTCAAAACTGATATGCATCGCAGAAGAGCGCGCAGGGCTGCTCAGTCGCCAGGGCTGGTGGAGACACCAGATCATGGCCAGGATGCGCCCGTCCACCAGAATCGCTTCCAGGGCATCCAGGGTTGCATTGCTCGGCTGCGCTGCTCGGTTGCGCCACAGCGAAACAGCGGTGGTTGGCTGTCGTCGCCTCCATTCCCAAGCAAGTCTCTGGCAAGCCTCCACCAGCCCTGTCGCGGCCGAGGAGACATCGATTGTCCGCAGAACAATCCTCAGCTGCGTCTGATATCGCGGGCTGGTGTCGAAGACAGCGTCAGGTGCGCCTGAGGCATGTGGGCTGGTGGAGATATGAGCAGATGGCGCAACTGAGCAGAGCACACCGAGCCAATGGGGCGATAGACTGAATCGGTACCTCGAGCAAAAAAGAAGAAGACGACGGCGACAGGCAGACGGAATAGGTGCAAGTGCTTGCGTGGCACTGCAAGGCACTCCGGTTTGAATTGATCCCCATTTCAAGTTGTATTGCTCACATGCCGCCGGATGTCGCGGCTCGTCAGATCGAAGGCAAATCCATACACGGTTCTGGGCTGCGAGAGCCTGCGGCAGACATTCGTCGCGGTCTTGGTCTTGGTCGAGAGGCTCCAGGAAACAGTCCTTCTTGACTACCTCGGGTACGGCCCATCGAGCGTGCTTAACCGCATCGAGGCGGCGCAGACGCTGTGGGGTCAACGATGCAAGTAGACTGGCTGCCTGGTGTGCTCGGTATCTAGTTGTCTAAACGGTGATGTATTGCTTTTCATCTTTGTCTCACCATGACAAGAGAGCCGGTGCAGGACGCAACGCCTGAGATAAGCTGCAACGGGGCTGCTTGCTCGGGTTGTCACTCGAGCAAAACATCGGTATGATGGATGTCGTTCGTATTGATGACGCATGGCTCGAGTCGTTTCGTTATGTTTGCATGTATGCCATCGTGGGAGATGGCAGTATTTTTGCGTGAGAGCCACGGCCATTTACGGCTTGACTTGTGAGGCTTGCTCTTGCAGGTGCTGGCGGATGAAGGATGAGCTAATCTTGAGGGCGATATCGTCGACACTGCCATCCGGCGAGATCAGGTCGATGATGAAGATGTCGAGCGGCTTTAGTCCGTTTTCAAGCCGTACCGAGTTTACTATCAAACAGAAAGCAATTCCCAATCAGTCCGCAATGAGGCGTCATATACGCTCTGTCCCGCTGAGAAGCAACCAAGCCGTCGAAGGGCTCCTTCGGCGTCGATCCAGAAGATAACATGCGCGTACTGATGCAGCCTCGCGTTGGCAAAGTGTCAACGATCGAGAGGCAGAACCATCCCATCGCTTGAGTCATGGTGATGTACAGCCCACCGTCAAGTGTTTGCGCCCGTAGCACACCTACCCATTTCGCACCCCTTCTCTGTTTCTTTGGATCCAACAATCGCTTCCAGACCGGACTCGTATCGGGTCGGCCCCAGATCGTCGACAATCGGGACAACATCGAAAGCTATGGCCGAGCCGGTGCGGATGGTCGTCAAAAACCGCCGAACGTTGTGGATGCGAATCCGGGTTGGCTCCATATACTGGCTGGCCATCTTGCGTTGCAGTCGCTCAGGTGTTGGGTCTGTGTCGATTGGATAGTGATCGACGCTAAGAATTGCGAATGCGGCAGATGCACTACTCCCTGCCCTTCTTGTGTCTCATTCATCGAGCCATAGTAGCCTCCTGAGATACACCAGCAGTGGCCCGGGTGGGCTGCAGTGAGATATCGACGGCTGGTCCAGTAACATACCGACAACACCACAGACAAGGCGGTCTCGAGCGATCCAGCAGGCCATCGTCAGGAGCACCTTATGTCCGCTATGCAAATGATCAAAGGTTCCGCCGACGGCCACCTGGGTGTAGATTTCGGGTCGAGACGACTGGGATTTTCTCGAAAGATCAGCGAGGTGCTTAAGATTTGTTTCGGAGGGCGGCGGCTCATAGATTTGGAAGGGTATGGAGGTGTTGGCGATGCATTCTCGGTCTGGACGATAGGTCAAGTCGTTAGAACTGCACAGAAACAAACACAGAGCCCAAAAGCTACCGGCGATACATTGGCAGGACTGTATATGGAGGATGGAGGGGGACGGCGCAGACTTGCCTGCTTCGAATCCGATGGCCACATCCCAGTCGGCATCGGATGGGTCGTATCCACACCATCCGAGAAAGACCACATCGACCGAGAGCAGCAGATGCCCTGAGCGATACGCAGCCTCGGATGCGGCAATGTACAGAGCCGAGAGCACTGCGTGGAGGGCCTCGTGGATCGTCACTGGCCGATGCTGAGAGGCAGGAATCTCGGGGCAGTCGAGGCAGATGCACAGACGGTCCGATGTCTGGGCAGCAGCATGGCGAATAAGGGCGAGATACGAGGCGAGGTGATTGTCGGTGCTGAGGGTTGAAAGGCGAACGGGGACAAGCGCAGATCCGTGCAGCGGGGCCATGGCGATGCGGTTGGTTGGTGGCAAAGCAGAGAGCAGAGAGCAGAGCGAAGTGAAACAGGGCAAGGATGAAGCAGGGCGACGATGGTTGTTGGCGCCAGAGAAGTCAGAGAAGTCAGAGAAGCCCGAGCAGCCACCGACCAAGCCGGCGCTTTGTCCATCCCACCAAGATCGTGCACAATCAAGCCAGATCCATGAAAGCAGAGAGCAAGAACGGAGCAGCAGTGATCCTTGCCGACCGGGCGGTCGGGCTCGCAAACTACCCACACGCCCGCATCGCCGGCGGCCTGATATTCGTCTCGGGCGTCTCTTGCCGACGGCCGGACAACACATGGGAAGGGGTGAGCCGCCCATCGTGCGCCAGCATGATCGTCTTCTCGCAAGGCTGGGACTGACGATCGATCTGTTGCTGCTGTTGCTGCTGCTGCTGCTCGGGAACCAGGTTGAGGAGCTGGCCGATGGCTCGTGGAAATCCGATATCTCCAAGCAGACAGCGGCCGTGCTGGAAAAGTAGGTCGAAACTCGCGGCAAGCCCATGAACGCACCTGGGTGGATAGACAGCATTACTTGCGGTTGCCGTTGCGCACCATCCACCCAGGCGTTGTCCCATGCCCAGTGTCCCAATACGATCATGCCCATCAGTGGTCTCCAGCTGACTGTACGCACAACCTGCCTTGGCTTTGATGGGCTGCCATCCAGCATTCGTGTCATTTTGCAAAGCGTCGGGACCGACCTCGACTCCCTGGTCGATCTGACGGTCTTTCTGGTCGACATGAAGGACTATGCCGCATTCAACAAGGTCTACAACGCCTACTTTGCCGCTGAGAATGGGCCGGCGAGGACCACTGTTGCGGTCCGTGAGCTACCCAACCCGCGCCTTCTCATCGAAATCAAGGCTGTTGCGTTGGCTCCATCAGCGTAGTGAGCAGTTCGTCATGAAGCATACGGAGTGCGTGCATCAATGTCGGTAAAATGAAGCGATTCGCCATAGAGAGCTCAGGCCACTGCTCCGTCGTGACTACGATAGTCATGATGCGCGCTGCATAAGTGTTCCTATGTTTGTCATTTACACTTTATTCAGAAAAAAACGGGACACCACAGCCGTTTCCATGAACGTGTAGTATGTGATGGCATGCGTCAAGCAAAGCCACAATAAATAAAACAGATCACTTTGGCAGCCTCCGAGTGAAGACCGCCGGTCGCTCTCCGGTCTCCACAATCGACTTGCACACTGTGATCATGTTGCGCGCCGCATTGACGTCGCGATTCCACACCGTCTGGCGAATGGTCATGGCCAGCGCGCGATAGCATTGGGTAACAAAATATTCGATGAATGGTCAAAATCCCGGGTGTCCCGTTTTTTATTGGATCGCCTGTAGTCGAGATTCGCAACAACCCGGGCCTCGAGGTGTTGAGCCCGTTCGCTCGTTCGCTCGTTCGCTCGCTCGCTGAAGGATGGCGCCCTTTGGCATGCTGATTACAGAGCTAGCATCGGCATGCATCCTCCCATGAGGCAGACGGCGATCACTACGGATGATAGATGGGTGTATTCACATCCAAAATATAGTGACAAGCAACAACAAAAAAAAAAGAGCTTTTCCAGTTTCATTTTGCGCGCGCTGTACATACCACGCCTGAGAGGGCCATTGGAAGAAAAGGAAAACGAATAATAGTCATAAAAGAAAATGCGAGATCAGGATGTGGATAGAAAAAGTAGGCGTTCAGTAGCCCATGTCCTTGAAATAAATAGCGTATGTATATGTGAGGGGTGCGGGGAAGATGGGTGGATATGATGGTAGTTGGAGGGGGAGGGTTGCGGATGCAGTTTGCACGAGCAAACGAGGGGATGGATCTTTTGACCGAGACTGGGGTTTAACCAGAGTAGTACGGCCGAAAACCCGAAAAGTCGTTCTTGCGGCGGGCATTCCTTCTCTGGATGGCCATGAAAAACTTGGCGATGGTGTCTTGCTCCGAGTCATCGTCCCGGTCGTAGCCGAGCAGCGACCCTGACGAGCGTGCATCGGCATCAGTCGGGAACGAGCCACACGATACCAGACTCGGGACGTATGGCCTCGATCTCGACTCGTCGTCGAAAGGAGAGCAAGATTCGGCGTCCACGTCTTCGGAAGACGGCAGCAGCCCCATATACGAGCCCGCTGGCTCGACGGCCGAGGCTTGCGATCTGCTGGTGCGGGAGCGCTTCTTGCGCTGGCGCTCAGCCGGTTCGGAGTACGATCGCTTCGAAGAAGGGCTTCCGATGGGTGGTGGTGGAACGCCGAACGGCGTGGACTCGCTGCCGGGTTCGCTCTTGGGCAAAACAGGCGAGCCCACAGTGCGAAAGAGGGGGCGGAGATCAAACTGATCGGACGAGAGAGAGGGCAGGATCGGGACGGGGACATGCATGGAGCCGACGGCCTCTGGGGCCACAGGGAAGGGGATGGATGGAGTGGGCGGGGCCGCAAGCAGAGGATCAACATCCAGCGGCGGGGGTGAGCTCGCGGCGCTGACCAGGATCTGAGCAGCGACCGGGATCGAGAGTTCGGATGCCTGCGGTGGGGATTGCGGTAGCGCGGGAGAGACGGGCGAGCAGCTCGAGGAGACGAGAGACTCAAAGGGGACGGGAGGGGACGGAGTGGGTGGAGAAGCCTCGGTGGGTTTGCTCGAGGGCACGAAGCGCTTCTTCAGGGGCTTCATTGAGGGAGCAACCTGGGCATGTTTCCTGGGCTCTGATGGAGCCGACTCGGAGGCAGGCGGCGGTGCCGGGAAGGTGGGCATGGGCGACTCGAGCACCAGAGCGGCAGTAGCAGTAGCAGCAGTAGCAGCAGCAGCAGCGACGGACAGAGTCGATGGCGAAGGCGAGGTCGGCGGGATAGGAGAAGGCAAGACGACGGGCAAAGACGGCGTCGGAGGAGGCGACAGCGACGGGTCCGTGGAAGAGCGCTTGGAGGCCTTGAACTTGACACCGCAAGCGTTGCAGAGGGTGTTGGGGCCAAGCGAGCCGGCTCTCCACTGAGGGGTTTTCGTCGTGCCGCAACGGGAACAGACTCGTTCCTGGAGAGGCTTGGACTTGCGCTTGGGCTGGGCGAGGGGGGCGCTCATGGTATCAGAGGGTGGAGGATTGGGATATGGTTGCGGAGACAGACAAGAGTGTCGGGGGAGTCGCAAGGCTCTGGGTTTGGCGAAAGAAGAGGGGTATCAGTGGGTTGCTGCTGGCAAGAGAGCCCAACAGACAGCGGATGTGGAACGGGTCGGAGTTGGTGAAGCAAAAGGAGTCTTGCAAGAGGATTTCTGCACCAAGCGATGTCGGTGGCAGATGCAGATGCAGATGCAGAGATGTAGATGTAGATGCAGAGATACAGATGCAGGCGGGCAAAGAGACAGCAGCGGTCATTCTCCCCCCCCTCACAATACACATGACAACCGCCCAGGCGGGAGCGATAGCCACAGCCGGGCGAGGGAACCGAGAGGGGAACGAGCCCACGGCGACAGAGGACACTTACTGGCTGGTATTGAGAGCAGTGTGGCGAGTCGGACGACAGGGCGGGGACCGCTCGCGCAGCGATGCCACAGGCAGGAACTGGTGTCTTTGGAGGTAAGCTGCGGCAGCCCACAGGAGATCGGCAGACAGATGCAGGGACAGAAACGGACGATGGACCACGGGCTCGAGAAGAAACCCAAGAGCAGTCGCGGGGCGATCCGTCCGTCAAATACCCACTGAAAATTTTCAAGAGCACAAGAAAAAAAAAGTCGCGGGGTTTGGTTTGGTGTGGTGTGGTGTGGTTCTGTTGGCAAGTGGGGCGGCTTGTGCTGCAGTGCACTGGACTGTGGGGCTGCACTGTCAGTATCGACAGCCAACTGCGAGACTGCGCTGTGGAACTGGTCTGTGCGACACTGATGTGGTACAAACACTTTGGTGTCGGGACGCGTCGCACAACCGCCTGTCTCACTGCGCTGCTGTTCCGTCGCACTGTCCCAATGCGCTGCTTTCTGGTCTTCTGGTTGGCGGCTTCCCACCATTGCGCCCTCGCTGCTCTCCGTCCGTCGGCATCATCTGGCCGTCAGACCCGATGCGCAGATGGTCGTGGTGATGGAAATGTATTCAGAAAACAAAGGCGCTCTCGGATATCCCCCCGCAAGCCTTGTCTGCCGGGCCAGCCGTCAGCGGGCCGTGAATTGAATCAGCGGCTGGACCAAGTAGACATAGACTCCAACAAACAGCAGAGCGTACGTCGTCAGCTTGACCATCCGCCACACCATCTTGAATATGCTCTGAATCACAAACCAGACAAAGAGCAGAAACATGAACGCCAGCACCGCCAACACAGCGTAAATCACCAACAGGTGTGAAGAGTCCAAGGCATACTGTTCGCCCCATTCCAGGGCAATCGACTTGAGCCGGCTCGGTAGCAGCAGCAACAGGAGTTGCTGTTGTCCACTGTCTCCTGGGCGATATGCGTCTTGGAGCCACGCCAGGAGGTCGACGGTGCTGGGGTAAACCAAGTTCTGGACAAACGCCGCCGTTTGGACCACGAGTCCGTCCAGCGACCGGACGACTTGCCCGATCTGGCTTGCGAGCTGCTCGGTCTGTGCGGATTCGGCTGGGTATGTGGCCATGGCAGATGTGGGCGTAGCCTGTGTGGTGTTATTCGGGTTGGACTTGAGATGGATTGGGGACGGAGTGTGTCGGGCAAGGCGGGGACAGGCGATCGGCAAGCAAGTCAGCCAGCAAACAAGCAAACGACGACGCCCAATGAACCCCGTTTTGGGCGCACGGGGTGGCGCTGTTCTGGGCCCGTTGATCACGGCGTCCTCGGTGCTGCTTGTCCTCCGCTCAGGAGTCTCCGTGGGCTCAGTGCGTGCCCCTTCTCCTGCTCCCATGATGCACTCTCAAAACAGCCACGATGCCAGGCTCCTTGGCCACGCTCTGTCACGACGGACGATGGATGGGTGTGTATTTGGGACCCAGAAAAAAGCGACAGCCTTGGCTCAAACAGGGTGTCCCGCTTCGTTCTGGACGCACCTGATGGTGCGCCTGCTTGTCCCGGGATTGGTTGCTGTCTGGGCCACGGGCTTTTGATTTGCGTGTGCTATGCTTGGGTCGTTCCAACCCGAATCTTGAGCGCTGAAGGCATGGACGAGGCCACCAGCTTGCGCTCGCTTTCACGGATGATATCGGCTCAAAGTCCGACTATATGTCCTCGTCGTCCTCGTCGTTGTCTTCGTCGCCCTCATCATCCTCGTCGTCCTCGGGCTCTTCGTCTAGCTCATCGGGATCAAAGTCGTCTTCGTCCTCAAGGTCCTCGTCATCGTCGTCGTCGTCGCCATCGTCTTCCTGGAGGGGCAACAAAGCACACACAATCGTCAGAATACCAAGCCTTCAGGAGCTTTGGTGGGGAGCCGATCATCCCGGCCGAGACGTCGATGCCGCTGACTCACAAAGGCTCTCACAAGCAAGGCGAGCAGACACATACCTCCTCGTCCTCCTCGTCCGATCCGCCGACAAACTCCATCATCTCATCATCCGAAACGTCGTCGTCCTCGTACTCTTCATCGTACACGGCCATGGCCTCTTCTTCGCCATCGACGTCTCCAGAACCGCCCTTGGTACGCATAGCAATTTGCGAGAGCACCAGATCCAGCCGACCAGAGAGCTTGAGCATCTTGGAAAAGACGTTGACTCTGGAATCGAGGGTCTGGTAGAGAAGGGACAGCTGCTTGACGAGGTTGGGCACCTTTGGGACAAACAGCATCGCAGAGCGGAGGGAGGGCAGAGGTCAGCATCAGTCATCTTGCTCTCTGCCTCCAAGCATGCACCGTGCAAACCCGTCGGGCTTTGGCACGGCTCCATTGCTGCTCGACACAATCCTGAATTGACAAGGTGAACTTCACCGAGACCACACGCAGCGACTGTCCACTACTCCCTTGCAATGAAGGGCATCGATTGACATCGGCCCGGCGTGGCAATCATCGTCTCTAGCAACGATGCCACACCAGCACCATCGGCACGCTCCTTACCGTCATAAGATAGGCAGCATGTACCAGGATCACAGCACGGACCCACTCGATCAGCACCGTGGCTCGGTTGGGTCGCTTCTGCAGCTTGTCGACAAGCTGTTCCAGGAAGGGCACGATCTGCGCCGTCGGTAGCCGCCTCACGGTTGCAAGAATGATGTCGGGGTTCTTGATTTCGAGACACCTCTCCAGAAGCTGCTTGTCGCCGGAATGCACCGCCTGCGTGAGCATGTGGTGCAACGAGCTGGCAGTCGGCGGTCGGAAGGTCTTGGACTTGCTGGCGAGCGAAAGCGCCACCTTGGACTTTGCCGAGGGACTGGGGTTGATGGCCATGATGTTGAGCCGGTCCTCTAGCGTCGGCTCTTTGGCCAGCTTTTCCTCAAGATCCTCTGCGAGGGCGGGAGTGGCCATCGAGAAATCGGCGGCGCCAAGCACTCGCGAATCGGCGTCGCTGTACTCTTTGCGATTGCTTTTCAGGGCTTGCTCGGCAAGGGAGGACTCGTCCACCAAGATGGCTGATGTCGGGGAGCGGGTGAGCTCCAGTTTGGGAATCAGCTTGCCAGTCTCATCGGCATATGACTGCAGCAGCAAAACGACAGGTCAGCGGCGCTGTGATGAATGCCAATTGCATAGCCTAGGCCCTGTCGCACCCACTGCCATCGTTCTGCAGAGTTGGCCTCGTTGACTGCGCTCATGCAGTAATGACTGCCGAGGTTTGCGCTGCGATCATGGCCCCCCAAAACAACCAGTCCAAGAGCCTGCAGCAGCATTTTGGCCGATATCAAGCGATTGATAGAAATCACGTCATCATCGTCGTCCGTCCTTACCAGGCGCTCAAACACAGGGCGGATGATGGTGCCACGAGCCACGATGATCTTGTCGCCCACAAATGTCGCCGCCAGAATGGAGATAGGCTTGCCGTCCGGGGTCGAGAACTGCAGCGTGCTCTCGGGAGTGCGAGGCACGTACTTTTTCTTGGACTGCGTCGCCTTGTCGGCCGGGGGAACAAAGGGGGTTTGCCAGAGGGCGACCACGCCGCTCTCGGTCAGAGCAAGGGCCTGATTCTTGATCGACACAGCCAGATGAGTTGGCGAGGCATCCAGAGTCAAGGCTGTGCGGTTCAACGACAAACCACATGCGGAAGAGACAGCTGGTGAGTCCAACGAACATTCAGACTGCTCGAGAGACCGAAAGACTTGCCCAAGCAGTTGATAAATAGCCGTACCTGTCAGGTTGCCGTTTGAATTGCGATCGAGGCAGTCCCAGACGCTCACAAACCGATCTTCCTCGGCACTGGAGACGGCATACTTGTCATCGGACGAGAAGAGCAGACGACTGACGAGGGTGGCATGTCCCGTGAATGTCTGTGGGGTACGAAGGCAGCAGACAGATACGGCGACTCAGCGCTTGCTGTTTGACTTGCATTCAGCCAGGCACTGCCATGGACAAGGCTTTCGCGGATCTCGCAATCTACCTGCAGCAGCTCATGCGAATCGGCATCCCACAGCTTGATCTGGTGGCCAGCAGTCAAGAGTCGATCGCCGTCGCTGTTGAGCTGGATTTTGCGGAGGGCCTTGCTGTCGGCCTTGAAGTGGCTGTGAAGGCGTGTGCAGCACCCGTGAGAGAGATTCGGGAGCAAGATCGAGTCAGTCAGATTGAGTCGATAATGTCGATAATGTCGATACAGGCATATGCCAATGTGGGAGGGGCGCTGAAACAAAGCGACGACCACACCGATGGTGCAGCGATAGAAGGCGGGTCGCGTTCGTACCTGACGGCGGTGCCCGACTTAATCTCCCAGACGACGACCTCTCCGTCTTCTCCGGCCGAGTAGCCGCGCGAGCCATCGGCAGAGAAGACAAAATCCGAGACGGCGGCCGTATGGCCTCCCGAGAACGTTCGCAGAATCTCGCCGCGATTGACCGAGAACAGCGCAACATTGCCCGAGCCGAGGCCGATCGCTACGAGTTTGTCGTTGGCAACAAGGGACGATCGTCTTCGCTTCTTTTCCTTCTTTGACAGCTTGAGAAAATCCACGATTCATCCACAAAAGAAAAGGGGAGGGATACGCCGATCTGTTAGCATCCATTCAGAGTCGCCGATCGCAGGGCAGAGTCTGCCGACTTCATGGTGCAGCTCCGTGATAATAAATCAAATGCCGTGAGGATCACCCTCTCAGCTCTTGACAAGCCGCATGCGCTGCGCGATCTTGAGTGACAGCGAGCCCACGATCGTCCGGTCCTCGGAACGGCCAGCAGGCGATTCTCTGCAAACCCAGCGGCGCCTCGAGGCAGCACCTCATTCTGTCCACGGAGCGATTGATCCCACCGTGCGCATGCTGGACTGATATTTACCGACGAGTCCTCGGCGCCCTGGATGCCCCAGGCAATGCAGGTGCATTTATCGCCTTTGGGAAGGGGCATATCAAACGACAGCGACGAGGTGCGAGTGTCCCAGATCTTGAGACGATGCGCATCGACTGCCTGGAAGACGGCTGCAAAGTAGTCGACCGAGGGCGAGTCGAAGGCAGACAGAAGGAAGGACTCGGCCGCCAGGTGCTGGTGGTATTCCTCGCGGGCGGTCGCCGATTGCGGGGCGGCGTTGTTGAAGTGCGTCGACTTTCGCTTGCCCATGATGGTTACGCTTCACGTTTTCAATGACCTTGGCGAGTGCTGGTGCAAGTGCTGATGCGATCGTCCGGGCCGGGCAGCAGAAGCGCAGGATGCGGCGGGGTCCTGGTTGAGTCCAGCGGACGGGATGCAGCGAGGCCGGCGGCGTGGAGTCGAACGGGACGCGGGCGAAAGGCAGACGGTGGTCGCAGGTCGCCAAAAAAAAGAAGTGTGGCGCAATGTTGGTGCGCAGCACCGAGGCTCGGACCAGGGTCATATTGTGTATGCGGTGGAATGTCCACCAGTCCACCGGGTTCAAATGGCCACGGCGGCTGGCAGGGGCTGCTGAGGCGGATCCTGCGCCGGTTCGAGCCGCGAGAGCGACGAGTGGTGTGACGGCTTCTTGGTACAGTGGTAGCATACTCGCTTAGGGTGCGAGTGGTCCCGGGTTCGATTCCCGGAGAAGCCCTTTTGTTTTTGTCCCGCTCGCCCTGGATGCAGGCAGGTCATACACGGCAAGGAGGGGGTCCTGCTGCTCTGTCGACGATGCATCGGATGGCTCTGCCGAGTGAATCTCTGTGTCTGTGGTCCTGCTCGTCAGCATCCATCGGCATCCATCGGCATGCCCATACGGACCCACTATCAGTCGGCTCTGCTGCAGTTTCTGTCGGCCGCTTCTGTCGGCCGCTTCTGTCGGCCGTCTCGAAACAGCCGGCGCGTGAAGCACCCACAAAGGACATCGCTGGTTTTGGTGGCTGGTCCCGAGCTTTCGGGTGCAGATGGCTCTTGGGCGTGTCGCTATCGGGGTGTCCTATCGCAACCATCCGGTCGCCCTCGCTGGTCGTCGCTGTCGGGGAGTGTTTGGTGGCTGCTTCTTCTGTCTCGCTCCGAGCCGCTTCTTCTGTCTTGCTCCAAAGCTGCGTGATTTGGCCGCTATGCTGGGGATTCCGCTCGAGCGCTTCGACACAAACGACACCGTCTTCTCGGACCCGCTGTTTGATACGGTCCAGGCCGACCGTCCCGAGCACCGTCCGTCGGTTGCATGGATCTGGGGCCATTCGAACAGCGATGCCTCAGCACCTGCCGTAGACGAGAACCTCGTTTCGCCAAGCACTACGGTGCAGAATGCAGACGACGTTGCCATCCAAGACGAAGCTGGATCCGTTCGGGTGAGTCTGGTGGATGGTTCCTGCCGCCTTGCCAAGTCTGCGCCCCCTCTTCGCATGGCAAAATCTGGACTCGGCTCTATCGTGGAGTCTGCGGCCCTGTTCGCAGCTCTGACTCGCTTCCTTCCTTTGCAGTCGACAGTTCGCAGCCGCCGTCGCCTGTCCAGCTTGGTCGCCGTCGATGGAGAGCCGTCGAGTGCTCACTCGAACAGCAAGGAGCTTCTGCCTCTCATCGAGAGCGAGCCGACGGTTTCCTTCAAGCTGCTTGTCGACCGCCTTCTGCACAACCGCAAGACATGGTGGCCGAGCCGTCTGCTTCAGACCCTCTTTGTGTTGGCCTTGTGGGCCTCCGTCGTTACTCTCTGTCTGACCACCGTCTATGCGGTCGTCAAAGACCCCCGCAGCCAGGTGAGAGAGGCTCAGAGTCGGCACAACCAAGCCCTGCATATCTACTCTCGCCTGGGCTCGGTCGATTCTGTCCGATGCTGACGGACCACTAGCCCGTCCATTCAAGCGACCATTTCGACTCTGATGCTGAAACTGCCTCCTCTTGCCCCAGTCGATCCTGTTCGCCATCGACTGTGTATGCACCACGATTTTCATCCTGGAGCTGGTGCTGAATCTGGCGGTCGTGCGGTCATGGGCCGATATCTTCCAGTGGGCCAGGTTTGCCGACATGGTGTCCATCATCCCTTTCTGCGTCGAGATCGTTGTGGCGCTGGTAACGGGACAGAGCCCTGTGGAGTTCTGCTATGGCTGGACATCGAACAACCCCGTCCGGCCCTTCCGCATCATGCGGGTCACCAAGTTCTTCATCGTCTCGTCCAAGGTGAGCCGCGAACCGCCGGCGCAGAAGGGTGCCAAAGGATGCTGGGCCAAACTCTATTTCCTATCGGACGCTGTTGCCTGACGCGCAAGTCCCGCCTGCCACAGCTCGAATTCCTGGTCCAGGCTCTCTACAATTCGCGTGATGGTGGGTAACCTTGGTCGAGGGGGATCGCAGAACTGGCCAATAGAGCCATCTTTCGCCGACTCTGCTGTCCTGTTGCGTGCGAACCAGCAACGCCTCGGGTCTCCAGGCCGGCCGTTCTCATGCTCTCATGTTCTCATGTTCTCATGTTCTCATGTTCTCATGTTCTCATGTTCTCATGTTCTCATGTTCTCACGCTCGCCCGCATCCATGACTTTCTGTCACAGGCATCCTTGCGCTGTTCTACGTGCTGCCCATCATCATCCTCTTCTTCGGAACGCTCGTCTACTACAGCGACAACCTTCAGTCGTTCCAGCAGGACGGGGTGAGTCTTGCAGCCGCTTGGGTATTGCACCTCCAACCACACCTGTAATCGGCCCATTGACTCGGTTCTCTGTACTGGCTCCATTGCCCAGATCTGGTACTATAGCAACGGCCAGCCCGCATACTTTCAGTCAATCCCCAATACCTTCTGGTTTCTTATCGTGACTCTGACGACCATCGTAAGTGCTGCCCTCTGCCCTCTGCCCTCTGCCCTCGCGATCTCCGCGAAACTGACCCATGCATAACTCTTCTCCCTGCCGCAGGGGTATGATCGGCATTCGAGCGCCAGTCGGCGACTTTGATTCTTGTCCCGTGGCCACAAATGAGTAGCCGTGCTTGCGTTCAGTTGCTCCTTTCCGCAGCAACTTTACATGGCGCCTGTTCCTCGAATCTGATTGTCTTTCGTCTGCTCTGCTGACAGGTATGGCGATGTAGTTCCGCCCACCCTGCCCGGCAAGCTTGCCACCACTGGGGCCATGGTCGCCTCGCTCTTTGTTGTGGCCTTCCCTCTCACCATGATCACAACGCAGTATACCGTCGTCGTTCGACGCTTCAATCAGAAGCAGAGGCAGAAGCGGGCCGAGATGAACCAGCGGCTCGAGGCCCAGCTGAGGGCATTGGCTCAGGGTCAGCTGCCCTATCAGCGGCAGAACCCTCAGAATAAGACCGAGCCCGCACCCTTGCGGCAGGTCAAGACAACAGGATCCGATACCAGCCTCGACGACCATTCGCTGTCGCACCAGCAATCTGAAGGCTCGGCGACTCGGTATCCGCCGGATACTGAAGCAGGCACTTCATGGACTGGCTCGAAAGATGCGTCGCAGCAAACACACCTATCGCCACCACGGCATCCTTTCCATTATCCACAGCTCCTCACAGCCCTGGCTCAGAGCTCGCTCAAGCATCTGAACCATGGAGCGACTGTCGATCCGACCGTTACGTATCCAGCCCAGATCGAGCATGGACGCACCGAGACAGCATCCCCGCATCTGCCATGTGCCCGATGTGTGGAAGAAGCTATGGTGCAGCGCCTCGATGCCGTCGATGCCCCAGCCAAGGTCCACCTGAGGGTCGCCGAATGGTCTCACCACGTCAGTCCGGCAGACGAGGATGTTTTAACGATGCGCATCAATATCTCGGACCCCAACCAGTATCGCAAGCTGATGAGATTCCTTGCGGACCTTTGATCCATAGCCGAGCGTTGCGGCGTCGGCATTTCGCTGGCCGTGCTGCCGACAGCGTTCGTTGATCGGGATACTCGGCCATCATGACCGGGGCAGCTTGTATTATTCCCCTCCTCTGAATCTTGAATATACACACGCCCGTCCATCCAGATCCGAGACCCGTGACCGCATTTCATGGCAAGACGTGGCCGAAGCACAGCCAACCAGGATCTCGCGCGTTTTCCTGACTGCGTGAAGCTGCGGGGAGCTGTGAGCAACCATCCGCCTGGCTTCAACTCGATCCAGCATCCCGACATTGGCCCTTCCCCTCAATGGCAACTCCCCAAAGTGTCGCTAGCAAGCTCCGTGCCCTCGCCGACCGCACCAGCCGACTTGACGGCTTCGTCGACGACTCCAAGCCGCCCACCAAGGAGGAATGTGCAAGTGCATGCAAAAACATAGCACGCATCTACCTGCCTACTCCGCCTGGCTCTGAGGACCCATCGCTGCCCCACGATTACAGCTCGTCCTGGAAGACTCCCTTCCACCGGGACTTCAAGTCGCCTGGCGACATGGTGGACTGGATGTTCGGCGCCGGCGAATACGGCAAGACCCACGATCGACCAAGCAGCAGCTCGCTCGACATTGATCTGGAGGCTGCCGGTGATTCTGTCCATCGCTTCGTCGCAAGCTCCTTCGATCGTGTGCTTGTCAACTTCAATCGAATCGCCTACAACACCTGTGTGCTTGGGTGCGCGGAGCCAGATCCCGATGCCGCCGGTGCCGGCTCGTCGCAGGTTTCTCGGGAGAGATCCTTCCCGACTGCGATAGCCAAATGCCTTGCCAAGGCAGATGACAGGCACAAGGCAGACTTTTGCTTCGAGCAGTACGAGCGCCTCTCCGACTTTCGCCGGTTCGCCACCGCCGTCGAGAGGCTTGAGGCCGAGCTCGATCGCATCTAGTCGACTCTGTCGCCAAGCACTACCTCAATGGCGAGTCCATGCATCTGTCGACTCGGTGAATACAAAGTGGTTGATTTCGCAATACGTTGAATACGTGAATGGCGTGCACTCCCAGAGACGTCGTGGATGTCGTGGATGTCGTGGATGCCATGGGTCGTATGTTGAATCTGGACCTGTGTCGATCCATCTATTGAGCGATACGATGTCGGCGCCTCAGTACCCCGCCAGAGTCCTCGGACTCGTCCTCTTACTGAATGTTCAGCCGGCCTTTGATCCACCTGGATATCGCCTTGCCAAAGAACACAGGCACCAAGAACAGGAGCGAGATCAGCACCAGTTGACTAACAACCCAAAAGCTCAGAATGTCCGAGAACGAGTTTACATCAGCGATCGTGGCGGCAGCCTGAACCGTCGCGTAGTTGCAGAAGAACGGCCGCAAGTGTATTCCCGGTACTTTGAGCAGTTCCACCACCGCCGCCAGAGATGCCCACACGGCGAACGACTCGTTCGATTCAGCGATCGTACTTCCGAGGACCCTACAGAGATGCCCGGGTGGTCAGAAGCGTGCACCACACTTCAAGCTATCTGATCTGCCCATCCACATCGACTCATCGACTCATTGACTGGTGGTGAGCTGTCCTTCCAGTCCATCGATGGCATTGCCAACGCTTCGACATCACAGATGTGGCCTTCTAGTTCGCGCATTGGATATGTATTGAGCCCTCTGTAGATTGCAATGCCGTGCAACAGAAACAAGCTACTTTGGTAGGGAGAAACGGCCAGTGCTTTGAGTCTGGGCCTGATTCTGCAGCACGGGATGGACTGGCGCTCTCATTGCGATGTCGTCTCAGCGGCGGCCGATGATCATGTACATCATCGCCCCGAGACATCGCAGCAGGTTCATCCCGGTCCACAGCCATATCAAACCCACAAGAAACAGGTTCATCTGGATGCCAAACTCGGGATGCGGGTACATATTCAGAGACTTGACGTAGGGAGCACCCGTAAAGGCCCAGCAGAGGACTCCGTTCGCAACGAGCCAGCCCAAGATGATCTGCGTTCTCAGCATCTTGAAGTAGTCCGTCTGTTCGGTCGTGTGGTCGGTCTTTTGCTTGGCTGGACGGGCAGACAAGTCTTTCTGTTGGCTCTGCCGAAGCTTATTGAAATGCATGTACTGCTCGTCCAGGTCGTCTGGAACACCGGTAGATGCGAGCTGGGTATGCTTGCGGCTGAGAGGATCGGAATACGACTGAACAGAGTCCATGCCCAAAGTGGGGGATGGCTCGGGGCGGAGCTCCATGGAGACATCATGCAGATTCGTGACTAGCGGCGGTCGATCGATACACATACAGACGAGCGACAGTTGGTTAATGAGTACGAGCGGCAATCGGTGGATGCGGGCGAGCAACTCTCTGCGAACTGCACACAGCCTTCTGCAAACTGCACAGCAACTCTCTGCAAACTGCACAACAGTTCATCCGGTGCCCCAGCTCGGACGGGTCGGATCCGCTCAACGTACATGCAAACACCGAAATGAGGTTGACGTATCCAGGCAGCCACAAGATGTACTGGAGCGATGAAGTAAAGACTGGCAGTGGGTCCAGCGCTATCAGGAAGGCCATCAATCCCGCGACGAGGTTGAGCGCCGCGGGCACAATAATGTCGCGGAAGCCTGAGAACTGCATGGCGTAGGCGAAAAGCCGTCCGTCGAAGCGCACGTCGCTACCGAGTGCTGCTGGGGCCGTTCGAATGATTGTGGTCATGGTCTGGGTGGCTACGCATCCAAGGTTGACGACCGTGAAGATCCAGATGAGGGCAAAGGCCAACCACAGGCTCATGAACGTCATGGGCGTCATCTGCGGCTTGGTTCCGAGCGACGAGACCAGTGCAGCACAGAGCGCCGCAAGGAAGACCAGACGCAGGACTTGGAAAACCACGCCGCCGTAGGGATAGTACAGGTCCAGGGTCGTTGCCGCCTGCGAGTCGTTGCCGCTCAAGTCACTTTCGGACGTGGCCATCATGAAGCTAAAGACGAAGAGGATGTACATGATGCCGATCCCAAACCACGACAGCGTCAGGCGGAGGATATTGTACATGCTCTGGAACAGAAAGACGGCCTTCTGTTGAATCGAGTGCTTGGTGCGTCGGATGGCGACGATGCGACGGACCGAGCGCAGCGACGCAAAGAACGAACGGTTGACCCACGCCTTGCGCTGCTGCAGAACCCCATGGACGCTACTGGGCACCCGTATTTTGGCCTTGCCCGAGAAGATGTACTTGCAGACCCACTGCTTGCCATCCTGGGCGACAAGCTCAAAGGGAAGGACGCGGTCGCCTGCTAGTCGTCGGTTGGCGGCACTGAAGGCGATTCGGTCGTGGTCGAGCTCCCCTTTGAGATAGGCCTGCATCGGAGACTCGCACAGAGCCTTGTATCGGAATGCCGAAAACGACGTTGGCAGCTCAACCATGCATCCCATGAGCGACTCGAAGGGATGGTCGAGAAGATGGGTCACTTTGTACTCAAAGTTCTGGGCGGCGACGAGGGGGTTGAGTAGCTCGCAGCCTTGGATGCTGGTTTCGACAGCGATTTCTCCACAACAAACACCGATTCGCGGATTGGCGGACAGTGAGCGATGCAAGCGCAAAAATGCGTCGGGCATGGGGGCAACACCCGTGTCCAGAAACATGCAAGTCTCTGGTTTGAGTGACTTGCAGATCCCACTCAGGAACCAGCGGTGCGAGTTCAGCCTCTTCTGGGACTGCTCCTTCATCAGGAGCACTGTCTGGACGGGAACGAGGTCAGAGTCACGCTGGTTACTTTGGAGACTCAGGTCACTGGCGACGACTTGTTGGCAGATCGCTTCAAACATATGGGCTATGACGGGCTTGCCATTGACCGAGCTCTTGGTAAGGCCATCGAGATATAGACCCATGCAACCGAGGACGTTGTTAATGTCCGGGTGGAGATCTTTTCGACCGTCGGTGATGATGCAGAGAAGAACGGACTGCCAATCCATGGACTCTGATTTGTCGGTCTCTCCTTGGCGGCAGAGAAAGTTGATGCTTTTGAAGATTGCAAAGAGGGATCGACAGAATATCTCGGGGCCCTCATTGTGGCTATGTAACGGCATTCCAGGAATGGGTTAGATTGGCATTCGGTCGGTCTCTGGCTGTGCTCCATTGTCCCGCGGAGACAACGCTACGGCTCGCCCGACCAGACTGTGGGAAACAGGATGCTGTGGGGCACTGGCCGCTGGAACTCACAGCGTCAAGACAATCGCAAACTTGATGGTGCGCTTTTGGAGAGCTACTTTGAGCTGGAATTGGTCGGAAAACTCGTCTGGATTGCAAGTCAAGGCGCTGTATCTGCATTGCCAGAGGCACATTTGTTCTGTCAGCAGGTAGCGGGGCTGTGTGTCGGCATCGAGACTGCCGGCGTCTTCACTGGTCCTGGGCCTGGGTGCCCATCCACGGCTGCGAGCCCAACAGCGTACTGCACTCGATTTGGCTTGGATGCGACTTGCTGCAGGCGACTCATACCTCAATTCTGTGAACTCGCCCTCGGTCTGGTACTTGAGTCTGCTGATCAGCGGCGCCGAAAGGGGGACCTCGACAACAAAGCTGCCGTTCGCCTGGAGCTGGACCCTCCTGAGCGAGGTCCTGAGCCGCCGGGTGGGGTTGGAGGTCGAGTCTGCATTGGCCGAGCGGCCGGTGGCGGCATTCCAGGCGACCGGGGCCAGGGTCACGCTCGGACTCGACGGCACCAACGACGCACGGACGGACGGGCGATATACGGCCGGCTGGGGCGACGCTGGGGCACCGTTGCTGGATGCGATTGATGAACGGCCAGAGAGGGCCGAGGGTGGCGGATAGACCGAGCCTTCTTGGCTCGAGTCGCTGCGTTGGGTTGGGTGCATGCCCCAGAGCCTGTCTCGTCGGTAGTATGCCATGTTTCAAGGTCTGCCGAGGAGCGGGGAGGCAAACTCCGACAGCCGTATCGTCCGGATTAGCAAACAACGATGCGTGCGGCATCACGGGGGTTCGGTTGGAAAGTTCCAAGCCAGGCAGACAAACAGAGGCTCACATGGGAAGAGTCGGCCGCCGTGGGCGTGTTGGCAGGGCGTGTTGGCAGGACGGGGTGGCCGCACACACAAGCGGCGGGTTCGGATATGGATGGGGTGGTCTGGGGAAGCTGGACAGCTCTGGGCGTCTTTGCGGCAGGAGAGGGAGGTCGCTGCCGAGGCCAAAGAAGCGCAGGGGAACAGGGCGAATCGAACAGGCCGAGCCAGCCCGCGGTGCCCGGCAGCAGTTTTCCTCTTGGATCAGGGACAAGCCGCGAGAGCAAGAAAATCGGCTTGGAGGACACCCTGCTGCGCACGGGCTGGCACACGGACAAGGCCCTGCTGGGGTGCAGCGCTGCGGCGGCTGTGCGCGCCGAGCGGAGCCACGCGCTGTCCAGCGGTGGATACCTGTGCGCGCTGTCTGTGTGCGCGTTGTCTGTGTGCGTTGCCTGTGTGGGTACACAATAAGGCTGGCTGTGGCGTCTGAAGGGCCGGCTGAAACAGTGGCCGCACGGCTGCGCACACAGCCGGTGCAGGGCTGCCGCTGATCCTGGCGGCGTGTCCGCTGTGGCGCGGCACGTCGCACCGCGTCCGTTGGCTCAGCCGCGCGTCGCGACGGGACAACATCCGGGGCAAGACGCAAGGAAACTTTGCTCGGCCCGGGCCTTATATATTCCACCGCCATCTCCATCGCCCTCTCACCTCCATCGCCCTCTCACCTCCACTTCCATCTCATCTCCACTTCCATCGCCATGCGTCTGTCTGTCTCCGTTGCCGCTGCCTCGCTGCTCCTGTCGTCGGCCGTGACCAGCGCCCTCAACCTGGCCCAGGCTCTCAAGGCCGACAAGGATCTGCAAAAGGTTGCTGCTCTCAACATTCCCCAGTGGTCGCAGACCGGCAACGTCTCGTACGTCGTCTGCGCTCCCACCGACTCCAACATCACGGCCTCGACCGACCCCAAGCTTCTGGGCTCGCTGACCTTCCCGGGCGCCCCCACCACTGGCGAGGCCTGGCACTACCAGATCGTCACCGATGTCTCTGGCACCAACACTCTCGTCTGGGACAACTACGACACCACCTCCATCACCACCCCGGGCATCATCCACTTGCGCACCGGCACCGGCACCTCGGTGGTAAGTCTGACTCGCAAGATCGCTCCGGGCCTCTTCCGTCTGCGGCATTGTGTCGGCGGTCTCGTTGATCAGCCAGGACCAGGTTTCGGCGGTGGTGTGGCCCTGTTGCTCCCAGATCTGGGTCGCCGCTTCGCCAACGGACCAGATCCGGTGCTGGGCCTCGTTCTCACCATGCCTCTTTGCTCGTGTGCTCTGTCCCTCTCACCCAGAACGTCCGCAACATCCAAGCCGACAACGGCCTCATTATTGTCGTCGACAAGCCCATCCCTCTCCTCCAGAAGCCCTCCACCACCCTGAGCTACCTGAGCTCGGTCAACACCGACGCCACCCTGGTTACCAACAGCTTCATTAAGGCTGTTGCTTCGGCCGGCCTCACCGACAACTTGGACGCTCTTACCGGATACATGATGTAGGTTTGATGCTTCCGCAGCCAGCCGTGATCGCGCGTTTGTGTTCTTGTCGCATTTGGTGCAGTTCGGCCTTGGGGGTGGTGGGGGAGACGATTTCTGCCTGTCCTGTGTGGCAGCGCCCCTGTCCCAGCCGCGCGGGGCCAGCATTTTGGGTTTGGCATGCCAGCGAGACCGCCGATCTCGGCCCCCACGAGTCCAGATCCAGATCCAGATCCAGATCCAGATCGACGAGCCTGGCAACAACAGCACGACGAGACTAACTCTGGCGCTCCTCCCCAACCCAGTCTGGCTCCCTCCGACTCGGCCTTTGCGGCCGTCCAGTCTCAGGTCTCCGCCCTCACTCCCGCCCAACTGAAGAACGTCTTGGCCTACCACCTGGTGCCCAAGGTCATGTACTCGACCAACTACAACCCCGGCATCCTGCCCACCCTGAACGGCCAGACCCTCGACGTCACCGTCGATGCCAACGGACCCGTCTACAACGGCAAGGGCCACCACACTCTGGCCGACACCACCACCACCGCCGGTGTCATTCACATCATCTCTGCTGTAAGTCAGTCAGCCTTGGAGGTGTTGCCACTTGCCCGCGTCGTGGCCAATGCATCCTTCTTTGGACATCCATTCTCTGGCAAGCGCACCGCTGTGGTCCTTTTGCAACGTCCTGACAGTACCCCATCCATGTCTCTTGCCCACAGGTCCTGATCCCGTCCAACCTCGACTCCTTCAACGGCACCTGGCCGACCCCCGTTACCCCTTCGTCCTCTGCCGCTCCTGCCGCCTCTGGCACCGCTGCTTCTCAGACCGCCTCTGCTGGTGGTGCCTCCACGGCCACTCCCAAGAGCGCCGCGGGCTCGGTTGCCGCCAGTGGCCTTGTGACCCTCGCCGTGGGTGCTCTGGCTGCTTGGATCGCCCTCTGAGCACCATCTCTCTCTCTTCTATCGCCGTCTCTATGTGGGGCGCCATCCATCTTAGATAGAATCCCTCACTCTATTCGCAGCACTCACAAAAATGACCCGCCGCCACTTTTAGGGCGGTGAAATACACATGATCACCCATCACTTGCGATAGCCGCGATTGAATTTGTGTCCCCTGTTCGTCTCGGCATCTCGCTCTTCGATTTGCTGGCGGTCAACTCGACGGGATCGACTCGACGGGATCAACTCGATCGAATCCATTGATGAACCACTGATCAGCTCAGCGGCGGCCAAGAATCGGCAGCCGTGCCAACGGACCCAGCGTTGCTCGTCGGCGACTCTTTCTCGCTGTTTGCATTCAGAACTCAGACAGGATGGCCGCTGCGGTCATGCGATCTTCTGTTTGCCCAGCCAGCGAGCTGGCGTCTCGGCTCGGGCGGCGGTTGAGTTTCGTTTCCAGCGGTCCTGTGGTGTCATCCGTCCTCTCTGTTCGCCCTTCTGCCCAACCGTCGTCCTATCCGCCATGCTCGGTCGGTCATGCCCCCAACAACGCCCGCGCCTTTGCGACGAGAGGGCTCCCAGCGGCCTCTCCAATCGGTGGAGCGGCAGCGACCGGCCGGCCCGCAGGCGGTGGTGCTTGGTCCGCCACCTCCCCCCGCCGCGCATCATGACCCAGAGGCTGCCGCGGCAACGATCCCACCCGAGGTCATGCCACCCCTCGGCGCGCGGAGACGCTGGTCGGCTCAGAGCAGAGGGCGGGTCCGGGCATGGGATGGTCTGCAAGAGGGCGCTGTCGGGGCCAGCCGGCGCCTCTGCGGGTGCTGCAAGGACGATCGATGGGCATGATCCGCGGCCGCTGCTTCATGCACCCGACAACTCTATCGCGAGTCTCGATCCATCGCTGGCTTCCGGAGCCCGCTCGTCGACCATTGTCGACCATCGTCGGTCGTCGTCGGCCAGACGCCCTCCGTCGGCCTCCAGCAGGCTTCCAGCAGGCCTGTCGCCCCCCACCACCCCCGAAGCTGCCAGGCGGTGGAGACTTGCGGGCCGCTCAATCAAGCAAGTGAATCCGAACCGCATGACGCCCGGCCAGGCCAGATGACTCGACACCCCTCCCGGTCGATGACGACAGACCCGGCCAGGCAGACACACTTTCCCACAGCGCTCCATGGCCCAGACCGGTCGCTGCCATGCTCGCATCGGCGCCGCTGTGTCGTCTGCTGATATTTGCACCCTCTATTCGGCGTGGTAATGGCCTATTCTTCGCCTGCCAGACCAGCGGTCTTGTACTCTGTTCATATGCCATATACCACACACCTCTGCTGCTCTCCGCATGCCCCCCATCGTGGGACATGCCCTCGACCACCTTCGATCACCTATCTCTAGAGCCTTCGACACCCGGCCGTCCTCGACACTGCATCCCACCTTTCTCAGCGACACCTCCGTCGCTTTGGCCAAACAGCGCCGCCAGGCCCGGTGCTTCCTTGATGTTCTCCGCCCAGCAACAAGCAGTGTCGCCCTGGCTCGATCGCTTGGCCGAGCCTGTCTGTCCCCAGATCGCAAACCGCTCGTCACCCGACACCCCCGCAGCCATGACCGGCGCTGCCCTGCGGGCAAGCTTCCCCCCTTGCCGTCCCTCACTGCCTTTCGTATCGAGCGCGGCCGAGAAGGGGGGGGGCCGCGCCGCACCACTCAGTCTCCCCGCCCGAGTCAGAGCCAGACCAGCACCGGTCTCACTATAAAATCGACCGCCTTTTCCTCTGCGTCATTAGCGAGTTCATGACTCACCCGAGATCACCTCTGGTTGTGGCCATTGTCTGAGCGATCATCGCTGCCCCGTTTTTATAATCGCCTCCACTGCGCCCTCTCTATCCGCTCGCCTTCACAACACATCTCTCCACACACTTCCTGCCCTTTGCTTTCACACCGCCCTCCTCCCTCCATTTTTGACCAGTACGCCGTCTGCCATGATCCAGTCTCCTGCGAACGAACGCGAACTCGTCAAAGCCCGAGCGGCATTGATGAAGGGGCTCAAGTCTCTCACGGACTCTGACATCATTGGCGAAGGTACGAGTACATTCGCATGAGCTCTCTCCTCTCTTCCCACACTCTGGCACTCGAACGTTTCTTTGGAATTTGAGGGAGGGGGATGCCATGCTCGTCCAGATTCTTTATCCAGCCCATATGCCCTCCTCTGGTGGATAGTGGATGCGCTTTCCTCTATGCGACTGTTCAAAACCGATGACTCATGGTGGTGTCGCTCTCCGCTGTTCCGTCCCTTACAGTGGTTCCGAGTGACTTTATCCCCTCGGTCGAGCTCAACGTCAAGTACCTGACGAAAAAAGTCAATTATGGAAAGGAGCTTAGCGTCGACGGTAAGCTGTGTGGCCTGCGTGTGCTTGGATCCCCCACCATGAGTACTTTACGTTCGACATGGCAGACGGGTGGACGCGCGAATGTTGGCGAGGTGGTCTGCAAACCAATTCACGGAACTGTCTGCGGGACCATTCGGCCGATCCTTCGAGTCCTGTCCTGGCTCTGGCCCGCACGGCCCGATCCTCCACTTCTAATACTGATATGCCTGTGTCGCTCTCTCTGGCCTTTGCCGCCCTCCCAGCGACTCGCATGATCCCGGAAGTCTCATGGGTCCCCGAGACCGACAAGACACGCTATACCCTCATCATGACGGACCCGGATGTCCCGTCGAAAAAGAACCCCGAAGACGGCGAGTTCCGGCACTGGGTTGTCGCCAACATCAAGGGCAGCGCCTACAAGAATGGCGAAGACCTGTCAGACTACGTCTCTCCGTCGCCCCCATCGGGCTCAGGGTTCCACCGCTACGTCTTCCTGCTGTACAAGCAGCCCGGCAAGCTGGACTTTGAGGTCCTGACAGGCAAGCGCAGCGGCTGGGAGGCTCACTCGTGGGCCGAAGGATACGGCCTCGAGCTTGTGGGCTGCAACTTTTTCAAGGCCCAGGTCAAAGGCTAGACCTTTGTTTCTCGTTGGGCCAGGCTGAGCCGAGCGTGCTTCCATACGAGCTCATTCCTGCGCAAAAAATTAAAACAAAAAACAAAAATACATTCGAATCGAATAACTTTACAGCCCCGACAACGAGAGACGGGGGGGGGGCGGTCCCGGCTGTTTCAGAAAGGGAGCGAGGTGCCGGATGATAAACGGCCGCCGTTGGTGTTGCTGGCGGCTCGATCCGGACCTGGCCAGGGTGTTTTGGACGATTCGGCTGGGCCGGCCGATCCTCTGGCTCCCAGCCTCCATCTGCTCCATCCCCGACCGTCATGTCGCAGGCCCCGAGAACATCCCGGCTCTCGTTCAAGGGCGAGGAGCCCAAGTGAGTCTGTCTTTCATCCGAGCCGACATGCAGCAGCAGGCCTCTGTCGGCCAAGAGCTCAAACTCGTCCCTTCGGCTCTGGCTCCGACATAATCACCCTCATCAGCACTAACATCTCCGTCGCTGCCTGCTGTAAACGATCCGCTGGCTCACCCACCGTCCGCTGGCACGCCCACCATCCGCTGAATTTGATTGCACTGCCCAGAAAGAAGAAAAAGTCGAAGAAGGAGCGATCGCATCCCGATGGTGAATCTGCCCGGCCCCTAAAGGACGACGACATTCCCTCCGAGGGCTGGCTCGCGGTCGATGCCCTGGACGATTTTGGTGGGCCCACGATGATCTGCACCCCCGATCCGCTGCTGGTGCTGACGTCGTCCGAGACCAGCGACAAGGCCGTCTTCAAGGCCTACCCGGCCTCGATCCCGCTGCAGGAACTCGAGCCCGCCGATGTGGCTCAGGTCCAAGTCGCTGTCAAACTCCCAAACTCGGACCGGTACTCGATCAAGTCGGCCTTTGAGAAGTATCTGACTGTCGACAAGTTTGGCGTCGTGACCTTTGGCAGCTCGGCCGTCGGTCCCACGGAAGAGTGGGAGGTGATCGTCAAGGACGACGGCGTGGCCTTCAAGAGCCGGTTCGATCGGTATCTGACTCTGGATCAAGAGACTCTGGCTCTCCGGGCCGACTCGGAGTCGCTTGGATTCCGGGAGACCTTCCAAGTGCGCGGGCAAGCTCAGTATCGCCGTCAGCATCGCAAGAAGCGCAAGTCCGACGCCGTCGTGGATGTTGAGCATCTTGAGAGGGATCATCTGTAAGCCACTGGTGCGGGGGGAAGAGCACGGCCGTAAGATCCTGGAACTGAAGTTGGCAATGGATGCGTTGCTGATGACGGGGCGGATCTGTCTCGACGATCGCTGCTGCAGCACTCTGCGATCTGCTGGTTGGTGCAGACGGTTATTTGGCAGCGTCATCCACGCCGTGTACTCATGCACTCTTTGTGCTCTTCGTCTCAACACCATCGGCCGATGCTCCGGCACACACTCCTCCATCTGCTCTCTGGTACTACCTTCAACGTCGCTAGCAAAAAGTACCAGAGCTGGGGTGGAGGCCGAGTCGCAGCCGGTTCCTCAGGATCGTCGAGCGAGCTCAAGCACGCCCAGAAGGCCGGCAATCTGAACGAAGCACTGCTGGATCGACGTGTGAAGATCAAGAGCGACAAGTTCTGCAAATAGGCGGTCGGCGCGGGTGCAGCCAGCAATTGCTTGAGCAGACCCATGAGGCAACTGCGATTCGGAAATGAACATGGGGTCTCAAACATCTTTGGATGGAGAAGTCGATGGACGGACGCGCTCCATGAATGGTATTACATCTCCTGCGAACTATCACTATCAATTTTTTCCGGCCCCCTCGCGGCTGCTCATCTCGGTCACCTGAAAGTCACGTTGTATGTGGAGCAGCAAAAGTTGGAATCCGGCCATGGTCGGTTGACGGCATTTGGTATCACCTTGAGCCGATTGACGGTGGTGGGTACCAGACAGTGTTGGTTCATTTGGTTTCATTCATTTATTTACGCTTTTGGTCGCCCACTTCCTACCTCGGTCGTCGTCCTGATCGATCGTCGGAATCTGGTTCATCATGTCCAAATGCAGATCGGCGATGGGAAGAGGTGGTCAGATTCCAGCAATATGGGCAAACTGATCAGCGGCACAATCAACGGAACTTACCATTTCCAGCAAACCTGATAGCCAGCCAAACAGGGAGGGAAACAAGGGTGTGGGGATGAGGAAGTGGTTCTCATAAGCTGATTTGCAGTGATAACGGTCTGGAAGCCATGTGATCGAATAGTCGTCCTCCACATACCTCATTTCGTCCATCGTGGGCTGGTTGGTGCAGTCGGGACCTATAGTGAGCCCTGCTGCTTTATCGGTCAGCCGTGGGTGGCAGCTCATCGTATCTCATTGTGCAATCGACAAAGCCATGAATACCTCACCAGCAGTATTGGTCAAGCTGGTTTCGGCAATGGAAGAGTTGTGTGCTTCATTGCGATGGACTGGTGCTTGTTGGATCGTCTCGGGGGACTGATGTTGAGCAATATCCCGAGCGACGGGCGACTATTTATCTCTCGTCTCTTGATGCCTCTCTCGCTCTCTCGTTCCCCCGCTTCCTCGTCCTCTCGCCCTCGCCGTCTGAATCTCTCTGGTTGGAAACCTAGTCAAGCGTGGCTGTGTGTCAGCGAAATGACATGATCGTTTGGCTATCAGGCAAGACTCACCTTGACAAGATGTCTTCCCACGACTGATTGAGCGAGCGATGCGTTTCTGGATCTGAATCAAGAACGCTTCTGCGAGCAGTAGCGCCTGTCCAAAATGCGCTGGTTTTGAGGAGATTCTTTCTTCCCCAAGGGCAGAACCAGCCATCGTCGCTATTTTCTCGCCAGATGGCTCCCCGCAAGAGAAAGACACCACCCAGGCGACCAAGTGGATCCAGAGCACCCACAAGAACCTTGGTCTGCAGCAATGGATGAGCACCACACCGAGCCCCAAGATCCCCGGGATGGATCCCTTCCTGTTATACATTCGCCATGTGTTCGATGGAGACATGCTGGACAAACAGCTGTACTTCAGCCTGACCCGGCGACGGCGATTCAAGCGACTCGATCTCCACGGCAAGCGACAGCGCACTGTCCACGAGATGTGCAAGCAAGTCATCGACCAGGCACCAAGGGAGACCGAAGTGGTGATTGCCTTTGGGAATGCATCCTGGAAACAGGGGAAGGGATATGCATCCAGTCCCAGGAGACTCAGGTTCGCCAAGTACTTTGAGCAATTCCACCACCACCAGAGACGACCACCAGACCCATCCGTCTCCAAGATCCGTGTGTGCTCGGTGAACGAGTTCAACACATCCCAGGTGTGCTCACATTGCCGGGAATTCAAGCGACTTGAGTCACCCGAGTATCTTGATGTCGAGAAACCACACTTTGTCCGGAGCTGTACAAGCTGCCATACGCTGTGGGATCGAGACATCAATGCCTCAAGGAACATGATCTCGGTATGCCAGTCGATCATCGCCACAGGAGATCGGCCGGGTGTATTCAAGACTGTGCTCCCGAAACCAACCAAAACCACTCGATTGCCAACGAAGACAGGAGTGCAATGCCATGGCCTGCCCACTGGGCCTACAAGTCAGTCAGCGGGCATCTGAAGCCAGAAAGGGGAAGTGTCCCGTTTCTTTCTGGATAGACTGTAAGCATCTCGCACTGTTCCTTGAGTATTTCGACAGTGGATGCCGGGTCGCCCATATTCTGGGCAGTCCACTTCGGGGTTGCCATCCCTCTTGGGATGGTCGATGGGAGGTGTTTGACTCCCTTGTGCAAAGTGTGTGTGTGCACAGTGTGTGTGTGTGTGTGTGTGTGTGTGTGTGTGTGACGGCGAGAGGCTTCTCGCCTTCCCTCGGGGGTCTCTCGCCAGAGACTGCTCTTCTCGCCGACCGAGGTGGCTCCGAGAGCGCGTTTTGTCGTTCTCGCTGATTTTTTTAACAAAAATTTTTTTCATAGTGTATATTCAGGTTCCAGAAAAAATCCTGTGCTGGTTAAAAACGGGGGTAGTCCCATTTCATTTTGGAAACGCTGTAATCCATGGACCCAGGCCAGGTCTACGAGTCCAGTATGCGGTATACGAGCCCAGTGTGGGGCCTGCTGACTCAGTATGTGGTGTGCAGTCACAGGCATCGTGGGCGAGCCGCCAAGAGAGATGGCGGTGTGACTTTTGCAATGACTCCGAGTCTACAGAACAGGCATCGGCCGGAAGCAAAACACGTCTTCAGCCCCACCCCCCCCCTCATTGCCCCGGTCAAAGAGTACATTCAGACTTCTCCCTTCAGGACGTTGCGCAGACCCGAGCGAGAGGCAGTCTTGCTGGCCCACTGGACCATATACAATGTGCTGAAGATGAACTGGATCGCGCTCATGAAGGTCATGGCCCAGAAGATGAAGGTCAGGAAGGGATTAACCTGCGCTGCGACTTGGTTCGGGAAGACCGCTCCGATGAACGACCTGTTGGTGAAGAGGCCGACGAGGATGCCGTTGCAGACGAGCCACAAAAGCACAACTCGGGTACGGAACAGCTTGAAAAAGTCGTCCTGTTGGGTCTTGACGTCCTGCTTTGCAGGTGCCTCTTCTTCCTTGTTCTTCTGGCGCTCCAATTCCTGATGGAAACGCCGCAGTTGGGTTTCAAGATCCTCCTTCTCATCAGGAATATCGACAGTAGCCACTTGCTTGCCGTCGGCGCCCTTAGTAGCCTTGACCGCATCGCCGGCGGAGCTGGCAACGTTGTCACCCTTGGTACCCCACGAGACGTCGTGCAGGTTGGTGACTGGACGTGAGAGAGCAGGGCGGATGAGAGACAACACCAGATACACCAGATACACCAGATACACCAGATACACCAGATACACCAGATACACCAGATACACCAGATACACCAGACACGCCACAGATGTCGCAGAGTCTGCTCATCAAGGTACAGACGAGGCACAAAGAACTTACATGCATAGATCGTGAAGATGTTGATGTACATGGGGAGGAGCAGAACGTACTGCACCATCGAGGTGACGCAGTGCCAGGGGTCCAGGTGGATGACGGACGTGGCAATGTATAGGCCGTAGGTCGAAACGAGCGAAGTGACCATGTCGCGGAAGGTCTTGTTGGTGAAGAAGTAGCTGAATGAGTTGAATGACTGGTTGGCCTTGATGGCCGCCGTCTGGGCTGCTTCCATATCGCGGATCGCCACATAGATGCACCACCCGCTGTTGACGAGCATCATGATCATGATGACGGTGAAGATCAGGACACAGGACCAGTACAGCCACTTGCTGCCTTGGGGACGGTTGCCGAGGGCCGAGATGAAGATCATGGAGATGACGCCGACGTAAACGGCGTTGACGACCGAGAAAACGACGCTTCCATATGGGTAGTACAGATCGTACCCCTTGAGACCGGGCGGATCGAGGCCGTTGCCAGTGGACTGGCCGTTGGCGACATCAAAGATAAAGTAAAAGGCGAGGTAGAAGGTGCCGAGGGAGAACCAAGAAAACAGCAAGTTGACGGCGTTGTAGAACGCCTGGACGTACAACGCTATCTTGCGGCCTTGGTTGTGCCCCGAGTCTCCAATGTGGTAAAAGTTCTGGAGGGCGTGGACGGCAGCAAAGAAGGAGCCGTTGAGCCAGCGACGGCGCTGCGAGATCAGCTCGGGCAGGTCCGTGGGCACGTCCGTCTCGGCCTTGGCAGATTTCACATACTCCAGCAGCCATCGCTCATTCTTTTTGGTGACCAGCTCGAAGCACAGAATACGATCCTCGGCAAGGTACATGTTGGCCGAGAAAATATCGGCGACTTCGCCCGTGGTTTCGCCCTTGAAGTAGCAGTCCAGGGGTTTGCCTTCGATGGCGCGGTAACGGTAGGCCGAGAAGGCGCCTGGCAGCACCGAGATGTAGCCAAAGACAGACTCCATTGGTTTCTGCAGAATGTTGGACATCTTGTACTCAAAGTTCTGGGTGGCGACCAGGGGGTTGAGCAGGTTCTTCATCCAGGGGCCGAGCTCGGCGGCGATTTCACCACAGGCTCCGCCAACCTGCTCGTTGCGCAAGAATGCATTGTACAGATGGTAGAACGACTGGCGAGTGGGGCGCGTTCCAATGTCGAGCAAGACGCAGATTTCCGGATCGAGGATCTTGCAAATGCCGTTGAAGAACCAGCGGTGCGAGTTGATCTTCTTGGCGTTCTTCTCCTTGAGCAGGAAGATGGTCTGGACCGGGACCATTTCATCGCAGTATTCCATATCAGTGTTGATACAGCGCTGGCAAGTGCCCTCAAACATGTGCGCGGCAACGTCTGTGCCGTTGACGGAGCTCTTGGTCAGACCCTCCATGTACAGTCCCATGGAGCCCAGCACGTTGATGACCTCGGAGCTAATCTTGGTGCGGCCGTCCGAGACGATGCAGAGGACAATGTCCTTCCAGCCGTCAGGGCCGAGGCCACCTCCGGGACAGTCGCTGCTGCACAGATAGGCGATGTTCCGGAAGACGGCTTCGATGGATCGACAGAAGGCAACGTCGTCTTCGTTGTACCTGAGGTAGGCAGCCGTGATCTGGTATTAGATTGACGAGGCACACGGGCTGGCTGCCGCGTCCTGGCAGGCAACGATGGCAAGGGCGTAGTTGTCGTCCGTGCATGGGGTCCGATGAATACGCAGGCGCTTACATGGTGGCCACCACGGCGATCTTTGTGCTTCTGCCAAGTCGCCGCACTTGCAGATCGTACTTGTCCGAGAAGTTGTTTGGGTCGCCGACGATGGCGCTGTACCTATTTGGTATGGGAGACCATATTCCAGGTGGGTGGCGGGGATCGAGGGATGTGATCGAAAGATGAGTCAGGTGGCATGTTTGGGTAAGGATCCAGACATGCTCGAAGAGGGGGGGGATCGGAGGACTTGCGCGGATGCCATCCAGATCATAGCAGGCCCTGCCAAGAGGAACCCCAGGGTCACGAGCTAGAGGGACCAGGGATACATGCGCGAAGAGATGCTCGATCTTGACAGCCCAGCCTCGACGACAATCCAGCGGTCGTACCTTAGCTTGGTAAACTCATCGCCAGAAGTGATGGGACAATTGTTGATGTGGGCACTGGCCAGCGGGACCTGGACGACAAAGGTACCGTTGGCCTGGAGGGGCACGGTTCGGACGGTCTTCTGGCGGGTATAGCGGTTGGCCAAGGGAAGGCCGCCGGGAGCATAGGAGGTGGAGGCGCTCTGGTTCGCCTTATCCTCGAAGCGCTGGTACCCGGGGGATGCCATCTGGATGAGCGACGGAGGGGAGCGAGTTCGAGATGGAGACTGGTGCTTGGGGACAGCCGAGCGACAGATTGGAAGGGCAGGGAGGATCGGGATCGTTAACCAGATTGGCGAATGGTCGGCAATAAATAGCGGGCCCAGGAAAGCGAGCGACAGCCGCAGACCCGAGGAAGCGGCTGGTGGCGATCTGGGAGGTCGGACGGGTGGCAGGCCTGGATGGACGGAACGGGCCCAACCCGGGACGGCTCCCGACAGCAGCAGTGGCGGTGAAGGGCGGCGTGGCTTGGCTTGGCAGACGCGCCCACAGCCTCGCCACAGTCCTGGCGGCCATGAGAGCGCCAGAGTTGCGGCGGGGGACGGCGGAGCGGGAGGGAGGACGAGGACGCCGAGCAGAGACAGCGGGGGAGCGGGGGATGCATTGCTCGGCGAGGCATGGCCAGAGGGATGCAGCAGACGAGGCAGATGCAGATGGGATAGACCGATGGGATATACAGATGAACCAGAGTAGCAGGTCGAGTGAGGCAGACGAGACAGTGGAGCCGTCCCCGCAACGCCGGCCGTCACCGCCCCCGATCACCACCCAGCACTGCGTCGGCTGCCTTGTCTTGTGGTCGGCGGGTATCCATACAACGCGAGGCCCTGATGAAACACTGTGACCAGCGAGGGCCGGCGAGAACAGGGCGAGAGCGGCCCCGGGGTGCAGTCGCGGTGAAACCAAGAGAGCGAGACCCGGGCGAGAGGACGCACAGAGACTGCACGCACAGCATATCCGAGGAGCACACACACACACAGCACATCCGCCACAGACACAATGCAGCCGCAGCGCGTCTGCCATGGCACACACACACACGCGCATGTGGCGCCGTTCTCGCCCAGGGCTCTCGCTGCCCTCTCGCCGCCCTCTCGCCGCGCTCTCGCTCTCGCTCTTGGCCTGCACAGCCACCGCTGCTTTCTCCCCGGATCTTCCGATCGCCCCTCGCCTTTTTATCGGCTTCGGCTGGGTCCGCCCTCCTCGTCCTGCATCTTCCCCATCTGCTTCTGCTCTCAGCGTATAAAGTCCTTCCCTGGCCGACGGGTCTTGGTCCCAGCACATTTCATCTCCTCCATCCACCATGTCCAACCTCGGCGGCAGCGGCAGCGGCTACCACCCTATCAACAAGCAGGGCGCTCCTGCCTTCCCTGATCCTGCCAACTATGGCTCCCAGCAGCAGCAGCAGCAGCAGCAGCAGCCCGCTCAGCAGTCCGCCTATCCCGGGCCCCAGAGCTACGGCGGCCGCCCTGCTTCATCCTTGATCAACACCCCCTCCACAGGCTCGAAATACTACCAGCCGCCTCCGGGTCCGGCCATCCCCATCCCGTCGTCGACTGGCGCCTCCAGTGCCGCCTTCCCAGCTCCCGCCCCGGCGCCTGCTGCGGGACAGGCCCAGCCTTACTACTCGCCCCCCGCCCAGCCCTCAGCGGGCTCCTTCGCCCCGGCCAGCAAGTACGCTCCCCCTTCGCAGCCAACCCCCAACTCGTACTTTGTTCCCATCGCAAGTACTCCCTCACAGCAGTCGTATGCAGCTGCCCCGCCCGGCCAGCTCTTTGCCCGCAAGGCGACTCGCAAGGAAGTTCCGCTGCAGCAAAACGGCACCTTCGTCGTCGAGGTGCCTCTGCCCACGAGCCACATCGAAAACTGCACTTACAAGACCGAGGAGTTCACCAAGATCAGGTGAGCCCGCGCTGCGTTGCCAGCATTCAGCTTTGCCGATTCAACGGTGGCAACCACACGATCCACAAAGCCAAACTGCCAGACAGAGTTCCCGCGATCCACTGTTCTGCCGGAGGATTGGTATCCCACCCTGCGCTTCGTAACACTTGCTGCGCTCCTTCCCTCTGACAGATACACCGCTGCCACCACCGACCCCAACGCCTTTGCTGACAAGTATACGCTGATGCCGCGAATCCTCCGCCGCAACGTCAAGATGGCTATCGTGGCTACGATGTATGTGCCTTTCCGGACTGCACTCCTGCCTCCCTGGCGCCGCCGCCATCTGTTGTTCTCGGGCTGCACGGAGCTCAGATGCTTCCTGTATGTCGGCCACCTGTCCTGACCTTGTCCTTGGTTGCACCGGCGCCGCTCCTACAGGTACAACGAAGACGACGAGCTTTTCTGCAAGTCCGTCTTTGCTGTCTTCCAGAACATTGCCTACCTCTGCAGCAACGAGTGCCCCGGTGGCCTCGGTCCTGATGGCTGGAAGGACATTGTCCTCTGCATCGTCTCGGACGGCCGCACCAAGATCAACAAGCGCGTCCTCACCGTTCTCGGTTGCATGGGTCTTTACCTGGAGGGTCTGACCAAGAGCTCCGTCAACGGCGAGGAGGTCTCCGCCCACATCTTCGAGTCCATCTGCCAGCGTGCTGTCGACCATAGCCTGGACTTCCACGACGATATGGTCCCAGTCCAGACCATCTTCCTGCTCAAGGAGAAGAACGCCAAGAAGATCAACTCGCACCGCTGGTTCTTCAACGCTGTGTGCAAGGTCATCGATCCCGAGGTCTGCATTCTCCTGGATATCGGCACCAAGCCCACCCGCCAGTCGTTCTTCCACCTCTACCGCGCCTTTGCTGACAACGAGCATATCGGCGGAGCCTGTGGTGAAATCGCCGCCGAGCTCGGTCCCTGGATGAAGAACCTGCTCAACCCCCTGGTCGCCACCCAGAACTTTGAGTACAAGATGTCCAACATCTTGGACAAGCCGCTCGAGTCCGTCTTTGGCTACATCTCGGTGCTGCCAGGTGCCTTCTCGGCCTACCGCTTCAAGGCTCTTGAAGGCAAGCCTTTGGAGTGCTACTTCAAGGGCGAGACCATGCACGGCGGTGCCGATATTTTCTCAGCCAACATGTACCTTGCCGAAGATCGTATTCTGTGCTTCGAGCTGGTCACCAAGAAAAACGAGCGATGGCTGCTCAAGTACGTCAAGTCAGCCAAGGCCGAGACCGACGTCCCGGATCAGCTTCCAGAACTGATCTCGCAGCGCCGTCGCTGGCTCAACGGCTCCTTCTTTGCTGCCGTCCACGCCCTCCAGCACTTTTACCACATCGGCAACTCAGGCCACAGCCAGGGTCGCAAGATGGCGCTGTACGTCCAGGCATTCTACAACGCCATCAACCTGCTGTTTTCTTGGTTCTCCCTCGGCACCTTCTACCTGTCTTTCTACTTTGTCTTTGACGTCGCCAAGGGTAGCTCCGATGACACTGGCGCCGAGCCCTCGAACCTGCAGGGTATTGATCTGTACTACCCTTACGGCAACGTCGTTTTCTCGGTCGTCAACGCCGTTTACGTCGGCGTCATCTCCATGATCTTCATCTCGGCCCTCGGCAACCGTCCCCAAGGCAGCAAGTGGCTGTACTGGTCCTGTGTCCTGATCTTCACCGTCATCATGATCATGATGCTCGTCAACGGTGGCTGGAGTATCGCCCTTGCCATCCGTGATATGAACAGCTCCATGGTTGATGCCATCAAGTCTGGCAACTCGTTCAGCTCGTTCAACTACTTCTTCACCAACAAGACCTTCCGCGACATGGTCACTTCGCTCGTTGCCACTTACGGCCTCTACTTTGCGTCGTCCGTCATCCACCTGGACCCCTGGCACTGCGTCACCTCGATGGTTCAATATCTGCTGCTGCTCCCCATGTACATCAACATCTTTATGATCTATGCATGTAAGTTCTTTGTGCCTCGTCTGTACCTTGATGAGCAGACTTTGCGACATCTGTGGCGTGTCTGGTGTATCTGGTGTATCTGGTGTATCTGGTGTATCTGGTGTATCTGGTGTATCTGGTGTTGTCTCTCATCCGCCCTGCTCTCTCACGTCCAGTCACCAACCTGCACGACGTCTCGTGGGGTACCAAGGGTGACAACACTGTCAGCTCCGCCGGCGATGCTGTCCAAGCCACCAAGGGCGCCGACGGCAAGCAGGTGGCCACCGTCGATATTCCTGACGAGAAAGAAGATGTCAACGAGCAGTTCCGCCACTTCCAGCAGCAGCTCGAGCGCCAGAAGAACAAGGAGGAGGAGGCCCCCAAGAAGCAGGATGCCAAGACCCAGCAGGACGACTTTTTCAAGCTGTTCCGTACCCGAGTTGTGCTGCTGTGGCTCGTCTGCAACGGCATCCTCGTCGGCCTCTTCACCAACAAGTCCTTCCTGATGGCTGTTTTCCCGAACCAGACCCAGCAGCTGGTCAACCCCTTCCTCACCTTCATCTTCTGGAGTGTAGCTATCCTCAGTGCCGTTCGCTTCATCTTCAGTACCCTCTATATTGTCCAGTGGGCCAGCTCCACAGCCACTAAGGCGGGCCTGCGCAACCCGCTCAAGGGCGAGTTCTAAGCGTGGCGCCAGCTTTACCCTCTCGGACTAAATCGCCGGATTGCTTCCCCTTGCGCTGAGCAACGCCTTCATCATTGTTTGGCTGGAGACACCAGCTTCTCGCTTCGCGCTGCCTGTACTTTCTCCTTCACCGATCCCCAGGCATACTGTGTTGTTGCATCCCGCCGCCCGTGCTTTCTGCAAAGCCATCGATCGATCCCACCCGGCCTGCTCTCTCTCTCTCTTTCTCCTTTCCCAGATGGCACGCCTGCAGACTTGTTTCGTCGGCATCCACGCATCGGCAATGCAAATACATATGTGATATGCACATGATGTTCATTCTGCAACTGCGACTGCGACTCGAGAGGCGACCTGGCTGATGCGGCATACTTGGGGGGCCTGTGTGAGGTGGTCTTTGTCTCCCATTTGCTGCTCGTCACTCACTCATCCACAGCCATGAGATGACGGACGCCCAGCACATGCTGCCGACCACCCACCACACGATCGTTGTCGCATCGACTGTTCTCGCGGTTCGTGCCGGCGCTGCCTTCGACGTCGCCACGAGCTGAAAGACCTGGCCAGATTGATAGGCGCTCACGGCCGCGGAAATCAGCTCCCCGTTGATGTTGCTGGACGAGTTATAGTAGTCCTCGGACAGCTCCCAAGCAAAGATACCCCCGAGCTTCCAGTAGCGCGCAAACTGTGCCTTGGCAGTGACAGACTGCACATCGTCGTAGTTGATGAACACCTTGGAGGTTGGGTTGATGAGGGTCGGGACCTGTGGATGCCGGGATGAGAGAATGTGCCAACAGCCGGATGATCCGGCAGAGAACCCGACGAATACTCAACAGATAGCCCTCTCCCTCTCCCAGCACAGAGGTCGCTGCATACCCCACAACTCACCATGACCGAGTTGTGGAAGGTGCGGATCCAACCCGAGTTGGGCACCGTCTGCGTCGGGGTCTGGAGCACCCCCATAGACCGCAGCCCGCGCCAGCTCCAGTCGCCCGAGTATCCCGGTGGGTTGCAGCCGTCGAAGGCGGCGTTGTCGAGCATGTCGCCCTTGATTGTAGTGCATGCGCCCGAGGCCGGATCGGATGCATTGGTCAAGGGACATGTCTGAAAGACGCCATCAGGATGCGCGGCATCGATGTTGATCGGATAGAACGAGTGCCCGTTGAACTCTAGACCAAGTCGGAGCTGGCTTGGGTTGATCCCAAGCACGTTGACGTAGTTGTTGAGAGTGTCGTTGATCGATATGATCTTGAGGGGGTCGTTTGCAGAGGGAAACAGGGGCGTGTTGTAGCCCGTGTGCGAGTTCCAGTTGCCAGAGTAATCGTAGGTCATCACTGCATTATTGAAACCATGGATCACAGAATGAAAGCGTCGGTGAGAATGAAGGGAGCGAAGCAGCAGCAGCACAGAAGTAGTGATCATGTCCTTTGTTCAGCAAGCGATCCTCGAGACCCTCCCATGGCACGCATGCCATCACTGGGCATGGAGCACAGGTCGCAGCGGCGTTTTGATCGACACTATACCGTAGCCTGAACAAGAGACACCTACCGTTGATGTACGAGAGGTAGCGAGCCCAGATCGGCAGCCAGTTGGTCCCGTTGACATCTGAGTATACCTTGATGGTCGCTCCGGCTGCGATCGAGATGGTTCGGTTTCCAAGCCGGTCGCGAAGCAGTTTGAGCGTTGTGTTGAAGTTTTGAAAGTCGTGGATGCTCTTGCTATTGCATCCGTTGCCCGAGGCGTCTGGATACCTGCAGAGCACATTTCATAGCACAAGAGTTTTTGGGCTTCTGGATGAGTACAACGAATGGGCTCGAACTGGCCATGGCACAATGAGCAGCGGCTGGTATCGGTTTCTCCTGACTGCAGGCGTGCGACGATAGAAACCAAGCACAGCAGCGAGCAGAGGTCGTCCGTTTGCCGTTCATGACCAGGGCAAGTACACACGACTTACTCCCAGTCTTGAAAATGTGAAAGAGGACAGAGAGAGGGAGGGCGGAAGGTCGTCAGCAAGAGCGATCACAGCTGCGTCCTCTGTGCGCTGGTGCCATTCGAAAACCAGCTCTCCGTCAGCGTTGCCGTACCAATATCGATTCCATCAAATGCATACGAGCTGTTGATGAGAGTCGACACCACCGAGCTGACAAAGTTCTGCCGCCCGGCATCCGTCGAGAAAGCTTGGCTGAATTGAGTGGAGTTGGTCCACCCTGCGGTACGAGTTATGTGAGTACAATGTGCTGCCACTGCTACTGTTGCTGATCGTCGTGCCTGTGACCACATCCGATACACTCCGCCATTGCGATGCGGTGTTACCTCCGATGGATGCACTGAGCAACCAGAGTCCCGGATGCGTCGTCGTTGGTTTGGTTCCGCCGAGCAAGTAATTTTTGGATTGATAGAATGAGATGAGCAGGCCGTCGGAGCTACTTTCAGCTGACCGGTCTCTCTCTGGTTCCATGTGGAGCTTTCGCGACAGCAGTCGCTATACAGGAAGCACGGCGCTGCTCATTCCTTTGCGCCAGCGGATTGCTCGCTCGCTCACATTGTGGTGAATCCATAAACACTCTTGAGCTGATTGAGCTTGGGGATGTTGATGTCATCGTTGGCCTTGAGTGTGGGAATGACGCTGCCGTTGGCGCTGACAGTGAAGAAGGCTGGTATGCCAGGCAGGCTCCCTCAGTCAATCTGCCTCGGGCTCAACCCGACTAGGATTTGGCGCAAGGGGGAGAGGAGCCATATTTACCATAGAGTATTTGGCTGATGTTATTGTAGTTGAGGGTGCTAATGTCAATGTTGTTTTGGTTCGCCCAGTTCGGAACGTATGCTGCTATGTCGGCCGACACCAGGCTTGCCCAAAGGACCTGCACGACCAGCAGCGCTATCAGCGGAACGCTCTTCATTGTGCCAAGAGAGGGAGGGAGAAGGAGAAATGAAATTGATTTGGAGGAGAAAGAGCCGGGTCCGGGTTGGCTTTCCTCGCCAGATGTCGGGAGTAGGCGTTTTTATGGAAGCCAACTGGTTTCTGAGCATCGGATGTGGTACCATTTGGCCATTCTTTCCATCAACAACGGGCTGACGGAGGATCATTGTCAAGCGTCGGGGAACATATGGTGTGATCCGGTTCGTTTTCAGCATGGCAAACCGACACATCGCACGCGGTGCATCCGGTATTTTACAGGCGATCCAATATAAAACGGGACACCCGGGATTTTGACCATTCATCGAATATTTTGTTACCCAATGTTATCGCGCGCTGGCCATGACCATTCGCCAGACGGTGTGGAATCGCGACGTCAACGCGGCGCGCAACATGATCACAGTATGCAGGTCGATTGTGGAGATCGGAGAGCGACCGGCGGTCTTCACTCGGAGGCTGCCAAAGTGATCTGATCTATTTATTGTGGCTTTGCTTGACGCATGCCATCACATACTACATGTTCATGGAAACGGCTGTGGTGTCCCGTTTTTTTCTGAATATAGTGTAGAACCTTGTACTCAAGTGCTGTCGCTGGGTGGGCTTGTGTCCCCCCACAAGCGAACCCGGTAGATACGAAAGCCATCCCGAAACATGAAACGGAATACCATACTTTTCTACTATATTAGGGGGAAGGGTGAGTGGGTAGAAATATGCACACCCGTCATCTACAAGTACTATCCACATCCTGGAGGCATGGGTCATCGGGAACTACTTTCGATTGACGCTTCCGTACTCGCCATCGAATTTGATGTACAAATCGAGGTCCTTGTCGGAGACGGAGGCGCGGACCTGGGTCAGGGCTTCGACAAAATCGCAATACATGATCGGCCGAACATCGCTTGCGTTGATATTGCGGATGTCTTTGATGTCTCGGATGGGCCCTAGTATCAGCGGAAGAGACTCATGTCAGCTCACCCACTGTCGATAAATGCATTTGGCTCGCAAACATGGGCTCGCTGTGCATCCAGTCACGTACCGAGGGCCGCCTCACGAACCAAGCCGTCCATGTCCGATCCACTATAGCCTAAGCACGACAAAAGCGTCGGGAGAATCACGCTGGTTAGCTTCATGCATGTCCGTGCGTATCTGGAATTGCCTATGGCCCGGCGTGATGCACCAAGTGCTCCGTCCGGGCGGGCTATCCGTACCATCGGTTTTGGTGACGATCGTGCAAATCTCTTCCTCCGAGAGCTGGTGTGTTTGCTTCTTGAGTAGATTCTCGACGATACATCGTCTGGCATCTGCCTCTGGGAGCGGGATGTACCTGATGTCGTCATAGCGAAGCGCACGTTCGGTTAGAGGTGTCCGGCGGCAATCTACCGCGACTCGGATGTGACTTTTGTCCCGTTGGAGCTTACAGCTTCTTTCGAAAGCGTCTTCGTGCCGCTTCGTCGATCTCCTGGGGCCGATTCGTTGCTCCTGGATTCAACAGATGCTGTCTTATGAGTCTCCAAAGCTATCAGCACTGCTTGATGACGGATATCGGCCATGGGAATGCACAGATTGAATCGAGCGCAAGCTGCCCACCGATCATAAGGATGCGGTCCTCGGCACTTGTACCGCATCCATCGAATTGAATCTGGGTCGCAGGAGTGGATGCGGTCGTAGTCAGCATCGTGCCAACAGTCGGGGGCACACACCCTTGGCCGCCCTGGCCAATGGCAGCGGGCCGCGACTCACCAGAAACTCCGTCTTGATCCTTCGTGTGGCCTCGACCTCGCCATCCGTGCGTTGGGTCAAAAGCGAGTCGATTTCGTCAACGAAGATCACGCTCGGCTGGTGAACCCGGGCCACCGCAAACAGCGCCCGGACCATCTTTTCGCCTTCGCCAATCTGATCCGCAATGAAAGCAGTCGATCATGGCACGTTAGCAGATCCGCCAGTCTCACTCCGAACGGCTGTGCACAAAGCAAGCGGTCGTAGACATACCCATTTTGATGTGAGGGACGATGAGCTGATGCTGAAGAATGTTGCCCCAGACTGGCTCGCGATGCACTTCCCTATCAGAGTTTTGCCTGTGGTGCGCAGGGCGGTTAGAACCCCAGCTGAAGCAACCCCCCGGCTCGTGTAGGTTGGCTTGATGGAGACATACCCGTTCCTGCGTTGCATAGAGAGAGCAAGGATCAGTTAAACATAGAGTCTTGATGATCCCTAATGCCATCGTCTACTTACCTGGTGGTCCAAACAGGAGCAATCCTTGATGTGAACACAAGAAGAAGCAAGTCAGAAACGATGCTTGTCCCAGCCACGACCAAGTGAATGCTTGATTTCACCCGACAAGTCTCCGGCGGCCTACCCTTCGGTGGCCCGCGCAGTCCCGTGAAGATATCTGGACGCAGCATGGGCCAAACAACGATTTCTTTGATGGTGTTCTTGGCGTGCTCAAGGCCGGCAATGTCGTCCCTAGGGAAACACCACAGACAAACGGCGTCAATCGAAGATATGCAAATGCCCGATCCAGTCGCAACAACATCCAGGCCATCAATGGCACGCACAACATCGACAGCGAGTGCAGCACCAGCACCAGCACCAGCACCAGCACCAGCACCAGCACCAGCACCAGCACTAGCACCAGCACCAGCACCAGCACCAGCACCAGCACCAGCACCAGCACCAGCACCAACTTACCAGTCTATGCCGGGAGTTTGGTCCATGATCTCGTTCATGATCATCTCGATCATACGCGGCTCAATGTTCCTGAGACGCTCATCGATGAGCTCCTCCTCCTGGTCTACCAGTGCCGAGCCAGGACCAGATCCGGATCCAGATCCGGATCGAGACACAGGTCCGGGCCGGACGGCCATCGGCTTTGCGTTCCTTTGTTGTCCGCGCATGGTCCTGCGTTGCGGCGTGGTGTCCATACATGTATGATATTAGCTCATTTCATGATCTCGGCTCAGAAGCAAGCGCAGCTGTGCTCTCCCGACTGGGGGTGTCATACCCGTACGAGTCCTCCTCATCCCGCTGGTCTTTGCTCGACATCAGGGGCGGGACAAACTTGCCGATGCCTCGCTTCATGGTGGTGCCGAGGCTCCGCTTCTTGTTGGCTGTGATGCTATTGGCGGCCTGGGCTGCCCCTGACCGGCCGTTCTTTTTCTGGCTGTCCTGGACCAGTTTCTGATAGCCACTTACGAAGCCATTTCCTGAGGCGCCCGCACCTTCGTCGTCCGAAGCGGGTTCCGCTTGACGCTGAGCAGCGATACAGAGTGGTTAGGGCCATAGCTGGATGGCTGCGGCGGAGCGCACTTGCACTGCTGCCCTTCCATTTGCAGGTCCTGGGCATATTGGTCAACCAAGAGCCTACCTTGCGATTCCGCCCAAAGGTGCTTTCTCTTATATCCGACGGCTCTGTTTCCACGGCCATTCTCCGAGGCGGCACGGAGCCCATCTGGTTCGGATACGACCTTTCGACCCTGGAGCCCTCTCGCTGGCTGTAGGGCTTGTGGGAATACGCCCCCGGCGGCGGAGAGGTGAGTCGGTCAGGTATCCTCTGGGGCTGCTGGGGTCCGCGCGATTGGTGGTGACTGAGGAGCGATTGCCGGAAAGTGCGTACGGCCGAGAGGATAATATCAGAAACGGAACATGGGAGCAAGCGGATGGTGGCAGTGAACCGACATGGGAGCTGCCGGATATAATCCAAACAGGCATACCTGCCGAAGCTCGAAGAGTCCCGTCCAGAAGTAGAGCCAGCATATTCGCCCTGGCGGTCGTTGTACTGAGGTGTATACGCCGGGGTGGCATATTCATCCTCGCGGAAGAGCGGCAGACCTCGAATAAACGGCCGTATCGATGGAGGCTCCTGGATGAAGATTGGGTCTGCTTCGATTTTCTGGTGATGGATGAGCAGCGATGTCGCCAGAAGATTTCAGCGAAACACGTTGCCGCAGTGGATGAACTTGGGATGCGGTGCCAGCAGGTCGCAGGATGCTTACCAGGCCTTCGAACTCTTCAATCCCAAGCTTCACTTCGGCTGGTTTGTTTGATACGGCGGGAGTGCCCCACTTTCTGGCTTTCTCTGCGACAATCTCGGTGATCTGGTGTGCGATTGTGCCATCGAGTTGGCTGTTCAGCTGCATCGCCATGATCTGGCTGTACTTTTCCAAAACCTAAGGAGCGGGAAGTGGCAGACAATTCGTCAGCAACCAAGCCAAAGTTGAGAACCTTAGGTCCAGGCCATCGAGACGAGGCAATTCGAGACCAGCCAAAGCCGAGAGCAGAGTTGCTTCGGTCGGCCGGTGGCTCGTTGATAGTTCTGTCGACTGAGCGAACCGATGAACCGAGCCCATGTCTCTGGCCGACCAATCCTCGCCATGATGCAGCGGAAAATCATATCGTGGGCAGGACAGACGACCAGATGCAGGCTCGGCCGGATCGAAGAGACAGACGACCTTCACGAACGCTTCTGGCTCACCCTCGATTCTGCTTGCTCAAGCCCAAGAAGCTGACAGCTTCTCCGGGCGTGCTCCAAGGTTTCGCTTTGATCGGTGGGACGCTGGAGCTGATGGACGACCTCCAGCTTGGCGCAGCCCAGCGTCAGAAGAAGCATCTGCAAGTTCTCGGTCGACTTGTGCAGCGACTTTGTGGTCTGTGGTGACGGGGTGATGTTGGCCGAGCTGTGAAGTCGGTAGAGCCTTGTGAAATCGGCCTCCAACGAGGCGCCGGCGGTTTCGACCATTTCAGCCGGATGGACTGCACTGATGCCACTCGGCGAGTCGCTATGAAGCCTGGTAGGCGAAACAATGCTGGTCTGGTGGTCCAGCGGGTCGGTGCGGCGGAACGGCGCTTGGGCCCGGCGAGATCGGGACAGAGCGAGATGCGAAGCTCATGGTCGCGGGTCGCGCGGCCATTCAAGCGACTCGCCTCAGCACCCACCCGACAAGACGGTTTTGCGGCTGTCTTTGAATGAGAATGCGCCTCCGTTGTCTGCAGCGATCATACGTCCCGCGAAAGCAGGACAGGCAGTATGCACCATTCCTAGTCGACTGAAGCCCCAGCGCTGTCCCGAGCCGTTCCGCCACCAACAGAGGAATGAACATTTCCACCAAAGCAAACTCGACAACAGCGATGTGACAATTGACTGAATCAGCATCCAACCCGACCCATTGACAAACACCGTTCACTGATGGCAGCTCTCTTGTGCAAATGTGATATATGGGCGTCCCGTTTACTTTGAAAGCATTGTTACAAATAGGGCATGACTCATAGAAGCAGATAGTAGACCAAAACGGTGATATGTGCAAGCAGACACAGAGGGGGACGGAGCGCAGAGAGCAGAACAGACAGGCTCGAACAGACAGAATATGGGCGAATCGACAAAAACAGAGAGTTGGGTCCTTGTGGACTGGCGACCAAGCAATGATAGACAGGACAGTGAAGTGAGCCAGTGAGACAGCAGAACCAGGGGATAGATGAGGGATTATGATGATTTGGCTCGTCGGTAGCTTCCCGTCGGAACCATTAAGGTTGGTGGTCTGCGGCACGGGCCGCGACGGAATATTCAGGCGGAACCTCGGACTCGGCAACGGCGTGCTCGAAGCTGGGCAGCCAGTGGCCGGCTTCCTCGCCCAACTCGAGCGGTCGATGCATGGCCATCTCGACCAAGGCGCCGATCTCGGCACTCAGCGGCTCCTTGAAGTTCAGCTCGATTGTTTTGAGTGTGTCAGGAGAGAATGGAAGGATTGTGATGGGGACCTGGTGGAAGACGACCTCGGTTGGAGAGAGCACGATGGTGATCTTGAGAGCGTGGCGGAGGGCGAACTCGGGCAGATCATCGAGCGAGACGTTGGGATTCGCATAGAGATCATCGAGCAGACTGGAACCAGCATTCTGTTTGGGGCTGGACTTGAGTAGCGGGAGGTGGATATCGATCTGGCGGCGGACGTTGGTTGGCCATTTGTCGACCAGGATATTCTTGATGATAACAGAGTTGCTGTCGCTGGAGCCTTCGGTGATGCTCTTGAGCATCGAAAGCACCGAGCGACCACGGCCAGGTTCGGGGATCCTGAGCTCGACAGACTCAACAAGCGAGAAGAACACCCCGACACTGGACTTTTCGGGTTGGGAGGACATCTCCCAGGGGCTGATCTGCAGCGACAACTGGATGCTGTCGCCAGGGAGAAGCTTGGTTCGTTCGACGTCGCAGACAATGTTCATGGATGGGCGCTGGGCGGACCAGCCGTGAGAACCGACCCGGAAGCATGGCTGAGGGGCCAGTGCAACGGCGGCATCGCGGAGTGTGGCTCGCTCGACCCCGGGAACGACAAGGGCGGGCGAGGCGACGGTGCTGCCGTTGGAGTAGTGGACGACGCATGAGAGCTCGTACTGGACAGCAATCTTGAGCGTCGGCAGCGACACCGACGGAGGCAGGGACTCGGCCTCGGCCGGTGTGAGTGCGAGAGAGAAGGGTATCAAAGAGGCCTCGAGGTAAGGCGCAATATCGGAGGCCGACAGGTCGATGTACTTTGAGAGAAGCGATCGGGCGGCGCCCTTGACAAGCACCGTGACGCTGAGCGAGACTCGGATGAATGCGATGCAGGCATGGCTGTTCTTCATGTTTTCGAGGCGGATGGTGCCCGAGAAGCTGGGGCCGATCAAATCCTGGCTGGTGAGAGCAGACTCGCTGGCGGCCTCCGGGAAAGCCGACAGGCCCATGCAACCCGAAACATGCGATGGTGAGCCGATGGGTGGCAAGATCGCGATTCTGTCCTTGGACGACGAACTTCGGAGCTTGATCGGCAGCATTGGGCGAGGTGGATGTGGAGCTCTGCGGTGGCTAGATGGAGGGATGATTGCGAAGACGCTGATGCTGCTGAGAATGGAGCTGTGTGGCGACTGAAGCAGGTACTTGGACGATGCGGGCTATGGTGAGAAACGAACGGGGTCGGCGGCGACTGCTTGGGCATTTATAGCGGCTGCTCGATACGAGGTGGCTGCAGCACACCCGCAATGCAAGATTGGTAATAGACCGAGCAAGCAACCGACAAGCCCGCGACGTCACCGACCCACGACGGACTCTGCGATTGCGTCGGCATGGAGCCTCGGCTGCAAACCCGACGAGACAGGGAGCGGCTGCGGTATCGCTGCATGCTTGCCGAGCAAGGTGGATTCTGCGCACGACACGTCGGTCGGGCAATGCACATCCAAGTGCGGCCACGAGCCCGGCTGTCCCATTGCCCCATCCTATCGGTGCGCATGAAAACTTTGGCCTCACCGTTTTGGCCCCCCCCCCAGCCCGGCGCGATGATTTCCAATCCTGGAGGGGTGTGTGGGTTTGGGGAGGGGGAGAGGGTGTTGGCGGTGGTCGTCCAAGGACCATCCAAGGGTCATCCGACGGCGATCCGATAGCGATCCGATAGCGATCCGATGGCGATCGGGCCTGCATCCGATGGCCCTGTGGTCCCAGCGGGCCGGCCCCGGCATGCGCATCTCGATATCGCGTCCATCGACACTGACACTGACATCGATATCGATACATTGACATCGATATCGTGTGCATCGACACCGGCATTGATGTTCAGAGCGACACCGTAGGCCTGGGCGCACAGTTCCCACGCCTGCGCTGGTGCCGCTGTCACCTCCGTGCGCGCAGCCCTGGCTCGGCCCCTTATCGCAGCGGCCTGGCGCAGCGCTCTTTGTCGCTGGCCAGCCTAAATTTTGCGCCAGGCCCCTTTGGCCACGCCCCCATGGGCCCTTTGGCGAGCAGGGCCTTGCCAGCGGACAAGTGCCGGACCTCTGATATACCTGTCCATGCGTTGTTCCTGTGCTGGGCAGCGTGCCGCTTCATGGTCCCTCCAAGAGTCGCTGCCCTTCTGCAGTCTTCTGCAGTCTTCTCTCTGCCCGGCGGTGCCATGGGTCCGGCGCTGGCTCGGCCAGGGGTTTGGCCAGCGGCCTCCAGAGAACCAGGCCGGCTGTCCTCGGCATGGCTGCCGATGCGCTGTCTCCGGCCATCGTTCCGTTTGCATCTCTTCTGCCTTTGCCTGCGTATATGGTTCATTGGCACATGAGCAGCACCAACCCGTCCACCCCCCAGCCCGATATCCTTCCTTCCTTCCTTCCCTCCCCGGCTCGGTGCTGCCGGCCAGCGCGGATGCGTGTCCTTCGGGTCCGTCTGGTGGTGCTGTCCACTGGCTCTCGGTTCCGCCACCATGGATGACAAATGCTCCCTCGGCCAGTGCGGCCGATGGGGGAGGGGAAGGGAATGGCTTTCCGGCGTTTGCCTGATGTGCTGCAGATTGCTGGGCAACTGGGAGAGGAGTCTCGGGCCAGAGCAATCTGCATCTTCCATCTCCCCGACACCTTTCCCCCGTCTCGGTCTCGCGATTTCCCCAGCTGCGCGGCGTATCGGCCTCTGGCGGCCCGATCTGCGCCGTGACGCAGCGGCCGCTCCCCGATGGGGTTCGGAGGTTGTCGGGTGCGCGACGCGCGAGCACTTCCAGAAGACCAGGACATGTGTTCCTGCACCAGTGGAGGCGGCAATCGAGCGGGCCTCATGGGCACCGCACAGGCCGTTGCGCTGTTGCTCACCTTCCCCCGATGTCGCGGTTATCTCTGGGGGGGGGTATCTCTCTCGCTTTCTGCGGCGGACCATCCCCATTCATCGCTGGCTCTCCGAGATCAGTGCGCATGCCAATTGTGGAGACCGGAGAGCGACCGATGGTCTTCACTCGGAGGCTGCCAAAGTGATCGGTTTATTTCTTATAGCTTAGCGTGACGCAAGCTCATCACATACTACATGTTCATGGAAGCGGGTGTGTTGTCCCGTTTGCGCATGTGTAAAGTGTACTATAATTCATGTATTGATTGCGTCTGGCCAAGGCATCCGGTCACATGCCTGTCATATTGTTGTGATAACGTTAGCGTTCGTCCGTTAGCAATTGGTCCGCTTGGTCTGCGTGCCTGTCCCTGTCCCTCGAGCCTGTCCCTCGAGCCTGTCCCTCGCGTCCTGACAACATCCACCACCATCCCCAAAACTCTGACTTTCACGTTCGCTCCTCCCCTTGGACGGATGCACTGCCCCCACCTTCTGGGGAATCCATAGTTTGATATGCTGGCCCGAGTATCGAGTCTTCCTTGCGAGCTCGCTGGGGTTCTGATTGCAGCGGTGGCAGCGGGAATGAGTTGAGTCGCAGGTTCTCGGTTCGTTCCAGGAGCGAGTCGTGGCGTTGGGGTTGGGTCATGGCTCGGCTTGGGGTTGTCGCCAGCGAAGCTCCAGGAGCAGCACCGCAAGGGGGAATCGATGACTTGCGGTTCAAGAACATCGACTGAGCCTTGGTCGTGAGCTTGCGGGCCCATTCGGATCGTTTTGGCGACTTTGCAAACTGCAGGATGTGGCTCATCCGTCGGGCGTTCTCATCACCACCAGGAGGGACGCCGCCACCGGGGGCCGTCGCAAGTGTCCCTATTTCGTTGCCGCCCGAGGGGACGTGGCTGCAGATGCTGGACTTGTCGTCCATCGAGGAGCTGCCGTGACTGCTGCTGTTGCCGCTGACCATGTCGGTCGTCAGCGCCACCCCGCCGGTGGCGTTTGGCTGGGATGCCTCAACCCACCGCTCGTACCAGTTACGAGTCTCGTTTTCGTGACCGAGTTCTTCGTGAGCACGGCCGAGATTGAAGAACAGGTTTGCAGAGACAGGCTGGCTCGCGAGGCGGAGTGCACGCTCAAAGTACTCGAGTGCCTGACGGTGCTGGTTGCCTTGCATGAGCAGCTCGCCAATGTGCACGCAAATGTTTTCCTCCAGCTTCGGGGTCGCAAAGGAGGCCGCCTCGGGGGTCTGCAAAACGTCCATGGCCTTGTGGAGTGCTTTCAGGCCATCGCTGTGGCTGCCCTTCTTTTGGTGGATGGCGGCTAGGTCGCGGTATGCGCCGATCAGATTCAGCAGCTGGCCGTTCGACTCAAAGTACTCGATAGTCGGGTATATCCACTTCAGAGCCATATCGTAGTCGCCGGCCTCGAAGGAGCTGTGTCCGAATCCGAGATAGAGCGATGCCGTGTGCGGGCCGTCCACGGGCTAGAGGCCAACGAGAAGAATGAGTTCACACAGCTGTCAGCGCATGATTGACAAGATAGCAGCGAAGCAGCCGAGCTAGATGGAGATCAGCAACACCCCTCACCACCCCGGCTTCTCTTGACTTGACACGAGGCATGCGTCTCTCAGTCCACCCCCCCGGCCTCCCTACCATGACTTCGTATTCTTCAGGACGCAAGTCTTCACCTGCCAAAGCGACAAAGGGCGGGCCGTCATGATCGAGGTACCAGTACGTGGTCTACGGAAGCGAGTGAAGCGCCAGAACTGCCAAACAGACTCTGTTTGCTTTGCGACAAGCGGACATCACGGGTCTCATACCTTGCGCCAGGGTCCCTCCCGCAGCAACGAGGTAGTCGCGGCTCTTGAGGTAGCGGCTTTCGGCTGGTAAAACAGGGGTGGGTGGGTAGCATCAGTATCACGCCGCTCACCGATGCACTGAGGCACCATGCATGACAAACGGTGGAGTATAATTTGTCGGTCGAGTGTGTCCGTAAACAAGCACTTTTGCACTCGTGTTCGATAAAATATATCCATCGAGTCCATTGGGTTCCGCTCCGTCTCAAAAGCCACACAAACAGCGCATCCTCGCTGGCTCGAGCGTGAAAAGTCATGTACCTTCGGGGGAGCCCGACAGGGAATCTTCGCGGCCAGCCCGGCGGCTGCCCTTGGTGGGGCTATGCAGCGATAGATCGCTCTTGGCTCGTCCGCGCTTCTTTGGCGGCATGGGTGTGTCCTCGCCGGATCCGTTGGTCTCCATTAGATGCCCGTTGTCCGACAGTCCACCCTCGTCCTGAGAGTCCTGAGGCGATCGTGGGTCGCCTCGCCCGCTCAGAATGATGTGCTGCTCGTTCCGGAGGAGTTGAATCGTCAAGATGAGCGACTCGCGCATCGAGTTGGCTGTGTTGGTGAGTTGCAGATAAATGCCGCTCTGGCCGTCGGGAGCCGAGGAGCTCGGATGGAACACAAAGCATTTAGGCTCCACACGCCCCGAGGAAGTCTTGTGCTCGAGCCAGAAGCTGAATGGGTTGAGCCAGCTGGCCTCCAGAGCCTCTGTCGCGGTTGTCGTCGGTGTTGCGGAATCGTCGGTCGACAACAAGCGGACCTGGGCATCCGACAGGACTTCGACAATGTCAAATTGTCCCACGGCGCTCTCATCGGGACGCAGCTCGACAGACATTTCAGTATCGGGTGCGGGCTCGGTCTTGTTGGCACCATTTCCGTGGGCCCCGTCCTCGGGTCCTTCCGAAGGCTCTTTTTGCTTGTGGAAGCTGAAGGAAGTCTGGATGCGGGTGGAGATGCTGTTGGTGCTGTTGCCGATTTCGTGGTAACCCTTCTTGAGGGTGTTGAAGATGTACATCACTTCGCCCCCGCTGGCCGCCGGTTGGGCCACGAAGCAAAAGGGGTTGAGCCACACAATCGGATTGGCGGCGTGGTTGAGGCGGACGGTGGTGTAGGTGACCGAGATGTCGCCAAAGTCACCGAGGCAGGCAGCGGCAGGGTCTCCGTTGAAGCTCAGCAGCCTGATGTCGGAATATCGAAGTCGATGCTGGCCGAGCGGGCTGGTGGCTGAATCCTGGCGCTGGGAGAGCGAGCGGTCAGGGGTCGATTCGACTTTCCAACGCTTGGACTTGCAGTTGCCATTTCGGTGGCGGATTAGTGCGTCCTGATGTTGATACGGCAATGTTTTCAGACACAAGAGCATATGTAGGACCGGCAGGAGGAGCGTCCCGTATGCGACGAGTGCACGCACAGCGGTGAAATGCATCGGATAAAACCACCTCTGAGTGTAAGCAGACATCACAGCTCCAGCCTCGTCCAGCTCAGCCCAGCCCGGCCCAGCTCACGCCTGCAAGCCCAACTGACCTTGCGCGAGAAAGTCGAGTGACAATCTTCGCATTCGTACATTTTTCCATTCGCTCCGGGAACGTGCTTCTTGTCATGACGACGCTTATCGTTCTGGCGCACAAAGAATATGTCACAGATCTCGCATTTGTACGCCTTGCGTCCTACGAGGGCATGGAATGGGAGAGGGGGTGTTTCATCGATCATGAGTTAGGTTTGGCACGATGCGCACCCGCGTTCGACAGGCGCCATTCACAGAGCAGAGATTTTTCTGGAACGGAGGGAGGAGGAAAGCCAAGGTGAAGGCGAAGCAAGCAGCGACGGGAGGCTTGGAGTCATCGGGGCATATTCTATTCTACGCAAGTCTGGATATCCGCCCGTACCATCGTGCGAGTTTAGATGGCTCTCGAGATTGCCCTTGCGAGTAAAAGTCTTGCCACACCCAGGTCGAGGGCACGTGTACTTGGTCGGCGTCGTCAGTTGGTCGGGTGTGCTGGGTGTAGGTGCCTTTGGAGTCGTGGGCGTTGCGTGAGACGAAGAGTTGTAGAAGGGCGATTCTTCGCGATATCCAGACCATCGTTCATCGCCCAGATCTTTGGCCGGAACCGAGACCAGGGCAGTTGCAAGGAGACAGTGTCAGGATAGATATGCAAACAGTCGGGCAGGTGATGGTGTATCTAACGCTCCACTGCAACTGATACGATAGCGCCGAGCAGCAATCGCGCGACCATGTACTGCGACTTACTCTCAAAGAACTTTCTGATCTCGGTGGACCAGTGGGCGTAATTGGCGGGAGGATACAGCCGACCGTATGGCTCATACATGGCCGATTGCGATGACAGCGACTGGGCCTGGTAGGGCGAGATAGGATGGTGGCCGTAGCCAATCTGGTGCGGCATGTGCCCGGGATGATGCGAATGAGGTGAGCTTGTGCGTCCTGGGCTTGAGTGTGGGTCAGAGGGCGTGTGTGGATAGGAGTGGTGCTGCGACGGATGACGTGAGAAGCCGTCGTTGGAGCTGGAGTAAGGGCCGTAGCTGTGTTCCCGACTCATGCCCAGGCTCGCCAAGGCATCGCTGGTCAGCTCGAGAGGCTTCATGGCAAACAAAAGCGCGCCGTTTCCGTCGACGCTGCCCTGCTCATCGCACTTGCGACTAAAGGCCTCGATCGACTTCCATAGCTGATCCGCGTTGGCGCACCAGAGCGGATCCTTGCCGTTGCTGGAAAGAATCTGTGGATTTCTTGATCCCGACGGCGACATGCGAATGAGCGAGTGGCAGCCGGACTGAGTGCTGCCCGATCCGACATCGGGAAGTGTGCTTGGAGTTTGAGGCGTGCTGTGGGACGGCAGCTGGAAGCTGTGCCAACCCTCCGTTTCAAAGGTGGAGTGGGAAGGCCACGCCTCGATTGTGTAATCTGGAGGAAGAGATTCATCGGTCAGCACCAAGTGCCGAATCCGGCTCGGCTTGTCGCTGGATGAATCGAGATGCAGAGGCGAGCGACGGGATCGACATGACCCTCATCCATCTCCCGCGCAAGCGCTGGGCCGGGAGTGCTGGGCCTCGGTCAAGCATCGCCACGAGGTGCAGCCTGTGCTCGCCACTTACTGAGAAGGATGTTCTTGATCTCTGGGATCCATGCACGGCGGTCGGGCTCGTAGCCCGTGAAGCCGTATATATGAGAGTGCTGCCGACCCGCCTCCAAGACAAATGGATACATGCCGCCAGTAGGCGCAGGCTGGGCCGTGGCCAGACCCGAGGCCGTCGGCGAGCGACTGTCGGACACAACATCCATCTTGTCGTCGCCAGACTTGGAGGATGCGCCTTCGGTCGGGGATCGGGGATGCTGCGACGAGGAACGGCGCTGGTACATCTGGATGCGCTCCCAGAGCTCTTCCTCGCTATTGGCCCAGAGGGGAATCAGCCGGCTGGCGAGCTGCGACGTGACCGGGGTGGAGGGCGGGGCAGACGAAACGCAGAGCATCTGCGGGTGTCCTGAGCCCGTGGGCGACATCCGGAAGAGGCCGCAGAGGTGTGGGTGTGTTGAGGGGAATAGACAACGCCATCCCATGCTTGCGTGGCGCGCGGGCCACCGTCCGGGAGAGACTGATAAGACATCGCGGAATCATCGGGAGGGGCAGTACCAAGGTGAGCGAGTTGGAATTGGTGGATATGTGCAGAACAAGTCGGTTAGCAATCACGATGGTTTGGTCATGGGTAGGTCTGCTTCGTCGATCCTGAAGGCGAGGCTGGCCACAACCCGGCACGACCAGAGCTGCGTCGGTGTCGTTCGGCTACTCACCTGGATTCTCCAGCACTTCCTTCATCTGGCCGACCCAGTAAAGCCCCGTGGGGTTGGTGGCGTCGGTTTCGTATCCAGACACGCCGTAAAGCTGCTTGTGATGGTCGCCGCCTTCGATGAACTGAACCTTGGCGTAAGGGTTGGCGCTGTGCTTGCCAACCACAGACCACAGCTCGTATTCGTTGGCGGCCCAGAGCGGGCGACTGCCGTCCACCGACAGGATTTGTGGGTGCCCAGAGCCCGAGGGTGCCATGCGGAACAGCGAGCAAAAGTGGGCGTTGGATCCCGGCACGAAGGCCAGGGCCCAACCCCGCAGATTCTCGCGAGAGGGCCATATTTCCCGAGAGGGCACTGCGACCGAGCAGCAGAGACAGAGACGACAGTTAAGGACGAGGGCAGCGAGCGGTGCCCTGAAATTGCACACCCAGGCAAGCTGACTCTTGGACTCGCCTGCTGAGGACAGCGTTGTCGAGCATAATGGACATGCAATGGCGATGCTCACCCATGCTCGAGTGCTTGAGCACTTGCTTGGCCCAGGAGTTCGAGGAGCCATCATGGAGCCCGCTGGAACCGTGGATCTGGCGATGATATTCGCCGCTCTCGACAGGCAGCAGCGGTTTGCCCGATCGGCGTCGCTCGTCGATGGTATCCCAGAGCTGCTCCTCGGTGTCGGCCCTGATGCCAAAGACACCATCGCACGCAATCATCTGGGGATTGTTGGATCCGGAGGGCGACATCCGGAACAGCGACACGAAGGATGCATCTTCATCGATGCGGATACAGGTCCAGCCGCGCAGGTCATTCGGGGTAGGCCAAGCGTCGGTCGAATCGACTGAGCAGATTGGCGACAGAGGCAGCAAACACGGAGCGGGATTGCAGGTCAGTTGAGGGATGCTCGGCACATTGGAAGCAGCGCCAAGATGCCAAGACGAAGTGCGTCAAAGCAGAGTAGTGTGCCATCGGATTGCGCCGAGACAGGGCTCATCAAAACGAGAACTCACTGATTTTGAGACCAAGCAGTGCCTGCCGGGCCGGCCAGACCCACGACACCCAGTTGTCGCGAGAGGCCCGGTCAAGCTCGTAGCCAGTCAGGCCAAATTTCCGCAGCGAGAAGAGGCCGCCTTCGATGACGACAGGGGCAAAGTTCTTCTGGGCCTTGGACATGATCAGCTGCCACAGGTGAGCCTCGTCGGAAGCCCAGAGGAACTCCTCGTCGTTGACGTTCACTTTGGAGCCCGGCGGCTTTGCGACAAGGATCTGGGGATTTTCGGAGGAAGTCAGGGATGTACGGAAGAGCGAGCACATGGGCTTGTTTGGGAAGGGGAAGATGCAAGTCCATCCTTGGGAGAACTGCCGAGTCGGCCACTTTGGAGCCGGCGCTGAGTGATGAGGATAAGATTCGGATGGGCGAAACAGGTAAGTGTGCTGGCCGATGGAGCGAACATAGTACGGATAGGGCGCGGATGCCATGGATGGATGAGGCGAGCGCGGCTGTGAGTGCTGTCGCGGAAGTATCTATGGGGTTTAAGGGGGAAGCAGAGGCTTGGCGGGGCCAGAGCGGGTTCAGAGATGCCAAGGAGGCAAAGCAGCGATGGAGAGATGGAGAGATGGAGAGGACGGCTGTTGCCAAAGGGGCAGGCAGGCAGCTCCAACCCCACGCAAGCGGATGTATGTAACAGGGTGCTGTCGTCTTTGGGCGACGATCGCTGCACAGCACTTGAGTTGCCCGTGGTATTGGCTGCCCAGAGAGGAGAGAGTGGCGGAGCAGATGGCAGCCGAAGGAAGGCGATCGATTGCGCTCGGCGGTCGCAATCGACACCATGCAACAGCGACGCGATCTGCCGACGATGAAACGTTGGCAGCACCGGGATCGGCCATGGGCCAAGGATTGCGAGCGAGGCTCGGTATCTGCGTGGATGGGATACCCTTGGGATCCTGCGCTGGGCGTGCGGAGCGATCGGGCATGGCTCGGATCGGCCGGGGTGTGGAGGTGGGGGAGGACATGGAGGCTCGGGAGGAAGGGATCCGAGGAAGCGAAACAGGGACGGGGCGCTGCTGGCGACTTACACGACGGCGGATGCGAGGATATGGACAGCTGCAGCTTCTCGACACCAGTGGACATGCGCTTCTTTGCGAGCTTGGAGGGCATTAGTGTGGACGGAGATGGATGGGTATAGTGCGAGGCATGAGGAGGTTGGGAGCGAGGCGAAGAAGGGGCCATGGAGTCGGACGAAGCCGAGGCCGCAGCAGCGTCGTTCATGATGGGGACAGGGGCGATAGTCCCTCGGGTCGCGATCGATCGGGCAAGACGAGAGGGTCGGTGGGCCGCAAAGACAGACAGGCGGCGGGAGGCGGGATGCAGATGGGCGGCAGGCAGAGCAAGAGCGAGCAGTTGCCGGGTGGAAGGAGCGCGAGAGATCGGTTACAAGGCAGCAGATGGCAACGGTCTTTGGAGGATGGGAAGGGTGGCCGTGCAAGAAAAAGAGGACGGCGGTACGCCCGGGGCGAGCGAGCGAGGCAGTTGGGGAGGGGTGGCGAGCGGGCGAGGGCGGCGGTGAGCATGTGGCTGCGTGCGGGCGTGTGCGCGCTTGGTTGGGGATGCGACATTGTGGTTGGGGAGTGATTGGTATGTGCTGTTGGTTGGGCGAGCGCCATATGAGAGCGACTTGAATACGGAGTGGGTGTGAATATCATGCGGAGTTGAATGGTATATGGAGTGGGTGTGAATATCATGCGGAGTTGGGTGGTATATGGAGTTGGGTGGTATGTGGAGTAAGTATGAATGTCATGCGCAGTGTGTAACTGTGCTGCTGGCTTTTGTTTTGGCAGAGTGATCAGTCTGCTTCTGCATCTCCCGCATCTCTCGCATCTCCCGTATCTCCCGCAACTGAATCTTCCCAGTGCTCTCGCTGCTCGATCCCATCCGTGCTTCTCGATCCCACGAAGGCGATGGTGGCCGTTCCCAGGGCAGTGCGCCGTGCCAGGCTGGCCGGCGGCTGTGTTTCTCGGCTGTGCTCTCGGCTGCGCTCTCGCCACGCCACACTGTGCTTCTCGCCCGCCATCCACCCTCGCCGAGGCCCTCGCTCTTGTTCTCGCTCTCGGCAGCGCCTCCCGCAGCCACCTTCCTTGCTGCCGCTGCCGCAGCGCGCCACCGTGTCCCGTCCAAAACTCTGCCACACGGGGTCAGCCGCGCACGGGGACATGGCGATGCCGGCCGGTTCTGTGGCACTCCGCGGCGGCCATGGCATCGAGAAACCAGGGAGGCATTCCCACAAGGTCGAGTGCATGCTTCTCTATTGCGACATCAGGACCAATGTATTCAAGACTCTGCTTCCGCAATCAACAAGCATTCTCTTTCTGAGCATGCCATATATTCCCAGAAATACACCGCGGTGGGTGCAGCCGGGTTTTCATTACCAACACCATCATCAACATCATCAACACCATCAACATCGTCAACACCACCAACATCATCAACATCATCGGATCCTGGGAGAGCAAGCAATTGTACTCCAGCGAATCCGGCCTTCTACGGGTTGCGCTGCCGGGCAAGGTCGAGCTGTCGCTGCGTCTCATCCCACCATGGGCCGCCCCACTTCATATAGATGGCGCCCGCCAGTGCACCTCCAAGATGCGCCGAGTGGTCAAACACCTTCCATCGTCGAATCAGTCCGATCACATCGAGCGCTGCCAGGGCGGGGAGCACCTGCCCGAGCTTGAAGCTGGTGAATGGCAGGAATATGATCGACACTGGCAGGTCCGGCAGAGCGAACCCGACACCCACCAGCACTGCCCACAGCGCCCCAGAGGCTCCCAGAGTCGGACGAACCATCTGGAAGCGTCGCAGCACGGCCGTGCTGATCAGATGCGAGCACAGCGATGCGAACGCCGCCGCCGAGATGTAGACTGCCAGAAACTCTTCACGGCAGGTCAGGATGTCCTCTTGCAGGATCGGCACAAAGCTCTTGAGTGCGAGCATATTGAAGCACAGGTGCAGCAGCGTCCGGTGCGAAAAGGCCGCCGTCATCATCGTATATGTCTTGCCAGAGAGCGGGTGGTGCATAAAGTGTCGGCGCATGAACGGAGTCAGCCGCGGGATCTGCCACAGCGCAAAGACGGCCACGTTGATGCCCATGATCGCATAGGCCACTTGCTGTCCCGGGCTCGCCTCCCGGATCGACGATTCGGCCATGAGCACAATGCGCCGGGCGACTTCGGGGAGATTCTCGATCCATGGTCCCGCGATAATCGGGGCGGTGCTCTTGTCATCCGCTCTCTGGGCAAAGCTGTCACCGATGAAGCCCAGGATCTGGTCCTTGAGGCTCGAGTATTGGACTTCGTACCCTTCCCACCGGTTTTCAGCACGGGCTGCCGATCCGATCCAAAACGAGCCCACGATTACGGCGGCGGTAAAGGCAATCGGCTTCAAGTATGTCACCTCGTTGTACTCGGGGAACGGGTTGACTTCCTCCTGGTCAGCCTCGGAGTCATTGTTGTCACTTGTTTGACGCTCGGTGGTGTAGAAGGCACTGCCACCTCGTTGCAAGTTTGCAATGTCCCACTTCAAGCCCGCGCTGGTTCTGGGGCTTGGAGTCGATTGTAGGCTGTTGCGGAGCCAGGCTTGCTGCCCGAGGTTTGCTCTGTGGATCAGAGTGCAGTTTCGGGCTCGCGATTCGGCCTGGCTGAGCGGGCTGCGTTGGAAGTTGGAGTGGAAACAGAGACCGCCAACGACGGGGGCCCAGCGATCCGACGCCGTTAGGATCCGCCGGCACTTGGGCTGCAGGGCCGGACTGGCTCGGCTGAGCAGCTGCTGCAACATCGAGGGTGGCAGAATGGTGGGTGGATGCTGGAAAGAGTGACGACAGCTTTGGGATTGCTGGGCCGCGGATGCGATTTGGTGAAGGCGGTCGCTGCCGTCGAAGAGAGACTGGTTTTATCCTCGGCTTGGGTCGGAGGAGGGGCTCGGTTGGGAGAGCAGAGCGATCGGCGAGAGAGCGCTGGGCCCGAGGCGATCCAGCAAAACGCAGTCAAGGGGCACTGCCTCTTGCATCGGCCTGGACCGACAAGGTCCACGGGGCGGAAACGGGTTGGGGCTGTCCGAGCCGGCTGCGAATCTGATGTGCCCGGCTCTCCACGCACTGTATTGACGGCCCTGCAGCGGCCATTGGATCTTGCCATTGGATCTTGCCATTGGATCTTGCCAAATGCACAGGCCCGTCTGCACCGTCAGGGCCTCCAGAGGAGCCACACGAATGCGGCCCAATGCACAATCGCCCCGACGATCCATCATCAATCCCTCCGAGGTGGCGAACCGCCATTTGCTGGTGTCGCCGCAGCGTCTCGTCGATGGCGTTGGTCATTTGCCGAACCGCATCCGGTATGCGTCCGATGCTGGGTCTTTGGTGAGCTGCGGCATCCAGTCGTCTTCTGAGATATGGTGCGCCCACTCTGCGATAGACCACGGCGGGCGAGCACGGTGAGAGTCAAGAAGGCTGAGAGGATGCGAGCGGGCTTGGTGGCAGCGGCTTCGGGGCCATCTTACCTGGGATGCTCGTCGGCGGCATCGGCAGCGCGGCCATGATTGACTTGATCGCATCGACCTTGTCTAGATATGCGTCGGGCATATTGGGGCCAGGAGTCCCCACAACCGAGAGATTAGAAAGAAAGCCCGCATAAAAGCATTCAGCGAAGGCAGGGACAGCGGCAGAGGGCGGGGGACTGTCGTGCTGGTGGGTTGCAACGGACCTGCATCCATATCGATCATCCGGGCGTCCACAACAATCTCTTTTGCCGGCGGCTGGCTATTTGGGGCTCGTCCATATGAACGCTGCCCATCCTCGAGGCGATCCTCATCGTTGTCGTCCCCGGTCTCTCCGGCATCGTCGTCGTTCAGAAGTAAGTATCCACCCTGGTCCATGCTGTCGACATCGGCATCGTCATCCTCTGAAAGGTCGGCCGGCTCCTGTTCCGGTCCGTCGTTCCAGCCATTGCTTTCCCAGTCGTGATGGGCTATATCGCTCTCAGGCTGTTCGTATGATAGATCCTGATCGTTGGACGGCAGAACAGCATCCTCGAGCGGGAACGAGGCGTGATCCAGATTATTGCCCAGCGAATCGGCCGCATCGACATCCGCTTCGAGCGGAGGGTCCGCAGCATCGGTTTCTCGACTCGAGAGCATCGTTCTGATGGGCTCCGGGAGAACGTGCGAGGTGTGAAAGGGCGAGGGAGCGAAAGCGAAGACAGACGGGATATCGCGCAGGGCGCCAGATCAAAGCGTGAAGAGAGCGAGCGTGTGCGCTGCTCTGGCTCCACAACATGGATGCCGCCAGCGACACTCATGGCAGCATGAGCATCGTGATGACGGAACAACTCAAGCACCCAAGGGACATCGGAAGACGGGTGCTGGGGGGCGCAATGGCCCTTGCCCCGCTTTCAGGAAGTGAATGGTCGCTATGACGATGGACATGTGTATTCGCATCCAAAAACAAATGCAACAAACGCAAAGCGTTTCATTTCACCTTGCAAACGCCGTAAATGCGACCATGGGCCTCCAAAACAAGATGCTCCTGCTTCGATTTACGAGCATTCTAAAACAGAAAAGCGAGCGGGGACTGGCGGGGAAGGGGAGGAGGAAGGTGGTGGCGGGGGGATACTCTATATCGTCGCGGGACGACCGATGACAAAGAATTGGATCCAATCGATTTCTCAACGGTGTTCCCGCATTTAGTACGGAAGGAGAGGCGAGATGTTTCCGCTGGAAACCAAGGCAGGCCACATGTTGCAGGGATGTCGTTAGTGTGCAGTCGCTGGGGATAGGTGCGCTGTTCATATGCGCTCGTGGATGGATCCCGATGCGGGACATCCTGGTGGATCGACAACGAGCGGCATGGGCGTGAACACTTACATGGGGTTGTAATGACAAGCAATAACGGCGCAGGATGAGCTGGTGGCGAGGGCACAGCCAACGGACTGCGAGCTGGACCACATGAGCTGTTGACAGCCGCGTTGCGTATGCAGTGTATCGAAGCAGGGCAGGGATGGAGTGGGGATGGTCAGCGCGAGGTGCATGCAGCAGATATCAGATAAAGCGCACACATACGGTTGACTCTCGGCCTCATCGGAGCGTATTCAAAGGGTTTGCTCGGTTAGACGGAGCATTGCAGGACAAACAAACCTGAGTGTAGTGGTTGTAGAGATGCAGGCCTTCGCTCCACCACGCGCCAACAGCATCGTTGATGGACTGGCCGCCGCCCCAGGTGATGTACAGATTTTCACCGGTGCTGGTATGCTGCAGCTGACAGGTATCGGCGTTCACCTGGGCAGCGCCTTGGGCACTTGCTGCCAGTCCGTCGTCCCAGGAGAGCGGCGGGACACTGAACTGGGCGCGGTAGTAGTTGTGGATCGAGACGGCAGAGCCGGGATCGATCGAATTGCTCTGCGGCGGCGGTGGCGGCGGCGGAGGAGGAGGGGGCGGAGGAGGAGGGGGTGAAGCGTTGGTGGTGGTGGGAGCCGGGGCAGGGGCATCGGTTGTGGCTTGAGCGACGGCCGAAGTGGTTGTGGTGGTCTTGGTGGTGCTGGTTGAGGAGCGGGTCGACGAGGCAGTCGAGGACGTGGAGTTTTGCTGGCTGGCGATGATGTTGCGGATGGTTTGGGTGACGGGCTGGTTCGAAACACAGACAGTCGAGCCGACCTTGAGCGACGAGCAGTCAAAGGTCTGGTTAGTCTGGAGGCTGTTGAGCTGCGTCAGGGAGATGTTGGCGGCCGACGCAATCGATGGGCAGGTGTCCTTGGGCCCCACAATGACACCAACGGTGCATCCATTGATGCCGCTCAGTCCAGTGATGGTGAAGGTCGGGATAGGCAGGGTACTTGAGGCAGAGGTGACGTTGGCCCGAGGCTGGCGCGAACTGCAGATCGTACTGGAAGGCAACAGGCCGAAGCAGTTCAGGAAAGGGTTCATGTCCAGCAGGTTGGCAAAGGTCGCGTTGATCTTGGTCATGATGCTGGCGCAGGTGTCGCCCTTGGCGATCTGGTAGTACGAGATGCAGTTGATCGAGTCGGCGCGGGTGGTGACGATGTCAGAGGTCTTGAGCTGGAGCGAAGGGTCTCTCTTGACACAGATACCGGTGCCGGCAGGGAGGTTGGCGCAGGAAATGGTGTTGTTGATCTGGGTGTTGATGCTGGTGAGGGTGGCAACATCCATTCCGTACGAACCGGCGATCGACAGGCAGGTGTCGTTGGCTCCGGTCACGAGGGCATTCAAGCACCCGGCCAGGGTGATGTTCATGCCTGGGGTCAGGGTGATGACACCGCCGCCCTGTCCGGGGGCCATGAGCGAACGGCTGGTGATGAGCGAGGGGATGCAGACGGGCTGGCCGACGACAGGCTGGTCGCAGTTGATAAAGTTGGCGTTCTGGAGGTCCTTGACGTCAATGTTGTTGCGGTTGGCGATGGTGAAGCACGAGTCGCCATCGCCGACAATGTCCTTGGTGACGCAGGTGCCGTTGTATACAACCGCTCCAAGAGGCTGGGACTCGACGCAGACGGGGTAGTTGACGGCCTTGATGGCGGTGCAGTCGAGGGTCGGGTTCTTGGCCTTGAGGTCGTAGACGGTCAGGCCCTCCTCCTCGGCGATCGACCAGCAGCTATCGGAGGCGTTGACGGGGCGGGTGCGGGTGCATCCTTGGTCCTGATAGACCATCACTCTGGCCAAGGCCTGCGGGGAGCCGCCCTGGATGATCATATGGCGGCCGGTGACGGCCAGACAGAAGCCTGGGCCGCTGGGCGAAACGAGTCCGCCCCATGGTCCGACGAGAACAGCTGTGGCGATGGTGAGCCAGAACTGTTTCATGGCGGAAGGGGGGGGTTGCAAAGCAGGTGCGAGTCTGGTGAGCGCTGCCTGGGAGGACGAGAAGGGCGATATCGAGGTTCCTTTCCTTTTCCTTGCGGCCAAAGAGCCGACCGAAGACGAAGAGACGGCGGCTGGGCAGGGACGGCGGGCTTGCGGGAGGCTAAATACGGCCGTGTGTCGCTGTGACGTGCGCGGCCGTGGCGTGTCTGCGCTGCGTGTGTTGTCTGTGGAGGTGTTGTGCTGCAGTCGCGTGTCGCCGCGGGCGCGCTGCTTTGCCGCAGTGCTGCGTTGCTGCTGCTCCACAGTCTGTGTCGCCAGCCAAGCACGTTCGACCCATGCCGCGCCGCGCACCCTGGCGCTGTCGCGTCTGTCCCACCCAGACCCGCGACGCGGCCCACCGACCAGACGCAACGCCACCGCCGCCGCGTTTTCGGCCTGTGCCTCTGTTTGGCGAGCGCGCGACGCGCTCCAACTGCTTTTGGCACCGCGCGCCTCTGGTGCAACCAGGTCCCGGACCAATCCTCGCGCCGCCGGCCCATGTGCCACAGCCGCCGCTGCTGCGCGCGCCACACCCAGCGGACCAATCACCGGTCTCTGGATCGATCCGAGTCCATCCACTTTCGTGGCTGCCCACAGCCGGACCTGGCCACATGCACGCCAGCCGCATGCTGGCTGCGCGCCCTTGGCCGCCGTTCGGACGTCGCGTCGCGCTGATGTCCTCCCCTCCCCATCAGGCCAGATCGGTCCGTCGACCCCGTCCTGCTGCCCGTCGCGCGGCGCTGCCGATCAGCCTGCATCTGTGTCTGTCCCAGAGCCCCGCGGTACTCGATCCGGCTGCTTCTTCAGCCGAGCCACGACGCCGCGCCATGATGCAATCCGCTCCGATCAGCCAATGCCCCTCGTCGCAGTTCATCCAGCGCCAGTCCACGCCGTCGAGCTTCTCGTCGTCCATTTCATCGATGCACGAGGCCACGGTGTCGGCATCAGATGCGGCCGCACCCAGGCACCCAATGGTGAAGCTGCTGGAGCTTGAAAAGCAGGATCTCATCATCAATTCCAATCGGCAGAACCATCGCAACACCACCATCATCAAGAAGCTCTCGCGACAGGTCAACGAGCTGCAACAGGAAAACAGCGTACGGCCTCCACCGCATCGCGAGGGCCACACAGGGGGATATCAATGAGGCTGGAGGCGTCTCGAAGTCGCATTTCTGGGAAAACGATGCTCTTTTGGAAGCTATAACTCGTGACCACAGTGTTGCCTTCGCTGTCGTATTGGAGCGAGTCGCGCACACCATTCATCAGCCGACGTCTCCGCTAAACTCGTGAAATTTCGCACAGAATCTCAAGCAGCGGGCCGTGTTCCCAAGCCCGGTGGCTCGGCGGAGCGCCGATCGTGCTCTCTCTGTGCTCCAGAGTGTGTCCGAGTCCGATCCAGAGGCATCTCAAACCGACATCACAAACGATGCCACGGAGCCGCTACTCACCGTCGCCTCATCGACCCGATCATCGGCCACCGCTTCACCGCAGCCGTTCTCGAGGTGAGGTCATTGAGTCGACTGGCTCAGCACCTTTCCGCACCCGGTGTTGCCCGAGGCGCCTGTCAATCGCCTCACATATTGTAATATAACAGAGACGCACTACAAAGCAGCACGGACGAGCCCGCTCGTCCGCAGGACGGCATGGCTCAAATACTCCATCAGATTCAGTCAAAAGCGCCCATCGGACAGTCAAAAAGTCCCAAGCCCACTGGACCAGGTACAGCTCGACTTGTCGCGATTTCATCCACGGATTCCCGATCTTTCTCCTCCGAATGAACCGCGGATATGTCGCTTGGATGTCTCCCGATCGCCATGAAAACACGTTTTGATAACACGGTGTGCATGAAAATCATCTAGGTCACGATCGCACTGACAGAGTCATGGGACAGGTTCGACACCTCTTGGAGCTTGCGAGCCAGTCCAACGCACCGCGGAGCGATGCGGCGCGACAATCCACCAGTCCAAGCAAGGTCAGCATTTGCGATGTCCCTTCTCCTGGCGTATGTTGCAACTCATTCCCGAATGCCTGTCCCTTATAAATTACCATGTGCTCGCCTCCACGACTTATTCATCGTTGCATTGGCTCACAGAGCTCTCCCTCAGTGCTACAGCTATACGAAGAACGGATCTGTGAGCTGGAGGAGAGGATCCGGGACCTCACCGACGAAAACGTGCTGCTGGAAGCCAAGTACAGAGACAGGCAATCCTATTTTCAGAGTCAGCGCCAACAGTGCTGCAGCAAGTGCAAGGGCAGTCTCCAAGAGAATGTCTCGCAGCTGACCGTCAGCGTAGGTCTTGTCTCATTGATATCGCTTCGCAATTCCAGCAGTGCGTGGCCGATGAAATGTACTGACATTCGTTCGATCCGATAGAAAGCTTCGCCGACCAAGGAAGTCGAGGAAAAATCCGTCCAGGCTTCAGAGCAGAGCATCCACCCGGTCACTCTGGAGTTCTATTCCACCAAAATCTCACAGCTGGACGACAGGATCATCGAACTCGAGGTTAAAATCTCTGCAGCACAATGTGGGCCTACCGTGCTGCTCCTACAACTTCTTATACGCTCTGTATCCTTGTTTGTGCTTATGCACCAGTAGAGGGTGCTCGGTGTAGAGAAGGACGCCCACGCAAAGACCAAGGAGCTCCTTCGGGAAGCACACCAGGAAGTCAAGGCCGGGACACAGCAGTATGAAAAGCTGGCGAGCAAGGTCGGAACGAGCCAAGTGTGGAAGAAGACGGTCGAAGAACAAAAGTTGTTGATCGACAGCTATTCGAAGCAGTTGATGGACTCGGAGCGACGCATAGTATGCAATCTACTTGATGCCGGGCAATTGTTGGTCTGCAGGGCTGATGCTGTCATTGTGGTATCTGGTAGCTGAGGTGTGTCTCGTGGGCGAGTGGCCTGTGCAGAACGTGGAGCTTTGATTGTATCTTGTCATGCTGCGCTGACTCACAAACACTGTGTTCCGGCTCTTGGTGCTCCAGAAACACTATCGCGACGAATGTGAGAAGCTCGCAAAAAGCCTGAATGAATTCAACCATATTGCATCGCTGACACACGAGGTCAACAAGAGAAGCCTGGGCAAGCTCTGCAAGTTTATTGAGAAGGTTGCAGTGGGAGGAGACATGTCACGAGCAAAGGATTACGAGCCGCCCAGATTTCTGTCGATTTGCATGAACCGCTTGCGCCGGTTCTTGTTGCTTGTGCATTACACTGACGGATTCAATTCAAATCAGCATCTTGGAGCAACTTCAGAGGGTCTTGTACCAAAGGTCAGTGTCCGAACGGCCGCATCGATCAGTCACTTGCGAGCGGCCAGTCGCGGATGGCCAGCTCAGTGAAAGTATGCTGAAGCAATCGCCCTTCTAGACATCCAAATCGGCCAACCGACTTGATCTCTCCGATCTTGTTGAGCATCTCGACAGCCTCGTTGATTCGCTTGTGACCAGAAGCCAGGCTGATTCAGAGAGCCATCGGCAGCTCAACGCAAAGCTTCAAAGGTACCAGCGCCGTGTTTCGGAGAGACACTCTTACATCATAAGCCATCGATCCTCCATGTCTCGGTCCAGTCACATGGCACTGTGATTGATAATGCGCCCAGACCTCCTCGCTCTGCCCACCAAGAAAGTTAAAGCGCTGCTGATGTATCTTCGTCAATACCTGTGGCCTTCTGCAACTGGAAGTGAAAACGAAGAGCTTGACCAGCGTCTCCAGCTTATCAAGCGCACCATGATCACGCAAAAGGAATGGTCGCAAATGTAGGACTCTACTCGATGCTCTTGTTGCTGAAGGGGATGATACCAGACGCCAGACAAACAATCCTCGCAGCAGACCCTGACCACCAGCTACATCCATTTTGCAGTACCGAGGAGCGTGATCAAGCGCGTGTGTCGGCGGAAAAGCTCAAGAAAGATATGAAAGAGAAAGAGGCCGATGTCGAAACCATGCGGGAGAGGATTTTGAAGTTGGTGCGAACCGAGTCGCAGGGCATCTTCTTGCTCGAGAAGTGGCGTTATCATAGTTGACTGCAAACTTGCTACCAATACCGATGGTCCACATGTCACGTCCCTCGCGAGTGCAGGCTAATTTGCTGAAATGTCTCGCAACTAGACCAACGAGGGTGCCTTTCAGAAGAACGAGCTCAAAATCCTCAAGGCCAAGACGGAGCAGCAGAAGCAGGATCTCCTATCCAAGGTAAGGAGTCGTGAACACGCCCGTCCTGGAAGATTGAGACACTGCGACTCTCAACTATTCTTCGAATGTCAGTCGGATAGATGTGGTCAGACATCGCATCTGACCATACACGCCCAGAAAGACCACCGTGGGGATATATACGGGCACACACCGCATGGATATCGATCCGAGCTTGTGGATAATTAACTCGGCGAGGCCATACCTGCCGACGGGTTGATCGTCCAGGATGCGCATCTGAAAGAGGCAACCGAGTCTCTGAGTCGTCTGAACGCCATGAATGAAGCACAGGAGGCCAAAATCAAGGTTCTCACGTAAGCAAATATGAGCTGCATGCCCAAATCCGACACCGCGATATATATCATTTTGACCCATCCGCCTGCTGATCTCCTGGACATGTACAACTGGATCTCGGGCACACCTTGGCTGCATACGACGTTATCGACAGCCACAACCAACTCAACAAGGAGCTGGTCATGAAGGATCTCAGGAGTAAGAATGAGGGTCTTCATGAAGATATCCAAAAGTCGTTCAAGATGGTGGAAGAGCTCGAGGAGCTGCGCAAGGTGCACCGAAAGTGCAAGTCCGAGATTGTTCGTAAGGACGGACTGATCCACATGTGGAAGGAAAGGGCTGATGCACTCAGCAGGGTAAGATATCTGATCCTGCGCCATAGACAGGCAGTCCGGAGGGCACACATGCCATCTTGGACGGCACTTCCTTTGGACTCGGAACCGACGCGGCGACCTTGATCTGATCCCGGGTTGACACTATCTACAGGAGATTGTCGATCTGAAAGCGCGCTTAGACTCTACGGTCGATAACAAAAAATATGCGAGTGCAGTTCAGACCAAGCAACTGGCCAGCGAAAAGGCATACCGTCTGCAGGAGAAGTACGACGAGTCCGTGAAGAAGCTGGAGCACATCGAGAACGCTGTGAGAATGTTCCTTGAAGCACGGCTCTCGTCTCGCAAGCCCACCAGTGAGCTCCAGTCCGACTCGACCGTATCCAACGGATCTGCCCAGCTTCTTGATTCGTTCGAGACAGAAATGCTGCCAGAGGATGTGGTCAAGACAGCAGAGAAGATCTCAAAGACGGTAAGTATCGTCGTGGGAGCTCCGGGATGTGGCGATGGCACGGACATGCGTTACATCTGACCGATCTGCATGCAGATCTTGAACCTGGACTATCGTACGCTCCTCAAGGCACCACCAGAGGGCGTGATGGAAATCAGCCAGCTCGATGAAAAGCTCCGAGACATGTAAGCTTGGCCACGAACCGTCGGGATGCGTAAGTTGCACGTACTGCTCTAACACATCTTGTACTGCTTCTCGGCACACCATCCTTTGACATGCCATCGAACAAAGCATGGCAGGCACTTCTCCAGAGCTGCAGCTGTACCAACTGATGAGCGAGGCCATTTGTTCCTCGTAGCGCACGGGCGATCAGGCGGCGATCGATGATTGCCGCTGCCCCTGGGATGCAAATCCGCTGGGTAACCGGAAATCTCCAAGCCCAAGCGATGTGCACTTACCCACAAGCGACCATTCCATTTGCACTTACTTGAGGTGTCTTATCATTATTTGGCTGCATGGACTGCGTGTTCAGAGGGAACCGTCTCAGTTTTGCATTCCTCGTCCCCGGTTGCACATACATTCTGATACAGACAGATCAATACGGGTGCGTCGCATTTCCGAGATGCATCGCGATATAGCCTTTACATGTGGTGTTGGCAATGGCCGTGGCCACTGTCTGTATGGTGAACTATGCTCTCCGAGAGACGGGTCACAGCCCGGGGCGACACCTGAGGAGCTTGAATCAACAATATGCGATGATTCTATCGACGGGTGCAGGGAGTATGAGTGCTGATTTAGAATCTTGACTACTCTGAGGACTCTGGTTGCTCTGATCCTGCCTGCCTGCCACATCCATCCAATCAGTCGGGTGGGACACACGGGCTGATCGACATCATATTCATTGATGCAACCGGCGCCTCGATTCAGACTGAGTGCACCAGCATCCGTGGCTGTTCACTTTGCGGCCGAGCCCCGCTTTGGTTGCTCAACCAATCCAAATGTACTGGACAGACAGCACAGGCGGGCCGGAAAATACTATATATTCTGTCGCTGGGCCCAGCGGCGATCCGGTCCATGTCATTCATCGCCAGCTGCGGCTGTCCGCAACATCCAGTACTTTTTTCTCCACGGCCACGACTGTCGGTCTCCTGTAGCGAAAGCACGTCGCATAGACTGCATCGATGTCTTCAGCGGCACCCGATTCGGCTGCTGCCTCGCATCCTGAACACGACCCCTCCGCAAATCCGTCTGCCGAAGATGTCCACTATGTAAATGCCGAGGCCGATAGCGCGAGCATCGACCAGCCGACCGGGACTAATGATCCCACAAGTCTGAAAGTCGGCACCTCGCTGCGCGTCATCAAGGCCTATCACAAAACCGACGAAAACGAGCTTGAGCTTGAAGTGGACGACGTTGTCGATCTTGACGAAGTTCCGGCCTCCAACGACGAGTTCTGGTGGAAAGGCACCAACCGCTCGTGGGGCCCCAACAATGGCTGCCAGGGTTACTTTCCATCTTCATGCGTGGTTGTGGAACTGTGGGAACTTGACCCCGACAACCCGCCGCCACTGGCGGACGACAAGGTGTTTGCCCCGGGAGTGACCACAGATGCTCCAACGGACGTGCCCGACGAATCCTCCGAAGTTCTTGACGACGGGCCACCTGCCCCTCCCGTGCCAGAGCCCGTTCCGCCAGGGACCAAGGTCTTGGTACGCGAGGCGTTCCAGGCAAGCATGGCGGATGAGCTCGATCTTCGCAAAGGCGAGGAGGTCGTTGTTCTCGAGGCCCCGGATGGCGGGTGGTGGCGAGGCATGTCCAACCTCGGCTCCAAGGAAGCCAAAACAGGTTGGTTTCCGGCAACAATGATCACCGTGCCGGCAGATGACGGACTGAGTCCGGCCAAATCAGCCGAGGCCAGTTCGTCATCTATCGGCGAGCTGGCGTCAAATGCCTCGTCACCGACCAAAAAGGCCTGGTTCAAGCGCCTGATTTCAAAGAAGGGCAAGGATGGCGAGACCGAGCAAGAGCGCAAGGAACGCAAGGAGCGCGAAAAGCAGGCCGAGAAGGAAAAGGAGAGGCAGAAGAAGGCCGAAAAGGAGCGTGAGAAGGAGCGTGAGAAGGCTGAGAAGGAGCGTGAGAAGACTGAAAGGGAACGTGAGAAGGCCGAGAAGGAGCGCGAAAAGATCGAAAGGCAGCGGCTCAAGGAAGCAGAAAAGCAGCGGCTCAAGGCAGAGAAGCGCGATAAAAAGGCCAGAAACAGGTCCAAGTCTGCTCCAAACACCAATCTCCAGCTTCGCGACGATCGAGGGGTCGGGAACAACCAACTCGGAGTGGTGTACGAATCCAATGAGCTCGCAAGCAGTGCATCGTTACACATCAAGTCGCTGAGCGAGCAGAAGAGCAGTTCTAATCTCAAGCCGAGGTAATGTGCAGTATGACTGTCGCCGCGGGGTCACGCCATACCGCAGACGCAAAGTATCGTCGAGTGGCTGCCTGGTATCCCCCCCAAGATCCGTCCGGCGCAGGATATCAGCTTGACCCACTTCCAGAGCCGTATCGCACACGTGTCTGTTCGATACCCATTGCCGTATCGACTGACACTCGGACCCTTGCATTTTTTGTTCGCGATGCGGTGTGTCCTGTTCCGTGCAACATCTAGATCCGGAACTGTTTCCCCCACGAGCCCACTCAGCGCCTCGCTTCGATCCATGGATCAATCCGCAGATCGTGTCAGTCCGTCTGGCAGCAGGCCTGTCCTGGAATCCAAAGAGAGTCTACATCGGAAGCCTCGAGGTGGAGAGTCGTCGGTCGGTTCGCCGCAAGCGCCGCAGCTTTCCCCATCGACCTCGACACACCCACTGCCCTCATCCTTATCGCAATCAAAGTTGCAGTCCTTGCCCGAAGTCCACTCGCAAACACAGCTGTCTTCGCCGGCTAACATCGAGCTGAGCCAGACGCAGCAGTCCTCAGTACTTGCGGAGCAGCAAGGAGTGCTCTCAGAGGCCGATCAATCACAAGCAGCTCCGCCATCCACTGCAGCCTTGGTCATGAACACCACAACAAGTATCACATCGGAGCATGGTTTTCAATACCTCTCTTCCGACAAACCCGAGTCCGTGGACAAACTGGGGCCTTTGGACCCACCTCTTTCCACCCCCAAAATCACTCTCGACAGACCTGTCTCCGAGTTGTTCTCCTCATCCATCCAGTCTAGCATAGCCGATTCGGCTGATACGCATGCGGTGGATAACGTCGGGATGATTTTCTCTGATGAGAAGGACGCATCATCTCCGACTCAGCTAGGGGGCCTCGAAGCTTCTTCCTCTGTCCATTCACCTTCAGCGCAGCAAAGTCCAGCACATGACTCAGGTATATCACCCATGTCTGTCGCATCTCACATAACAACCTCGGCCGATTCGTCGCCCACGGCAGCATTCACAGCAACTGCTGAGGATCAAAGAGCGGCGCAAGCTGCGAGCGGATCCAGCTCTGGAGCCACCGATGCGGCTGCTTCCTCCAAGACGACCGCGGACTCAGCAACAGCCTCGTCCCCTCCACCGGAACAGAATTCCAGTGGCTCTGCCGTCAACCATCAGCCCTCGACACCACTAGCGACTCAAGCTGCATCCGGCGCAACAGCTTCACCGTCTTCGCATGGTTCTACCGCTACTTCTGATCAATTTGGGCATACGGCTGGTATTTCTGCACCGGCGGCGGCTCAGGAGCCATTGGCTACGAGGGATTTGCCCGCAGCGCAAGTGGCAGCTGCGTCAGGGTCGCTTCCGAGACCAGCTCCTTCGGCAACGGCACAAACAACCTCGCATACAATTTCCTCGGCGATAGTGCCCGATTCAATTGCTCCCTCATCGCCACAATTTCACCCAGTCTCTAACGATGGCATCGTTGATGATAACCTCAAGTCCTCAAAAGATACACCGAGTCATGAAAATGCATTCGGGATCAGTGGTGGTGCAGCGTCTTCCTTCAACAATGTCGCAGAGCCAAGACTTCCGGGCGCTGAAGGTGCCCACGATGCTACGAACCCGACGCTACATCGCGAGGGGTCCGTAAGGGCATCGCAAATCCACGCAAAGTCGGCAAACGATCTGTTTCCGCGCCAGCCCTTCCAGCTTACTCTTGCAGACGAACTGTCGCACACCAAATCCGAGTCAAACTCAGCCACCCAGCTGCCCAAGGTCGTTCCAGAGAAGCACGAATACATTCCCTCTCGTCTTGCCGAGTCCTCAAAGGCGCGCGAATCTGTAGAGTCGACCGAACTTGTCAAGAAGGAAAGCTCTGTCGGCCTCGCTTCACGCGAAAAGGTAGTTGGTGTCAAGGATGCCAGGGCGCACTCTCCCGCCCTGGCCTTTGTTGGACACCAAGACTCTCTCCGGATTGGCTCCATGCCGTTGATGATCTCCAAGGGTTCAGAAAGGACCCAGGTTCACACGGGGTCCCTGGGCTCGCAGGAAAGTGATGGCCACTTGATTCAGTCTGGAACCGATGATCCCAAACCTCATCTCTTGGCTGCTGGAACTACGCCAACACCCCCAGACACGATGGCCCCCAAAATACCTGAGGCCCACCCTAGTGAAGCGAGCGAGAGTGTCCTTCATGCCTCGACCCATCGTCCTGAAGGAGACACACCCGGAAGTGTGCTCCACAGCAAACGACGAGCTAGCGCTGGATCCAAGCCAGGCGCGTCTGAGACCAAGGCGGAAGAGAACCTCATCCGACTGTCGAATGTAACGGGGACAGGGGAGGCCATCGACTCTGGACGACCGTCCGTGCTTGCGTCGTTCCAAGCCGAGTCCATCGCTGCCCCATCACCGACGCTGTCCGAGGCGGGAATCTCGGCATCCGCCCTGCCACGATCTCCGGCGCTCAAGCCAAAGGGCGGCGTTACCATCGAGAAGAGTGTGACATTTGAGCTTGATGGCAAAGGAGAGAGCATCGCCTCACCTGAACAAATGCACAGCAAGCCCGAGTTGGTTTCCGCCGCCGATCATCGAGATTCCAACCGGGGAGATTCGCGCACCCGGAAGGCCGCCGATACCGAGACACACAAGCTCGAGGTCGCCGGGCCTCCTTCGAAGATTGGACATCAAGATAGTGTGTTCTCCGAGGGCGCCACATCAGTCCGACCCTCGATCTCGCATCACCAATCGCTGCCAACCTATCCAAGTTCCCGATCGAGCAAGTCACAGGCTCCGGAGGGAGATGCATCAGCCGAACGAGTCAGCTCAACAGAAAAGTATGCAGATTCTCTGCAGTCGCTCCATTCAATCACCGGCAAGGCAGGGATCAATGCGATCCCAGCAGAGAGCCAGTACGCCCTCGCTGCATCTGTGGCTGATGACAATGGGAGCACGTCCACGACGGCGCTTGATAAAAGCAAGTCGCTCCAGGAAGATATTCAAACCGACAGCCCAATGTCTCTCTCAAAGCAGTCGTTCCTGATGGAGGCTGCCGCCATTCCACTTCCCGAGCAGTCGCTCCAGAGCTTGACATCCACCATGACCCTCCAAATGGCGGCGACTGAGGCCTCGGCAGAGTCCAAAAGCCAGCGGCCACGAACCCAAAGCGCACCGGTCGAGCGGACCGCAGCAGCAAAGAGCAGTAAGAAGCTCAACATTGATCCGGCCATACCTGACTGGGGAGAGCCCGATGCGGCATACCACGACCGACGCTCTTCGGTCCGGAGTGTCGGGGAGTTCTCGACCAACGGATATGCCGAGTATGGGTTTGGCAGCTCGACCTTCCAAGCCACGCCAACGCTTCCGTCGAACCAGGTTCTTCAATGGTATGACCGGGTCCCAAAAGATATCTACGAGAAAATGGAGAAAAAGGAGCGCCAGAGGATGACGGCTATCTGGGAGCTGATTACCACGGAGCGGAGCTATATCAAGGACCTCAAGATCATCATCGATGTATGTACTGGAACCGGCGACCGCCGTGGCAGCTGCAGCAGCTGAGCTATAGGTTGCATCATAAATTGCCGGCCTAGAGCGTAACACTGGGATAATGTCTTTCGGTATGCCCTCCCAGGTATTCATCAGGCCGTTGAGTGACCGCAAGGTCATCCAAACAAAGCAAATCGACTTGCTGTTCGCCAACACAGAGCAGCTCCTGAATGTCAACCAGGTGAGGGAGCACGCAAGCCCATCTGGTGCGACTTGGATCTGGGTCGAGCGAAAGACTTGCCAAATACTCACATGTCCGTATCTGCAACAGGAGTTTCTCACGCTGCTGGAGGACAGATATCAACAAAACCCGATTATCGAGGTCATCGGTGACGTTTTTCTTGATGTGGTGAGTTCACAGACACCTGGCGCGGGACTTGGACTGGAGATTGTTAGGTGTGCCCTTCGTTCTTCCGCAGCTCTTTACGATGGTATTCAGGCCACGCTGCTTGGGTCAAAATCGACGGCTGACCAGCATCGACTTGAAACAGGCGCACTCGATGATCGGATACATACAGTACTGCAGCAACCACTCTGCCAGTGGGTCCAAGGTCCTTGCATTGCAGCAGTCGAACAAGGGACTCCGCTCCTTTCTCGAGGCAAGTTGAATGGCGCTGGCAGCTGCGCATCCCACAGTGAGTTCACGATGAAATGGATTCCATGGAGCAACCGAGTCGGGCTCACCCTTGCGTGCTGTGTGGGCCTCTTGGCTTACAGGAGGTATCCAAGAACCCTATTGTCCGTAACCTCGACCTTGGCAGCTTTTTGATCAAGCCGGTGCAACGCATATGCAAATATCCGCTGCTGATCAAAGTACGGGTTTGCTGCTCTGCTTTGAGCTGGATCGCAAAAATCAACCACAGCTGGGTGGCATTGAGCGGATTCTGCCCTTGCTTGCTGTCCTCTGGCAGTGTCTGTGTCTGTATCTGTGTCTGTGTCTGTGTCATGTTCTGCGGCGTGTAGTGACGATTCATTATCTCTGCGCTCAGGAAATCATGAAAAACACACCCGAAACGAAGCAAGACTATCCTATCCTGAAGGAGGCGCTTGATTTGATGCAAGGCATCATCACCCTGGTTAATGAGGGCGCCCGTCAACCCGAGGGGCTGCGCAAGCCTGCTGACATCCAAGGACTGTTTTCGGAGGTTTGCGCTGCCAGCCATGCCCAAACGTAGTGCTGTTGTTGGATAGCGTCTGTGCTTGTGCTGTGCACCAACATCCCGTGACATTGTTTTGACATTTGTTTCTCGACGTTTCTCTGTCATGCGGGCTGCATCGACATCCAAAGAAAATAACGCTGGCGTCTCCGAATCGCTATTTGATCCGCGAGGACGCCGTGTTTGTGGTGCTACAAGGGTCCAAGAAGCCTCGCCGGATCTTCATGTTCAACGACATCATCATCATATCCCGCAAGGACTGGCGGGACAAGTATCATCTCCTCGAAATGGGGCCCATCACCAACT